TTATTCATCATCCACAAAAGAAGTGATTAAGAAGCTTGTTTTCGTATCTTGTCACGTTCAAAACAAGCCTTTAAGATTTAAGACGAAGTTAATCGTAAATTTTCCAACTGGGTAGAATTCTTTTTCTATTCTAATCAAAAGTTTTCAAACAATCTTTTTTAATCAGACTTCGAATTTCACTTCAAAATTAACATTTAAAAAAACATTTTTCAAGTTTTACAACAGAAGCATTAGCTTTATGGGTATTTAATTAATTTCTTAAGCTTGAAAATGAGCTGAATCAAGATTAAGAAAAAAATAACAAGCAAGCGAGTGAGAAGAATTTATGCCACCGTAAAGAAGAACAATAATGGTGAGAGACGACACAGACTAGAAACGAATTGGTCAGATTTTTATTATTATTTTTTTTTTATATTTTATTATTCACATTCGAACGATAAATTTAAATGAAATGAAATGAAAGAAGATTAAATACTCACAGATAATGAAAAAGACACTCTTTGATATTAATTTAATATTCAAAAAGTATGGAAGATGGAGAAGCAAATTTCATCTCTAATGATCCCATTCGAAGAGATCCCCAAGTGCGACGAATGATCTGATAAATATCATCTCATGTTTCCTTATTATTCTTAACTCTTATTATTTTCTTTTGATTGAAGAACATTGAATAAGGATTAATAATTCATAGGAAAGTCATAAAATTTCTAGATCGAAGATATTGCCTTCGCAACAGAATATTTTCCTCGTAAAAACTCCATGACATGAGAGATACAAAGTCTTGGGATATTGTGCCACAAAACAAAACTTTCTGAATGTAAAATATACTTTTGAACAACATTAAGATAATATTTAATATATTTATCCCATGACATTGGATGATGTTTTCAAATAGATGTTGATTCACACAGAAATTTCTAAGACATAAATTAATTAAAATTATTTATGCAAAATCAATTTATTGAAATGAGAAGTATTGGAGGGACGTTTGAGGAAAACTATTTGTAATCGAGACATGTTAAGGACATCCATATACATGACTGCACAGTTGAATCAAGATTAGCAGATTTAAAAATAAAAGCTTTTAATACAACAAGAGCAAATTTCAATTTTAATTCGATTCATTCATACTACGATTTGAATGCCTTTTCATGATCGTTTTATGTAATTTACTGAATGCTCTCCGTGCGAACTCTTTTATTGTGGCACACTTTATGAACTTCAATTACACGAAAATAACGAACGAGGAGTGTGATATTGAGACGGTTATTATGTATCCGAATGAATAAACGTACGTCGAACTGTTTTCAACAAAAGTTTAAGGTCGCCAATCTGATCAAAAAAATCAATACACAAGCATGGCTTAATAATAGTTTATGAAGTTCAAATTTTCAAGCGTAGAAATAACCATGTTTTCGATATTTTGACGAGAATAATGAGTTTACATTGTTTGGGATCATTCATGAATAACGTCATAATTCAAATGAAAAGCTTAAAACCAAAGCTTTCAGACGAGCTTTACGAAAGCTTTTCTTAAATGGATCAGGTTCTCAAGAAAATTAAATTTAGTTTAAAAGTGTATGACGAAACATTCAAAATGTTTTCATACTTAATAGTTTTTAATTTCCTTATTTTGAGAACTCTATTTAACCGTTCATGTTGTGATCGATTTATTAGATTGAAGGAAGTTAATTTCCTAAATGAATACGTTAATATATTATTTGAAGTCTACGCTTGACTTTAATCCATATTTGGATCAATGCACTCTTTGTCAATATTCCGTTTCTCTCGTATGTTTTTTTTCTACGCTCAGTTAATTCATACGACAATGGAGAATAAGTAAAGATTCCATCTTATGCCCGTAAAACGTCGTTTTTTAAATAAATATGTAATCACATTCGGATACTGAAAGTCATAAATTTCAAAGCAAAAGAATGGTGCTTTGAAGTTTTGACAAATTGCATTTACAGTGATAATGTAACGGAAAATTAACACAACAAAGTGTTTGTCTGTAACAAATTAATCAAATCTGCTGTGGCGATAATCCTTCTATGCATACATGTACGTGATTACCAAGGGAAACGAATTGAATTCATCATCCATAAGCAGTCACATAAGTGAATTACTTTTGAATTTGCAAGCGTCTCAATTGATTTTCTCTTCTCTGTCATCTTATTGCTATCAATTGTTCTTGCAACTCAAAGCTGCTGCCAATTCCAAAGCTTTTTTCTTCATTTCTTTCTCTCCATCTCTGTGCTATGCAATTCTTTCAAGTCGTCAGTAAAACGCGCTCGAAGGTTTCGCGATTCCAAAGATGGATGCAATTTCCTTAAACAGCCAACGCAAAATTACAAAAATATTTCGCGGAAACCGATAACAAGACTTACAGACGACGGATCGATTTGGAATTGAATTATTTCTTTCTTTTTTTTCATTTTATGCGTTCTGAGAGAATGGAACTTTTTTGTGTCTTTTTTTATTATTGCGTTGCTTCATTTGATGAACTTTTTTGTGTTCGACTGCAATTGAATCGTATTTTAAAAGAAGTGATGGTTGCATGAGAGAATGTTTATTCGTAAGTATGCAGCTACCATTTCCAAACTCCAGCACTGACTGATTGGTATATACATATATATATATATGATGTGTATCATTACATATTTTTGCAATTATTAAGTATTTCCAGTGCCATCGTCAATTTAGGATGAAAATGGGATGTAAAACTTCAGGGAGAAATGCGATGGGATCGTTTTGCTTTTTTGTTGTGCTGTTGTTGCATACACCATCGTCATTGCTGTTCCAACAAAAACAATTGCATTTTATTCGTCGTTGTTTTTTATGTTTCCACTGAACATGTTTCTGTTGCTCACATCCAATACTGATTTGTGCATTTTAAGACAATTATAATTGTTATTGAGATCTTTGTATTATGGGAGGTTTGCAAGACGTATAAACACAGAAAGGTTAAAATTATTCTGACCATTCATAACGTAAAAGGTTTTCTTTCAAATATTTAATTAAACATTTTCATATCTTCAACTTAAACCGAACATAAGATGAAGAAGAAGAAAATCAAATTCTTCTGATTGACATTAAAAGAACACAACGAAAAAATAAGTCCCCTGTGAACACGACAAAGTCATATTGAAGGCCTAGGAATAAATAAATAAATTAGAATAAATTTCTGTGTCCGAAACAGATGAGATGAAATAATTTCCATCAGCAGAATCTCTGCTGTGTTGCGCTTGTCTTTTGCTTAAAGATCACATTTATGGATGTTTTGATAGCAGAAGCGAGTGAGACAGAAGGGGGAGGGGAAAAGGGGGTAGATATCGAACAAAAAACTTTTTTTTTCTCTCTTCTATAAATTAATTGGGATTTCTTCATTAATTGCAAATCATAGGCTGGCTTATAAGAAATCAAGTTAAATTATTTTAACCTGGAGATAATTTATTAAAGATATTTTATCAACGTAAATTAAACTTTTCTGACGTAACAGATATTCTATCCCCATTTAAAGTGAATGAAGTAATAAGAAACAGAAGGAATAAAAAAAAGAGGTATTTAAAGTTATGCGAGAACAACAATTAGAGAAAATTGTAGGAAATCAATGGAAGGAATGAAAGAAAAGCAAATAAGAAAATATCGTTCAATGAAATCGTTCATTAATAATTACACAAGGGGCTAAGTAAACGAGATACAAGCAGAGACACACAAACGGTAAGGCAAATTACCAAGAAGCCTTTAAATAGCTATTGACAAACGTACAAAATGTTCTATATAGTAAAAATCTGTGGCTTTGGAATTTATGTTTTTCAAAAGACATTTCGCTTCTGAACAGATTTTTTCCATGCTTTTTGCTGCTACTTTTATTACACATGTTGCTGGGCGAATCGTGCTCAGAATGTTTAAAATGTTTCTTTTCTCTTTTCTTCCTCCTTCCCTTTTTACATTCGAAATTCTTTTGTGACGTTTTAGAATATGCAACATCAGTTTACATTTAGAATTCTTAATTAGATTTTAAATGTACTGAAAAGTTAGTGACATAATCGGGAATCGAATCCTAAAAGCAAGAGAAAAGAAGTTAAAACAACGAATGATTCGATTCGATTCATTGATGCATTTTTTCACTTTGTAAGCTTCCAGCTTGAATATTAATTAAATATTGCCAGATTGCTACATAACATTTGTTGTGACAATCAGCAATGCAGGGCACAAACGAAGTATAATTATGAATTCTTCTTCAAGATGAAAAATTTATGCAATTTGCTTTCATTAACGAACGACAAACATTCAAAGCATTGGACTTTTATAGTTTCATGTAAACAGTAGCTGCGGCTATTTTAATACGAAAAAATGTTAAAGTTATAATCGCGCTGAAAGTTGATCGAATTCCGAATGACGTTAAGGAATCTTGTTGCATTCTTACTGCTGTTATTGGGACTTCACTATCGCATCTTCATCCCGAACATGGTTATTGATGATCATCTGTCTTAATTGCATCGCCTGCCGTAAATGGAGAATTTCTTTCTCGCGAAACGAGTCAATAAAGAATAAATCGAAGTACATTATGCATAAACAAAGCAACAAAAAAAATTCATTGCCTTTGAGAATGATAAATCGACAATCGCAATTTGATTGATTCGATTCCGATCACTTTGTGGTGCCTCTTAAAGATTTCGCACGTTAAAAGTTTCCGCATGAAAGAACAATCGAGTTATTTGTTATATGTAAAAGAAGAATCAGTTTAATGGAGTAAATGCATCATATATTATAAATCGAAAGATGGAAAGGCAACGCAAATATTCTTTCTCTTCCTTTCTGAATATCAAGATTCGTATTTACTTGAGATGGAGCAGCGTTGGAAAGAAGGAAAAAGATTTCGCGCTATATTTAATGGAAATATCGAATTTTATAAGAAATAAAAACTTATAAATCAATGTCTTGAGAGCTGAAATCGTTTTTTTTTCTGTACGCATTGCGATTTTTTGTAATTTGAAATGCACCAAAAGTTGTACAGATGTGCAGTGCGCTCGCTACATATTTTAACTTCTACCCGTCAATTCTTGAGTGCTGCCCTTCACTACATCAAGACACTGAGAAACTTCATTGTGTTTACTTTTTAAGAGCTTTTTTTAACTTCTCTTCGCACGTTTAACGCCGCCCGATTTTTTAAGGGCTGCCAATAAAAGAGAGAAAAGAAAAGTTAAATGCCATAAATTTTTTATATTACCTCGAACACCTCTTCATTATGCGCCATTGTGATGATGGAGCTCTTTTTCTTTTTTAGTAAGAGCATTCTTATGGTGGCTGTTTGACGTTGGAAAGGAATAAAAATCACCTTTCGTTTCGATAAAATGTGAAAAATGCATGAATTGCATGTAGATTTAAAATCAACATTCACCAGTTAAGGAACATTGTTGTAATGTGTCCCTAATTTATCAAAATCGAGACACGTTATTCGTAGGGGCTTTAGAAATGCTCATGGTAATCTTTTCTTTCTTCTTCCTTCTCTCAACTCAATTTGTTTATCACTTCAAGACTTTCTTGAAGCTCCCAATAAATGATTTTGTTTCACCCTTTCTTTTTTCTGATGAGTTGCGTAACGGATTTGGTTTAAATAAATGAATTTAATTATATAAGTGCCCAACCTTGTTCTGTACATCTGTGAAAGGAAAGAGACTTCAGAAGCCAAGGGACAGTAATTTTGGATATTCCTCAATAATGAATATGACAATACTTGTCTCATTTAATTTTTCTGTAATATCAGATGATTGAGTTAAAAACAAATTTTTTTCCCTTTCTCTCCGTGCTTATTTCCAACTGGGATTGAATTTCTTTTCTGATTTTTGTGAAGGGATTTCTCGTAAAAGAGCCAACACAAAAATAAAAAAAAAGAAATAATTTGGTTCACTTATTCTCGATAAAAATTTTCGTGTATAAATTCACTTTACGATAAGTTCATGACATGTTTTTATTTTCTTTCTCTTCCTTTCATTTTTTTTTATATTTCTTTTTCGAAATCGGGACTATTTTTTTATCGAGACAGCGTCAGACGATATGTGAATGCATTTCGCCTGCGGTTGATTTCATTTAATTGATTCCATTCTTTTCGCATATTCGATGATGATTAAATCATAATAAGTAAATGAATTTTCACTCACCCTTGTCCATTTAAGTCACCACTAACTAACTCAGACACGACATAAACGGTCGAGCCGTCAGGTTGAATTTGTGGTGTGTACTGGAGATTTCCTTGAACGATCACTTGCGTTCCATTAAGACATTCGCCACTAGAATACAATTCCAATCCCTTTGGTTCACCATCAGATGGTGACTCGGGATTTGATGCGATGGCGTTACCGGCTGCCGTATAAATAACGGTCTTATTACCATCCTCATAAATTAAATCTATTTGTTTTTGTACGTCTGGGTTGAGATTGTCATATGGCTGCGGATGACTTTTGATGACACCGCCGTTTGTTTCATGTGATTGTGATGTGTAAATGATTTGCGTCTGTTGAGATTTGGGATCATCGCCTTTTGTGGGCAGTGAACCAAGAGTAGCATTAAACAGTTCACCATTCATCTTCCCATGATCCATACTGCCAGTGTTTACAATACGCGTTAAAATGTGTTCGCCATTCTCGTTTCGTGTGATGATATGATGTTCGCCATTGATGATGTCACGGCTAATGATTTGCTGATTTTCACCAACCAACTTTGAAACGAGTTGATTACTCTCGATGAGACGAAAAAGTGAATCATCGCCGGGATTGATTTTGGTGAGTATCTGCTGTTCTCCGCCTCGTCCATCAGAGACCGTTTGTACTAAACGTCCCTCGACGAGATGATCATTGACAATTCGTTGCAACATGACGCCGTTTTCTTGCATCAATTCAAATGACTCATTGGCGTTCTTGAGGCCATTATCCATCGATAAATCTGATGGAGGTTGATTGATGACTACTTGATGGAGCTCAGGCGATGTCGATGATGCAGCAGCAGTAGTTTCATCCATCTTGGATGCATTGCTGTAAACGTAAACTGTGTTTGTGTTTTTATCATAAATTTTCGTCTCGAAATCTTTATGCAGATCGAGGACATTGGCAACATTTGTCATCTGTGCGAGCTCTGGTGGGCTTGTTGGGCCCGATTTATGTATAAGTCCTTCTGACAAATGAATTTGATTCTCAGGAGATGCTGTCGACATTTTTATTTTCTTTTCTTGTTTTCTATTTCCTTCTCTTCAAATTGTTCAATCTTATCAAAAAACAGTTTGAGCTTACGATTCTTCAAAATTCCATTTGCGAGAATTCCTCTTCAAAAATCGCAAACAGTTTTATTTATTATCATGTCCACAGTTATATTTTATCGCTTCACTTTATCGTAGCGCGCTTTGAAAATTTCTTCGTTTCTAAAGCGATTTCTAAGACGTTTCACCGCTTCGATTTTGCGCACACACAAATATCTATGCTTGAATTTTCTTTCTTTTACCTCTTATACTTAGTATCATTAACTGTACTACTTTTCTCGAATGCACAAATTCATTGAATAGTTTTTGAAATTTATATTTTGTTTGTTTGTTGGCATTAAACATGCATGCATCGAGTACAAAGAAAATATTTTTTTTTATTCACGATTCTCTGTTTTCAAACAGATAGATATTCTCTTAGATACTTTTTTAATAAAAAATCAATGCATAAAACAGTTAGAAGAAGAAACTAGCAAGTAGTTGCAACTGCTGTGAACTCTGAGTGTCGTGTTTAAATCTTTAAATTTATTTGATTATTTGCACTTAATTTGTCTCGCGTTATGGTCACACATGGAATAAGTTCACTGTCGCTCTTCACTAAACTTGATTATTTCTTATGAAAAGTTTGTTTTTCTTTCTACTTTTTGAGTATGGCACTAAGTGTGTAGAGCATTTGTCTTTGTCACAGTTTTATTTTCATTCGCGCGGGCAACACGGAATCAAGTACGTAATTATTATTTATTAGTTTTATAACTACAATTATTATTTTTTTTTCATGAATGCCTAAGCTTTGCACTGTCAATTTACACACATTTTAATAGGTTTTATATTTTTCTCTCACAGTTTAATCTTGTTTATGATTAAATTACAGTCTATGGTTAAAAACTTCACAGTTGCGCGTACAATGATAATGTTGATATTTTTGTTGGTGCTGCTGATTGGCGGGCAATCGTCGGGTTTCTTACTCACAACAACGACGATCTATGCCAATTACTAGAGCTGTTGTTTGTTGCCGAAACTACAATGAAACGAAACAGAAGGAAATGAAAAGAATGCTAGTTTAGATCTGCAGTTGAGTTGGGAAAAAAGTGAAAGGCTTGAATTGTCGAGTAACCAAAACAAAAACAAAAACCAAAATGCATTTGTGTGCTAAAATAAAAATCCATGCTCATAGTTATATTTATAAAATATTTGCAATCAAACTTTGATTGTGTTTTTATTATTTCTCGTGCTCGTTTAATATATATTGAGTTTTCCTTGCACAAAATAACTGTAATTAGACCTCTTGTGTGTGTTTTCGTAAGCGATCTAATTGCACACGCCAACAATTTTTTTACTTCCTCGAAATTGTTCAACGACTCAACTTGATTTGAAGGAAACAAATGGAATGTGTTTTAAAATAAAGCTTTTTTTCTCTAGCAAACAAGAATGTTTCATTGAGATTAACATCATCCAAACAAACGTCTTTTAATCCACTTCAGTCGCGTTCACTAAACATGCAAAAGAAATGTAACGGCCGTGAAAGCAAAGAATGAAAAAAAGCAAGAAAAGAAACACAACAAGTACAATCATTGGCAATGCATTTATGAGGGTCAAGATGCATTTAAAAACGCATAGCTAATGATCTTAAATGCCAAAGCCGAAGAGCTTTTAAGCTGACGGGCACGAGATGAAGTTGACTAGCGCACGTAATTAATCGAGCTCCGTTTACTTCTGAATCGAAACGAAATGAAATATTTTCCATTGCTTTGTATACTTAATAAATAGTAACGCAGTTTAACGTTAAAAGAAACTGTGCTGAGAGTTTATTTCTTCTCATCCACCCACAGAAAATGCAATTTTGAATATTAATTGTTTCAGAAACGGTGAATATACATTAATAATTCGACGAAAATTGTTTTCTCTCCTCTTCCTCGTTACAGCTGCACAATTCTTCTCTCTTCGTTTATTTATTTATGTATTCAATAATTTTTCATTGCATTGATAAATTTTGTCTCCCTTTCTCGCGCGCTTCAACGGACTCTGATTGCTAATAATTTTCTTTCCATTCCAAGCACTACCTAGGAGATGAAAAATGACTTCTTTAACGTTCGTAGTAATTTTTTCTTTCTTCTGACTGATCTAAGTGCAACTTTAAAGCCATTTTGTGAATGACTATAATTGAGCGGATTTTTATGCAAATGAGTTGAGCATATTTAATGTTGAAAATAGATTTCTTATCTTATGTGAAGTTTTCTACTTAAGCGAGAATATTTACACATATAATGATGAGAAGAAGAGAAAACTTGTAAAATTTCCAATTTGATTTGAAAGTTGTATCTTTCTCTTTGATTGAGTGATAAATGTCAAGCGACAATGAATATAAATGACCCATAAGATCTACCTTGCTATATCAACATGTGGCTTTTCTTTCTAATTGAATTAACCAACAGAGTCTTGTTCATTGTGCAGTAAAGAAATCATTAAAATCCGATCATAAAGCAATGATGACGAAAGTCTCGAATACTTTACAACTTTAATTGTTTTATCGCTCGTTGCAAAACTTTTCCTTCTTTCACAATGCACACAAATAACAATATTGCAGAAGAAGGAATTCTCCTCTGATTGCAAAAGAGAGAAGACAGAGAAATAAACGACAAAATGAAAATAGAAAGTCACAGTGTTAGAGTCAATGTGTGGCATTAAAAGTAGAGAGAAAAAAAGTGCATGCATTCATCAAAAATGGCATTGTCATAAATTTGCACATCGTAAGCATGCAATGGTGAAATAAAAATATAAAAGAAGAAAGTCCACAAACGACTCGCCTATTGGCCATTAACCTTTAAGTCAAAGAAAATTGAATTTCCTTCTAACAACATCCATCGAAATTATCTCACATGAAAGCACATAAATATCATTTTTCTCCATCTTTTGCAGTTAGTTAAGCCAACGACGTGCGGCAAAGGAATGGGCAGCGAAATCAATTTGTTTGATCATACTAATCGTTTTGCTTACTACTTGATATGTAGTGAAATATTGCAGATCACTTTTTTTGTTCCTTCAACAAGAGCCGTCAAGTTATGATGAGAAGCAATTATCCTCTATTAGTTTTGTAGTTAAAATAATGACGATCAACAATAACAGCAGAAACATCAATTCTCTTTTTTTTTACAACATATGGATCAAAGAATTAAATGATGGAAATTTTCAGCATATGTTGAAGCTTCGCTTGCTGCTGCCGCTAGATTCCTTGAACTGCTTTTAAACTGTATAATAAAGAGAGAGAAATATAGCAGCTCAATAGCAATAATTACTATCTCATTGAAACTGACGCTTAGACAACTAAATATGAGCCATCACTGGTGAACATAACGAACACATTATTTGCCATGGTTGCGATCATAAATAAGTATAAGAAGAACGCTTTTCAGACTTAATTAATATTGCTTACGAAATGAACCTCGCAAAGTAATAAAAGTGAATCAACTATCATGCTTATGAGCCCGTCCGTCGTTCAATGTCAAACAACAGTGACAGAAATCAATTTTTGTTTCATATAAAATATATTTAAGACTACATCGTGGAAACCGGATATTTGAATGTCTTTACTGTTTATGTGTTTTACTATTTTGGTTTTTGAATGTCACAAAAATATTTCTGCAAATGGAAGATTTTTTTTCTTGGCTTTGGTCAGGGCTTTTGGTAAAGTAAACAAATCAAAGTTTCAAAAGACAATGAAAAACAGAAAGAAACAACACAAATATTTTTATTTAAAGATGAGAAACTTGAAAATCAAGTTTAATATTTTTTAGGCGATTTTTTTAATGAAAACATAACGCTCAAGTTAACAACTTTGTTATCGATTGATTAGTGGAAATTTTCCAAATGATTCTTTTTGGTGACTCATCATAGCTTGAGGCTGAAGTTTCGATGTTGAAGGTTTACAATTTTTTTTTTATTGAGAATTGCTTGTTTTATAATTTAAATGCATTAACTTGAAGTCTACTTTAACTAGTTATTAAATGTCTTGAAACATTCTCCTTTCCGCATTGGTTGAATAGAACGCAAGATGATCATTTGTGCATATTAAAAATTCAAAACAGAATAAATCTTCTGTAACTGGATTGTGTGTACGTAAAATGTAATGAAAAGTTAATTCAGTGTCGAAAAAACTTTATAGCGAATGAACAAAGAGAATAAAAACTACAATAATGAATGTAAAATTAGCGTTTGAATGAGTCTAGAGTTTGTGGTTTATAGTAAGCGCCGGTATGCGCCAACAACCAATTTTAACTTTTCTCGCGCTTCCAGACACTTGTTACCACGTGCGGCGTGCTAGAAAAACTCGTGAAACTCGAAATTTTTGTTATTTTTTTTTCGTTCTCATGAATGTATTTCAGGTTTCCCTCCGTTAAAAAACCGAATACCGTCTGCTGTGTAGCTGAAATAATATTCTGATGTCGCTTTTTTTTTGGTAACAGATTATTCGAGAAAGCGAAAGTGATCATACCAGAATTGTGGCTTATTATGGACACGACGAGCGCTTTCATTTGATTCTGGTTTGATCCACGTTAGCTACTTCTTATTTCGGTGATTTTGTTTGAAAACAAAAGCTTCTCTTCTCATTCAACAATCAGATAGAGAATAAATCTCGTTTGTTTCAACACGTTTTTCTCGTATCTAGTATGAAAGCGTGTGCATGACCCGACTCTTCACTAGTTTTACAGGTTTCGGCACAGTCTCGACTCTTGCTCTTGATCTAGTAGTTCCCCAAGATGATAATGATGAGTGCACAAACTACCACGTGGTTTCATGAACTGGTCCTATCCGAACATATATACAATTTGTATGTATATTTCATTAATTCACGCCGGCCCATACAAGTGTATGCAATTAAACAAACAAACAAACAAATCTTGTCATTCCGGAATCATTTGATTTCAATTCAAAGCATGTGCCTTTAAACAGTAGCAAAGCATTGTAATAGGCTATAAAGTTATGTATGTTAAGTCATCGTGTGATGTTTTCCGCATCCGGATTTTGCTGTGGTATGAAAAAAATTCAACACGGATTTAATAATGCTTACTGCACTAAGAGAAATATTTAACGACTGCATATTTATTTCTCTGATTCGCTACAGATTGTTTTTCTTTAATAATAGGTAATAATGTTTAAGTATTATAATTAATTTCGAGGTGACTCTTTTCGTGTGTTTTCATTTTTATCTGATGCAAATGCTCGACAAAATAAATCCGATTCTCACATTCCAAATATTAAATGTAAATTTATATGATTATGGATATTACTTTGGTCGTTCCTTCTTTAAATTTTCAACCAGAAAGACATCTAATGTTATACTCAAAAAAAAAAAGAGAAAAGATTATATCACACGCCACCATTATTGATTCTTCAGCATTACTAAGTATGCATGCATACATCTAAGCGACAAATTTATTGCTTCAATTAAAGCTCTTAAAGACGCAACAACGTCTTAGAATCTTAATGGCCTTTTCAGTAACCTTTCTTCTTTGCTTACGTGATGCGTCTTTTGTTGTCTCTTACTTGGATGACACATGAAGTTGAGTTTAATGTTGAACATTGAGGGAAGATTTGTTTGTTGTGACTTTATGGTTTTTTGTGATTGTTGAGTAATTTGGGACTAAAGACACGTTAGAAAAGTTACGGTGGTAATAAACGGCCCCTAAATATGTTATTGGGTTAAGAGAAGAAAAAAATTAAGAAGATTTCAACCGACAGACATTAACAGCATATCGGTCGAATAAGCGAACGATGAACAGAAATAAATATTTGAATATTCGAAAAATCCATGTGCGACATACAGAAAAATATAAGCTATCCAATCGAAGTAACAGCGAGCAATAAAACTTTGGAACAGAAAAAAAAATAAGAAAAAGAATCAAAAAAGAGACGTCTAAAATAACATTAAATTATTTATGCCCATAAAATGACTATAAACATAAATTAGTCGAAGTAAATTTTCGATTTTTTTTCCTCGCTGATGTTGTTGAAGATTTTTCTCGCTCTCACTCACTGTTGTCAAGTTAATATGCAAAGAGAAGTTGAAGGTAAAACCGTAAGACAAGAACGTTAGAATTCTTCTTTCTCATGAGGACAGAAATCATTTGTTCAAGAAAAGATTAAATATTTGACTTTCGAGTTTATTATTCATTTCTTGCTAAGGAAGCTTTTCTTCTCTCTCCCTCCCGTACTTCTTCCCATCCAACGCGAAAATAAAGAAGTTTCTAAAGTTTGTTTTTATGTTAAACCAACGCAAGAGAGAGTGAGTGAGAGAGTGAGAAGGAAAGAAGGAAAGAAAAAAATGGATGAAAAGTCTTTGGTGTGCTAAGCACCCAAATGATTTATTTAGTGTCGACTAACAAAATTTTTTCTTTTTCTTTTCTGCTTTGTTATTTATCGCAGGTTTAAGATGCCAGATTTGAAATCATTGCAAACAGCATGGAGAGTTCATCGATAGGGTTCATCTGAAACGACCTTTGTAATCAATCATCTTACAATCGAGCGATATTAAGAAGTTAATTGACTTCTCGACTTCAGACTTTTTTTTTATTTGAAAAGAGAGTAAGGAACAGTAAATATATTAAGTCACGTTTCATTAATGTTCTTAGAAGTTGGTCGAACATTTTTTTTTCTTCTCCTTCAATCAATTCAATTGTTAATATTCCCGTGATATGAATCATTACTGACCTCAAACCTTAAAAACTTACAACTTGTTCTTCAAACGTAAGCAAGTAATTTGTTTCTTTCTTCTTTATCTAAAAGAGAAAATCCATTTTACACATCATGATGACCGTTGATTATTGCTTTTATTAAATGCCTTGCTTTGTTTCATTTCTTTCTTATTTTTTTTTCGTAAAGAACCATTAAAAGCATCGTATGTATCTGGTCTCAAACAACATGCGAAATCAAAGCCCTTTCCTTTCTCCTTGGTTCTTTTAAAACTTTTTAAATACATATCTACATGCATGTGGTCATTAAAAAAAGAGTTGTAAAAAATGTATCCGAAAAGTCATTCAATGTGAGCTGGAAAGTTATCACAGCCAGCGTCTTCGAAAAGATTTTAAATCCGACTACATCCATTAAATGACGTAATTGTGTGATATTTTAACGATAGCTAAAAGCCGAAGAGATTTTTTTATTTTGAAAAATATTTGTTGCGTCGAAAATTTGGTTTTTGATTTTTTTTTTCAATATAAGCGCTCACGAATCGCTGATTAAAATATTTTTGTTTCGTGAATAAATTTATAGTTTATATATATTATAATAAAGTTTTTTTATGATCACCAAAAGCCCCGACAAGAGAGATATTGAAACAAACAATGATCAACAAAATGCTAATTGCTTGCGTCATGCTTCGTAGCTGACTCCGTGTCTGATAACTTTGAGGGAAGGACATACATAGGCTCATCATGATTAACTAATCTTACTCATTCAAATGAGGCTGCGTGAAACAAAGGCATGGATTACTTTGAAAAATATTATCGTCATTGAATCATTTGAGGTCGCAACTTCTTTTTATTATTTTATTTTTTTGAGTCTTTCCTTTCTCCCTTGGAAACAAAGAATCGTTCAGAACTCTCGTCGTGTAATTAAGAGAAATCAGAAGAAGCCAAAACGAAAACTGAAAGATGAAATTTGTTATTTTCTTTCCATTTAATATTCTTCCCAAACTAATATGTATGTAGATACATGTATTTATATACAAAATGGATTTTTCGATGATGATTTGTTTTCTTTTTCTCGCATTATTCGATTGTGTTGGGTAATGAAGCATCGAAGCATTCAGAAGAGTAGAAATATCATCGACACACGAACACTGAAGCTGCTAGCTTAATGAAAAAGTTATGTTTTTTTTTTCTTTATTCTTGCAACACACATCTACATGATCTCATCGCGACATTGCTCCAGTGAAAGAGATGGAACGATGGGAAGCCATAATAAGAATGAGAAGAAGAATATAAGAAGCTCAAGCTTCGCATCTGAAAGCTCAAATATTTATTGAATAATGAATTTAAAATGAAACAGCCGAACACAGACAAAAAGACATAAGATAGGAAAAAAAGTTGAAGCAGTCAAAATATTTCCACAAAACCATAAATAAATTAGTCGAAAGAAACCAAAGCGACACGAAAAACAAAAATCAAACGAAATTTTGTTGAAAACCAAGAAAAAGATTTAATGTAAAGCCAGTTATAAAAAAGTTACGTTATTTGTTTCTAGGAAAATCCCCAAAAGCTTTTAAATAAATATATTTATCTAAATAAAATTTGTCATCATCAGCGAAACAAAATTTTATTGACTTTAATCGAGTTTCGTTTTGTTTTTTGCGTAACGAATGAATCTTTATGATTAATCAAGCAAGCGCAACAAAACGTCTGCAAGTCAAGATATTAATTTATAAAATATACTTTTAAATGACACAATAGCACTAAAAGCAATATATTTCATAGATGTTGGGGATACATGTCATTCTTTTGTTTGATAACACAAAGCGAGCTCTGCTATTAAATTTTTATTTTTTTCTTCTCCCTGAGCTTCTCTTCACTAAGCCGCTTTCACAGCAACTGAAAGCCTATCACCTTATGACATTTGATTTGTTTTTTTTTCTTCCTTCTCCCCCGATTACCAAAAACACGGATCAAGAAAATGACGAGAACAACAAAAAACCTGAGCTCACCTAACAAGTTTTTTTTTCAGAAAATCCGGTTTTTATTCACTTGAACTCACGTGGTTATATTTTTTTTGGTTCTATTATTGTTTATTAAATTGTGCAACGTGCGATTTGTGCGCCAACCGGCTAACGTTAAATTTAATTAAAACTATTTCAAATTTCGTATTGGAAAAGATTAAAATCAATCACCTTATAGCTTTATATGAAACAAAATTAACTGTATCAGTTAATCTATCGATAAATTTAAATAATTTCTCAATTTCACCTTCAGTCGTTGTCAGGTAGAGGCCATTTAGTTGAAAGAAATAATATGTAGTGTCTATGTACGCAAGAATTGTCACCTGACATTATTAAAATCGTTTTGCTCCATTGAAATGTCGAGCTACTGCATGAAAGTATTCCTCGATTAAACATTGTTGTGCAGAAAAAACAGTTAATACCTATCGGAAAATTGTAAATGTAACACAATAAAGAGAATTTCATAAAAATTCCAATTCTTTACTGCTACTTTACTTCATGAAACAAACATAAATGTTTAACAATGTAGGCAGAAGAAAGAAATGGCTTTTAGATTGCATCATTACGAAGCCTTAAAAAGTGATAACGAAAACTTATAAGCGCTTGTACTTGCAATGGAATGCTCGGTACCGATTTTCAGTTCATACTTCGACAAACCCATGGGCCACTTCCTTTAAATCTCAATAGAAGAATAGAAAGAAAATGCAGCAAGGAGGAAGAAGTTATTTTTCAATTGCATCAAGAATAGCGGCACATGTTGAATAAATTTCTGATTTTATTCCTTGGAGGCGCACAGTGAAAACTTCACTAACTACAAACAATAGTGGAATAAATGTCTATTTACAGAAACAATTCACATGCATTTATTGTCAGTTCGCAGGTTTAAATAAAGCCTTAATAGTTAATGTACATATTTGAAGCCAGTGGTGGCATGTCAACTTAAAATATGACACAAAATATCTCACCAGCATTCACTCATAATTGAGGTAGAAAAAACTATTTTTAATCACTTTCAATGTGGAATACTTCAACGAGAACTCCTAATTGACTAATAATTAATTTAGTGGTGATGAAAAATTGTTTGATTTGAGAAACTGCTAATTAAAACAACGCAGATAAAAGACGTCTGTTGTGGTCTGTCCATGCATGAATCACTGTTTGATTGTATATTTTATTAACGTTATTAATATTATCTAACGTCTAATTATCGAGAATTTGCAACATAGTTATGTGGGATTTCCAATCTACTTTCTTACTAAATTCTACTTTATTTGAAATGGACTTGAAGCTTTCACATAAATATGAAATCGCACTTGAATGACTAATTTGAATTGTGCAATAAATACTTGAAAATTGGCTCGTGTTCAGAAAAAAAAACCTTCTAATTACATGCTGGGCTATTTAGCCACGGTCTTTAGTTCCAATCGCCAAACATAATCACTTCAGAATTTGAGCATAAGTTTCACAAATTGCGCCAAATGATTCAAATCTGAATACTTAACTTAAAGAACAACTCAACTCACTGTACTCTAACTAGTTTTTAATTTACCCCTTTTACACATAAAACAGGTTCTTCATTTTTTTTTCATTCATCAACTCAATAATAAACAAACACGACATGAAACGAAAAAAAACATAAACAAATATTTCACTTGCAATTTTTAACATAAAAATTTGATCAACAAATGATTTGAGTGAAAGAAAAAATTTTTAATGCTTCTTGTCATCGAAGTGATGACGAAATGAAATCGATCGAGTGAAGAAATAACGAAGAATCAGAAATGGACGCCGTCTTCGAATGCGGACGAGAAATTTCGTTTTTTATTTTGTGCAACAACACTGCTTTAAGGAACATGGCAATGGAAAAATTTCTCTTCCCTTTATTGTCGTCGTTTCAGATATTCTCAGTTCCAATAAACTTTCATATTAACCTCACTTTCTCATCGGCTTTACAATTAAATAAAATTGCACAACTCTCAACAGCCAAAACATACATTTTTGATATGAATTTTCAGAACACAAAATTCCATTTTAGGTTCTTTTTCTGTGAATGTGTTTAAATCTTTCATATATTTTTCACTGCACAATTTCTCAACTTTTGGCTTAAATGAATTTTTTTTCGACGCCAAACTCACCTTTTTGATGATTTTCTGACACTCAAACACTTTTCTGCGTATAAAAAAATATGAATTAATGTAGTGGCAACATTTCAACACACTATTCAGATAACTTTTCACTAAAATTAAGCAATTTTCCAGGAGTTTTTAGCAGGTGTCCGAATCAAACCTAACTACTTTAACTACGTTCATGGCAACTGCGCACAAAAAGGTAGGAAAAAATATAATATGGGTACGAAAATGTAAGAAAAAAAAGATACATCAACAAACATATAGCCGAGAGTTCCATGCCCAACTTCTCTTTCCATGTATCTCTTTCTTGCTAGCATTGGCATCAGTATGCAAGCACACCAACGCAACAGGTAGATGTGTATATTTGAATAAGTTAAATACTTACTGCTTTAGTCCGGTGACTAGACAGTGGAATCGTTGTAACAAAAAGGAATGGAGAGAAGAGGTAAAGTGGAGTATCCCGCATATATACAGGTATGTATTTGTACGTATTCTCTTTTTACTAGAATGTCTAAACCCGTCACAAGGAAGGAAGATTTCAAATAATTGCATCTAGCATCATTTTCAAATCAGACAATCTTCATGTTCAACAATAGGAAAATTTTTATATAAACATTTTGCATTTTCTTTCAAAAATTCAAAACACAAAGACAAAAAGTCACACAACACACAATTATTGAACAGGTCACACAATACATGAGTGCAAAAGATCTTGAGACGATTTTCTTATTTTATTGACTTTAAGACTTCTCAACTCACACAAACACGAGCAGCAGAGATTTTTTAACATACATTCTGCTTTCGATGGATTAATAAAGTTAATCTACTTCAAGAACAAGGCAGTTAATACCATTGCAAGGTTTCTTGAAGACTTCTTTTTAATACAACATCAAGACATTTTCCTTCTTCTTCTATCATTTTTCTCCTTATGATTTTGTGTTTTTGTTTAAATCGTCTTCTCGTGTTTGACGTTTTCGTGTATATCGTGCATTGTTCGAAACCCACAAGAAAAAATAACGACATAAAAATATACAGATAACGTCTCTCTATGCTGGATATCGCGCATAAGAGAGAAGTTAAAAAGTTTATTAATTCCATCTCGAAAGGCATAGGGCGAGAGAATATATTGATGAAATTTATGCTATTTTTACATGATTGAATATGCTTTGGAATGAAAATAATACTCAGAAATCATTACAATTTCCCACATATAAATTATAACATTTATATCATGATTTTTATTTTAAAGTTGAATTATTATCCATGAAGTGACGTCATCAATCTTTATCAGTTCTTATAAATATCGTTTATACTTTATTTATAATATTTATTAAAGTGGTAATTAAATTTTAATGCTTGTAAAGAATTCTCGTTAATTGATTTTATGATTATAGCTTTTATCTGATGGATAAGTATAAAAATATTTATCTTATCAATTGTCATTCAAAAGAAAGATTGCATTTTGACACGATTGCAAAGTTATCGACATCAGAAATATTCTTAGCCGTTACAAGGTTGTTAGAATATTCACATTTCTGTCGTGATAGTCATGCTTCCAGCTGCGCCTTAGCGAGTAAAATTAATTGAAAAACTGGCCAAATGATAGTTCGGGGTCAAGCTTTACTATTCTCTTTGTTATTTTTTCTTTAAGAATTTATAGAAAACAAAACAATATCCGTTGGAAAAATGACATTGTCTATTAAAGTCCGGTGTTCTCCCCAAATACTCAAACCAGAATTTCCTGAAATTGTCTTAAAAAATCTGCTGCAAAAGAAAAAGGTCCTTTTCTTGACCATCAAGACTGCTTATTTTCCCATAAAGATTCCCATTCCCTAAATTAAAAAATCACAAAAGCATAAAAAAGCATCAAATGGTCAGTTTGATGATCGCTTAAGATATGTACATAATGACATGCATAAAGGGGTGCAAGAAAAATGAACAAAAGGGGTTGAAAGGATGAAAAAGGATTTTATAACTGACCATTGAAGAATCTGTTCTAAAATATATTTGATAAAAGATGTATCGTTGTTTTCAAAAGGATATAAGGGAGAACATTGTTTAATTTAAATAAATAAGAAGGAAATTCGAAAATGTGCCAAGACAACGATTTAAGGAAACTTTCTGATGACCGAAGAAGTGGTCAAGCAACTCTGTTTGATTTACTATAATGGACAACGGATTCTTTCTTTTTTTCTAAATATTTATTGCAAGTAACATTATTTTCCTTTTTCCATTGTAATGTAAATCATGGTTCGTGAGAAATTAATTTTTTTTGAGACCATACGTTTGATATTCATAATGAGAGCTTAGAAGGTATAGAAATAACTAAGAAAAAAATCATTAATTATTCAAAAATTCGTTAATCCTCATTTATGACTACTATTTAGAAGCATTCATGCAATGGAAAGTAAATTGAAATCATTTAAAAAAGCTGAGATTTAATTGCGTACAAATGCCTTGGACGTGTTTTCAGTACATGTTTCATTGTTCAATACTTTTTCTTTAGAATGTTGCAAATATGCTAATCAAATTCTTTTAAACATCAAAAATAAACACTAAAACCTAATCTTTCAAATTCTACAGAATTTCATGAAAAATGTGAAGTGGTGAAAATTTGGTGAACTTTTATGGTGAAAATAAATTCACGTCAAAATGTGGTTAACGCGGCTGAATGTTATTATCAAAAGAAATTTCGCAAAGTAGGTATTTGCAAACTTTATCAGTCTGTAGCCTTGTCTCTTCTGACTTAAAAAGAATGCAAGAAGGTTTTGTTGAAATAAATTCCGTACCAACACACATTTTCACCTATGGACAATGGATTCAAGATGAGTTTAAGAAAAAGGAACTTGTATTAATAATCACTGGTAAACATCAACAAAATTTACATAAAGTTTATGAATTCGTTATCTATTTATGATTAATCACAGGTAATCCAGGGCTTCCAGGATTTTATACAACTTTCGCTTCCACAATCTTCAATGAGTTGAAAGAGGAAATCCCAGTTTGGGTGATTGGACAGGCAGGTGAGAATCTGAACTTTGATCTCTGCAAAATTTATTGTGAACATTAAATAAATTGATAATTGCAGGTCATGACGAGCCGAAAAAAGAGCTGAACATGATAACACCACCATTAAAAGGGAATGAAGATATTTATAATCTGAAAGGTCAACTGGATCACAAAAAAGAATTCATAAATCGTTTTATTCCAAAAGATGTGAAAATTTATATGATTGGACATTCAATTGGTTCGAAGATGTCACTCGATCTTCTCAAAATACCAGAATTTAGTAATCAAATCCAGAGTGCATACTTAATGTTTCCTACCATTGAAAGAATGGCTGAAAGTACTAAAGGACGATTAGTTCCTACTTACGACAGATTCTTCTTTTTATTTCGCATTTTCTATAATTTCATAGCTTGGCTACCGAAAAGTTGGAAACTTTACCTCGTAAGGCGTTATTGTGAGAGAGAAAAGTTGCCTCTTGAATTCCATGAGCCAAGTTTGGAATATACAAATCCTCCAGTGATCGATAAAATTTGGTTTCTAGCATTGGATGAAATGGATAAAGTTCGTGAACTCGATGAAAAGCTTTTAAAAGAGAATGTGAATCGAGTGAAACTTTATTACGCAGTTGTTGATGATTGGGTACCTTTAGATGCTTACGATAGCCTTAAAACAAAAATCCCCAACATTGATGCTCAAGTCTGTACTGAAGGATATGAACACGCATTTGTCCTGAACAACGGCGTGGAAGTAGGAAAAATCGTCTCAGGTTGGCTTAATATAAAAAGACAAGAAACACAATAAAAATTGACAAACAAATAAAAAGATGATTAAGATATATATCTAGATATTTAATTCATTTTATTATGAAGTATCGAGTTTTTATTTCAGTTTTTTTGTTATAACTATGTATTCATAGATTTTTTATGGAAAAAGTGACATGAAAGGTTCATATCGGTCTGTTTATAAAAGTTGAGATTTATAAATTTCCTGAGACCAATCGGGAACATTTCGTTTCTTCATGATGAGTTCGCCCTTATAAATAAAATCCCATCGTCCCCAGTCGTTCCCATCATTGTTTAAAGTGTAATCTTTAAATAGTTTGAAACGGATATTGTTAAACTCATCCTCAAACAGGTCTTTTAGAGATGATTCAGTTTGGAAGTAAGTCAATCTATCGAGTCCTTTTAATTCAATAAATTGAAGTCTGCTTACTGCTGTGCGGATAAGATCAATTGTTTCATACTGAAAGTAAAAAGTATTCAATCGAAGACTCAAATGAGTTAATTTAGGATGATCATTGATAATTTGTTGTAGATCTTCATGATAAACTTCAACCAACTTTGATAGCATTATTCGCTCGAGATTCGGACAAGCATTGAGAAGTGTAAGAAGCGATCTTGTGGTAACGGCAGAATCGTCATAATTATTGGTCACAACGATTTCCTTAAGCTTTTCATGTCTTAGATTTTCTCTAATTACCAAAGTATTTTCTTCTGTTGACCAGTGGTAGCAATCGAAAACAATCGACTCCATATTGGGAAGGTTTTCCAAAATTTTATTAATGATAACAATCGGTTGATCGTCAATTCTAATTTGTTTGAGTTTCCGGAAGTTTTGGCTCAATTGAATGAAGAATTCTGGTGGAATTTTTTCCTCGTTGTATAAAACTGTTAACTTTTCAATCTTTAAATGCATCCTGCTAAGCTCGGGCAGATGATTGCACTGATGAATTTCACGAGACTTTAATTGAAGTTCCTTTAAATGGGTGAGGTTTTTAAGAGATTCGAAGACATGACAAGGTATAATAAGATCGACGCGCATTTTTGCTGCTTCGAGATTTCTCAATTCGCAAATTGCCGTAAAAGTATCATCATCAATTAAATAATTTGAAAAATCGATGGTACGAAGTCTCGGCTGGTGCCGCAAAATACTTGAATGATTTATACAATTTGGATAAAGTTTCAGATGTTCAAGTCTGAGATGATCGAAATTAACTTGGCTGTTTTCAGATAATTCAAGCATTTTAATGTTTGTTTGTTGATTGAAGAACTGTTGAAATCGTATTTCTTCTTCATGAGTAGACATCATAATTGCTTCTTTTAATGTATCTTTTGGTAATCTGTTGAGGATATTCAAGCAGTTGGAGCTATCCATGATTGTTAGTTTCTTCAGTTTGTATAAGTTGAGCTCAGAATTATTTTCGTTAGTGTCGATATTGACTGCAATACAATCCAGTGTCAAATTTTCCACGTTAGGAATGCAATCAAATATTCTTCTCAAGTCCGATTCCAATAACTTAAAACTCTGCAATTTAAACTTTTTAATTCTTTTTCCGAATTTTAAAATCACATTTTCTATAGCATTCATTTCCATTTTAGAGATAGATATCGTAGGTGAATTTCTATAGATTGTTAAATCTTCGAACTTACGAGAAGAGTTGACAATTGAACTGCGAATTTCCTCGTCGCAAATCTATGGAAAATATTTTATGAATATTAAACTTAAGAAGGTTTTTNTTCTCAAAATACCAGAATTTAGTAATCAAATCCAGAGTGCATATTTAATGTTTCCTACCATTGAAAGAATGGCAGAAAGTACTAAAGGACGACAAGTTCCTACTTACGACAGATTCTTCTTTTTATTTCGCATTTTCTATAATTTCATAGCTTGGCTACCAAAAAGTTGGAAACTTTATCTTGTAAGGCGTTATTGTGAGAGAGAAAAGTTGCCTCTTGAATTCCATGAGCCAAGTTTGGAATATACAAATCCTCCAGTGATCGATAAAATTTGGTTTCTAGCATTGGATGAAATGGATAAAGTTCGTGAACTCGATGAAAAGCTTTTAAAAGAGAATGTGAATCGAGTGAAACTTTATTACGCAGTTGTTGATGATTGGGTACCTTTAGATGCTTACGATAGCCTTAAAACAAAAATCCCCAACATTGATGCTCAAGTCTGTACTGAAGGATATGAACACGCATTTGTCCTGAAAAACGGCGTGGAAGTAGGAAAAATTGTCTCAGGTTGGCTTAATATAAAAAGACAAGAAACACAATAAAAATTGACAAACAAATAAAAATACGGTTAAAATATAATTTTAATTAATTTCAATATGAAGTATTGAGATTTTATTTCAGATTTCTTGTTAAGTATACATTTGTATTCATAGATTTGCCTGTGGAAATAATGATATGGCAGGTTCTTATCAGTTTTTATAAATTTTCAATTCTTTCTTTTAAATCCTGATACCAATCGGAAGCATTTCGTTTCTTCATGATGATTTCACTGTGGTCGTAATCATCATCATCGTTATAGCGAATATAGTTAAATTCATCCTCAAATAGGTCTTCTAGAGATGATTCATATTCGGAGTCAGACCAACCTTCATATTCGTAGTCGTAGCAACCGTTGAGTCTTCTTAGTCTAATGTATTTGAGTCGGTTTGCGGCAGATGAGATAATATGCAGTTTTGCATCATTTTCATCATAAATTTCACAAAAATTGCAATCAAGACTCAAATGAGTTAACTTGGAATGGTTGCCGATAATTTGTTGCAGAATTTGATCGTGTGCGTCATGTAGCTTTGATAAACTAATTCGCTCGAGATTTGGACAAGCATTTAGAAGTGTGACAAGTGATCTTGTGTTACTTTCCTTATAGATATTACTCACTAAGCTGGTCACAACGAAATCTTTAAGCTTCTCATGTCTTAGATTTTCATTGACGACTAAAATATCTTCTTCTGGTGACAAGGACTCACAATTGAAAACAATCGACTCCAAATTGGGCAAGTATTCCAAAATTGTGTTGATAGTATTGAACGAGCGATTGACAATTGTAATTTGGTTGAGCTTCCGGAAGTTTTGGCTCAATTGAATGAAGAATTCTGGTGGAATTTTTTCCTTACTGTATAAAAGTGTTAACTTTTCAATCTTTAAATGCATTCTGCTCAACTCGTGGAGATGATTACACTCATGAATTTTTTCAGACTTTAGCTGAAGTTCCTTTAAATGTGCGAGGTTTTTCAGAGATTCAAAGACACGACAAGGCAAACCAAGATCGACGCACATTTTTGCTACTTCGAGATTTCTCAATTCACAAATTGCCTTAAAAATTTCAACATCAATTAAATTATCTGCACAATCGATGTAACGAAGTCTCGGCTGCTGCCGCAAAATCAAAAGAAGATTTATAAATTCCGAATTAAGTTTCAGATGTTCAAGTTTGAGATGATCGTACTTAACTTGGTTATTTTCAGACAAATCAAGAATCTTAATGTTTGCTTGTTGATTGAAAAACTGTTGACAACATATATCTTCATAACTAAAGAAACTTGCTTCCTTTATTGTATCTTTTGGTAACCTGTTGAGGATATTCAAGCAGTTGGAGCTATGTATAATCGTAAGCTTCTTCAGTTTGCATAGGTTTAGCTCAGAAATATTTTCATCCGGTTCTATATTCACTTCAAGAAACTCCAATGTCAGAGTTTCAACGTTAGGAATGCAATAAAATATTCTTCTTAACTCCGACTCTGATAACTGAAACTGCCGCAAATTAAACTTTTTTATTCGTCTTCCGAATTTTGACACCACATCTTGAATATATTTCATTTCAATTTTATGTTTTCTGTTTAATTCGTCAGGATAGTCGCCAGGATAGATTATTAAATCTTCAAACTCACGAGAAGACTTGACAATTGAACTGCGAATTTCCTCGTCACAAATCTATTAAAAATATTGTATGAATATTCAGTTTAATTCTGATTCTTATGTTTTGGAATATGGTTACCTGCGAATACGAAAGTTCTAATGGATGACAGTCTCGTTCCACGATGCACATTAATTCATAAAATCTTCTGCAAACCCGAGAAACTTTTTTACGCGATGAAATATTGACATAACTAAAGATGTTGAGAAATATTTCATCCGTTAGGTTTAAAAGGTGAATTTCTTGCATATCAGAAGATTGACTCATTTCTTTGTCGCTTTTTTACTTCAAATCAAGACTGAAGTTCTCTTTAAGTTATTTTTATTATTAATTAAAAAAACCAACACAAAAAAATCTTTTCCGGTTTGTTTTGTAAATATTTTGGCGTCCTTGCTTTATTTGCCATAAACTTGCTATAAAAAGTGTTTTACCCACACATTCAAATCTACGATCATTTCAAAGAGACTGAATCGAACAAACTAAAAAGTTGAACCCAAAGTCGTACCATTGGGAAATAATGACATGACAAGATGATACTTTTTTATTTATTATTACATATTTAAATCTCTATACCACTTTGAAACATTTCGTTTCTTCATGGTGAGTGTGCCATCATATATAAAATCATCATAGCCATAATCGGAATAACTGATATAGGTAAATTCGTCCTCAAACAGGTCTTTTAGAGATGATTCAGTTTGAAAATCAGCCGAACTAAAGAGTCCCTCTAATTCAATAAATTGAAGTCTGCTTGCTGCTGTGCGGATAAGATCAATTATTCCATCTTCAAAGTCAAAAGTATCGAATTCAAGACTCAAATGAGTTAATTTAGAATGATCATTGATAATTTGTTGCAGATCTTCATAATAAACTTCAACCAGCTGTGATAACATGATTCGCTCGAGATTCGGACAAACATTGAGAAGTGTAAGAAGCGATCTTGTGATATCGGCTGAATCGTCAAAAATATGGGTCACAATGATTTCCTTAAGCTTCTCATGTCTTAGATTTTCACTGATGACTAAAATATCTTCTTCTGGTGACCAGGAGTCACAATTGAAAATAATCGACTCCAAATTGGGAAAGTGTTCCAAAATTGTGTTAATAGTACTGATCGAGCGATTGGCTATTGTAACTTGCTTGAGATTTCGGAAGTGTTGGCTCAATTGAATGAAGAATTCTGGTAGAATTTTTTCCTCCTCATATAAAAGTTTCAACTTTTCAATCTTTAAATGCATTCTGCTCAACTCGAGGAGATGATTACACTCATGAATTTGATCAGATTTTAGCTGAAGTTCCTTTAAATGAGTGAGGTTTTTAAGAGATTCGAAGACACGACAAGGCAAACCAAGATCGACGCGCATTTTTGCTACTTCGAGATTTCTCAATTCACAAATTGCCGTAAAAGTATCATCATCAATTAAACAATTTGAAAAATCGATGTAACGAAGTCTCGGCTGGTGTCGCAAAATATTTGAATGATTTATACAATTTATACAAGGATAAAGTTTCAGATGTTCAAGTCTGAGATGATCGAAATTAACTTGGCTGTTTTCAGATAATTCAAGCATTTTAATGTTTGTTTGTTGATTGAAGAACTGTTGAAATCGTATTTCTTCTTCATGAGTAGACATCATAATTGCTTCTTTTAATGTATCTTTTGGTAATCTGTTGAGGATATTCAAGCAGTTGGAGCTATCCATGATTGTTAGTTTCTTCAGTTTGTATAAGTTGAGCTCAGAATTATTTTCGTTAGTGTCGATATTGACTGCAATACAATCCAGTGTCAAATTTTCCACGTTAGGAATGCAATCAAATATTCTTCTCAAGTCCGATTCCAATAACTTAAAACTCTGCAATTTAAACTTTTTAATTCTTTTTCCGAATTTTAAAATCACATTTTCTATAGCATTCATTTCCATTTTAGAGATAGATATCGTAGGTGAATTTCTATAGATTGTTAAATCTTCGAACTTACGAGAAGAGTTGACAATTGAACTGCGAATTTCCTCGTCGCAAATCTATGGAAAATATTTTATGAATATTAAACTTAAGAAGGTTTTTTTTTCTTTTCTACCTGCGAACGCGAAAGTTCTAAAGGATGACAATCTTGTCTTACGACGCACATTAATTCATAAAATCTTCTGCAAACCCGAGAAACTTTTTTACGTGATGAAAAATTGATATAACTAAAGATGTTGAGAAATATTTCATCCGGTAGGTTTAAAACGTGAATTCTTTGTAAATCAGAAGATTGACTCATGTCTTTTTAGATTTTTCACTTAACAAATCAAGGCAGAAATTCTCTTTAAGTTATTTTTGAAATTACAAAAATCAAGATAGAAAATCTTTTTCGTTTTGTTTTGTAGATATTTTGGGGTCTTTGCTTTATTTGCCATAAACTTGCTATAAAAAGTGTTTTACCCACACATTCAAATCTGCGAATTTCAAAGAAACTGAATCGATCAAACTAAAAAGTTAAACCCAAAGTCGTACCATTGGGAAATAATGACATGACAAGATGATACTTTTTTATTTATTATTACATATTTAAATCTCTATACCACTTTGAAACATTTCGTTTCTTCATGGTGAGTGTGCCATCATATATAAAATCATCATAGCCATAATCGGAATAACTGATATAGGTAAATTCGTCCTCAAACAGGTCTTTTAGAGATGATTCAGTTTGAAAATCAGCCGAACTAAAGAGTCCTTCTAATTCAATAAATTGAAGTCTGCTTGCTGCTGTGCGGATAAGATCAATTATTCCATCTTCAAAGTCAAAAATATTGAAATGAAGACTCAAATGAGTTAATTTAGGATGATCATTGATAATTTGTTGCAGATCTTCATAATAAACTTCAACCAGCTGTGATAACATAATTCGCTCGAGATTCGGACAAGCATTGAGAAGTGTGAGAAGCGATCTTGTGGTAACGGCAGAATCGTCATAAACACTGGTCACAACGATTTCCTTAAGCTTCTCATGTCTTAGATTTTCTCTGACTACCAAAACATTTTCTTCTGTTGACCAGTGGTAGCAATCGAGAACAATCGACTCCAAATTGGGAAAATTTTCCAAAATTGTATTAATGATAAAAAACGAGCGATTGACAATTCTAATCTGCTTGAGATTTCGGAAGTTATGGCTCAATTGAATACAGAATTCTGGTAAAAATTTTTCCTCCTTATATAAAAGAGTCAACTTTTCAATCTTTAAATGCATTCTGCTCAACTCGAGAAGATGATTGCATTGATGAATTTTATCAGATTTTATTTGAAGTTCCTTTAACTGTGTGAGATTTTTAAGAGATTCAAAGACATGACAAGGCATTTCAAGATTAACGCGCATTTTTGCTACTTCGAGATTTCTCAGTTCACAAATTGCCTTAAAAATTTCATCTTCAATTAAATAATCTGTAAAATCGATGTAACGAAGTCTTGGTTGCACCCGCAAAATCGAAGGAATATTCATAAATTTCGAATTGAAAAACTCCTTATTGATTTCTAAATGTTCAAGTTTAAGATGATCGAAATTAACTTGGTTCTTTTCATCTATTTTAAGCATCTTAATGTTTGTTTGTTGATTGAAGAACTGTTGCAAACCTTTGTCAACATCACGAAATGAAATGATTGCTTCTTTTAATGTATCTTTTGGTATTCTGTTGAGGATATTCAAACAGTTGGAGCCATTCATTATCGTTAACTTCTTAAGTTTGTATAAGTTGAGCTTAGAAATATTTTCATCCGGGTTGATCACTTTAACACTCTGCAGAATCAAATTTTCTACGTTAGGAATGCAATCAAATATTATTCTTAACTCCGATTCTGATAACTTAAAACTCCGTAATTTAAGGTTTCTTGTTCGCATCCCGAATTTTATCATCACATCTTCAATATATTTCATTTCCATGTTCACCGGAAATTGGTCATGATAAATTGTTAAATCTTCAAACTCACGAGAAGAGTTGACGATTGAAGTGCGAATTTCCTCGTCGCAAATCTATGGAAAATATTTTGTGGATATTAAACTTATTCAGATTCCTTTGTTTTGGTATATGGTTACCTGCGAATAAGTAAGTTCTAATGGACAGCCTCGTCTTACGACAGACATTAATTCATAGAACCTTCTACAAACTTCAAAAACATTCTTACATGATGCAACGTTGACATAACTAAAGATGTGAAGAAATATTTCATCCGGTAGGTTTAAAATGTGAATTTCTTGCAAATCAGAGGATTGATTCATTTCTTTATCGTTTTTTTGCTAATAATCAACACGAAATTCTTTTTTAAGAACTTTTTTTAAATATTTTGGCGCCTAATGCATCTATGCACTTTGCTTCACAAAGTAAACTTTGCTTCACTTGCTATAAAATTGCTAGAAAAAAAGAAGCAAAAAGTGTTGCTACGCCTGAATGTTTACAAATTTTTAATTTTCAAGAAGGAATCAAATTATTATTGTTAAATTATGAGACGACGTGCTGGAGTTGGTGCAATTCACAAGCAAAAGCTTGAAGCTGAGAGATATAAAGATAAAGGCACTGAAATTCAGGAAAATCAGTTCGAGCAAATGACGAAACAAATGGAGTTTCTGAAAACGAATCTTGAAGAATTTGCTGATAAACATAAAAATGAAATAAGAAAGAATGCAACTTTTCGAAGACAGTTCACTGAAATGTGTGCTGCAATTGGGTAATTTTCGTCTAGTTTACAATAAAGTAAGTACCTAATGATTTTTATTTTTAAGAGTTGATCCACTTGCATCAGGAAAAGGTGTTTGGAGTGTTTTGGGAATGGGCGATTTTTATTTCGAACTCAGCATTCAAATTGTTGAAATATGTTTAGCTCTTGGTGAGTCCACAGGAGGAATGTTAGAGATAAGTGAACTTAAGGAACGTTTGTCACGATCACGACGCCAGAAATCAAAACAACAAGAAATAACAATTGAAGATATTTTGCTTGCATCAAAGAAGTTAAAAATATTTGGAAATAGTTTCCAAGTTCATCCTTTAGGAAAGAATCGTTTCATCATTCAATCGATTCCAGGTGAATTAAGTCTCCAGGAAACTAAAGCTTTAACTGTAGCTGCAAATCAAGAAACTGGTTCAATAACTAAGTCGTTGCTTATGAAAGAACTTGGATGGAATGAACTTCGAACACAACAGGCAACTGAAAAACTAATAAGTGAAGGTCTTGTTTGGATTGACGAACAAAATGAATATGAACCCAGCTATTGGTTTCCAAGTTTATTCCCTGATAGAAAAAATGTTGAGTAATTTTGAAGCATATTTCAGTAAAGTCTTTATTTTGCAATTTATCTTCCTTTGCCGCAAATTTATTTATTTGAAATTAAATTTATTTTCTTAGCTACAGTTTTACAGCCGAAGTTTGTATAGTTTATCATTTTGAGTTCATCTATTTCAATCGGTGAAAGTTTCACTTTGTACATCTTTTCATGAAACTCAATGCATTTCTCCAAAAGTTCTTTAGTGAACGGATGAAAGTCAATTATCACAAAATTATTTAAAGCCTCTTCTAGTTCAATGGAATTTGGATTTTTGTTAAATATCACAATAAAAACGATTTTATAAAGATTTTGTTTAGCAAGTCGATGAAGACTTCGATCCAGTTTTGCAATTCTATTAATTGTAGTACTTTCGTTGTCAACGTCGTCGATGACAATCAAGTTGAAGCCGCAATCAGAGAGATGTGAAGTAACAATTCTCAAATCATCATCGAAAGCTTCTTTTCCTTGCAGGTCAGCATTAAAATTAATATCAAAAATGAAGTTAACTGTGTTATGCTTCCATTTCCAATTGCTAACAATGATGTTGGATGCCAAAGATTTTCCTACTCCTGTTCCTCCAATGAAAGCCATTTGAATGATTTTCTCACGATTTGCTAAATTCAAGCTAGCTTTAATTAAACTTATTGCATCATCTTGTCCTACTATGTTTTTCTTAAGTTCCTCTACAATCTTTTCACTTTCTATCGATCGATAACAATATTTTCCGTCACCATGAACAATTTTATTGAAATTGTTTTCATATGTCGCCCAAAATCCGCAGCTACTTATGCTTATGTTTGAAATAAAATAAGACCCGATCAAGAAAACAGCAGCAAGCAGCATCCAACTTTTCCATCCTCTTTTGTTCTCTTCTACTTTACTGTCATCTGAGTCAGTACTGTCAGCTTCGCGAGGCTTTATTGATTTCTTAACTAACGATCGCAATTTTCTCGGTGGCGTTTTCTTAACCTTAACTACTGATGGCTCCGATTTTATTGAAATTGTACTAAGATTTGACAATTGCTTCAATAATTTACTGCTTTCTCTTTTCAATTCACTGTGATTTTGATCAAGATTTTCACTCATTTTTGTCCTTCTGATTTTGACTAAAATTTTGCTATAAAATAATTCGAGAATTCAGCTGTGGATTTCAAAAGATTATACCGAAAATAAATTTGAAAACATTTCCGTTAATTATAATATAAGAAATTTATTAAAATTCATTTTATTAATCAATTTATCTTGATTTTGGTTTTCCAGATTTTCTTGCTAAAGCTCTTTTCCTCTTCTGTTCATTTTTTTGCTTCGCTGCAAGTTCTCTCGACTGAATTCGCTGCTTTCTTAAACGTTGCTTCATCAGCTGTTCTTTATTCTTAAGTTCTGGATCAATTCTCTTCATTTGATCAACCTTTGCATTGTGACGTCCCCAATGAGTGTGTGGATGATTTTTACGTATTTGTGGCTTAAGATCTTCGTTATCGCTATCGTCATCACGTTCCACTTGCTCATCAATCTTGGAACGTTCCTTCCATTTCGCATAGCGGTCAGTTTTATATGAAGCAGCAATCCAAACACCATGTTCAGTGCGAATCTTTCCAGTCCTCGGATCTTCAACATTAACCATTTTCTTCTTCTTTCGATCCCATCTTTGAAGTGTTTTATTCAATCGCTGACTGTCTACAGTGTCACCAGCAACACTAAACTCAGCCTGTTGTGCCTCCCGTGTGAACGAATTTATTGCAAAACCTTCTTCAGTGATCTTATCTGAAGGTTGATGGGGAATATAAAAGTCAACGTCACGCATTTGACTTGGTTCGAATGTCTTCACCTTCTTCTTCTTTTTCTTTCGTCTTCGTTTATTCTCATCAGGATCTTCACCACCATCATCATCACTGTAATCGTCGTCATCGCTTCTTTGAATGACATGATCCTCCTTCGCCAACTCTTCTTGTTTCTTATGATAATTTTCGATTCTTTCACTATGAGCTTTTCGTTTATTTGTCATTACAATAAACTGTTCCGATTTTAACTTGGGATTAAGCTCAAAAATGGTTGTTTTTGCTTTGTATTGTTTCATTTTATCGAGAAGATTTGCCACATATTCATCACTGTTTGCAACAATATTTGACGCTGGAAGAATGGATTTGAAGTCATCAAGCATTCTTAGAGTGTTAAATTTAATGTTTTTAACTTTCTTATTTGACTCAACAGACGCTGCTGGTCGAGTTTGAATGTAAGCTTTATAAGCGTTGTTACTGATACGATAAATATTGGCAACATCAGAGTCGTTTATTTGTCGTAAGACAACTTGCTGCTCTTCTTCGATGAGTTCGGGTGGACAAGTTCCGACTGACTTTGAATCTTTAATGTCAAACGGACGATTCAAAAACAAATGTAAATCAAGCAAATGCGCTTCGTCATCAGTGGAGAAAATCGAATAAGCCGTTCCACTTCGACCTGCTCGAGCACAACGACCAACTCGGTGAATAAACAATTTAGGTTTGCCAGGAAAATGGAAATTGATGACATAATCCAAGCTTGGAATGTCAATTCCACGAGCAGCAATGTCAGTGACAACCAACACATTAACTTTGCTTTGTGTAAATTTTGCGGTGTTGATCTTACGAGCTGATGGATCCAAATTTGAATAAACGAAAGTGTTTGAGACATTTGATTTTGTTAACAACTGAAATAAATGTCAAGTAATTAGAAAACTTAAAAATAAAATTTCATTTATGAACTTACTGTTGATATCAACTCAACATGATGTTGTGTGCCAGCAAAAATGACTGTCTGCGCTTTCGATGGAATCATGTGCTTTATAAGCACAAGTAAAGTGGCGTATCTTTCATCAGGTCGTGAGAAAATAAATTTCAATTCAAGTGCTTCTGGAATTTTTGATTCCACATCAAGACGAATCAGAACGGGATCACTTAAACCAGCTTTAGCAAAATCAACGAGAAGTTTTGGTAATGTTGCACTGAACATTACAGTCTGTCGTGATTCAGGCAATCTTCGAATAGTCTCATTGAGCTGCTCACCAAAACCCATTTCGAATAAGCGATCAGCTTCATCAAACACGATGTATTGAATCGAAGACAATTTCAGATCCATTTCCATGCAAACATGTAAGAAACGACCTGGTGTAGCCACAACAACATCAGGATGTTGGTGGATTGCTGAGAATTGGGAATCCATCGAGTCTCCACCCAACACGAGAATACATTTAAGATCGTGAAATTTTCCAAGTTCTTTAATAAATTTGAAGGTTTGAATTGCTAATTCACGAGTTGGAGAAAGAATTAAAGCTCGTGGGCCACTTGATTTTATTTGACGTTGTTTTAATTTTTCCAACAGAGGAATTAGAAAGCAGGCAGTCTTTCCAGAACCAGTTTTTGCCATTGCAACAACATCTCGGCCTTCTAAAATTACAGGAATTGTTCTCCGCTGGATTGGAGTTGGAATCTTGTAACCGCGCTTTTGTATTCCTTTAAGAACTGGTTGACTAAGACCCATAGCTTGGAATCCTCCACTTTTTTTATTTTTTGATGATTTCTTGTTATCCTCATCTTGAAAATCATTTTTATCTGTCAGAATTGTCGAAAAACCAGGAATTTCATTCATTTCATCCTAAAATTAATATTTTCATTCTTTAATGAGGTCTTTTGATGAAATTAACATTTCTTACCATTTGATAGCTTTTGTTTTCAAGCATAAGATGTGTAACAAATTATATTTAATTTTATCTTTCTTCACATTTATTTATTCAAACACACGTGCGGATTAAATCTTTTTAAATCCCCTTCAAATCTTTCTGAATCCACAAAATTGTAAACAAAAACAAAACGAAAAAAATTAAGAAAGTAAAATACTTCTGTGAATAAATATTAAATTCATAAAATGGAAACAAAAAATTGCTTAATATGTAATAAGGATGGGAAATACAAATGTTCACAGTGTCTAAAATACAAGTAAGTGTTTTTATAAATTAATTTGGTGCTCTTGTTTTATTAATATTTCTTTTCCTTTTAGCTGCTCCTTGGATTGTTATAAAGCACACAAAGATTCTGAACATTGCATTCCGCCAATAGAACCAGAGAAAGAATCAATCACGGAAGAAAGAATTCCTTCAAATATTAACTTTTTTACAACTATTGATACAGTTCCACCGGAGAAACTTCAACTATTAGAAAATTCGAAAGCAATCAAAGAATTATTGAAAAATCCTCATTTAAGAAATTTCCTTCAAGAGGTAAATTCAGCAAACAATGCATGGAATGCAATGAAATTAGCAATGATGGAGCCATTATTTGTAGAATTCGCTGACGAATGTTTAAAAATTATCGAACCAGAAGTGCTGTAAAAATATATTAAAAATGTAAACTAAAACTTTTGTTTTATTAATAGTTTATTTAATAGTTAAGTAAAATTTCCCATAACTACAGTTCTTTGGCGGGATGAGAATATCAAAATGAAAATGTGAATATCAGAATGAAAATAAATTTAGTTCAACTTAATATCTTTTGACTAGGAAGAATAAGATCTGAAAATTTTACATGCAAAAGTTTTTCCAATTTCTAACACAATTGCTACGAGATTTTCTATCGCCTTTTAAACAATATTCAGTTGAAGTTACGCCTTTCGATATTAGAAAAACTTGATGAATGATAAGAAAAAGCAAAGCGATTGCTAATTCCAGAGCAAAAATTGCTCCAACAAAGCATAATGCGATACTGGAATAAAAACAATTAATAAACGAACAAATTATTGATAAATTAACTTATCATCTTACTCAACTTCGATGAACACACCGCTACAATCATCAGGCAGAAGAATCACAATGCCAACAACCGAGAAGATTTGAAATGGATGGCAGACAGAAGTCAAAGACAAATTAGCGAAAAGAGAAAGTGCACAAAAGCAAGCAATACACCCCATGAAAAAGTATTTGTGGTTGAATCTTCCAATGCAACAGTCGAGAAAGAAATTATGATGATCACGCCGTATTACGCAGCCTGTAACAAATTTACCATAAGCAACATAAAACAAAAAGTGTTTTGATTGTACCTTTGCACACATTACAATGAAATGTTCTTGCTGGTATAAATTTACGACAGATTGTGCAACTATCTCTATCACCACCTTCCGATTCCTCTTCTGTCTCAATTTCTTTAATCTCGGTTATTAAAAGTGTCACTTGATCGTCTTCTTTATTTATCTGAGCATGTCCTAGTCGATTCATAATTGCTCTTTGATGTGTCTAAAGTTCACAATATTTTATTTAGAAATTTGTAAACAATTTAGATAAAATTTCTTACCTTATAAAAGCAGAATACTGAGATGAAAATCAATAATATGAACATAAAGTTTTCCTGTGGTAACAACTCCAAGAGCGGTACAAAAAATTCAAACAATCCCAATAAGTAGATTCCCGAAGAAAAGGCAAACACCAGAAAGAAGTTTGTTCTGTAAAGTTATTTGACTTTTGAAAATTGACATCATGAGTGAAATTTTGAAAACAAACCTGGCATTTTTCTTAGCACAATAGATATAATAACTTGATAGTGCTACCGGTAGAACAAGAAAGACAATGATACAACATTCCACATTAAGGAATGCTATTGTGTTGACTAATAATATCAAAATAATCGGCACTAGAGTATCAAAATTTATGAATGACAAAAAAATCTTGAAATGTGTTTTTCTCATTTCGTTAACACTGATAGAAGTTTGCATTTGTTTGGATGGATAATGTCTAAATAGATTGAAGATAAATTAAAACTGATAACTAAATCGACTTATATTTCTTCGTACTGCTTACTTACCGAAGAAAACTTCAAATTCTTTCAAGTGGTTTTTGAATTGAATTCCACCAGAAGGTCAACAATCCATAAATAAGAGATTCAATTAATTAGAATTACAGAGGTTTTAATTAGATATAAATTATATCAATTTTAATATTTATTAATTAATTCTACAATTTTAAATACCTATCTGTTTAGAAGAAAATTTTGGTAGGNAAGGATGGGAAATACAAATGTTCAAAGTGTCTAAAATACAAGTAAGTGTTTTTATAAATTAATTTAGTGCTCTTTTTTTATAAATATTTATTTTCCTTTTAGTTGCTCTTTGGATTGTTATAAAGCACACAAAGATTCTGAACAATGCATTCCGCCAAAAGAACCAGAACAAGAACCAATCACAGAAGACAGATTTCTTTCAAATATTAACTTTTTTACAACTATTGATACAGTTCCACCTGAGAAACTTCAACTATTAGAAAACTCGAAAGCAATCAAAGAATTATTGAAAAATCCTCATTTAAGAAATTTCCTTCAAGAGGTAAATTCAGCAAACAATGCATGGAATGCAATGAAATTAGCAATGATGGAGCCATTATTTGTAGAATTCGCTGACGAATGTTTAAAAATTATCGAACCAGAAGTGCTGTAAAAATATATTAAAAATGTAAACTAAAATTTTTGTTTTATTAATAGTTTATTTAATAGTTAAGTAAAATTTCCCATAACTACAGTTCTTTGGCGGGATGAGAATATCAAAATGAAAATGTGAATATCAGAATGAAAATAAATTTAGTTCAACTTAATATCTTTTGACTAGGAAGAATAAGATCTGAAAATTTTACATGCAAAAGTTTTTCCAATTTCTAACACAATTGCTACGAGATTTTCTATCGTCTTTTAAACAATATTCAGTTGAAGTTANCTTACTTACCGAAGAAAACTTCAAATTCTTTCAAGTTGTTTTTGAATTGAATTCCACCAGAAGGTCAACAATCCATAAATAAGAGATTCAATTAATTAGAATTACAGAGGTTTTAATTAGATATAAATTATATCAATTTTAATATTTATTAATTAATTCTGCAATTTTAAATATCTGTTTAAAAGAAAATTTTGGTAGGTAGTCATGAGTACAGGGACTACACTGTTAATTTTTTTCACATCAATTTAATTTTATAGCAAATACTTAAGAGCAAAAATTATAGTAAAAACAAACAAACAGTGAAATCGTTATTGGACAAAAACATTGAACTAACGATGGGCTCGAGAATCCCAAGTTATAAAAATTAAACTAACATTTTCTGAAGTTCATCAATTCTCAAAAATTTATTGTTCAATAAATTAAAATTATTATGAAATAATGAAAGCACAATAGACTTTCATTGTTTATTCAGTATATTATACTTTGGTAAATTTATTGGAGATTCCACTGTGTGCAGAATACCAAAGTTCCACCAATATTACACTCATTCATTTCTCATTCATCTGTTGGCAAATATACATCGCAGGGAATTCCAGAAAGTGCTTAATAGGTATGTAATGTAAAAATACATATTAAAAGAGAAATATCAAAACAATTAATAATTCTTTATAGAAAATTGGCACAAGAATAAATGAAATGTCGTTATCGATATCTGATGATCCATTCGAAGTGCTGCACACAGATGTGTTTGATTTGATTTTTCAACATTTACCCGGCGAATCCATGAACGTATCTACTGTAAGTCCGCTATGGTATAAATCAATCGGAAGTTTAAATTCATGCATGCAGAAGGTAAAACTTGTATTTGGAAACAACAAGCATGGTGATGACAACAGTTCTGAAATTTTAAAAATTCAAAACAACTCAATTGCTTTAAAAAGATGCTATCAACATATTTCATTTGACTTCATGCTACACTCACAATCGGTTTTCCATAAAATTTTAAAAAACCGAGAAGCCTGCTGGAAGAATGTTGAACTCTTTAATGGCAGCATTAATGAATTATTGTTAAATGATTTTTGCCAATCGGTACAATATTTGAAACTAAATCGCATAAATTATAAAGAGAACCGGGACAGAATAGAAAGTGTTAGTGGAAAAGAGTTTCCAAACTTGGAGTGTTTGGAAATCTTTTCATGTAATGATGAACTGTTAAATCTTTTCAAGAAGTGTTCCACTTTAAGAGAACTCAGCATAAGTTCAAATAGAGAAGTGAAACCTAACAAAGATATTTTGGGTCAACTTTTGTTGAACAATTCAAAGCTTACAAAATTGAAAGTTTTTGGTGATTTTTTTCTTTCGCGCGAGTTAATCTTTTCGTGTAAAATTCAACTTCATACACTTGTTGTTGCTATTGATTTTAATGAAACTGAGTACGAAGCTCTCGTATCATCATTTCAAGATTTTTTACAATCTCAATCAAACTTTCTCCGAGTCATTGATATAGCTTCATGGATGGGAGTTGAAGTGTTAAAAATCTGCTTAAAAATGCCATTACTAAAAGATTTTTCATATAACTTTAATCATAAGAAGATCATTGACTGGAATGACATTGAACTTCATAAAAGTCAGTCAATCAGACGGTTCTGCATTGACAACATTTGTGCTAACGAACCAGCAATATTTTATAATGTAATGCTTCAAAAGATTCCTAACTTAACAATATACAAGGCCAAATATATTCAGCTAAATAGCTTGATAGAACTCGAAAAGATTCAGTTTTTAGAAGAATTATATATCGAGGTGTTTAATGTTTCTCTTCTTCCTTTTACTGACAACAGTTTCTTAAACCTCAGGATATTAAAATCGTGGCATATTAATGAAAACTTAATAAAATATTTAAAAGTGAAACAAATTAAAAATCACTTCGAAAGTTTAATTCTTCAAAATGTTTAACAAAAATTGTTGGATCTGCAAGATCAAATTCATATTTAACTTTACCCAAATACACACACAAATATTTTTTCATTTTCATAACTAATTTAATTGAAGAACTGTTGTAGATAGAAAATGATGTTCACTTTATTTATTTCTTTAACATTGTTTCTCTATTCGCAATTTTTTAAGAATGTTTGCAGTAGTTGGTCGCAAATTTTTGCACAAAATGTTAAGAAGTTCATCATTTGTAATTTTATTTCCATGCAAAATAAGTTCCAAGGTGCGGATATAGTTTTTTGCTAGAAGTTTAAAAATGTCATACAATATTGAGATTAAATTATTTCTGCACTTACCCAACTTTAAAGCCTCAAACTTTGGTAACCTTAATTCAGGACATGAAAGAGATTGTTGAAGTTTCTTCCTTAAAACGTCAAGCGCCTTGTTCAAGGAATGCATTCGATGCCTCTCTCGTTGTGCTTTAAAGAATCTTTTATTGTTAATTGATGCCTTCATTATTCAATATGGAAAAATGAAATGAAAACCCTTTTTTTGATAGAATTGTTACCGGAAAATTTTTATCAATAATTTTATCGATAATTTATGCAAATAAGTGGGAAATTGGTAGATTAGTTCAATTAAGATAACATTAGATAAGCTATTTTCCCTTAAATTATTCCATATATTCGCTAAGTTTCTACATGATTAATTAAAATAATTTTTGTTAAATGAATATTAAATACCTAATTTAATTAATTTCAAGTTTCAAAAGGATATGCCTGTTTAGTCTAGATTAATGGAAACGAGATTAGATTAGATTAAAAAGCTTACAAATCATTAAAAACGACTACCTAAATTGATTATTTTTAGTTGTTCATGTTTAGATATTTAAACTTGGAAATAAGTGTCTAGATACGTTTATGTTGTAATGGAAATTATAAAGATAAGAAAAATTGGAACAAATAAAGAGATTGAGTTTATTTATCAGTTATCTACATTAAGCGATATATGATTACGAGAATGCAATGCAAGAAAAAGCAGAAGTTCCTTGTAGTTGCATATGCTTCATGTTATTAAACATTGTTATCAGCTTACATGTATGCAACGTGATAATAGAAGAGAAGAAAAATTATAAAAAGCAAAAATTACAGACATTTGTAATAAAAATTTCAAAGTGATCGCACGAAATAAACTCAACAATGAATTTTAATCCAATAAATTGTTGGCCAACATCAATTCTTGATTTAATTTTTCAGAATTTATCGGGTTTGTCTTGCATCGATTTTTATCTGTTGCTTTAATTAAATGAAAAATGTTTATTTCTATAGGCGATGAAATTTTAACTGCAACAAAAGTGTCGCCATCGTGGGAAAACTATATCGGAAGATCTTCAATTTGCATGACGAAAATTGATCTGAAAATCATCGGAAGGAAATTTTATTTGAATGGGCAATATGAAGAATTGAAAGGAGAACTTCAAAAGTTAGCAAAAAGTGGTCGGAGATATGAAAATTTAAATTTCTATGCCCATAAGCCAGGATTTCTTACAAATGCAGTGATTCGTCTCTTGAAAAGTCAAAAAGGCAATTGGAAAAGTGTGAAAATTTGGTCTGAGAAATTCTACGATGAACATGAAATGGAAAAAGTTTTAAGTTTTATCGATGAAAGTGTTGAATATTTAGAATTTCGAAACATTTCTTTCGTCCAAAGTTCACTTTACTTCAAAGCTGAGAAATTTTTATTCCGAAAATTGAAAAGTCTCAGTTTATGCAATATTTCAGATATGACAGAATTCTTTAAGAGAAGTTTTACGATTACTCAACATTTAGAGTCTTTGGAGATTGAAAATCTTTGGAGTTCTTCAATTTTAGATTTTATCGCAAGCAAAACAAATTTGCAGAGACTTTCAATCAACGAAGAAAAATGGAAAACTGAAATATTCTCACATCTATCAAGACTTCCATCAGCAATCAAATTTAAAGAATTCCGAATGAAAACATCAACCACCGACTGTCAAATTTATCGAAATTGCTTCAATCATTTTATGAATATTCACACAAATGACGTTACGAAACTCATTTTAGATCTTCCGTTGGACTTTGAATTGTTACAATCTGTTTTAAAACTGCGCACTCTCGAGACATTGCATTTAAGTTCATCGATCTCACACGAACTGATTAATTTGCCAAAAAATCCCTCAATCATTGAACTTCACATAAATTTTGTCTGCTACTCAAAGATTGTAATGATTTTAATAAGTTCAATGCCAAACTTAAAAAGAGTTAAATTATGTTCAGCAAGTGAAACGTTCATGAGCGCGATAAAGAACGAATTACCATATCTTGAGACAATTGAAACATACAATAAGTTAATAAAATTCACTCATTAAAATGTAGCCACATAAATATTTATTCACCATGATTTAAAATTATCAAAAGTGTAATTTGAGTTTTTCTTCTTTTTCGCTGTGGGCTCTCCACTAGATGTCGCCTCTGGTTTGGTTGTGAGTTTTGTAAGATATTTTCCAACTCCATCTCTATAAGCTTTAAGTGGTTGTTTTTTAGCTGCAAGTTTCTTACTTTCAATCTCATCTTTTTCTTTTTGAATTTTATCAACTTCAGCTTGTCGTTCTGCTGCTAATTGCTCGTCAGCTTCTTGATATGGATCAACAAATATTTGAGCACTTTGAATTATGATATCTTCAATCGGTTGATCTTTGTTGTCAACTTCAACACGTTCCATGTCAGTTAATGTTTCAAGTCCACCGACAAGTTTTCCAAAAATTGTGTGCTTTCCATCAAGATGCTTACAAGATCTGAATGTTATAAAGAATTGACTGCCGTTGCTGTTGGGGCCTGAATTAGCCATTGAAAGAACACCACGACCAGTGTGTGAAAGGCCCGGTTTAAACTCATCTTCGAATTTAGTATTCCATATTGATGAACCACCTCTTCCTGTACACTCACCCGTTTTGCTTGTTGGATCACCACCTTGAATCATAAAGTTTCTGATACTTCGATGGAATTTCGTTCCATTGTAATAACCATCGGCGCAATGTTTCAGGAAATTTTCACAAGTTTTCGGAACTTGATCGCAAAACAATTCAAGATTTAATGAACCAAAGTTGGTATTCAATCTAATGTAGCCCTTCTTCTTCACCCTTTCATATCTTACGAGATCTTCCTCGACAATGTCAGCTTCAGTTTTTACTGATGGCGCTATTGCAGTTGATGTGAATGAGGCAGCAACTTTTCCAGTCGAATAATGAGCAGCATTAAATTTGTCGGGTACTTTTTTATCTTCGGCAGTTTCTTTTTCTTTTTCTTTATACGTCGCTTCAAGTTCTTCTAACGTTTCTTTCAACTCAATTGACATCTTCTGGATTCTTCCTTTTGGATCTTTTTTCATTGCACGATCTTCGTCAGTTTCAACTCGCAATTTATTTTTGATGAAGTAGAATTGGCTGATGTCAAATTTTTCCAACTTTGAAGGATCTTGAATTGTGATGATATCTTTTCTTGTGAATGGTTGATCATTAACCAAATCCTTCCAATTCTTTGTTTTGATATTCAATTGTTCGATTGCTTCATAACAAAAAACATTTCCTGTCGTAGCAATTGCAACAATATGACTATTTTTTGTAAAAGGTTTGAATAAAGCTGGACATTGAAAACGAACTGTATCGTCGCTGTCATCATTTGTATTTCGAGCAAAATTTAATTTAATCAACGATTTTGCATCGAGAGATGATCCTGTAATTGGACTCTTCTTGAAATGTTTGAGGAAGTTTGCGATGGCTTCAAGTTCATAAATATTTCCATCTGGATCCATATACGGTATATCGAAAGGGATATGAGTAATGCAACAATAATCAAATGGTAAACGCTTGAATTTTATATGCTCATTTTCAAGATTTTCCGCCTAGAAGATATTTAAAATTTTAATTCTATTTAGAAATGTAATTCTGTATGTTTACCTTTTTTCCGCCATAAAATTGTCCCCATTCGGTGTACGTTAAGTACATTTTATCTTTTTGATGTTGTTTTTTACCCATCTTGATTGGATTTTCAAATAGATATCGTTTAAATTTATATTTCAATGAAAAATGCTTTAAATTTTTAAAATCTTTTATAATCCCCAAAGATCAAAACAAATCATGTGAAGACGACTGAACATTTCTTTGTTTACATTTTATCAGCAATTTTTTTCTAAGCAGTAAAGTGAACAGTGAAGAAAAAAGAAGATTAAAATAAAAATTCTGAAAAGATTTGAGTCATCTTATAATTATTATCATTACAGGAGATAGTCATGGATGAGAGTAGCACGTTTGTCAATTCAACTAATCCAAATTTAGAGAGTAAGTGAGAGATTTATTTGAATATGTTTTTAGTTCTTCTCTCTAACATTCATTCCTAACCGACTGACTCATATGTTAGTCGCATTTAAGTGTTTGTCAAAATCGCATTTAAGGCTTCATCAGCCATGTTCAATCATAATGATAATCCGTTTAATAAGCCATTAAAAAACTTATCAAACTATTATTTAGATTCAGTGTTTCATCTATTGGATTCACTAAACGATAAAGATGAACAAGTTAAAGTGATGGCTGAAGCATCGTTGATTAAAATATCTGATAAGAAGCCCGATGAGGTCATTCTGTTTGTTTGTGATTATAAAAAGAAGAATCCAAAACTTCCCGATCCGATTATTGCTGTCATTTTAAGGTAATTTGAATATCAATTGTTAGGAACTACAAAAATTATTTATTTCTTTTTATTTTATCAAATTCAGAGTCATCGAACACATCACTCTGGCTAAAATAAGACTGCTTGAAAATGAAACAATCATAAGTTGTATCAAGTATACAATTTCGGAGCTTATCAGACATAACGAGCCAACTCCATTGATTCAAAAACCATGTAAAGAAATTCTTACTTTAATCGGCGCTCTACATTGCAAGCTTGTTATGGACGAATTAGTAGCTCTGATTCAGCCTCATCAAATCGGACATTTCATGGTGCTTGAAACATTGGGACAACTTGCTCGATCAAATCTTGAAGAATCTGTCGCGTATATCAAACCAATTCTTGGAACTGCAATTCCAATGCTTACACTCATCAAACAAGATTATCAAAAGCAATCATATGCGAATGCTTTTCAACAGTTTTGCGATGCGATTATTGAATATCAATCGACAGTCGAGAGAGGTTCATCGGATTCTGTTTTATCAAATGAACCTGATTTGGTGGAGACAGCATCAACATGTGAGACTGTGAGTTTGAACGACAGTTCGGAGAACATCGAAAGCGATGTGAAGATAAGTAATGGTGATCGTGATAAAATAACGAAGGCTCAGTTGGATATTTCTGCTGAAATTGGAATAACCTATGATGTGATGATGCAACAATGGCTCAACACGAGAGATTCAAAGCTTTGCTCTGAATTTCTTAATGTTCTCTCTTACATGTATCCACTTCTTCCGACTGTAAAAATCCTCGACAACACCAACAAAATCATTCACACTTTACTTATGATGTATAAACGTTCACTCGATCGAGCATCGATCAGCATCTTTCTTTCAAGCGTCATTCAAACAACGCAGAAGATGGATCCAAAGCTTCTCGATTCCCAAGCAAATTCAATTATTGCAACTCTCTTTGATTTGATTTGTACAAATCCTGATTTTGAAAAGCCAGTCGCTGTGCGATCACATAATGAAGTTCTTCGTTGCTACGATTTACTTGCAACTAATTATGGTGAGAAAGTCATGGAGATTATAAGTACAAGATTTAAATCAAATGATGATCGAGAAAAAGTCAAAGCTTTAATGTTGTTAACTCATTTAACAAATACCAAAGATGAAGTTGTTAAAACTCGTTTAAGTGAATTTCTTTTAATCTTACGACAAATGGCATTGAATGAGAGACAATTTAAGATGAAAGGAATAATTCTTCGAGCGATTGTTGCTTTCGCACAAAAAGGTTTCATCATGCATAGAATTTTCATAAAATTTATTGTTCATCATTGTTGTCACATGACGAAAGTTCAACCAGATCAAGGGACAAGTGAAGAAGCAAATGAATTTGTTCGTGCTTGTAATAATACTTTGATAATTCTATCACGAACTTCGGATCCATCGATGGATAATCTTTTAAAAACGGAACTTCTTCAAATGTACTTGCAATATGAGTACACAGATGCATGCACGACACTTGCTAAATGCCTTGCAAGTTTATTTCAAAAGAATCCTGAAATGAACGTCGATGATCATGACAATAATGATAATGAAGATGAGAATTTGAAAGCTCTTGATGACACATCATCAGTTGGTGTTGTTAATCTTCCTTCAGCTGAATCAATTTTTGTCAGATCTCTCGTGCTTTTAGCAACATTCGACAACAGAGAAAGACTTCAATCAGTTCTTAAATTTCTTTATTTCTTCTGTCCAAACTTGCATGGCAAACATCTCCAAATGCTGTGGAATGAGAAGATTGATGGTCTTGTTGAGCTTGTGAAGATTGGAGATGACGATAAATTCTACAAAGATTTGAATATCTTCATTAAAGCGACAATCAAAGATATCGACGATGTAAAGTTCAGTGAATCTCTTGTGAATAAAATGAGCGATCAATTTGTACTTTATCATCCGCCACCATTAAACGCAACATCATCAATTGTCACACAACATCACAATCAACTCAACACGGAATTGATAGTGTCGAATTTAAGGAGTGAGCGTGGAATGTTAATGAAACTTCTTGGATTTTGTTTATGTTATGTCACCGACCCACCGTCAATTGATACAAAAATTGATTTGATTATAAGTCAAGTGAAAGGTGAAAAGTTGGAGAAGCAAGTGACGTATCAAGAACTTGAGGAAAAGTTCTTCGATCCTGCCAAAGCACTTGGCTACGTGTCACGTGTTCATTATGATTTGTTAATGAAGAAGTTCGATGTGATTATCAACGAAGACATGATGAAGAAGTCTGGCTCAATTTTTTCAAGTTTCAACTTCACAAAAGATTCACAGAAAGAGTCGGAAAAGTATAAAATGCGAATTCTTGTGATTTTCGCATCGAATTTCATTGTTGAAAACACGCCACAAGCGAATATTGTGAAGAACTTTGAGAGTCAAAATAACAAAGTCATCGAATACATTAATCGTCAGTTGATGGACATGCGTGAATGCCAAATAAAGAAAATCATTCTCTGCACTTTACTTCGAGTTACAGAATATTATTTGGAGCAAGAAAAACAAGAGAATGAAGAGAAATCAAAGTTTATGTACATTCACGACTTGTTGGATTTAATTTTGAAAATTCCGATTGAGAACGTGATGGGATCGAGTGGTGCTAATGGAAATTCAGGAAATTACGGATTTTACGATTATCTTCCACTTTATCCAACGATTTTAAAGTTGGCAACAAATCTCATTCGATTGTCGCCGTTTGAAGATGGAATGGACTTGGATGGAACGAATTTGTTGAACATCACTTCACATCATTTCTTCACAGCTGCTCTCAACTTGAATGCTGATGACGAGAAGCAACAAAGTTATCTTGCACCACACATCAACAGTTCCATCCCCGAATTAAATTGCTTTATAAGAATTTTACTTGAAAGAAATCCGTCACCAGCTGGTCTTGATGACGTCGTCAGCATTCTCGAGAAGTGGATGAAAGAGAAGAATTCGCAAGTGAGAATTTGTGCTTCATTAATCATGGAAGCGACGCTCGATTCATACATCAAAACCATGAAAATTGGTTGCGAAGCACCATCGAAGTTCCATCAAACGGGATCGATGTTGGGCAAAGTCATTCCCAGATGTATTGACTCAAGTGGACGTGTGAGAGAAATTTGTGTGAATATTTTAAAGAAAATTCTCGAATTGGCTTGCATTTATGAGACACTCACAATTCCTGACTACACCATGTCATGGATGGTGGATTTGAAGAAGATCAAAGATGAAATCACAGTCGATGATAATGAAGAAATTATAAAAATGACGAAAGAAATTTCCACCATCGTTGCACTTCGTTTAACAAATCAACAATATGTGACATTCTCAAAGACGTTGCTTTACAACATGAATGATAAAGACTTCAATGCTTCAGCTGGTGCTGCCCTTGTTTTGAATTATTTCATTCAACTTAAAGGTTCTGAGATGTTCCATGCAATTCCTGATCTTGTCAAAGATTCGTTTCATGCTTTGAAAGTTTGTGAGAATCCAAATACAAAAATGAATTTGTTTCTATCGCTTGTGTCACTTACGAAACACCATCCGAAGCTTGTCTGTGCTGAGATGCTGATGCAATCACTTCCATTTGATGAGAATGTCAGTGAATATTGGCGCTCATTGACAGCTGACAGTGACTTGACTGGAATCATTGTTGATAACTTTCTCGAGACAATTTACGAAGTTGCGCCTTATGATCCATCACAAAGTGAATCTGAAAAGACACAAAAAGTATTGACACATCAACCATTTGCTGTTCTTTGTGCCTTAAAGGAAATTATCTTCAGTAAAGATGGATCGTCTGTGGGTGAGTTTAAGAAGAGATTCTCACCTTTGTTCAGCATGTTGTTGACAACTTTAGCGACCTACACAAACACAATCCCATCAATGTTTCCTCCAGTTCAAGTCGATGTCGAAAAAATTAAAGTCCCATCATCAGCGAGTAAGAACAACAAAGGAACTCGCTTCAGTTTCATTCCAAATCGTGATGTTGTTAAAGTGAATCCGGCACTTGTAGTCATTGACACTTTCGTGAAGTTGTTGGATAATCTGGGAATGGAACAGATGAAGAATACTTTGCAATTGTTCCCGCAACTAGTATCGAGTGCTGACTTAAATAACTTCTCCGAGTTCCTGCCAGCATTGGCGGTTGCAACTGGAAACTCATTCAGCATGAATTCTTCGACAATGAAGGAAATTATTCAAGGCATGAGTAAATATATGTCATCACCTTGCGATGCACATCGAATTGCAACAATTGGATTTTATTCGCAAGTCGTTCCTTTGAAGCCATGCGGAGAAATCTCGTCAGTTGTCATGCTTCATTTGACTGCTGCACTTTCAGATCCAAACTCGCTTGTTCGTGGTTTTTGTATTCGTGGGTTGGGATTTGTTGGTGCATTGACACAACATGATATTGAGAAGTATTCGGAACTAGCATTAGCAGCACTTTTGAAAGGAATCGACGACTATAACGCAAATTGTCTGATTAACATTCCTTTGGAATCCCTTCGAGGATTAAGTCGTGTTATTGAGCCAATCAAGAGAGAGAAGTTGGAATTATTTGAAGTATCTTTGACGATTCGAATTCGTCCTTTCTTTGAAAATCAATCGATTGAGATACGTGAAGCAGCAATTCTTCTATTCGGTGATTTATGTCATCAAACGAGACTGAAAAATCAATCAAAAGAAGTTTCTGAAGCTTTAAATGAACAACTTTTGACGAATCTTTTTCCTTTCTTACTTCATCTTGGTGAATATGAATCAATTATAAGCAGAGTAAGTGAAACTCTTTTAATGTGATCTCAACAATTTATTAATTTAATAATTAAATGCAGGCATGCAGAATTACATTGCGACACATGAGCGAACTTTTGGAAGCCAATGAACTTAACAAGAGGGTCCAGTATGAATTAGAAGATTTTCATCAACTTAATTATGACTCATTCATTCATGACTTCACTCGTATTGCTGTAAGTTATTTGAAATTTGAAAAGTTTTGCAATTTTATGATTTAAATTCTCTTTTCCCAGTGCATTGAAATTCCTGATAAAATTCCAAACTTCATTGAGTCATGTTTGCCTTATTTGCGCAGTCATTGGAACGAAATTCGTTCACATGCTTGTACAATTCTTGGACTTCTTCATTATTTTGGAGGAAGCTTAATTGAGGATGAAAAATATCGAGTTGAATTGGAAACAACAAGTAGCGAAAAAGTTTCAGCATGTTTGAAAGATGAACAGATAATCGTAAGAATTAAAGCAGCTGAGTCATTGGGATATTTATTCAGCGAACCTTAGAAAGGCTATTGATATTTAAAAAATTATATTCTTAAATAAAAATGTTATCTTTTTAAATAAATTTAACGAACTTTCTAAATTCAAATTGTTTTTGATCTTAAGATCATGACGTCATTTTTTGCGTGGCCTTGAAAATAGTCGAAGTTGTCAAACAAAATTTTGCGGCATAACAACAAAGTTAAAAATTAATTTTTGTAAACAATAAAACATTTTCAATTGATTAAAATACCATATTAGGGTATTTAAAGTCATGGAAGTACCATCAAAGAAAAACAAACTCAATAATTTAGATCCTTTCCAAAGGATTCATTCAGATTTGTTAGAATTAATTTTCCAACATTTTATAAATGAGGATGTTTTGAGCGTTTCCACCGTTTCTCCATTATGGTTTAAGCTAACTGAAAAGTCGAATAAATGTATGGAGAAATTAAATTTAAAAATAGTCGTTCCATTTTCAAAAGGCGAAGAAAAAAAATTTGAAAATATGTCAAGTGATTTGAAAAGTCTGCGATTGTATGAAAATATTTACTTACACAACATCCAAAATGTAGTTCCAGAAATACTTCAAATATTACAGAGAGGAAAGTGGAAGGAAGTGTATATGTCCATGCGAAAGATAAAGAATAAAAAAGATCTGCTCGAAATGATGAAACTTGTTGAGTTGGATGTTGAGAACTTCAGCATGTCGTATTCGTTTCTAGAAAATCCAAATGACATATTAGTTGAAGTTCAACCAGAAGTAAAGATGTCATTTCCTAAACTTAAAAACTTAGATCTGAGTCGAAATAATGGACTTCTTATGAATGAGATAGCTTTCGAATGTAAAAGTTTGAAAGTTTTAAGACTCGACTTTGACAACGAGACCTGGAAAAGAAATTCTGAGAATGTTCGAAAGATTTTGGCTAATAATAGTGAATTAGAAAACCTGACACTATGGCGATGTCAAACCCATCTAGCTTTCAAGAAGGAATCAATTTCTTTACACAAATTCAAATTAAAAATGTTCTCATACAAAAATGAATTTCCAATGGACCGAAGTTGCATGTTTGACTTCCTTGAAAGTCAAGCAGAATCAATCGAAACATTGCGACTTGAAGATTGGTGTGGAATTGAAATCTTAAAATTAATCTTCAAAATGCCACGATTGAAAGATCTCATCGTCGATCTTTTTGATGTTGAGTTGACGATTGATTGGACAAAAGTTAATTTTAATTCAAACACTTCCATCACAAAGTTTGAGATTGAAAGTTATTCTTGCAACAAGAGCAGATTAAAAATTTTCAATGCATTGTTTGAAGCAATGCCTAATTTGAAATTCTTAATTACTGATTGTTTGGATAAAGTTTTACTGAAGGCGGTTGGAACTCATTGTCGGGCATTAGAAGAGCTTGAAGTTCAAGAACTCCGAACACAATCAATTCACGATCCTCAACTTTTTCCAAACCTCAAGAGATTTCATTGTGAAGATCGAATTGACATGAGAGTTAAGCAACGAATAAACATCAAACCTGTAGGACAAAGATCAAAGTTTGAACAACTTATTCTTGAAGCTAAACCATATTTCGTCACATAATTGATTGAACTTTTTTATGTATTTTTTTCACTTTGACAACGTAATAAAAATATTTTTAAAATAATATAAAATTTCTATTTTTTGTAAGTGTAAAATCCTTCACCACTCTTGATTCCAAGTTTTCCTTCTTCAACTAATCGATCCAACAATGGGATGGGTTTGAATAGAGGATTTTCAGGTTCAAAGCGTGCATATGTTTGGAGGACGCTTCTAGTTGTGTCGAGGCCTACATAATCTCCAAGTTCGAATGGTCCCATTGGATATCCTGCACCAAGTTTCATTGCAATGTCAATATCCTTAGCTGTTGCATCGCCACGCTTTCAATTAAGAAATAAAGAATTAATAATTAAATAAATTAACAATCACAAATTATCTCCAACCTCTAACATTCTGACAGCTTCAGCCATGTAAGGAACAAGCAAACGATTGACGACAAATCCTGGAGTATCTTTACAAGTCACACAAGCCTTGCCAAGTTTCTTTCCAAATTCCATACAAACGTTGTAAGTTTCATCGCTTGTGTCCGACGTTCGTATTACTTCTAAGAGTTTCATCACCTGATAAATGAATTTTTTTTAATTATCAAGAAATTTTAAAATTTCCATTTAAAAACTCACTGGCACCGGATTGAAGAAGTGAAGACCCAAAAATCGATCAGTTCGGTTCGTACTTTTCGCAATTTCAGCAATAGGAATGGAAGATGTATTGCTTGCAAAGATTGTTGTTGGTTTGGCTAACTGAAGTTAAAAGGAACTTTCATAATTAGGATTTTTTATCTTTCCCTCTCTCTCTTACCTGATCAATGGAAGAGAAAAGTTTCTGCTTGACATCCAAGTTTTCAACAATAGCTTCGATAACGATATCTGTCTTATCAGCTACTGATTTAATGTCTGTTGTCCCTTCAATACGTGCAGTGACACTTGCAACGAATTCATCAATTTTTGATGTTTCATCTTTGAATTGTTTTTTAGCGACTCGTTCCAAGCTTTTCGCGATGCTTTTCTTTGCTTTTTCAAGTAAGGAAGCATCCAAATCCACCAAAGTCACATTATGACCAGTTTGCGCTGCTACCTATTGAAATCTTATTAATTTGCGGTGATTGAACTTTGGACCCGCAAACTGCATCTTACCTGAGCAATTCCACTTCCCATCAATCCACCACCAACAACAGTTACGTGGTTGATACCTTTTGAAGCTGATGACATTGTTCGTCGAATTACGAGATTTAATAAATTAGACATATTTGGATTAAAGTATTAAGGAAATTATGATAAGAAATCGAGTTGATAAAACGACTAAACTGAGCAACATTCGGTATTTGTAGAAATTTCACAAGAGTGAATCAAAGTGTCAAAATGGACAATAACAATAAATAATATTTAGTTTGAACAAGTTTCAACAGTAATTTGCTTTATTGAGATAAATATAATGACTTGTATAATGAAATAATAGAAATATTCGCTTTCCATGTTGTAATTTGAATTAAAATCTTTCTTTCATTGTTACCATTTTCAGGAACAAGGAAGTTAAGATTAAAAATGAGAATTTGTAAGATATCAAATTTCAACGGTAAGGAAGTTTATAAACAATTATCAAGGATAATTATAATTTTCATTAAAAGTGCAATAATTTAACGATTGTTCAATCATATCTATTTTGATGAACTTTTGTGAACTTACTCATGTTTTATTTCTGTAACTTACAACTTCTTTAACAAAGTTTCAAAGATAAACTGCTTACCTGAGATTATTTTGTTCCAAGTTTCATTCCAATTTCCAGTCGTGACTTTATAATCAGATAAAACTTGTTGGTTGATAAGACTTGTTGCTTCTTTTTAATTTTTTTATTTATTTTGAAAAATTTTTATTCAAAGTCATTATTTCCACCTTATCCACAAATTCTGTTTGTTGCATAAAAAATTCATGCTTAGAGTCATAAAGAAGAAGAAGTTTATTTCTGTCAAAAGTATTTAATAACAAATTTAAAATTTTATTTTTCGTTCATGGTTTTAAAATGAGAATTTCATTTCAAGTTGAAAATTTCAACAAGATCGCTTCCTTCAAGTTCTCTTCCTAATTTCTTAGCTTTCTCAATGCATGCTCGATAGAATCGAATATGATCAACTGCAGCATCCTTATTCATCTTGTATGAAGGATGTTCTTTCATCTTTTGCATCCACTTGTTGAAATGCGGAAACTTTTCAGTGTCAATTGGAATGACTTGTGCCAATGATTCCATTATTGCCCACAAATACAAATCAGCTAAAGTTATTGTGTTTGCAGCCAAATAAGTTGTGACACTTAAAAACTTTTCAATCGCTTGATAGCCTCTTATGATATCGTCGAATTTATATTTGGGAACCTCAACTTCTCTCCCGTATAAACCAGGCACGATTATTTGAAACAATCTAGGAAACAAGTAGTTTCCGACATATAAAAGACGTTCGTTAACCATTGTTCGCTTCACCAAATCTTTTGGGTACAATTGATCATCTTTTGCATATTTTTCAACCAAATAAATTCCAATGGCTGTTGAGTCGAACACTTTAACATTTCCATCGACTAATGCTGGAACAGTTGATGTTGGATTAATGGCAATGAATTCAGGCGTGAATTGTTCACCTTTGAATAGATTCAGATTTCTGTTTAGAAAAAAATTAATTTGATTATATTCAAGGTCAATGAATTTGATATTTCAATATCTCAATATCTACTTCACTTCAAAATCCAAACCAATATGATTAGCCGTAATAACAGCGAATCTTGATGGTGGACTAAAGTAATTATGATAAATAGTTGGTTTCACCATTTTTAAGCTTTTTGAAAGAAATTGTAAAATTAAATAAATTCAAACAGCGGATGAAGCTCTAAATTTCGTCTGATGAATTAGAAAACTGCCTGATCACTGACAGAATTTTTTTATTGCAAAGATGATTAAATAAGATTCTACGTGTTGGTCTGTATGTACACTGAACAAAAAAGAAGAAAATTCGCCATGCCATAAAAAGCTTCAAAGCTTAATTAAACTTTTCGAAAATCATCGTGATGCAATGAAAAAAATAATCAGTAGATAACGTAATTAGATTATTGAAGTATTTTTAATAATATTTATCAGATACTTATTCAAATGAATTTCGAATAAACTGATCGACCAAGAGTCGCCTAATCTTTAAGAAAAATTGTCAAATCGTTATAAATGAAGCTATTAAAGTTATTTTTGGATCATGATATTCTAGACTTATGTCTTTGTTATCTTTCATGTATTTTTGAATTTACTTGAGTTTCTATTTTGTGTATGATTAAAGTTAGCCACAACGGTGTGGTAATAGAAATATAAATTATAGAAGTTATCAAGTTACTTGTTTGTGTTGGCAATGTTTTCAGATTTTGTATAATCTTAGGACGAATTTAGAGTCAGATTGTTCACTCGCTTTTAAAATGCATTATTTAATAAATTTTATAAAAACTTTTTTATTTTATTATCATTTAAACGATATGAAATTATTTTTTGTATTTGTAAAAACCTTCTCCAGTTTTGACTCCAAGTTTTCCTTCTTTAACTAATTTATCAATTGTTGGACTTGGTTCGTAAAGTGGATTTTGGGGATCATATCGTGCAAATGTTTCACGAACGCTTTGAGTTGTGTCAAGGCCGATGTAGTCGAGTAACTCGAATGGACCCATTGGATAACTTGCGCCAAGTTTCATCGCAATGTCAATATCTTTAGCTTTTGCATCATCACGCTGAATAAAACTTGATAAATTTTATGAAATTTTAATTTCTTTTTCTTTTGTATCACCTCCAACATTCTAACAGCTTCAGTTGTGTATGCTCCCAATAAGCGATTGACGATAAAGCCGAGAGTATCTTTACAAGTCACACAAGTCTTACCAAGTTTTGTTCCAAACTTCATACAAGTTTCATAAGTTTCATCGCTCGTTTCAGGAATTCGAATGACTTCTAAAAGCTTCATCATCTAATGAATATTTGAAAAGTTAGTTAAACTTTATTTTAATTAACATTAAAAATAATCAGTGATTACAGGCACGGGATTGAAGAAATGAAGTCCTAAGAAACGATCAAGACGATTTGTACTTTTTGCAATTTCACTGATTGGAATTGATGAAGTGTTGCTAGCGAAGATTGTTTTAGGCTGTGCAATCTAAGAGAACAAATTAAAAATTGATTTTGATTTTCCTTTGTTTATCTCACCTTGTCAAGAGATGAGAACAATTTCTTCTTGGCATCGACATTTTCCACAATCGCTTCTATGACAATGTCAGTCTTAGATAAAGCAGTGTGGATATCAGTAGTTCCTGAAATCCTTGAAATGACAGTGCTAACAAATTCATCGACCTTTGAAGCATCTTCTTTAAATTGCTTCTTTGCCAAACGTTCAGCACTCAATTTTATGTTTGCTTTCGCCTTCTCCAGCAATGATTCATTTACTTCAACTAAAGATACATTGTAACCACTTTGAGCTGCTACTTGAGCAATTCCACTTCCCATCTGTCCACCTCCAATTACAGTAACATGTGAAATTTCTTAAATGGAATAAAAGATGATCAAAGTGATGTTGCAATAAATATTTCTGATCTTTTTAATAACTTACCCATAATGATGTAAATGTATCTGAACTGTTTATTCCGGATAATTATTTAAAAGAATAAGTTTTACTTGTTTTCGAATGAACGGCAAGAAGCGGAATGTTTTTTAAAAGATAACAAATGATTTCTTATCGCACACTGGAATTAAATTTATGATTGGGAAAGATATTTTTATTAATGTAACGTTTTCACTTATAACATCATTCGTAAAAACTGTCAAAATAATTCTTTGTTATTTACATTTTATGAGCTTTTAATTGCTTAGTTCTTTCTTTCTACACTAAGTTGTGCTTAAATTTTTTTGAATAATTTTAAACTACAAGTCGTAACTTGTAATTCGACCACAATGTGTGTTTTGTAAACAAAAAACTTTATGATAAAAAATCTCTTAAATTGTTGGAAATTTGCGATTAATACAACTAAAATGGAAGAAACTACAACGAAAAGACAGAAATTGTCGAGTGTTGAATATAATGCCGAAGATAAATCTAATGAAATGAGTCAACCTTTTGAATTACAAGAAATTCATATTTTAAATCTTCCTAATGAAATTCTGCTTTATATCTTCAATTACGTCAATATTTCTTCACGAAAAGTTGTTTCAGAAGTTTGTAGAAAGTTTTATGAACTAATATGTATCGTTGAACGAGACTGTCATCCACTCGAACTTAGTTTCCAACAGGTGAGATTTAAGAAAATAAGAAGAAAATAATTCAGCTAAACAATTGAGAAATAATTTCCATAGATTTATAATGAAGATGTTCGAATTTCAATCATTAATTCATCTCGAGAATTCAATGAGCTTACAATCAATCATTACAGTCAAAGTACTTCCATCTTGGAAAACATAAAATATGTGAATGATGTGACGCAAAAGTTCGGAGCAAGACTAAGAAAGTTTGAATTGGTTTCAGACGGTGGTCGTGTGTCAACCTTGAAAGAGTCGCAGTTAATTAAAATACTTAGTTCCATTCCCAATGTGGAAGTTTTGGTATTGAACAATATTGTTGTGAAAAGTGAACAGAATCCTGATGATAACATTGCTGAGTTCAACTTACACAAACTGAAGGAGTTAACAATTGATGAATGTTACCTTAATTCTCTAATCATATTCAAAAGAATACCAAAGGACACATTAAGAAAATTAACATGTTACCTTAATTCTCTAACCATATTCAAAAGAATACCAAAGGACACATTAAGAAAATTAACTTTTACATCTGATCCTGTTGATCAAATGCAGTTCCAACAGTTTTTAAATCAACAAAGAAACATTAAAAAATTTGAATTATTTGATATGACGGAAGTTAAGTTTAATCATCTTAAACTTGAGCATTTAAAGATAAGCCAAAATTGTTTGATGAATATTCCCGAGGTCTTGCAACAGCAACCAAAACTTCTTCATCTTGACTCTGCAACCACTTTGTTTAATGACGAAGCTTTTGCAGCAATGTGTGAATTGAAAAATCTTGAGATAGCAAAAATTATCATCGATGAAGTGTCTGGAAACGTTTTTCAATTTTTGAGACAATTGGTTAATCTAAAAGAATTGCGATTAGAATCTTATTGTTGTGAAGAATGGAAAAATCTCCGTGAGCTAAGCGTAATGCCATTAAATATTGAAAAGTTGACACTTTTATATTGTGATGAAAGGATTCCAGACGAAATCTTTATTCAATCAAGCCAAAACCTCAGAAAGCTCAAACATATTGAAATTGTTAATATCTCAATTCAGATCATCAACACAATTTTGCAATATTTTCCTAACCTTGAGTCGATTTATTTTGGTTTTGGCTATATTTACGGTGTACCAGATGATGAACTGATCATCAATGAACAATTGAACTGCGAAAATCTCAAGCAATTTGTTGTAGTAAACATCGATGATGATCTAGAGGAAAACTCAAGATCACTTCTTAAACTCGTCAGTCTGTGTCCCAATCTTGAACGAATTATGTTATCACAATTGTGTCAAACAGTGAATGAAGATCTGCAGCAAATTTTGAATGATCATCCTAAGTTAACTCATTTGAGTCTTGAATTCACTCATTTTCAATTTGAAAATGAAACAATCGAGCTCATTCGTAGCACAAGAAAAAGACTCCAACTCATACGATTAGCAGGACTGAGTAGCCTTCCATCCCGTTTAATTTTGGAAGAACTATTTGAAGCAGATTTTCCTTATATCAATGACAATCCATCGAGCTCAATCGAACTCATCCTTAAGAAAAGAAACATTACCGATTGGTATTTGAATTTTAAAGACATGGATTCTTATTAGTTGTATAAACACATTTGTTTAAGAGTTAAATTATGGAATAAAATATGTTGATATTATATTTTCTAAGACATTCTGATTTTCTTATCTTTTTATGTAATCCTTTTTTATCTTTCTGATTACATTAAGACAACTTCAACATTTTCTTTCAAGATTTTCAATAAAAAATATTTGTTTTTAACGGCAGTTCGCGGTCTTTCTCAAATAATTTTTTTACTCCGAACTGCAAAATACCAGAGTACCTTCACACCCCGTTCACACCATGAAGGCCCCGCGCGGGGATTTCAATTTCCATACAAAGTGGGTCCTGTTCGCACGAAAGCCTGTTTACGTAGGGCCTATTCTGGGGTACTTAAGTACCGAATTCAGCTTTTCATAAGTGGAAAACATATTTCTAACAAAAATCTCTTGATTTAAATAGATAATCCAAATAAAATAAGTGAAAATGTCTGATCAATTGCAAAAAGAAGAGGAAAAACTTTCACGTATTGTAATTAACTTGATATAAAGTGAAATTTTCAAAATGTTAACATTTTTTTTGGTTAATCTTATCAGGAAACTGAAATAAATGATATTGATGGTCATATTACAAACATCAAAACAGGAAACTTATCAGAAGAAAGTGACGAGCTGGCAAAACTTTTAACAGAAAACACTAAATTAAAGTTTCGTCTGGAAATCCTCAAAAAGGTAAATTGAAATTTTTATTAAATCTCTAATTTCATATTAAAGGATTTTAAAAATTATTACAGGCAATCGCCAACGAACGTAAAAATTGCAAAGCTGACACTATTCCTTCTGAAATGATTTCCATTCGGAATTATTTGAATGAGCTATTTGGATCAGCTATCAAAGCAGCATATCCTGAATTATCTGATCCTCCAATTGTCATAACTGAATCGACAAAAGTTTCTTTCGGTGATTATCAATGTAACAGCGCAATGCCAGTAAGTCAGCTGTTAAAAGCAAAAAACATTAAAGCTTCTCCACGTGATGTTGCTGTTAAGATCCTTGAGAATCTTCCAAATTCTTTTCTTATTAATAAAACGGAAATTGCCGGCCCAGGTTTCATCAACATCTTCATCACCAACGAGTATGTCGTGTCAGCAATATCAACAATTCTTAAGAATGGTGTTTTTCCTCCAACAACGAAGAAAATGCGTGTTGTCATTGATTTCTCCAGTCCAAATGTTGCAAAACAAATGCACGTTGGTCATTTAAGGTCGACAATCATCGGAGAATCAATTTCTCGTCTTCTAGAGTTTGTTGGTCATGATGTTCTTCGTCTCAATCATATCGGCGATTGGGGAACACAATTTGGAATGCTCATTGCTCATCTTGAAGAAATGTTCCCAAACTATGTGAAAGAATCGCCGCCAATTGCGGATTTGCAAGCATTTTACAAGGAATCAAAAATAAGGTTCGATAATGACGAAGAGTTTAAGAAACGAGCATATGATCGTGTTGTGAAGCTTCAATCAGGCGAAAGTAACAGTAGGAAAGCATGGCAATTGATTTGTGATGTTTCTCGATTGGAATATCAAAAAGTTTATAAAGCTTTGGATGTTACGTTAGAAGAACGAGGCGAATCATTTTATCAATCGCGAATGGAGAATTTGGTGAAAGAATTGAACGAACGAGGCTTCTTGGAAGAAGATGAAGGGCGGAAAATTATGTGGGGAATTAAAGGAGAAGACTATGGTGGAATTCCATTAACAATAATCAAGTCTGATGGTGGATTCACCTACGACACATCAGACATGGCAACAATACGAAATCGAATTGAAGAAGAGAAAGGCGAATGGCTTGTTTATGTCACTGACGCAGGGCAATCAACACATTTCAAATCGTTATTCTCATGTGCACGAAAAGTTGGCATACTTGATTCGAGTAAAGTTCGTGTTGATCATGTTCCTTTTGGAGTTGTTTTGGGTGAAGATGGGAAGAAGTTTAAGACACGTTCAGGTGAGACTGTGAAGCTATTGGATCTCTTGGACGAAGGATTGAAGCGATCACTTGAGAAGTTAAAGGAGAAAGAACGTGATAAATTTATGACAGCGGAAGAGTTGAGGAAAGCTCAAGAAAATATTGCCTATGGTTGCATTAAGTATGCGGACTTGTCAAAGAATCGACAGAACGAATATGTGTTCAGCTTTGATAAGATGCTTGACGATAAGGGCAACACTGCTGTCTACTTACTTTACGCCTACACACGAATCAAATCAATTGCTCGCAATTGTGGAGAGGAATTTATTAAGAATTTTGACACGATCAAGAAAGAAACGAAGCTTGAGTTGACTCATGAAAAGGAATTGAAGTTAGCGAAAGTTCTCATCCAATTTCCTGATATTATCGAGAAAATCCTGAAAGATTTGCATGTCCATTACATGTGCGAATTTTTATATCAAATTTCAACAACGTTTACGGAATTTTATGATGTCTGCTATTGCATTGAAAAGAATCGGCAAGGAGAGATTGTCAAAATTAATAAAAGTCGAATTCTTCTTTGTGAGGCAACGGCCACTGTCATGGCCAAATGTTTTGACATTCTCGGTCTGAAAACACTTGATAAAATTTAATTTAATTAATCATTTCATTTCTTATCTTTTTGTACTAAATAAAATCTGCCACTGCTGAGAAGACTCAAATAAATTTTTTTTTGTGTCAATGAACTTAATTGAGATTCAAATTATTTTCCCATTAGATGCTTGAAGTATTTCAACTTTAAGTTCATAGAATTGAAAGCAATGACCCTAGGCAGCCTTTCCATTTATCCAAACAACGAAACATGAAAAAACTTTTTTTCTTCCTAATTTGCATTCAAACAAAAAAAAGTTCAATTTAAGCTCGTTTTTTATGTTACATTCAAAATAAAGCTGCGACATGTGGGAATCGAAGCGTGAAGTGAAAAGAAAACGAAAATGTTAAAATCTAAAATTAAATTTCAACACTCAAAGTTAAACTTTCAGAAATGTCAGTTCGTTGTTTGTTATCTGCTAAGCATACAATTTTAATTTCTAGCTTCCTAACATTATGTTGTTATTTTGCTTTGGTAAGAGCGACAAGAGAATCGAATTGCTCTAAACTATGTGAACGAGATTAAAAAACCGTAGAAAAATTTGCTTTCGCTGTTTCATTTTTTTTTTCTCATTCAGGCGCAACTTTCACAAACTGATCCAAATTGTATAAATTACCATCCACCTTTGTCCGTCGTAAGCTTTATATCTAAATATCATTTTAAATAATGTCATCGATCGCTTTTTCAGCTTCCCGAACAATGTTGCATGATGCCTGACTTTTTCGACGATGCTGATTTAATTAAATGTAAAACTTCACATGGAACTGAAAGTCTTATACGAGATGTCATCAACAGACGAAAGCGTTTCGCAACAACCCGAATCGAATTGGGAATTTGCTACCTAAATTGTGTTTTTAAACTTGCCGACATAATTTCCGATGACCAAATTATCGATGTCGAGCGATTTAAAGAGAAATTGACAAGCGAAACTCCCCTTGAATCAAACTCAATTGACACGATAAATAATTCCATTACCAAATGTGTTAATGATTTAGATTCTGGCGTCATAAAAGCACACGATCATTCCACTTACAATTGCAGTTCAATCCCGTCATCACTTATGATGTGCGTTCACATGAATTTCTTCCTAAATTGCCCCTCAAATCGTTTCAATCTTACTGATCAATGCATTGAGCTTCAAGATTATCTTAGAAGATGTCCAATAACTTTATAAACATTTTATATTTATTATTCCAATATTAATTTAAATATACAAAAATCAAGTGAAATGAAATAAAATATTTAAAGTTTACTCAACACGAGGAGTCATTTTAAACTTTAAATCGCCATCAGGTGCGTACATGAATGTAATGGCATAGTTGAGTGGCTTGTGATTGTATTCAAGTTTATAATTTCTGACTAATTTCGCTAGTAAAATTTGCATTTCCATGTCAGCAAATCGTCTTCCTAAACACATTCTCGAGCCGTGTCCATAAGGAAGGGAAGCAAATTTGTGGAGGTTTGAGTCATTGTCTTCGCTTTTAATCCAACGTTCAGGCTTAAATTCACTGGCATCCGACACATACTCATCCATGGTTCCCGTGACAAGATTAGGAAAGACAACTTGAACTCCTTTCGGTATCATGTAGCCACAAATTGGCGTGTCGTTCTGCAAGGTTCTTCCATTCCCAATGACAGTTGAATAAACTCGAAGAACTTCTTTAATGAAACTTTTCGTGTATTTGTTCTTCTCAAGAAGTTGAATTGTGAGCGGAGTGTTTTTATCGGGAATATTTCGCTTCAATTCTTGATAAATCTTTTCCTGTTCTTCAGGTCGTGTTGCAAGTTGATAAAGAATCGAACAAACTGCCATTGAAATTGTATCAATTCCAACAAGAATCAAATCTAAAGCCATAACAGTTGCAAGCTTTTCATTCTTTTCTTCTTTTAAGACACGTTCAATCAAAGACGGTTCACCATCCAAAGCTCCACCAACACCACCCGATGCTTGAAGTCGTTTGGTTGCTTGACTAATATATTTCATACAAACTCTGTGATGTGAAATAAAAATTGAAATTTATTATTAATTAACGTTTTTATAGCAGATGAAGAAAAGTTCAACTCACTCTACAAAGTAATCCATGTTCTTGACATATCGAGTCCACAAAGGTGTTGGAAACCATCGCCAATAAGGTGCTTTAAGCTCCAACATTGCAATGTTTCTCAATGCAAACTGTGCTGCGTTAATAATCTGTTGTGGTTCACTTTTTGGGTCGAGAGTTCCGTCAAGACATCCCAATCTTGTGTCTAAAGCAACAAGGCCAATACATTCAAGCGACCATTTGTGAATTTCATTTGCAAAATCATTAGGCAGTTCACTGTTTTCGTCAAGAAGTTGTGTTTGACATCGTGTCATGAAATCGTTCGTTACTTGCTCTAGCGGCTTCACATACCGTCGAACTGTTGACAACTGCAAAATAGGTTTTTGAACTCTTGAACGAAACTCTTTCCACTTCTCGCCATGAACACCAACGACACCCGGTAAATCACCGAAAAAATCTTTACGTAATTCTCCTTTGTATTTGACCAAACTGTGTAGTGATAGAAAAATATTAAATGTGTAAGCAAATTGACATTGTTTCTATCTACAAGACATTATGAAACTCACCTAGGCATAGATGGTCGAAATGGTGTTTGCCCTTCATTACGATAACACTGAAAGTTTGAGAAATTATGTGAGAAAAATGTAAATAAACTTCCGTTGTTGATGGAAATTCCATTCCGATCAGAATGAAGAAAAAAAAGTGTTCAAGGTCAAACTAAACTTGTTTTTCTCATAATTCTATTTGTCAACAAACGAACCTTTTCAATTTCATCAGCATCAAAGACAAACAAAAGATCTGGCCGTCCCATTAAGCCACCAACTTTAACAATTCGTCCCCATACTTGGTTCAGAAGAAACGACATCGTTGCAATGTCGGAAATTTTAAATTGTCCAATGATGGGAAAGAATCTGAAATGAATCAAGATTATAAATCAAAAGAGACTCATATGGCACAATCGTCATTAGCATTTAAGATTATGAAAGTCTCGTGATTGTCTTTTCTTATTCTTCTTTTTTGAAAGTCAACGACATTTGAAAAAAACTGGTTTTGAATCAACAATAACTGAATCAAAGAAGCTCAATCAGGATAATCAACCATGTAATAATTTCGAGTATAATTAATCAATAAAGTCATGGAAATTAATTCACTATTATTTATGAACTTTAGTTTTTATAACTTTGACCGTCATGGATTTCGTTACAAAACTTTGTAGAATTTTCAACTTCATTAAATTTATAATTTACGTTTAGTTAGATTTGACAAAAAAATTTGATTTAACGCTGCTTAGATAATTTTTCTTAATCACTTTATAAATATCTACATCGTTAGCGGTAACACTTTTAAAGAAATTCAAAAATGTGTTAATGATTGAAGAAATTGAAAGATAAACAAATAATAAGAAAATCTAATCCTCACCTCCATGTGTTGCCCAATATCGGAATGGGTTTGGGACCCGGCACCTGTGAATATGGAAGATATTGTTCAGTCACTACTTCTTTTTTTGCACGATTGGCAATGATCTGATGATCATTTGTTGCAACATCTGCATATGGACATTGGGCGACTGGTGCGGCTATTGTTGAACGATGTTTGACTACGTGAAAAACATTTTTGTTCCACTGACTGTAAATTAAAAGTTTTCTTGTTGTTTGCATTTTTCTTCTTCTCTATCGTAAAAATATTTTCGATTTCAACCAGACGTTCGTTCTGCGAATGGAAATGATTTGTATTAAAAACTTAAAACGAAACTACGACGTGAGTTGCATTTATTTGTTCATTGTTAGATATTTTAGTTGCCTCTTCCTTGCTTCTAATTATTTTCATCGATTCGATATGAATCATTTGATATAACGAGGAAATCATTAGCGAATAAGAAACTTAATTTTTTAAGTCAACCACCATGTAAGGTGAATGAAAATAAAGAACTGGTTTCGCTTCAAAAGCGTCATTTCAAAAGATTTCACATGTCAATATCATTCTTGGACTCTTCTTTAGGTTTTGGAATGAGGTCAACTAAACGATTCCGAATTCCGCTGTGTTGAACGATGTAAAATGCTGTAAAGGAAGAAGCGATAAATCGCAATGGCCTTGTGAGTTGCGTTGACAACTCGTTTGCTTGGCACTGCTTGTCGGTTGCTTGTTTAAGAAGTAATGACAATATTTGATATTAAACACTAGAAAACAGGTTTCGCATTCCCTCGTTCAAATCTATTGTTAACCACGACGCTCTGCCAATTATTTCAATGCAAAATGAAATCTTGCCGAATGAATCTTTATTTACATTTTTTATTTGCGAAAATTTGTGTTTTAATTACAGTTTACCGACACTCAACTTTGAATGCATTGACACGGTTTCAAAGCAATCTTCTGACAAAAAAAGCAATTTTTCTGTTCCATTCAATCTTTGTTTCCATTTAAATAGCTGACGACATTAAAATTCGGGTTTAATTTGTGAATGATCGATTATCTAACGCTAATGTGTGTCCTAAAAACTCGTGGAAATATTTTGAAAGTTTCACTTCTTCACTCTGCAATCATTTGGATTTAGTTTACAAAGCAATATGGCTTGTGCATTTGTTCACACAATAATAAATCATATTTTACAACATAAGTCATAAACAACTGCTCTTGTATCTGAATGGCCTATAATTCAATGAAATTGGTTTTAAATTAACCGCAACACACTTTATTCATTAATCTCCGATCGTACATAAAAATATTTTTGTTAAATATGTTCAACTTTCAGCGGTCGTGTGGAAAGTTTGTCTAAATATTCAAAACATTGTTCCATCATGGAAGTTTTCAACTTCAATTTCAAACAACAATAATTGTGGGCCGATTGGATGAAGAATTGAAATTGAAAATGATTACCAAACCGGATTTCAAGTAAACTTTAGTCAAAAGGTTTGCAGATGATTATTTACTTTAATAAAGAATTTTGTTGTCAAGCACACTAACCGAATAGTTGAGAAATGTTTCGTCATTAAAAGCGAAACTTCTTAATATAAAGTCTGCTTAACTTCTTCTGATTATTTACGCTACCACAAATGTAAATATTTTATTACAATACTTTGAGTCTTCCAGACAAACCACATCGTAACTTCAGCATCATGAACCGTTCATTGACATCAATTCAATATTTTCTTTCCTATTAAAATTTTTAGATTTCATCGTGTCAGATTATTGATTCATAAAACTAAAAACCATCTTTGAAACTGTTTTAAGTCAGAATTAATTGCAATTAATGATTAAAAATTGCTGCGTATAATTTATTATTTTCACTCGAACGAGTTATTCAGTGTACCATTTTACGACTTTCGTAATAAACCGTGAATACCACACCGCAAACTTATTTATATTTAAATGATTTTCATCCTCATAAACGCGACTTTTCGAAGATAATCACTAATAATATTCAAATATTATTGATGGTGTTATTAACGCTACAGCTCACAGTCTTCATTTTAATCATGCTAAATAGCCATCGCTATATTTACAATTCTTCACTAAAAGTGATTTCAATTTTTTACACATTCTCAGTATTCTCACGTTAAAATACTTCATGAATAAATATTTAACTTTCTATACGTCATAAATCTTTAAAGAAAATCAATTTTAATTTATTCCAATGCGTTTGTTTTATCTTTGTGATTTATTTTCATGTGCAACAAATTATTTATTTGCAACAATCTTCTTACAATTAATGAAAGTGGTAATAAACTTCAACAGCTCGCGCTTACTTATTTTAAACCATCTCGTATGATGGCTAAAGAAGAACTGATTGAGAAAATGGCATGTTAAAGTAACGTCTCTTACTTCTCCAAAAATTTCTCCGAGTTAAAAGAGAACGAAGATTTAAGCTTAAGTGGAAACAGAAAATATCTACTTTATGCTTTACATACTTATATAGCTATGGTCTCAACTTAAGTGCGCACATGCTAAATGAAAATGGAGGTGAAGGTTATTTAATATAAAAGAGGCTAATTGCTGATATTACTATAAACTCGTGCACATTGCAAGCTTCACCAAAAGAAGAAAATGTAAAGTTTAAGAAAGTTTTGTGATCACTAAGTTTTATTTTAATTTGGAGCTTCTGAATTTATTTAAGGTGAGATGTTTGTGGCAATTGCATAACTTTAAGGCGCAAAGAATTTAAATCACAGCGAACATCAAACCACCAACCACCAATTTTTAAGTTAATCGCGTATCATATGCAAATGAAGCTATTAATAAATTTTTAAGTTAAAAACATTTCTTATAATTCAAAATCATAGAACTACAACTTCAGTGTTGTGTTGGCAGTGAAGAAGAGTGGAAGTTATTTTCAGACAATAATTTTAATCAAAATAGTTCGAAGATTAATTATCATAACAAGTTTTTATATCAATTGATAAATTCTACAACGAATTTTAAAGCTTATTATGGATGAGAATACAAATGATGATGACGGAAGTTATCCTTTATGGATGAAAATATTATTTTTTGTTGTACCAACTTTAATTTCAACAGCAATTTTGTTTCTGATAAGGTGGAGTCAGAAATTTTACATCAAATTTGATGATTTTAAATTAATTTCATTTCGTTTTCAGACATTTCCTTAAAAATAAAATATACGACAAAGAAACAAGAATTCAAGGAAAAGTTGTGGTCATCACTGGTGGAAATTCAGGAATAGGAAAAGAAACTGCAGTGAATTTAGCCAAACGTGGTGGAAAGATTTACATTGGTTGTCGAGATAACATCAAAGGAGAAAAAGCTTTGAAAGAAATCAAAAAACGATCTGGAAATAAAAATGTTTTCTTGTTGAATTTAGATTTGGCATCAGTTGAATCTATAAGAGAATTTTCCAACAAATTTCATGAAGCCGAAAGCAAACTTCACATCTTAATTAACAACGCTGGTGTTATGGGATGTCCAAAATCGAAGACTAAAGATGGATTTGAAACACATTTTGGAACAAATTATCTTGGCCATTTTCTTCTGACGAATCTACTTCTTGATATAATGAAGCAATCGATCCCCAGTCGAATTATTTTTGTATCAGCAACAGCTCATAAGTTCGGAATCTTGAATAAAGAAGATTTAATGAGTGACAACTCATATTCAAGATTCAAAGCGTATTGTCAGTCAAAATTAGCAATCAACCTGTTCGCTTATGAACTTAGTAAGCGAATAGTTGGAACGAGAATAACTGTGAACATAGCTGATCCTGGAATTGTCGTTACTGATATTTGGAGACATTATGTTAAGCCAGATTGGTTGAAATCGATCCTTCAATCAATCCTAAGAAAGTTCTTAAATACACCAAAAGAAGGATCGCAAACATCTTTACGACTTGCAGTTGATAAAAATTTGGAAAGAATTTCCGGCAAATATTATAAAAGTTGTAAAGAAATTGAACCTTCTGTCGATTCGAGGAACGAAGAATTATCATGCTGGTTATGGAAACGAAGTGCAGAATTAATCGAATCTTTAAAAGTTTAAAAAAAGTTAAATTTATTTTCATAATTTTGTAAGTTTTTCACTTTCTTTCCAAAGCCATTTGGCCATGTCATCGTTTTTTGCTGTCCACATTGTCCAAGTTATCTTACAGTCACTAAAGTATTGTCCAGAAATATTTTCCAAATCGGGATCAACAGCAAGCATAATTTGAGTTTGAGCTCCAGCTGAAGTATCTTTGAACAAAACCCATTGGAATGGAGTAGTCAAAACTCTCACAATAATGTTAATATGTCGTTGTAATCCACTATGAACCGCTCCTATTGTATAAATAAAGAATGAACTGTTTATTTCATAACATAACAAAACAAAAGTTACACTTGACAACATTACCAGGGTGCAAACAATTAACTGTCACTCCACTTCCTTTCAGTTGTCTTGCTAATTCTCGTGTGAATAAAATATTCGCAAGTTTACTCGTGGCATATTGAAACCAACGAAAGTAAAACTTTTCTCCAAAAAGATCATTTGTAAATATCTTTCCAAGAATATGAAATAAACTCGACACGACAACTATGCGACTTGGCGCTGATGATTTGAGAAGATCAAGTAATAAGTTTGTTAGCAAAAAATGTCCTAAATGATTCACTCCCATGTGCATTTCAAATCCATCTTTTGTGTATGATTTCGGACAAGCCATAACTCCAGCATTGTTAATTAAGATGTGAAGTTTTGATTCAAGTTTATGAAATTTCTCACTGAATTCACCAATTGATTTTATTGATGCCAAGTCGAGTTGAAGAAAATGAATTTGTCTGCTTCCACTTTTCTCCTTGATTTCATTTACTGCAACTTTTCCACGATTCTCATCACGACATGCAATGTAAATTTTTCCACCGCGTCTTGCTAAATCGATGGCAGTTTCTTTTCCAATCCCTGAGTTAGCTCCTGTGATGATTACGATCTTACCATCAATTCGGACATTCTTCTTGTATTGTCCACCTTGCATGTAATGTCTAAGAAGATAGGTAATTGCAGTTTTTTCAATAGCAATCAAAATAAAAATCTCACCTCAAAAGAATTACAAACAAACAAAAGAAAATCAACGCAATCATTGCAAGCAACAACGAAAAGGCCACTACCGAAATTAAATCAAAATTCATCGCTTGATAATTGATAAGCAAAAAAACTTTTTTATCTAATCAATAATTTTATGATAACATTAAACATTCTACATAAATATTTTGTTTTTAAAAATTTCTTTCTTCACACAAAACTAGCCAACAACTAACGACTTTAAATTTCTTTTGCACTTTACTTCGCTATTTCAATTATTATTCAATACAACCCTGAAAGTTTTTTTATCGTCTTCATTATACATTCAATAAGCATAATTAATTTTAAGAGAATAAATACTTCAATTTGTGAGAGAATTTGAGGCAAACATTTAATTAATTTTACGTGTGTTAGATGAATTTCTTATTAAGCATTAAATTTTCCAATAATCTTAAATAAAAAAATTATCAAATCTAAACTTTTCAATTAATACTTTAAAGCTTTAAAAAGTTTTCTTGAAAGCTCCACAAATATTTTTTCAACTTTTAAAAAGTTGTTTCATGTAAATAACAGCAATAAGTGAGGAATTGAGCGATCATTGTAAGATTTAGAAATTAATAAGCTTATAATCTAGCCATTAAATGGTTTGTTTACCAATCGCTTCATTGTTTATTGCTTACGCAACTGTGTTTGGAATGGACATTCCAGTCCATTCTTCGCTCGTTTTCCATAGCCAAGCAGCTGTTTCATCATTCTTTGCAGCACTTGTTGTTCTCGCTTCAGTGCAATCGCTGAAATATTTTCCTGTAACATTCTCTAATTCAGGATCGACTGCCAATCGAATTGTTGTTTGAGCTCCAGCCAAAGGCGTTTTAAAGAAATGTAAAAATGGACCAAAAGCAATCCTAAAAGTTTAATAAGAAAATATAAAATTGTAATTCAATTAATTTTCAATGTCAATTCACCATGAACACATGTCCATATCTCTTGTAAGTTCCGTTCTGACAGCTCCAGGATGAAGAGAATTAGCAGTCACTCCAGTCCCTTCCAATCTCTTTGACAACTCTTTTGTAAACAAAATATTTGCCAATTTACTTTGTCCATAAGCGAGCCATCGATTGTAAGATTTTTCACTGTTCAAATCTGTTTTGTTGATGCGACCGATGTAATGAGCTATGCTTGATACATTAATAATTCTGCTCGGTGATGATTGCTTCAATAAGTCAAGCAATAAATTTGTCAACAAGAAATGTCCCATGTGATTTGTCCCAATCTGCATTTCAAATCCATCTTTTGTGGTAGCTTTCGGAACTGCCATAATACCAGCATTGTTAATTAAGATGTGAAGATTGTTTTCCAATTCATGAAACTTCTTCGAGAATTGACGAATTGACTCCATTGACGCCAAATCGAGTTGAAGGAAGTGAACATTGTTGCTTTCACTTTTTGCTTTGATATCTTTCAAAGCGTCTTCACCACGTTGTAAATTCCGACATGCGATGTAAATTTTTCCACCACGCTTTGCTAAATCGATGGCAGTTTCCTTGCCAATTCCTGTATTAGCGCCAGTTATAATCACGACTTTGCCTTCTATTCTTGAGTTCTTCTTATATTGTCCACCTTGTGCCCATTTTCTTTTGGAAAAAGAAATTAGTTTAATCGTTAAAACTCATTTATAATGTAAAGAATTTGTATAAATCATAATGAACGTGACTTTGTTCCAATTCCTAAATGTAAAGGACTTGTGTTGTCCAAAAATATTCTTAATTGTAGTTAGAAAAATGAAGTAATTGATTCCATTGTTACTTTTCAATGAAAGCAAAAGTTACTAACGACACGCTATAAGTTTTGCTTTTTAACATGCCATCATCATTTATTTTACTATGCTTGTAGAAATTTCTCATATAATTTATTGATTAAATAATTCTAATACAAATGTCGCGGCAAAGTCATCGTGAGGTGAATAACATATTTTAATTTTTCTTTCATAGAACAAACATGTTGCTTCAAAATCTGATTACTTCTTCAGAACTTGAAGTTCGTGTTTAAATAAAAGTGAAGATAATATCGCAATAAACAGAATTGAATACGTCAAACATTTGTTTAGTGAAGCCGAACGCTAAACATTGTTTTGAAGAGCTTCCATTATCTCCATGAAGCATAAAACTATTTATGTTTCATGTGCGCCGCAAATTTATTCTTCTTTCCTTCCGATTTCTATTTATAGAAGAGACATTCAACATTTTGAAAAAGGAAAACGAATAATCAGCTCCCTTAATCATTGTGTCACGAAAAGTGTTAAATGTTAATCACTTTCCTTTACAATAAAAATCTGCGTGAAAATTTCCTTACTCGAAAACTTGTGACGTAAATTGAAAGCGAATTAAACTAATTTCATTTAGTTTTCTGTGACGACTTTAAAAGGAATAATTCCAAAATTTATCATGATTGATTATCAATTTATTTGACAACCTAGAATAGTTTATAATTAATTTAAAAATTCTCTGCTTGTTTAATTATTATTTTTGACAACGTTGTTGATACTCAGGAAATAAATAGAAAAAATATGAAACACGCAATTACATCTCATTGAAGTTTAATGAAATCTCAACAAGTTTACCTTATTAGAAATACAAGCGCTACACATCCCAAAAGTACTAACAAAACAATTAAAACTATTATCCAAGGTGATAAAGAACTAGAATCATCCATTTTTATTGTTAATATTCTTATCAAGCACTTAATTGATTTTTAAAAGTTTTTTTTTTCAATTCCTCTCAATGAAATTTGATCAAAATGTAATTAAATTCGGGATAAAAAAAGAACTGAACTTGACACAGAGAAAAGTAATTTAGAGACTCTTTATTGTAACGTACAAACTTCAACTGCTTCGACGAAAAATGGAAATATTTCTCAAAGTAACGCTGCGCAACTTTTTATGAACAATACAATTGTACGCTTGTTGTAGGTACATCAACAATTCAATGATCCACCACCGAGTTACTTATTTCGATAGCTATTTATTTATTTATGTACTCTTGAACTCTCCTTACTTACTACTCTGTGGTAAATAAAACCGAGAATAAGATTTAAACATTTGGTTAAACGTAAATGAAGGACTACAAATGTTTGCTGTAAATACATGGAAGAAACAATCATTTGATGCTCACCAAATTCATGTACATAAACAACATGTAATGCGACTCAAACAAAAGTATTATAAAAGTGTTAAAATTGTTTACATTGCCGGTATTAAAGTGATGTCATGAGCCGAGATTATATAATAATTTTATACCAAAAAAATGTGATAATTATTTGTAGCAATAAATGAATATATATCGTGATCTTGACCATGATTTATTTTGTCTGATTGTATTAACTTCTCCATACTAAACTCATGTATGTTATTCATTAAGTGCTTACACATAGTCACTTTGAGCATTCATACTTAGATGATTGTGAATAATTTTTGTCTTGCCACTTAAGACGTTTTTACGAATAGAAATGAAGAGAAAATTAAAAAAAATTCTGTTTCATTTCTTTGGAGTTTGACTCAAACCTTGACTCACAACAATTCAAAGCTAAGAAAGGAAAATTTAATTTACAGGAAATAATTTAATTAAAATTCTGTCTATTAATGTAATAACTGATAGTTTACATCACGCATTGCACTTGTAAGGTTTGTCGATGCATAATTATTGTCGAGACGACCGACGTTTTGTTTAATTCAAAATCAATATTTTTCATATCATCGCTCGTTCTAATGAAGTGTTTGCGGTTCATTGTTGTAAACAATTGTTAATTATATTAACTGTTATTATTTTAAAAGCATTTAAAAGTTTTGTTTTAATAAACATTGACGAGTTTATTTTGTCTGTTAAAGTAGACACTTCACTTCTTAAGAATAAATTAAGTCTTAACACTTGAGATGACTTGTGATGACTTTAATAATAAATGTAACTGATTGATTATGAATTTCAGTCAATTTTGTTTTCGTATTGGCCAAATGAACAATTTTCTTATTATTTCAAATTGATCTTTCATTAATAATCAACTTCAAAATTCTTACTTGATCGAAGGCTTTTTCCAAACAACTGACAACATCTTTGCTTTGTAATAAACTATCACGATGAAGAGATGAAACTTAAATGATACTGTTTCAGTATGAAGTATGATTTTATCTGAAACACCATATGGAATCATGATTTCTTTTTAATAAATTCGTTAACTTAAATCACAAGGTGAAATTATAATTTCATTTTTATTAGACAACTTTTCAACCAAACTCGGAAGTTTTACAGATGGCTTTTTACGTAAATGTTTTATTTGATGGAAATGATGCTTTGTTATCAACGAGGATGGTGATGAAGATGAAGATGATTATAATATATGTAACTGAGGCTTCGAAGAAGAAAGCATTGATTCGTTCACACCATCGAAAAAGCTTCAANAACTCTGTAGAGAGGTAGAGCATAGTCCAAAGTAGCTCTCTACAAAGTTTCAAGCCGTAAATAATAAAAAATAGCTGAGAAAATTAAGTTCGAAAGTAGTGGTCGATAATTGGACGCGATTTCGAGGTGGTCGATAATTAGACAACTACCCTAATATATGTAACCGAGGCTTCGAAGAAGAAAGCATTGATTCGTTCACACCATCGAAGAAGCTTCAAAGTTATTGATGATGGAATGGAACGATCGAAAAGCCACACAATGAGAGTGATTTCGGTTTTTCAAGAGAGTGTCGAAAAAGAATAAGAGAATGAAAGATTTTTCGTGTAAATATTTAAATGATTTAAGACTTGAACAAAGAGAAATGTGAGACGTGGACGTCTTAAGACTCTTAAATATTTATATCTAAATTAATTGTAAAATGGGGAAATTTTTAAATAATTTGTAAGTTACAACAACATAAATTAATGTTTTATGCTCAAATTACATTTTAATGACTCTTTTAGTAAAAATCTTGTGAACAAACCAATGTACACAAAAAATACTCGAATTGATGGTAAGGTCGTATTAATTACTGGTGCAAATACAGGAATAGGAAGAGAAACTGCAATTGACCTCGCACGAAGAGGTGGAAAAGTTTACATCGCGTGTCGTGACATGGAAAAAAGTGAACAAGCATTGGAAGTAATCAGAAAAGAATCTCAAAGTTCAGAAACGTTTCTGTTGAATCTCGACCTTGCCTCGATTGAATCAATCAGAAAATTCTCAAAGAATTTCCATGAAATTGAATCAAAACTTCACATCTTAATCAACAATGCCGGAGTTATGGCTTGTCCGAAATCATACACAAAAGACGGATTTGAAATGCAAATTGGCGTTAATCACCTCGGACATTTCCTTTTAACGCAACTGCTACTTGATCGTCTTAAAGCATCAGCACCAAGTCGAATTGTTGTCGTGTCATCGTCGGGTCATAAATTGAGTGATATTAACAAATTAGATTTAATGAGTGACAAAGCTTACAACAAGATCAAAGCTTATGGTCAAAGTAAGTTGGCGAATATTCTTTTCACTCGATATTTGGCAATGAAACTTGAAGGTTCTGGAGTGACTGTTAACAGTTGTCATCCTGGAATTGTTCAAACAGATCTTGGACGGCACATGGAATCATGGCTTCGACCAATCTATCGAAAAATTTTATTTCCATACTACAAATCAATCAAAGAAGGCGCCCAAACACAAATCCGTCTCGCAGTTGATCCCGACTTGGAACATGTAACAGGAAAATATTTCGTAGATTGTCATGAAGTTGAACCATCGAAAGCAGCATTAAATGATGAAACAGCTGCTTGGTTGTGGAAGAAAAGCACAGAAATGATTTACGTGAAATACAAACAACTTGAAAAGATGCATTTAATTAAGTATTGAAACGAGTTTCATTTTTCTTTTATAAATAAAAAAATAAATTTATGTACTTAAATTCTTATGTCTTTGATCAATTTACAAAATTGCTTAAAAATTGCTTTTCAGTCATTCACCAATGCCTCAATCGATACATTAACATTTAGTACTATCATATCAGGCATAGCAAGTGTAAAAGTTTGAAATAAATTAAGTTAAGTAATTGGTTATTGTGACAAATCGTTTCCACGAGTTTCGTAAGGAAGAAATAAGCAAGCAATGGAAGCACATATTGCAAATATCCCATAAACTGCCACAGCTTGTCCAACAGAAGCTTGAAGTAACACTTGAGCGACATAAGGCGTACACATAGCACCAAGTCTTGCCAACGATGAACATCCACCAACACCAATTGATCTTAAATTTGTTGGGTAGACTTCTGGTGTGTAAACATAAGCTGCTTGAAAGAGACCAGCGATGACACCTCGTCCCAAAAACAATATCAATGTGAGAAGAACTCGACTAAAATTATAAATAATTGTAAATGATCAAAAATTTCTGGATTTCTCTTACTCAGTCGTCACAGTGATTAATGAAACGCATCCAGCATATAAAAGAAATTGAAATGCCATTGTTTTCTTCCTTCCACATCTTTCAATAATATAAATGGTTGTGAATATTCCTGGGAACTCAGCTAATGTTGTCCATAAAAGGTCCATGTAATCAGTGGTAGCCAAAGCATGACAATCATCAAGACCTGGCGTGGGTGTTCGATTCTTCCCTCCAAACAATTCTGTTGACATCAACACTAACCCGTAATAACAGAAAGCACACGACATCCAAATAAACCACAATAAAAGTGTCGTTCTTCTCAATGATGAACTCAAGAGAGCTTTCAAGCTACCACGAGAATTTGAACTTCCTTCGACAACAAGTCTTCCTAACAACATCGGTCTTCGATTGTCTTTAGCGATCTGAAAATTATTTAATTAACAAAATTTAAACCATGATTCGCATTTGCCTTTCTTACAGTTTCCAATGTCGTCAACGCTTTTTCATTTTGACCACATGAAACATGATATCTTGCTGATTCAGGAAGCCACGGAGTTAAGCATGCAAAAACAAATAAAGGTGCTGCTGATAAACCCAAAAGCCATCGCCATCCAAAATTCGGTACGACAGCCATTGCAAGAACAACTTCAAAACATGCGCCAAGTGCCCAAAAGCAATCTAAAAGAACGACACACTTTGCCCTTTGCTTGGTTGGAAGGAATTCTGCATAAAGAGTGACACTTTGAGGAACGGCACCAATAGCAAATCCTACAAGTCCTCGAAGTAATAAAAGCCAACCCAAGTTTGGTGCTACAGCACTAAGAAGTCCATAAAGGAAAAGTAAAATTCCGCAAAGTGTCAATGCCTGAATATAAGAATAATTAATGATTATTTATTGTTTGAAGAAGGAATTAAACAGACAATTCTTACCGGTTTTCTTCCATATTTGTCACTGAGACTTCCCCAAAATGTGCTGCTCAACATCATGCCTAGAAAGACGACTGTTGTGACCATTGCTTGTTGATATCGACTGATTCCCCAATCACAATGCAATGCTGGGCCGAGGACGGACAGAATTGTCATTTCCATGGAATCACTCATCCAACAGAGTCCCACAAAAAGCGATAACTTCACTTGAAACCATCCAAATCCTAAAGCATTCACCGCCTGCGCAACAGTAAAAGTATCTAAAAATGTCAAAATATTAGCATAAGAAGATGTCGAAGTGATGACTCATTTAATTACCATCAGGAACGACAGAAACGCTTGCAAGCTCGAATTGCGGTGAAACCAAACCATTGGTATTTGTGATAGAAATTCCATTGGGGTTTTGACTTGTTGTAATCGTAGATATGTTAACACCTTCAACTTCTTCATAGCCTTTCGAGCCTGGCCCTCGAATTCCCATGATGAGTTTAATTAAATTTCTCCTGTTCTTAACTTTATTTAAATTTTCACATTTGCCGGAAGACAATTAAACGTTAATGAAGACGTTTCAATTATGTTTTGATATCTAATTGGGTTAATAAAAGTTTCTGAAGAAATTATTTTCTTCTTCATTCAATAATTCACTGTATGAATGAACAGTTAAATACACACTCGACTATGATTTCACAAATGATGATTTTAATAACTTTTCATTCTCATTTTCCGTTTTGAAATTTCATTTGCAATCAAATCTCTTCTACGTCTTAACTGAACTGAAGAAAAGATTTGCAAACATTTTATTTTCGTTAATTGACGATGTCAACATTTTGGATTTTCTTCTATAGTTTTTTTTGGTAATATTCGACTGTGGTTGGTAATACCGAACAAAGATATTTATGTTATTGAACTCTCAGAAACACCTTGCACAACTCTTTTTAACTTTCGAAAATATGAAACTGTTAAACCGTTGCATTAAAACTTTTAATGAAGTTCTTATAAACTCAAAATCCGAGTTAATTTTGTCACAGTAAATGGTTTTCTATTGTTGAATTCCTTTCATTCTTTTTTTTTCTTAAGAGAACAGAAGAAAAGAAACTTAACACGTATTCACCTGAAAAGAATTTCTACAAATGCGAGAGGTTTAAAGCGGTCGAAACTAACGACTGAAACTTAGCTGCTGATGTTGTTGTTGCTGTTGGGCTATGGATTGTTGTTTTCGATACATTTCTTAAGAATGAGTGTATGAAGAAAAGGCCGATGAGAATAAAATTTATTCAAATGCCAATGTAGTGAAGATCTTTCTTTCTTAGTGTTGCTTCACTTTTGCCGATTTGTTATATAACACAACAAGAATTACAAATATCGAGAAGAAAATGAATGAAAACAATGAGAGAGCGAGAGAGAAAAACTATTCACAGGTGTAAGTGAGTGATTTTTATGAAACTTGCTTGAGAAAAGTCAAGTTGAAGTCTGTCGATTGTAGCATTGGCAAGGTGTAGTTGAAATCAAAAATTTCTCTCAAACTTTTCTCTCGCAGCATGTGGTTAAGTATTGAATGATTTATTATGACGGTTTGTTTATAAATTAACGCTTTTCGTTCATTTTGTTGATGCTTCGAGACATCCAAACTTTGGATAAATAAGGAAAAGTCGCTTTTGATCAAATTTTCAAAAATAAAAAGAAGTTTAGTTTCTTTTCTGATGTGATAATTGCGGTCAAATTCGTGATCATTTAATATGCTGAATCATTAATCTCGCTCGTGCTTTGTCATAACAGCACATTAGTCTTCAAAGATATCTTTGCTTTTAAACACTTCCGTACACATTTTTTTCTAATAATTTGAAAGTAAAAGTTGTGTAATTTAAAAGAAACAAAAAAATAAATTTTTAACAAGATTTTTTTGATGTCGTCGTCGATTATGCAAATTTCAAAAGAAAATTTTAATGAATTGTTAAGAAGTGTTGTTGGCACAATTTCCCAACTTCTAATATCTTCGATGATATTTTATTATAAAATTCATTTCAAAACATTAATGTTGATATCTTTACATATTGTTTTGATCACCTTGAGCCTCATTCCAGTGTTTTGATTTCTGCTGCTTTCGTAAGATTTTTTTCGACAATTTATTGAATGGAACTTCGAAATAAACTGTGCTGAGAAATGAAATTCGTCCGGTGATTTTCATTATCACGTAAGACATAACGATCTAAAGAAGTGTGAAAATCAATTAAATTGAAGTGAATTTCAATATTTGATTCGTTGCTTACAATTTCTGGAACGTTGTAGCTGCTTCCATTTTCTGACAAGCCATAAATCAAGATCGTCACAATTGGAGTTAATAAATAAAATGCGTAAGTGATTCTTCCAAAACGAATGAAGAAATCTTTCGACAGGAATCTTATGAAAGAATTTTTATAACCAGAACTATCTGCAATTATGATCCAACCAAAGATAAAAGCCATTTTCAGATGCGCTAAAATTTTTAATGCCGACGCAACAAATGTCGAAGAATTTTTGAAATAAAAAAGTTCAAGGAACAGCGAGCTACAAAATAATCCACAGAGGAACCACATCCACGATGTTTCTTTCTAAATAAAAAATAAATAAATTAATTTGAGTGACTCAGTTGAGATTTAAAACAACCTTTGATAAGATTAACTTCCCACCATTTCGATGAAGCATTATTGCGATTTTCGTTCCCATAAAATAAGGACAAATTCTCGCAAATGGTTGAATATAAACTTTTGATAGTAAACTAATCATCACGTCAAGTTGAAGTGTAAAATCGTTTGAAATGTGCATGAAGACACTCAAAAGGGTAAATCCAAGGAAAAGTGAGTCAAGCAATCGTTCTCCAGTTTGAGGATTTCTAAGGACAAAAGTATTAACGTCAGTTTGAAAGACGTAATTAATAATAAGTTACACACCTAACATAAATCATCAAAATTAATGTAACTATTGCAAAAAACTGCAAATCACATGCAAGTGACCATGACCATAACACACACATTTCGTCTTCAGGAAAGAAATTTTGAATATAAAAAATGTTTCTCCACCAGAACCTGTCATGGAAACAAAGAAGAAGAAAAATCATTCGGTTGTGAGATTGTAATGAGACATATTTATCATACATACTTTGTACATGTCAAATCATTTCGTAGAAATAACGTGTGCGGCGACAAATCATTTAAAAGTGACGACACAACTTCAGATGTGAGCATTGCTAATATCAATAGTGGTGTCAGTCTTAAATATCGTTGTAGGAATAGTCGCATGTAAATTTTGAAGTTTGTCAACAGATTATTTGATTTAATTTCTTCCACACTTGCAACATCACGTAGGAAATTTGTTGCAGTTAAAAAACTTGATATGACAAAGAAGCTGAACGATATTCACATTTTAAAAGTAGGATAGAAAAATAAAAATAAAATATTTGAATTAATTACCCGTCGACTAGAAGTGCTGAGTTGATAATTAACATTCCCAGAATGTTTTCTGTAGCAGATAAATAAGCAACTTTATTCGTCAATGTAAAGTGCATGAATGTACAAACATGAGAAATTGCGAGTACATAACATGACATTGACCTGAAAATACCATAAAAATCATTTTTCAACTCAAAGTATTTGAATATCAATACCTCAATCCTGAGATTGATTTTATTGCTAGCGGATCGACTTCGCGTTGAAAAATTTTCATTTTGTTTTCCTTGTAGTGAAAAAGTTTCACGAATTCATCGAATCGTGAAGGCTTCAAATCTCTTTCGATGTCTTCCGACAACATATTATTGTTTGTATCGGTTTTCATATGTTTTTGCAAAGTGTTTGCAGATTTACTCGACAATACAACACAAAATATGCATATAAGGAGAATCCATAAACTTTTCTTAGCGAAAAAAAGTGTGCTTAACATGAGGTCTTTGACTTCCAAAACTTCTGCTGTCATTTTATAATCTTTCAATGATTGTGCGTCTTTCTTGTTCAACAGTTTTTGTGTCAAGAAATAAATTTCCTGATTTGAACATTCTTTGGGAAGACACAAACCTATTTGAAGAGTGTTCTCGGTCATGACATTTATTTGAACTTAGAAAACATTAGAAAGTTAGAGAAATTTCTTTTATTTATTAATTCATGAATACCTTGTATAGGTGAATTATGTTTTGCGTGAACAATGCGATATTTTACTTCAAAAGGTGCAATGTCATTCATCAAATCTTCCTTCATGTTTCTTTTCAAACGATTAGAAAGATTGAACACAATTTTTTTACTGACATATTCACATTGGCCTCTTGATCCATGCCACAAATTATTACCAGAAAGGAAACCAGATGCTGGAATCGCTGATGAATCAACAACTTAAAGTAAGAAAGGGGAAAATATCAATCAACAAATAAATTATTTAAAGCTTTGAGAAGTTTAAAGAAATAACAGAACAATTATATAGCTTGAAGTTTTAATTAACATCCTAATGATGTCTCAGAATCAGCACATAAAAAAGAATAAAAAATTCTTTAACATCATTCCGTTATATGTTCATAAGCAATTATCGTGAAAATATTGAGGATAATTTGACTTTTAAATATTTTAACACTGACGTCGATGAAAAGAAAAGAATTATCAATTAACTAACATTGAAAATTCTCCAGCATCTCAAAAATATTTACAATCACAATTTATGGAAAATAACAATTTCAAATTGTTTTAACTACTTACGCTTGAAGGCCCACATTGATTTCCTGTGTATTCCTTCTTCGATTAGTTTCAAATCAGCTTTGCATCGCGATGATAAATTGTCAATGTCATCTGCAAGGCTTACCAAGTCGTACATAATTGAATTTGTTGTCAAAACAATATGGTAATTATCGGCACTTTTTGTCCTATTGTTATCGATATTTTCACATGTGTCACTATTCAATCTCAAGTCTGCTAAACATATTTGAAGAAGAATTAAGAAGTACAATGATATTAACATTATTTCACGTGTTTCCTCTCACAAACAACTCTTCCTTATGATTTCTTCGAACGTTGAATTGCAAATGTTAGAATTTTTCCATTCGATCGAATCATTTCTCAGCGATTCGTGTGATTTTGGAGATTCTCACCAAAACTAAATATTCTTGAATGGAAAAGGTTCCCGAAATATAAATTATAATGACCATTAACAACTCTCGCTGTTTTTTCTCTCGAAATTTTGACATTTGGGGGCGGTGAATTCTCAAGAATCTTCAATGACACGCTCCAACAACTTTTGTTTTTCCAACATTCTTAAAGTATTTTTTCACAAATAATATTTACAAATCTTCTTCAAGTACAAAACATTATTTTTCCATTTTATTTATTTTAATTTTAATCATCATTCTACAAGTTTCTTCTTATATTTCTACATAAAATCACAAGGTTTTTTAAGAATCAGAATGAGTTTCCAGGAAACATTTTCATATTAATTATTATTCTAGAAATAAATAAATAAATTGCCTTCATTTTTGCTTCTGTTTCTTGAGATTGAGGTGCGTACGATATTTGCTAACATAAAATGTGTTTAGTCTCTAGAAACTTTAAATTCATCTTAGTTCTTTGAATTATTCGCATTTTCTTGCAATCGTTGGCGATCCCCTGAGCATCTCATTTGATAACTTATAAAAAGGAATTTCAAATAGCAATGAAAAAACGATGGCAAATGCATAACTCAGTACAGTAACTCCAATTAAGATAATGAAATAAAGCGGTGGATCTACATTTCCACCTTGATCAAACTCTCCAAAGATAATAGTGATGATGATTGGATTAAGCAAATAAATTGCGTAGGTTAATTTATTTAAATGTACAAATATTTTAGAAGAAAATATTTTAGAGACCAAGCCTAGTTTAAAGAATAAAAAACCTTCTAAATAAACGTTTTAAATGATTTATTAGAATTCAAACTCACAATTTTGTCCACAAGCGTTGGTGATGATGAACCAACAAACTGCAACTCCAATGAGCGGTCTTCCAAATAGGATGCATATCGAAGCTACATTCACACTCATGTCACGATAAACGGTGCTATGCAAAGCTAACATAAGTAAAAAGCTTGAAAACACGAACATGACGCTTTTGAATCTCTGTAAATAAAATTTTATTAACATTTACATTTTGAAGATATTTACGAGGCATCAAAACTAATTCGAGATATTCGATTGACAAGTTCAGTGACTTTATAAATATGGTTGACTCGAGTTAGACGTTTTACCCTTATTCAAAAACTCACATCAGACACATTAAATCTCTTTCGTCTGGCATTCAAAAAACAACCGCACGCAACACCGACACAGTATGGCGATATTCTCGTCCAAGGTGCGATGTACAATTCAGTTCCCGTGCCCATTAATACGTCAAACGTTGGGACGAATCTATGCTTGAAAACAAGTGCGCACGTCACTGCGAAAGTTCCAAGGGTCATCAACCAAAAAGCTCTTATTCCTAAAGACTTTTTTCTGTATTAAGTGATGTTAATTAACATTCATTAATAAATGATGAGTCATGAAAATGAAATTCATTTCCTTCTTACTTGGCATAAATAAATAAAATAATCGTAAAAATTATGAAGAATTGCATTTCGCAAGCCATCGACCATGTCCAATTCATACACAGATCGTTATGAGGGAAGAGATTATTAATGTAGAATAAATTTCGCCACCAATATCTGTTGACGTAGGAGAAAACGTTAATTGTTTATAAATTCAATTTAAGAAAGATTTCATTTTTTATACCTTTGGCAGTTTAAATCAGTTCTGTCATGAACCCAAAACTTGGACACATCAACAATGTATGAAGTGGATATCTCTGTGAGCAACCCGACCATTAAATATAAAGGTGAAAGTCTGGAAAGACAAAACAATTCTTAACTTTCAAGGTCTTTTTAAATTTTGTAAATCCACAATAAAAGTCTTTTGTTAAAAGAGTTTCGAAGAAATATGACGAAAATTTTCAAAATAAACTTTTATATCAATGCATAGTCTGCGTGTAGTCATAAGCATAATGAAATAGCTTTTTATGGCATATGCGTACGACTATAAACAAAAGATAACAGACTCTGAAGAATGATGTTGAGCTATTGCAAAAGCTCATAGTTTCATTTTCATTCATCTTCGAGACGGTAATTTGCATAAATGGAGAAATAATTTTTCGTTGATTTCTGGCTGTCTTTATTTTATGTGACTCGTTCTCCACAACCTCACCAACACAAGATGATTACCTTATATATCTATGCACCAACAGTTTCCCAAACAGCTTTACATTTGTCGTAAAGCTATTTTGCTTTATCTCAATCATTCGCTTTTTGTTTTTTAAAAAATTGTATGTCACTAGGAAACCGCTGAATAAAATGAGACAAAAGAAAATTTGTATTCAACAAACTTTTAAATTTAATTTGAAGGTCATATACCTGATTGCGAAGAAAGCATCAACTAGAAGTGCAGCGTTAGCGATCCATTGGAAACGCACCTGCTCAGAGAAGTGAAACATTACACCAGGGTTACTGGTCGCAAAAAAGCTGAACCAAAACAAATGGAATGCCAGAATCATGAAGCATGAAATTGATCTGTGGATGAGTGAATTGATGTACTTTAAATTGACATTACAACTTATCATTTAATAAATTAGCATACTTTATTCCATTTATGACATTTATTGAGTCTTTCGATGACGATGTGTCCATCAAAGTCTTCCAATTATTTTGTACTGAAAAACTTTTCAAAATTGTATCCCAGAATGTGAAACATTGGGCAGCCTCAACAGGATCCAATGCATCGTTTATTCTTTCATCTCGATTCCAAGCACAGAATACAATCAACAATACAATTAAAAAGATTATGCTGAGAAAGAAAACGAAAAGTTAGAGAGAGACTAAAGAAATATTTTCTTCACGCTTACCTCGTCATAATGACGCTTTTCTTCATGAAAAAGTTTTCTTGAAGTTTAAAGTCTTTGACTAATAAAACGTCAGTGTCAATTTCAAAGAGATTTTGCGCATCTAAGACTCTGGTATTTAGGAATTCTTGTGTCATATTATGCACCTCTGAATTCGAACATGATTTCGGCAAACACAAACCGATGTGCAAGAGATTTTCTGTCATGAATTTAATTTCAATTTGCCATGGTGAGTAATGTTTGGCGTAAACAATTCTATAGCCCATTTCAAATGGCGCAATCTCGTGAATCAAATCTGGTTTCATAAATCTATCGAAACGATCTGACAATGTTACGTAAAGTGGGTCTTTCACTGACTCACATCCTTTCTGAGATCCAAGCCAATGATTATTGCCAAGTAAAAATCCCGAACTCATAATTCCAGATGCGTCTAATACTAAAAGTAAATTTAATATGTAAATTATTTTGTTGATTCTCTTTGATTTTGCTTAATTACTCCCGACAAAGGTCAACAAGTTTTTACAAAAATTATTTACTTTGATAATGGATAATAAGTTAGATGTGATCATATGAAATGTGTCACCGACTTGATGATGTATTTCCTGTCGTTGTGCTTTACCTAAATTAACATCGGCGAGAGACTCAACGATTATTATTGAACAACTTTCACTTTTGTTTGCGATGCAATGATTGGAAGTATTTTGGGATAACACTTTATTAAGGTTAACTAACAATTTCATATCTCCGTCTATTTGTGATCACATTTATTAACAGTTGACTGAGAGAATTACATACACATGAATTTGATAACAAAATGCTACAACTTTACCGCAAGTTCATGGTAAACATTCATTCATTGTTGTGTAAACAATAACGACAACTTGTGCGTTTATATCCGCACTCAACATAAACGTTTTTCACATGAAACGAGATAGCATACCGCGTTTTACTTTTCTTTTTATTGTTATTATTTCTATTTTAGTCTTTTATTTCGAGAGATTTTAATCAAAAATGATTTGTTTGTGTGCAAAGTGAAATATTTCAAAAAGGGTTCAACAATCAACTACATATTTTAAAACCAAAAAACGCGACACGTGTGCCTAAATTTTGGTTTTAAAATCAATTTAAATTAAATTAAGTACAGGAAGTTTTTGAACATATGTTGGTAAATATTGCTAAGAGTAAATAATATGAAATTGAAAATTCTTACGATTTTTTCGTATAGATATCGAAGTTACGATAAATAATTATTTTTGCTATTTGATGTCGATTTGAGACGATCGTGACATGACAAATTATCACATTTGAGTCATTAAAAAAGATCTTCGATAAAGAATGAACTTTTGAGAGAAATTTAAAATTGAGAATGACTGAGACCTTCATAATTTATTCAATCAAACAATTACGATTATCCTTGATGGATGGAAAGTTACAAAACAACAACTCGATGGTGGTCTGGAAAAACTTTTATTATTGAAAGGAATAAAACAAATTCTTTCGAAATGCGAAACTTTTTTGATCCGTCCCATCATTAGTGAATTAAAAACTTGTTTAATTATTGAAGTTGTTTAAAATAAATCTGGGTTGGGGTATTCCATGACGTTGGTCAATTTGTATTTTATATATTTTATGGAGCTGACGAGTTGACAAGCAAATAAGATTAACACAAAGTAAACCAGACAACATATTTTACAAGATTTTTTTTATCAAATTGTAAAAATTTAACAACTTTTAATTTATTCGCTTAGTAAGATGTAAATTTAAACCCCTAGATTGGTTGTTACAACTGAGTTTATTTTAGATTCTAGAAGTAGTTCAGAAAAATTAATATTTGCATGCAACAAGACATTTATTTATGAAGAATTCAACTTCAAGTTTTCAAGATTCATCCCCAATAAAATCACAAAAAATTCCAAAGAATAATAAATAAAATTTCCACACATGAATTCATCGACTCCAAATCATTAACATTACAAATATCGTTGTTTGAATTGCTCAAAATTCTCATCTTTAAACGTCTTTGTTAATATTATTTCAATGATTCATGGGACATTGATTTTAATCAACGTGATTAAATTTTATCGTTCTCTTTGAGCTACTTAATTTATGTCTTGGACTTGCTTGTGTGTTAATACAACCGAAAAAAATCACCGCACAAAAGTGCAAAAAGTCGAAACGATTTTTCGATTACATAAGATATGTTACATAAAATTTTCTTTATCTTCCGTGGCGCGAGTCAAAAGTAAAACTGTTTAAACTTATTGTGAGTCTCACATCTCTGTTTGAAGTTGAGCGTGACTATTAAAAGGTTTACTGCATGTTACAATTGAATACTTTTTTGTTTTCTTTTCTTTTGGAAACATTAGTAATCATATGTACTTAAGTAGTTGCACACAAATTTTAGTCCTCAATGTTTCAATCAGTTCAAATTATTTTACGAAGACAAAATGCTTTTTTTAGGTAATGATGAGCATCTTAAGTAAATCAATTATTTCAAAACGATTTCTTATAGAGGAGATTTATGAAAGTTTTTTGTGTAAATTTGCTTTAAAGCTCTCGTCTGTTGTATGCGAATATTAATTGGGGAAAAAAATTCAAGATCTGAAGTTGCGAATTACTAATTTCTTTGAGAAAAAAAAATGAATATTGAAGTTAGAGATGATGACAACAATACGAAGTGAATTTATTTGTTGAATATTAACAAATCTTTATGTATGTTGCTCAAAAGACTCTTAAGATTATTAAAATTATCGATTCACACTAAGCAGTCCTGTGGATTTAACTCATTTAATAATAGAAAAATTTCCGAGACATGAATGCAGAATCTGCAAGTTAATTAGTGTGACGAAATATTACTTAAGAGCACTTACTTTTCCACCGACGCTAACTAGTCGAGCATAAAAGCGTTAAAAGTTAATTTATCAACAATTGCGGATATTCCAACTTGAATCAAGCAAATGACCTCTTCATAATAACATAAACCGAATCACAATCAATAAGATAACAACACTCGTTTCGCTTATTTGCAGTTTAGTATAATAAATCATACGAAGAGAAAGAAATTTCGAAAGGTTTTTGTCGAGAAATAAATATTAAAAGAAATATCCGTCAACTCACTCTTCATAGCCCAAATTTCTTTTCGGTTTATTCCGTAATAAATTTCCATAATTTCATTATAACATTGTTGATTTAGTTGATTTTCTTCGGCAGCAACTATCAGTCCATATATTACTGAAGAATGCTTCAAACGTTCCACAGGATAAATGTTGTTGAAATGTGAACTACTATCACGTAAATATTCGTCAAACTTTTGAACTAAGAGCATGCGGTCTCGCATCATTTCTTTACACTTTTCTTCATTATTGCATGACACTATAGGTGATGTAAGGTTTTCACTGTTGGTTTTATTCACATTTATATCACAATAAACTTTCGATAACTTTAGGACGATCAGTGTCAACACTAATGCATAAGATAATATTTTAAGCTTCATTTTATGACACAATTTTTCGTGACTTAAACGATAAGAACTATTAGGAATCGTTGAAAATTTATTAGCTTCATAAAAGCGTGTGATTTTTATTTCTTATTTTTTCATGTAAAAATTGCTTTTCAATTTAAATCGACTGACAAAGTATTTCTTTAATTATTTTATTTTTTATTTCAAATTACTTTTTATCAATTTTGTGAATGCGTCTCAACCGCACTGTGCTCGAACACTAAATGATGCTTCAAAAATAAAAAAAAATCATTTTCTCTGGTTCCAACGCCTGAGTTAAATCAACTGCTCTTACGAAGCCTTACTAAAATATGTTGGTTGTATTAACACTCGCACGAATTCAATACACAGAAAATTTTATGCGTTCGAAAGACCCGAAATAATAAACTTTTTAACTGATTATTTGTTCGACCAATCTTTGGTTTGTGTTAATTAAATATCGGTAGTTAGGAAGATAGTTTTAAGACAAGAAAAATTATCATAATATTAAATTCGAGTACCTTGTTATGTTTTGCACATCCTGATTTGTGAAGATCATTTCCATTTCTTAATGATATCAAACTTCATGATTCATCTTTATTATCGCACGATAATTTCTCATAAATATTTATTTATCTCTATCATCACATCTAGAAAACTTTGTTCTTTGTTCTGGTTTTCCAAATTGAGATTCACTAATTACCGTTGTAATCTTTTGCAAAAAAAATGTAGCATATTATTCAACTATGCTATCAGAAGCGTGACCAAGTTAATGAGATACATTTTTAGATTTATGACTGCTGTAAAAAATTTAAATCATTTCCAAATTAAGATATTTTCTTAGTTAAATGTTTCCTTGACCTGAAATATCGATATTTCTTACTCTCATAATTCTATACTTTTAATGAAAATCTAAAGCACATAAAAGACAAATCAGGTTTGATCTAAAGACGTAAAAGTTTAAAAAAATCATTTCATTTACCCTTGAAGTTATGCAACTTGCGAATCCAATTCGTTGTGATTTTCAGTTTCACGACAAATTTGTATAAAACATTGTAAATTCAACTAAATAAATTGTCGTTAAATAGATTTTCTTTATTTTTATTCGGCAAACTTCCTGATGAACATAATTATAGGATTTTCAAAGAACAGCATAAAAATGAATGCTGCAATGTATGTAACTAAATAAAATCCAACTGTTAAAATAACTATTGAATAAAAATCAAGATGGAATGAATTTTCACACGACATTGTTACAAAAAGGACTATCAAAGGATTAAGTAAATATGCTGAATATGTCATTCTACTAAATGGAAGAAGACATTTTGCATTCATTATTTTTGTCACAATTCCTGCAAATGTAATTAAAATTTACTTAAACAGTTTTGAAGTCATGAAATAAATTTTCTCACCATCTTTATATTGTGTCGAGCCCATAATGATAACAAAACAAACTGGAAAAGCCCATAAAGTTCTTCCAAAAGCAGGAAAGAAAAACGACACAAAAACATTTTCCGGAACTCTATAGCGTTGAATAAAGATTAAAAATATGACCAAAAAAAGTGAAATAATTCGTCCAAGGTTGATGAAAGTCTGAAATGAATATAAGGAGAAATCAATTTCGAGAAAAAATACCCTCAAAAGAGAGAAACAAAAACGAAACAACTGTTTATGCTGTGACGTGTGAATATGAAGATGAAGTAACTGACCTTTCTCATATTACACTGCCTGCTGATTTTGCTTAAATAATAACCGGTCCAAACGCCGGCAAAGTATCCACCAATACGCGTGTAGGGTTTTGTATACAATGTGTTGATTGAGCGGAATTGGCTGTCAAGGCTATAGAAGGTGAAGAGAAGAAACATGTGCGCGTAAGATGCGTGAACAATTATTTTATGCTTTTTAAACACTCACGAGAAGCTGAATGACTCTGTTAAACCTATGAACCCTGAATAAGCTGAAGATAATAGCACCATTGTTATTCCAATGGTGACACTCAACCGCATATTTCTATTTTTAATACAGAAGTGATTATTAGTAAATTTAACAAAAATTTCCAAGAAACATTGCTTCAATATTTATAATAATTATACAGACTTTGCAGAAACAGCTAATAAGATGCTGGATAAGGCAAACAGCTGAAAATCTGCTGCGACATACCAACTCCAACTCATGCACATTTCTGACAATGGATAAAAGTTTTGAATGCATAAAACATTCCTCCACCAATAATTTTTACAATTTTCTTCGATGTTTTCGATCATCAAATATTGTGATGTATCGTTGAGAAATATCGAAATAGTGACAGCCAAAAGCATGATCTGTTTAAGTAAATATTATTAAATCTTTTCAAAATAAGCTTGAATTATAAATTACAATCATGAAGCAAGGAGTTATCCTTATATATCGATAAACGATGCCCCTAATAACATCAATTGTAAGCTGTTTTGAAGGTCTTTTCTTTTGTTTCTCGTAGAAAGCATAAGACAATAAAAATCCACTGCAAACAATTCATTACAAAAATAATTTCTAAATACTCAGTCAGTGATGAAAATGAACAACATTCACCTCATGACGTAAAACGAATCAACAGAAATCGCAGCAGCAAAAAGTGGCTGAAGAACTAAAGCATTCGCATACGAAAATATCAACTGAATGTTGTCTGTTGGTCCAAAAGCGTAATAATAAACATGGCCTGCCATTATCCAAAGAGCTCCAATTGCTCTCACTCCATGAATTGGTGCAATTGATTTTCTATTAATTTTCGTCGACATAATGAAACCACAATTGTCTTTAAGTGAAAAACATCTCCAGAATTTCTCAGCTAAAGACGCTTTCAACTTATTTTTGAGATTTTTCTGATCATTATTGAATGTTGGAAGTGCGGAAATCTCTTTCATATCTTTACGATGACTTTTAAGATTGTTGACATATGTTGTCCCAATGATTGCCAAAACGACGAAGGTCACGATGATCACTCTACATAATTTTAAAAACAAATTTCGTGGGGTCATTCATTTGAATTCTTATCACATTTACCAAAAACTTACAAGAGGAGCAAGACAAAAGTTTCATTCAGAAATTCTTTTCTTATCGTTAAAGTTTTAGTTCCAAGATAATTCACCTCGCCATACAAATGAAAGTCTTGAAACTTTTCATGAAATATTTTCTTAGCCATCACATGCACTTCGGTCTCATCACAAGCTTCAGGGAAACACAAGCCNTCTCCTTCTACATAAAGGGTGGACGTTTAAAAATTTTCCATTATTGAATCATAGCTGGAGGATTAAAATATTTTCAAATTCAGATGTTAATTTATTATGATATACCTATATTAGTAATTAAGCTTTACATTTATAAGAGAAAAATTATTGCTCAAGCTGCTGTCTGCTGAATATATATATCGGCAGTTAAAGTTGATGAAATGACGTAGCTAGAGGTCCGGCGGCCACATGTGCAAATTGCCTGCCAAATTAAATATTTCTTTGCGAATTTATCGCATTGAATGGTCTTGAACTTGTTCGATACACTATATCCTTTAAATTGAGTGTAAAATTGCTGACCGGGAGCTGTTTAAAATCAGCTTTTACGTATGTTTCATCATCCATAAGAATTCATCCAGAAAAATTGTTGAAGATATGTCTGTTGAGTCTTCGAGCCCTCAAAATTGCACGATTATTACTCAATTGATTTCGGTTTGGTACCTTATATTTTTTCCGTGTTTCTCCTCCGTATTTTTGCTTAATACGCAAAACGTTTGAGTGCGATGTTCCATATTTTCTGCCCAAATCGCGAAGACTGAGTTCAGGATTTTTCTTAAGGTCTTCAACAATCTTCTTCTCACGTATTGTGTTTCCTGAGCCAACTTTTCTTCCACTTCCTGGCCTTCTTTCAATTGTTCCCGAGTCGCGAAAACGTTTAATCACGTTTGCTGTTGTTCTTCTCGACATTCCACATTCTTTTGCAATTGAAGAAATCGGCCATGATGGATTTTGTATAAAATTTCGCAGAATTTTTTCCCGCTTTTCTTTTTCCGTCATTTTTTTGAATCGTTCAGAAATTTTTCATCTTGAAGTTCATAACGGAAATAAGTTCAAGGAAGTTCAAATTCAATCTTCTACACAATTTTTTTAATTCTTGCCTCAACATCATTGTGTTAGAGAGTTTCAAATTATGGAAAATTTTTAAACGTCCACCCTTTAAGTGAAAAACATCTCCAGAATTTCTCAGCTAAAGACGCTTTCAACTTATTTTTGAGATTTTTCTGATCATTATTGAATGTTGGAAGTGCGGAAATCTCTTTCATATCTTTACGATGACTTTTAAGATTGTTGACATATGTTGTCCCAATGATTGCCAAAACGACGAAGGTCACGATGATCACTCTACATAATTTTAAAAACAAATTTCGTGAGGTCATTCATTTGAATTCTTATCACATTTACCAAAAACTTACAAGAGGAGCAAGACAAAAGTTTCATTCAGAAATTCTTTTCTTATCGTTAAAGTTTTAGTTCCAAGATAATTCACCTCGCCATACAAATGAAAGTCTTGAAACTTTTCATGAAATATTTTCTTAGCCATCACATGCACTTCGGTCTCATCACAAGCTTCAGGGAAACACAAGCCGATATGAAGCACACTTTTATTGAATAAATCTGCATCGAATTGTATTTTTGATGTATGACTTGCATAGAACATTCGATACTCAACAGGAATCTCTGATCCTATCTCAGTCATATTGTCATCCATTTTTCTATTTTTACTTTTAATTAAACTTATTTTTGGTGGTTGATTCAACAAATAACAATTTCGTTCAGCACCAAGCCAAAAATTATTTCCCCACGTGAAGCCAGAAGTTGGCTTTCCACTTGCATCTTGAACTAAAAATTTACGTTTTAATTTAAATATGTACATAAATTAATCATTGTCGTCATTTGAATACACAATTGAACTTGAAACTTGATCCAAATTCCACTTTACCTTTCAAAGCCCATACTTCATTTTCTTTTATTCCGTTTCTTAACATCTCTAGATGGTCACCACAATCTTTTGATAACGCAATGTGTGGATTTTCCACTTGAAAATTCAAAAAATCTCTTAAAAGTTCATGACATAGCACATCGTAGGAATTGAAACCCAGAAATATAACTAACAGCACCACCACTTTAAATGTCTTGCTCATTTTTTCTTCTAAGCGACTTAGTTTTAAAATCTAAACACAACCTTTCTGAAATTCACGTTTTATCTCGTCAACTGTCAAACGGGTAATGAGAGTTTATAAAATTCAGAAATTTATTGGCAACACACGTATTTTCGTTAAAAAAATCTTTAAATAATATAGGCTTTTGTTCACGGTTTGGATATGTTTGCACATTTTGGAAGCATTCGTGAGTAATGTCAAGCATTTGTGAAATTTAAATTAAAAGTTAATTATTTATTTCAATCTTCAATTACAAGCCGATGTTACATCACTTTCGAAAGCAAACTCATGTTGCATATACTCACAAATCTATGTAAATGAAAGGTTAACATTTGTTTACACAAAATTCAATTGAATCCTAAGGTTCATGAACCAAATATGTAAGAGAGTAATAAGTTATGGTTTAATCTCGGATGGTGTAAGCTCCGCTCTATGAAAATTCCAAGTCGAAGACAATTACTTGCTACTCTCTTTGATTATTTCATACGATTCAAGGCTGAACGAAGATTATGAAATTTTGAGAGAATAAAGAAATGGTAAAAAAGTTTTATTTCATAAGACCGTCACCAAAATTTAATTCAAACGCCTTTCTCAAGAATTTCAACTTTCTCCACTTAACCATTGAACTATTTCAATGTAAAGTTAGGAGGTTGATGTTTCGCTGTCAAGAATATAACTTCAGGAGATGCTGGCAGGTCAAGGTTGAAATATTCGTTGTCTGCATTCATGAATTCAGCGTCAGATCTTGCTGATTCGAGTGCGTGGCGGAGCGCAAAAATAACAACGATAGACATACAAAGTGCTGGCTCTCCAGTTGCTAAATATGAAAAATATTTTTATTATTTAAACGACTGATTAATGATGAATATCAAGTTAAATTAAATATTACCTTTCGATCGCAAAACTCCAAATGGATTTGAACTTTTTCTTAAGAATGTTACACGGAAATCGATGGGAATGTCTTTAGCTCCTGGAGGTTTATAATTCCAAGTCCGATTTGTCAACAACTCTCCAGTATTTGAATCGTAAATTAACTTTTCCGTAAGCCAATAACCGAGTCCCATAATGAAAGCGCCTTCAATTTGACCAACATCAATTCCAGGACTTAAACTTTCACCAACGTCTTCCATGATGTCGACACGTTTAACTTGAGTGCTACCAGTCAATAAATCGACTTCAACTTCACAACATGAAGCACCATAAATAAAATATTCTTCTAAATCTTTTGGTTTGTACATGTAAACAGCTGTTAGGTCAATAAAACTGTCAAAGGATTTCTCAATCAATTCTGTCCATTCAAGATTAGGATTGTTGATTTTGATGGGATGAAGACGATCTAAAATTATTTCGCATGCTTTCTTAACAGCCTAGAAAGAAAATTTGAAATATTTTAAAGGAAAATGTGAAAATTTCTCACGTGGCATGAAATTTCACTTCCTATGCTTCCACCAGTCACAACGTCATTAGCAGATGTCAAATTATTAGACGGCTTAACGCTGACTTGATCCAATGGAACTCCAAGAATATGTGCAACAGTTTGTGCCACTTTTGTGTTCAATCCTTGTCCCATTTCGATTCCACCAACAGTCACAGCAACACTTCCATCTCGATGATAAATTGAAACGATCGCATGTAAAGATCCGAAATATTCAATATGAAATTTCATTGGAACGATTGCGATGCCTCGTTTGATCCAACGATTTTCTTGATTGAATTGATTGAATTCTTCTTTTCTTGATGCATAATCTTCAACATAAACGAATTTAATTTAATGAGAGTGCTACGAAAATATTAAATTAGGATTTACCAACGCTTTCTGCGAACTCTTTCAAATGCTTTTTCATCTCACAATCATTGGGAATGTTAATTAACCGCACTTCAAGTGGATCAAGTTTTGTTTTTCTTGCAATATGTTCCATAATGTTCTCAACCATTGCAATGCCTTCCACAGTTCCAGGTCCACGACACCATGTGTTGCTGGCAATATCTGATTTAGCTCTTCGTGCGATTACTTCAAACATTTCCGATTCGTAACAGTTGGTTAAGAACTTTGTGGTCAAGTATGCTGGTTCATTGAAGCTACAACCATAATTTTCCGTGTAATCATTCAGAAGCTTTTGAATCTTTCCATTGTCATCAACCTCAACTTCATAGTCATTGATGCAAGCGTAACGCTTTCCAATCACGTTCATGTTAGCTTCAATTGACAAAACAAGTCTGACAGGTCGATTCAAATGATGCGCTGCAATAGCAGCTGCACAAGCGATTAATGCAGCTCTTGAAATCTTTCCACCAAATCCACCACCTAGACGACGAACTTGCATGTTGATAGAACTTTCTGGAATTTTCAAAGCTTCAGCAATTGCGATTTGTGTCATGTCAATCCACTGGGTTGACGAATAAACATCCAAGCCATCTTCAACTGGCACAACAACACAAGTTTGTGGTTCCATTGAGTAATGAAATTGTGATTCTAATTTGAACTTTCCTTTGAGTTTATGTTTGCATTTCTCCCCGATTTTTGATGCTTTTTTACAGAATTCTGAAGCGATTTGCAGTTTTGAAGGTGGAAATGTTTGTAAATTATCAAGTGAAGTTGCAACTTTGTTAACATCATCCTTGTCTATATTAATTAAATAAGTAAAATGAAGCAATAATAATTTAAAATGTGAGAATTAGTATTACTTAATTCGAGAATGAAGACATCAACAAGCTCGGCTGCTTGATTTGAAAGCTCAAAGGTTTCTGCTAAAATTATTCCAACCGGCTGTCCATAGAATTTGATATCAGAACTGCAAAAGATTTCTTCGTGTTCTTCCACAAACATATAATTTGATGGCATGAATGTGTTGTTGCCTGGAATATCTTTAGCTGAATAGAAAGCGACAACTCCGGGAATTTGCTGTGAATGAGAAACATTAATTTATGTTCAAATCGAAATTTTCATTCATTGAGTTTAAATCTTACCAAAGCACGACTTGCGTTGATGCTCAAAATTTTTCCGTGAACTTTCTTCGCTTGCACGAAAGCGGCATAAACTTCGTTTGGTAAGGAAGGCAAGTCGTTGACATATTTGGCTTCTCCAGTGCATTGAACATCAGCTTCGATCTTCGGAATGTTCTTCGTGAGTGGCCAATTCTTCTTGTAAGTGTCAAACACTTGAGTGCCCGACGATAATTCTCGTTCAAGTATTTTCCCTCCACTCTTGTATTTCGCATTTGTTTTACTTTCCGGAATGATGTTGAGAATGAATTTGTAGAACAAAGCCAAAGCCAAGTTCTTGCGATATTCTGGTGAAGCATCAGGCAGCACCCAATCGGGTTTCAACTCATCTTTGAGAACATTCAAAGCTGCTTGAATCGTTTGGTTGCTGAATGGATCTTTGCCAACTAACGCAGCTTCAGTCTTAGCTGCATGAGTGAAGCTCGGTTCGATTCCACCGAAGCAAACTTTAACAGACGCGATTGTGTTGTTGCTGTTGTTCAATTCAAGTAGGAATGCTGCATTGACATATGCGTGGGCGTTTTGAGCTCTCGGCATGATTTTGTATGATCGGAAAGTGAACTTTGTTGAGTCTAATTTTGGCAAAGTTATTGTCGAAATGACTTTCTTTGAAATCATCAACTTTGCGAATTCCTTGCATCCAACTTTCATTTCTCCGATGTTACTTGCAACTGTGATCTTCGCTCCAACACCTTCGAAGATGATGAACATGTCGGAAGGAAATTCTGGATGTTTGTTTTTGATCATCAAATTGCCAGCAATTGTTCCATTGTTACGAACTGGGACGTTGGCAATCAAGTCGATGTGTGTGACGAACTCCTTCAGGTATTCGAAACCTTTTTTCTCGTTGGCCACTTTCGTGAATATTTCCATCGCTTCTGTCAATGTCACATTTCCACCTATTTCCAAAGTGTTGTCGTTGACTTTGAATCCTCGCAACTCTTCAACACTCGAAATGTCAATGAAGACTTTGAGGTCGGGAGAACGACGATAAACGCCATGTGCGGTGTTTCCAGCGACCAACATGTAAGGCTTGTCCCCGATTTTCCCCAACACGTCGAAAATGTCTTTGATGGAGTTCGCTTTGTGCCACTCGCGGTCATCTTCGAATGCCAACTTCAATGAATGTTTCGGATCAACTTTTCCAATTGCACTGCAACTGCCAATGCAAGGAGTTCCAGTCTTTGGACAAGTCTTCGTTCCATCCAAATCTTCAATGTCGTTGCATAAGTTCAACAAAGTCTCATCTGCATCCGAAGCGAGTGACTTGAATGCATCCAAGATTGGTCGATAACCAGTGCATCGACAAATGTTTCCACCAAACGAATTCTCGACTTCTTCCATCGTCACTTTGCCGTTCTTTGATTCCAACAACGAGTACATGTTCATGACCATTCCCGGACTGCAATAACCACATTGAGTTCCATTAAAGTTTGCCAATCGTTTCTGCACCTGATGCATTCCATTCTTCTTGCTCCCGATTCCTTCGACCGTGATGATGTCAAGTCCATGACACGAGTAAATGTTTTGCAAACACTTTTGAGTGAGAAACAAAATCAGAAAAGTTTTCCATCATTCAAAGCATGAAAATCTTCAAAGTTCTTACAGAATTGACAGCCCATGTTGTCTTCTCTTTCGTCACTGGATGGACTTCCTTCAAAGTCACCACACAAGCTCCACATCCACCTTCCAAGCACATGAACTTCGTTCCAGAAAGATTTGCATGATTTCGAATGAAACTATTGAGCGACGTTTCGATGGGAACCGTTGATGGAGAAACTGCGTAATAAGTAAATAAGAAAAGGTTTGTTTACCAAGCTATGTATAACAATTTACTTTAGAATAATTCGAGATGACCTCAAGTTTCAACTTCAAATTAGTACCATTAAGTGAAGGAAAAAACGCAAGTCATCGTGATGTTCACTATTGAAATAAAGATATCTTACATTTCTATATAACTTATAATCTACACATGTGAACATAAACTGATTGGCTGATTGCTTGATATGCAAAGTTTTTTTTAGTTTTTATTTTGAGTCTATTGCGTAATAAATTTAAATTTGGCTTAAATTACTTTTTAAAATATTTAAAAAAGGAGTAAAAAAATAAACTTTTTTATTTTCAAACGGTTTTTCGTTTATAGTGATTGAAGCTTTCTTTCTTTCTAATTTAACTAATTTTTTAATGATGTAACTTTCATTTTATCTAACTTTGTCTAATTTTGTTAAATTTTCTTTTATTTCTACTTCACCACCGACTGAAATTGTCTTTTAACAACTTTTATTGAATGATGTAACAAGATATTTATCTATTACAAAATAAATATCGAAAATAATTTAATATCCATCAAACACAATTATCCAAGGTAGTAAAAATTATTTTCGTTCCCCAAAATATTCAACACGTTTGTCTAGTTGAAATGCTCACACAAGAATAGCAGAGAAGATTTGAAATTAATGCTCACAGTAATATTTTTTGAGTTGTGCTTCTCGTCTTAATGATGCTTTAAGCTTTTTTAAGAGCTTTTAGAACTAGAATTTAAACTTACTCGAGTAACAAAACGCTCCGAATGTGAACCTTCAGTTAGCCTTCAGCGGATTCGAATAAATCTTAATGGTATATGAACGCATTGACTTTTAATTCGACTTTTTCGCAATTGCCGCTTGTGTTACTCGGTTTCGAATTGTGTTACTCAGTCTCGTGGATATGCTATTTACGCATTAATGAACATTCCCGTATTGAATTTTATGCTAATTCTAAACCCAAAATATTTTCTCAATTTTCTTTCTAGGAAGGAAAATTAAATACTTATAAAAAAATTTCAAGTTTCAGTATAGATATACAGATTTGATTGGATATTTAAAAATGCATCAAATAATTCAGAGTCACAAATTAATAAATAAAACTCACTTTTGAAATTTTTTCCATTTATTGTGAATAAAATTTCCATTTATCCAAATTTCCTTTTCTTCTTCTTTAAATCAAATTTGACTTCACCTTTTTACTACTTTTTGAGGAACAAAAATTTTCACGTGCGATCTGTTGAAATGATCATGCGAGAATAGACCCCAGCAATGTAGCATGAGAATTTATCATAATTATAATTCAATGATTTAATTAGTGATCACTTAAACGCACGCAAACATAAAAATTGTTTTATGAAATGAAATCACATAATCGTATAAACTTGAGAAGTAATTCAAGTTCATGAAATTCTTTTGATTGTTTTAAATCTCTATGTGTCTCCCTTTTGATTGAAGAAACGTGAAATGCTATAAAAATCTTGTCAACCACCTTGTCAAACCGCCACCCATACTTTAATTTAAACATCCCAACAACATTCTAATGACTGAAACTCTATATTTAATACCCAATTAAAATTTCCCTTTATTTCATTAAAAAACGTTTACATTTATGTATTTTTTTTATTCATTACAAAGTAAAATGCTGTTGTTGATGATTTGCAGCAAGGAAGATATTTTCAGGGCTTGTAGGCGCACCCAAATGATAGAAATCCTCATCAGATTTTAATCCCGTTTCATTCCGAGCTGAATCAAGCGCATGACGCAAAGCAAAAACTGCTACAATTGACATGTTTGTTGCTGGCTCTCCAGTAGCTATGTATGAGAAATATTATCATTAGACGACTGATAAATATAAAAATAAATTGAAGATTACCTTTCGATCTCAAAACTCCAAATGGATTTGAGCTTTTTCTTAAGAATGTTACACGGAAATCGATAGGAATGTCTTTAGCTCCTGGAGGTTTATAATTCCAAGTCCGATTTGTCAACAACTCTCCATTTTCCTGGTTGTAAATGATTCCTTCTGTTAACCAATAGCCGAGGCCAAAGACGAAAGCGCCTTCAATTTGTCCAACATCAATTCCAGGACTTAAACTTTCACCAACGTCTTCCATGATGTCGACACGTTTGATCAAAAGATTTCCAGTCAATAAATCGACTTCAACTTCACAGCATGAAGCACCATAAATATAATAATCCTTCAATTCTGATGCCTCATACATGTAAGTAGCTGATAAGTTAACATTCTTCTCGTAAGCTTTGTCAATCAGTTCAGACCATGAACGATTTGGATTCTCAGTTTTAACAGGGTTAAGACGTTCCAAAAGCATTTCACATGCTTTCTTTGTGGCCTTCAATAAAATAAAAGAAAGAAATATTTAAACACTATGGAAAGAAATATTTTTGAAATCTTACGTAGCATGAAATTTCACTTCCAGAACTACCACCAGTGCAGATTGCATTTGGGGAAATAAGATTTGATGTTGGCTTAACGCTGACTTTATCCAATGGCACTCCAAGAATATGTGCAACAGTTTGTGCCACTTTTGTGTTCAATCCTTGTCCCATTTCTATTCCACCAACAGTCACAGAAACACTTCCGTCTCCATGATAAATTGAAACCAATGAATGGAAATGACCGAAATATCCCAAATGATATTTCAATGGAACGACTGCGATTCCTCGTTTGATCCAACGATTCAAAGAGTTGAAAGTTTCAATATTCTTTTTACGTTCATAATAATCTGAAAAATTTTTAATGGTTGATATGTGCACAAATTTTTAAGATTGCTTTGACTCAACTCACCAACAGACTGCACAAATTCTGGAAGAAGTTTTACCATTTCACCTTCACAATTATTCATGCGAACTTCAACTGGATCTTTCTTTGTTTTTCTTGCAATATGTTCCATAATGTTCTCAATCATGGCAATACCTTCAGTTGTTCCTGGAGCTCGACACCAGGTGTTCGCAGGTGTGTTGCTGTTGACAGCATTGGCATCAATTGAGAAGTATTTGCCATCGTAACAATTACTCATGAATTGAATTGTGTGGAAGTAAACTGAAAGTTTTGAAATTTATTTATGTCATGAAAATATTTATCTAAAATTTTCATTACTTGGATCATTCGGTGAACAGCCGCCATCCTCGATGAATTTTGTTGAAAGTTTTTGAATCTTTCCATTGTTATCAATTTCAACATCATAATCGTTCATGCATGGATAACGTTTGCCAATGACGTCCATGTTAGCTTCAATTGTCATGACAAATCTCACGGGTCTGTTTGACAGATAAGCGCCAAGAGCAGCTGCACAAGCAACTTGAATATTTCTTGAAACTTTGCCACCAAATCCTCCACCAAGTCGTCTGACGTTGATGTTAACATAATTATTTGGAACACTTAATGCATCAGCGATTGCCATTTGCGTTGCGTCAACCCATTGGGCAGCTGGAAAAACATCCAAGCCATCTTCAGTTGGAACAACGACACAAGTTTGAGGTTCCATTGAGAAATGGAATTGGCTTCCCATCTCAAAGTGACCAGAAATCTTGTGAGTGGTATCCGTGCCAGCTTCTGTAGACACCTTCGAAAATTGAGCGAAGTTCTGAACCAATTCCGGAGCTTTCTGATAAATGTCCTTCAATGACGTCACAATTTTTTTACCAACTTTAATTTAAAAAAAATGTCAGTAGGTATGAATTAATCAAACCATAAATTTCTCTCACCATCCGCATCATAAATAATGTCAACAAATTCAGCGGCGCGATTTGCAAGTTGAAGAGTTTCAGCAAGAATTATTCCAACTGGTTGTCCATTAAACTTCACATCGGAAGCGCAAAAGATTTCTTCAGGTGCAAAGACAAACATCATCTTAGGAGGCATAAAAGTGTTGGATCCAGGAATATCTTTAGCTGAATAAAAAGCGACAACTCCGGGAATTTGCTGTGAATGAGAAACATTAATTAGCGTAATTTTCATTCATTGAGTTTAAATCTTACCAAAGCACGACTTGCGTTGATACTCAAAATTTTTCCGTGAACTTTCTTCGCTTGCACGAAAGCGGCATAAACTTCGTTTGGTAAGGAAGGCAAGTCGTTGACATATTTGGCTTCTCCAGTGCATTGAACATCAGCTTCGATCTTCGGAATGTTCTTCGTGAGTGGCCAGTTCTTCTTGTAAGTGTCAAACACTTGAGTGCCCGACGATAATTCTCGTTCAAGTATTTTCCCTCCGCTCTTGTATTTCGCATTTGTTTTACTTTCCGGAATGATGTTGAGAATGAATTTGTAGAACAAAGCCAAAGCCAAGTTCTTGCGATATTCTGGTGAAGCATCAGGCAGCACCCAATCGGGTTTCAACTCATCTTTGAGAACATTCAAAGCTGCTTGAATCGTTTGGTTGCTGAATGGATCTTTGCCAACTAACGCAGCTTCAGTCTTAGCTGCATGAGTGAAGCTCGGTTCGATTCCACCGAAGCAAACTTTAACAGACGCGATTGTGTTGTTGCTGTTGTTCAATTCAAGTAGGAATGCTGCATTGACATATGCGTGGGCGTTTTGAGCTCTCGGCATGATTTTGTATGATCGGAAAGTGAACTTTGTTGAGTCTAATTTTGGCAAAGTTATTGTCGAAATGACTTTCTTTGAAATCATCAACTTTGCGAATTCCTTGCATCCAACTTTCATTTCTCCGATGTTACTTGCAACTGTGATCTTCGCTCCAACACCTTCGAAGATGATGAACATGTCGGAAGGAAATTCTGGATGTTTGTTTTTGATCATCAAATTGCCAGCAATTGTTCCATTGTTACGAACTGGGACGTTGGCAATCAAGTCGATGTGTGTGACGAACTCCTTCAGGTATTCGAAACCTTTTTTCTCGTTGGCCACTTTCGTGAATATTTCCATCGCTTCTGTCAACGTCACATTTCCACCAATTTCCAAAGTGTTGTCGTTGACTTTGAATCCTCGCAACTCTTCAACACTCGAAATGTCAATGAAGACTTTGAGGTCGGGAGAACGACGATAAACGCCATGTGCGGTGTTTCCAGCGACCAACATGTAAGGCTTGTCCCCGATTTTCCCCAACACGTCGAAAATGTCTTTGATGGAGTTCGCTTTGTGCCACTCGCGGTCATCTTCGAATGCCAACTTCAATGAATGTTTCGGATCAACTTTTCCAATTGCACTGCAACTGCCAATGCAAGGAGTTCCAGTCTTTGGACAAGTCTTCGTTCCATCCAAATCTTCAATGTCTTTGCATAAGTTCAACAAAGTCTCATCTGCATCCGAAGCGAGTGACTTGAATGCATCCAAGATTGGTCGATAACCAGTGCATCGACAGATGTTTCCACCAAACGAATTCTCGACTTCTTCCATCGTCACTTTGCCGTTCTTTGATTCCAACAACGAGTACATGTTCATGACCATTCCCGGACTGCAATAACCACATTGAGTTCCATTGAAGTTTGCCAATCGTTTCTGCACCTGATGCATTCCATTCTTCTTGCTCCCGATTCCTTCGACCGTGATGATGTCAAGTCCATGACACGAGTAAATGTTTTGCAAACACTTTTGAGTGAGAAACAAAATCAGAAAAGTTTTCCATCATTCAAAGCATGAAAATCTTCAAAGTTCTTACAGAATTGACAGCCCATGTTGTCTTCTCTTTCGTCACTGGATGGACTCCCTTCAAAGTCACCACACAAGCTCCACATCCACCTTCCAAGCACATAAACTTCGTTCCAGAAAGATTTGCATGATTTCGAATGAAACTATTGAGCGACGTTTCGATGGGAACCGTTGATGGAGAAACTGCGTAATAAGTAAATAAGAAAAGGTTTGTTTACCAAGCTATGCATAACAATTTACTTTAGAATAATTCGAGATGACTTCAAGTTTCAACTTCAAATTAGTTCAATTATGTGAAGGAAAAAACGCAAGTCATCGTGATGTTCACTATTGAAATAAAGATATCTTACATTTCTATATAACTTATAATCTACACATGTGAACATAAACTGATTGGCTGATTGCTTGATAAGCAAAGATAGACATAAATGAACACGAAAAAAACTTTGGCGATAAGTTACTTTATCAAGGAAATTTTCCGATAAGACTCAAAGTCCGAGTAACTTGAAGATATTTTTTTAGTTTTTATTTTGAGTGTTTGAACTAATTTCTATTGCGTAATAAATTTATATTTAATTTAATTCAGTATTCAAGATACTTATTTATAATAGAAATAAAATGGAAATTCAACTTACCTTCAAAAGGTTTTCCGTTTATAGTGATTGTAACTTTCATTTTATCTAACTTTGTCTAATTTTATTAATTTTTCTTTTATTTCTACTTCACCACCTATTAAAATTGTCTTTTAACAACTTTTATTGAATGATGTAACAAGATATTTATCTATTACAAAATAAATATCAATAATAAATTAATATCCATCAAACACAATTATCCAAGTTAATAAAAATTATTTTCGTTCCCCGAAATATTCAACACGTTTGTCTAGTTGAAATGTTCACACAAGAATAGCAGAGAAGATTTGAAATTAATGCTCACAGTAATATTTTTTGAGTTGTGCCTCTTATCTTAATGATGTTTAAAGCTTTGACTCATTTGAGAGCTTTTAAAAGTAGAATTTCAGCGTAGTCATTCTTTGACATTCAAAATTATGAAACGACCTTCGTTAAGAAGAAGAGAAGAAGAAAATTTAACAGATGAGATAAATAAATCCCCAACACTATTTATTTCATAATTTCAGAATATTTGTAAACATCTGTGAAGTAAAGAACAAAGTTTCATTCAATTCAATACGAATTGTTGAGGTTGATGATTTGCTGCGATAAAAATTGTTTCTGCTGTTGTAGGCGCTCCCAAATGATAGAAATCTTCGTCGACTTTAAGGCCAGCGTCAGTTCGTGCTGAATCAAGTGCATGACGTACAGCATTCAATGCGACAATCGACATTGCAACTGCTGGTTCTCCAGTAGCTATTAATATGAAAATTATCAAAAGAAATTCACGATTTTCATTTGATAAAATTATTTACCTTTCGATCTCAAAACTCCAAATGGATTCGAACTTTTCTGTAAGAATGTTATTCGAAAGTCGATGGGAATGTCTTTAGCTCCTGGAGGTTTATAAGTCCAAGTTCGATTTGTCAACAATTCTCCATTTTCTTGATTGTAAATCAAGCTTTCGTTCAACCAATAGCCGAGGCCCATGATGAATGAACCTTCAACTTGTCCGACATCAATTCCAGGACTTAAACTTTCACCAACGTCTTCCATGATGTCGGCACGTTTGATTTTAATATTTCCAGTCAATAAATCGACTTCAACTTCACAACATGAGATTCCCCATATCTCATATGGTTTCAGGTCAGGAGCTTTGTAAAGAAAATGTGCAACTAAGTCAACATTTTTCTCATAAGCTTTGTCAATCAATTGCGCCCATTCGGCTTTTGGATTTTCTGCTTTTATTGGCTTGAGACGTTCCAATAACATTTCAGAAGCTTTTTTTGCTGCCTGTTAATTTTGATTTTTATTAATAATAAACATGAAAAAGAAATATTTTTAGATATCTTACGAAACAATTAACTTCACTTCCAATGCTTCCACCAGTCACAACATCGTTAGCAGATGTCAAATTGTTGGACGGTTTAACGCTGACTTTATCCAATGGAACTTCAAGAATATGTGCAACAGTTTGCGCCACTTTTGTGTTCAATCCTTGTCCCATTTCTATTCCACCAGTAGTCACAGAAACACTTCCATCACCATGATAAATTGACACCAAAGCACGACTGCTTCCAAAATATTGCAAATCATATTTCATTGGGACAATTGCGATGCCTCGTTTGATCCAACGATTTTCATTGTTAAATGCTTCAATATTTTCCTTTCGATTCACATAATCTATGCATAAGTGAAATATTGATTAAATGTTGTTTAGAAATTGAAGATCAAATGTGACTTACCAACAGATTTAACAAACTCCGGGAGAAGTTTTTTCATTTCATAATTTCCTGGAATATTATTCATGCGAACATCAACTGGATCTTTCTTGACTTTCCTTGCAATGTGTTCCATAATGTTCTCAATCATAGCGACACCTTCAACAGACCCCGGAGCACGACACCAAGTGCTAGAAGGTGCATCAGTGGTAACATTCTTTGCAGTTACAGTGAAATGTTGTTTATCATAACAATTGTTGAAATGTTCTGTTGTTGCATAGTGAACTGGTTCATTTGGTGAACAGCCAGAGTCTTCAGAGTAATCGTTTTTAAGTTTCAAAATCTTTCCATTGTCATCAACTTCGACTTCATAGTCATTGATGCAAGCGTAACGCTTTCCAACCACGTTCATGTTAGCTTCGATTGTCATGACAAATCTCACAGGTCGATTTAAGAGATGAGCTGCAATAGCAGCTGCACAAGCAACTTGTACACTTCTTGAAATTTTTCCACCATATCCACCACCGAGACGACGAACATTCATATTCACGAAGTTATTTGGAACTTTCAAGGCATCAGCGATTGCCATTTGAGTTGCATCCATCCACTGAGTTGCTGAATAAACATCCAAGCCATCTTCGATTGGGACGACAACACAAGTTTGAGTTTCCATTGTGTAATGATATTGCGATCCGATATCGAAACGACCAGAAATCTTGTGAGTCGCTCCAACTCCACTCGATTCAGCAGTTTTGGAGTAGTGCGGCAATGGTTGAACTCGTTTTGGATCTTCCAAAGCTTCTTTCAAAGTTAGGATGATTTTCTTATCTTCAATTGCTAAATTCATTGAAATAAAAAAAAAAAGAAATAAAAAGTTTAATTGAGTTAATTAAATCTTTCATTCTTATTCTTACAACTGGAATCATAAGTTATGTCGACAAGCTCTGCAGCATGATTTGCAAGTTCATGAGTTTCAGCAAGAATTATTCCAACTGGTTGTCCATTGAACTTCACATCAGAACTGCAAAAGATTTCTTCAGGTGCAAAAACGAGCATAATTTTAGCTGGCATAAAAGTGTTGGATCCAGGAATATCTTTAGCTGAATAAAAAGCGACAACTCCGGGAATTTGCTGTGAATGAGAAACATTAATTTATGTTCAAATCGAAATTGTCATTCATTGAGTTTAAATCTTACCAAAGCACGACTTGCGTTGATGCTCAAAATTTTTCCGTGAACTTTCTTCGCTTGCACGAAAGCGGCATAAACTTCGTTTGGTAAGGAAGGCAAATCGTTGACATATTTGGCTTCTCCAGTGCATTGGACATCAGCTTCGATCTTCGGAATGTTCTTCGTGAGTGGCCAATTCTTCTTGTAAGTGTCAAACACTTGAGTGCCCGACGATAATTCTCGTTCAAGTATTTTCCCTCCGCTCTTGTATTTCGCATTTGTTTTACTTTCCGGAATGATGTTGAGAATGAATTTGTAGAACAAAGCCAAAGCCAAGTTCTTGCGATATTCTGGTGATGCATCAGGCAGCACCCAATCGGGTTTCAACTCATCTTTGAGAACATTCAAAGCTGCTTGAATCGTTTGGTTGCTGAATGGATCTTTGCCAACTAACGCAGCTTCAGTCTTAGCTGCATGAGTGAAGCTCGGTTCGATTCCACCGAAGCAAACTTTAACAGAAGCGATTGTGTTGTTGCTGTTGTTCAATTCAAGTAGGAATGCTGCATTGACATATGCGTGGGCGTTTTGAGCTCTTGGCATGATTTTGTATGATCGGAAAGTGAACTTTGATGGATCATACGACTGAAGAGTGATTTTATTGAGAAGCTTCTTGTTCATGTCATATTTGATGAAATCTTTTGTTGATAAATCGACACTGCTGCCGAAAAATGGAAATGACCACCCTGGGGAATCGCTGACGTTCAAGACAGCACCTGCAGCTTCCAACATAAGGAACATGTCGGAAGGAAATTCTGGATGTTTGTTTTTGATCATCAAATTGCCAGCAATTGTTCCATTGTTACGAACTGGGACGTTGGCAATCAAGTCGATGTGTGTGACGAACTCCTTCAGGTATTCGAAACCTTTTTTCTCGTTGGCCACTTTCGTGAATATTTCCATCGCTTCTGTCAACGTCACATTTCCACCTATTTCCAAAGTGTTGTCGTTGACTTTGAATCCTCGCAACTCCTCAACACTCGAAATGTCGATGAAAACTTTGAGGTCGGCAGATCGACGATAAACGCCATGTGCGGTGTTTCCAGCGACCAACATGTAAGGCTTGTCCCCGATTTTCCCCAACACGTCGAAAATGTCTTTGATGGAGTTCGCTTTGTGCCACTCGCGATCATCTTCGAATGCCAACTTCAATGAATGTTTCGGATCAACTTTTCCAATTGCACTGCAACTGCCAATGCAAGGAGTTCCAGTCTTTGGACAAGTCTTCGTTCCATCCAAATCTTCAATGTCTTTGCATAAGTTCAACAAAGTCTCATCTGCATCCGAAGCGAGTGACTTGAATGCATCCAAGATTGGTCGATAACCAGTGCATCGACAGATGTTTCCACCAAACGAATTCTCGACTTCTTCCATCGTCACTTTGCCGTTCTTTGATTCCAACAACGAGTACATGTTCATGACCATTCCCGGACTGCAATAACCACATTGAGTTCCATTAAAGTTTGCCAATCGTTTCTGCACCTGATGCATTCCATTCTTCTTGCTTCCGATTCCTTCGACCGTGATGATGTCAAGTCCATGACACGAGTAAATGTTTTGCAAACACTTTTGAGTGAGAAACAAAATCAGAAAAGTTTTCCATCATTCAAAGCATGAAAATCTTCAAAGTTCTTACAGAATTGACAGCCCATGTTGTCTTCTCTTTCGTCACTGGATGGACTCCCTTCAAAGTCACCACACAAGCTCCACATCCACCTTCCAAGCACATGAACTTCGTTCCAGAAAGATTTGCATGATTTCGAATGAAACTATTGAGCGACGTTTCGATGGGAACCGTTGATGGAGAAACTGCGTAGTAAATGAATAAAATTTCACAAAAGTTAAATTAAATTCGCTTCATCATCATCATCATTAAAACAAATCATCCGCTTGAATAATTTAAAAATATAATCCTTTAGATAAACATAATGTTGCTTGTTATGTCACTGTGATAAAGTATTAGTTAGCGAAGTCAAGTAGAAAATAATTAATAAGTATGCAAGTAGACATCAATTCATGCAATATTTTATTTATTATTATTTTAAGCAGATTTGTTATGTCATTGTCTTTGATAAGATCACTTGACACAACTATTGACTCACTGATATGTTCCGTTCCATTTATAGTAAAAGAGACGTTCATTTTGGATATTCTGAAAGATAAAATAATTCATTGTGAATTTATGTTAGTTCGTGTTTGTTCAAATATTCCCAACGATAGAAAAAAATCTTCACTTGAACTGCTTTCGATGGATTGATTCAGAAGAATTATTGCTCAAACATTTATCTTAAACCGGTTTTACTTGCTATATGAAAACAAAAAATTTAAGTAACCATTGTACGATCGTTTTAGTGTTCAATGTCTTTGGAGTTTCGATTTATGTAATTTATACATTAATGCAATTAAATATATTTATCCTAGACATAAGAATTTATATAAAATTTAAAATTTGAATCATCTACAAAGTACAAACAAGACTTGAGTTTTGACGATAATTTCTGAATTGAAAATCTTTTATCAAATTTAATTAAATAAAATTAACTTACATGATAATCACGTGTTGCGATTAAAATTCGTAATATTGACAACAAACTGAATCAAAAAATATCTAAATTGGTTCAAGTTAAATTCGACTGAATTCGACGAATACTCACGAATAAATGCGCAAAGCTGGTTCACTCTTTGGACTATAAATGAATTTTGTGCTTTTCCTCTCTCTGTGTTTACACGCATGAGACCGGCACTCGATAATATTTATAAACAATCGAAATGGATAGTTTGAACTGAATGTAAAATAAACTTGTGATGGTATTCGCATAGATTACAAACATTTTAGACTTGTCTGTTGAAGTTGCATTAGTGTAGTGACGATAATCTTAGATTAGAGATTGACAGGGGTAATCCATCGTAAAGCTTTTGCCGGTTGACTCTCATTGATTCTTCGGAAAGCGCTCGTGCTTTCTCAAAAAAATTGTCATTTTCCAAGAGTTTGATTGGTTTTTCTGAATTGTTTTCGATGAATTGATGAGATTGTATAAAGGAAGATACTTTGCCTTTGTCAAAGAGAAAGCGGACTTCTACATGGTCATATCTGAAGCATCAAATTCAATTTATTTTTTAGGGTAGACAGTTGGCAACTTTCAGTAATATATTTTGAAGTTATCAAAGATATCGGGGAAGTTTAATGGTGGAAAGCTTTTGCATATTTTCAAATAAGTTGAAAGCAATCAAATAATTTCTGTCAACTGCTTCGGAATCGATTCATCCACCCTAAGTTATGATCATCGACGGGAAGAACAACAGAAGATGAAATGCAAAAGTTTTTTATTATGTAATAAGCGACTCATTTTTTCCATTCATTAACTTTCAAATTATCAACAAAATATGAAAATGAAAAAGAATTGAAACGCACAATTAACTCGCAAATATAATTCGTAAATTTATTCAATAATTAATAGAGAAGTTACAAGCAATTATCTGGCTTAGCATCTTCAAGTTAGATTGAACACTTGACAATTAGAATGGAGAAAGAAAGAAAAAAATATTTGTAAAGATGATTTAAGCGATAACTTCATGTGGATTCGGCAACTTTTCGAATGATGGCTCGACACCCCAAATTTCGCGAGCATATTGACTAATAGTGCGATCACTGGAGAACTTTCCGCTGCTTGCAATGTTGTGAATTGCCATTTCAAGCCATTTCGATTGATTCTGTTTTTGAGAGAAGAAGAAAATTATGAAAATGAAGGAAATAAAAAGAAATTCTCACCTGATAAGTTGCAGAAACTTCATCTTGCTTCTTAACATAATCATCAAAGTCAGCGAAAGTCAAGAAGCGATCATATTGCATCAACATGTTAGTGACGTCTTTGAATTCATCGGGATTTCCGGGACTGTAATATCCACCAGAAATTTGATCAATAACTTGCTTCAATTCAGAATTCTTATTGTAATAATCCCAAGCGTTATATCCCCGCTTCTGCATGGCTTCAACTTCATCGACATTCATGCCAAAGATGAAAATGTTTTCATTTCCCATTTCTTCGGCCATTTCAACGTTTGCACCATCAAGTGTGCCAACTGTGAGTGCACCGTTCAACATAAACTTCATGTTTCCAGTACCAGAAGCTTCTGTTCCAGCTGTTGACAATTGCTGCGACAAATCTGATGCTGGCATAATCTTCTCAGCTAATGTCACACGATAATTCTCCAAGAAAATAACTTTCAACTTATCACCAACAATTGGATCGTTGTTGACAGCATGGCCAACTTTATTGATCAATTGAATGATCTTCTTAGCCATGTAATAGCCAGGAGCGGCTTTGCCACCAATCATGACAGTACGTGGAACGAAGTTTGCTGTTGGGTCGCGTTTAATGCGATTGTACATTGTGACGATATAAAGAAGATTCAACAATTGTCGTTTGTACTCGTGAATTCTCTTAACTTGAATGTCAAACATCGATGATGGATTAACTTTCACACCATAATCGTGTTCCAAGATCGAAGCAAGTTTAAATTTGTTCTCTTGCTTGACTTTCGCGACAGCACGTTGGAAAGTTGGATCCTTAGCCCATTTCCTCAACTGCGCCAATTGATCTAAATGGACGGGCCATTCATCGCCAATCTTCTCACAAATCAAATCAGCTAATCCAGGATTACACAACAACAACCAACGTCTTGGTGTGATTCCATTTGTCTTGTTTTGGAACTTGTCGGGTGAAAGTTCAAAGAAGTCACGGAACAAGTCGCGTTTAAGAATTTCTGTGTGGATTGCAGCGACACCATTAACAGCATGTGAACCAACAATTGATAAACGTGCCATGTTGATTCGCTTCTCGCCGTCTTCTTCCACCATCGACATTCGGCGAAGACGATCCATGTCTCCTGGGAAATTCTTTTCAACTTCTTTCAACCACAGGAAGTTGATGTGATAAATAATCTCGAGATGACGAGGCAACATCGACTCCAAAAGCGATGTTGGCCATCTTTCCAAAGCTTCTGGCAAAACTGTGTGATTTGTGTATGAGAAAACTTTCGTTGTGACGTTCCATGCTTCGTCCCATGATAATTTCTCTTCATCGACAAGAACACGCATCAATTCAGGAATGGAAATCGATGGATGAGTGTCATTAAGTTGCACAGCAACCTTCTCATACATAGTCTTCATCGCATCACGTGGATTCTTTGCTTGTGCATATTTAGATGTCTTAAATCGACGAATAATGTCAGCGAGTGATGCAGCTGATAGGAAATATTGTTGTTTCAAACGCAATTCCTTTCCTTCAAACATGTTGTCGTTTGGATATAAAACACGAGAAATATTTTCAGCCAAATTACGATCCAACACAGCTTGAATGTAGTCACCATCATTGACTACAAGAGAGAAGGCAAGAAAATAAATAAAAAGTAATAAATTAAATTTTTGACACTTACAGAACTTCAAGTTGAATTCAATTGGCGACTTGGCACTCCACAATCTCATGGTGTTGACGACGTTGTTGTTATAGCCAGGAATTGGATTATCGTATGGCATTGCGTAAACAATTTGAGTGTCAACCCAACGTTTGCCATCAGGTGTGTCCAAGACACGTCCGAAGAAGTTAACTGGAATCATATATTCGGGGCGAGCCTTCTCCCATGGACATCCAAAACGAAGCCAATCGTCGGGCTCTTCAGTCTGCTCGAAATTGCGGATTCGTTGAGCAAAGATACCGTAATCGTAGCGAATACCATATCCGACAGCTGGCATTGCTAATGTTGCCATTGAGTCAAGGAAACATGCAGCTAAACGACCAAGACCGCCATTACCTAAGCCAGCATCTTGTTCCATGTCTTCCAATTCTTCAATGTCCAATCCCATTTGGTAGAGAGCTTCATCGACGGTCCCTTGAAGGCCGATGTTGATCATCGTGTTTGTAAGTGATCGTCCCATGTAAAATTCCAACGACAGATAATAGACACGCTGAAAAAAGACGAAAACATAAAACATTATCAATTAATAAATAAAGTCGAGATAATTCATATTTTAACTGAAATTTTATTTATTTATTAGCAAAGAATTGCATCAGTTGATCTTTATGCTTCTCTTTTTCTTTTTATAGACAAGAAATGTAAACTAATTAACATTTGCAATCGATAACAAATAAAAATGAGATTGAAAAAGGCGCCCGACTTTGGAAAATAAATAACAAAAAAGGGTTAAATGGAGATGACATTCAAGTTAATCAAATGTTTTGACATAAAGAAGAACTCATCAGTGCATAACTTATGCCTTGATGCACTCATAAAGTTAAGAGTTGTTTACTTTTCTTCCTAGCTTTTAAATAATTTTCTATGTCGATCTAAATTTAAATCCATCACGGAAAAATCCCAATGTAAGTTTCCTCGTGTGCAACAACAATGCGTGTGTTGTTCTATTAAAAATAAACTTCTCGCCAATTTACGTAAAGATTCTTCTTTATTATTTCGGAATGAGTCGATAGAATGTGACATTGATAGACCACTGAATTCTCATCACAAGTGTCATTCAATCTTATCAATTAAATGTCGTAATGACGTAACAGGTTGTCAACCTCTTATGCACTTTAAATAAACTAATCAAACCGGTTTTCATTCGAGTCATGTTTTATCGTTCATGATTCTGATGTGTGAAAAAAAAACGCACAATAACCTTTCATGACCTTCAGATATTTTAATGAGGAGCGAGAATTAAATCAATTAAGGGAGATGAAGAAATATTAACTTACGTTAATGACCAAGATTGCATTTAAGCTTATCATTAACTTCTGTTTTTTTTGTTTGGCTGTTGATGAAAGGCTTTTTTGATAAGAAAATAATTTACAATTTTTTCATTTGATTTTCTTCATGGTGTTTGCTTTTGAAGATTCCTTTTTTTTAATTCAAGCCGGCGAAATTTTGTCTTCTCTTCATTTATTCATATCACATTTTCTCTCTCGTTCTCTGTTTCTTTCATCATTTTCTAAACGTCAACTCTCTTTTTTCGCCAACCAACCTTATGAAGGTCGTGTGAATGACAGAAAAATTTTCATAGGAAAATTCATTCTTACCTTTGGGTCCTTTTCAAAGTAATGTTGTTGGGTACGAATCCATCTGGAAACCAAATGATCCTTAACGCAATGAGCTAAAGCGAAGTAATAATCACGAGGCGTTGCCACATTACGATCCTTAATCAAGGTAAAATGGAGATGGCGATTAAAACCTTTCTTCACTTCACCGACATCCTCAACTTGAGCGATTCCACGGACGGAAATCTGCTTGCGTTTGTCAATATCGGAAATTGGTCGACTCATGATTTAAGAATTCACTTGACACGAAGATTTAAAAACGAAATTACTTTTCTAAACCTCAAAGGGACTTCCACAATAAGTAACTTTATCTGGAGATTTAATCCAGACGATCTTTACACTTCACCGTCTACGATCTTAATGCTGAAGACGACGTGAAATGCTTTTGTAAAGTACACAAATTCTCATTTATTTGCTTACTCTCACGAGAGAATAAAATTGTGAGAGAGCTTTAGACGATTTCCAAAACTTTCTCGACGATATTGAACAAGCAAGGGGTAAATCATCGTAGTGCTTCTGCCCGCTGCCTTCAAATGAAGCATCAAAAATCACTAGTGCTTTTCAAGAAAAATGGCCTTTTTCCAAGAATTTGTTTACTTTTTCTTGGAATTTGTCTAGTGCTTCAATGCAGCAATAGTGCTTTTGCCAGCCAATTTTTTCCGATGATTTACCCCTTGGTGAACGCTTATCTGGAAATTGAGAGAATTTCAATGTAAAAAAATATTTTCAACTGTCGATAAAATTTCTTAAAAGCTTTTTGAATGAGGAATTAATTTATATGTTGATAAATGCTATCATTATGTCAACCTTTCATTTGATATTATTTACTTTGGATTAGAAGAATTTAGGAGAAATGAGAATTATTATGCAACTTTTTCCTATTTTATGGATTTATTGGATATCGAAATTCTCCGTTGCGCTTTGAACACTTGTGAATAATTTATTTCTCTTATTCCGTTTCAATTCTCTCGTTCTTCACACTGACCTATCTTGTTTCTCATAATCATACTCACATTTATTTTCTAAAGAAATTTATTTTAGTATAAAACGTCTTATAAACAGAGAAGAAAAGAAACTTAGATATTTACCCAACATTCTCATATTCTCGGCCTCTCAAAGTTTTATCTTATCAATCACTTCACATACACAACCTTGAAATTAAGCAGCGTGCACGACCATAAAAATTTATAAGAGCGGTCATCAAACATCAGTTTAATTTAGTCGCTTCGTGAAGTTAAACTTGGGATGAAATTCTAAAAATATTTTTGATTATCATGGAAGTGAATTTTTCGATAAATGGAAAACTATTTAACAGTTAAGTTTCACAATTTATAATTTCTTTATATTGTAGGTAAATTTTGTTATGAAATTAAATGAAATATCGCGATATGATTCGAAATATTCTTAAGAACGCAATAAAATATTTAGCTGATTTGTTTTTTTAGATTTTGTTTTATGTACAAACGAAAATATTTAAGTTGTGTTGGGATTTATTTCAAGTCATATTTGCCCAACACCAAATTCTCTTATTGTCACTTAAAACATTTTTCAATTTATTCAATTTAGTCTTTTTAAATTTATCGGAGAAATTTATAAGCAAGATGAACACGGTGTTATTGAAAACGTGGAACTTTTTGCATTTCAGTATTTTGCTCACCGGCTTAAGATAAGGTTCAATAATGAAATGAATGATTTAAGTGGTTTATGAGATATGAGGTCGTGTGCTTAGTAAACAAATTAATGATAAGAATAATAAAAATATTAACGATGAGAGATGAGAGATAGCAAAATCGACAGATGTTTGTCAGAGAATTAACGAATTAAATTTTAATTTACTCACACCAAATATTTAGTTAATCCATCGTTGATCCCACTCGATACAACTTTGAATACTTTCATCCGTGATCATGCATTCTTAAAGGGCACGAAGTTTATGTGCTTGGAAGGTGGATGTGGAGCTTGTGTGGTGACTTTGAAGGGAGTCCATCCAGTGACGAAAGAGAAGACAACATGGGCTGTCAATTCTGTAAGAACTTTGAAGATTTTCATGCTTTGAATGATGGAAAACTTTTCTGATTTTGTTTCTCACTCAAAAGTGTTTGCAAAACATTTACTCGTGTCATGGACTTGACATCATCACGGTCGAAGGAATCGGGAGCAAGAAGAATGGAATGCATCAGGTGCAGAAACGATTGGCAAACTTCAATGGAACTCAATGTGGTTATTGCAGTCCGGGAATGGTCATGAACATGTACTCGTTGTTGGAATCAAAGAACGGCAAAGTGACGATGGAAGAAGTCGAGAATTCGTTTGGTGGAAACATCTGTCGATGCACTGGTTATCGACCAATCTTGGATGCATTCAAGTCACTCGCTTCGGATGCAGATGAGACTTTGTTGAACTTATGCAAAGACATTGAAGATTTGGATGGAACGAAGACTTGTCCAAAGACTGGAACTCCTTGCATTGGCAGTTGCAGTGCAATTGGAAAAGTCGATCCGAAACATTCATTGAAGTTGACATTCGAAGATGATCGCGAGTGGCACAAAATTTACAATTTGACTGAATTGTTCAAAGTCATGGGAACAATCGGCTATCGTCCTTATCAACTTGTCGCTGGAAACCCCGCACATGGCGTTTATCGTCGATCTGCTGACCTCAAAGTTTTCATTGACATTTCGAGTGTTGAAGAGTTGCGAGGATTCAAAGTCAACGACAACACTTTGGAAATTGGTGGAAATGTGACGTTGACAGAAGCGATGGAAATATTCACGAAAGTGGCCAACGAGAAAAAAGGTTTCGAATCCCTGAAGGAGTTCGTCACACACATCGACTTGATTGCCAACGTCCCAGTTCGTAACAATGGAACAATTGCTGGAAATTTGGCTTTGAAATATGCAAATTTGTCGTTTCCTTCCGACGTTTTCGTTGTACTTGAAGCTGTTGGTGCAAAAATTGTTCTTTGTAAGTCCGTCAAAATTTTTTGATTGTTCATCTTTATTAATTATTTCTTTTCATTAGTTTCGGGAGCTCAAAAGCAAGATGAACACAATCCTTTGGCACCTTCAGACTTCTTAAACGTCAGCATGCGACGAAAAGTTATCGGAAAAATTATTTTCCCATCTTTGTCTTCGTCATTTGTCTTCCGATCATACAAAATCATGCCACGAGCTCAAAATGCTCATTCCTATGTCAACGCAGCTTTCCTTCTTCAATTCAACGAGGAAAAAACTTTTATTAAGTCAGCTTCAATTTGTTTTGGTGGAATCGACGATTTTTTTGATCATGCTGAAAAGTTGGAAAAGTTTTTGATTGGCAAAGACATTTATTTAAACGAAGTTCTTCAAAATGCTTGTGAAGTTCTTGAAAAGGAAATCAAACCCGACTCGGACCCTTCGATTTCGTCTCCAGAATTTCGAAAGCATTTGGCAATTTCACTTTTCTATAAATTTGTGTTGAACACTTCGCCATCGGATAAAGTGAAATCTGAATTCAAGTTGGGTGGTGAAACATTAAAACGAGAAATTTCTTCAGGTCAACAACAAATCGATGTGAATGAAGGAAAATCGAAACTTTACAAAAGAATTCCAAAAGTTGAAGCTGACATTCAATGCACTGGCGAAGCTCAATATGTCAACGACATTCCCAAATTCGAGAATGAATTACACGCTGCGTTTGTTTTGGGTGACAAAGTCAATGGTCGGATAAAATCCATCGATGCTTCCGAAGCTTTAAACATTTCAGGTGTCGTCGCATTTTATGCAGCCAAAGACATTCCAGGATTAAATAATTTCATGCCACTGCGATTCAAAATGTTCAACCTGAAAATCGAAGAAGTTTTCTGCAGGGATAAACTTTTATATCACGGACAACCAGTTGGAATCGTTCTTGCAGAGACCTTCGATTTGGCATACAAAGCAAGAAAGTTCATCAAAATTGATTACAGCTTTGATCATGACGACGAGCCAATTTATCCAACGATTCGAGAAGTTATGAAAGCAAAAGCCGATGATCGACTTTTCGACGTGCCTGAATATTATTTGAAAGCAAGTGAATATGGAAATGACAAACAACATAAGATTTCTGGTCATTTTGAGATTCCATCAACGCAATATCATTACTCGATGGAGACACAACAGTGCTTGGTTGTTCCAAGTGAAGATGATTGTTTGGATGTTTATTCATCAGCACAATGGAGCGACACAAATCAAATTTCAATTGCTGAAGTGTTGAACATTCCTGTTAGTAATGTGAATACTTATGTGAGACGGCTTGGCGGTGCTTTCGGTGGAAAGATTAGCAGACAAGGGCAGATTGCTTGTGCAGCAGCTCTAGGAAGTTATTTAACTAAGAAACCTGTTCGATTGATTATGTCAATGGAAGATAATATGAGAGCAATTGGCAAACGCTTTTCATCAATGTCAGATTATGTTGCTGAAGTTGATAATCTGGGAAAAATACAAACATTGAAGCATCATTACATTCATGATCAAGGATGTTCGCCAAATGAAGTTGTTCAATTCAATACTTCAGTTTACATTGGAAATTGTTACAATATCAAGAGTTGGGATGTGACAACTCAAAGTGCTTTAACTCATTCAGCATCAAATACATGGATGAGGTGAGTTTAAATTTAAATTTAAGAACTTTCTTTTCTGACGTTTCATTTTTAGAGCTCCTGGCACGACTGATGCGATTGCAATGACTGAACATGTCATGGAACACATCGCAAGAGTTGTTGGACGTGATCCAATCGATGTTAGAATGGAAAATCTTGAAGATGGCAGTGAATTCAAAACAATGATTCCGACATTCATTAATGACGTTAAATACCGTGAGAGAAAAGCTGCAATTGACAAATTTAATTTGAAGAATCGTTGGGTGAAACGTGGAATTGCTGTGTCGCCAATGAAATATTTCATTGCGTATTTTGGATCGATGCATGGAATTGTTTCGATTTATCATGGAGATGGCTCAGTTGCTTTATCAACTGGTGGTGTTGAGATGGGACAAGGATTAAATACAAAAGTAATGCAAGTCGCGTCTCATGTTTTGGGAATTCCTTTCGAGAAAATTTCTATAAAACCATCAAATAGTTTGAACAATGCTAATGACATTGGATCAGTTGCCAGTGTTACAAGCGAAGTTGCGTGTTACATTGTCAAGAAATGTTGTGAGATTTTAATGGAAAGAATGAAACCTTTTAAAGATGAAAATCCTGAAGCGTCATGGGAAGAAATTGTTGAAAACGCTTTCTTGAAGAACACCGACTTGTCAGCTACTTATATGTACAAACAAGAAGAAATGGAAACTTATTACGTTTACGGCTTGAGTTGCGCTGAAGTTGAAGTTGATCTTTTAACTGGAAACATTCTTTTGAAGCGAGTTGACATCCTTGAAGACACAGGAGAAAGTATGAGTCCAGGCATTGACATTGGACAAATTGAAGGCGGCTTTGTGATGGGATTGGGCATTTGGCTGACTGAGAATTTAATTTACGATCCGAAAACTGCTGAATTATTGACAGATCGCTCATGGAATTACAAACCACCAGGTGCTAAAGACATTCCCATTGATTTCCGCATAAAACTTGTGCAAAAGAAACCAAATCCATGTTTTGTCCTAAGATCGAAAGCTGTTGGTGAACCTCCCGTTACAATGGGTGTTGTTGTTAGTTTTGCAATAAGGCATGCAATTGATTCTGCAAGAAAAGACAATGGTTGTGAGGATTTATGGTACGTTCTGAGTCCACCAATTTCGCCAGAGAAAATTATTCTAGCTGCTGGACTGAATATTAAGGATTTCAAATTGAATTAACAATAATCATGTATGAATTAAACTTTTAATCACAATAAATAAACTTACAAAAGGTGATTGGGAAGAAATCAAGAACATTAAATAGAATTAAAATTTTTATTCTGAATTTATTTAAGTTTTTCTATGCAGCAGCGCCATCTCATAGTAAAATATTTCCTAGACTCAAACCTGAACACCTTCTTTACCGACATTTTTAGCATTTTTCGACCAATGTGTCTTGAGTAATTATTCAAATTCCTCACACGAGAGGGCGCAAGAAGTCATTTCAGATTTTCTTGTTTTAATAATTTGAAATCTTTCATTCTGTTTTATTTTAAGTGAGACAAGGAAAGTGAATAAGAGAAAAAAATGTTTTTAACAAAATGCTAGAAGAATCTTCAATCAAGCGAGAATAGTTTTGATGAATGAAATCATAGAAATTAAATGGAATAAGCAAAGTTTCTGATGATAATCAGTCAACCTGAAATTTTATTGCTGAAATCGAAATTCATTTTCTTCTTGCTTAAATATAAGTAAGGGACAAAGATGATTAAACTTTGCATTGCCAGCCAGTCACCCAAGCACCGAAGAAACTGAAGAAAAGAACGTTAATTTCAATCTGTATGCAAATCAGTGCAAAAAATTAAACTTCGTAATAAAATCCAAAGAGATTCTTTTCATCATATTTCTCGTCCTTTTATGCAATAAAGAAAAAATAAAAAATGAAAATAAACAAAAGTTAAATGTTCTGAAAGTAAAAAGAATTTCATAAATAGTTTCAAGTAGTTTCGACTTAATATTTCTCGCTTCTCAACAGAAAAACTTCTTGAAAGAATGAATTTAAATGTTTTCCTTTGAAAATTTCAAGCACTTCCTCAACATTGTTTCCACCTTGATTCTTAACAAAGGCACCAATGTAGCACTTCACGTCTTCAAAAACAGAAAGCTTCACTTAATTGAGGCTTTGTTATTGAGAACAATCTCAGTCTTGCAATCAAGAATCTTTTACATGAAAATTTCTTTCTTCACCACATCAAAGTGAGAAGAAAGGAAAATTCATCAACATTCAGCACATCAATTTGATTATTTCATTTAAAACTTTTCTTTATGTCATGAACGAATATGAACAAAAAAATTTCTTTTATTTCATCTTCACACCTAATGTAACATGAAACTTCAGACGAGAGATGTTCATTTTAATAACGAAACGATAAGACGATGACGTACTGTGCATTAGAATGAGACCAAAGCGGGTGAGCGAGCATAACAGAGAAACAGAGCCATTCTGAAGCGATAAAAATTTAAATTTCCTTTTATGTCTGGTGAAGAGATGTGAGAGAAGGAAGAGGTAGATGTTGATGTAGAGAGGTAAAGGAAAAGCAAAGCAACCAGTCAGTTTCTCTTTTCCCACCAATGAACATGTTGAAACACTGAAATAAAATAAAACAAAAGCAAACTTTCTCAAAAACCATCGTCAAGCCCATTATTTGCTGTTGCTTGTTTTTCTTCCATCGTAATTTCTTTCAAGTACATTTTAGAGTGCGAGAAAAGGAAGGAGAAGGCAAAAAAAAAAAGAATTTGTTGCTCGCATTTGTAATGCAGGTCATGAAGTCTTTCTTTCCCATGCCTACGTGTTTGTGTTCTTTTATTTTTTTCATTGAGTATGGAAATGTTTGGAAAGGGAGAAACACGATTAGAATCTAGGTGGGTGTGGGGGCAGAAAAGTGAAGAAGCTTGCTTAAAGCACATCACACGTTTGTATATATTTCATTACAAATTTTTCTTTCTTACACTCATTCCAACTTTCATCGATACATCGCGTTTGGTTGTTTCAACTTTTTTTTTTCTTCTTTTTCAAGCCTAAAGATTACTTGAAGATTCGCACAGTTCGAAGGTTCTTCCAGGCAATATCATCAACAACAATAACGAATAACAATAACAAGATCTTGTTGTCGTCGTACGTTGAAGGAAAATTGTCTGTCATATCTATTCATTCATCCAGTCAAGAAAGGGGAAGAAAAAAAGGGGAGAATGAAGTTCTTTGCCGTAGCGCGTCGTTTTATATCGTTTCAAGGCAATCTACGTGCATTTCATGAATGTTTTACTTCCTTCGTATCTTTGCCATGACTTTAGGGTTGAAAATGCTTTTTCCACCTTTTTCTTCTTTCTTTTTTTCTATCTTTTAAATTGAGACATGTCAAGCAGTCTCTGTTTCATCACTCACACCCACTCACATTTAGAAGCAAGCGATCATCATCAGCTACGCGTGTTTCCTTCTTTCTTCTTTCTTTTTTTAAATGGAAAGAAAATTCTCTAAGACTCATGAGATTTCAGCATAAATCCAACTTTTAACAAGCGACGTTATAATCAAATTAAAGACGATGTTTAATTGTCTCATCGTCGTTTTTTTCTTTTTATTTTATTTTTCTTATGCGCTGTCGTTGATTTAATTAATTGCTCATCAAATAGAAGAGCATTTGATTTCATTCTGTCGTCTGCTTTGCGTTGTTTTGTTGTCAATGAAGCTTTGACGACATCAATGGCAAAAATTTAAAGAAGTTGCGATGAGATGGATGAATTTAAGAAAGAAATGAAATCTATTCGATTTGGATGTGTTCTTCTTTCACCAATGCTTTTGAAATGATATCAAAGAAATTCTTTAATTGATTTCATCATGCGAATAATTGATGATAATTTGCAGCATGTTGTTATTGAATATTTTACAACAGCAGATAATTTTCATCGAATGGTATTTATGAATCTACATCAAATGAATGGAAATTACTCATTTAAAAGTTAAGGAAGATGGAATTAATTATTAAGCAGCCGGAAGCAACGAAATCAAAGATCAACAACAAAAATTGAAACACGCGCCAATGTTTTAAAGCATTAAATTCACCAGAATGTTGGGGCTTGTTGGAAACTGAACAAATAACGTTTAATGCTAATTTCAATCTTTGTAAACATATTGAAATCTCATTAATATCACTTCAACGATAGATATCCGAAACGAAATACTAATTTCTTTTTGTTCTTTTTCTTTCTTTCTATCTCCGCCCACAACAACAACCCCACACAGAAAATTGATGAAAGTTTTCCCATAAAAATTTTTATTGCTTAATTTTTATCACGCTCTGCGGTTGTGTCTGCTTCTGTGATGCCAATTTTCTTCGCTTTCTCTTTGATTTAATAAGAAAAGTTTCTTAATATTCTTGAGCGATATCGAAGTTGTTGTTCGGTTCATCGCTTTTCCATTGCACCTGCAATGTTGTAATGTCATTAAAATAAAAGTTAAATGTAAGTAGATGAGAAAGGCAATTAAAGTGATTTCCTTTGCACTTTAGAAAGCGAGAAGATTACATTGAAATGTCATTTTGGTTTTGTGACGATCTCTTAAGAGCCCTAAAGCTTCTCAATATTCAACGCAATTCTCTTTGTTGTTGTAGCAAATAAATGGATGATTTTCCGTTCGTATTTTCATGTCTCTGAATTGAATTTTGTTAGCTTCTGGCAAAACTTATTCAAATTAATGAAATCTATTGGAAAGCTTACAACGGAAAATTTAAAATTTTAGAACAGAATTCGATTTTCGAAAACTTTGATCAACTCGTTTGAAATCCTTTCCTAAAAGGCTTTAATTTTAGAACAAAATTAGTTTATTTAGTGAACTAAATAGGTAATTTCCAACTTTAAAAGAATCTTAAAGTACATCATAAAAATAAAATCGATGGCATTGAATGCTAGTAAAATAGCGCCAATTTTTTAAATTAATGAATACGTGTGCATGTTGTTATTTACTTTTTTATGCTCACGCAATGAATTTTCATTATACGTGTAAGAATAAATTGAATGAGTGAGAAGACTTTTAATGGTAAGTATCAAAAACTGATTAACTTTCATTTCCATGCACTTGAAAGGTTTTAATGATCTGTAGAAAGCTGATACATGACGACGTAAAAATAAAATAATGTGAACATGGTATGAGGTGTTATGCTATGGCAGCAGCAAATGTTGCAGCACCTTTAATGTTTTCTACTTTTTTTTCACCCAACAGTCAAGTCGTAACAAAATCCATTAAAACATAATATATTCGTTTTCAAAAAGTGATTTGCGTTTTTATATTTTTTCAATTTTCCAAAACATAAAATTGGATTCCGAGATTCCAACAAATGCAAATTTTCTCCATATTGTTATTTCTCAAAGAAAAGTTCTCAGCTTCCAGCTTATAGAAATGCGCTGAAATTAAGAATAGGAAATCTTGTGTCGTAATAAAAGTTTTGTGTGTCGTAGGCGACATTAAGGGAAAATAAAAATTTTCGAAATAAAACTTTTTCTTGATTGTCCTCAACGAAACTGTCGTGTTTATTTTTCTCTCTAGTAAAGTCTGCAAAAGAAAGCAATTTTTACTGTCGATATATTTCTTTTTTAACGCTTTAAAATTGCAAATTATCGCACATTAAAATGAAATAAACGACAGGAAAATAATTTTATTTATCGTCGTTGTGCAATTATTTTTTTAACCATTTTTACCTTTCTTGTCGACGTTAAACTTTCGGGTCGTTATCGTGAATGAAGCGATATGCTTTGTACAACATGTGGGATGATTATAAAGTCAGTTGCAGGCGAAAGCCAAAATAATTGAAAAATAAAAGGAAGCAGAAGAAAAGTCCTTTGCGGTAACACGAAGCATTGCTACGGCAATGAGGAAATGGAGATAGTTTGAAGAAGAGAGTTCAAGCGAAAGCAACTTGATGTAGATATGTATGAGTACCTACATAAATATATCTTTTAATTGTAAATAATGCTGGTGAAATGGGAGATAAATGAACTGTAGACTGCAGTGAGAACGGAAGAGTTAAAGAAAAACATAACAAAGCACTGCAAAATTCACTCATTCATCTGTGCAGTCCCTTTCGTTTAATGATACATTATATTGAAAGGATAATTTAATTTTATTTAGGAAGAAAGTATTTTTTATGGTCAAAAAGTTCGTCTTGTCTCGTTTGGACAATGTCCAAGAAAATGACCGACTTTACTCACAGAATGTCGTCGGGAGTTTTCACACCGAATGACATAAATTTGCTTTTCGTTTCAATTTATGGTTGAACGAATCTTCATTAAAGTTTTGAATCTGTCGGGGCTGCGGTAAATTATTTATGGAAACTTTAAACTTATTGAGTTGGTTTGGAAAGCAATTTCTTCCGATGACAAACGCTTCTTATGGTGTTAAGACTTCTTAAGAAGAGATTTGCATGTTTTATTTATGACAAACTTTCGCGCATCTAAGTATGCATATATTGAAACTCTAGAGAATTTAACTTCCTAGTGATTCTGCTTTGCTACTTTTCGTATTTATTCCTTAAGGGAATATTTGTTTGGAATTCAAAGCTCGTCCCCATTAACATCGTTCACAATGCTACAAATAGCATAAAGAATCTAAGACTCAAGTTTCTTCTCTTTTCCACATTCGATTGCTTGGTCTTATCGACATTTTTTCTTTCTTTAACCTTTCACTACAATCGATAACTTGATTCTTCAACGAAGGAAACATTGGAAACTCTTTGAGAATATCGAATGATTTCTCTTGTTACTCGACGATTGTTCGTGTTGAACTTTTAGAAAAGTTCACAATCTCCTTTCATTTGTAATATGAAGATTTTATTTTCCACTGTTGAACTGAAAAATGAAAAAGAATAAAATGAAATAAAATGAAATGAACAAAGAAAAAAAAGGGAAAAAGCTGAATTCCAACAAACAACGATGGTTTATAATGATAGCTTATTTAACAGACCTCAATCAGCGCCGCCAATGAAAATGATTTCATCTGCAAGTGAAAAACATGAAAAGAGCGAAAAAACCTCAAACCGAACGACCACAATTTTAATTAAAATTAATGATGTTTAACTATTGAAAGTGAATTTAATTTCTGTACAAAACTTTATTAAGCAGCCTAGACGGCTCTTTTTTTTTCATCTACCCGATATTAAATTTAATCTTTATTATAACAAAGCAATATTTTATATAATTTATATAATTAATCAGAAGATATAATTGAAACGTTTATGAAAGGAATTTCCTTCCCCTATCTGTTAAAATTTACAACTTACAATTTATTAGAAAAGAAAATTCAATTGAAGTTTGAGCTGCTTAAGACCGAGCAAAATAGAAATTTATGATTTTGTGAGACAAATTCAAGAAGCAAAATTTTATCTCTTCGCTGATGTTGTTGATTTCTCTTTTCATTTTCTTCGCTTTTTTTTAATTTGAATGCAAATTGAAAATATTACCATAAAGTCTCTCGAAGGTGTGGTTGGAGTATCTTCGCTCAACACACTAAAATTTATTCATCTCTAAGCATGAATATTTTCTCGCTTTAAAGGAACAGGAGAATCGGTTGCAATGCCTCAACGCTATTTGATTTTTATTGCCTTTCCATAACTACACCTTTAGTTAGTATCGCTCGTATCGTTTTCTCCCCTCAATTTACTTGCTTTACTTGCTTTTCGATTCCCCGCCAGCTTCAATACACAACATACATATCTAAACCTACTTCATTCATGAGAAATATTTTCTTTTCTTCCTTTATATTATCATTTACATGTTTTTCCAAAACAAAATACTTTTGAGAAAAAATATTGAATACACATTCAAGAGCTCTTCTAAAGCTTTATCTCGAAGTATGAATAAGTGGGTAGCGACGTGAAGGGATCCAATGAAGCATAAAGCACATGAGAATTCATACGAAAAACTCAAAATCCTATAACATTGCTTTGGAGTGGAAAAGAGAAACATCAAGAATTTCAATAAAAGAACATCGAGTATATAATGATGGTAATAGCTAATCGCATCCACTCACTTTCTTCCAATTTCACTTCCTTCGTTTCTATTTTCTATGAGTGAGTTGAGATGAGATGAGATGCTCTTACTTAGAAGGAGAAATCAATTTCGCTATGTTTCGCTTGAGCGATGGAAATATCTACTTATGGAAAAGAAAAGTTAAAAGAAGCTTTAAAGTTTTCTTACAAGTAAAATCTGTAGCTGAAAATGGATAGCAAGCTAATAGGATCTTTCTCATGTGATTATTCATGGCTGAAATTGCTAAAATAATCTCCACCAAAGTATCTTTTACATGGAGAAAGAGCGTTCTAAGCTCTCGTTGTCGTATCTCCGACATGATTTTAATTTAAAGCATCTTTCTTTCATATCTACATAAATAAATTTATATATTTCGAGATTGTGAACGACGTAAGAGCTCACAACAGTAAACATTTTATGTTTTAATTAAGTGTAGAATTTTCAACTTTTCATATTTCGTTGTTCATTCATATTATTATGTGTATGTAGCTAGTTGCTGTTGCTATTATCCTTACTCTTATTGTTAGATTGTAAGTTCCACCATTGTTGCATGACATTCTCCATAGTGAATATCTCTAGTTAGTGATTGTTGTCTTAATTGTCTCTTGCTTGTGATGATGAGAATTCCTACTACCTAATTGAAGTCTCTTTGAATGTTTCTCGTTGAAGTAGATTGTTGATGTTGATGAAATAGAAGAGAATCCAATTCCAAATATTCATATAATAAGAAGTAGTGTGGATGTGAAGAACATGCTAATTGGTGCATGACTCTTCCTTTTACACTTTCTTACTTTGAAACTTAATTACCTTTAAATCACTACTTGAAATTGATATTTTCTCATGCGAGAAAAACACGCTATCAAAGCGTCACCGTAATGAAAATATATCTCGTATGTAATGTGCTTTATACAAGTATTTAGTGTCGAAATAAAACACAAATGAGATGCTAAGTGATTACCAGCGAATGAATGAACGAAGGAACGAACGAACGATACATGTTAACAAGACACGTTGATGATGTGTCGTTCTTCGTTGTGATTTATTACAACAGGTGCTAATAAAGTTTGTATCTTTTGAGTTAATATGCTTTGCTTTGCTCTTCCATCGAGGTAATTAGGGTAAATCTGATCCTTTTTCAGAAGAACAATATTGAGAGCATCAGCAACATCAGCAGCAGAGCGATAATTTATAATTACATGAAGATTTTCCATTCAACTTTTTCCAGACATTTTTTTTCCACTACGTTAAATCGGAAATCGTTAAAGCTTAACGACTTTTGTCGAAATCTTCCTCTCTCTTTCTGCTTTCTTCTAAGAAACTTTGCCTTTCTTAATTCGTCTTCAATATGGCAAATTAAGCTCACTTTACTTATAACTACGTGGTATGAGAAAGAGAGAGAGAAAGAGATTCGTCGATCCTTTGAATGATTGATTGATTCATTAAAAAAAGGATTTTCTTCAGCCTTCGTCTTCTTCAACAATTTTATTTCATTTTTTTTTCGTTCTTTCCTCTCATTCTTCGTGCTTTTTCTTTTTATTTTTCAGGGTCAAAATATGTCCCGGGGCAATGATCCATACACATTCATCATGGAAATATTGTGATACATTGTGGAGAGAAGATGAGTGGATGGGGTTGAAGGGGACGAATGGAAAAGGAAAATCGATTATAAAATATGCTGTAACATGTAAGCAAGAAAATGAAAAATATTGCAAAACCGATGCTTGACTCAACTCAAGGCTTAGACTTCCTGTAAACATTTTTTTTCGAATATTTTCTTTCGCTTCCCAAAACGAATAAATCACATCTGAAATATTTATTTATTACAACGAGATTTGTTTCTTTTTAAGGAAGTCTTCATTTTCTTCTCTTTTAAGAATCTAAACTTGAATTTATCTTAAATAGAAATAAAAAAATATGTGAAGAAGTTTATGTGTGTGTTTGTTTCTAAGAAAATCTCTTCAAAGTTCAAACAATTCTCCGGATGTTGACTGAAACGCTACCGGTTTGAAGATGTGAACTTTTTTAATTAATTTCTTACTTTGACAATATTTTTCTTGTTCAACTTAAAGTATAACAAATTTCTTTACTTTTCAATTTTAATCTTTACTTGTCGAGCTTTTTTTAAATTATAAGAAAATTAACTTTTTTCATCCTGTTTGATGTAAAAATAAAATTTAATTTGTAAATTTATGTTAACATTACATTATTTATTTATAAATTTAATTAATGACGACATTCATGAAATCAAAAGCAATAAGTCGATTTAGTTACAGAGATATTTGTTTATTGATTCTCTTAATGATGTTTGGGATTATTAATGTTGCTTTTTTATCAGCAATCTAAAATACAATGTGCTAACATTGAGCGAGATAGCGTTGATTATATTTGCGCAATAATTCCAATATCCATATTTTAGACTTTTCATAGCTTAAATATGCTTGAATAATGTGATGTTGATATTTGCAGCAAATAATTAAAATTATCTATTATTGCTGTTGAACGTAACCGTAGACGATAAATCAAAACTTAATTATAATATATATCCATCGATTATCGATGAAAACTTTTATAAATTATGAGGTTCGCAAGACAATTAAAATTGTAAGAATGATTTCCATTGCATTCCCACTCTTTACCCAACTTTAAATTATTTTATTTTGCTTCTTTTTTTATGTAATTTACTCGCTCATTCATTCTTTACGTCAATAAAACTTTGCAAAGTACTCTTTCATTTATCATAAAATGAATTTTCTTTGCTTTTCAAAGCTGCTTACTTATCAAAAGTATTTAGAAAGAGAATAAACAATTCGTCTAGAAAAATGAAGAAAAAGTTTTAATTGGAGCTGTGCCCAGAGTGAGTAGATATTTCATTTCGCTTCTGCTTCAAAGTAGCATCTCGCAAATGGCTTATGTTTCAAGAAAAAAAGAAGAAACTTCTTTCATTTTTTGACTATCATCTATTTCGACTACATATTCGCAGTTGAAGAAGACGAAACAACAAAATATTAAATAAAGAATTCAATTCAACAGAAGAAAATTAAACATTTTTGTGAAGTTTTTCAATGTTGCGTTTAAAAATAAAGTTTCAGGCTTTTTCTTCTTTTCAGATATCAAAAGGCCAAAGAATTCATTGCAAATTGTTTTACTTGTTTACTTGTTATTGCTGCCAGCATTGAAAAAAAGCGGAAGACAGAAGCAACAAAATCTGCAAGAGCAGCGTTTTATTTATTTTCTCTCTAAATCATAACATCAAACAACTAGTGATGGCAGAAAAAACTCTACGAGTCTCTCAAAATAGTGCAACAAATATTGACCGACTCCACTGTGATGTTGCTGTCTGTCTGTTTGAATTGTGAGTCTACAGAAGTTTACGCGTTCATGTTGAACTGGTGAAAATAAAAATAATAACAACTTCTCTTTATTGATTTTGTGAATTAAAATAACTGGAATTCTTTCATGTCACTTTAAATGAAAACATTGATAAAACAAACGAAATGATTTTTGGCACTGATATTTATTTATTTATTTATTTATCTGTAGAAAATAGAAACTAAACAAACAAGAGATTAAAGAATCTCTTTTAAGAGATTAAAGAATCTCTTTTAAGAGATTAAAATTGTATTTTTATTCTTCCTTCACATTGAATGCTTTCGAAAGCTAAATCACATAGAGAAGGAGGTAAGGAGAGAGAGAAAGGGAGAGAGAGAGAGAGAGAGAGAGAGAGAGAAAGAGACTGAAATTACATAATAACAACAAACATTTTCATTTCAAGCTGAATTAATTGATTTGCCTTGCAGGTACTTCTCTTCCTTTTAAAAGGCAACAGCATAACTTCCAATGACAGCATAAAATGTTTTAACAAACGTTAAGCATTCTTTGGCAGCATCTTCAAATACTGTTTTTGTGTCTCTTTAAATATTGCGCAAACTCACCATAGAGAAAGCTTTCATTGCTTCCAGTCATCTCGATAATGACGATAAAATATTTGTTGTGAACAATTCGTAAACAATGACAAAGAGGGAACGGAACGAGACACAGAAATGCTGAATGTTTACTTTTGATGCATGTTATCAGATACTTTAATTTGCTGATATTTTGAAAGCTTATCTTGGATAATAATAATGATAATAACAAGAAATTCCATTCAATCGTTCAAAAAGACTTTTGACAACAAATAAACATTTATTAATAATAAATAATCCGATTTGTTCCCTTTTTTCATGAATTTTACTTCATAATTTGATTTGAGGATGATCGTAAACATTTTATTATGTTATCAATTTGTTATTTAATTACGAAACATAACAAAACATAAACCGAATCAGTCGATTAAGCTATTCTTTCACTTCATGAAACATTCATTGATTTACGAAATTTATTAGCGATTTGTCATCAGTGAGAATTTCATCAAGCAATTTCGATGCTCATTCAAATTATTAAATCTGCCGCAAACTTATTTAAACACAAGATGAAAGTGAATTGTTGTTAGATGTTGCCAAGGATGCTTAAAAATGTTCGCTCGCTACTTTCTTTGCCTTCATCAAACAACGGAAGAGATTTAATTTTTCTCTTCTTCTTCGCTTACTTTTTTTTGTTCAAGTAAATTTTTTAACGCACAACAACAACAAATTTATATCTAACAAGGAAAATGGCTTTATTATTGATGTAAAATTGTTATAACGTGGGTAAGAAACGATGAAAAGATCAACAAACAAGCTACGAGTGAGTATGAAGTAAGAGGCTTGTTTTGTTGAAAAATTCGCAACAATGAGTCGAGCAGGTCGTGATGAAGGAAAAGCGAGTGAGGTTGAAGAAATAAAAACGAGAGGCACGCTCAACATTATCGAGGGGTTAAAAACGCTATGAAAGGAATGAACGGAGAAGAATGGAAAAAAAGGAAGAAAAGGAATGAAAAGCAAATCGTATCTCTTTATTCAAATGAGTTTTCATGTTGTTTACAAGTGAAAACATGAAGCAGTGATTAATCATAAAGCGTAAAAAAATATTCTCTCGTGTGAAAAAGGTGGAGACAGAAATAATAAAAAAGATGAAGCAAAAATGATCAAGAGGCAGTTTGTGCTTACCATCTGAGATTCTATAGAATTGCCATCCTTGGATGATAAGATAATGGTTGTTAAACGAAGTGAAATAACATAGGCGGGGGTGGCAGAGACAACAAAAAAAATGTATCTAGATATCTATTTGAACAACTTATATGTACGTGATTCTTCATTTTTCTCTTGATTTTTTTCTTTTTCTTTTATTTATTTGTATCCTATTTCACGGTTTTCAAATGTTTGCACAATGATTCAGGATATCGAGAAACTTTGTTCACCTTTTCTCTTTCTCTGTCAATGAATGAGCTTTGTGTCGTTGTTGTTGTTGAAGTTGTCGTTGACTTTGTCGTTGTCGTCTACGATGAATTTATTGTTATTGTTTGAAAACATCGCAAAATCCTTTTAACTTTGATTCTCGAAGAATCGGGAAGAAAGTTTCTCATCTGATATAAATTCGAGTCAAATTCCTCCCATTATTGCTGCAAAGAATGGAGGAAGAAACGTGGGATTTTATATGTAAGTGGAACGTTGACATCACTCAGTTCGAAACGAAATTTAAATGTATCCAACAGAAGCAGAAGAAATGGAAAGAAGTTTACAATTGTCCTTGGGGAATCTTTTCGACTCTTGACGAAACTATTTTTTGATGTCAGCTGTAATTGGAGTCGGTGAAGGAGAGAAGACATTACATTACACATTGCACCATAGACGACAGACTATCTTGTCGTCTGAAGAAATCAAAGAAAATAAATTACAGCTTATCATGCAATCGGTAGATTGTAACAAATTGAAAATCTCTTTGATACACCAAGGAAGACGAAGCGAAGAGAAAGTTTTTCGTTCGAATCTTTTTTCCATTTTTCGTTTTCTGATTTCAATCTACGTTGATGCTTGGTTACGCAACAAGATTTTTCTCTTTATGCCTTTTTTATCCATTTTTTGACTGATAGAAAGAATATCTGTGACGAAGAAAAGTTGTGTGTTGTTCGAGATGGAGATGGAAAGAAGATGGAAGATTCCAAATTGAATTCAGTGACATGGATTTCAATGTGTCGTGTGTATCAAACGAAACGTAAGACCCTACACAAATCGCTACAATGATGTAGAACAAGACTTATCGATGTGAAATAAGAGTCAGAGTTTATTGAAATATATATTTATCTCGTTTTACTACATTAACATATCTCCTTACATGGAATATCAACTTATAAAATACGTATGAATATCATTTCTACATGAAATACATTTAATCGGAAAATCTTTTCATCCTTTAACGAAGAATCAAAGGGAAAGTTAATGAATTGTGAAGATGAAAATCTCATTATGAGCCAAATGACTTTCGTTCGGTTCTTTCTCTATTTAAAAGGATGACGATGACGACCCCTAATAAAGTTAATGACAATAATAAAGTAATAATAGTGAAACGGTCGTGTAATGTTAAAACATTGTGATTGGGAGATGAAAATTGAAAACGTTTAAGGCTTTTATTTTATTCCATCTATTGTCTCATGAATTTTTAGCTGAAACGAAGCACACTTCCTTCCGTACTTACTTAGTCTGTAGTCGGGTTGATAAGTATGAGAGTGAATGGAGAAAGAAATGTCAATACGATGTCCCAATCATCATTGTGAACATCTGGTCAAAAGGTCTTCCGAATTTCATCTCATACGCTATTCTTCAGATTGCAATCGAATAAAATCAACTATTATCACATTCTTTCCTTCTTATTTCGAAGACCATCTTCTGTCCTTTACTCGATTTAGTCGAGCTATCATGTTGTTGCTTTGCTACTTCTATGATGATAATGTTGTTGTTTTTAAAATGAATTGGAAAGTCATCAGCACGGCCACATCATTCGCAAACGACGATGTCTGAATACATCCCTTAATCTCGGAGCCTCGAAAATGTGTATTGGACTTAATGAGCTGTGCACAATCTGCCTCCTTCCTTGTTAAATATATCTCGTATTTGTTGTCCTATTGCGATATCTTTCTCTCGGTTCTGATGTTCTTTCTTCCTTTCCCTTCTATTCTTCTGTTGTGTTGTAACTTTATGTGAAAAGGAAATTACACAATCCGCAATCTCTTTCTGATCGACGCACAAAATTTAATAATGTCGAGTTTGTTCTAAATTGGATTTTCACTTTGTACTTTCCCGCTTCAAACACCGTGAAGCGTAAATGCCCCAATTTAGAAATTGTGTAATTCTCAATGACACGATTCGATGAAGTTCTTAATGGATCAATTGCCTGAGGGTTATCAATTACCTGCTACGCCTCACGAACAAGCGGAGTCATTAAATGTTTTCGTTTAGTAAAAAGTAAAAAGATTCATTTAACTTTTGCAAACTTTTCATCTCTTATTTCAGTTGCACAGCAGCAGCAGCAGCAGATAAGCAACTAACGTTCGGTCGAGTTTAAATGAAATGTATCAAATCTCAAGCACTCTGTTCATTAGCTGGAAGTTGAAAGATCAAGGAAGCACATAGAAAATTATCAAGTTTTCATTCCATTGTCTTAATGTCTTAACGAAGCATTTCACCTCTTTGACGACATCAAATGTGAGTAAGAAAAACGATAAAATCTATAAACTTTTAATTGGATCTTAATTATCTTCTCCGAATAATGAATTTATTGGAATTGTTTTTCATGCTCGTCTCAAAAAAAATTCTTTTCTTGCATTCGCTTGTCGAAGGTGGCAAAAACTTTCTCATTCTAAGATTTCATTACAATGGATTTAAGATCCAAGCATGCCATACGATACTTCCCCGCTGTTCTCTGAAGATTGTTTTTTTATTCTTCTTTTTTGCGGAAAGCAAACGAAAAGTGGAGGAGAACAATAAAATCTGTCACAAGAATGTGTGCATACGTGAGAGTTCAGCAAGTGCTTCCACGATATCGAACTTTTCTTTCGTTTCTTCCTTCGCCAGCACTCCCAAAATGAACGATGGAATTTAATTTCTTGTGACAAAAATATTTTTCGCAGGCAACATTGGTTCAACTTCAGGCAAAACTCCAAAGCTCGGTGGAGTGTGCGGAGACGTGCGGCAAAAAGTGAAATTTATGGAAAAGCTTTTTCGCTCAAAAATTTACAACGCTGAAAATTGCATAGCAGCAGTTGCACTAAACTAAACTAAACTGTTTCCGTTTCACACTTTACCCTCCTCTACTTTTTTCTGTTTCTCCTTGGCCCAGCTCCGCCCGACAAATGAACACTTTGCAATAGAAGCCTGAATTAATTAAATTATTTCCAAATAAAAGGTAAAAAACAAAAAATACTGAATGGCAGAAATTTTAATATGGAACAAAATTTTTCGCCCATTTACATAAAAATATATAAATTTTCAGGTGATTTTAATTAAAGCCATTTATTCTCCTTGAAATTCGTGCTTGCGATATTTATCATTATGCTCTCGTTTCTCGTTTTCAAGTCCCTAAAGAACAAGTACAGGTATGAGGAGAAAGAATTTGAAAAGTTTTTTGTTATTTTTTTTTGTAATTTTAAGTCTGCTTTGGTGCCAGAGAGCAAAATACAAAACTTTACGTTTCGGAAACGAGGAGAAAAGTATGATTTAAGCACATATTTAAATGTTACAGTTTTCTTTCTTTCTAGCAGGAATTTTCCTTTTAGATATTTTTATAATTTTTCGTTTACTTGAAATTGGAATAAAATGCTCCCAAAGTGCCACAGATTATCATTATCGTTTCTTTACTTGCTTTCCTGAAACGAGAGACTATAACAAACACCTTTTTTTCTTATATTTCTTTCTTTTTTGTTGTTTGTTGTGAGGTAGACAAGCTTAAGCTTTATTATCTTTCCAGCCAAATGAAAAACGAAAGAAAGAAAAGAACAAACAGTAAATAAGAAAATAAATAACTTTTAATTACGCAAAGTGTTTTAAATTTCAATTTTAATTAGTAAGTTCTTGACTGTCTTTGGAGGATTAAAAGCTCGACGCAAACTGTGTTTTTCATCATGTGCGAGACTTTTATCAACTTTCAACGCGTCTCTAAAGTTGCTGTTCCTTCTTTTAAAGAGAAACAGCAGCGTTGTTTGGCGTTGTTGGGTGGAGGAAGTTTCAAGGCGTTGCAAATTAATTCGACTTCTGACACCGGAGAACGAAACGCATTAATAGCGTAATAAAAGACAATGAAACCATCATCAGGGAAACAAACGCCTTTTCATCATACAACACAATGATCCCCTCATTTCATCGCTGACTGTTTTATTGTTGAATTATAATTAAAGGTAAATGAAAAGGAAAATGTTAATGTTCTATTAAAAATATTTTTAATGTTTGATCGTAAAACAAGCAACTCATCGTATTGAGCTTCCAACAAGAAAAATACGCAAAACAGGTAAACTTTCAACGATATTTTCAGACTTGAAAAGAGAAATGTCGCTAATTAATCACAATGTGAGCCTTGATGGCAAAATAAATTTAAAAGTAATTAAAATTGAATAAATACTGCCGCTCATTCCATCGTCATCTTTTCATTTTCCACCCCCACACTTTACCATATCTTGGCAGACTCAACTTGTGTCAATTTTACAAAGCTGAAAAGTGAAAGAAAAAAAGAAATTTTGAAGTTCTCTTCTCGTGCGCCATCTGAAAACTTTCTCATCTCATATTTCTGTGCGGATTAGTCTTTCGAGTTTGACTTTGTAAAAAAAATTAATATCTCATTTCATCATTTACATATTAAAACATTATCTGAGCTAACAAAGTTTTCTTTTTCTGCCTCAACAGCGACGTTGCCTTCCACAAGGGGATGAAGAAAGTTCTTTGCAAAAATAAAAATAAAAGAAAGAAGAAGAAAATTGTGATTAAATTATGTACAGCGGCAATTCTCGAAATTTCCCTAGAAACTTTTCACAAAGTTTATCATCAAACAAATCAACAAAGTCATATTTTTTGTGTCTACAAATTTTATTTGGACAATGAGAAGTCGAAGTATCATTCATTACCTTGTTTTATCAGCATTTCATTGGATTGTCAGGAAGTGATGAACTGTGAAGAAGTTTTACTGTTTTCCTTTTTAAAATTGCAAGGCTTTTGAAAGCGGAAAAGCGCAAAGAGAAATCTCTTCCCTTTTATATTACATTTTTTTTAATCTACGTCTTTAGAGCGTCTACTACCTAGGATCTAGTGAGACAATATAACGTTGCAATATGCTAGAATTCAACATGAAGTGGAAGGGAATAAAATAATAAAAGAAAAATTCAAATAAAAATTGCGATATTGCTAGATGAATAGCAGAAGAAAAAGTTGTAAAAAGTCAAATCTCTGCGGCTTCTCTTCCTTTATAGTCTCATTCTTTCATCTTCTTTCATTTATTGAAACAAATAAAAGTGTGGGTGGTAGTTCGTGTTGGTTCAGAAGGAGGCTTGAGGGAATCCTATCCTCTTCCGTAGCAAAATTAAGAAACTTTTGTTTTTATAGCACAAACTTTTATTTTATTTCACTTTTTTCTCTCATTGTTCGTGTTGACTTTTTTCCTTCCACAACTTCCATTCAATGACAAAAATCAGTTTGATAAACTCGAGCTTGTTAGCTTTTCTACACTAAATCTTTTTTTGTCACTCGATGCGTTTCATATTATAATTTCAAATAAAAAACAAAGTTTTTGGTTGAAAAGCTTCATCCGTTCTTCCGGACATTTTATGCAAAACATGAGAAACGAAAAAAAAGACGAAATTATTATTATGAAGCTCTACATACATACATAGTGAGTGAGTTTGCTTTCAGTTGAGAGAAAAAAAAGATAAAACTTTTCTTTCTGCCAACGTTACCGAGTCCATTATTCTCGTTTTTCTTGCTATGTTTTTTTATTGCATATAAATCTGATGTAAAAAAGTCGTTCACTCTAAATTTCTCTCAAACCGATTGTTAATACTTTAATAATTCATTCTGAGTGAATGGATGGATATACGATGTGAAAATTCTCGTTGTACGTCCCTTAACAACGTCAAACTCACATAATTCTATGTACAAGGGGAGGGAGAGCACAAAAAAGGGAAAAAGTCTCTTTATTGTGGATGTTGAGTTTTGGGTGCCATTTGATGGTGAAGAGTGAAAAGCAACGACGACCAAGAGTTGAGGAAGCGTAGAGAAAAAAAATTTACACAACAACTATCGTAAATCTTAAAACCACTAAATTTCTCCCTTTTTTTGTGAACCCTTATCATATGTTGTAGTTAAGATCAGAAATTATTGCACAAAATTTTCACATGAATGTTCACCAGCTTTTGTGACCCTTTTTCGTAAGCCTCATTCTTTCTTCCTCTTTATTCATACGCACCCTTAAAAAACACGCACCCACAATTCATGTTCCCTTTCAAATCAAAAAGCTTAAATTTATCAACTTTTCATTTTTTCGTTTAATTTCATTTCAACTTTTTTTTCGCTCTCTCCTTAAATATTATTAATAATCGTAAGGAGAAGTTTGTATATGAATGAAGGAATGTAAATGACTTTTATATTTTTTACACGCTTGATACGCTTCAAATATTCACAAAAAAAATCTTTCTTCAAATGTGTAAATTGCCAGAGTGAAGTTTTAAGCGTGCAAACATTTAAATTAATTTCTTAGGATTGAGAAAATGTTCCTCCCCCTTCTTTCAAGTGCTACTTTTGTGTGTGGGTGTCCGGAGGAAAAAGGAATGCGAAGAAAATTTAATTATTTATTTAACATTCTTCTCCGTTCTAATTTGGTTTTGTTTCTGAACCATGAATATTACGCTAAGGCGTAGAGAGAAACGAAATGAATGATTTTTTCTTTCGTTTTTCTTTGTTATTTGGATTATTGTGGGAGATTATTCATCCCATGAAATTGGTTATTTTACTCCTTTTTATTGCATTTAATTCAAATGGCTGAGCTTGAGTTTTGTGTTATGCTGGAATAGCAAAAACCAGAAACGAAAAAAAAACTATTCAGCATGCAATTAACATCATTTATGCTCTGATAACTCGACTGAAGAAGTCTCATTCGCTTTTAGTTGGAATTTCAAATCAACCCGACTTGTGCAAAGAGTTTCCGGTTGAAGATTTTTCTTTCTTAGTTGTTTTTCATCTCGTATGACGTTTTCAATTTTCAATCTTGAAAATTCAATGAAACCATCAGCGAACTTCCGGGGAAATTTCAAGAGTGTTTTATGTCTTCAGATTTCTTTTCTCATGATTTTTCCTCTTGTTCATTTGATAAAAGTTTACGTTTTATCACTTTCTACTGACCTTTTTTATATTAAATCTCTCATTATGCTGAAATTGTCTTTTCTTAAGAAGCAAAGAGAAAGAAGAAGATATCCTTGAACATGATAACAACAAACAATCAAGATCTGAGATGAGAGGAAAGAAAAGTCAAGCGAGAAAAAAACACAACAAAATTAATTTGATACAAAGAAAAATAAATTTACCAAAAAGCATCGTCTAGATTGAATTTATTGATCGCTTCTCTGAGTGCTGCTCCCATCGTTTATGTTGTTCCATTTTCGAAAATAAATGAATAAAACTTTTATTCCGGCAAACATTAAGGTGAGAAGATAACAGAGTTTGCGAACAGTTTTCCCAACATTTTGTAAGCCTACATAACATTAAAGTTTATCATCGTAGTCCACGAAAAATAATATCCGTCCAACAGGAATGATTGCTTTCGAATAAAAAAACGAAAAAATAGACAACAAAAGCAGTAAAAAAATATCTAACAAAATGAGATTTGCTCATATAAAGTGGAGGCAAGAAAAAACGAAAAAAGTTTCATCGTTTCCTTGTCAACAAAAGAAAGGATGGAAGCGCAATAAAAATAAAAATAAAAATAATTTTCATGTATTCCTGTAATCGAGAGGAAAACCCCATCGCAAAAAGTATGCCGGGATTTTGCAATTACGATGACATTGTTGAAAACGAATATAATTCCAAAGTCTTTAAGCTCATCATCGTTATGAGTCTGTCTCAATGGACAATTTTGATATTCCATGCGTTTTATGTTGTGAGGGAGGAAAATCAAAGAAGCTTCATTATGGTAATGGCTTGCCTTATCAAAAATTAAAGGGGACATAAATGAAAAGCGTTCATGCAGATAAAACTTTTAATAGAGCTCAAATGTTATCGTCTTTCCATCCTTTCTAGCATCCAAAGTCCATCACAAAAGCATGAATAACATTTATATCTCCACTGGAATGATATCTAATGAGAATCATAAAAAATCAATTAGACTTCTGTTACTTTTATTACAAATTCCTTGCTCTTAACTTGAAAAGCTTCTTCGATTTTTTATTAAGCTTCTTGACATAAAATGTTATTGTTTACTTCTTGTAAATTCAAGATTTCTCATGACCAAGACAAGAATTAAATTAAATTTGATAATTTATATCATTAAAGTTATTTGAAAGTTCATTTCATTTTCCTAAAATTATTCTTGTGAAATGTAAATATTCTCGAAATGTATGAAAACTTTCATATTTTGAAGATTAAAAACTTGAAGATACTGAAGTCGAATGAATTTTTAAGGTTGCAAAGTTGAGTTTGTCATTTTAGTTAAAATGATCAACGCTGAGGTCTGAGATCAATGTTAGCATGATAGGAAACATTTCCATAAACATTATGAAGTTTTTGGTCATTTAGTTTGGATTGTGAGATGAAGTTCTTTATGAAATTTTCAATTAAGAGATAAAGTGAAGTGCCTCGTTCCTGAAATGCTTTCAAAGAAAATATTTTCTCTCTCTTAAAAGTTTGAACCTTGGTTTGAACATAAATATTAAAATGATTTCTCATCGATAAATCCTTTGACTCTAAATGAAAACTTTTCATATTTAATGTTTCTTTTTAATGACATAAAGGTTTTAAGAAAATCTTTCTCTTCTATGTCAATATTGTTAGAGCTGAAGTGAAGTTTATTTCTGACACATTTCTCCAAGCTCCAATCTTTTTTCGTATAAAAATTTTATAAATGGTAATTCATACGTTTAAGTTTTCCATTTTCATTCTCTTTTCGCGATAAAATGTTCTAAGTAAATTCCATTTATATGTTAATATCCCGCCTTGATAAATCCACTCATGTGTCACACATCAAATCTCAGAAGGATTAGGAAGTGAATCAGAATTGAACACGCAGTAATTTCGAGCCACCCTAGTACGATGTATAAAGTTTTCCCTAGTTCTTTATGCTCATGATATCTCGTTTCTATTTAACACACCCGACGTATGAAACATTATAATTTTCGGATGACATGCTGGCACGCACAATATGAAAGCAAAAGAATGATTTACACTCTGACAATACTGATGATGGTAAAGCTGTAAGCTGCTTCAAATTGAAACACTAACATTCGGTGACGTTTGGAGTAGCTTCATGTTTGACTTAATTAGAATCAGATCAACGCACTGTATGAGGTGCCCTCCTTCTGTTATATTTATAAATATAAATTAAAGCTAGCTGTGGTTGCAACATACAAGGCTTAACATTATCAAATTTTGCTTCTACTAACCAACTATTCAAATCAATGATAACATTTTGGCTTCTTTTGTCACCTCGAAAATTAATAGAATTTCAACAAGCAATTTTAAGTGACAAAGTTTTGACTTTCATATTCTTCAAACTGTGAAATTCAAATGAGAAAATTGAACAAGCAATCTTTCTATCAGCACACCGGAAAAGTTTTTGTTTCCATTAATTTCTTTTTTCTAGTACACGATGCTCCTTCTGTTGCTTTCAAGTGCCTTTGAGAAATCCTTTTGAGAACACTTAATTGGCCTACGTAGATAAAGTCAGTACTTGAAAAGCTTTCATTGCTATTTGATCTTTTTTATTTTTATTTTTTATACACTTTAGAAAATTCATGAGATGAGCTCTTCTTTAATTTCCTGAAACTAAAATACGAATCGTGTTATGAAATTGAAAATGATTCTGCTATGTTCTACTTATGTTCTCAGAAAGCGAACAGGCAGCAATTCATTCTTCCATCAGACATAATGAAAATTTATTTCGTTCTTTTACTAGGGGCAACGGGCACGTAAAAAAGGGGAGGGAGAAGAAGAAGAAGAAGGAGGAAAGTTTGCTGTTAAGCAAACGAGTAAAAATTTAAAAATGAAAAATCACAGAATGAAAAACTTTGAGGATATTTAATAGTTGCTCATTTATCATCAAAGTGGGAGAGAAAGAGAATGAAAAGTTGGAAAACTTTGTTGCTGATGCTTCATGAAACATGTAATAAAAAGATAAATCACCAACTGGTGCAGCTTTGAAGAAAGACTTTTCATCTCATTATTCGAAGCTTTTTCTTCAAGTTAAACTTCCGTTCAATTTCCTCACATTTTCACCTTTTCAATTAAGCTTTTGACGTCATTAATCCATGTAGATAGATATGGAGCGAAGAAACAGTCCGAGAATAAATAACAATTTGTTCGACTCTGACGGTTTACATGACTTCTTCTCCAGGAAATGTTAATGCATGAGAGTTTCTTCTTTCTTTTCCTTTTTTTTTTTGCATACATAAGCAACACCCGACGCAATGTCTATATTGAGGAAATCTTCATCTGTAAAAGATTTCTCTCCATTTCCCTTGTTAGAACGTATTTGAAAACTTTTTCCTTCTATTTTACATATCTACTTACTTATTTGCCGCTCAAAGCAAAGCTAAGAGTTACGTAACAATAATAAATTATCCAAACTTTTACATTTCTATTTTGTTTTGTTGTTTTCTTTTGAACGGAAGTTTCGACAAGAAAGCTGGAATAATTGCATTTACATAAACATAAGATAAGTTAAATTTTCTTCACACTTTCCAAGAGGATTTCTTTTCTCCTTCGTCTTCTTCTCGAGACAATCTTTTTTCACTGCTTCCGCTCAACTCCCGTACGTCGTTGAAGTCAAAAAGACTGAAAGTGGAACTTTCAACGAGAATCTCCTTCTTTTACTTATTTCATTTCAGTCTTCATCTTTTTTCCTCGCTTTCGTCACGGGAAAGTGTTTTCCTGTGATGAAGTTTAAAGATAGTCACCGAATATGAGCAACTTCATATTTCTTTCTGCTTTTTTTTCGAAATGAAATAGGAAATGAGAGTGAAAACTTTACTCTTTCCTTAGTTAGTTTATTATATTTTCATGGGGTGCATATAGAGAGTTCCGAGAACTTTGAGACGTTATCAATAAATGACGACAATTGTGATAAACCGAATTGTTATGTGAACATCTCGATACGCATCATTGGGATAAACTCATACCGCATACTGACTGTCTCAATATTATTAAGTTGATTTTATTTTTATCCGAAATAGAATATAAGTAAGTTGCTGTTTCTCCCAATTGTTGTAGATACGATCCATTTATGATTTATTTTTGTTTGAATAAGAATTCTTTTTCTTTTCTTATTTCCGTCTCCAATCGAATCAAAAATCCATCATCTCGAAGAGAAACATCATTGATGTTGAATGAAATCGAAATGAATGAAAGAAAGAAATTCCAATCGAAAATGACTGAGCAGAAAAGCTCTTACAGTTGCTTAAGAATATTCTTTTTTCGCCCACTTAAATACATTAAAGTTGAAGTTGCGAAAAGGCCTGTCCACCTTTCAGCAATCCCCTTTGGCGTTTCTCCTTAACGACCATTTATACAACAGGAGATGAAAAGAAGCCAACATAAAGGAGAGTCTCGTTTAAATACACTACCAACAACAAAGCTTTAGGATGCGAAAATATTGAATAAGAAAGATCTATTGTGAAAGGCTCAAATGTACAAAACAAAATACCCAAGTTGTTGTTATGAATAAAAGAAAAATATTTTCGTTTGGAATATTATTTTTCTTTCTTCCTATTTTTCTTTTTCAGGAGGTTAATGAGAGTTAAAGTTATTTATCTATCTACATATCTTCCGACTATTTTTCATAAATAATGTTAACAGAGATAAATGAACTCGAGATTTGATGAATGTCTTTAAATAAGGAAGTTGTAAAAGCGAGAAAAACTTCATAGAAGTGATGTTGGTTGGAGTGTGCCGTTCAACAAAGCGTATGCTGCCATTAAATGTTCTATTTTTTTTCTGCTGATGCATGCTGATTGAGATACAAACATAAAATATTTTATGATAGTTCCCTCTTTTACTACCAATGAATGTCCTAAAATTTTCTTTTGTTCAACTCTTTACACTGAAATTTATCAGCTTTTCTTTTATTTCGACTCTTTTTCCAACAAAGATTTACAACTTTAGATGTATGTATCTCTTTGTTGATGTCATTCAACACAAGGATAGATTCAGCTTATGGTATCTAGAAAGGAAAATGTATTGTACTATGATTCATGCTCAACTAAGTAGTTTTCTTTGTAACATCATAACCGTTTCAATGTCCAAACAATGCCAAACTCAATTTTTATCCTCAATTTTTGTTGCTTAGAAATTTTTTCATCTCAACATTTCTTAGCATTAAAAAGATGAAGATGACGATGGAATCTTCATCTTCCTATCTCTATTTAGATACATTTAAGACTTCAAAAAAACCCTTCAAAGAAGCTTTAAAATTCCAATCTTATGTAGATATTTTTCACGTATGAAAATATCTTTTTTAGCTGAGCCTTTCTTTCTTTTTTCCTTCCTTTTTTTTCTTTATTTTTCATCCACGTCTCCTAAGCTCAAATTTTATTTATAACAATGACTCAAGATTCTTCATGAAAGAATATTTTATTTTTCGATGATGGGGTTTTATTTGCACTAAACCAAAATAAAATGATTCTGTCGAATAAATTTGTGAAAGCTTTCTAACAAAATATCACTTGAAAAAGCTCTCTTCCTCTTCTAAGCTGGTGAGTTGAATTCATGTGGAAATTAATTCAACGACTTGAGCTTGAGCTTGTTGAGAAAGAGATTTGGTCATTTTTCTTGACAGTTCTTTTTACAGCTTGTGACAAAAATGTTTTATTTACAAAGTTTTGCACTGCAAAGATTTTATTCCACTCTTTTTTTAATTTATTCCACTCGCTGAGCCTTTCAACCATAAAAAAAGTATCTGCACAGTTATGAAAGTGGGATCTTCCTGTTGAATTAATTCAATTATGATTCTTTACCACCATATCCATTTCCATTCACTCGCTTGCTGCATTCTACAACACGAGAGAAATGAAATGAAATACGATGGCGTGGAAACTTTTTTTTATTAACTGCATTATATTTGTCATCTCCACACACGAAAAACAATTCACCGGAAAAAATTGTTTGCCATTTTATAGCCTGAGTGTCCGATTTCGGAAGGATTTTTATCATGAAAAAGTATGCTAGTAGCTTTTTAGTACAACCATGGAGATTTTGATTTGGGGACAAAGCAACGGTCGTGAAAATCTGTTAGTTGACCGGAAAGATACATTTAACAAAACGATGAGACCAGCTACGCTTTCTCATTCCCTGGTACTTCTTCGTTCAGTGTTCATGGCAAAACATTAATCACTGTTTATGAAACAATAATTTAAGTTTTCAAAAACATTCTCCAGCTTTTGATGGTGCGGTCGTGGAAGAAATTTGTTGCAACTTGCAACTTAGTTTCTCATCGTTGACTGTTTACTCAACTAATTTTTAGTTTCTGCTTCTGCTACTTCATCTCTTTGCAATTAAAAATAATCTGAGATAAATTTTTTTTACTGGAGTAGTCAGAAGAGAAAAAATGCAACGGAAACGAAAGTTAATAATTCAATTAATCTTTTTCCCATTTTTTTTTTCGGAATGCAAGTTAATTAGAGAAAATAAAAGTTGTCGTGGGAGAATACATTGACTTTAATTAAGACAGATTTAAATTAACAGCGGGAATTTCATTTTAAAAAGTTTTCATCTCGTTTCTGTGATAAAACATAAAACTTGAAACATGAATTGAAATTTAAGAGTTTAATCATTAATTAATCTTAACATAAACACGGATAAATATATAGCGACGAAGGAATCGAATCATTGAAAATGTCAATTCATGATTGATTGCCATTAACCGAGAAACATTAAATAATGGAAATGAGATTTAAATCCCATACGGTTTTACAAGACGTCATGCTAATTAACAAGACGAATCTAAAGTTAATTATTCATAGTCTAAAGGGAAAACTTTTTGTTTCTCAAAGCTTTCCACAACTTTCAATCCCATTTCTCTTTGCTTTCATAAATATTCAAGTAGAAAAGTTTTGCGAAAGTCAAACATTATCGAAATATTGAACAGTAAAAGAGATTAAAGAAAGAAATCTTAAAATTAAGAAGTGAATGAGAAATGAACTTGGAAAAGACCTTCTCAAATTTTATGCTTGAAATATTTTCTATTTGTTTTCGGCGAACAGTAAGGAAATTGACATCGATATTGATTCAGTTTCGAAATTCAGATACTTAAATTTTAATGAGACCTTTCTTCTTTTTCAAACACAAATCGTATCATTCCTAGAAGTAACTTACAGCAAAAAGGTAAATCGTTCACCTTTCAAATGATATTTGCTGCTTTGACGAACCCAAAGGCATAAAACCAACGTTTGCTTGGTTAATTTTATCTCTTTTACAATCAGAAATTCTCAGAACAGTAACTTGACATTTAAAACAGTTGATATTGAATATTGAAAAGGGAAAAGCTTTTCTGCAAAGTTGGAATTTATTAACAAGGAAAAATTTCTTCCATAAATATTTCTTTTTGAAATATTTTAATACCATCGCCGTTTTCTCATTTCTTTTTCATTTTACTTCAAGAGGGGGGCCATTTCCAAAACAATTCTTTGATAATTGCAGCGATAATGTTTCATAAAATCCCATAAAATATTTTCTTCTCTCTGGTTCTTTTTTAAGGTTTTGAAATATTTTCAATTAGAATAAAATTTTTTTGTTAACGGCTAACGTAACAGCAGCGGTGAGGTAAAGAAGAGAAGAAAAAAAGATAAAAGTAAACACCGCATCCCCTTAGTAAACAAAAAGTTTATTTTCACTCTTCTTTTCTTCTTTTTAAATGAAAAAAGAAATTAGATACCAATGGAGAGCTTCTCGCTTGTAACCAGCTGAGGACAGTTTGAGAATTGGACACGATGAGCCCAAAATACGATAAGAAGTTTTTAGAGACGTGGGTGGGTGCCGTTCTCACTCTCGCTTTGTATCTAACCTTAATTCGGTGTTTTTATATACAAATGTTTATCATTATGCTGATTCACACAATGCAGATATAAATTTTATTCATTTATGTTTCTTTCTACATTTATCGTTGTTTTTTATTCTTGCAACAAAAAGTTTTTTGGTTACACTTACATCAACAAAAAAGTGGTAGTAAAAAGCAGAAGTCGTCTTCCTCATGCAGCGTTTTGCTTTTCTCGTACGCTTTATATCAACTAATTGTACTTTTGCTTTGTTCTTATTCAACATTTTCTGTATCTCTTCATTCCCCCCCTTTTCAAGCTTTGCTCCATTAAACTGTATTTTATTTTATAGGTTGACGATTATGGTTTTTAAAATTTAAGTACCGAAGAAATGAGCAACATTAAAAAACAAAAAAAAAGTGTGGGAGGGTGAAGGCAATGAAAATAAAACTATTTTCCTTTCTTTTTCTTAGAAAATACAATGAGGTGTCGGAACAACCAAACACTTTTCATTCTGTAAAAGTTTATTAAAGAGTTCTTTTCAATTCTCCATGGGAATCATTTTTGATGTTTCTGTTTATTATTTTACTAGGCTATTTATTTTGCAGCTAATGTATAAACATTTTCCCTTTTTTTCCTTCTCTGGTCTCGTCTCTGTTTTTCTTTGACCGACCTTTTACTGTGTGTGCTGAAGAGTGTAAATGTGTCTATGAAGAGAAAACATTCGAAATTGATTCACATTTTATAGGCCGGAAAGGAAAATATATGAAAGCATATTTGGCAGATATTTCATGAGCTTAAAGCGTGTTTGCCTTTCTCATTTTTCTATCCAATGTCCAGTGCTCTGCTTGCGCTGCTTTGATGTGGTTTCATAATGCTCATAATATCAAAGCATAGTCTATGCTTATGGTGGATGAAAAAGCTAAAAAGGGGAGAGACGACATCAGAATAAAGAATGATAAAATATTATTTTAGGACTCGACGGTAGCTTCTTAATTCTCTTGCCTCTTCTCCATTCTTTGCTTTTAATTGTTTATTTCTTTTTCAGAAGCTAATTTATTTTTTTAGTACGGTCATAACAATGTTTGATATGAAAACAATGTGAAACAGTTGTCTTCGTGCGAGAAATGTGAGAGGAAAATGTCTCAATTTTTCCATCTCGAGCTTCGATGTTGCAAAATTAATACATGCGCGGAAGCTTTTTAGCACTTTTCTTGTTGCTCTCTGGGCACGAAAATTTTCTCTCATCTTCTCCCTCTCAAATAATCTTCATAAACCATGGGAAACACCTATTGAAACTCATCTGCTAAAAGTCAAGGATGCTGAGTACGATGAGAGAAAAACAAAAGCTTCTCGGTTGAGAAGATTTCTCAGTTTCGTTTCTGATAACTAGAAACTGCAGAATATTTTTTCATCACGTTCAGTTCTAGATAATTCATCTGACGATATGGTTAGAATTTTATCGGTCTCCTGAGCGCTTTCAGAAAAGCCTCCTAAAATGGAATAAAAACTGCATTCTTTGGTACAATTGAAACATTTGTGTACGAGAAATTCATTCAACACTTTCAACTCAAATTGGATCGTTGATCAAAGGCTTTGTTTTTTATTAAATTCTTCAAATTAAAATCATAAAACTTTTCATTCGAATAAATGAAATTTGGAAAAGAATTCGTGGGAGAGAGAGTGATGTGATAAAATTTCCGCAGTAAATTCGTTATTGATAATAGAATCTTATCAAAGTGCTTATAATTAAAATATTTATATAATAACAATAATAATGGTAATTGCTAAGGAGACAATTCTCATTTGAATTGGACTAGATACTTAAGATGAATATTTATGTTTCTATCAATATTAATGGACATTTAATTTCGATTACGAATAGAATTTAATTATATGTATGTACAATTCGAATGCAAGGATTTAAAGAAAATTTGTGGCAACAGCAGAATCTAATTACACTTTGATTCATTCGTATGCGTAAAATCATTCAAAAATCATTCGAATAAAATGAGAAATTTATGCAACAAACGTGAAGAGTAAATTTAATGCAATTGAGATATTTGATGACAGATATTTATAACATTAAATTATAAACTAGTGACTGTGAAATTCCTTTTTTATTCGAATAAATATTCTCCATGTAGATAAATAAAATGTGAATGGTGACAATTATTTAAATGTACGAACACTTATTATTCATAAAAATATAACAACAATATGTCATTGAATGCATAATTAAACAACAAGAAGCTTTCTATTTTTTTCTCGTGTGGAATATGAATAAACTCATGTTGTATTAAACTGATCACAGAGTTTAATGCAAACATAATTTTATAGTGATGTGTCGTCCTTTTAGCTTCTATGAATATCAAAGTAATGTGAAAACATGGAATACTAAGTAGAAAACAGAACAGCTTTTCCCTGTAGCTTACTCGTCATTTCTCCCATCCTAGGATAACGATAAAGTCATAAAATAATATTTTTACTATAAATATTTGTGCTGAAGCTAACAATTGTGAAGATAGAGTGCACAAGAAGTAGCAAGCAGCAACAGCAGAAATAAAGTATTGAGGAAGTGCTTTCGATTTCCCACTAGCTCACTCGTATGAGAAAAAAGCAGAGAAAAATAAACTGAAATTTTTTATTTTTTTCTGATAAGCATTCAATGTTATCCTAAAGGAAAAAACGAGAACAGAGTAAAAAAAATTATAATCAAATTACATGTTATTACATGGAAGCGGTAAAAATGTGCTTGTTCGTATTATAAGAGAAAAGAAAGAAAATTGAAAATTCTGTTTTCGCTTGGGTTGTGAAGAAAAATAAAATATAATAAAAAAAAAGAAAGAAGTGAATTCAAATTGAAGTTAAAGACTTCGTAAGGAGGATCTGCTCAACAGAATAGTGAAATAATGTGCTCGTTAAGAATGTTTGGTGCCCATGGGCTGCTAATATTGATTTTCATCGCCCTCGGGACAAATGGCCAAATGTTAACCGAGAAGATTCCTCTAGGTAAGGTGTTTGTTCCTTTATGTAGATTTTCTTGAAGAAAAAAAGAAGATTCGGATGCCGGTCTAATGAGGTGTTGCCCTTTTTCTGCCATTCTCCCAGCAACGACGTCCATTCATTGCTATTAGCTTTCATAACAAAACGAAGAAAGGATTTGCGTTATGGCATCTTTTTGTTAGCTTTCTACTTTATCTCTCTGCCGGTCTTCGAGTGACATTTGTGTGTTTGTCAGAGAAACTTTCATTGAACACAAAAAAAGAAGGAAAAAAAGGATAAGAAACAGAAAGCGAAGAAAACAAACAAAAATTATGCATTAAAGAAGGAAAAAAAGATCTTTTTTCTCTGTTTTGTCCATTGGCGATTCTGGTAAATCTTCTTCATGAGAAAATCAATGGGAAATTGCAACACATCTGCTTCACTAGGTTTAATTTACAAATCTCGACCGTAAACAATGACCAAAGATTATCTGTAAACATGGAGTGTGCTTAAGGGGGTTTTCTGATTTCTCTCCCACTCAATGCTTTAATCAATTCAGCAATCCAATTAAAGTTGTCGCTGGTTACATCCTAAACATACAAAAAAAAATAAACGAAGAAGAAAAAGACGAACGAATGCTAGCTAATGAAGTTTGAAGAGATTCGGTGTTGATGAGAATTAGGACAAGGAATGGAATGAGACATAATTACAATGAATGAATTTTATCACGAGCTCAAGAATGAAAAGGGTTGTTTAAAAAATATAAAACTCTGAGCTATTAACACATGATTTTAATTAAAATAACTTAATCTCATCGAGAATTAAAAATTAAATGAATGTCACACTTTCTCGTAATACCAAAACTTTTATAAATGACTTAAAATGTTTTTGGGTTCAGATTGGAATCGGATAAAAGCAGTAAAAAAAGATTTAGTAATTTTTCAAGCATTTTCTGATGGCTGTTGGAATGATTGAAAACGGCAAAAATAAGTTCATGAGAATGAAATCGACGAGATATTTCATTTCTTGATGAAATATTGTGAGTTCATAGTTTTGGCAGTTAAAATGAAATTGCTTTCAATTTTTTTTCTCAACTCCCATTGCAATGTGCCGACTCAAAAAAAGGAAAATTCTTGAAGTTTATTTCTTAATTTAAACTTTTGTTCAAAAAAAAAAATCAGAACAGACTTAAAAGCTCTACAGCGTGAAAAATGAGTTTTTTTATCTTTTATCGTCATCGTATACAAATCTCTGGAACTTTCATCTCACTCATTGTTGAGCGTGTCGTTGTTGACGCTCGAATGATATATTTCACTCACTTTATGTGGATAGTCAACCATACATTTTGGACTCGCTAGGATGGTTCTTATCGCACCACCCCGTATATGTGTGTCAGTTTATGAAATGCAAATTATATATTTATAGAAAAGGCGAGAACCAGAATGAAAAGAAGAAAATATGATGAAAAAAAATTCCTCTTTTTTTTGACAAATGATTCACATTCATACTTTCAATGTTTTGATGAAAAATGAGATCACAAAACGAAGGCAAGAAGGCAGCCGTAGAACTGAGATGAAAAAACGGAAGATGAAAAATTGAGGCAAGAAGTTGAAAATATTAGGGAATTATTGTGCCAATGCTTTCTTCATGCGAAACATTTTGTGTCTGATGTATGTAATAAGAAAGAAAGGAAAAAAGAAGATATCATTTAACTTTTCCGCCGCTTTTCTTATTCTATTCGGTATTCTCATGACGCAAGACAAAGTTAATAAAAGAGTCAATTTAATGTGAATTACTTCAACTTTCATATTTTTTATTTCTTCTCGTCTGTCTAATGTGTTCTCCAAAATAATGGCTTTGTAACACATGTTGAGACAAAGGGATTAACCCATCAAATGACGCTCAATTTTCGGTTAAAAGAGATAAAGGATAAAGGACAATAGAAAGCAAATTAAATGAAATGTGAATGTCAACATTCTTCACCAATTTTCAAGACGAAGATTCGTAATATTGTTTAAACTTCCTTTTTCTTTTCTTATTCTGATGCTTATTTGGTATTTGCTCCTTAATTCAAATATTTATTTTACAAGTACTTATGTAGATATCTATAATATTTGAATTGAATCGTTTCTTGCCTTTTTTGATTCATTCACGCAAAAGATTTGTGAATGTTGAATGTTCTCTCATCTTACGACCCAATTACGTTCTTATCCCGGATCTATTAACTGTAGAAAACCAAATAACTGTCCCACTTAATCCACTTTTGTGTCGTGCCGTTTGAATTCGTTCACGCAGGGTATAAGGCGATAATGAAATTGTGAGGCTTTGGTGCGGCCGTAAATTTTCATCCCTCAACATCTATTTATGCTTCGCTTCAAATCACTTTAATTCAAACACGAGAATGGAAATATCTAAGACGATACAAAAAAAAAAGGAAAAAAAGGAAAAAAAGGAAAGATATCTTTGAAGCTATGGTTGATATTTAAGATAATATGACAAAAGAATCCTATCAAGGCATCCCACAATCATTTATTCAGCAAAACAATTATTAAAAAATATGTAAATCCGAGATAACTGAGTATCTAAAAAGTAAATAAATACCAAATGTAAGCACAACATTTGAGTGAATGAGAGTGGGTTGAAAAGCGATACACGATATGAAAGGGAAAGAAAGAAAAAAATATAAAACGGATTCGCAACAGATCAAAGGCGGAAATGTTTCCGGATTTCATTTCAAAGCATGGCAGATTTTTGTTTTTCTTTATTTAACCATTCGAATGCTGAGTAAAAAAAAACAAATTTGAAGCTGTGATAGCTTGTAATAGAGAAAACATGATCACACGCTGGCATTTAATGCGAGAATTTTCTCCTCAGAAGGTTTAAACGAGCTTCCGTTGCGATATTGTGATATGTTTTTTCCCACAAAACCAAATCGGCTTTTCGACGTTCGCGAAAATATTTTTTCATCACAACAAAAGCTTACAGAAAATGATGCAATAACGTTCTTCTTCATGAACAATAATCAACACCTGGTTGGAGGTTGAAATGAAAATGTATTGTTGCTACACTTACGATTCAGTGAATCAACATACAATATGATGTTCTATTCACGTTCCTCAGTTTTCTTTCTTTATTTGCGTTTTTTATTTTCTTTCGGTCATAAACGGAACAGATAATAATAATGCATGAAGTACATTTTTTACTTCTTCATCACCATATATTCGGCACCAATTCCTAAACCGACTTTTCTTTTTCCCTTTATCTTGAAACGGGGGTGGCTAAAAAAAAGGTGGAAATTTATCTGAATATTTTATATGGCCGATAATGTATCTTCGGGCTTACATTGCCTCCTTTCCTTAAATTTATGTGGCATCTCCACTGGAATAGCTTCTGCAGTGGGAAAAATCCTATCGTAAAATAATAAAAAAAAATAGAATAAACAGTTCAGACACAAAAAAAAGAAGTTCAGAGGTGTTTTTCTCTCGATATCCGGCAACATACAAACATATCTCTCTCTGAAAATACGAGAAGCAAATGGAAGTAGCTTTGAATAATTTATTAACTATTAATTTAAGTAACCAATTTGCTTTACAACCGGAACTCGTTTTACGACTAAGACTTTGCTACACAACAAGCAGTTTTTTTAGGGCTTTATTTTCTGTTTTATCCTATAGAGCATCATCTCAGAATGTCTAATAATGGAAAATTTTAAATTAATATAAAAAGCTTTTATGTGATTTCCAGGTAACGCCTTCCAATAAAGTTTTTTAAATTATTAGAGTAATCTCATCTCGTAAATGAAAATAAAGCACTTTGAATTGTGGGTGCTTCATGCTTGAGAGAAAATGTGCTTGCAGTAGCAAAAAAAACAAAATAAAAATAAAGAAATGAAAGAGAAAAGATGGAAAGGAAGCTTCATTACATTACATTGAGCGGGATTTCCTTCAATATTTCATGCTTTCTTATTATTATATTTATTTTCATCACAAATTTTATTGATTTTTTCCGTTATAATTTTTTTTGCTTTCTTTCTTCCTTTCTTCGTCGTCTAACGCGTTCTTGGGAAAATAAAGAAAAATAAAAGAAGAAAAAGAATATCTAAGACTGCTAGCAGTTTCTTCTTTCTTATTCCTATTCTTTTATGTTGATGCTGCGAACAAATTCTTTCTTTTTCATCAGCAAGACGACCTGAAGGGAACAAAACAGAAGGGCAAATATCGTAAAGTTCACGAGTTTCCTCGACTCCAGCTTCGAATAACTTAACTTGCTTTGATGTGAGTGTGTGTTTGTGTGAGTAAATGTACGTCAGTTGGAAAAGTTAAACATAAAAGGAATTATAATTGGGTTTACTGCCTTCCTCTTGTTGTTCGTTCAGCTTTTGCTTTACTAGATCCTGAAATAAGTGCTAACAGGAAATAATTTTTTTTCAAAGGGTTCTTTCTTACATCCATCGTTTCACCCTCTCACATAAAAGAAAGGCATTTTTCAGTTCTGCTATGATTGTTTTTTGACATTTAAGCAGAAAATTTCTTCCACATCACTGACGATTTGGACGTTTTCTTCTTTCATTTTACTGCTTTTTGTGAGCTAAGCTCAAGGCCATGTTTTGTTATCGATTTCATTCTAAATGCTCTCAATGATAACCGTTCCATCACAAAACGAGAAAATAAAGATTAATTACAGATATATTAGAGACGCGCGCTTTTCAGTGACTGTCGAAAAAACGAAAGAAACATTTTACACTCCCGTTAACATTGATCAGAAAAGTCTGAAAGCTATCGTTTGAAAATGGCTTTATTTAACTGGCGAGTGATGAATAAAATGGTGAGAGAGAAGTATGAGAGGTGGGGGTATTATTATTAAGATTTATGGACGAAAGATTCCCTTTTGCTTCATCTTAGATAATTATTTTCAATTTTTTAATGGAAACAGAAAATATAATTTATGGCATTTTCCACAGTTTTCATGTTTACTTGCTTCCCATTCGATCTCTATGATTTTTGCGTCAGTAACTTATACAACCGTTGAATCACTTTGCTCGTAAAATATTCTATTCCTTCCATCCTTTGTTTAATGGCAGCGTTAATGTTCATAAAATGCTCTTTTATGGTTCAACTTCCACTAAAATTGTTTTCTGTTTGCAACATCACGCTTGAGGTTATTCTTAGATTGTTCTTGTTACTTGCATTCTCTCCTTACCTTCTTCGCCATGTCTTGGCCGTTTAAAATGCCTCTTTTTTTCTGCTCTTTTACCTTCTCCACATCATCATACTAAGCCACATGAAATATTAAAGAACTGACATGAACGTTCTACATCTCAACATCCTTCTTATTGTGCCCGCTCTCAGCTGCCAAGAAATTAAGGATTCTTGTTAATAACAGCGTAAAATAATGGCGCTTTTGCTTTCCCCACCAGACAAACTTTTCTTTTATTTTTTCATCTTACTTTTAACTTCCTTTTCATTGAAAAATTACTTAGCTGATATCATAAATTTATAACAATTGTTTAACGTCCAACCAGTCAACCCTATTTAATTTCTTGCGAGACCAAAACCCTTGTTTAACGGTCTCAAAACTTCTTACCTTAAACGCTCTTTTCTCGCATGACAAACAATTTTTGTTCATTTTACTTACTTGGAAAAGAATTTTCGTCGCTTCTCTCTTGAGGTGCTCCATTAAGTGGAAGCGACTTAATATTTATTTTGCGCACCGATTTCTCATTGATCTGATTTCAATCTTAAAATGCCTTTTTTTTCTTTTTTTTATTACATGCCTTTACTCCTACACCAAACATTCTAAGCTATAATTTGGCAGAAATAATAAAAGCGAAAGAAAAAATAAAAATAAAATAAATCAAACCCAAAAACGAAATTATGCGGAGAACCTTAAAACTTTGTTAAACAATTTCTTGTTTCTTTCCCATTATTCGTTTTTCGCCTTATGAAAACCGAAACGAGATGAGATGAGATGAGATGAAAAACAATTCCATGATATTTTCTCTCTTTATCTGTATCTGATTTTGTGCCGACAAGGAAAACGTGTCTGGGTATCAATCAACTTTTGAATGGCCCTGAAGATGAAATTAAATTTCTTGCTACTTCAATCTTTTTCTTTCTATTTTATTTTTCTCATTAAGTTTGAAAGATAGAATTCGATAAGAAAATATTCAGATCCAAGAAAAAGGAAATTAGTTATAACCACAAGACTTGTGATAACATGAATATTAATTTCAGAAATTTGAAGTCATATCAAGGTTGAAGGGTTGGTTGGTTGGTTGGTTGAGATGGAGATGAACAAAAGCTCTAATCTACCTAGGGATTTTCCACAGTATTTTATTAAAGAAAATTGAGAAAATTCAAACAAGTAGATATTCAAAATCGAAAATTCATGAAGAACAACAAGAGAATCCAATTGAAATTTACAAGCAGTTGAGCAGTAAGAACTCGACACAGTACAGGATTGAAAAAGAAGAAGAAAAGTTCGACTAAGAAAGGAAAATAATAAATTTCAAGTGGATGAATATACATTCTAAGAAGAATAGGGAGGAAAAATAGTACGAGCGGAAAGCTTTTATCTTTGAAAGCATTTTTTTTATTTCGTCGTTTTTTTCGTTTTTTCAGTGAACAGAATTCCCTGGTAACAGAAACAGCAGCAACCAAACCCAATACAATTTATTTTTTCCCATCGATACACATTCTACCCGATTTTTATGTTTTTTGATTCAACAGTAAACGCTAGGAAAATTGATAAAAAAAACTCGCATAGAAGCAGCCAGAGGAGAGTTGAGTTGACTGAAGTAGGAAGGGAAAAGGGATATGAATGCTTGCTTGCTGCTCTATGTTCATCACAAAAATTGATTCCAGTATAAATTTTGAAGAAATTGAATTTTACTCAAGGAAAACAGCGGATAGAAAAAAAAAGAAACAATGAAAAATAAATCTCAGCTTTGCAATTTTCTCTTCAACTGTTTTTCCTCTTCTTCTTAAATATTTTCTCAATGGATTTATCGAAGTGAAAAATTTTTCATAAATAAACTTGAAGATCTCATGTTGTACATCTTTCGATAAGAAAAGTCTAGATGTTTAGTTTAAGACGAGAGAAAATGATTGGAATGGGAAATATGGCTCAGTTTATGTATCTGTACGAACAAGATGATTAAACAATGCAGTTTACTGAACATTTCTGTTTAAATATTTTACTCATAAATAAATAAATATCTATGTGCAAACATATTTTCAAGTTTTCGCATAAAGAAATTTGAGTTATCTGAGATAAAATATTTCTGTAAAAAAGTGAATATTGTTTGAATAAGAAATTAATGAGGTCAGATCTGAAATTGGATTGTGAAAATCTTTCTGTTTTCTTTACTTCATTTTTCAAGGCCAAATGTTCGAATTCAAACTTATTTTGACGTTTTTCTCAGAAGAAAAAAGAAAGGAAAGATCGTGAAAACAAACATTCATTTCATAAAAACGATTTTTAAAGAAAACAAACATTCAAGCTATCTCGAGGAAAGAAGTATTGATAGCATTTATCTTTTTTAGACTTCGCATTTCTTAAATGAAACGGAATGAAATATTTATCGATACGTTTTCACTTGTTTGTTTTTCATTGCTTTTCGCTGTGAGGAACAAATAAAATTCAATTGTGTTGTATACAATGTTTTTTTGCTTGATATTGGAACAACTTCTCTCGTGAAAGCTGATCCGTTTACATTCACTTTCTCCGTTCCTTCACCAAAAGAAATCAAATTGATGTTGAAAATAAACGATTCGAGAGAAAATAAAATGATCTGATCATTTAACGTCATTGCTATGAAGATACTTTTTGATTTGAAATTGTTTTCAAATGTAAATCACTGAAATATTCCCAAAGTTGCGTCAATCATTTTGATGACGGAAGATTATCACTGATAGGCATAAAAGTTTTTATCAATTTCTAACTTCAAACTTTCTTGCAGCATACTCGAACATTCATTCATGCTAATAAAACTTTAGTTTCAACAAAAGCAGCAATGAATGTAATGATTTGATAATCGATCCTCCATCTCTCTTTCATTTGAAATGCTAATGAAAGTTGGAATTCTGCTTCACATTTGCCATACACGTTTCATAATATGAAATGCGGTTAACCAGAAAACGATATTTGTGTCTCCTGACGCTGTAATTTAAACAAACGGAACAGCTTGAATACACAACTCTTGTGCCTCATAAATGAAATCTGCTTTACCTTCATTTTATGGACTCGTGATATTTAATTAATTTAAAAGCCTTTTTAGAATTGAAATAGCTAAAGCGGAAAATTCTCTGTTCAAATCGTTAACAAACATTTTGAGTCATTATTTGTGTTGAAAATTTTCATAAGAAAATTAAACATATGACTGCTTCAGTGGTAGAGGGTTGGGGTTTGAATTTTATCCTTAATAAAATGTTTTTCCACGGAGCTTTTAAAAAATTATTAAAATCGCTACGTTTATAAGAAACAAAGAAAAGGAATTTCGTTAATTTTTAATTTCCAATTTCACTCTTCATGAGATAATTTTATACAAGATAAAGACTTCATAATTACAAAATTAGTCGAAACAAACCAAAAACCGTTTGTGGATTATTACCAAATGCTTTTAAAGTATTTTCATTCATCCGGAATCATTAGCAATTGCACTTATTATGACTTTAAAACTCAACTCAACACTTTAATAAGATTCTAGTGAAACGTTAGATGAGCTTTAAAAATCATTCAGTATCGCTTAAAGACCAATTAATGAGCTTTCCCATACTCATTTTCATAAACTCATGTAAATTAATTCATAATGAAATGCAACGTTTAAGCTTAAAACAAAAAGTTCATTGTGCTGTATACGATGCTAACTAATTATCTTCAATCCTTTACTTTATTTTACGTTACTAATAGCAAAAATTTTCCGTTTTTTGTTAATATTTTCCAAGATATAGAACATTCTTTGCTATGTGCTAAAATAAAATGAGTTAATTAGTTAAGTACATGATTAATGGATTCAGCTATCAAAAATACGTAATGTTATAAACGATCTCAAGCAATGCACTCTGTATAAGTTAAACACTGTTTTGTGTGATACTTCCCAACTTTTGACTGTAAATTTTCTTATAAAACTTTTCTTCTTATCTCAAACATTTAAAAGCATAAGAAGCATACATTTCGTTGCATGAAGTACGCAGCATATAAATCTAAGATATGCTTAACAACATTAAAACAAATTTTCTATTTCCTTTTCCATTACAGGTGCAATATTTGAACAAGGAACGGATGAAGTCCAATCAGCATTCAAATTTGCTATGCTCAATCATAATTTAAATGTCACCGGAAGGCGATTTGAGCTTCAGGCATATGTTGATCTTATAAGCACGGCTGATGCTTTCAAATTATCTCGACTAAGTAAGTGCTAATTAGTGGAATTAATTCTTGGTTCCTATTCATAATAATAATAATCAAATAGCTATTAATTATTTGGTGATCTGTTCATATACGCACCAATTTACCATTAATAATGTCATACACATTTCGAATCAATTAAACCACTTTCGTCCCAGTAAAGCTTTTCAAAGAATTCTATAAAAAAATTAAATATTTAATTATTAAAAATCGAATCGTCAGATGAAAATTATTAACAGTCGGAAAGAATCAACTTAAATATGAAATTGAAGCTTTTCTTGTTGATTACACAATTCGTTATTGCTGTAGTTTTATTGTGAATTGTAATCACCATACAACGAACGTATTTATTTCAGAAATCATAAAACATTTTCAGTTGCTTTTGAAAACTCAAAATTTATTTGCATAATATGCTTAATTTATAATTGACATTTTACATCTGTTACATCAGAAAATATGCAGCAAATGGCGAATTTTCAAATTTAAATTATTCATTCTCAATATTTATAAATTTTTATTGCAATTCCTTCTTTTTTCTGTGTGGTTTTTGTTTCAGTTTGCAATCAATTTTCTCGTGGAGTATTCGCTATGTTAGGTGCAGTTTCGCCAGACTCATTTGATACATTACATTCCTACAGCAACACATTTCAAATGCCATTTGTGACGCCTTGGTTTCCTGAAAAGGTTAGTAAAGTAGAATACTAAGCCGAACTTAATTTAGTTGTCATGTCGATAACATAAAAATGAAAGCGAAAGCCCGAAAATTTACTTTCACTCTTATGAAAACGATATGAGAGCTTAAATCTTGACACTAGAATTTATTCTTTCTCGTTTCTATCTCAGGTTCTTACTCCGTCATCAGGTTTTCTAGATTTTGCTATTAGTATGCGACCGGACTACCACCAAGCAATTATAGATACGATACGGTACTATGGATGGGACAAGATAACATATTTGTATGATTCGCATGATGGTGAGTTGAATTTATGACATAATTCACTCAATATTTCTTTTGTCTTCTTCAACGTTATCTCGCTCCATCTGCTCTCCATTTCATAGCCATTCGGCGTCTATATGAAAAATATAACTTAATACATATCAAATACATTCCAAGTTCCAAGCAAGCCAGAAGGCACAGAAACACAAATATTGATCTATAAACAGAATCATTTCTGATAAATTAAAACGAATGAAAGAGATAAAAATAACTGACGATAAAGTAAATTAATTTCATCTGATAAGAATCTTTTCTTATGCGATGAGAAACGCTTTCAGAAGTTATTCATAAATAATTAACTTACGAAATCCGTTTCCATTTCAATGGATATCTCGTATAATGTTTTATTGTTTGATTAATCCTGAGCATTATACGTGAATTGCGTGATGTTTCAAAGAAGAAGAATATGGGAAGAGAAGGCGATGTATATAACTTCATACACTTCATACAGTTGTTAGTGTTGATAATCGTTGTTTTCATTTGAGTGATTAAATTCAACTGCTGAAACAGTAACAAATAAAAGCGATAAAAGCAAGCACATTAAAGCATCATTAAGTATGGAAAGAAGATAGGAACAGGAAGAAATCTTGTAATTACAAATCGAATCAAATCCACCTCCTCGTGTTTTCCCTCCCATCTGCAGTTAACAGCGTCTGAACATTGAACGCCGTCACGTCAATTTACAAATTGAAGTATCTGACAATTGAAGGCAGAAGAAGAAAGCCATTGCGAATTGCGAATGAAGAGCAAACAATGTTCGTTTTCTATGGCGTAAAAGCAACATCGAAAGTGGAATGAGTTGCCCTTTTTATCATTCTTTATTCTTTTTTTTTCATCTTGAAAAATGAAACATGACAAGATGGTGCAGATACAGCAAACAAACAAACAATTACTGAAATTACTTCCTTCATCTCACTTTACAAATGTTGTGCAACATAAAATTGAAAGAAGAGCAGAAAAAAATTTATAACGTCAAAAAGTTATTTAAAGTCTCTAAATGTACAGGAAGTAAAATGGAAAATTGGAAAATATCAAGATTTATTGTGGAGGCAAATTCTTTAAATGGCAGAGAAAATTTGTTTCAAGCAATTAAATTTGTGAAGTAGAAAGAAAAATAAAAGCAAAAAGAAAAAAAGAAAAGCCAAACAAAGATGTGAACAGAAAGCGTAAGAAGTATAAATGGATTTGAAGGGAAAGTGGTGAAACTATTATTGAAATAAAGAGAAAAGGAGAGGAAACAACAGTAACAAACTTTCTTTATTTGTTAAAAGCTAAGGATTTCTTTACTTTTTTCTTCTTCTTACGCTTTCGATACCCTCAAACAAAACTCAACTAATATAGCTCATTGGAAACGCCAAAAGCTACAACTTCTCATTGAATCAAAAAAAGGGAAAAAACGAAAGAGAAAAGGGGTATTCTTAGCTTTATTTGATCAACTAATGTAACTTTTTTTTCCATACTTCGGCTTTCCTTTTCCCCCACCTCTTCCTCCCTTTTGATACTGACTTTATTACATTTTGAAACTTTTTCTCTATTCTCTTTATTTTACTTTATTTTTTCTTTGGTTGCCTTCGATGAAAACAAAATCTTTTCATAGGAATTCCGATCGTGTTTTTTTCTTCTCTACAATTGCTGCGATATAGAAATAGAAAAGAAAAAACTTTCAGCTAATGTATTCTCGTTTACAGAAACTTTAACATCGCAATAAAGATGAGATAAAGAGCGAGATTGAGTGTTGGGCAACCAATACAGCAGTGAGATGAAAGTCTTCTTAACAGATGTAGGATTGCGTAGCATTTCGCAGTACTTGGATAAGTGGTGGTCTTGTGGCTGAAAAGGAACAAAATGTCATTTGTTGTAGACGACACCAAAGCTTGTCAATCATCTTCAAAAAAAAAGGGATCAGTAAAGTGTTGAATTAGGAGTGAACATCAAATCCAACCGATGTGCTTGTTGGTAACAAAATAAAACGTCGATTTGGGAAAAGAGCTCAGTAATGAGAATGAGGAAAAACAAAATAAATAAATTTCATCATGAGATAATTTTTACGGTATTTGCTATTAAGCCATGCCGAGAATATTTCTCCCTTGAGCTTCATCCACACCCCCTCACACTCTTTTTAACATCAGCTTCAACGCTAGCACAATGGAAGATGAAAAAAGTTATTATATTAATGTATGATGTACACATTATTGTGATGATGATGATGGAGGTGATTCAAAAGCGCGCAAGCGTTTCTTTCCCAGAAGTCTATTTCATATATGCCACATTTGTTTTCATTTACAAAACGTTCTCGTTACTCTGGTACATTGTCTTTTATCCTCACTGCTACTTCTTTTCTTCGTCTCATTCTTATCCTAAACACTTTTTTCTTCTTCTTTTTAATACATGGAAAGAAAAGAAAAGAAAGAAGCCTAATAAGTTAAAATCATTCCCATCATTTTATTATTCTCTTAGCTGTCATTTTTTATGCGTTAGCACCGGATTAATCGGCTTGCAGAGGCTTCTTCATTTCATCATTACGACGCACAATGAAAAAGTTTCTTTTTTCTCTTCAACTTTAACGTACTTACGGTATCGCATGGATGGAAATGTTTGGAAAAGATTTTCATTGTTGTTGACGGTTAGGAGCGGAAAAAAAAGTTTTATCCACGCTTAAGAATCATCAGTGGATTATTTACATAAAATATATTGATGGCATACTCATCCCATGATTTACTCATCAAACTTGCACACAGCAAAGGAAAAACATTTCATGCTCATGTCTTGTTATTATCATTAAAGCATCATTTTCTCCTTGTGAAGCTCACATACACATTTTTGGCATCTAGGAAAGGAAAATAGAAAAGAATTTTCATCAAGCATTGACATACATTTTTTATTTATTATTGAGATAAATACATTCAGCCTTTTGCATATGTGTGGATGTGTAGGTTACCATGAGACTTAAATTTTTTATCTCTCTCCTTTGAACATTCTCATTATGGCTTTAAAAAAATTTATGCTGCAACATAACCACGGAGGTTTCATGTAATGATGAATTTTTCTTTCTTCTTCTCATGTCATCATCGTCGTCGTCGTCATTTAGTGAACATACATTTAAAGACACGCATTACCTTATATTTCTTTCTACCAAGGAAAAAAGGGAATCTTCTGCTAAATATTCATGTGTGTTAAGCATCAACAATAAGGAATGATGAAAATGCCCTAAAAGCATAATAAAGAGCAAAGAGGAAAGAAAGCAAAAAAATAAAGAAAGTGAAACGGAAAATTTTGTCGAAAATTCAACATCATTGCTTGAAGAGATGTGATGGCTGACGACGAAGAAAATTCTTTGTTTAAAGAAGATAAATTCGTTTTAAACTAAAGTAAATAAAGGATGTTGAAGCGAGTTAACGTTCTTTACTCACTTAGAAGCTGTATACTTGAAGTTTTCGCTTAAAGAACTCGTTGACAGAAAAATAAAAATGAAAACAGTTTCGAGTGTTTCAAGATAATTTCACTGCACCAAGATGGTTATGAATTATAATGTTAAGCGTTTCGTCTCAGTCATGTCTTTGGAGAGACTTTCATTGCAAATGAAACGAAGCAACGAAAAATAAATTACTTTACTGATAAGAGGATCTTTCGACTCTAAGTACATTGCTCTTCGTATGTGAATTTATATGTACATACAATGCGAACATTTTAAATTATTTGAAGCCCTGTTTTTAAATGCTTGTTTCTGTTGTTTCTTTGGTGAATTGCCAACCATTCATCCACCCACTCGCTCCGTCTAAATACTTTGTATTTTCAACATTACAATTTAACTTTCAATATGTATACATACAGTTAAGCAAATACCTACCGAGGAAAAAGCAAAAAAAAACGAGAATAGAAACGAAATAAAATTAAGTCTTTGATATCTGTGGTTTGTTTAAGCAATCAGACAAGCAGCTCTGAAGAAATATTCACAGATGGAATTGTTATAACTCTTTCTCTCGTAGATTCTTAAACATTTCCTTTCTTTCTAACTTTTCTTTTCTTCCTTTCTCATACTTATTTAAAGGACTCTTGAGACTGCAGCAAATATATCAAGGTTTAAATCCTGGAAATGAAACATTTCAAGTGGAAATTGTAAAGCGTATAAATAATGCTAGTGAAGCGATTGAGTTCTTACAGAAGATCGAGCTACTAAATCGTTGGTCAAGAAAGTATGTTGTTCTTGATTGTCCCACAGATATGGCTAAAGAGATTGTTAAAAGTCACGTGAGAGATGTTTCGTTGGGAAAGCGAACATATCATTATCTACTTAGTGGTTTGGTGAGTTCATTCGTTCATTCATTCATTCCTTTGTATGTAAGTCATGTGATGCTTCTTATTCATCTTCTTACTTTTTGAGAAAATAAATCCCTGTTTGTAAAGTCGTCTTAACATTAAATTGCACATCATAAAAAAGAAGACGATCAAGAAGCACCGCAACCGTCACCGTCACCAAAGTCGCTAGTCAAGTCCCGTGAAGTACAATAAAGAGAACATTACACAGATGATATTTTCATATTATAAATAAAGTTTCTTATTCTGTTTGTCGGGTCGGGCTGGGGCTGGGCCGGGCTGTTTTTTATTACTCATGTGAATCAAACATGACGACATAACATAACGCAGAACGGTAGCAAATCCCACTCGCTATATATGGCACAACAGAACGTTTTCACACACAGAATGAGACTATTAAATTGAACGTAACAAAAATATTATTACACACCAATTTATTATTCTGTTTTTGTGCTCATATATTACGAGTTATTGTGCCATAATAAACCATTTAATGTTTGCGGATGTAATTTTCTTTTCTTTTCTTCTCATCACATTTTCTTCTGATCCGGGCATGGATTGGGCCGCGTCTTCCTTCCTTCCATCCATTCATTCATTCGTTCGTTCGTTCGTTCTTGTTCTCAAGCAGATTATGGATGAAAGATGGGAGAGTGAAATTATCGAATATGGTGCTATTAACATAACAGGATTTCGTATTCTCGATACACATAAACGTTATGTGAAAGAGTTCTTAGATGGGTGGCGTAAATTAGACGCAACAACATCGCCCGGTGCTGGAAAAGAACAAATATCGGTAAGTACACTCAATCGACCAACCTTTTTGACTAATGACATGTAATTTAAATCAGCATCAAACAGTAATTCTCTTCATGTTGCCATTCTCCCTTTTTCGCTTTTGCTTTCACTTTCCTTTCATTTGATTTTTTTTGTCGTCTGACAATAACAGGCACAAGGAGCCTTGATGTATGATTCGGTGTTTGTTTTAGTCGAAGCATTTAATCGTATTATAAGAAAAAAACCAGATCAATTTCGAAGTTATACGATGCGACGACAAAATGGTCAAGTCAATGGCACAACAAAGTTTCTTGAGTGCAACACATCGAAGGGTTGGGTGACTCAGTGGGAACATGGAGAAAGAATTGCAAAGAATTTGAGAAAAGTTGAAATTGAGGGACTCACTGGTGATATTCGTTTTAACGATGAAGGCAAACGCATTAACTATACATTGCACGTTGTTGAAATGACCGTCAACAGTGCAATGGTGAAAGTTGCTGAATGGTCAGACGTGTCAGGCATTACACCCATTCTTGCTAAATACACACGAATTAGAAATCACGAAATCGAAAAGAATAAAACTTACATTGTCACGAGTATCATTGAAGAACCTTACATGATGTTGAAACAACAAGATTTAAGTGGAAAAGTTTTAGACGGAAATGATAAATATGAAGGATATTGCAAGGAACTTGCTGATCTTATTGCCAAGCAATTGGATATAAATTGTAAGTACAGATTGAAGTCTTGAACCTTTACTGACCCATGAGACTAAACAAGAATAAAAAAGCCTTAAGCTACAAAATTAATTGAATATTTAATTTACTTTTCTTCTCTTCTCAATTTTATCTCGTGTTAAGATGAAATAAGAATTGTTAAAGACGGAAATTATGGCTCGGAGAATCCAAATGTCATTGGTGGATGGGATGGAATGGTTGGTGAATTGATTAGACGTGAATCAGATATCGCAATTGCATCAATGACTATAACATCAGAACGAGAACGTGTCATCGACTTTAGTAAGCCTTTTATGTCATTAGGCATTTCCATTATGATCAAAAAGCCCGTCCGACAACGTCCCAACTTCTTCATGTTCCTCAATCCATTATCGAAAGAGATTTGGGTAAGAGCTTTTATTTGTATTACAATTCCATCAATTCATTCATTAGACTTATGTTTGTTGAAAGCTTTTTTGTTTCTCATGTTTATTATCTGCATAGATGCTTCCAAAATAACACAAAAAAGTGTTGTACATAATTAATTAATTTACTTTTAATCAGTGCACATGCACAAACAAACCAACAGAACAAAAAGTTTGAGTAACAACTACGTTAAATCAAAATTACATTACAGCATATTTATGCTGCCACATGTTGATAAATATGTATGCATATTTGATTGCCGTGCTAGTAAGCAGCGCAATACGAAGTGCATGCGAATTAAATAGACTCTCATTATGAACAAACAATTGCTTTACAATCATTTATAATGAGATAGAAAACATTATTAAACATTTTTGCAAGAACATAAATTATATGTAGCAAAACATTAATTTCCATCATTTCAGGTTTGTGTAATTTTAAGTTTTCTGGGCGTGAGCATTGTGCTGTACATCGTATCCAGATTTTCCCCACAAGAATGGCGACCTATTAGTGCTCAGACACCGCCAAATAATAACTTCACTATGCAAACGCAAACGATAACGACACATCAGACCACTTCGCTTAATGAATTTAGTTTGTTAAATTCATTTTGGTTTGCAATTGCTTCGCTCATGCAACAGACTTGTGACTTTTCACCGCGCTCGTTGTCGGGACGTATTGTCGGTTCAGTATGGTGGTTTTTCACGCTTATATTGATTTCATCGTACACTGCAAATCTAGCAGCTTACTTAACAGTTGAACGAATGGTGACTCCAATTAATTCCCCCGAGGATCTTGCCGCGCAAACAGAAGTGCAATACGGAACATTATATCATGGATCAACATGGGATTTCTTCCGAGTAAGTAGTTTTTCTCCATCCTTTTCTCGTTTTTCTGCCATAAAGTTGGTAATGATTTATTAAAAAGGTAAAAAAAGTGGCTTGTTTGCAACTTGATTACATTACACAAGATGATTCCAACATAAGTTTTCTGCTTCCAAGTTTGAAACTTTATTGGTGGTTCACATTATTTATGGATTCAGGTTGTCGAGCTACTACTATTGGAAGAGTTGAACGAAATTCAATTATCGTCGTCTATATGTTATTTTCCTTTCATCAAGTCACAAGTGCCATAGAACGACGACGCTCACCAATTCAATTTTCTTTCGAATAAATGTTGTTAAATAAAATCGATTGAGAAAAGAAAACGATACAACATAGCAGCTAACTGTAGTTATGATGCACTCACATAAATATGTATGGACGGCAAGAACGTTGATGTCTCATGACAAAATAGAAAACAAGAATCACAATAAAGTTTATTCTCAGTTAGCTCTTTAACAATTCTCACCCTTCTTAAACTTGACTTAACCCTTCGAAAGAGAAAGGAAATTTAATTTTTGCTGTAAAGTTTAAGAATTTTAAATCAGGTTTTGAACTTTTTTCTTTTCTTTCTTCCATCTCTTCTAGAAATCTCAAATATCACTTTACAATAAAATGTGGGAATTCATGAACTCGAGAAAGCATGTTTTCGTCCATTCATATGACGAGGGTATTCGACGGGTTCGGACGTCAAAAGGCAAGTATGCTTTGCTCATCGAATCGCCAAAGAACGAGTATATCAATGAACGTGAGCCTTGTGACACAATGAAAGTCGGACGAAATCTCGATGCGAAAGGCTTTGGCATTGCAACTCCTTTGGGATCGCCACTAAGGTAAAGTAAAATGATGTTTACGATAAAGATTGCAAAGCTCATTTTCAAATAAGGAAAAGAGCAAGACCATTGCTCTTATGTATATATCTACTTAAATATATTTATCGGTAGATAACCTTCTTAAGATAAAAGACTGAAGAGGGAATTGGAATTGGTTTCCATAGCATTTTATATTTGACTTCAAATCCTACTCAATTTATAAAATAAAATTACGGTACAGTAGACTTTCTTCCTATCCACATCGTCGTGATGAAAATTGACTCAAAAGAAAGTTTTGAAAGGTATTTTAGATTCACACTAGTGACTGTAATCGATATTTGAGATGTAAAATTTATAAGAAAACGAAACGAAAAGTATAAAAATGAATGAGTGAAGGAATATGAAGCAGAAAAGTACCACGAATGAAATTTAATATTTTATTGATTTTGTGCTTAAGATGCTATACGTACATTGCCCAATTCCATTTCTATCTCATCCTTTTCATTTCATTTTTCCTTTTTAACTTCAACTCTCTGAATGATGATCATAATCATCTCTCTTGTTGTGATGGTGAATAAACTAATAAGTATCATGTCCAACTGTCTGTTGACGGGAGATTTGAGATTTAGGATAGAACATTTATACAACATCTAACGTCTACTGACAAAACCCAATCACAACACGAACAATTCCTATTTGTTACTTTCGTTTTCGAACTGATGAAAATGCCCAGCTAATATGTTTCTAATGATTTTATGAGTTAACGCCTAGCGTTTTGATTGAGTTTTGAACTGCGTGCGCTATGAAATGATAAATTGTAAATTCACATCACGACTTTCCTCCGATTTGCTGGGGCTTTTTTACTTCTTCTTTCTTCCTTCATTCACGTTAGAAAAAAAAATTGGATGGAAATAAAAGTTGATCCAAAACAAGTTTATATTTCAACTCAATACTTCAAATACACAATTCAAAAGCACACATTATAACAAAACAGAAATCGAAAGCTCAAAGATTTTTCTTTCTTTCTTACTTTTCCCTCCCCCTCCTTTCAAATATCTTTTTCCTGCGTATGCTTCTTTTACTGTTCGACATTTAGCATCGAGAATGAAATATTTCCCTGTACGGAAGAATGGCAGCAAGGGAAGTAAGAAAAAAAGATGCGAACATACAAGCGACACGTGAGTGGTGATATATCACATCAGTGTTAAAAGAATGTTCTCGATCCAATCGAGCATAAGTTAAAGAGCGTAAGAGAAAAAAGGATGATGGTGAACAACAAAATAAAAAAAGGGAAGAAAACTTTTTACGACACAACAAAAAAACAAAAAGCAAAAATTATTGGATAGTGAAAAAAATCAAATGAAAATTTTTGGGATAATTCAGGATTGAATTTCTTATTGTAATTTTTCATTCTCATTCCCTAATAATAAGAAAGGAATGTGGAACAAGATGGCATGTGTCGGGAGTGTGAGACTTGATCATTTCTTTTAACACATCGATAAGATGGTTTTTTCTCAAAAAGGAAAACTTTTTTTTTGTCATGTTAAGATGAAGCAGAAAATGAAACTTCAAACAAATTCCTGGATTTTCCTTTTTTTGCCTCTTATCTTGTACTTACTTCTAAAACACTTTTCTTTCTTCATTGTTACAATGCGGTGCTGATGGTGATGACGATGATGACGTAAAAAGTGAGATGAAAATCTTCTTATTGAGGAAGTCGTTATCTATTGAATCTCACCATTCTTGTATCCATTCTGAAATCTCCGCTTGAATCAAACTGTGAATGTAATTCCCTCGAGTTTCCAACATTTCTTGCTTCCTTTCATTGAAACATCCAAGGCCGGATTGAAGTTGTTCCGACACTTCACTGCTTTCATCTCATTTTTTCCAATTTAAACTTTTGTAAAAATTACCTTTCGCCTTCCTATCTTCTTCAATCCTCTTTTAATTCTTTCACCATAGACAAGCTTTTCCGACTGAAGGAAGAGCAATCAATGAACTTCTTCAAATTGAATTAATGAACGTTATGTCCATGATAACCATGATTTCATAGATTTTATTATCAAATATATTTAAACAAAAGCATGGAAAGAAAAGTTCCTGGAAAAAGTTTAAAAGCTTATCCAACATATCTCGATTAATTTTGCCTTTCATTTCTCTCTCGAGAGCTTTCTCAGCATCAATCTGATAATTTTTTTCCTTTTTACGTTTTTCGCTTTGTCGTCAAGTTGATAAAAACCAATATTCCCAGCATAAGACTATGAGATTTTATTTTTTAAAAGTTCAACGTACATTTCTTCTCCCATGTTCCCATAAAAATGAAACACGAAAAGGAAAGGAAAATTCCATCATTGATATAAATATTTTTATTATAGAAGAGTGAAAGGGAGAAAGAGGGAAAGATGGACAAGAAACGATGATATGTCCCCCATCTCTCCTTCATTCTCGTACCCCTGTCGCCTTTCCAAATCTCTCCGCTATAAAATATGTAGATTTTTCGGTTTATATTCTCGCTTGTGTGCCATATCTTGTTGGCAAACAAAACAGCGACTATACGAAAGTAAGAAGAAGTTCGCTCATAGCAAAAACAAAAAAAATGAATAGGACTTTGCTTCCCAGCATTATAAATAGCTTCTGTGCTCCAGATATGATGATGATATGCTGTAGACCCATTAAGGCTGGGAAACTTCGCTTTTTCTCCTTTCACTCGTTGAGCAGTGAAACTCCAAGAACGACATTAATTTTACTAGTGTTTATTCCGCTTTTCCATGTCTTTGTTCTCTTCTCATAGAAATCAGAGGATGCAAAAAAAGACAAAAAATGAAAATTAAAAATAATGGAAATTAAATGCTTCCATTGTATTGCCGTTTTATAATATTAGCAGACACCCACCCGCTAGGGAGCATCTTCTCAGAAATGCTTTCAGCATAGAAAATGGTTTGAAAAAAAATCTTTGACAACGAAACCAGGCCATTTTCATCGTTGATGTTGTTGTTGTTGTTTCATTTCCATTTAATAAAAAAAATGTAAATTTTCATTCCAACAATTTCATTTCCTCGACAAAATCGTTTTTTTTTTTCATCCTTTCCTTTCTCTTTATTTTGCCTTTCCTGTCGCATGATTATCATTACTCTTAAATACAGACGGATGGAAACGTTTACTGATGCATCATTTAAATGACTCGTCTGTCGTATTTTTTTCTATTTTTATATTTCATGTTTCTCATATGAGAATGCTTGCGTTGAATGGGTTAGCTTGCTGCTGTTATCATCGCTCCATTTCTCTCACTTTTCCATCGGTTAATTGCACAATACTGATATCGATTGGAAATTAATGAAGTTGAAATTTTAAAATCTCCGATACTTGAGTCAAATTGAATGGAAAGTTGTTGTACATTGGTATATGTATGTCACTGCTGTCAATAGGAATGATCATACAGTCTAGAACTTATAAGCAAACATAAAATCAATCATCCATCAATCAATCAACACATTGTTGTATAGTTTCCCATGCAATTTTAAAATTTTTATCGACGAGTTCTGCATGATGGGCAACAATAAAAATCAACAAAGTGGAGCAAATTGAACATTGGAGAATCATTGTGAAGGAAGAAATGTAAAATAATTTCTGTTGACTTTTTACCGATAGATTTCTGAAATTGAAATCAAATAAAAGAAAAAGGAGAGAATTGAGGTCAGCATTCTTGGATGAGTTTTTATTTCCAGTGGTTTTCACATGATTAAATATTCGCCCATAAATTTGGTTTTCATTTTTCCATTTGTTGAAAGTTACCTCAAAACTTTGATTACATTGCTTGCTGCAAATGCATAAAAGCGATCAAATTTGGAAAGCTCACTGCTCGTTCGTTCAATTAAAAATAATTAAATTTAACATTGTCATGTCAGTTTGTGATGCACGAGAGTATGCTTTTGGTGGTTTAAAGTTAACATTTAACAATACACAATTGTCCATAATTTATGTTTCTATTTCAACTAGCAACACAGATGTTCCCTACATTCGGGTATTTATTTAAATGTCTACACTTTTTTTTATTTCAATTTTATTTCTTTCATCATCAGCATGATTCATATGAAACTCATTCACATTCAGCAACATTACCTTTCTATCTTCAGCATCGTTTGATCTAATTTTCCATTCACTTAATTGTGAGTTACACTAGGAAATTGTGTGTAATTAGATTATACTTCTGACAGTTCCATGTTTTTGCGTTCGCTCTTTTCCTTTCTCTACTTTCAACGATATTAAATAAAGCGCGTAGAGCATTTCAAATAACGACACAACAAGGAGAAAAAAACTGTAATCACCCTCGAAGCTATTTATGTGTGTAGAAGTGTGTGCGGCTGTAATCTTGCTGACGGGATTTTCATCAATGAATGAAAGAAATTCCTGCAATGTCATTTGAGAAATCGTTGCTAAGGATCATGTGGTGCTATTCACTGCTGATGTTATGATACGGAAACAAAAAAAAGTAGCTTCACACTCTGACCTTACTTTGACAGTGATAGGTATTCCATGTGAAACTTTCCTTTGTTTTCTTGTTTTTTTTTTGTGGTTGGTGAAATCTTTTCTATATTGTTGGAGACGTAAATCAACTTATAAGTCAAATTATAAAAGTTGCCATCAATAACAAGGAGAAGAAGTGCCACAAACAAACTTTTCACCACATTAAATTCTCGTAGTAGTAAAGAAAAATCTTTCATTATTCGTTCGTCGTTTGCCGAAAAGATTCATTCCATCTTGAGAAATTATTTTTCTAACACTTCTAACATCTTTCCATCCATCCATCCATCCATCCATTCACATATCATCCAAGACAAGACAATGTATTTAAGAGAAAAATGGATAAAAGATGACGATAGTAATCTTTGTGATATGACATTGGTGATTATAATAAATGAAAATGAAAAACGCAAACAATGAATAAGTTATGTGAGAAAAAGAAGTCAAATGCTGACAAACACAAAAAGGGCAAAGTTCGGTCATTGTTATAAGAGTGAGAGGGAGTAAAAAAGTTTAATCGGAAATGTACAATTAAAACGTATAATACCCAAAAGAGTGCGTGATAAAAATTTGAAATCAAATTAAATTTGCTGTTCGCCCTTTTTTCCAACTTTGAGATTATGTTGACCGTCCGAGTTGGAGAAAAAGGCTGTAAAGAATGAAAATATGTGACCCTTTCTCAGCTTACATCAGCCCTTGGTATCTCAAAATCAAACAAATATTTTGAAGGCATACAAAGTAAATGTAAAAGACGAGAATGGACAAATCCTTTTGAAAATGAGCCGTCACAAGACGAAAAGAATTTTTGAAACCAAGAGACAAAGAAAAAAAAGAAGTTGAAAGCTTGAAAGAAAATCTTATTAATATGCGATTCAAACCATTGGAAAAAGGGATAACTGAAGCAAGGTCGAGCATGGCATAATTAATTTTGTCAGTTGAAACTCCGCCTTAATCATCATCCTTCTTCACATTTCATTCAGCAGCGCTTTCAGCTGTCTTGCTATAACTTAGCGTACCAAAATATTTTCATGTAATTACTGTTGTCATCATGGATTAAATTCGACGGGAGCAATTTTAATCATATTTTTTCATCATGAACATGTACACGTATCTTCTTCAGTCTGTATGGTTGTTTATTAAGAAACTTTCATCACACTTTTATCTACCTTTAACTTTTTCTAGTCAGACTTGGGACGCTAAGAAAGTCGATGAAAGATTGTTTTGAAACTTATGGAGAATCAACAAACTATGAGATCCTTTTAAGGCTCTCTAAGGCTTCCCATATTATAGTGACTTAAGTTGTTTCCGAAAAGAAAGGAAAATCTTTTCAAGCGTGGACATTAAATTTATGTTTTCCTTCATCGCCCGAAGAGTCTTGTGACAATATTGAATTATATATATTTTTCTATTTTCTCGTCATGTACATAAACGTGAATTCATTTATACGAGTGCCTACAGTTTAATATAAATTTATTCAATTATGAGTTGGGTCGACCAATTCTTTTATAGTCTTTTGTCGTAGATATGATAATAAACTATCATGAGTTATATGATGTGAAAATATGTGCTGTGAAAACTGAATATAAATTCTTGTGCAACATGCTCAACATTTCATGAGTTGCTATCAAAGGAACATCATAGCAAATGAACAATAAATCAAAAAGCTGATAAGATCTTCTTCTTTAACCGACCTGAGAAGCTTTTTAAAATTCGATTTTTTTTGTTTCTTTCATGTGCAATCACAATAATCATAAACGAGAATATTTTTACATTATTTTTCATTCTTTTATTCTCTTGATGCCAAGATTTAAAATTCACAAAAAAAAATATGTCTCCAATAAAACAAACTCACTTTATTACTTTTTTCTTCATCATCGTGCTTTTGAATGAAGATAGACGGAAAAATTTAAATTTTAAAGAATCTTGCAGACTTGAAAGCGAGACGTTCTTAACTTTATAGTTTTCATTAATATTTTTTAAACATCCCTGAAGGTACTGTGCGGTTGTAAAAGTTGTATAATTTATTCAATGCCGCATGTTCGATTTCAACTTTTAATTTATAGTTGTTTTTATAACTCTGATATAATCAAAATATTTTTCAACATGATCCCAATCGCATTTCACCATTTTCCCATTTCTCTTTAGAAATTATGATTACTTTAAAGGCAACATGAAACATTTGGCAATTTAAAACTTTTCTTTTTCTTTATTTTTACTTAGCAGCTCAAGAAACAAAATGAAAGGAAAAAAAAATTGCGAAATTATCCCAACGGGTCTAATTGATGTAATTCTCTTTCTGATTTCGGCCTTTTTTCCACTTCACTTTTATTATTTTTTCTTTCCATCCTTAACCTTTGAGTTTGAGTGTGTAGTGAAATAAGCAAAGATGCTGAAAGTATGCTGTGAATGTAGGAATCATAAGCTCTCGTTTCAATGGATATTTCGTGACTTTCTGACTAAAAGTCATTTGTAATTAATTGTAGCTGAGAGGAAAATAAAAATGAGTTATTATTTACTACAATTTATTCTCATACATCAAAAGCTGTAATGTTGGAGAATTTTATGACCGATACGAATGAAGAAACAAGAAGAAAACAGAAAATATGAAGAACACGAAAATATATTTCCAAGTGTTTTTTTTTCCTCACTCGTTTCTCTTATTTTTTCCTCCTTCCGATTCGAAATAACTTACACGAAGCATACATTACCGCAATGGGAAATGGATAAAAAGCTCTATTTTCTGGTGTATGTGGGCATAGAGGAAGAAAATGGTCAATAACATTCAATCAATGTTGCTCATTTTGATTTTAATGAATTCCATTATATATGTATCTGCCATGATTTACTTTTTATAATTTCTTGTTTTTATCCTTTCTCATCTGTCAGAATATTTATTTGGGAAACGAGGATTCTCAGACAATTATTTTTAGTTTAACCCAAATTCCAAATCGTTTTTTATTTCCTATGGCACATATCAAATATTAACAGGCATTTGAAGAGTAATTTTTTTTTGTATTACGTAACATTCAGTCAGTCAGTGGAATAAGTAGATGTTCTATTTTTATCTACAAAATCATTATTCGTTTGACTAAATAATTCCCTCTTCACAAATCAACTCCCACGCATTGGAAACTTTATGAAATAACAAATAAAAAACATTTAACATTTATATTGATCCTATTACATTTTCAAGAGGCTTTAATTAGCTTTGAGAGGGAGGCAGACGAGTAAAGATATTTGATGTCTAATTTTATTATAAATGTTGAGAATTTTCAAGTTCATTAAATCATAATCATAGAAATACTTGTGTTATATTTTTTGTTTCGTTTTTGTGGCATTTTAAATTAATCAGTTAATAATAATTTAATAAATGAGACTTTCTCTGTAGTTCTTTTTTCTTTTCATCTTGTTTTGTTTGATATAGGAAATTGAATATTTCTTCAATAGAAAGTTTTCCTTGAAGGAGACACACAATGAATGAAAGGAATTTCAATAGAAGGGGGAGGGTCACCTCGAGTTTCTGATTGCTTTTGTCAATCTGTGTTTTGGGTTAGTTTGTAAAAGATGCTTATTCGGATCTTAGTTTAAGCAATATTAAGACAAAATTACTTGAAATTCACAACCCTTAAAACTTCGTCTTATACCGTTTAAAAGCTTTGAGATAAATTGGCAAAGATTTTTCTTTTCTAAGAAGAAACGTTCGTGAAACTTCCATCAAACTAATTTATCCATAAGTTGTATATTTGCTGTCGAGAATAAGGGGATTGCTTCAATAATTATCTCTTCCCTTGGATTCGAATTATCAAATTATAGCGTCATGAAAATTATCGATAAATTTTAACCCGAATTGTCATAGGAAAATTTTCTCATTTTAACTTCACAAGTTCCTTCTTTTTCCTTTTGATAGGAATATTTTTAATCACAATAATATTCCTGTCACGTAATTTACCATGCTCCAAGCCTTTTTCCCTTTTCCTTTTTTTATTTCTCATTTTTGTCTCTGCCATATTTCAAAAAAGAATTTCATGATGTGGAATGAGGCTGAGTCGAATATAGCAAAAATTATAATGAATGTCAGCTTCACTTCTTTACTCGTCTTCCGTAACAAGTGGGAATTTCAACTTTTGAAGTTTTAATGTTTAATTATATTACATTTTTCATGAGGATTTCATTTCATGATTTTCATATGATTGACTCGGAATGTTTCAACTGTTAAATTGTCACTGAAATTTGTTTTTACATGTCTTTGATAAAGTCAGTGTATATATGTCGACATGTTTAAATCCAAAGTCACAAACTGAATATAATTAATACTCAAGGAATTCTTCATAGCTCATGAGACCATGTAGGAAGCTTTAAAGTTTCTCTTTCAAAAGCATCCAATAATTTTACTTGTTCATGTACAAACATTTTTAAACTTCTCATATTTTCAAATCATATCATCACTCAAAAACTTTAAATACATAAACCTATTTTAATCCATGCAATAGAGCTGGATAAAAAGGGTTTCAAACATATAAAAACAACATGAATTTGATGAAATACTTGTTGGGAAATCAACATCTATTTTACTTACTTAGATATGCTGTTGAAACGAAACTTTTTTTTTGCTTTTAGCTTTCGCATATTAAATGAGTTTTGATGAAATATGCTAAATAAATTATTAGAAAACAACTTTTACTTCTCTGCAAAGTTCGCAGATGTCGATGAAGTCAGAAAAATTAGCCGTTTAATTTGTTTTCATTCAACAACAAATGTTCGGATAAAGTTATGAATGTGGCATAATTGTTATCATGGAAACAAACCATAATGCTCATTATATGAACTTAATGAACATAATAAGAAATTCTCGTATGAGAACGTTGAGAATGAGACTTCTAATACGATTTAAAATTGTATTAAGTAGCTATGAAGGAAAATTTATGTCTTGAAATAATCACTAATTAGATCACCGTGAAGGTTTCAGGAAATAGAGAAAGAAAAGTTTTGCCTTTCTCAACTCTTTTGTCAGCGTAATTAAATAAATTTTCCATTTTCTCATATCTTTTCAGGGATCCCATAAATCTAGCTGTTTTACACTTGAAGGAGAATGGGGAATTGGCCAAATTACAGAACAAATGGTGGTTTGAAAAGACCGAATGCAAAGGCGATAAAGATAATCCTACGATGTCAAGAAATGAATTGTCGCTGACTAATTTGGCGGGAATATTTTACATACTAATTGGAGGATTGCTTGTGGCACTTGCTATATCATTGGTCGAATTCTGTTTTAGGAGTCAAAAGTCGCCAACAACCACATCACTTACATCAAATACCATGCAGATGACAGATACAATGAAACCTAAAAGTCGACTTCCGATTACAAGTGCCAGAGATTATGATAATGGACAGGTAAGCTGAATGAAATAAATTATTATGTGAACGTTCTATATAATTTGCTTCGTCGTTTTCTCTTTCTTTCTTTCTTTGTACATCATTGACGACATCATCATTACACAGTATTATCCTCAAAGCCCTTCAATGGAACATCCGGAAACTCACCACATCAATGCTCATCCGCAAACTTGATGTCATAATGCGTAGGAGTCAAAGCAGAATTATTTCATAAACTCCTACGCATTGAAGACTTTTGAGAACACTCTCAATAATCAACAGTTAATTCATTTGCATCAGCAAACGAATAGTAGTAATTTTATGAACCAGAAATCTTCAAATTGATAATCATTTGGCCACCGAAAAGAGCAACACATATAATAAGCTATAATGCTATTATATTGAGGGAATAATGGATATGATACTTAAATCTGCATACAAATTTCCCGAAAAATATCAAATATTTGAATACATTGTCGAAAAATGAATCAAGTGTGAACGAAACTTGTCGTTCAAGTCAACAACAATCATAAATTGATTTTTGTTTTCTTTTTATATTATTATTTGATATGAAAGCTAAAGCACATGTGACTTAAGTTTCTTTAGGTGAATGAAATTGGAGAAATTGTGAGAAATTAATATTAAAACTAACAATCTAAGACTTACTATTTAATAATTCAGATATACATTCAGTCATTAAGTGAAAACACTATAATATTTAACATAAGGTTAAATTAAATTTAAACAAATCACATGAACATTGTTTGTTGTTAAATGTTTGATTCTCAATTAAAACGACTGTAAAAAAGGCTACAGTAACTTTTTTATGTTTGTTTTTGTATAAAAATGTATAAAATTTGAGACTCAAACTAAATATATTTAAAAGGATATCATTGGAATATTGTCAAACATTGTAAGCATCGTTTAATAAAGGAATATTAAAATGTAGATATATCAAAAAGGATTAAACTTAAAGATCAATTTGTACATAAATAATATCCCAATAAAAGGATTTAGATGTAAAATTACAATAACAAAAAAAAAGTTTTTCATTATTAGAAATTTATTTTCAAATTCTCTGCTTTGAATTTTAAGAACCCTCGCCCTAATACTTTTATGTAATTATTTTTACAGAATGGAACTTTCAAGCTCATAAAAGACTCAGTTAAATCAATAGTACTTTCTGTTTTATCGCATAATACGAACAATTCACAAAGAAAAGCAAAGTGTTTGATTTCAAAATAATCTATAGCATTAAGAAGCTGTTATGGCTGTTATAAAGGCTCTGGAAAGCTTTATTAATTATTAATGTTTAGCATTACAGCTGGTGTTTCACCAACTTATCAAGGTAATTTGTATTTCCGTCGAATAAGATTTGAAGGCTCAGAAATATGTCTTCGCATTGGGTTATTATTTAAATTTATGCATGAACTTCTATAAAGACTTTAAAGAGATTAAATCATCGTACTTCGCAGAAAGCAACACCGGTAAGGATTAGAACCGCTTATAATAACTTAACAAATTTTTACCAAAGGTTGATTGAATTTGAAAAGTATCCTCCCAAGACATATTTATGTATAAATTTATTCTTAATCTTAATTTTCCCTAAATGATTAGTAATTATCATTAAAGTTATAAATTTCCTTTCTGTTATCTTTGATATTTTAACTGACACGAAAATAATAAGAAAAGCTTTTCGAAGCTTTCTGAAAGCTCACTTGAGTTAAGGGTTGTGTTTTTCCTCAAATTCAAATTTTCAGAATCCGTTAAATATTTATTCACATTTTTCATCCCCATAAAATAAATCCGACTTAAAAGTTTTCACAGCAAGCTTATAAAAATATAATTAGGATTAATTTTTAAAAAATCTTTTTAAAAGAATAAATAATTGGATGNAAAAAAAAAAAAAATGTGTGAATTTTATTGAATTTCTTTTCTTTATATTTTTAACAATTTGTAAGACTGTTAGTAAAATTCAACGCGAGTACTTCAACAGACAAGCCTTTTTACAGAAGTTCACGGAGAGGGATTTACTCGTCCCATACTCGAGATTAGTGGGAGAGAGAGTTGTTTCGCTTTCAGTACAGTTCCATAGAGCCTTTTTTCAGTATGAATTCTCTCATTGTTTTCCTTAATATGCATGCATATTAAATCGATACAAAGGGATTTCAAATCTGTTTTATCTCTATATCTCGCTTTCCTGTTGGCGAAAAACTTTTTAATTATCAAGCCGAAGTATCTAAACTTCTTAAAACCTCATTATAATTTTTTTTTTTTTTGTCCATGCCAGGACTCGAACCTGGGACCTGCAAGAGTACACTTGCATTTAATTCCGACACCTGACCACTAGACCAATGAGGCAGTTTAGCTTGAAAAAATGTTATGAACATAAAACTAATAATGTCATGTATCTTACATTTAGCATCATTCGAACGATTTGTGTCTTGTATTGTAGATATCCCTGTTATGAAATAGTTCTACAGCAAAATAGATATAGGTTTTTTTTGTTACATGAATATCTGTAAGGATATTTAGCAGAGAAAACATAGATCTGTGAGAAATTTAAATGGAAGGATACAGAATGCTTGAGGCAGTCTCACAATTTCCTAAAAATGAGAACTTGCGCTTTGTTTTGTTCATGACAAATATGTATATCCAGTATGAAAAGAAGAAGAAAAAGATAAAACGAGTCGCTTGGCATTCGAACGAATATGTTAACAAAAGCTATCAGAAAGGAAATTTTTATTTTTTCAGAACATATTTATGAACAGAGTTCAATTAGACAAAGGAAAAAAGATAGAAATAAGAAATGTCCTCTAGAAAAGCTTGAAAAAACATGAAAGGGTTGAAAATGTTTCACATTGATATTTTTTTTATTCTTCAGATATAACATTATAGCGTAAAACAATGTTCAATTTTTAGGTCAAAGATAAGGCAGAAAAANGATTGTCCACTCTTCCATACAAAAAAAAAATCTGGTATGTCGTCAGATCTGATGGTATGACGACATACCTTTGTTCACTATGTCTGGTATGTCGTCAGTATGACGTCAGATCTGACGACATAGTGAGAACCCTAGTTTCACATTAATATTTTTTTATTCTTCAGATATAACATTATAGCGTAAAACAATGTTCAATTTTTAGGTCAAAGATAAGGCAGAAAAATTTCCATCATACATATATTTCATTCTCAAAAGATTGTGTTCTCTAGCGAAATAATTCAAAACTGTCAATGACATTTCTAATTTTTTATTTTTTTCAGATTTTTTAGTCAATGGTTTAGAAATTCTAAATCATCTTTGAATTTATATTCTTCCCTATTCTTCCACCTTTAATGCTCTCAATAATCTGCTGATATCGATCAACTTCAACTCATTCTATGACGTGCCTTGAAATTGTTACCAGATAGTTAATACGATACGTTTCATATCAATTTTATCTCGGTTGAACAATGAGTATCATCAAATCATGATATTTATTCTGAAAATGCTCTTGAGATGATTGCTTCTTAAAGAAACTTTTCGCGAGATTTTCTTTTCAATATATATGTGTAATAATTCTAGGTGAAAAGAAGAAGAAAAGAAGAAGAAAGAAAGGAAAAAGAATCTCAGACTGTTACAACAACTAAACACAATACACACCCTACAAATATAAACAAGCGATATTTCGGCTTACGATTTTCTTTTCTTTTCATATTTTTGAGAGAAAGATTCTTTTTTATTAAAGGAGACAATGAGAAATTTGATGAAAGACGATTTGATTGAATGAAATGATGAAAGGTCTCTAAATATTATTTCAATGCGAATTCTTTTTTGTTTTCTCTGAAATTTAATTTGCTTTTGCTAAATTATGTGAAAAATTGTCAGTTGTAAGCAAAATGTTTGAAACGTGTTGGAGATTTTGAATAATTTACTTATCGTCTATGTTCATAACAACGTTCAATGTGTGACGATAAAAAAAGAATCCTGATGATAACTGTTATTTTTTTTTTTGCTTACGTATTGCTATATGTAAACATATTCTATCTTAAGTTCTATTCTACAAAAATAAAAGCACACAAATCAATACATTTAATAAAAAGTGATTTGAACGTAGAGTGAATGTTACTAAAGTGTGCGATGATGTGAGAGCGAACGAACGAATGAATTAAAATGTGTACAATAACTTTCTTGTTGTGTGTTCCATATAAAGCAGAGGATCCCCGGGAAAACGCTTGCGCATTTAAATGCTCAAGAAAGTTTTTGTAACGTGTGAGAGCTTTGCAAAGTCTTTACGATGCTGAATACAAATAAGTGCTTGCAAAATATAAAACACATCGACACATTTTAGGACGTTGGTAGGTAAACATTATTTTCGTTATTCCAAGTTTCCTTTCTTCCTTCTCTCGTTTGAATCAAACGGAGTTGAGTTTTCAACAATTGCAGTTTAGTTGAGTGTGGATCTGAGCAAAAGTTCGTTTTAAAAATAATATTTTATAAGTTTTCTTTTAATTATGGCGTAATCAAAAGATGTAAGAAGCTAGTTGAAAACATTATTTTTCATATTTCAATGTTGACGTGCAAAAAAAGTAAATAAAATAAAAAGGGCAGTGACGAAACATGAAAAGGATTAATTTTATTTCGGTTTGCTACTAAAACCTAGAAAAAGTCCCTACTTTGTCGAAAAAGATTAAGGATAATAATCATTACACCCACATGTGGACTATAAACCTATAATTTATTAAGCCTTTCGTAATTTCAATAATAATAAAAAAATATTGAAGTCACCTTTACCTTCTTGCATCACTTTTAAGCTGAAATCTTTTTATAACCACCCTGAAAAAAAATATGAGACAAGGAGAGAAAATAAGAAAATAGTAACAAACACAATCAAAAATGTGAAAGCACAAAGGATAAAGCTCTCAATACAGAGAGAAAAGCTTCGTTCTACTATAGCAAAAAGCATGCGTTAACATTTTTTGCTTCATAATTTTGCGCTTTTATATGAAAGTTCCATACAAAGGCACAGTCGAGAAGAGAGTAGCTGTCCCCACCCAAAAATAAAACACCAGTTCAATGCAAAATTTCAGCCAGATATGGCTAAACGGAATCTCACTGTGCTCCCGTGAAAAATTTTGTTTGAAGCTCAATTTAAGTTATTTAAGTGAAAAGTACTGCTCGCAAGAGTGACAAATTAGTATCTTATCCTTAATTGAGTGAAAACGCCCTGAAATTCGAGAAATTAGCTCTTAAAAAGTGAAAGTACCACCTTCACAAGGAAAGACAATTTGTGATATAAAAAAGTAAGCTCAAAGCTTCAAATAGCTTCAAAAAACAAGAAAGGATATGACTGACATAAGTTGTTAAAGGAATTTTTAAGAAGATTAACTAAATTTGAATTGGTCAACTACAAAACCATAAAAGGCGCCCACAAAAAAGGGATAAGAAAAAAAAAGAGAAAACCCATACGAGAGCTATACACACCCATTTTTTATCATTACTCAGTTCTCGCCCTGCCGAAACAGAGAAAAGAACCATATTTATGAGGAAATCCCTTGAAAATTAATTAAGAGCTTTCCACAAAGGAAAACCTGCTTTTAAATAAACTAAATATTTTTAATTCACATAATTAAAATTAGATTTTGTTGTGAGTTGTCAAAGAAAAGTTTTCAGTAAAATTTCAATTTTCTTTTTTCTTTCTCTCTCCGTATTCTCTCTTTCTGTTTCTCTTCTTCACAACTTTTGCAGAATCAACGGCAATGCAAGAATCAAATACAAAGAGAGTGAACCTTTAAGATTTAAAACGTAGCTTCAATGAAATATTGTGTGTGAGAAAATAAAAGAAGTTTTAAGTTTAAGTTTTCATCACACAAAAATGCAATTATTAGGAGTTTCATCAATTTTTCGTGTGATGAATGAAAGAAACAAAATGCAAAGATACAAACGGTGAAATGAGCTTCATTGCGAGGCAATCAGGGTGACAAATGCAATTAATAGCTACTGAAATCAAGCTGTGTTCGAGATCATATTGACTCTCATGCACATCTCTCACTTATCTTACGCGATATGTGAAAGGTTAACAAGACGCTTCACAGGCTTGTTGTTACACAATACAACCCAAAAAGAAATAGAACGTTAAAGCAATTTTCACCTGAATTCAACTCAGCAAGAAGTTTACAGTTTTTATAAAACGCAAAAATAATTTAAAAAAAAAGTAAATAATAATACATAAAAGAAGAAGAAGAAGAAAAATCACGACGATCAACGTGACCGAATAATTAAAAGTTTAGCGTCAAAGCTGACCAAAGTGAAACTCAACATACATAAAGTTAGAGATAAACTGAACAGTAGAAAACAGAGAAAAAAATGACTTCAAATATGGAAAGCATGCATTGGCGGGTGTCGTCATTGGGTGCTCTCCTTCTAGTGCTAGTTTTTATGCCACATCTCTTTAGTAAAGTACCATATGTGAACGCAGCGTGAGTATCTCATTTTATTTAATAAATATTCTTATAATTTCCTTCCGCTTTCATTTTCTCCTTAAAATAAGAAAATAAGCCTCACCACATGATTTTTATCTCGACCACTATTCTCAAAAATTGTGACGACTGCATGAGGTCGTGTGACTTAAGTAAACATAAAGCAATCTTTTCATGTCTCAAGATAAGAAAATAAACCTGCGACATAACAAAAATTAATTCTTTTTATGAATAGTTAAATGTATTTTCTCCAAGATGAAAATTGTATTAAACAAAAAAAAAGAAGCTTTCATGATGATGACGACGATGATGAAAAAAAGGAAAAAGGGTGGAGTTCATTTTTCCCAAAAAAGCATACTAAAAAAGAAAAATCCATGCCAAGCTTTTGCTGCTGATTTTTCCTCTTCTTTTATCCCTCTGTGTGCCACATACTTTTTACAACTCGATAATAAAATAACCCCAAACACAGAAAAAAGCTTTGCCTCCCCCACCTTCTCGCTATGTTCAGCAAATACGTTTGATAAATATTTAAAAAGATTCCCCGCATTCCCCGTACATATTGTGAAATTTTAAATTTGTATTTACTTAAATATTTCATTAGTGGTTACAGCTCTAGTTCTGAACCGCCGAACGGCTCCCTGTGCTATGCCACTTCTGTTGACATTCAACTATGCTTTAATAAAAGTTACTTTTTTTCACTGGATTACCTTCTTTTATGACTTTCGGTATGTGAACCTAAGATTTTCTCTCTTTTTTTCTCGTTTTGAATGGTCCAAGGCAAGACATGTATGGAATAAACGAAAAGTGAGATTATTTTTTCACACTGGCAATCTAAAGCTTATTTTTTTGGGAACCCCAGATACAAGTGTAAATGGATAATCAATAAGGTTTTCCTTTTTTCATTTTATTTTAACGATGCTCATGGCCATGGTTCTCAATCTTTCCCAATATTTTGTTGAATGCATTCAAATCGTTTCCAATCCTAGCGACTCAAGTCATCCATTTCTGCAGAAATGAAATCAATTAACAATCAAAATGTCGATATAAGGCGCCTTTCGAAAGGTTTATGTATACACTCGTGGTTTCAATTGATATCAAGAGAGCTCTCAAAAGAATGCTGAGGCCTCACCCATTCCTTATAAGTGGAGCAGAAAAGAAAACACTTTGTCACAAGCACTCTTCGATAATACGTGATTGTACCTCGCTAAGAGAACAAGCGCAAAGAAAAGAATAAAAAAGCGATGTCAAATGGAAGAAAGAGAAGAACGAGCGACACTTTTCTGCTGAGACTTTTTTTTTCTTTCCTTTTGCAGATTACATTTTCCTTCTTTTCCGATCGCTTTTATCGTCTTTTCCAAATACTCCATGTACACACAATGGGCGATAAAAATTATTGTTGGATGTTATAAAACAAATAGCTACATATATAAGATAAGATCCGAGCTAGGACAAGAAGGAGAGCGAGAAATTTATCGAAAATGGAATTACACGCCATGGTGATATTGTGAACAATAAAATGTATTGATATTTCTCCTGTGCGGCATCTTAAACGAAAAGAAAGAGAAAAGCTAAAACGAATGAAGGAAAAGACATTTCAAAAGGTATTAGCGTTACTACGTGTGCACATAGAGCTTTCACCAAAGGAAATGCTTTTATTTCGTTAAAACGAAAATCCAAATGATGGAAAATGTTTAGGAAAAATGTGAGAACGAGAAGACGAATAATCATCGATTAACATCGAAATAAAATTTCTTTTTTCTCTTCTAAGATTTGAAACTTATTGTTAAAAGATTTTCCACATTCCGAACAAGCTTCTTTTTTTTTCATCTTCAAGTGGAAGAAATAACTTCAAGGATAAAATTTTGAAAAGGGAAATCGCATTAATGCGTCATGAATGACAACTTCCATTTGTTCTTATCATTTAAATAGATAGAACAGGATAACTATTTACACATGATTAATATTGTTCATGCAGAGATTTGCCAACTCATCCGTTATTAGATTTTACTGCAACATAACAATGGCGTGTGCGACATTTAATTTCGCATTTTTCTTCTCTTCAATACATGTACAGGAGGAAATGGAAAACTTTTACTAACTTTAGTGTGATTCATTCCCTTTTCATTATAATCTGCTTATACACGCTACGATAACATTACACAACACGATTAATTAAAACATATACTGCAGGAGCTTTTTGAATTTGAAGAAAAGAACAATGAAACCTATTTATGGCTGTTTTTTTTTTCAATTTGCGTTTTTCCCCTATTTTTATTTTATTTTTTGAGTAGCACTTGTTTACTCGATGTTCAAGTGTTAGCTGTTGACAGCTGCTGTTTTGTTTTTCTTATATAAATCATATTTATCGAGAGGAGAAAGCTGAAGTGCATACAAGAATGAATAAAAAAGGAAAACAAAAACCAAATCAACAAAAATCAATATTTAAACAATAATAATCTGAAGTGGCCCTCGTCAATCGGTTTCTTGTTTCCATACACTCTGTAAATAGCGGGATCATTTTCATCATCATTATCATCAATTTTAATATGCGACACGCCACATTCTCATTGAAGGAATAAAAAACTTAGTGGATGAAAATGTTCACATGAGATATTCGATATATCAATCAGAACGAATGAATGAAGAGAGCTATGGGAACATTGCATGTATGTATACAAACAAGCCAACTTTCATTGGAATATTAAATGGCATTCAGTGCCTCTTGGGTAGATTATTTTTCACTCTTCATTTTAACATTGCGTTGAAGCGTTGGAAGCACAAATAATGGCTAAACCTAAACATATATTTTATTTCATTTCAGTTCTTTTTTTCTCTCACTCATCCTACACTTTCCTATCCTTAGCCATGCACATTTCATTTCATTTCGTTTCAAGTGAAGCTTTCTTTTTGATCAAACGAATGTAAGGAGAGGCAGAAAAGATCGAGTCGGTAGAATAACAATTGTAATAATTCATATCCACAGCAGTATCATAAATAGAAAGGGACTTTGTGTGCGTTTCGGAGGATATTTTTCATTTCAACAAATTATGATGGAAAACAACCGAGATGGAAAATTCCTTAATTATAAATTTATGAAACACAACCGTTTAGTTCCTTTTGGCTGAATACGACGAGGGTGGAAAATGCGAAACTTGAAACCGGGAGCATGAGTTAGTGTGGGAACAATTGGAGAGAGATAGAAAGATGAAGCTCAAAAGCAATGCCTAAAGGTCATAGGCTAAATTGTAAACATTAAGCAAACGAACCAAGACTCGATTATTACCGTAAAAATATTTTTTCTTCTCTTATATATCCAACCATTCATTCCACCCCCTCATCAAGCCCAAGATGTTATGTTCATTGTGTGTTTCCTGATGTTATTTTGTGCGTAATATTATTTCTTATTTTCTCTCTCTCCATTGCTTTCTTCCCTCCTTTCGGTAAAGTAAAAAAAAAGGCCTCGAAAATAAAAAAAAGCACAACGGATATGATTATCAATTACACTTTTGCTGTGACTAAGCACAAGAGGAAAAGTGGAGAATGAAGAACTGAACGATGTATGCAAACATCAAACATTTAAAAGCACAAAAATAGAAACAAAAAAGACGCTTAAGAAGAAAATATAAATTTTGACGTGAAAAGAGAAGCAAAAGAAAGAAAAAATGAAATAAACTTTTCAATAATTCATTCTTTCTTTTTTTAAGCAGTTTCTTTTTATTTTATTCTTCATACTCACGGAATATGAATTGCTGTTTTCATTTCTTTTCCTCTCGAACAGTCTCAGCCTTGCCTTATGAACTGCTTCGAAAAATTAATACTGACTGTTTTTCTCAAGCAACATAGACTCAAGTCTTTTTATGCTTTTGCTGTGTGTGCCTTCTCTCTCTCTCTCCTTCTATTTTCATTCCCTTTCTCACTCTTTCAACTTTAATGTTACGAGTTTTGTCTCGTGAATTTTTATTTCAGTTGACAAGTTGTTGGCATGATAAAGTGACATACACATAACTTTAATGTTACTTGATTTAATTTCTTCTGATTTACTCATGACAGTATTTACTCGTGTTTATTATACATCTAGATAAATAGATAGCAACAAAAGCAAGGTGAATGTTAGACGAGCAGCGATACTATTTTATTAAACAAATACGCAACTATATAATCAAAATCAATCAATATTTGTGTAAATAAGTCTCATCCCTATCTAGATATCTACTTGAAAAAAATAAACAACAATTTTATGTCGTTTCAAAGAGACAAAAGAAAAAAAACTTTGAACCTTTTTTTCTCTTGTTTCTGCTGTTTCCCATTATTTTGACTGGAAATTTATTGGAACATACAATGTCGTAGATTCGTTTACTAATGCAAAGTCGTTTGGTGGACTAGGATTTTATTTTGTTTTGTAGTCTAACAAGGAGAGAGAAAAAATAATTGAGGTCACGTCGAAGGGAAAAACCGATTGAAAGGAAGAAAAAAAAGCTTCCGTATTCAAAATATTTAATCAATAATTCAAATTTGACTTCTCCTAGGGCACATAAAAAGTTAGTGGCTGCTTGAGAAGGTTTCCCTTAGCATATATCTAGGATGTATATAATAAAATTGGGGTTCACATGCATCCACAATAAGATATCTTAATTTACGTCGTAAATGATGGGTGCGGTTTTCTGATGAAAAACTTTTCCATTTTCTTCTCCACCGAGCTTTAAAATATTTTTGTTGTTTTACTGAAAAATTCTTCCTTTACAACAATCGAAAGTTTTGCCATGCTTTAGGCAAACGGACACCAAAACTTATACTTGATCGTTTTTTCAAGGCGTGGTTCATTCTGTTAAATCTCAATTATAATGGTTTTTCTCATTGCTTCTATAAATTACTTTCAAACCTGATTTAATATCATTGATGGTTGTTTCAAGCTGTTTCAAGAAAATAAAAAAAAAGATCTCATACTTGACATTTCCTTTCGTGTCATATTTTTAGAAAAAGCTACATCTAGATACGTAAAATTGAGGGGAAAAATAATATAAGCACATTCTCAATTGAAAATGTTATTTTAAAAGCAGGCAGGAACACCAACACAATACTTTTTCATTGCAACATTTTGCAAGAGCCGTTCGCTAAAATATATATTTACGAACAAAAGCCATGATAAGAGCAAAATCATTTCATACAAGATGATGAATAGCGAAAATTTATTTTTACGGGCATATTCAGTTATATCTACGTTTATTTCCATTTTCACCGCTCGCTCTTGCTCGCTTACTCTCACTTCCAACAACGTTTGAACTTTCCTTTGTTTCTTTTAATGCTTCGAATAAAATATGGAGAAAAATCATTACAGAGATAAAAGCTTTAATATTTTTTTTTGCCCTTTTCCGTCGAAGGGAGATGCTGAAAGCAATTGTTCGTAATGACGTCATAACATTTGGTTTAATGTGTTAGTACAAAATTCTCGCATTCACGTTCCTCTCTCAGTTGTACTCGATGGATACTTCGGATGTTGTTTCGTTTACTTTTTGTTTTCTCTTCAACATTGTATTTGTGCTCGTAGATTGAGGACAACGACGACGACGACGACGAGAGAAAAGTTAAACTTTTACGACCAGCAGTTTATAAGTTTTTTTTCTTTCTTTCTTTCGTCCCGAAAAAGCTTCATTTTGAGTAAGCTACAGAAAGAGAAAAAGAGAGAGAGAAGCGAGTGATGGAGCTTTTATGAACGGAACGCTTAAGGATAAATTAAACTTTTTAAATGCAAATTAGAAAAAAAATGTTGTGTGTTGAGGCTTAAGCTAAGATCATAATTTTATCGCTTACATATTTTTCTTCAGTTTTCTTTTTTTATCTGTCTATTCAATGTCGAAAGTGGTCATTAAATTAAGAACATAAATTCCAGTATCTCTAAAACGTCTCTTCTCTAATCTCGTCAATGTTTTTAGGGGCGGTGGCGGTGGAAGCATGTTAGGCGATGTTAATATATCAGCAATTTTAGATTCGTTCAGTGTTAGTTACGATAAACGAGTAAGACCCAATTATGGAGGTATGTATTGAATTTCTTTTGTTTTCCTTTCAACTTTCAACTCAGAAATAATTCAAAGTTTAGGATTCATGACGAGAGAACTGAAAAAAAGAATTTTTATTTGAATTTTCCGAATAACTCGGAAACTTAATTAAGATTAAGCAGATAAACTTTAATATCGCACAAAAATTTGATAATTTTCATTTTAAATGATTCATCGTGGTTGTGTTAAGCTATGAAGGCAAATTCAAGAGAAGAATTGATAAAATTAGGAAGCTTTTGAATATCTTCCCATCTTTTTTCATTTATATCTTGCACTAGCTTATAATTTGGAAGTTTGAGTTGTTGAAATGCTTTTAATTTCACTATTGAACCGAGTAAAATCTTTTCAATTGAAGTTTTTAAAAGATTTCCACAAGAAAACCAAAAAATAACAAAAAGGAAAAGATTTTTGAAAATGAAGCGTAAAATATTTTTGCCACATCCGAATTTCAGGACCACCAGTAGAAGTGGGAGTCACCATGTATGTGCTGAGTATCAGCTCGCTGTCTGAAGTCAAAATGGTACTAAAAAGACTGCGTACCTTTTATATTCTTAATTATCTTTATACTTTAACCCTTTTTCGTAATTAGACTTATTCAATTAGTATCAATTTTTGAGATAGTTGTGTTTCAAAAACAGATTTTATTTTAATGTTCATTTTGTTTATGTTCTTGAAATATTTTTTGAACAAATCACAAAGCACATTGCACGCGAGTTCTGAATTTGAATTGGTGGGAGATAATAAATGCAAATGTTTTTCAACTGTCAAAACTTGAACAGTTAAAGTTTTGAAATCGAAAAACTTTCAAAAGCTTTTAAAGGCAATTTTAACTTCCAAGCAATTCAAAGCTCATTCGTTGTGCAAGAAAATGAAAGTTTTGAATTTTCATCTCGTTCTTGAGTCTCTCAACCCTGTCATAATATTTTTCGACATAAACCAATTTACCAAAAATCGTCATAAAATTTCACATTCGAATCAATAAAAGGCAAAAACTTTCCTCAATTAGGCAGCGTATTTAGAAGTACCTTTCATGAATACCTAATATTTCGCAAGTGGAAAGCTTCCCTAAACATTTTCTTAATCGTTAACGTTTCTTAACCAAATCAAGTCATTAAATTTGCATGCTTCTTGCATATTTCTTCTCCAACTAAACCTTTTGTGGATGTTCTTTATATAATCATGAAATTATTTTCATATAAATTGAAGTCTACATTAAAATTTCTTCAAACTTTACTTACATGCAAAAGTTTATTCTCACAATTGGGACGAAGAAATAAAGAATGATAAGAAAACAAAAATAAATCTTAACGCCTACAACGTCGCACTCATAAAAAGTCGCTCATCATTAAATAATAAATAAAAAGTTGGTTAATATTTTTAAATTGGATTTCAGATTAATGAGACTTTTCTTTTTAAATTTATTTTTATATTTTTGATTGAAAAGATCGCATATGCTTAAGGCGATGGGACACTTTTACAATTCTTCTTTTATGTTGATTTTTATTTTTCTCTTCTTTTTGCAAAAAGGCAACGACGGACATGATTTCCATCATCATTTATTTCCAATCGAATAAATAAATTAAAGCATCGTTTATAAGAAAATTGGATAATGTTTATCTCAACTTTCTTGTAGTTCAAAAGTATGTTGATTTGGTTTTCATTGCGTATGTGACATATATCTTTGAAAATGTCCCATAAATTATGCTCATTTGGAAAAGTAACAATTGAATTTAATGAATATCATCGACAATGATTGGAGTAAAAAATATAATTTTAATGAAAATAAGAACTTAAAGCAATTTATATCGTTATTATATTTTTTCCTCTACACTTATTTCACAAATCAAGCAAATTACATTGGGAAAAAAATATCAATTGAAGTTTAGAATATTTATGTGTATAAAATAATCGAAGAAATTAAATATTTATTTCTTTATGAATAAAACAAACAAGTCTAGTCGAGAAAGTCGTTTATAACAGGATCGTTTTCAATCTCAATAACATTTCAGGACCTCCGGTGGAAGTTGGTGTCACAATGTATGTGCTCAGTATAAGTTCCGTGTCAGAAGTTCTCATGGTACATTAAAAACTGAAAGATTTTAGTTTTACTTTAATTCTTGTTTGAACAAACAAATATATATATATAATATATATGAAGAACTCAATATGTATATCTCATGTTTTATAATTTCATGAGTGTTATAACTTTATATTCGCAGTATGTCTATTCTTTTTTTTTCTAATCGTTTCAATAAATTCATACGCTAAATCTAAAATATTAATTGTACAGTTAACCATATATTGCAATATATGTCCGATAGGAGATTAATGGTACTAACCACAGCAATTCAGCTTATTCTTTGTACTTCTAATCAGTCAGTTTGCGATTTATTTTTCTATTTATGTTATGCTGTCGTGTAAGCAGAGTGAAGCAAAAAACTAATTAATAATTTATGTCTAAACCAAGTCGTACAAAATTAAATTAAAAATAATTCGATTGATACTTAGTTTGCTATATTCTTCATTTAATTTTTTTATTCCATTATAGACATTTCTAAAAAACCCTGAGATCATGTACTAGTGTTGAATGTTTTTTGTTTTGTCGTTTTTCTTTTTCCCCCTCCTAAATATTTCCATGTTATTATTTATGTTTTCTGTGTATTAACTGAAAATTTCCGCTTAATTTATTTGATTCATTTTATCAACTCGAAGTCAGCTTTAAGCCTCCTTCCTTTGTCTATCTTTCACCACTTCTAAATCACTGAATATAGTATACTGTAAGACGCTTATGGCCGTTAATTGTCCCGCTCAAACTTGCTGAATTGTAAAATTTCACTGTAAATCATTTTTGATGAACAAAAAAACTGTTGCTTTTGAAGATTTAGATTTTCTTCTTCATTTTTGTTTCTGTTTCTTGAAGGTTTCAGTTATTTACATAATTGAGGTTGTTATCTTAAATACTTATGTATATGAATTTTAAATTCCTTCGGAAGAAGGTGTTGGATTTAAGCAATAAAAATTTAATCTCTTCTTTTTTTTGTAAAATTATTTAGGCATCTGAGTTGAGTTGATAATTATTTATTTAAATGAGCATTTTGTCAGAAATTAACACTTTATGGTTAAGCCTGATGAGATTTATCATGACATACTTTTATACCTACTTATTATATTGTATCTTCCATGAAAAGATCATGAGGAGAGAAGCTCGTAGTATGTCTGCGTACGCACATATAAAACATTTCATGGAAAATGTAATCAAAGTACAATAACGATTGCAATTATCTCAAGTTTTGTGTTTGAGAACGAACATTTTTCAAAAAGAAAAATTGCTACAAAAGAAAACAAGCAAAGACTTGATTTAGAATGTTGTTTTGGAGAATAATTTTATTGTAAAGAAAACAATGGAAAACTTTTTTTGATAGTGGAAACCAAATCAAAAACAAGAAACTTATGATTATTGAGAACAACTTTTTTTTTATTCAAAACGTCACCATTGACGTGACCCATTGCCGATTGCATAGTGTAATTTTTCCATTTAAACATTTTCTTACTGTTAATCTTTAATTAAGTGAGAAACATTTCAGAATTTTCTCTTTCTTTCTATATTTTCATTTGATGAGTTTCATACTCGTTTTCGTAAATAATTATAACATTTAAGTTTTTGTAAATATTTTTTTTCTTTTCATATTGTTTATAAAAATGAAAATTTTAAATAATTATACATTAAAATAAATCATTTTGCATTCATTTACTCACGAAAATTCGCTTGAAAAGTCTTTCGACTGAATGAAATTGAACATTTAATGGATGACAAGACATCATTCTACCCAACAACATGCTCAAGAATTTGTTCAACTATTAAAAGCATTTAATTTTCATTTATTCTTGCAGTTTTTTTTCTTTCTTTTTATTGATAGTTTTGATATTCCACTTAGTTAGTATGTAGAGATTGAAAGTCTCAAAAACCTCTTCATGTTCAAGCTGCTTGAAGACTTTGAAGCTTTCATTCGCTTTCAATAAAATGTCGTTAATATTATTTCGCTTTGATATTTCCTTTAGTATGCAATGATTATCAAAATATTCTCGACATTTAAGCTATCAAACGACATTCGTCAGGCAGTTGAAATGTCTTCTTTTCATTTAATAAAAATATAAAAAAAATTCTCTTATTTTTTTTTAAGTTCCTCCTAAATATTAAATGTTGCATGCTTTAGAAAGACAAAAAAAAATAATTTCCGTCATGTTAAGTTTATTTCTTTTGCACAATAGAAAGCACTGAAATTATTTTATATCAAAATGCGAGATAATTCTATGAAGATTATTTTTTCAAGAAGAAATTTGAATTTATTTTTAATTCAAGATGAAGTGACTTTAAGAACCTACTCGAATTCTCTTTACTTCATATGATTTATTCCAGAATGGCAAAATGGCATGATTGAGGTCATATTTACCTCCATGCTTAATTTGTATATTCCATAATGTATTTTACAATACAAACAGCACACGCTATATAATTAGAAAAGCAAAGAACAGGAGTAAAGATGAAAAACTCTTACATGAAATACTCACATTTTGAATAAAATTAAACGTGTACTTATATACTTAATGCAATGCTTCGTAATTAAAAAGTTTAATGTTATGCGTAATCACTTAAAAGATATTCAAGCATTACCATACACTTACTAACATTTTATTTCTTTTTCGACACAACAAGGACTTCACGCTGGATTTTTATTTTCGACAATTTTGGACGGATCCCCGATTAGCTTATAGAAAAAGGCCTGGAGTAGAGCAACTATCAGTAGGATCAGATTTTGTGAAGAGTATTTGGGTTCCAGATACATTCTTTGTAAATGAAAAACAGTCATATTTTCACATAGCAACAACCAGCAATGAGTTCATTAGAGTACATCATTCTGGTTCAATCACTAGAAGTATGCGGTAAGGATCTGTAGTGTTGCTGTCATTCTTCATGGTTTACATATCTAAACAAAAAGCTGATAAAAAGCTGACAAATAAAATAAATTTTAATTATCAATCTCCATAATTTCTTTCTCTTCGCAGATTAACAATTACAGCTTCGTGTCCTATGAATCTTCAATATTTTCCTATGGACCGACAATTGTGTCACATCGAAATCGAAAGCTGTGAGTAGTCTTTTAAGTATCCATTTTTCTCTTTTTTTGTGCTCTTTTTTCCCCATCTGCAATGAATTGCTACAAGATAAAAAAGAAACGAATGTAACGACATCATTGACTGAAATATATAGAGATGATATACATAGGAATATAAATACTGAAACCTCAGACCCAATTTTAACATCAAGGGTATTTTCCTTTGTACATAAATGTATAAACAAATGAACTGAGATACATTCTATGCTAAGCAAAAAAAAGCAATTTTTTTTGAGGTTTTTTTGGTAAAAGCAATTAAGCATTACTTCATGTGTTTCTTCTCGGTGAAATGCCAAATGGAGATGAATTTTCCATTTTGATGAAGCTCCGAGATAAAACATTTCAGCTGAAATGTTTAATTATTCCTTATATCTTTCTGTTCGTTTATCACAACCGCAAGTGACGCAAGTGCGCTATTTTTAAATGAACTATTTCCTCATATTTTGATATGTTAAATACGAACATATGAAAAACAAAATTCTTACTTACAAAGAGAAATAGTTCAGCTTTAAGTAGCACAACAGTGTCAACAGTAAATGTAATAACTTGACAAAAGTATGATTTTATATATAAATGATAATTTTTAAAGCTGAATGTTGATACTTGTTTACATATTAAACAACTTCTACAACAATCAAAAGTATCCACAGAAGACGGGATAAGCTTTTTGTTTTTTAACTTAGCTGCAGTTATCACTTCAGTGAACATACTTCAATTGCAACTATTGAATCAATTTCAAGAAGAAAAACAAAGACGTCACAAAATAGTGCAATTCATGTTTAAAGCTTAAGTTTTCTCTGAAAGCTCTTTTAGTTCTATTTAATGTTTCCAACAAAAAAAAAGTTAAATAAAAAGAAATGCATACAACAAATAACAAAGAAATCGATATGATATCAAATGCATCATTTAGGGAAATCATGTGCAGGCATTGGCATTTAATGGAAATTGGTAAAACATGTGCTATATTTTCATAAACAAATAATTTCTCCTACAATGTTTATTAAAAAGAAGGAAAAACAACAGTTTTTCTTTTATTTTCTTCACTTTTCTTTCCTTTCACCGATTTCTGTGTTTATCGTTTTGTCAGTCACGCTATACTTGAAAGCATTAACCAGAGCTTCATAGATTTCTGATTTGCTTTCACAAACTCATACTATGTAAACTTTCATACAAAGGATTACAACAAAACAAACAAGCTTGATTAAATACTTCAAGGATTAAGTAGATATCTCAACTTTACAAAGAGAAATAAATATAGCACATTTTTCATCATTTCTTATTTATCTGCCGAAATGCATTGTATGTGTGTGTTTGTTGCAAATAAATCACCTTATAAACAGCAGACCTATTAGATGAATGAAAGCAACGAAACATGTTTTTCTGTTGATAAAAAAAGTGAAAACCAATGCGCAAAAATAATTAAACAGCCCCTGTTTGTTTATTTATTTTAATAAAACTATGATTTCGTAACATTGAAGTATCATTTTTGTTGGTTGATTTCGGGTCGCCTTCTCTAGTACAGCAACCGCAGAAGGTTGACTTTGTCTCAGTCTATGTCACCCATGAAGAAATTGTATATTTAAATGAATATATATTATTATTACATATAAAAAAAAAATAAAAAAATATCAAAAAAATAATAAAAATAACAACCGTACAGTTTGTTTGTTGGAAAGTGATTTACAATAAAATGAATAACACAAAAAACATAAAAAATAAAAGCAAAATAGCATTGAAACCAAGTTAAACATATATGTACTTATTAGAGATAAAATACCAACTCAGCAAAAAGCCATTTTCAATAATGATGATTAAGAAATATCATTTTAGGCACATAATTTCTGGGTGCAATTTTCCTTAGTCATTCTAATCGATGAGTCCTTCTTCATAAGTAAGAAGATATCTATAAATCAAAAAGTACACATTCTTTAGATGATTTAAACTTAACGACAGGAATATTTGTTTCATTCTTGGTTGAAATATTTTTTGTTTTTGTTTTTCTCAAGATAAAAAAAGAAATCTTTTTCGCCCGAAATGATGAATATAAACTTTTTCTATATCGATTGGTAAAAAATAAAAGCTCGATTGGAAACTCACCATCTACATGTGAACCATTTTGTAAATTTTTGTTGCTGACAATAAAATTTGAATATCGACATATCAGTCAGTATAATCGATTATGATTTCCATTTAGATGAACCTTAAAAAAAATACTACCATAAGGAGAATGAATAAGTAATTTATGAGTAAATCATAGACAATTTATATCATAAATATGTATACACATCATTTGAGAAATCTTCCTTTCCTGTTCTTTCCTTTCACTCTTTTCCGTTATGTTTTAAGTTAAATCACCAGCATAAATATAAATATTATATACTTATATATATTTAAATATGAACACACCAAAAGCCTCATTTTTTAACAGTTTGTTGCCAATTCACAATGTGAAATGTTAAAAAGAAAAAACAAAGAAATTGCAATTTGACTTGAAAATATTGAAAATAGCACCAGAATGTTTTTTCGCTTTATTTTGCTAAATTATCAATTCAGTTTTACCCTTTTGTTCTATTCCGTTTCGCTTTACTTTATGAATGTAAATTACTTAGCTTATTTTCTGTGCTGCTGATTTTAAGGAAGCCAAAATATAAAAAGGAAGCAAGAAATTGAATGATAATTTTTAGTGCTTGTTTTATGCTTTTTATTTTCATAAAGATTCTTCCTTTAAATATGTGAAGCATCAATCATATCTAAGGAGATATCTACATGAGTTATCAATTGTTAACTCATGAAAACTTCTAATGATTCACTGCCGAAAGATATTTGGCTTTCACTTTAACTTTGGAAATGAATGCTTACGTGATCACCTACAGCTCTAATTTCCCTATAGACCCTTTGATTTATAGTTCAATGTCTTGCTTGTTGTAGATACAGTGGACTTTCTTTATAAGAATTCTCCTTATAAGTAAAAAGCTCTTTATAACCACACACTCATATTAAGAAGTAATATTCAAAAAAGTTCTTGATAGGAAGAAGCTCGTTATAGGTGACTCCCTTCAAAATTCTTATAAAGAAAGTTCACTGTACATTTTATTTGAAAATTTATTAAAGCTTTAGTTTTTATAACAGCAAAAAAATTAAAACTTTAAGGAAGAAAATAAATCTAGTTTACACATAAATTCTGCTTGGTTTAAAATAGATTTTGCATGTTTTGGGTGACATTGATGATTAAATTTTCTTTTGAAAATTTCAATCTTTGATTTTTTATTTATTTCTATTTATTATTTCGTTTTCTACGTTATAAACATTTATAGTTTCCTTTTTTATATAAGAATAAATTTAATTCTTTATTTTCCAGTGATGAAAATTTTAGTCTTGAAATATCTTTTTTATGAAACATATTAAAATATCAAACAGGAGCGCTTTAATTAAACATATGAATATATTTTGTATACGTTGGAAATGTTTAAAACTTACAATTTTAAAGTAAAGGTTTTAATTATTTCATGTTAAAAATTCTTTAATGTTATCTTCTAACAAAGTTACAAGAATAATTGAATTTTGTACAACCAAAAGCGAATTTTTATTAATATTTAATTTCATGCATTACTTCAGACATTTCAATCAATTGCCTGTTTTATTAAAATCGAGATGCATGATAACATTAAGTTTTTCAAAGATTTGTATTTATCATAAAATGTTTAAGTTTTATTTTTTTCTTCTGATATTTTTATATTGATTGAACATTTTTGTCCATTACTTGATGAATTTATCTTTTTAAATCGGTTTCCAAGTAATAAATTTTAATCGACATCAGGACAAAAACAATTTTATAAAACTTTAGCATGTTTCATGAATAAATAAGAAGTTTTGTTTTAGTGGAAAATTTTATTTTTCGTTGAATAATAAATTAACAAAATTCTTTCCTAGTGATAATTAATCTTAACATCTCTCATTATTTTATAGCGGTCTGAATAAAGTTTTTATTTTAATGACATTGATACTTATATAATTAACGTCACTGATAATAGGTGAACAAGTAATTTATGCTTTTTTATTCTCCTAGAATCAATAATAAATTAATTAAATGGCAAACTATGTAGAATCAAACTTTGAAATATCTTGAAGATTTATTACAAGATAATTCAAAACTTACATCGCATCAAATATCACATCTTTTATATTTTTTTTCATAATCACATCAACTATGTATTTAAAACCTATAATGGATCAAAACTAATTTATTTTTGTAGCAAATTGTCAAATCCAGCAAATTGTGTTTCTTTTGATACAAACAACAAAATTTTTAACCAAACATAATATCTTTTTCTTTTTTCATCTTTCATCATGAACTCGAAAAAAATTCGTTACAAAAATTGTTCTATGTGCGAAAAAAAATTTAATAACAAATACTGAAAAACAAAAACAAAAATTAAACTTGTACTGTCTGTGTTCGAAAATCTTAAAAAAATATACATTTTAACTAAAAGTCGGCTATACGATGCGAGATATTCGATACTTCTGGAGAGATGGACTGAATAGTGTTGGAATGAGCAGCGAAGTAGAGCTTCCACAATTTAGAGTACTGGGACACAGGCAGAGGGCGACCGAAATTAACCTAACTACAGGTACCCAAAATTAAAACATACAAGAGCAAAAAAAAGCAAACCAACTCTTTTTTAATTTTCACAAATAGTCTTGTTGAGTTTATTAAACACAATATAAACAATTTATTATTTAACTTATCGTTGTAAATATTCTTGATTTTACTTTCAAGAGCTTTTAATTTTGATTCTTCATTTATGTTGATATCTACTCTTTTACATAGATTCAAAACTAAAAGATGTATTTATATCAACAACATGAAAAATATATGAAAATAGGTGAAACAAAAATTTTAACAAAATCACCGGAAACCCTGAAAATATTTTTTATATGACAAAATAATCAAAAATAATTTCTTATAATTTATTTTTTAATTTCTCACTTCTGAAGCAAAATCGAGAAGTAAAAAATATTCATTTCGGCTAAATCTGAGGAATGTTTCATTCAAAATATTACTTAATGAAATTCTTTATAATAAATATGCGGACAGAATTTAACTAAAACGATAAAAAATGGGGTCTATATGAAGAACAAATAATTAATGCGAAAGAAATGAAATTTTATTTGTCTTGTTTGTTGTGTGCAATGATCGACGAATTATTTTTGTGTATGTATTTTCGAAGGAAAAAATCATGCGGAAAAACTAAGAAAAATGAAAACCTCAAAACGTTCAAGTTTAAAAACAAGAAAGAAAAACCTCTGTTCTCTAAATGTTTCATGATCTACGCTTCAAGTGTTCAGAATGACATAAGAAGTTTCTAAACAATAATATGTAATGATTTAATATGATTAAACAAAAAATATTCCTATTTATTCAAATCGTCTATTTTGTAAATTTAACATTTTTCATGACCAAAAAATTCTCGAATTTCGAATATTAAAGTCGGATATACAATGAGAGATATCCGCTATAAATGGAATGAGGGTCCTAATTCCGTTGGAGTATCGAGTGAAGTATCTCTACCGCAATTTAAGGTATTGGGACATCGTCAACGAGCTATGGAAATCAGTCTCACAACAGGTAGATCACAGTCTGTAGACCGGACTTCCGCATAATTTCTTTTCTTTAAGAACTTCTTAAGTTATTAACTTGAGTTATTATCACTCATCATATTGAATTTCCCTTTAATAGATTCTATTGAAATTATATAAACAGTTTCTCTCAATCAAAATTACAAGCAGTCATAATTAAGTTTGTCTTTATCTTTTTTCAATTTCTTTCTTACATTTAATTTCCAACTTTTATTAAGTAAGACAATCGGTTTCATTTCAAAATATTAGAATAAATTGAGACGATTTCATGTTCGCTTTTAAGATAGAGGCGTAACCAGAAACAAAACCAAATTTTTAATTGTATTTTCCCCTTTTTATTTCTCTTTTTTAATACCAATCCAAAAAAAGATACTTCAAAAGAATAGAAAGAAGAAAATTTAAAAGTTTTTCACTCAATAAATTTATGTTATATTTTCCAAGATTATATCGATGTCTTTAGTCGCAATTGTTACAGTTAAATAATTTCATCTACATTCTCCGTTGGGAGGCTCTTATGGGGAGATTAAAACAAAAGAATAAAAATTTATTGAAACGAGAAGAGAATTGGACAAAAAGGATAGAAATTGGCAACATCTCGTATAATATTTAATTAAAATTTGTTAGATATTAATACACAATTGCTTTCACCTTTTCATTGTTTATGTTTCATTTTTTATATAAATCAGACATTATAAACAGGTTATGTGATCTCTCCACAATGAAAACCAAAAGAGAAAGCATATTAATTTAGTAGTTAGAAAAACTAATTATTTTTATACCAAAAAAATTAAAGAAAGTCCTTAAAAGTTACGAAAGGAAGAATGATTGAAAAATATCTCAATTCTCTTGAAAGCACTAGTAAATATCATCGGCTTAGTTATGACATTGATCACATTTCCATAATAACTCAGTTCGTCGTCACAGAATTTTTATTGCTCTGCATTTGTATTGTTGGTTTGAGACTGATATTTCACAGTTTTCCCAAACCGTTAAAACGAGATCTCTCAAAGAACACTGAGAGATCGTGCAACCACTATCAATGAGTGTTTGTGTATGTGTTTTATATTTAGTTCTGATCCTACATCAAATAAATTTTCATTTCTAGCCCATTCATTCAGATTCTCCATGCAGATAGTTTGCTTCTTAATTAATCTGCAGTTTTTTTCCGTTACATTGTTTCATTATTTCGAAAGCCTCCTTTCTTTTTTGGTGTCAAACATAAAATTTGTAAAACTCAAGCGACGGACTAACAATGAAAATATATTTGATTTTGGATCGAGCTTTATGTACAGTTCTGTGGTGATATTTTAATCCAACTTTTTTTTCTCTCTCTTCTTCTAAAAGCAGAGCAGAGATAAGATAAATGTTTGAATAAATACTTATGAATTAAATGACTGACTCCACCGTGACCATATTCCAATCAAAGACGAAGAAAAGATATAAAAAAGAGTCGTTTAATTAAACCTGTTTATATATTTTACAATTTTTTTCAGCAAAATCGAAAATATATAAAAGTATTTATGTATGAATTTAGTTTTGGAACAGAAGTTTTAAATATTTTATACATATAGATAAATATCCTACCTACTAGTGTCTGAATAGAGTTAGAAAGGTTGCTTCTAATTTATTAAATAAAATATTGAATTTTTAGCTTCAAACAATATGCTATGTTATCAAATTTATATTTTAATAATCAAAATGAACCTTTTTATGATATTAATTTTGTCTTGATTTTCTTGCATTTTGACCTTCAGAATGATTCGCTTGTTCTAATACTTAAGCTTGTTTATTGATAGTCAGTTTTATTTAGTTCAATTCAGTTTGTTTGATGAATTTTTAGGTCGAAATAATCATTATATCACCCTTAATCACCCTAAATGATCTTTCAAAAAAATATAAAATCAACTTTGTTCAATAATAATCTCCAATAATGGGAAACATAATTTGATTCATAATAAATATATTAAAAAAGCATATTTTGTAACGGATCATTTTTCGTCTACAAACAATTCAGTTTAGACAGAATATTTATATTGATCGATTTCAAGTTAGCATAACGAAAAACTTTGCAAAACCTCTAACCGAGAAGAGAATTTGCCAAACATCATGAAATTGATGATTTCGTTTTTCTTCATTTTTCATCTTCCTAAATAAATCATTACATTCTTTCAGAATCGGTGCTCAAGCTTCCTTGTATCTACTAACAGAAGATTCTCTTTTTACAATGGAAACTTTTTTTCGATATTTTTTTCTTTCCTTTCTTTGTAATAAAATAAAAAAATTGTGTCTAAAAATAGAAAGATAAAGAATTGCTCAAGTTATTTAGTTTTCATCACTCTTGAAATTGTTTATAAGAAATGATCTCGTCTCGTAAATGGAATATTAATCACGTCTTCCATATGACGATGATAGAAACCTATAACAAAAAGCTTTTAGTTTCAGCACTCCCACACTCTGGTCCCAGAAATTCTGTCACTTTCAATCATTACTCAGAAGAAAAGCAAACGTTACATGTGTGTGGGACTATAAAAGAAATTCTCATATCGCTTAAGTAAATTCTTATACGCGTGAAAACATTTATTAGATGAAAGAATATAAAGTGATATTAAACTACCTCAAGTTCAACGTGCTTCTAATCGAATTTTGGTGATTTAATGTAATGAAATAATTTGGTAAACTCATTGCCGTTTGAGTGATTTCCTGAAAGAAATGGTTTCACGCGGGATCATTTAATATAATCATTGTAACTGTCGCTTCCTTTAATATTCGTGTGAATAGTTAACTTAACATTCTTGGAGGCTACCAAAACTAATTTTGGCTTTTGAAACGTCTACTTTTGCCTTCAAGAATTTCTCACATTAAAATTATATTTAATAGAAGTTATTAACTTTTCAAACGCTTGTCAGACAAATATTTCTATGATAGAATATGAAAAATGAAGGCCTTAAACCAAAAAACGTTTTCTCAAATACATCGCTACATTGTTTCACATGAAATTTACTTCAAAGTAAATCGTTATAAAAGTATGCAATAAATCGAAAGTTGATTTTAAATGAATTGTCAGACAGTATTAAAGAAAAGCAGCAACGTAGTTTAAATATAAAATCTACAACACAAACAAGAGCATTAATTACCCCAAAATGTACAATCAATGGTTTCTTCATGACTCGCTACAATTAATTTCGAAATATTTTACGCTAGTCATGCTAGGTATTTTATTGCAGACATTGTGAAAATCCCTTGACTTCGTATTCTTTCTCCTGACTGACTGATTCATTGAAATATCAGCAGGTTGAGTTATGCATGAAGTCTCAGCTAGTCTTAAGTAACCAGCAATTTGGCAAAAATTACTTCCTTAAAATTATTTTGATTGATGATACTTTAAGCGCTATTTGATATTTCTTTTTCTCTTTTCCCTTCATTTTTTGCTTTAATAAATATGCCACCACCTCGGTGTCTATACAAGAGTGCTAAAAGCCAATGTCAAACGTTTTATTTTCTTTCTTTCTTTCTTTCTTAATTTCATTGCGATGCCCGGAAATTTATTAGTTCCCCCAACTGTTTCAGCCAAATATCAATTTTCTTGAGTGATTAAAAAAGTTTTTTCTCGTGCGACCCTCGTTTACCACCCCATGCTTTGATAAAAATAAAACAAAATGTTCAATGATTTCAATATGACCCAAAGAAGGAACAAAAAAAAGTTATCGGAATTTTCAAACGAAGCATCAACAGATTTTCTTTTTATTTTTCTGGGAAAATTCTTTCAATAACAATGCTTATTTAAAGCCTGATTTAAATTATAAAACGCCATTTTCGAAGAATTTTGGATTTACATATTTACGTTATATTTCAACTTAGGGGTGGAATAAAGGTAAATATTTTCTTTTATCGTGTTCACGTGATATAAAAATTTAAATTTCATAAAAGCCCAACTCTTCAAGGTTTGAAAAATTATTCAGAATAAGTATAAAATGTAATGAGCATTGCATGAACTGACGAAGAACTTCAATGTAAGATGAAAATCTGAAAAACTTTCAGAACTTAAGTTGGCTTATCTGAAGCAAATTCTGGAAAATTAAACATTTTAAAACTGTCAAATCCGAAATCTTTCTGCAAAATTTATGAATCATCATTCAACTTCAATTGTGTCAATATTTGAAAAGCAGGGAAAGTGAAATGCATAACTACTTAGAGTACTTCATTCTTCATTTATTGAAGAAAATTGATTTATCGATATGAAAGAAATTATTGCTGATAGCAACGCAATCAATCTGTATTGAAAAATGTAGAAGATATTTCTGGCACATTCGTGAATGTGACTGTCATTTGCATAAATATCTAGATAATACATTTAACAGAAACGAAGAAAACATGCTACTCAAATAAAGGAGATAACATTGGAAACTTCTAGACTTTCTACATAAATTCCATGTAGATATTCTATAAATAACCATTATCTGTTAGTTCTATGCATCACATAACCATCCTTCTTGTATATATTTAAGACTTAATATAATATGTTTGATAGATTTCCTACTATTTTCACTTATTTATGAATATATTTTCAAATGCTTTGATCAATATTTAGTTCGTTCTTAGTCTTTAATAGGGAAATAAATTGCATCAACTAATTTCTTAAACATATTATTTAAATAACAATGTAATGGAATGAAAACAAATTATTTAGTTGCTTTAATAATCATGTCTTTTGTTTGAGTGAACAAAAGTTTTTTATCTCACATTTTTTAATAATATTTTTAATATTTATATTCATCGATATGAAAGTATCCAAAAACATTTATTTCGTTAGTCTTTTAGTTTTAATAATTTTTGTTTTTAATTTTCTAAAATTATTTTTATATGCAAATGAATTAAAATAAAAATAAGTTATCAAATTGCAATTATAAAACATAAATATTTTATTTCGATTTTTTTTCTTTTCTCTTTTTTCTCTTCCCAAATCTGCAAAAAAAAAATCTTTGAAAAATCATCAACAACGTTGTCAAAACATTAAAAATATTTTCTTGTACACAAATAGGAAATTATTCACGTTTAGCTTGTGAAATCCAGTTTGTTAGATCAATGGGTTATTATTTAATTCAAATTTATATTCCATCTGGATTAATTGTAATCATATCGTGGGTATCGTTTTGGCTCAATCGAAATGCAACGCCGGCTCGAGTGGCTCTCGGTGTAACAACTGTATTGACTATGACAACACTCATGTCGTCCACAAATGCTGCCTTGCCCAAAATATCATACGTTAAATCGATTGACGTATATTTGGGCACATGTTTCGTCATGGTGTTTGCCAGTTTGCTCGGTAAATATTGTGATCAAAATCACAAACTTTTTTATATCATTTACAATCGTATAAATGTTCCTTTTTTTTGTTTCGAGCTAATAATCTGTAAAAATTAAACCCGCATACATTTTAAGTTCTCGAAACATATTGATTTTCCTTCCCATATATGATTTGATCTGACCAATCAAGAAAGCAATGAATTTCCTAAGGGTTTTCCTTTTTTTTGTATTTGTTATTTCTTTTTCATAAATTCATCCATAGCTTTTAATGTAACGTCATTGTATGAGAAACTTACCAAGTTTTTCTTCTTATCTTCTCTCCTTTTTTCCATCTTTTTCATGTTTTCTTCTGCTTTTCTTATTTCCTACGTTTTCAATACTTGCTACATTACATAACAACCATCATCATCATGAACATCAACATCACCATCATCTCCTTTATCATCGCCATCGGCTTCATCAAATATCCCTTGAAAATGATTAATTACTCAACTATTTGAACCGCGGAACGAAAATGAAAATGAAAAAAATTTACAAAATTAACGAAATTCCGCACCACATCAACAGAATATGCCACGGTCGGTTACATGGCCAAGCGAATACAAATGAGAAAACAACGCTTTATGGCTATCCAAAAAATAGCTGAGCAGAAAAAAATCCAAGTGGATAATGCCCAACAGAATAATCCACAAAGCGGAGGTGGAAGTACTGTTGGTGTGGGTGGACCGCCAAGTGAACACGGACATTCACATGGTCATGGCCACTCTCATCAACATCCCCATGTCCCAAAGCAACAGCAAATGGGAATGGGAACAATGGGAAATCGAGGACCACCCGGTATGTCTCTCCAAGGTAATGTTGTAGGCTCAAGAGGATGTTCTATAGTTGGCCCCTTATTTCAAGAAGTTCGTTTCAAAGTGCACGATCCAAAAGCACATTCAAAAGGAGGAACGCTTGAGAACACAATCAATGGTGGTCGGGGCAATCAACAGCAACCACCTCAACGTGAAGGAGGTGGCGGAGGCGATGAAGAATCGGGAGGCGGCCCTCCACAACATCTCATACATCCAGGAAAAGTAAGCTTACTGCTAAATAATAATTATTCAATAAATTATTTATTGAAAGCTCCGAAGTGTGCTCTAAACTGTTTAAATTTTTAAATCTTAATAAGTTAGTGTATGATGTTGTTGTATGATGCTCATGAAATAATTTCACTTTTCCTTTTCTTTAATCTTCTTCGACAGAATATCAACACACTACTGGGTATAACTCCTTCCGATATCGATAAATATTCACGTATTGTGTTCCCCGTTTGTTTTGTATGTTTCAATTTAATGTATTGGATAATTTATTTACATGTAAGTGATGTTGTAGCCGATGATTTAGTTTTACTCGGCGAAGATAAGTAGGAAAACTTAGGACCCATATCAATAAATCACACTATACCCGAATATACAAATTTATTATGGAATATTATTAAAATATTTATGATTATGATTCCATTCGTACACGTTTTTGTAAAGCGTAAAGAACATTTTTCTTTATTATTACTCCCCATTCCATTCATTTACACAATCTAGAAGATGAAAAAAATCTCTAAAATGAAGTAAAATAATATCTTAAGTTTTAACGCCTGCCTTTTAACGACTTAAATAAAGAGAAAAAAGCAACAAAAATGATGAAGTAAAACCAAAAAAAAACGAGAAGTTATGATATAGAGCTGAAAAATAAATAAGATAAAAGAAATTTGATTGATATTATTACGACACTCACTCATCACACAATTTAATGCTAAAAAGAATTTCTCACTTTTCTTTCTTGTTTTTTTTTTCTTCATTTCAATTTGTTTTATAAAATATCATAGTGAAAATGACGGAAGAAATTTAAGACGAATTATTGAAGAATCATAAACAGCACATTTAAATTGAAATATCAAACTGACGATGCAAGAAAAAAATTAAAAATATAAACTAATTAGCCCTTTGAAAATGACGACGATGTGAGAAGAAGCGCAGTTTCAATTATGCCATATAAATAGGAAAATCTTGTTATAGAAACTAATTACGATCGTTATGAGACTATAATCTAATAATCTATACCACTCACTCTCACTTTTTTATGGCTCTATCTCTCTCTCTCTCTTTCTCACACACTCACACATGCCTCTTAAAATCTCAATTACATTTTCATAGAAGAATTCCCGTCTTTGTAGGTCATCCTTAAATCCCCTCCCCTTAGCCGTCATTTCATCTTCCTTCTCAATATATTTATTCAGATCTCTAAGTATCTCTAATTTCTTATTCTTTTCTTTACGTATCTTCATCCGAAGAAATCTTTATACATGCATCTAATACGAAATTTTTAGTATAGAACATTTGTTCGATCCATTTACGTAATTCATTTTAATTCTATTTCGATAATTACTTCATGCTTCCAAAAAGAAAACAACCTATTGCCAAATTACTAAAGTGAATATTTATTATAATTAAATAAGTCGGAAGTGAAGGCTCTAAGAGCATGCACATGATAAAAAGCGAACGTTAAAATTATTAAAGAAAAAATATCGTCTTATAGCTAGATGACTGTTGATCTTTTCGCATTCACGATGTCTTCTTTCTACACTGTTACTTATCTGTGAAAAGCTTTTTTGACGTCATCATCCTTAGTCACCCTATAAGATTTTTAATCTCGTTTGTTAAATTAAATTCTTTAGAAAATTATGTTATGAATATTCGAAGATTTATTTTAAACTTTGTTATTAATAACTCGCTTCGAAGCGTTTCAGCATCAACGACATTAACGTATGATGATGGGCTGGTGAGAAGATAAAAAAAAAATCAATTTTCATGTCCCTGTCGGTAAATATTTAGAGCTATTATTGATTCCCTTTCCATGCACACAAGAAAACAGCTTGCAAAGCTAAAAATGTGATGAATGGTTTATTTTATGAAAGCGATAAAAGAAGCCATATTTGATATGATGATAATTAGTTTGTGTAGCAAGCCGCGCACCTTTTTCACCCCAAACCATTCACCGACCTATTTCAGTAATGAAAAATATTGTTTTAAATACTTTATAATATTTACAACATTCTCTCGTACTTCAACTTCTCTAGGCTTTACTTTGATCATCCTAATAAAGCCCGTCTTTTTTCAACATATTAATCCTGCCATCACTGTTCCTTTTCAATCTCTACCGATTGTGAAAGTAAGAAAAAATTATATAATATAAAGGACAAAAGTGAAACATATTGAGTCAAAAGAAAAAATAATAATAAATCATTAATTGATGGCACAGTTTGCACAAGCACGATATCCTACTTATTAACAAGGAAAAATAATAACAATAAAGAAAAAAAGGAAAATTGAAAGAAATTTCGTCACCGTTTAATTTCCCCGCAAAAAATCACATAAATGTAGCGCGCAGCCCTCAAACGATAAGCTCTAAAGATTCGACCAGTTCTTGTCGTTTTTCACTTGAAAACACGAATAAGAACCAAAAAAAAAATGAATCGTTGCTCTTCTTCTGTTCAATTATGGCTGTCTTTTTACATCAAATACATTTAAAAAACGAAGAAGAAATGAAAATTCCTTTGATATGTTTGAACAAGAAAAAAATGAAAATATATACAAAGCATGTGATAGACAAAAAAAAATATTGAAGAAATAAAATTAATAAGAAAATAATTTAAAAGACACTAACGTAAAGCATGTAGTCGCCAGTGAATTTTAAATGAGAAACTACTAGGTAAAACAAGAGGTTATTAAAAATAAATAAATGAGAAAATTCTAAAAATAAAAGTAAAAAGGAAAAGTTTTAAAACAAAATATAAAGTTCATTATCATTAATTAGTCATATTTTATGGTGGTATTCTTTAAATCATCATTATTAGGATCATCATTATCATCATGATCATAATCATCATTAACATTATCATGAAACTGAACACGTCACACGAAGAAAAACATTAAAATAATCACGAAATCGACATTTTTTTCTATTTATAAAACTCGGGGTGTTGATATAAAAATGGGTCTCAGTGAGATGAAGACAAAAAAAAATATAAATTTAAGAAGAAAAAATTATAAACAAAATTGTAAGATTCAGTTGAACCAAAAAGATGAAAAAAAAAAGCAAACAAGTTGTTGAATTGTCGTGTTTTATATTAATCAGAAAAGAAAAGAGCAAAGGATTCATTGTTTGATTATCCTTTATAAATTTGTGCACAAAAGTTTTTATCCTTGAGTTTGCTAGATGAATCATTTCTACTAAATATAGAAAATAAAAAGAAAACTCGAAGAAAAAAAATTAAAAAATGCGAAAACAGATTGAAGCAGGTGCAAGAGATCAAATTAATTAATGCAAAAAAATCATAATGAGTATATGACGAATGAATTAATTATGCAAATATTTTGTAAATAAGCAATTAATTTTATCTTAGAAAAAAAAATCGAATAAAATAATTAAAGTGAGGAAAAAAATCGAATCTTGAGCACAATTTATGGAAAAAAAATGTTGAAAGATTTGTGTGATTATTATGAGTTGACTTTAAGTTTGGAATCTAAGATAAATTATGTTCGTTGCTAAATCTTCCAAAAGAAATGAGACAAAAACATTAAGGAAAAAAAAGAATTAAAATTGATGCAATAAGAAGCATTTCAAGCAGGTAGCTTTTTTGGCACGTCTTCTTCAAAACAATACATTAAAATTGTAGCGCAAATTGAGTAAGAAAAAAAATGTATAACTAATGTATAGGCGAAAAGTCGATTAAAGAAATCTTTACGCACCCACTTACACACCAGGAATTTCATGAAAATGTTACAAAATTTTCTAATTTCATGTCGATTGTAAAAAGGAGACAATTTTGTTGTTATTTTTGAGATAGTTTCGACCATTAATGCGCGACTCATAAAAAGATTTTGTTTTCGACCTTTTAAACGACTCGAACATGTTTTCCATTCTAAATGGTCCATTCTCATCCTACATAAATATACAAAAATTATGATACAAATAGGTTGACTCTTTTCATACAACTAGTGATTCAATTTAAAAATAAAAAAATGAAGAGAGGGATGAACAAAGTTCCATTAAAGCCTTTTCCTTAGCCATCATAATTCTTATGCAAGAAATAAGAATATTCAAATACAACAAATCCGTAAGACACTCGAAACACATTTTTCCGAAAATAGAAGAAAACTGACTGCATAATTAATAGTTTGAGGACAGTTTAAAATGGAATGAAAGTCGTAAAGAAATAAAAGATAAAAATCTAGGAATAAAGAAGTGCATAATTTAATTTAGGATTATTATTATTATGTAAACTCAAGAAGAAAAACCAAAAAAAAAGAAAATATAATCCTTTAAAAGAAAACTCAATAAAGTTTTGAGGTGAAAAATTCGAAACATTATTTAAAACAAAAAATTGTGTTTGATTTTTTTAGTCGCTTCTAGCATTTCAGTTTATTCTCTTAATTTCTTTGTTTCATTTATAAACTTTTGTTAATACCTCACTGCGTTTATGTATGTGAATATTTGATCCCCACATTGAAATGATTGTGAAAACTTTTCTTAGGCTCCGTTAAAATTGAGAAACTTTTCCACTTTTTCTTTCATCTACTTCAGTCGTCTGTTAACTTCACTTTTTCGTTTTACTTTTTGATAAATTTCTCGGTAAATGAAAAGAATTTTCGTCAACATCTTGCATTACCCTAAGTCCTTACTTTTAATACATTCTTCTCATTTCTTCCAACTCTAATCACGTAAGTTTTGTTGTTTTTCAGTGAAAACGATATTCATTTGAAATAAAAAGTTCCTTCATTCTAAAAATAATAAAAACGTAATTTCGAATGTGATTATCAAAGTTTTGATTAATTTTTAAATTAGAAAGTGAACAAGAAAATCCTCAGTTTCAAGAATCTCTGCAAGGATGCCCATTTAATATCTGGTAAGTCTTGATAATCTCAATGACATTACAGCTTTTAATTATCTAAATTCAATCACATGTCCTAAAATCGTAGGCTACGATTAAACATAAATATCAGAAGCGTAACCATCTTGTGAGAAAATCAATAAATTCAGATATTTAGGCTCATCTCTTGCCCATTTTATTGCTTTTTCTTCATCACAACTCCCCCGCATAAACAGCGCAGCACCATTGATTTATGATTCGCAGATTCGAGTTTGTATTAGCCATTTTATCAATAAAAGAAAAACAGACGAGTAAAAGAAAAGTTGCGTATCTCAACGCTTTTCTTTTTTTTGGTTCTCCTAGCTTTGTTTGAACTTTTTATTAAATCTGAGTGAGATTTTTTTTTCCTTTCGTCTTAAAGCGATGATCCAATGATTTTTTCTTCATATTCACCCGCTGATTTAGATGTTGAGAATCATCTGACACATTGTTAATATAAAGTTGTGGAAAATGTCGACAGGAAGAAAAGAAGGAGAAGAATTTGTGCAGTTATGTTAAATGATTTTCAGTTCGAATAAATTCAATATGTATGAATAATTGAAAAATGGAATAAAGCTATCACTCAATGAACCCAGCAAATAAAATACCCTTGATGGCATTTTAAATAAAGGTTTTATGAAGCTATAAATCAATAAATTAAATAAAACTGACAAAACTTAAATAAATAATTGAAAATGAAGCTTCATAATCCTCAAATGTACTTACATATTATCAAAAGTATCTTCCATACGATCTTTATGAGAAATCGCTGTTGGTAGTCTCATCCTTAAACCCTTCATTTGCAATTCGAAGCAGTAAAAAGCATAATAAAACACAAGAGAATCTTACAGAATGATCACAACGACCTGGAATTGCAAAAAGTTACCAACAATCTTACAGCCCTTTTTATGTAAAGTTTGAAATGTTTTGCTTATTAAATCCTGAATAGGAATAATCTTATGAAATGAATAATTTTAGATTTACAACAATAGTATTTCGTTTTTGTTTAAAGTGAATTGAAATTTATGAACATAGAATGCTGGTAGGGGAATTAAAGAGAGCCACAGAAATCTACAGCTTACTCATCTACCGCACGCCAGAAATAATTAGCATCTTAGTAAAATGATTTCTCCAAGCAAGATTTCACACAGTGCGCAGTTAATTCTCCTGTCTTTCCGCTACCTATTTAGTAAGTTTAATTAAAAGGTTTCTTTTTTGTTAATTACGATCTCAAATTTCTATCCTCCGTATGATACGAAAGCTTTGCGTCACGCTGCGAATATTGAGCGGAAAATTTTCTAATAAAGAAATATTAATTATAAAGTATTTTCTGCAAAGGGCAACCGTCGAACTTTTATGGAAGAGAAGAAAATTAAGAAATTTCTTCGTTCAACAATGTACATTGAAAAATATTCTCTTTTTTTAACTTTTTATTTGATATAGCTACGTATTTGTAATGAATGGAGCGAAAGCATTCCTAAATATCCAAAGTTTTTATTGCGTAAAACGTAATGTACTTATAATTTGTTGTTCTTATGAGTTTCATGATTTCTGCGGTTTACACCGAACTTTTTAATGATTTAAACTAAAATTTTATATATTTTGGTTAATTGAAAAAAAAAACATTTAATTACATAACTAAAATGTAATAGAATTCGAAATTTATATTTCTCTGACAAATTGTGTGAATTATTAAAATATGAGAATAATCATAAACATAGCATCTAACTCGGGGCGATGATAAAATTGATAAGATGAGAAGAATTTTAAGGATCCGAAAATATCTAAGTGCCGTATTTCTTCATGCTTTATGTATGTATGTAAGTGAGCTTCTAAATTGAGGACTTGAAAGCCTCAAGAGCTTTTTATCCATAGTTCAATGAGAAAAGTTGGTGAGAAGTGTGAAGCTTTTGCATAAATAAAGACGATATTTTGGCAGTTAGGAAATGTATGCTCTCTTTAATGCCTCATGTATGGAAAAGTTTAAAGGAAATTCTCTCCTACCGTGATAACTTTTTATTTTTTTCTTTACAGGTGAACATCAACACGGCCAAGCCCTTAAACATAATGTTATCTTCTTTCTTATAAGAGTTGAGCTTTTCGACGGTGTATGAGGTTTAAAAAAATGTTAAGAAGTGTTAGTCTGCTGAATATGCGTGCTGAATATGTTTAAGGACGATTATTAACATTTATTTATTTATAATTGAGAAATAATAATTTCAAATTTTCTTTTAATTACAGTAGATTCAAATAATTTTCAACAGTGAGATGTTTTCCACACCTTAATTTAATTTCCGAGTTTCTAACCCCGCGTATTCAGCATAACATTCAATCGATTTTTTTTCTCTTCGTAAATTTTGGAAAATTTATTTTTCCTGCCTGATACTTAACTAAAATAAGCCAAAAATGTCATCAGCTGTTGAACCACTGACACTTTCTCGAGGTGAGCATAAAGTTATTAAATAATTCCATGTATTTCTATTGCAAAATATGAAATTAGTTATTTTTTTGTTCATTTCTATTTTTAACTTTTCACTTCACAACAGAAATTTTCTTTGAAACTCAAACTCGAACAATTAAAATGCATAAACATCCTTCTACTTTTTAGATATCGCTCGTGCGATTGAACTCCTAGATAAACTTCAAATGAGTGGTGAAGTTCCAGCAACAAAACTTGCGGCCCTTCAAAAAGTTTTGCAATCAGATTTTTTGAATGCTGTAAGAGAAGTTTATGAGCACGTTTATGAAACAGTTGACATACAAGGATCTCTTGACGTTCGTGCATCAGCCACTGCCAAAGCAACAGTTGCAAGTTTTGCAGCAAGTGAAGGACACGCACATCCCCGTGTTGTTGAACTTCCAAAGACAGAAGAAGGTTTAGGATTCAATGTCATGGGAGGAAAAGAACAAAACAGTCCAATTTATATATCTCGTATTATCCCTGGAGGCGTTGCAGATCGTCATGGTGGTCTTAAACGTGGTGATCAGTTACTATCTGTCAATGGTGTGTCTGTCGAAGGTGAAAATCACGAGAAAGCAGTTGAATTATTGAAACAAGCTATTGGATCTGTTAAACTTGTTGTACGTTACACACCGAAGGTACTCGAAGAAATGGAAAATCGGTTCCAAAAGCAAACAAATCGACGTCGACAATTTCAGTAAACAAAAATAAAATTTTGATTGTGCACTTCCTCATTATTGCAATTTATTACATAAATATCTAATTGTTAAGTGGCCATTTAAATTCTAGGAGAAAAAAGAAAGAAAACTAAATCAAAACAATTTTTTCTTATGTCAGATGAAAATATTTTCTTAATTTATTTGATTCATCGTTCTAAATAACTTTTTAATTAATTATGAAAATCAAATCCTTCGCTGTGCGTCGATTTTTATTTTTTTCTTTACATTTGATTTCGATTGACGCAATAATAAAAGAAAAATATTTAAAATTAATCAAAGAGGTTTAGTTTTCACCGTAAATAAGTCCTCGAACACCATTTTCCTCATAATCTTGACGTGTTATGCAAAGCTTATCGAATTCAGGGTCTTCAGCCATAAATTTGCCACCGTACCAAGCATAAGTTGCGGGATCTTCTGGAAGAGTGACATTGACTTTGAACCACTCAGGTGCCATACTTCTGATGTCTTTTAGCAGTCTTTTTTGCATTCCTGGAAACTTTGCACAACCTCCAATCACTACAATATTAGCATAAAGATGTGGACGTGTTTCTTCCGGACAGGCATTGATTGATTGAATTACTGCTTCAGATATTCCCATTTCATTAATTCCAATATCAGACGGATGAAATAACAATTCAGGTACAGAGAATCTTTCATTGCTAAGACGTAGAAATTGGTAGTCGTCGGACTTTTTCGCTGTTCCTGCAGTTTGTATGTAGCCTCGTTTAATTGTTGTGCAATCAGGAAGGACATATTCACAGACGATTGTATTTTCTGGATATTTTTTCTGAGCTATTCTCATATCAGCAAAAAAATCTTGTGACACGAAACAACTGTCTTCTTTCACTTGATTGATAACATAAGATTCGTCCATTACATTCAATTGTCGATAGGAAATAATTTCCTTAAAATGATTTGTTAAAAGTTTTCCTCCAACATCGATGCGACGAATTGCTGAGAGAACTTTTTCTCCTTTGACAAATGGAATGATGTGAGTAAAACTATAACCGGTATCGATCACAAGACAACAGAGAGGCTTTGAATCTTCTCTTGTGTTTGTATAATGGTACTGGCAGAGATCAGGAGCTGTCGTTTTAGCAAACACACTGCAATCATATTCTTCGAAGAAAATTTCAAGCATTGCCTCTTGTATGATAGGAAAATTAAAAACCGGCTCTGTTATTATCAATTTACTTTCATTGAAGTTTATAGAAATTTCTGAAGTGAAGATGTAGTCAAAAACATTTTTTTGTACTTCCCAGTTCGTTATGTAGCCTTTGGTGAAGCTTAAAATATAAAATAGTCCTGAAATATCTCGACACTCTTGTATTTGGTTTCCTATAAAAGGTCTTCGTTTCTCACTTTTTGCTTTCATAATGCAATTAGGAACAGTCCTGAAAGTATAACATTTTTTTAAAGCTACAAATAAAACCGGCAAAGTTACTTACAATGGTTCTTCATCACTAATATGTCCTATTTTAACGGTGTAAGCACCATTGTCTAAGCAAACAACGTTATCCATTCGGGATAAAATCAATGATGATCAAATAAATACTTTACTTCTTTTATCTCAACAAGTATTTAAATGAAATTTGTAAATTTGTTTACAATTTTATAAAATTCTCTCGAAAATGGAGGGGTAACATTCTCATGAAATATTGGAATATTCTGCATATACAGCAAGCCTGGAAGGATTTGAAATTTTAAATGCCGTTAATTTTAAATAATTTAATTATTTTTCTCCCTTCACATTCATAATCGTCGCAAAATTATTTTAATTAAATATACCTATATTTATATGATTTATTTGTAATGTTTATTTTAAATAATTTCAGCGTTAGATTGACAAAAGAATAACAATCGAAAAGAAACAGAATATTATTGCCAATGAGATGCAGAGATAATTGTTTGTATTTAGCAGTAAGTTAACTTAAATAATATATTTTATAATAAGTAAGAAGCAACATGAGTTACTATGACGAGATGAGACTTTATAGATCCTCGAAATTGAAGATCATTTTCTAATGTTCATAAGTAGATTCGATATCAATACAATGAATGCCATTTCTAGTCTACACATTATTTATCTTAAATCTTCTTTAACCATTAACAGAATACTCTTCGAATTTCTTTTCTATTTAGTTACTGAATAAACTTTTCGCTAAAATTAAATACCTTTCGCTTTAATCATATTTCTTTGTAGTTAATTTTAATGATTATGATCAGCGTGTCTCATCAATTTTTGTTTTACTCACATGAATTTAAAATATCTTTCATTATACTTATACGCTATTACAATACACTTTACCGTTTCACAATAAAATTTATTAATTTAGTATTTTAGAACTTGAAGCGCATAAAAGTTTGTTCCGCATAATTTGTTAGGTTTTTTCTTCAGTTATCCAATAAAATAGAACGGAATAAAAAAGAAAAGATATCGCTTGTCGAAGCTTTAAGTTTACACGGTTATCTAATAAAATACATTTCAACAATCATTAATTTTTCATGGTAGGTAATTAAAGAGCTTTCGAAACTTTCTAATATTGAAGTTTAAAATATTTATAAGAAAAACAAAATAACTTTTTGTAAAAAAAATCCTAATTAATTTCAATTAACGATATTCTTATCTTCATTATATTAATCTTAGCCATCCATAAAAGAGATCGAATGCTATGGTTAGACTTTTGCTATTCACTCGGAAAACATTTTCTTAATAGAAAGCTTTGGTGTATGTGGGTGTGTGTATGTGAAATGTGCATGTGACACATCATATGAATAACGTTTAAGTTGTGAGTAAATGAAAGCATTTCGCACAAAACTACAGCTATGCATTTGATTCTTTAAGATTTTGCAATCTGGCTAATTGTTGTGAGTCAAGTTCTTCAGGAATCGAAGCACGTCCACCCACAACTTGTTTCGGCATTTCCGCAGGTGAATCTTTCTTGTCTGACTTCGAATCCGATGAAGCATCTGCATTGATCTGTTCAACAGTTTGTGAAGCAAAAGCGTCTTCAAAATTAGCTTCAAAGTTGGCTTCGAAATTTGCATCAAATTGGTTTCCACCAAAGCCGTCATCTTCACATTGTTCTTTCAATTCCACTTGCTTTTCCTTTTCGTTTACTTCACTTTTGCTTGCTTTATAAGGCTTTTGATCCGCTTCGGGCAAATCATTTTCGCCACTGCCATTTTCTTCCATCGATTGCGAGGATTCAGGTTCGATATCATCGTTATCAAGGAATTTCTTTTCAGCGTCTTCCACCATGGGGGTGGCACAAGTTACTATAATTTGAGCTACACTTAAATTAGGTTGAGTTTCTTTTCGCGATTTACCTTGTCCAAAATTACTTCCCTCATCATCTTCGCCATTTTCCTTCATTGTTGAAGTTGATGTCAGAATGTTTGCAAAAATAAAAAGAAAAGTTTTGAGGAAGAGAATAATGAAAAATAAATATTAGTGAAGGTAAAATATTCGCAGAAATAAATTTAACACGCGACAAGCTTGACTTGAGTTTGAATTTAGCATGTGGCATGTAATAAGGAAAAAAAAGAGAGAGAAAAGGTTTGAAAATTCTAAATATTCATTGAAGTGCAGGGTGAACAACATCCAAATGGTGAACGAGGTGTTCTCACACTTTATATACAATTTTAATACCTCCTTGCTTTCACAAATTATATTAACTGAGAGCATGAAGAAGACAGAAAAGTTTGTTATGAATTAACATTCTTACGAATTGAAATGACTTGAAAAAAGTGACTTACCTGTTGGAGGTTCATATTGTTTATATTGCTTCTGTTGTGATTGCGACAAATCCATTTCAAATTTCTTCTCCATTGCTGCTTGTTGTTCGGGACTTGCTGTGATTTCATCTTGTGGTACTAAATGTGGTGGAACTGTTGGTGGCAAGCCGAAACCAGCTGGTGGCAGAGCATCGTCATCATCTTCATCATCTTCTTCTGGTTCAGTTAATGGTTCGCCATTTTCGTCGCATTCATCAACAACAAGAGATGGGAAATTTCCAATTTTACCATCCAACTCTCCTTCCCACCATCCATCATCAACTCCATGAGGTTCTTTTGTTATAAGTTTGATTATCTTTGAAATTAAAGAAATAATAAGAAAAATGTTTTGAAGGTATTAAAAGAATTTTCATCATCTCACTTGTCCTTCTTCAAATGTCAATTCATCTTCAGCAGTAGCATCATAATCATATAAAGCAACACAAAACAGTTGATCAGATTGCTTTTTAACTGGCGCTGATATAACAGAAACTTGATCAGGTGATTGTACCGAGTCTGGAAGAACTTCTTGATCTTCATTATCAACAGTGTAATCAACAGAAGAGAAAGAAATCTGTGCGACCATTTGCGTTTGTTGTTCATTTGATGGCACGTCACGTTCAACATCCAAATAATTGTGTGGAACGAAACCTTCTTCACCTCGATAATTACGTGCACGTAACCACCCGTCACCGTCACCTTCACCAACAACTTCCAATTGTTCACTTTCAACAATTGTTAACTCGTCAGGGTTTTGGGCCTTAAAGAAATTTTTTAAAATTATTTTTCTATTATTAATTAATTAATGAAAGTGACTTACAGTATAAGAATATAGAGCAGTACATTTGAAAGTTTGAATTGTGGAAGCAGTTGCATTAACTGGTGGTGGTTCTTGTGGAGGTTGACTAGACTCTTCTTCTTTTTCATTTCCCCAATCAACTTGTGTTGGGTCTGAAATAAAAATTGATTAATATCGTTCATGTTTCATGCCTCGTGTCTGTGATTTATAAATAAAAAACGACAAGACAAGACAATGAAGGAATATTCAATGACACTTACCTTCCCAAGTGGTTGCGAACGTTTCGATTTGTCGTTTTTCTTCTTCAATATCGTCATCTTCAAACTCACTTGATTCGTGAATGGATTCGCGATATTCATTACGCATTTCTTCAGCTGTTTTTGTGACAACAGCTTTTGGAACAGCTTTCGAGAAGCCGGCTTCATTATCGGGAGCATTGTCACTGTCATAAAATGAATCGGAACTTGGATTTTCGCCTTCCTTTGAAGCATCAGTGCCCATTGAAAGTGAACTGTTTGATCTTGGCATTTCTTGAACACTCAGAGTTTCAGCTTCTTGAATCCATTCCTCGACACTAATTCCGCCTTGTTTCAAACATTCTAATCGAGCTTCTGATTTAATTTTAATGATTTCTGATGCACGAATCTGTTCAATTAAATCTTCTATTTTCGTCTCCAAGTCGGGGCCATTTTGATCATTCGGATCATTTCTATGGCCAGCATCACGCAATGCTTGATATGACGCCAATCTTCTCGTATTTTCTCTGATGGCGTGACTTTCTCTTGCAACACGTGCTGCCCATCGTTTACCTTCTGAATTCAACAATTGTAAATTTGATTCATGTTCGGATGTTACTTTTCGCACTGGATCATTATCACAAGGTTCGAACTCGTATTGAATATGTTGCTTAAGCACGGGATAAAATAAATAGCAGCATTGCAAGTTATATTCGCGAGTGAGTTGATTTGCTTGATCACGAATCTTTGAGAATGAGTTTTGTGTCGCTGAACATGTCATCAATTCAGCTCGTCCAATAAGTGCTAAGAAATCAGCAACACGTTCGTAAACATAATTTTCCATGGTCGCCATTGTGGATTGCAAATCAGTTGTAAAGTAGCGATTTTGATGGGCATTCGCTGACGCAAGACTCAAAATGTAATCGTTTCGAGCACCAGTTGATTTTTCTTCCATTTGCTCTTTGCGTGATGTCACTCGTGCACTGTTCTTCTGCAATGATGTGATTGATTGAAAGAAGCTTCCCTTCTTCTTCTTCAACTTCTCTTCAATGTCACGTGCTTTGTCACGCACATCATGAGCACAATGTTCCTCGTCGAAATATGATTTCTTTGTTTTATCAACATCTTGAACTGTTGTTTGCACTTCATGTTGAATCTTTCCAAGATTCTCAACGCTCTTCTTGCTTATGGCGACCTTATAAGATCTCAGAATTTTTGCTTCATCAGCAATTTGCTGTTGAAAAATTTCAATTGCCGCCAATCGAGCTTTTGCCAACTTTTCATTCTCCTCCAAAACTGTCGTCCATACGCTCCACATATTCCTAAATATTTTTTTGTGTGTTACAAATAAATGAAACATGTTAATGAGTCAGTTTACATAAAGAAAAATCGATGAAGTTAACGCTTCAAGCTTTTGGGTGTACAAACTTCTTATGAATATTTTAAAGATTCAGAACTTTTAAAGTGTTCGACACATTAAGAGTGACTAAATTTATATTCAAAAGTTTTCAGAGTCATGTCTATAGTTTTGCAGTCTTATGAACAAATTGTAGAAACAAACTTGAAAAAGCTTCAATTTTATAACCAGATTTGAATGTTAATGAACTTTTGAAGCTTTTTTTTCTGGTAGGGTACACAACGATAACACTTAATGCGATGGAAAGTCTGACAAATTATTTATTGCGATGACAACATCATAGAATTTCTTTTACAAAATCACGTACCATTTTTCATCGGCTCCATCCATTTTGATTTCGGGTATATTTGGAGTCTTTTTATTCAAATAAGCCGAAGAAATTTTTAATAAAGCTTCGCTGTAAGATTTTTCGATGGCGGAACGTTTGATGACAAAAGTTCGAATATCCTCGAGTAAGTCACACTCATGTTGGTTCTTTAAATGTAATTTTGCTAATTGTTCAGTGTGAAGATTCTTCAAGAACTTTGTATAGTTCCCCTGAAATTGTAAATAATCAAAATTTAAAATTTCCACGATTTTTCTTATTCTTTTATTACTTTTCTTGGCTGTGCTTGCATTTTTGATGAGCTTTGATTGCGAAGATTTCAAAAACCAAAAAATCAATTTATTGAAAAATGATCGATTACGACTTGTGATTTGTTTCCACGACTTTAGCAACCCTTTTTGTTGATCATTAACTAACACATTACATTCTTCTATTGTTCTTGTTCATGATTAATTTTTAAACACTTTTCACGTTTCGTTTTTATGTCGACATAAGCAGTAAATGTTTTGTTTCCGCAAAATAAGCTAATTATGGATTTCTGTTTTTTAACCACCCACGCAAAACCTATAACAATAAACAAAATACTGTTTAGAGCCTTTAATTATGCAAATAATTGAAAATCACCGACAAACTTTCTTCCTTCTTCTTTCAGACAAATCATTTAATTTTGATTTATTTTTATCCACCTTGTTTTAATAAAACGATTATCTTTTTTCGAAATATCGATTGCTGCGAGATTTTCGTGCCTTTAAATGAAAAAAAGAATGAAAAACTTGCTCCAGAAACCTAGAGAGAAACTCATTCTGGAAAACTCTTGTTGGAAAATTTCTCGCAAAAAAATTGTAAACAATCAACGGCCGGTCAGATTGTTGTCATCAGTTTTCTTTCGTAATGGAAATATTTTCACGCCATGTTTATTATTAACACAAGCTGGAAGAAATTTTCCTCGTGGTCATTCTCGGAAAACAAATTCTTGGGAGATTTCTCTCCACTTTTGGATTACATTTAAGACTTGCGCACATACAAGTTCAATGAAAAATTTCATTCACATGGAGAAAATATTTTTGACACAATTTCAATCCTTTGATTTACTTTTATTCGTGATATTTTCACTGAACTTTCATTCTTTTCCAAATACTTGAAACTTTAAATCTAAGAAGGAAAAAAGTTTCCGCACAATTTTCACAAATCAAATGAAAATTTAATAAAGTTTACATCCGTCTCGAAGACACAAAAATTCACTTCTTATGTCAATGATAGCAATCTGGATTGTAAGTGAGAGCCTGGAAATACTGGAATCACTTTACGTAGCCTGCTAACAAGATTTACCAACGAACTTTACAAGATTAAGTCGAAAAAATTATTTTTGCTTATGTTCATCTTCGATGATTAACAAACTGAATGAAACATTGACACATATCGATAAATACTGAAAGAAACAAATTATCTTATCAAAATTATACAATTCACAAGTCTTTTTTTGTTTGGTATCAATAACCTTGCCTTTTTTAATTTGATAAACCCTGTAAAGCCAAGTAATAAATTATAGCTTAGATTTTTTTTCTTTTCGTTATCTTACGAATAAATTTTATTAATTTAAGTATTAGTAAGCGAGATAATAAAAGAAATAAAATGAATCACGATTTATGATGAATCACGAAATATAATGTTAAAAGCGTTTCAATGCGAGATAAGATATAAGTTTAAAGATAATCCTATTATGAAGTGGAATCAGACGAGTCTCGTGCTTCTAGAGCTGGATCAACCTGTTTTGTACTTTCCAGTTGTTCATAATCAATGACAGCTGACGCATCTTCGTCTTCCTCAATATGAGTTTCAATTTGTTTATTAACTTGATCAAATGAATCGGGATATTTGGCTTCAAGCTTTCCTTTCACAGTTCTTATCTTCTTAAATATATATTCGAGATCCTTTTTCATTTCAAGCAAAAGCTTGCAATTCTTTTTGTATTCATCGGTGACATTCTTCAATCGATTCTGACTCAGTGCATTACAATTAGCAAGCATTTCATTTGTCTTCTCAAAACGTTGAAGCCTTAAAAGAAGAATAAAAGGATTTAATATTTCTTGAAAGAAAAATTGTAAACAAACTAACATTTGCTTTTGAGATTTTATAATACAAGATATGTCACCCTGATTCACAACTCCTGCAAGCTGTTGCACAAATATCTCTGGCGCAGTGTAGTTTTGAAAACATTCAAAATCACTGTTGGTAGTGAAGCTTGTCGTACTTTGCTGCATTATTATTTTATTTATTGATGATTGCTTTTTCACTGCTTTAGAATTTTTTTCAATTTCTTTAGCATATTTATTAAAAAGATTTTATTTATTTTTAATTTGTCACAATGTCCGAGATCAGCTGCTTTGACTGAAAGAAAATCTTTAAAAAATTGCTTAAAATACATAATCATTTAGCAAATATCCCAAAAAACTTATTTTAAATGAAATATTCTTATTATTTATGTTTAATAATACATGACACTCTTTATTTTGGTTTCACGATAAAAATATTTTACTCACCAAACTGTAATAAATTTAAATTTTATCTTTTGCGCCTTACAGCGGGGCTTCATTCTGGGGGAATGGTTTAGAAGTTCATTTTTTCGCCACACTTAAAAAGCGCCAACAATTCACTTATTGAAAATTTACATACAATTATTTAAAATGCTAGTAAACTGCCCAATTTGCAGTGAAATTTTATTACCATCAGATGTGCTATACAGTACGCCGTGTGGACATATATTTCACGTGTCGTGTTTAAACCGCTGGTTAAGCAAGTACGAAAATTTTGATTTTCACTTTCTTTGTTTATTTTTTTACTCTTCGACCTAATTTTAAGTCTATCGTCGACACTTTTTTCTAAAATTTTACAATTGCAGTAATAACACCTGTCCACAATGTCGTCAAAGTGCAACACAAGTCACAGTTCATCGCATTTTTTTGCCAGAAGTGAATTTTCAGGATCAAGACAGTTTAATAGAGCGAATGAATGAAATAAATCGACAGAAAATTGAATATGAGAATAAATTAAAACGTATTGAACAAGAAAAAAAAATCTTAGAAACTGATTTGAAACGAAAGAAGAAAGAATATCAGCGAGTAGTGCAGCGTAGTAAAACATTATCTAAGAATGGTAATATAAATTTGTCTAATAATTTAAGTTAAATAATAATTGTGGTTTTTTCTCAGGTAATCGCAACATTCCATCCCGTCGATCAAAAACCACACCTGCAAGCACATCTTTAGGGTCACAGGCACACACGCAAGGAAGAAAATATCAAACAGATGCACCACCCCAACAAAAACGAAAAAGAAACAGATCAAGAATTCAACGTGCAAAACGATACTTTGTAAGAAAGCAGGCTTTACATCGAGAAAATAATCGTGGAAGAGTTGTTCATCATAATTTAAGAGACGTTATTGAGGAACGGGCTATGGAAGTTGAAACAGTTCCAGATTTATTTCCCCTACAGATTGAAACATTTTCAGAAGATTCACAGAGCAACTAAAAACAAATTTAAGGGAAAATCTCAACCAACATACATCAAATCTCTCGGAAAGCAACAAAAAAAAATAACCAAAATATAAATTTCTCGGGAACAGCCTTAATCATAAGCGTCTCGTGTGATGAACTTAATACTTAGTTGATGTTATTTTTTCAGAATTTTTTGATTTATTAAGTATTGAAATAAATTTAGTTGTAACGTATTTTAGTCCTGTTTTTAATTTTGAATTTTTTTCAAGAACTGACAGTCCCCTCTGAAAGAAAATTAGAAGTGTTTTGATTTCTATTTACTTTTAAAAATTACCAAATTTATTCAAAAATGTGTACTCTTAGGCCATTTGTGTGTAACGACATGTTTAAGTTCAATGGTGTGAATCTTGACCCATTAACAGAAACATACGGATTATCGTTTTACATGCAATATCTCGCACATTGGCCAGAATATTTTCAAGTTGCCGAATCTCCGAGTGGCGAAATTATGGGATACAGTAAAGATTATTGCAGATTGTTTTTAATATTTATTTTTAAATAATTTTTTTCTTTATAGTAATGGGAAAAGCTGAAGGCCATGGTGAATCTTGGCACGGACATGTAACAGCACTTTCTGTTTCTCCTGATTACAGAAGACTTGGTTTAGCTGCAACTTTAATGAAATTCTTTGAGGATGTTTCAGAAAAGAAACGGTGCTTCTTTGTAGATCTCTTTGTTCGAGTCAGTAACAAAATTGCCATCAATATGTATCATCAACTTGGCTATATTGTTTATCGAACTGTAATTGAATACTATTCAGGAGATGAGGATGCTTATGACATGAGAAAAGCGCTGAAAAGAGATGTGGATAAGAAGTCAATGATACCTCAAAAGCTACCAGTTTATCCTGAGGATATTGACTGATAAAAATACAAAAAATTGTCAAATAAAAATCTTTCAAGTATAAACTGAGTTAGTCGCCCTTTGGATGTTTTGTTTTTGAAAATATATTTTGATTGCAGAATCCAAGTTTCCTTCAAATTTTCAAAGTTATCGCGATAGAAAATACCATGGCAAGTGAAGAACATCGAAAACTTGCTTCAACTATCAAAAGTATTCACATGGAATTAAGAGATCTCACGAAAGAATTTGGAGCTGATGAAGCTTGGAAGCGGCACATAAATGATAAGAAAATTCGAACAATTTATGCTGAATCAATGCGTAAACTTGCAGAAATTCATTGGGTGCATAATCAACCATTAGATGATAGAATACAATGGACTATTAATTTCTGTGATTATTATTTTCAAAAGGATGAAATTAATCGTTGGAAAGAAAAAGATTTGAAGGTTTTACAGAAATTAAAAGATGAAGGATTTGTTAAAATATTAAATGAATTTAGTGACATTCAAATTGATTTTAAATTAGAGGTTTTGGATGTTGGTAGTTCGGGAAATTTCTTTAAACATGAGAGATTTAACGTGATTCCTATCGACATTTCACCATCCCACGACTCAGTTTATTATTGCGACTTTTTATCTGTTTCAATTGATCAAGAACTTCAATGCAATAGTAATTCAATTGAAACATTGCCAAGAGAATTCTTTCACGTTGTTATTTTCTGTCTTCTTCTTGAATACCTTCCAACATCACAACAAAGAATAAAATGTTGTGAAAAAGCTTTTAAAGCTTTAAAGACTGAAGGAATTCTTGTCATCATCACACCAGATTCAAATCACGAGATGAAAAACTCAAAACAGATCAAAAATTGGCGTTGGACGTTAGCTGTCATGGGATTTCAAAGAATAAAATTTGAAAAGCTTAAGAATTTAACTTGTATGGTGTTTCGTAAAAGTTTAAAACCTGAAATACCACTGAGATGGGCCAATAACAACAAAGAAGATTACATGGAATTCAAATTGGAGATTCCACAGGATAAATCGAAAGTGAAAGTTATTGCTGAAGACTGTAAGAATGAGAAACAAGAGTTTGATGTAAGTTTGATGTGTGAACTGCCATCGTTTGAAACTTGACGTAGCTTCGACCCCTTGGACGAAAAGCTTTGCATACTTTCCAACCCCTCGACATTGTTTTTGCTCGCGCAACTTTAGTTTTTAAGCTGAAATTAATAATTTAAATAATAAAATTAACAATGAGAAAATATCAGCAGCTTATTTTAATTTTGATCTCGGTTATAAGTGTCACAGTTCTTATAGTATACAAGTCGGAAAATGAACGATTAAATCATGTTTTGTCGGTGATAAACTTTTTCGGTCAGCGCGATGCAATAAGTCTCGTAAAAATTGAAAATTACTCAAACTTTTCGTATAGATTTGATTATCCACTTCCAAGTTGGATATATTTAAGCAATGAATTTCATGGTTATTCAGCGTTTTGGAAGAAGAATGATCTTGTAGCTGGAGGAGAAGCGATCGCTTTAGCAATTGGAAGTGTTCATGGAAATGTTTTATTTCAGGTAAGGATAAAAAGATTTAAAATGAATATTATGATGATGAAAATGATAATTTCCAGTGCAAAATTCATTTCACCGATAACACAATTGCTAATGGAAAGTTTGGATTTATGCGAGTTGAAGCTGAAATTGCCGACATTGAAGTGGCAACTGAAAAGTTTATAATTTACAAATTCATTTGTAAGACTAAAAACGATAATGGAACACCAAAAAATTTGATTTTAATCAATACTGAGACGAAGTCGGAACATTATTTGCCTATTCGCCATATGACTATTAAAAACAATCCGCTGTTAGAGAAGTCACTTCTTACTGTTTGTCTCGACCTCAACAGCTACAATCGATCATTTACTGATGATTTCATAACAGATACGAACATCGCTCAATACTTTCTACATCATGAACTAATTGGAATTCGTAATTTCATCATTTATAACTCGAATATCAATCAGATGAATCAACATGTCATTGATTTACTGACCAACAAGTATGGAATCCGATTAAATGTTTTGCCTTACAACTTTCCTCTGATGATCAGCAACAGAGCTAAGAATCGAGCGATCATTGAAGCAGACTGTTTCCTGCGAACGTCAGGATTAACGAAGTATGTGATGGTTGCTTCAGTTGATGAATATTTGTATCCGTCACAGAAGCTATCGCCGGTCAATCCACTCATCAAATTCTTCAATCGCTATTCAAGTGAAGTCAGTCGATTTGAGATTAGCATGAAAAGTGTCTGCACAGATCCACATAAGAAAATTAATTCCGACAATGAACGTTACAGTGTCGATATTAAGACGAGAGTCTTTTACATACAAAAGAACGAATTTCCTTATAACGACAAACCAGTCAACGACATTGGAAAAAAATCAATTGAAGTTGATCGGAACTTTGCCGTCATTCATAAATACATAAAATGTCCAACAACTCAAGATTTGTATGATTGGCGAACAACAATGGAGAAGTCACATCAAGGCTACATCGATCATATCTCGCAAGAATTAAATAAACTTCTTTTTCATCAATAAGAAGATAGACGAAAAGCCACCTTGATAGCCTTTTTCTTAATCTTTCTTTTATGAAAATATCTCATTGACAATTCTGTAAATATTATTAAAAAAAATTTCTGCAATATCTCATCACGCGTTGGTTGGGAGAAGTTTTCATTTCATTTTCTTAATTAAAGTAAAATCTTTTTCATAATTCTTGCTTAGAAAATTAGAAATGAAACTGCTTTAGTATTGACTAACTTTAAATTATTTTCATGAATTCTTTGAAATGACAAAAACCCAAAAAGAAATGTCAGAAAAAGAATAAAATTTGACGTTGAAATGACTGAAATCACTCGAAAGAAGAAATAAAATAAAACAAAAAGAATTCTTTTAATCAAAACTTTTAAATTTATTTATTTTCGTGTCTTTGATTTCTTCGACAAATATTTTAGAAAGATGAGAATCAAAAAGAAGTTTCAAAATCACCAAGTACAGAGATTAAATCTTATTTTAAACGTTGAAGGATTGCAGCATTTTGTAGTCCAGCTTTTTCGATTGTGTCTTCATGATTCACCAATTCTTTGTTGGGAAATGTCGTGAGAAGCGCAAAGTTGCGGCCTTGATATTCAGGTCGAGCTGTTCCAATAAACTGACGAATGTTTTGGATTGTGTGCGTCAGATTGAAGCGAGCTGAAAGACGTCCACCATCAGCTAATCTTATTGAAACCATCGTTGAAGGCTGATCAGATTGAAAGTTCAAATTTTCGTTTGCTTTGGCTTCATTTTCACTTGGATTTCCACTAGCAACAACAGAAGATTGTGGCTGTGCATCATCAGTCATTGTAGGCGTCGGTGATCCTAATGTGTGACCAGATCCAGTGAAAGCTTTGAATCTTGGAGCTTTCTTAACAAAATCTTCACTCAAATGATCTTCGACATTAACATGAACCATCGTTCTTCCTTGTTTACGTAATTCCGCTGGAATTTCGTTATGTGTTATGCTTTCAAAAAATTCTCGATTACGAGGCTCCTCATATGGACGAAGGTCACCATCATCCACAGTGAAACCTTGTCGATAAACTCTCACAGTTACGGTATCACATTCGTTTTCCTTTTTACGGCTACTTGTTGAAGGAATTGCAATATGATCATCGTCAGTTTGTCCCAGACGATATCCTGTGCCAACAAAGGCTCGTGGAGTCTCTCTGGAAGCACCTGGACCTTCATCGGAATCGAATTGTTCCATATTTCCACTTTGAGCTTGACGAAACACTTCAGAAACGTAATCTTTAATAGGATTCTTCCTTGGTGGTCCCAAGATTTGTTGCCCTGAAGTCTGTGACCCTCCAGCATAAAAGGCTTGTCCTTTTTCATCACTTTCATCTCCTGATGATGATGTATTGAGTGATGATAACGTTGCGAAATTCTTCGCTGTCGGCTTAGATTCCTTTTTAACAGGTTTTGCTTGAGAAACTGGAACGTCCTCATTTTCATCAGGACTATCTTCAATTGGCTCAACTTGATTATTTGCAGGATCTTCTTCAAAAAAGCTTGATAACGCGACCTAAATTGAAGATGAGTAATCAAAAATCTTTGATGCAAAAACAATAACCCAAAAATATAGAAGAAATTTTTACCTGCAATTGAAAGTTTGCCGATTCTAAGTAGAATGAAGCTCTTTCTTTGTTAACTCCAGTAACATCCATGAAATGTTTAATCATGTCTTCGTTTTCTGACATTTTTATCTTCTTCAATGGCTTAATTATACAATTACAACTGGAAAACTAATTGTCAACAAGAATAATTTCTAAAGTTACAAAATTTTTTCTGAAACTTCAGCACAACAAACATTTAAATTTTAAAAACCGTTAAATTTCTAAGAAATAAAAATTTGTTTTATTACATATTTTAAACTAAAATTATATTTAAACTCATTTCAATATTCTTTCTGCTCATTTACAATCCATTTTTCATTTTTTGTTTGTTTAAGTTCATCATTTGCTTGTCCAATGACTGACTTTCCTGACACGATTCCATTGGCATCGTTTAAGTATTTTTCCGAAACATTTTTGATATCTTTTAAGCTGGTTGATAAAATACTCTCTCTTTGTTTAGTGAAGATATCGTGACTTATGCCATGTTTGAAACTCTCTAGTCCAATATCCATGGGCGATATTGGTGCATCAAGCTGTTGAAGGATGCCAAGCTTTGCTTCGAAAAGTGCTTGTTCATCGATTATTTTGTCAATGCTTTCATGAACCCATTTATTAGAATTATCAAATGTGTCAAGAGTTCTACGTGTGTTTGGATCACGATAAGAGAAAAAGTTAAACAGTCCATCAATGGAAACCTTTGCACCAGCACCGTAAGCTCCATTTTGTTCTCTCACAACCGGTAAAAGATATTTCGATGATAAAATCCGTCCAAGCACTCTCAATGAAGTGAAATCTTTATGTATGTAGGGAACTGTAAAGATCGACTTTGCGCAATAATTAATTGGGATATTCATTAAATTATGACGACAATGTGACTGAAGAATTTTTGATTTATTCCATTGAATGTCAGTTTTGTCAAGCGGAAGTTGTTGTAAAAATCTTTTGACATTCTTTGTCTGATCAACGAGGTCAGATGTCGTTACATTAAGAGCACAACGAACAGGTGAACGACTCAACAACTTTCTACCAATTTCCTTAATCTCTTCAAGAATCTCAACACTTGTCCTTGTCTTCATCAGTTGCTTCATGTAATTTAAGTGCTCGATTCCCATCATTGATTCCTTTAAACGTCCCGATTCGGTTACAAGTCCATTTGCATTTTGCATCGCATAAACATGACCAGAGTCGGCAATTCCGACAGATAATGCTGACAAATAATTTTCAAGCAACATTTCAAAGCGTTTAATGTCATTAAACTCGACAGTTGTCAGCAAATCGGAAATAATTTCAAACATTTCCAATGAATTTTGTCTCAAAGAGTAAGATCCAAATTGAAGTCCAACTTCATATAAACTGTTGTCGTTGATGTTTTCAGCTACATGAACATTAAATCTCAATCCAGAAGTCTTCGACGACACTAAATTATCAAAGTCACGATAATTGTGATTTTTCGTTCCAAATTGATCAACAACTTGTGCAAAAAGTGGTAACAACTTCTTATTATCATCACTGAATGTCGAAGCATCTAAAAGTCCACGAAAGTAAACGACACCGTTTGTGTTTGTCTCACAAATTTGAATTGGAACATTTTGAATTCTTTCGAATAAAAGTTCGTGTTTTGCGGGTATTTTCACATCACTTAATTGAAGACATGGAAGGCAATTGATATCTTCTCGTGCCTTCTGTACAGATGCAAGTGCTTTTCCATCATCAAACACACGACTTTTACCATCTTCGTCAAGATTCTTAATTTTGTTTTGAAGATTTCCTGTCTCACGTTCAACGAATTTTCGCTCGTAGTTGTCATCAGGTGACATCGTTAGAACAAGTTTGTGACGATTATCTTTGAAATATTGTTGAACTTTCTCTTGCAAATATTTAGGATTTGATTTGATGTTTGATTTGAGCATTTCATTTTGTTGTGTTAAATTGACAGCTTGAATGACATCGCCATTGTGGTTCATCAAAGGCGTTAAACTGAATAAAAGTCCGAGACCGAACTTCGTCGTTTGATGTTTCATTTGCAACTCCAAATTGTGAATGACACTATTGATGTGTCTTTCATCAAATCCTTGCTCAATAACTTGATCAATTGTCGCATCAAATATTTGTTGAATTTTCTCGAAATCATTTCGATCGACATCTTGAAGTCCAAGAACAAACATTGTGTCTTTGATTGTTGCATCGTAGCCAGTCATTTGACTGTAGCCACCAGAAATGTTCGGCTCGATAAGACTTTTATAGAAATAACTGTTCGGACCTTTCACCAACAACTCAGTGATGAAATGCATTAGAAAAGTCTCATAAATATCACGAATATCACTCATCAAAAATCCAATCCCAATTTGATTCTGCTTCTCCAATGGCGCTCCCATGTTGTCATATCTTGATGTGATGTGAAGTTTCTTCGCTTCTCTCCATCGATTTTGATTCGGAACTTCACTAAATTGACTGTCAATTCGATGAAAATCACTCAAATAATCATTGACATAATCAAGATTCTTCTCCAACTCAAAGTTTCCGTATGAAAACACGCGAGAATTCGATGGATGATAATACTTTTGATGGAAGTTCACCAAATCTTCATGAGTCAAACTGGGAATATCAACAGGATCGCCACCCGAAACAAAACCATAAGCTAAGATGAAGAAGAAGTAAATAAATTAATTGATAAATGAATGTAGATAATTTGAAACTTACTGTGTTCAGGTAAAAGTTTGTTGAACATATTTTGACCAAATATTGCGGAATTCTCTGAAAACGCTCCTTTCATTTCATTGTAGACGACACCTTTGAAAATATATTCAGAGTTTTTATTCTCCAACTCTTTGTGTTCCAATCTCCAGCCTTCTTGAAGAAAGTCGAGATACTTCAAGTTCGGTCTAAAGACAGCGTCCATGTAAATTGATTGAAGATTTCTGTAATCTTTCTCGTTTGTTGATGAAAATGGGTAAAGAGTGTAATCAGGACCAGTCATTGCATTCATGAATGTGGCAAGTGATCGATTTAACATCTTGAAAAATGGATCACGGACTGGAAATTTCTTGGAGCCACAAAGCACGTTGTGTTCGAGAATGTGAGGCAGACCGGTGCTGTCGAAGGGAGTTGTTCTGAAGTTAACTGAGAAAACATTGTTCGAATCGTTTCTGTCGATGTGAATGTATTGCATTCCAGTATTTTCATGTTCAAATATCAACGCTGTCATGTTGAAATCAGGAATAAATTCGATTTTCTTACATAAGAAACCTGAATAAACATTTCCAAGCAAAAACTTTTGATCTCTTCCATTCTTAATGTTTTGTTGAAGCTGCGTTGAATGGAATCTTGGTTTCCATGGACTAATTTTGAAGTTCCGTATGTATTTATTCGTATTTAAAGTGATCTTAAGGAGTGACATGTTGAATTTATCTAAACAAATGTAAACAAATTAATAAATTATGAAATTCTTCAATTCACATCGTTGACTTACTATCGATTCAACTTTAATAAATGCGAGAATTGTTTAAAAATGAAATTTAAGTGACTTTTTCTGTATACTTTTTCTTAATAATGCCAGAAATTAAATAATTATCGGCAATGCAATGTCAGAAAATCTAAAATTTTCTCAAATAGGGTTGCGCAGCTTTCAAAATTGAGAGAGAATTCAATTTGATCCCTGAGAGAGAAATCAGCATAATCTTTTTGTTTGAGAGCTCTCGAGCTTTTTAATCAACACAGCTGATTATTTTTTAATGTTTTTCACTTGTTGATCAAAGGTCGTGGCAATGAAATATTATTTTGACTGGATTTGTCCACCTTCAAGAGCAATATATCTTCTGCTTAAGGTAAACAATGTTCCTTTCGAAGGTTTTGTTGTGTCATTAAAAAGATCGGAGCATTTGGAAGAAAGTTTTAAAAGTGTAAATCGCTTTCAAAGACTTCCATGTATAAATGTTGATGGTTATCAGTTGGCAGAAAGTGTAGCCATATATAAGTGAGTCAGGATGAGTTTCAATTTCTAAAAAATATGCTAATTCAACGATTTATTCCAAGATATTTGTGTAAAACATTCCTTCCTGTAATTGAAAATTATAATCCACAATTACCGAAAGAAAAAGCTTTAGTTGATGAATATTTGGAATGGCAGGCAAATAATATTCGACTTGGAGGTGCCATGTACTTTAAGACTCAATGGATGTTCCCAAAGTTACTAAAATCAGAAGCAAACATTGAAGAGGTTTCAACGTTTAAGTATGTGATGGAAAATTCTTTGGATACAATCGAAGACGTTTGGCTTGCCGATCCCAACAAAACTTTTTTGGTATCTGATAAAATATCATTCGCTGATATCATGGCATGTGTTGATCTTGAACAAATCAGAATTACCGGCTACAACCCCTTCGAAAATCGACCAAAGTTAGAGAAAATGTGGAAGAATGTAAAGGCTTTGACAAATCCTTTCTACGACGAAGCTCATGAAGTTTGCTATAAAATGGGATTGAATAAGCCAAAACTTTGAAAGTTTTACTTTATTTTTTTTAAATTATTTTCTTTTTAATTTTGTTAAATATACTTAATTAAAGATGGGAGGTTTGTGTCGATGTATTTGTCTATATTTGCTTCTGGTGGAGGTTTATTAGAAACTGTTCGAGTGTGCCACACAAGAACCTAGAAAGATTTTAAATATTTCATTAATTAGTGATGTACATAAATTTGTTTTGATTTTACTTTTGTACATTCTGATGCGATCAATTCTAATTCGTGTGGCTCAAATGGTGATAAACTTTCAAGGAAACCATTTTCTTCACCTCCACCTATATAAGGCATTGTTGCGTTTGGTCGAGATAAGAAAAATTTCACATTTACAGCAAAATTTGCCATATCAATAGGCCACTTAATTCCTGCAAATCCGGGATAGAAATCAACGACTTTTCCATCTCGAATAATTGGCGTTGTTAACAATTTTTCTGTGCAGAGTCCAACAGGGCAGATCGAAACTGTATTCGTGTAACGCATCTACAATTCAATTAAATTTCAATATTCCTAAAATGTGATTAAATAATGTTTACTTCTTCGAAGAGTTCAGGATCATAAGTGTTGTCATCGTCAGCAAAATAAAACACGCCGTCTGTTGCATTTGCTTTTATCCATTCAAGAGCTCGAAGACGATTTGAAACGCCTTTTGGTTTGAGTAATCCTGTTTTCTCGGGGTCGTATTCTTCAGGCATTGGTGCTTAGATAAAAAATAAATTTTGAAAATTCTCTTCGTGTCAAATTGCAGTCAAATTTTACTTAATAAATAAACATGTGGAATTTTCAATTTCTCAAGCAACATCTCGATCGTCGGTGTTGGTACAGACGCATCTTCTGCCACTATCCAAAAGATATTTTCGACATGCTTAAATATATATCCTACTCTTGTCATATCAGGTAATTGTGTTGGACGTTTATAAGTCGGAGTAATGATGTATAAGGTTGGAATTGATGACTAACATTTATGCTATTATTAAATTGATTGAAAATAATTAAAAAAAATCTTTACTCACTTCATTTTGTAATTTCTCCATTGTTGGTTTTCCAAACCAACATAACAAAAGCCAGCCACAGATTAAAATGATTGCAACAAATTTTAAAAATCCATTAAATTTCATTCTCATATTTTTTCACAATTTTCTTGTTTTAAAAATATTCTGCAAAGGATTCATTTGTAATTAAATTAAATGAAAATTCAAGAAAAAATTGGTTTTCAACTTACCTTGTCAACTTATAAGATACAAATGAACTCATTCCTATTCCAATTGTTTTAACAGCTGCAAATTGACTTTAAGAAACTATTATGTTAATTAATAATGATACAGTAACTGTGGAAAAATGTTGACAGCCATTGCATTATTGTTTTTAGGAACAACAAAACAGATATCAATAAAAAAGCTTACGAAATTCTAATTAAATATTTTTTATTTTATATTTTTATGGAAAAATAATCAAACCGACTAAGAGGAAAGTTGTTTTCATATAATAATTTAATAAAATTGCTACAAAATATTCTTATTATAATCTTAGATACTGGCACAGGAAATAACAAAGAAAAATTCTTAGATACAAATTCTTTAATATAGATTACAATGAATAGATATTTAGATAATCTTTCAATTATTTTTATTTAAATCTATTTACTGCAAATTTTTTTTTGGTAAACTCGCGATATGAAAGAAAAAGAATGAAACTCATGATTGTTTCCTTTATCCATGGTGTTGTCGCAATTTGCAAGAAAACTTCAGTTTCTACATTCATATCAAGAAGAGTATTTTCTTTGTTCTATTTATGCATAAGATACAAAATGCAATTCAATGCTCTACATTTTATTCTTATCATTCAATTTCAATTTTTTTTTTCTCAATAAATTAAAAATACTTTTTTATTATTCTTCCTTCACTAAACATTCATAATCGTCACAATATTTTTATTAAGGATTAACAGCTTCTTTAAATGTGGAATAACTATTTTAAATTTACGGACATAATACGCAGTTTCCAATCATCATCATTATCATGACCGTCATTATCATCATTATTAAAGTGTTTCTGACGAAAGTTTATTAATTAAAATTCTAACACCAGAGAACGTTCACAACTAATGTCTGCTTCAAAGTGAAGTAACAAATAATGAAATCTAGGAAATGAAGCACTAAAAGTCTAATGAATAGCGTCCTTTAGCTTTTTTAAGTTTATAACATTGACAGTCAAGTTTAACTTACGAAATGATTTTCTATTAATCGAAAGCGAATGCAATTGAAAGTTTTGCAAACATCAATTGCGAAAGTTCTCTTAACATAAAATTTGTCCATTCATCTAATCTGGTAAAATGTGAACAAAACTAACAGGAAACATTCCACGTCGTGATGGATCATTCTCAATGACACCTTCCATCCAATTCTCGTCATCTGTTCGCTCATTAAGCACAACTAAAATTTCACCTTCCTTGAACTCCAATTCATCGTCATTGTCAGCATTGCAATCGTAAAGTGCACGACATCTTTTCAAGCCAGCCTAGCAAAAATCATTTCGATCATAAAACTGCACAATGTTTCAGACCTAGAGAGAAACTTACGTAATTAATTGGTTGGATAGTCACGCCAGGGCTGCTGCCTGGTGAGCGATCTTCAGACAAGAAACTGCTGATGGAATTTACATTATTTGAAATATCCAAAGAAGAGTCAAGGTCTCCATATTTCCCGTAGTCACCGTAGCTTGATGAATTCGTGATTGAATCATTAAATGACTGAGGTAAGAAACGAATTGAAGATTTATTAAAGATTTTTTATAATGATTTCTCACCTTTCTTATTGGAGCTGTTGCTTGAACCCGCGAAGCACTTTGACCATCATTCAACGAGTTCAAACTTTCACTCGATTGTCCATTAGCGACTGATTTTTCTGTTTATACAAAATGAAATTGAAAAGATGATTAAATAAATTAAACAAACAAATTCACCATTTGATGGTGCTGATGGTGGTGGCATTCGAGGTCGATTAGGATTGACAGGCTTCAATTGTGGAATCTCACCAGCCGGTGGTAACACAAGTTTCGCTCCAGCTTTAAATAAATTCATGAAAATTGAAGCTTCAAATCTAAACAAAGTTTGACTCACCCAAATTAATGCTTCGAGTTATTGAATCACTGCTTGGTGATCTTTTATGACTAGCTTTATTCGTTTGCATCATGTATGGCTCGAAACGTTCATAAACTTTGTTATCAAAGTGTTGCTGTGGCTGTTGTTGGTTATTATTGTTGTTATTTGTAGTTTGCGTGATAGAATTTCTCGGTGGATGAGGTAAAGTGCTGATGTTGTTGCTGGTGTTGTAAATGTCTGAGAGATCATAACTCTGTTGATAACGGCCGACACTATGTGGAAGTGTTCCATAAATTGGCTGCGGTTGTGATGAGCTGTTTGCAGGTGCATTTGGTGCATTCCTTTTCTTTGCCGATGCTGACGCAGCCGCATTTGCTAAATTCACTAAACGAACGAATATTTAATGAATTTGTAAAATAAAAAATAGGAAAAAAAGCAACTTACTGGCTGTCGACTTTCGACTTTGATTACTTGCAATTGAATGCGATGAACGACTTGTCAGTGAACTTGGACTTGATGCACCTCCAGTTATTCCAGCACTTCCATATTGTGGAAAACTCATTTGTTGCTTTGGACTCGAACCAAGTCCAAATCCTATCGAAATCTGTCGATTGATTGAACTTGTTGAATTAACTGATATTGTTGGACTTGTGCCACTCTTTATCGAGTCACACGTTGATGATCGTGATCTTAATGTGATTGGAGAGTCGCCAATGAAGCTTGGCGGTCTTGATGTGCGTTTCTATTCATGTTTGTTTGTTTTTTTTTTGTTATGATCAAGCAACATATTTACAATGGTATTGCGTGGGCGTGAGACGTGTGTTTGCGGTAAGGGAATAAAATTTACACAAAAAAAAAAACAAGAAGAAAAGAGAAAAAGAGTTTTCGGGGACAAGAAAGCGATAAAAAATCTTTAACGGTTAAATATGGAAAATGTGTTGATGAAGCCAATTGTTCAAAAACGAAACAAACAAAAAAAAGTTCAGTTAATTGGCGGGGGTGGATTGAATCAAATTGGAATTAGAAGAATTTTGAGCCGTCCCAACCAATCACTTTTAATAAATTTTGAATTTCAAGTTGATTTTGATACTTACGCGTTCATCCATTCCTGTGTCGTCATCAGAGAAGTCAGTTGATCCATCATCATGCGGCGGTGGAAGATTCCAATCAGTGTTGATATGGTCAAAAGCACCTTTTTCTCTTCTCATTGCTTGTTCGAGCATCTCTTTACAAACATCATTTCCCTTTTCAATGGCCAAATCCAATGACGTTTTGTTATTTGAATTCTTAAGATCGTAATCGGCACCAGACCGAAGTAAGAGTTTCATGCACTCACGACGATCATACATGGCACAGAAATGAAGTGGCGTGTTTTTCCCTCCATCACTAAATGTATTCGTTAGTGGATCCAAAGTTGTTTGTTTGTTTAATCCTTGCGGTGGCATATTTTGAATGAGAAAATCAACAATATGAAGTGATGAGCCCATTTCACGCAACACAGCAAGATGAAGCGACGTTTCCCCACATTCTGATGATGGTAAAGGAGCTGTAAAGTCAGCACCTTCAGCCCAGACTTGAAGCAATTGACTGAGATCGGCATTGATGACCGCCTGCTCCAAATCAACACGCAAATCTGTCTCATCAGCACAAGTTCGCATGATGTAGCGTTTGGCAACATATTTGGCACGAATGAAGTCATATCTCTCTTCCATGCTCGATTCGGGATGAATTTTCATTGATTTCCCCATTGTTGCTTCTAAAATCTCATTCAATTGATTGTTGCCCATGGCACGTGCAATAAGAAGATGCGCAGTCTTCAAATTATCCAAAGTTAACGATTGAATTCTTGAATGATGCACGCCAAGATCACGATGAACGCCAGAACATTGAATACAAACGACAATTCCAAAGTTGATGCTTATCCATGTCACGTCGTTTCGTGATCCACAATCACAACATTGATCATTGCCAGGAAGGTTTTGAATGTGTTTGATGATTGTCTTCTGCAGTTCCATCAATCCCGGACTCATTTGTTGATGTCCTGGCTCATGTTGGAACGACTTTGCAAGCGCCTTCTCCTTGCAATTGATCAACACAGACATCCAAGCCTTTTGATCGGCCTCGTCTTCAGCTTGGAAGTGATACGGTCGATTATAACTGATAAGATCGAAACTTCGTTTCTCATCGGGAACTGGCTTTATTTGACATGTCAATAAATTGACACGTGTCGGTGGTTTCGTCTCATCTGCATGGCAAATATCAAGAAAGCCGTCTTCAGTTACACGACAACGACGCTTTTGCCAAACGCGACGAACTTTTCCTTCACTCTTCTTGTATAAATGTCCAGAACGTGTCACACCGTGATTCTTGTCGCCTTGAAGTTGATGAAGGCTGTAAGCTGTTCCTTTTTCTGTCACAACATTCTAAACATTCAAAAAGAAAACTTTTAATGAAAGAAAAATGACGAAAATTTTCATTTTACCTCAACACGATCAAAATCTGGCGTACTTCTCAACAATGTTTTCAACTCAATAAGCTTTTTCTTTTCTTCGTCTTGCTTCTGACGTATCGCTTGAAGCTTCATACTTAAATCTTCAATGTACGTTCCGAAATGAGCAATTGTTTTGAGACCGTCTTTAAAATAGCTGTCAATGAATGGAAATGATTAATTTCACTTTATCGTGACTGATAAATGAGTCAAACTTACTTATTTTGAGCATGATAATATTCTACTAAATGTTGCAGCAATTCGATGCCTTTTTTGGTTTTAATTTCATTAAATTTGATGAGATATTCGCACATTTGAAGTTGAAAAACGCGACGCTCCTTTTCCATCTCTTCGGCAATTTCAGCAGCTGAAACTTCTGTACGAATCATTCCCACTTCTTTGGCTTGCGCTTTCTTTTCCTTTTCAATTTTCAGAAATTTACTGTCGTAATCTTTTGCGGCTTTGTCGAAGGGTCGCTTCATTTCGCCTCTCTGACCACGCAATTCAGATTTAAGGAAAGAATCGACAGGGAACATGATGATGTTGCTGATATTTTGCATCTGTTGAAAGCAAGCAGATTAAGATTTATTGAAAAATCTTTAATAAAGGAAGAATGACAACTTACCAATGTTTTCATTAAAGCTGACAACTCTTTTGTGACGACAGAAAACTTTAAAAATGCCGCACCAATGTCCGGCTCGTCTTTGGATAAAGCATTATTTCCTAATCGCTCTAATGCACGCACCAAACACATCTCATTGTCAACGTGAATATTTCCTGAATTGTGAATTGCTTTTGCAGCCTTTTTCAGCTTTGTCAGTCCCTCGCGGTCAAACTCCAATGTCTTTAAGAAACAATAATAAAAAAGACTTTTCACTTTCGTATTCCGATATGTGTCATTGACATGGAAAATGAAAATGGGAAAATTCTGTCTTAAGTAGAGAAATGTGAAAAATATGATAATTTACTTAAGCCCAAAGGAGAAAGAAAGAAATCGTTTCGCTGATATGGAATTTGTTGTAACATGACATTATCAAATAGGAAGCACTCGTGCTTGAATTCATTCTCATTCTCACTCAATTGAATCAAAAATTCCATCATCGCTATGAAGCTGAAATGACTTGCCGTTAACTTTTCTTTCCTTTTTTTTTGTATTCAACAACAAGGAAGAAACGTGAATATCCGAAAATATTTATGAAGGGACAGGTGATGGTTAATTTTATATTATATGGAATGAACAGAGTCACTCGACAACACCTGGAAAATTGATCCTTCTTGTGTTGCTGTTGAAAAAAAAATCCTTCTAAGAAGACTTTTCATTGACCATCTGCCTTCGTAACGAAAGTCTTTAAGCTTGTTGCTTTTGATATTACCAAAACAAAACCTTTTTATATTGCATTGAATTTCGTAATCTAATTTAACTTCCCGATTATGAAAATAGCGACCATTATTAATCTTAATCATGCACAATTTCACATCGAAAGAGAAGCAAGTGAACATTCAAACGCTTTTATCTTTTAATCACCTTTTTGATTATTCACCCGCCCATTTCCTACTTTCCCGATTCCTTCATTCCATCATATAACGGAACAATATAATGCATAATCAATTTCCCATTTCCCATTTTCATCAGTGACGAGTCAATTCGTGAAAGGAATTTTATTTCATTTGTCGCCTCCCTTCGAGTTTTTCATTATTATGATGAATTAATAAATATTTCAATCAAAAATTAGAGGCTTTCGAGGGGAACATTGAATGGTTACGACACGTTCGAATACTTATCGACGGAAATAGAAGATAAAATAAATCCATTGAATTGACAATTCATTTTGCGTAAAGAACACAATTTCTTTTCTATTCTTATCCTGAATCTCTCAAGGACATCTTTTCCATCTTGACACGTGTGAAGTGATTTTTTTATGGAATAAATCCAACAACTATTCTCAACTTGAGACTATGAGAAACTATTCCAATGATTTTCATCAACTTTCAAAGCCCAAATTTATTCCCTAAAGTTGTATTTATTTAACAAGTTGAGTGAAATGGAAAAATTTACATAAAGAACCCTAAATTGGGGATGAGACATGAGAAACATTCCAACATGAAAATGTCAGCAAAAACCTTTCTCGAACTTGACATATATTTATGAGTGACAAGCAAACTCTCCAAAATAAAGTCAAATGTCGAATTTTCCATCTCAAAGGAACTTCTTCCCTTTATTGAACGAAAAATCAATTTTTATTTGAATTTTCTTATTCACTCTCATGAAATGCCAGAAAGAAGAAAGTAAAAAAATTCTTTTATCGACTTTTATCACTCAGAATGAGAGCCGTCTACGATTCCCCTATCAAACATTCAATGAAATTGATGTAAAATTGATGAGCAGCAATTTGTTGTACAAACATAAACTGAAAACGCTACTTTTCCCAATCTTTTCCGTTTATCTTCGCTTCTCACTTAAATAACATTATCCGGCTAAAGAGAAATTGACTCTTCGATTAGTTATGTAACAAGAAAATCATCCACTTTTCACGATTATATTAAATTACATAAAGTCTCACTTTAAATAGATTGATGAGTTATTGCATAGACAAAGACAATTAGCTTATTAGCGATAATTAACTATTCATTCATTCATTCATTCCACCAACGTTAAACAAATATCTGACACAGACTTAAGAAGAGCTTAAAATTTGAAGAAGTTTTTGTGGTTCTGGAAAACTATTTAGAAATGAGATTCAAATATTTCACCTCGAAGATACTCAAATGAAACTTGTAAGCCGTAACCACACCATAGAAAGTAGCAAAATGAGATTGAAAGTGGTTTCGTTTGGAAACCATTACTTTAATTATGGAAAACAAAGAATTTGTGATGAATAGACTTCCGAGAAGAATCGCATTGTTCAACATTCATTGCGCACTTTCATGTTTCAAACAAGGAAAAGACACAAAAATGGCCTTTAATTATTTGCAAGAATGTTATGTAAGTTTTTAAGCTTTTCTCAAATAAATGCGCTGCCTTTTAAAGACGAGAACAGAAAATTTTAAATAATGATGAAGCGCCATGCAAACGACGTCATTCATGTTATTTGCTTTTAACAAATTTATCTTAATTTGTCACTGGAAGAATGTCATTTCAACCACCTCCACAGGTTCACTCACAGCATGCTTTCGAGTTGACAACAATAGAACACAACACAAGTGTTGTCGTTGTTACTCTTTCCTTATTCACTTCAATTAAACTTTTCTGCCATTTCCAACAATATGTCATCGCATTCATGATGAATAATAATTTCTCAATGATTAAAACATTTCAATTGTAACTCCGACACTTCATAATTTTAATTTCGACGTGACCTCTTTCATTAGCGGGTTAATTTTATTAACCTAATCAAAACAACGTAAGCTTAGTCTTCACCACACTCACTCACTTTATCATTATGTAAACTACAAACTATCAATTATAAAGTCGAGACGAAACTTTAATTGAGCAATCAAACCCATTCAAGATCATAAATAAAGCATGTTCATAAATATGATTCACTGCATGATGCAAATTGCTTTGAATTATTTTCATTTCTTTGCTATTCTTCTTTTCTTTATGATTCTTTTCTATTTACATTGCATAAATCTTGCTATAATTATATCTTAAATGGATAGTTTTTGTGTAATTTGATGACTGTGTAGTTAGATGAAAGATTTCATTCTAAGAAGGTTTTCAAACTCGCACGTCAATTAGCATTGGGCTTGATTTCCCTTCACATAAAATGTGAACAGTAGTGAGAGAGAGGACATTAAATTGCCGTGTGTTGAACAAACAAACAAATAAATGGTTTCGTGACAATTGCGGTCTTTGACTACATGCTTCAATGCGCAAAATTTATCAAAACACATTCCAACTATTTATTAAAAAATCTGCATTTAATTCGCTTGCAATTTCTTTCTTCCGTCAAGCTATTAGCAGTTACGAGTCGTGGTAAAGGAAAAATAAAATTTCACGTCTTCACCAGATTCCTTATAATTAAATGTTATTGTTTACAGGGTGATAATTAATATTCAACGAACGACTTCATTTCCATAAAGCTTCATTCATTTTTTTATTTTGCTACCACTAGCAGCGATTAAAAATGTTGTCATTTAGTTTGAGAGTTGAAAATGTTTTAAAAGTTTGACGGAGGCGTTAAGTAATTCGGTAATAACAAGTCACTTCATCATAAATGTTTTTGTTTTCAGTGTGCAAATTTTGGTCAATAAATAATTCCGTAAAACAAGATTTTAATTACATCTCAGATAAGACAATAATTTCCGATCGTTTAAATACAATGACGCTTTCTAGAAGCTACCCATTAAAAACACGCAATAAAGACATTCAAACAAGTGTTGAGTAAATCGTCAATTCTATTTATATTACAAAATTTATTTCTTTCAGTTTAAATATTATTTCCATAAAATGAAGAAATGACAAAATCTTTACTCAATAAACTTGAAATATTTTCTCGTCTACTTAAAATTTCAATTTTCTTTCGCAATGTTTAACGTTTTAGAAGATGAAAATTGAGATTAAATTTCTTTGATCTTGACAAACAAAAAGAAACAAAAGGAAGGAAGGAAGTTGAGAAAGAAAAAAAATATCGCAAAGGAATTTCCATCGTCATCTCTTTACCAACCTGTCACGAGAACATTGATGAGAGAACGAAACAAACCATCGACATCCGTTTGTTGACATCTCTACTAAGTTTTAAAATTGTTAAAGCTATTAACAATAATTTTTACACACGACTAACTTCCGGTGGAACAGATTTTTATTTATTTTATTTTCTTTTGTTTTGTTTATGTTTTTCCTCTCTTTTCTCATACTCATAAACATTCCAATGTCAGAGACCTGTTGTTTTGGTTAAATACGTTAAGTATCATTATTATTAATGCGGAGTTTTCAATTGATTTGGATCGGAGAATCTCTTGTAGCGTGCATGAATTTTGATTACATGTATTCGTGAGAAAGTTGATTGCAATACACGATTTTACCATTAAAAAACAAAAAAATTATTTTCGACAAGGTCAAATACTTAATAACACTACACAGGTACAAAGCATCTCACCACGCGTCCATTTCAATTCCACAACAAACATTCCTAGACTGATTTTAACTTTGCACGAATCTTTTTAGGTCTCGTGAAGCGAAACCATAATAAATCAAATTATTTCATGCCACATTGATGGATGAAAGAGTCAACGAGTACATATTTTAATCACTTATTCATACATTTTTGAATAAAATTTCATTTCCCCGTAGGTATTTCCATTATTTCTATCTCTCGGATACGGATTATGATATCATCATTCAATTGACCTCACTTGCTTGCATGTTTATTTTACTCGTGTTTGTTGACGATGAGAACTTTATACAGACGAATACAATAGGAAAAAATTTAAATTACAATCTCTCATCAAACGTTTTGTCATCATTCGCTGTTGGAAATTTAGTTGGCAAAGAATTTGGATAAGTAGAAAAAGAAGAAAGAAATTATTCACAATTATTTAGCATCAACGTGAGTTGTTGTCAAGTTACATGATGGAGAAAAGGTAGCGATAACTTTTTTTTATTTCCCTCGCTCAATTTGTCATAATCATCTTAAGTTCAATTTCAACAAACTTTGCTAAATGTATCGTCATATCGCAGGTGAAACCGGTAAAAGGGGTTAAAAGTGAAATTATGTGCCTTGAAATAAGAGATGCGATAGGCAATAAAACAAAATTGACTTTTAAACGCGTGTTGTTGAAAGAAATTTATGTGTGATATGAAAACGAGACGAAAGAAACTCACTTTCTGTTTTGGTTTGCTTTGGCCTGCTTTTTCTCTTTCTCGTCTTCATGCCGTTACTATTTCCGCATCTTTAATGTTATTTTATAACGATTTTATCTTCACATAAAACCAAAAGCTTTTTGGGACTACAGAAAATTCCGGAAAATCCTTGACCTACTTTCAGATTAAAAATTCTCTTCAAGAGTGAAATATGAAAGCAATTTTCATTCATTCATTCACACACAAGCTTATCAATTCTCCTCTTCTTGCTTGCTTATTCTACTCATTCTCATTCACAACAATGTTTCAAAAACCCCTCAAGCTAACATTATCATTTTCGCATTCATAATTTTCCATTTTTCACATACTTAACCAATTGAAGATATTTCATAAAATTTTCTTATCTTTCACATGAACGCGATATGGGAGAAAAAAAAAGTTTTTTCTTTTAAATAATTTTGATTTGAAAACAGAAGAAACCGAATTGCTAAGAAGAAGTTGAATTGTGATAAGATAACGAAAAAGAGAATTAAATTGAAATATCCCGTGATCATGAATGACACTAAACTAAAAGTAACTTTTTAATGTTGAAATTGTAAAATGGAAATTTCGATAATGTTTTAAAACAGGGCAATAACATATTGTTGATACATGCAGTGTCAGCTGGTTTTTCTTTATTTCTTTTTTGTTATTAACAACCCATATAGTCAAGAGAAAGAATAATTTAAAGAAACCTTGGGCTGTTTAGTTGTTCGGTGACTTTATGACTAAACATTCCAGCGACTATAAACACTCACCAAACAAATACGAAGCAAACACTTGAAACTTTTCTTTTTATTATTGGATTTCATCGTTTCACTCAAGCGTAATTGAGAAAACATTCAAGTATCTTGACATTCTTTTTAACTATTGATAAACAATGATTTTATTTTGGGGCAGGCAGAGATTAAAGTATCATTGGCGGGTTAAACATGTAAATATCTCTGGTGAATGTCAGAGCAAGCAAGTTAGAGTATGAGTGATGTGATTAATTGATTTTTTTTGTAACATAAAACTCTGCGAAAAAGAGAAACAGAAATCACTCGACAATCATTTTTTGCGATTTTTAACAAAAGAGCGTGAGTCAGTCCCAGGTAGATAATTTTGTTGTTTATAAATATTCCGTTGAGACGAACTTCTCGGAGTTTAATTTTATGACGAATATCAATTTGGAATTCTGATGAAAAGGAATACGAATGTGCACAAAAAACAAAAAACTGCCTTGAGAAATGACTGAAACTCATTCAACCTGAAAGGAGTTTAAAGAAGAAATCCTTTTGCAGTAATGATCTTTAAAGAAGGCGCGGAAGTAAATTGAAAGAAATCTGTTCGTCTGCTTCACAATTCTCGAGAGCAATCTCTGAATTTGCCCTAATTCTTTCAACTCAATCTCTAGTTGTGAAGCCAGTTTATGCTCGTTCCGTTCGCTCATACCAAAAATGAATTGAATTGCCTTGAACTCTAAAGTTTTTATCCATTGTTACATGTTGATGAAGAAAGAAGAAGAAAAGAAAGCTGAATAATGTGCAATTGCATTTACTATGCTTCTCTCAATATGTTGTTGTCGTTCTTGTTATTATTCTTCCTTCCTTAAAAGAAGAACAAGAAAAGTAGAAGAAAACGAACAGAACGATCATGAAACGTTAGAAAAGAAACGAAATCCCCAGGTGTTACACCAAAAATTGGCTCTCTATTTGATCTTTTGTTTGTTGATGCATTCGAAAACAATAAACAGAGCCACGAGAAATCATGACAAGCCATTCACGACGAGAGCTACTCAATTACTAACTTGAGGGTCGTTGAGATATATTAAAGCAGATAACTGCGTTTATAAAACTTCAGATTGGGCAAACGAATTTCAAATATTTTCCTACTTCGAATGAGAATAATCACTGCTTGCTTGCTTTTTTATGATGTTGTGTAGACACGAGGCCGCCGAAGAATGTCCTTGAAAGTGTAACAAAAACAAAACTTAAAGAAGAAGTGTTTGCACAACAAAATTCCCGAAACAAAAATCAGCCCTTCGCTCTTCCCGTCTCATGTTACTCAGGATATTCTAATGCTCATACTTAAATCATTTCCACTGGTTGCAACACAAAAAAGAATGAGAAGAAACGATTTATCTGCCATTGAAACTGGGTCAACATTAAGCAAATGAGATTTCTGTTGAGACTATCGCGCTTTATTTTCGGCGGATATTTCTTTTCCATGAACATTTTTTTTCTGCTGATGGCTGCTGTTTCTTCTCGATTTTATTTTGAGATATGTCTCGATGGCAAGACATTTTACAATAACAATCTTCATAGATTTTATGTTTTGCTCGCTTCTCCTGCTCATTTTTCGTTTGATCAGTTTTTCTTTATGTTATAGATTCGTTTTTTCCTTTATTTCATGAATTCAAAAAGCAACAACAGATTGGAGAGAGAGTACGACTAGGGAAAAATGTGTAACATTTGTCTTACTTCTTTATTCTTCTTCGTTTTTGTTTTCTTATGTGCGTTTTCATGAAGTTGATGGAATCTAGCGTTTTATAAGAAGTGTAGAAAATTGATTCAAGGTTGGCTGTGGCCTTCTGGATTTGGATTTGTTTATGTTATATTTAGACTGTCCTGAATAATCAGCTTTAACGTTCTTTAACTGCCTTTTAATGAAGCGGCTCACATAATCTGCGTCTTTTAATTGACAAATCATCAGACCAAATGGAAACTCGTTATAACTTATGGCATGACTCATAACAACAGAAAGAAAGAAGGAAGGAAAGATAGAATGAAGCGAATGTAGTGAAAAGTGTGAGAAATGACATTCATTTTCAGTTGAGTCGATTAATTCAATTATTATCCGAGAGAATTTAAATATTTTGTATATTTTCTGTTGCTGTGAGGGATTAACAAAATATAAAAAAAAAGAAATCCAAATGGAATCGAAAAAGCAAATTAAATGATAAAGACGAGGGCGATAAATAGACTTTCCAGTCATCACTCATTCAGTTTGCTAATGAAATAGACGAGATTGCATGAGAGTTGTCAATTTGGGGGAGGGGAAGCCGCGACGAACGAAAAGTTAAGCACGAAACTCTTAATTGGATTTTGATGACACTTCTATTTAATATTATTTCGCTTATAATGATGTATCGCCTTCCAAAACTCTCGGCTGTATTCACTCACCTCTTCTAAAGTCGATATGGTTTGTCTCATGTTGTTCATACGAGACACAAATGTGCTGGTGATTGGACTCTTATAGTCAGCTGTCGTTTCATCAACGAATTCAGCGACGCCAATTAATGCAGGCATCTTTAATTTGATTTATTTATTCCCTTGTGAAATTTTTTTCTCAACGCTTTTTATTTTATTTTTTATGCTCAATAATTCCACTAACAGGGTAATTATATTATCTCACTGTGAAAATGAACAATACGAAATCCCTTCACTCCATGTTCTATATGATAAAATTTTGCTTTTGAGTCATATTGAATTATTTATAAAATTTTAATTTTTTTTCTTCTTCTTTTCCTTCGGGCACTCAATTTTTCCTTCTTTTATATTTTTGCAATTTTACGCCGCGACCAAATCTTTGAGATTTGAGAGTATTTTATGCAAGCTACAAAATGTACTCCATTGATTTATGATGAAATTGATCATTAGTGACAGGTTAACACAACTTTGAACACTGAAGCTTGAAAATTTCCACAAAATTTACTAAAATAACTTTTCGACGACCACCTTTCGATCCCGAATTTCTCACACACTCTAGCGCCACTTCTCGATTAAAATATGAACTAAAAGAAAGGGGTTTGTAACTGTTCATAATTTCTACTAATTTAATCTTGATATAATCTAATCTTGAGTTCGCGTTTTTCCAACCAAACATAAACAAAATAAACAAATTTGCCAGTTTATTGCTTAAAAAGATAAAAATAATTATAAAAATGACATCAAAGTCAACAACAAATTCAACGGCAATGGACAGTCGTAAAGAATTGTCGGAGTTGATCAAGAGAAAAGCAGAAATATCGGTAAAAAATCATTTTATATTTCAGTATTCATAACTTCATTGATTTTTTGTTTATTTCTTAAGGCTGATCTGGAGAGTCTTGAGAGACAGATTTTTGCATTTGAAGGATCATATTTGGAAGACACTCAATTATATGGAAACATCATTAGAGGCTGGGATCGATATTTAACAACAAATAAAAGTACAAATTCTAAAGCTGACAAAAGAAATCGAAAATTCAAAGACAACGAAAGATTATTTAGTAAATCCAGTGTCACTTCATCAGTAAGAATTTTCATTTTAATAATTAGTAAATTGTTTAACATTTTTGAAATGTTTTCAGGCTGCTGTAAATGGAACACTTCATGAATCCAAAGCAAATGATTCAAGTGAGGATGATGACAATTTGCTTTCTGGATTAATATCGTCAAACATTCACCATTCAGATCTAAGTAGCAGTTTGAAGATGGAAAGCAAATATTTATCGTCTGTTGATAGTGGTAAATTTCAAATGTTTCTGTCCAAATAATTTTATTTAAATTTTCATTCAAACCATTCAAAGATTCTGCAAGCCGTGTTGGAGTTGGAAGTAATTCGATGAAAAAATCTCTTCATCCAAATAAGAAAATTAAACATAAATGAAATGTAATTTATATTCTATTCTCACTTTCCTTGTAAAGCATTTTACTATCCACTGATAATTTCCAATAAAATTTCTTTCATAAAGATAAACAAAAAAGGTTTCCGAGAAAACTTAAATAAAATTATTTTGGACCTTCCTGAGATTCATCAGCTATTGCTGTTGTAGGGTTTCGAGTTCTCACTTATCTTTCAAGTTTTTAACCCCGAGTTTCATTAGAATTTTACCCCTGTAGTCACACAAAAAAATTTAGATATACATACCCTCACTACTTGTTTGCAATTGATGCAGGGTTTTTGTTTATGATGTCTCGAGATAATTGCCTCGTGCCCCGACGGTTCGCGCGGATTTGACCTTCCATACAAAATCATGAAGTTTGATTCCGTGTGAACATTTTTTTCCGTGTGAACATTTCGATGACAGCGCCGCCACTGAAACGTTCTCGGACAAAAGATCAATCATTTCAAGAAATGTGTCCGTGTAAACATTTCGATGACAGCGCCACCACTGAAACTTATTTCTTTTCACAGAAATTTGAAATTGCAAGCAATTGAAAAATAATTTTTAGAAATGAACGAAATAAATTTAGATAAGAGTTTTATAAAGAACGAAGAATCACTGGATCTTGATCGAGAACTTGATTTGCAAAACTGCATTGAAGATTTCGATCGAATCATCTATCAAATTCCCGAGGAATTCACTATCAATTCTGATTTTTGTGACGGTGATTCAAATCAGAATTTATCAAGTGAATTTTCATATATTGAAAACGATATTGATCGAGGGTAAGATTGCACAAGTGTTTCCTATATATTGGAATTGCAAATTATGTTCCGCAAATATTATTCTGTCTGTATTGAATTGCATATCTTTCAAAAATTCCTTCGTCATTCCGAAAACTCGAGAATGTCCAAAGATTTTTTTTTTATCATAATTATTCTTTATTCACACAGAACTATTCACCATCAAATTAATGAAAATGAAATAAATCTCACGATCCGTCCAAGACAGGAAAACTTTTTTGGAGAGCCATCACATGCAACAATAACAATTGAAGTGAGTTTAATTTCAAGAAAGAGTTTCCTAAGAAAACAAAGATTTGTGATAGTTTATTTGTGCTTAAACAACTCCGTAACACGACATTTTACTATTCATGTTATCACTTGTTGAATGCTTAGAATTTCCAATGCCGTTTCTTTTCTTTTAAGTTTCGATTAATTTTTTAAAAATTTGATGCAATAAATTTAAAGTTAGTTGAAACATTTAATTACATGAAGAAAGCGATAAAATGGGCTTGTTTGTTATCATTTAAGAACAGTAAAACACCTTACTGATACCATAGGAAAATACCCAACTTAATGACAGTGTTAATCACCTAAACCTGAGTACAGAAGCGACAAGAAATCAAAGTCGTTAAAAATAACTCGTGCGACTCCATATTACATTCAAGAATATCTCATGTTATTTTATTCCGCGGTAAACGAACGACGGATGCTTCTATGAGCTCACGATGAGATGAACATTGTGAAATAATAATAATTCCTGCTAATGTCTATTTTTACAAATTTTTCTTTCGCTTTCTCCCTCCCTCGCTCTACCTTCTTTCATTTAGATGCTTTGAGCAGGTGTAAAAGCGTATCGTTCTTTTCATTTGCACTTTTTTTTCCATTTTCACTCAAACAAACTGACCGCGATAAATTTTTTCCACATCAAAACTCACGTAAATCTCAAAAGATGAAAAATAGATAATCTAGATATTTATAAAACTCGAATAAACACAGCAAGAAGAAAACGTAAAATTGCGCAACCATAATTTATAGTGTAAATATTTTGCTTCTTTTAATAGGGTAGCGAAGGATCCATCTCTCGTTATCGATGCAATTATGAAACATGTAATCGTTCTTACAGTACTGTTGGGAATTTGAGAACGCATTTAAAAACACATAAAGGTTAAAAAAGCAATAAAAGATGTAAAACGACTTGAATTTAATCTTCCATTACATTCAACAGGTGAATATCGTTTCAAGTGTTCAGAGCAAGGATGCGGAAAAGCTTTCTTAACGTCATATTCTCTCAAAATTCATATTAGAGTTCATACAAAGGTGAGTTGAACACCATTTTTATCTTCTTTAAGTTTATAAATTGATTTGAACAGATCAAACCATTTGAATGTACTGAGAGTGGCTGTGAAAAAGCATTCAACACAAGATATCGACTGAGAGCTCATCTTCGCCTTCACAATGGAGAAACATTTAATTGCAGTAATTGTGCCAAATTCTTCACGACTCTAAGTGATCTTAAGAAGCATTTTCGTACACATACTCAGGAGCGACCATACAAGTGAGTACCTAAATCACATTTTTATCAACGCCTTTGTATATATTTTCTGTGATATCATAAATCCGAGTCAATTAAATGTACTGATAACGTGTAAGGAAAAAAAACATCAACAAAAAAAAAGTTTGTTGACAAACAAAACATAAAAAAAACGAAAATAAAAAAAGTGCCTTAAAAATTTTATTTTGGTTTCGAATGTGAAGCTTTTTCGTTTCTATCATCATTCTTGCTGTTGAATCGGTCTCATACATGTGATGGATAAAAATAGAATTTTAAAAACTTTGTGTGTTCCTAGGTTCGATGTTTTGATAGTCAGGGCCATCTTTCGTTAATTTATTTAATCTTGATTTGCAATTTTTTCTTTATCAGATGTAAGGAATGTTCGAAAGCTTTTACGGCGTCGCATCATTTGAAGACACATCTGAGGTGAGTTCAGATAAAATTATTGATATTGATTAAATTTTATATTTCATGACTTTTTTATTATCTTCTTTAAAGAATTCATAGTGGCGAAAAACCTTACAAATGCAATCGAAGCGACCAAGAATGTCACAAAGCATTTTCAACACCACACAGCTTAAAATCTCATTTGAAGACTCATGAGAAGAAGGGACAAGTCAGCAATGAGAACAAAAATAATAATAATAAAAAAGAGCTTAATTTTACAGCATCGGCTGATCTTTATCCTTCTGGTGGATCGTCTTCCGATGACACTGAATCGATGATTTTTGATAACCATGTGAACATGCTTGAATTTCAAATTGTTGATGATAATGGCAACAATATCAAATACTCATCGCCTATAATTAATTACATGCCAACAACAACTACACAATCAACATCCGCACCGAATACAAATGAAGCAATGCAATTATCATTGGCAAATGAAGTTGAAATGGGCTCACCGTGGATCGACATTTCCATATTAGCGAACAAATCTGTTTCACCGACATCGCCTGTGACTTCTTCGTGTTTTGCTCTTTCAACTGCTGTTCCAACATACGTCAACTTACCGACTTATCAGGTTCCTGATAACAACAATATACAAAACTTTTATGGTGCTGATGAACAAACGATGAGGGAAATCAATGATTTGTTGATGACGAATGACTTTGAGCATGAGAAAACTTTGAAATCGATTACTGCAGATGCTGGTATTTGTCAGTGTGTCAATTGCAAGTGCGATCCATTACAGGAAAATGGATGCGTGGGTGGATGTGGCCCACACAAATCATGTCAAAATACTGAAACATCAGAAGTTTCGATCGAAACGAAAAAGTTGATTGAAGAAATTGATTCACTAAATGTTGACACAGCAAAAGCAAATCCACCGTCAGCATGTGACTGTGGAAACACCAAAGAAGCTCTGAATAAGGATTGTTGTGTTGTTATTTGTTTAAAAACTCTTGGAACAGTTGAGGCTGATAAAGATTGCAATGATAAATAAAGGTGAAGGAATTTTAAAGTTAAAAAGATTTCTTGGGTTGTTTGAAGGGACACAAAAATAAATTAAATAAAAATCTTGCAACTTCCTAGTCATAAACACGCAATAGATTAAACATATTTAAAATGTAATGAAATTAACAAAAAGTTTTATAAAGTGCCTTCTTTTAAATGTTTCCACGTACATGTTGAGAATTTATAGAAATATTTTTGTAATTTCTAAAATGAAAACCAATCTTGACCACGAAACTTAACGATGAGAATAAAGTTTTTAATTTTTATTGATTTATTAAAATAAAATGACTTTTTTTCTTAATAAACTTCCAAAAAAAATTCCTAAAAAATTCGACAAAAGATTTCAAATATCTAGATTAAGAAAATAAATTAAACCCAACTTAACAGGATTCAAATAATTTTGAATTTCTACCATGACCAACGCAATTTAAAGCTCATTTGGTTTATCATCATTAAATAATAATTTATGCAGCAGAAACTCTGACTGACGTAAATTTTTCTTTTCTTTTTCATCGTGTCTCAAGACTTCTAATTTTAATTATCTCTTCTCTTACCGTGACTTTGATCAGTGCAATGTTTTCATGTGTTTGTGTTGCAAAAGTAAATAAAGAATAAAAATTGCAAGAAACCAGTTCGATGCGATATGTGTCAATAACATTTTAGCTTCGATATAAAAGAAAAAAAGTCTTTCGATTGCGAGTTAGTTTTCTTTTAGATTTAAAGAAAAGAACAAAATGTTTAACGTTAAATCGCTTAATAATGAGATTGTTGCAAAAATTGATTGTCAGGGATGTCACGATCATGTTGAAGTGTCGTTGAGTGATGGTTCAAGTCGTTCATGTGTTATGATTAAAAAGTTCATGGATCAATGTGCTGAGAGAATTAAAAGAATGGAAATTTATGAAGATGATGTGTGGGTGGTGACATTTCCAAAGTGCGGAACTACTTGGACACAAGAAATGGTTTGGCTCGTTAATAATGATCTTGATTATGACACAGCATTTAATATTAATCTCAATGACAGATTTCCATTCTTAGAGTAAACATTGAACTTAAATTTTTAATAATATTCTGAAGTGAGTCTTGTTTGTAGATTAAACGGTGTCTTAAACAAGTTTGATGGGGATTCTGTTGGATTGTGTGAGATGTTAGAACGTCCAAGGCATATTAAGTCGCATCTCCCTGTTTTCCTTCTACCAGACAAACTGTGGACAATTAAACCTAAAGTGAGCTGAATTTCTTACATCAACTATTGAAAAGAAATGAAAACTTTCCCTAATCGTCAGATAATTTACGTCGCTCGTAATCCTAAAGATGTTGCAGTGTCATTCTTTCATCATTATCGTCATATTGTTGGCTACGAAGGAACACAAGAAGATTTTACAGAAGCTTTTCTTCATAATCAAGTCATTTATGCGCCATTTAACGATCACGTTCTTGACTTTTGGAACTTACGAAGCAAGTCAAATGTTTTGTTTCTCTTCTATGAAGATATGAAGAAGAACATGGCAAAGATTGTTGAAGAAACTATGAAGTTCTTGGAAAAGAATTATTCAAATGATCAGGTTATGAAGCTTTGTAGACATCTCTCTGTTGAATCCATGCGAGCGAACCCAGCATGCAATAACGACTTGCTCGTTGAAAAAGCAAAATTTCTCAACAGAAATGGACAAATCAGTGGGGATTTTAAATTCATTCGAAAAGGCATTGTTGGAAGTTATAAAGATGAATTTTCACAACAAGTGCATAAGAAATTTGATGCTTTTATGCAACATCCACCATTGAAAAGTAATCAATTTACTTATAGAATTTAATTCAAAAATAAAAGAAAGTTTTTCGGGGGTGTTTGGAGTTAATTCTTTACCATTTAAGTAAAATAAAGACATTTAAATTTATTTATTGTATCTTTATTGATTCATTCTCATTCTTTCTTCTTCATGTTTTATTTTTGGTAACCTATCGTTAAATATAATTTCATCATCCGAATATAATTTCTCAATTAATTCCATCGTTCTATACAAAAAGCCAATTAACAGTTTTTCATTTTATTATTTTGTCTCGTATTTGTTCCAATAATTTTTTTGTGTGTATAATTTAGTTATGTACTTGGATATTTTTGCGCCAAATATTTGTTTCAGCTAAATAGTACTTTCATTGATTTCCACTTCTTTAATTAATTATTATTATTATTTAGACGATAGCAAAAGGAAACATTATTAGGTATCAAAAATTGAAAGATTACAATACTTAAAATCTATTTTCTTCAGTTTCCTTCTTACTGATACTTTAGATATTTAACCTTGATGATCTTTCTTTTAGTTTTAATTGTCAGGAGAAGAATTTTCCTCAATGAATTTTTGTTGCGTTACAAAAATATCCAACTACGAACTGAGAATGAAAAAAAAATAGACACGCATGATTCGTGATGGTAAATTCGACTACAAATGTGAGCTGATGTCTGACACTATTTAATCAAAATTTTATCAAAATTAATACTTTTTCTATTTATTTAGGTATCAAATGGCTTTTATATTCTTTATAGGAATTTTTAATGATATTATTCAGCTTGAATTTTGCATAAGTCATAAGTTTTTTTTTTCATTTGATAATCAATTTGCTAACGCAAGCAATTCCTTGTTTTAATTATTTGTTCACGCAATTTTATTCAGAACTTGATACTTTGGAAGTCGACGACATTATTGATATTTTGAAAATCTTTGAATTTCATTCCTGTTTATAATTTCTGCTTTGATTGATGAGAAATGAAAATGTTTGAATTCTTCAAGGGCAGTGAATTGATTTTCGTGAATCATTTTCATTTTACTTTCAGCCATCAAAAAGAATCGTAAAAATGTTTCTTGTTACTTAAGTCTTAAGCAGTTATAATTATAATCCATAATATGGCAGTTGAGAAAAAAAGATTAGAAAGAAGAAAAAGATCAAATCAAACTTCCTTGTGCTTCAAAACATATTTCATTTGTAAATTGTTAATTAGCTGCATATCAAAACTACAAAAGTAAAATTATTTAATGTTCCTTAAACTCATTTCTATTTGTAAATTTAAGAAACGAACGCAAATGACTACAATTTAATGATTAATTCTTTAAGTCTATTTACATTTACTTCATCTTTCCATTCTTATTAGCGATCGAAAGTCGTTTCTGAAATTTTTAATCTCAGATTTATGATCACCAACATACATTTTATATGCTTTCAATCATTCATCTTGTGTGTTTTAATGTTTGTGTGTGCTAAATGATATTTATTCGTCCTTCAATAACCATTTGATTTCGAAGAAAATTTTTAATTTCCTTTTCAAGAAGTATCAAAAGCGAAGTCTGTTCGATATTTTCAGATAATTTCGTAATATTTATTTTTATATTTTACTTTAAGTAAATCAATGTTTTCGCATGATTTCTTTATGATTTACTCTCAATAGTAGTACAATGTGTAAATTTATCAAATTCTTTTGTGGTAAATTTCGTCTAATTTTAATTGATGTGGTGGTCCACTAAAAGATTTATGCGTGGATGACATTACTTTGAAGCTTTCCCAATTTATCTAGAAGAGTTTCATTAATCAAAATTAAGAGTAACGATACTACTTAGAGATTGAGAATTAACATTCTTATTCCTTTCTTCTTTTCATTAATGACTAAAATTCCTCATTTTTAAAAGTGATTTCACTTTTTTCTTGTTGTCGAATAAAAAAAACTAAAAATTTAAGATTATGAAAAACTGAAAATGATTCATTAATTTCCTTTTTATGGCGAGACATATGGAGGTGGTTTGCGGTAGCTTGGAGTTACTGGCGATTTTCCACGAGACTCACGACTTCCCATAAGTAATGGTTGCGGCGGAATATATTGATCCATGTTGTCATCATCACCTGAATAATAAAATTCAATTAAAACTTTTCACTTCACCTATAAACACACAAAAACTCACCTTCATTATTCAGTCCATTATACTGAGGTAAAAGTGGCGGCTTTTCATCTTTCAAAATGATTGGCGATTTAGTAACAATTTCAGGCTTTTCTTCTAACTCATCTTGGAAAATCACGGGAATTCCTTTCGATCGGAAAGATTTTCTTTCTTCTTCATCACCGAGTTCCATCTTTCCAGTGTTACGACGCTTATAAAGAAGACATGCAATGAGTAATGCAATCAACAACATAAGAAGAATAATCGCCGAAGGTAAGACATAAGTGACGAGAACATCTTGATTGATGATTGGAGTTTCTTGATCTTCTGGTCTTGGAGTAATTTCTTCTGGATGATGATGACCATCACCAGCAGCACATTTACCTAAACGTTTATTGCATTTATTTCTATTTCAATTAGAAAATAAATTTTAATCAACTCACCTGAAGGTGCAACAGTAATCTTCTGAACATTAAAATCATTTCCAATTGTGGCTTTCACTTCATCACGAACACTTTTATCAGGATGCAATAGAATATTTTGTAATTTATTGATTTCATTGTGTGGACATTCACGATGTCGATACAAAGTCGAGTTTTGAAGAACCACAGCTGTCCGTCCAGCATATTGAATTCTCTTCACCATCTTTAGAAGAATATGACTTGTGTCTGAATCTTGGAAGACTCGTGCCACACCTTCAATGAACTTTCTCTTTGTTGCTGCATGCGAGAACTGATATTCATCCACATCCAATTGATATTCAAATGTCGCACTATGATCACGCTTATAATTTCCATTTTTTATTTCAACGACCAAAGCATCGTTTGTGTGCAAGCCACTTTTGTCTTCAGCCACGAGAATATATTGTTGGGTCTTATCTGTGATGCTTGGCACACCATAAAACTCACGATTCTTTGCATCAAATTGCAACCAATGATTGGGCTCTAACTTTGTTCTGTCTCCATGCAAAAGTGTCAACTTAAGATCGGTGAAATCTTCAGGATCGTGGAATGTATCTTTAGGCACTTCAAATACCAATAATTGTCCCACATAAGCAGGGACAAGATCAACAGGATTTCTGACAGTGGGTGGGAAGTTTTTAGTGTTGGTTGGTATCGAATACACTTTTGGAGTCACCGTTTCTTGACACGATCCTACAAGATCTTTCTCAACATTTCTCACAGTGATTTCTCGTCTCATAACTTCATTCAAAGCTTGCTTCGTTAAACTTGTCATTAATTGTTCAAGTTCTTCCTTTGGACAATGATCTTTCGGTAAAGTTTCGTTTGTGTAAACAAAAGTAAACATGTTAGACTCATATTTGTTCGGTCGAACTTCTCGTACAATAACTGATGCTGTTGATTCATCATCAAGTGCTTCAACAAGTCCACGAACTAGTCGAATTTGCCAATCCACTGGTGACTCGTAATTCTTTTCCAACTTCACTTGAATGTAAATTTCATGGTTTGCACTTCGATAGCCTTTGTATTGTTGAACAGTGATGTCAACATTTTCATCAACATAGTCACCATAACTGTCAGTTGCACGTAATTTAAACTCGTAACGTGACACATCTGACTCTAATGGAAGTCCATAAATTTCACGCTTCTCCGGATCGTAACGAATCCATGATGATGCTGGAATCAATTGACCAGCTTTCGTAAGAAGTTTCAAAGTCAAATCTGTTTTGTCTTCTTCATCGTAGAAAACATTTTCGTCGATTTTTATGACGAAAGGTTTTCCAGCAGTTGCAGCTGATTTTTGGATTCTTCTATCAACACGTGGTGGAATATTTGCATCTTCATAATCAACAGCTTCAATTGGTGGTTCTGATGATACTGACAAACTTGGTGCCTCTGATGTCACAGCATCTGTTGACCTCGCTGGAACTGTTGATGGAGCAGATTCTTCAACTTCTTCATCCGTTGTTGACGGATATTCTATAATCTCGGGTGTTGTCACACGGAAAGTTGTTCTTCTTGGTGTTGTTACAGTTGTCGGAGCTTGCGTTGTCGTTGTTGGCGCAGCCTGAGATTCATAAACAAACAAGCGAAAAAAGATTTTTTATGTCATTCAATAGATGATGATTAATGAGTTTAACTAAGAAGCAATGACTGAGATGATATGGAAAAACATTTTTCATTTCTATTTATTATTATTTATCTAAGTTGAAGCAACTTACACTCTCTACATCAACGACATTCTCTTCCGGTAAAGTGTCGTCATACTCATCATCGTAATTTGATTCTGATTCTTCTTCTGGTTTCTTCTTTTCTTCACGAACATTCGATCTCGATTCCGTTTTCTCATCTATCTCGTTCTCCTCCGCATTTGTTGTCGCTTGGGAAATCTACATAAATCAAAATGCAAACATCAGCTAAGGACAAGCTTTCAAATGAAATCTTTTTCTAGATTTATGAAAAATAAACTTTCAAGTGCAAACAAAGAAAATTTCATGCAAAATTAATTTTTCTTTCTTTCTTTTGGTTGTTGTTGCTGATCGAAAAAGGTCGAAAATTTTTCATGTTGTCATGCATAGTTTGAAGATAAAAACTGACAAAACATATGAAATGAAATAAAAAGGTTTTGGTTTTTCGTGCTTTCTTCAGTGCCTTAATTATTAGTTGTGCAGTAACAGTGAGAGCGAGAGGAAGAATAAAGAAAAAAAGGTCAACATCCCCAAGGAAATGTTGATTGCGTGATGTTAGAAGTTAGATTACTAATTTCTACCTTATCCACCATAAGAGTCACATCTACAATTCTAAAAGTTGATGTGGGAGGTTCAGTTGTTGTTGTTAGGATTTCAGTTGAAGTCTTTGTTGTGCTTGATGTTGTTGATGTCGAAGTTATGGGAGTGTGAGTTGATGTTTCATAAGCTTGTTCCGTGATTACATCCTCGAGCTGTTATATTAATTTATTTTTTTAAAGAGAGAGTGGGGAAGTTGACATACAAAATGATATCAATTACAATGATGTTTACATTTATTTGTACATGAATTATGAAATATGTATGTGGAAAAGGATGATGATTGATGATTAATGATTAAATGTTGTTAGACATAACACTTCATTAGTTATCAGCACAAAATTATGACATCGAAAGCAATCGATAATAAAAACAGAAAGGAAAGGAAAAAAAATCAGGAAATTCAACACCGAGAATTAAAATAAATTATTTCGCGTTCATCCGAAAATGAAAAATGAAACTCAATTAAACTGCTGCTTCATTGAACTAAAAAAGTATTTAAAAATAAATCAAAATAAAATCGAAATGAACGGTTGACGTCTAACAAAAGAGATTTAATAAACGATTGGCATCGTTCTCCATTTATTAAGTAGTCGATCCTACAAAAACTCACCATCGAACTATCCGTTGTCGTTACAATTGACGATTTTTCATCATAAATTATATTTTCATTGTTTTTTGTAATGATTGGAACGAAAATTGTTTCAGCTTCGGGTGTAATTGGTGTTGTTGCCATAGAAACAACAGCATCAGTCGTTAATGTTGATGTTTTCGTAGTGATTTCTTCTTCCATCAACGTTGTTGGTGCTGCTGTTGTTGATGTCGTGCCTAAGGAAGTGTCAGGGATGTAAACGTGCTGTGGAGTTATCGAAATATATTCTTCAGTTTCTATGGCAACAGTCGTCGTAGATTCTGTTGGTGGTTCGGCAATGATTTTCTTCACTTCTTCCAGAATTTGATCTTTGTCTTGATAAATTGGAACATCAACGACGTTATTGTCATTCACAATTGTCTTATTGACATATGATTCCAATTTTATATTCTCAATGACATCGATTGGCGTTATCGCCGTTTCTACTGTGACAGGTCGTTGCGTTCTTTGTTCTAATTCCAAAAGTGTTGTCTCAGTCTCAGCTGGCAATGATTGCGATTCTTCAACGGCCATTTGGGGAATTTCAACTGCAATCACATCACGTTCTGACTCTTCTGTATTCATCGAAGGCTCATCTTGAACTTGTGCTACGGAAATTTTCTTCTGTTTTCTCTTTGAAGAATTTTTCTTATGCTAAAGTTTTGTCATTTCGTGATTTTTTTTTGTTCATTTTATTTTTTGTAAAGGATGTGGTTGCAGGTTTTATTTTATTTTTGTTAGAATAGTTAAAGCAATGGTTTTATTGCGCAAGGAAGGAAGAAATAGGAAGAAACAAGAAACAAAGAGTTATAAATGTATTTTATGTACAACAAGCATATCATCCATCCAAAAGTTCAGGTGAAAGGATTTTCTTCTTCTTTCACCTCAACTTGAAGTGGTTCAAAAGGTTAGAAAGCATGAGATTATTTATGTGTTGCTGATGTTGACGAATAATGAACAATTTATCCCAATAATTTGTGTGTGTATGTGTGTAAGAGAATGATTCAATGCGTACCCAATTAACATAAAATATTCATGAATGAAAAACAGAAAAGAAAAATGTAAAACAAGTCAAATCACAAGAAAAACTTTCATTACAGCTCAGGTGAAAATGAAGAAATTAAATGTTAATGATGATGTCGTTTTATCTTTACAAAAAAGACATAAAGGGGCCGGTGGGAGGTTGGGGATTAATTCATATCTCATGTAAACTGTGAATTTGAGTCATTCTGAATGTGATTTCTCTTCTTTGCTCTAAATATTTTGCCTTTCAAGTGATTTTGTTTCAGTTTTATGATTCTTTGCCTACCTGATAGTGACGAGAACGTGGAGACACAATTGTACTGTCAAAAGATAATAAGCTCGTTAATTTAGAGCCAGAAACTTTACACAAAGGAACTTACTCTTCTTCAGGAATTGAATCTTCTTCCTCCTCATCTTCATTTTCATCTCCTTCCTCATCAATATCCTCATAATATTCGTCATCTTCGTAATTACCGGAACCGTCAGTTTGTCTGCGAGTTCTTTGAACGCGGCTTTTTACGTGTTTCGCCCAAATATTCCACCAGTTAAATGGCAAGCCTGAAAGTTCATCAAGTCCACCTTCCTTTACCTGTTCGTTGATTTGATGTGCTATGGTTTTGCCATTTGAGAAAAGTTTATCACCACAGCCAATCATAAACTCGATACGAGCAACACTTTCTTTGGTATTCAGAAGATTATTACTTTTGTTAATCGAATGCTTTAACATTTCAAGAATCTCCGACGTGTGAATATCGCTGACCGTAATAAATTGCTGTGGAAAAATGATGCGGATATCAATTTAATGTTGCTTGGCGCAATGAACGGAAAACGAAAAAGTTTCGCACGTGGAAATATTTTAAAGAAAAGCTTTTTCTTGCTACGTCATTGAAGAACAATTTAAACTCACCCTTGGCACCATGAAGAAACGTGACAGTTTCTTAATAGCCTTTTCTTTCTTTCTTTCGCTGACATCGCTCCATCTTAGAGATTTCAGCAAAAGTGTCAAAATTGTTTTACTCTCACCAGACGGACATTGTGCGACTTCTTTGGCGTAAAGATAACGTGATGGTGTCTTCATGATAGCTTCCGTAGGATCAGAATTAACAATCTAAATGGAAAATGTTGATTGTTAATTAATCTTTCTTCTTTAAAGAGAAATATTTATCTTACTTGTAAGTCATCAGCTTCAAACTTAAAGTCATCATTCATTTGTGTTGCTACAAAAGTTCCACAAAAAAGCACCAGTAGAACTGTGCTGATTCTTCGTTTCGAAATCATTTTCAAATTAATATTCTTGAAATTTCTTTTATGGGAGGAGATTAAATGAGGGTTGAAAGTTTCTTTTTTATATTTTTTCTTTTATTTTGTCGATTCGTGTCCTCTCCCAGGAAGAAAACTGTTGAAATTAATTGACGTTGAACACGAACAAACTCAATTAATTATCTTTGTAATGCAAACAATTAGAGTTGATAAATCCTCATCTTTATCTCAGGTTCGCGTGTTTATTTTGTACTGCATTGATTCGATTATGTTGTCTCTCGTCTAAGGCAAAAAAGCGTTTTTTTCTTCTACACTTGACTCGCGTCAGCTTTTGATATGAATGATTAAAGATGACGACTGCCTCTTCTATCTCTCTCTTCTTTTGTTTTGTTTATTGATTCACATACAAGACAAAAAAGCTGAAACAAGAAAGAGAAAAAAAAGTTTTAAATTAAATTCCAAAAACAATCGACAGACAAATTTCATCAACTCGTTGGAATGTGTCCCCGGAAAAAGCAAAACAAACCAAAGAATATTCTATTTAGAGAAATAAAAGTTTGATTTATTTATTTGTTTGAGTCAGAGCTAAACTATTGAGAATTCTTTCTTGTCAATTGCCCCAATTTTGCTCATTGGTGAAAAATATTTTTCACATATTCGTATCGTCGTCGCATTTGACGAAACACTTCAAGGCGCTTGAGGCTCTTTTAACACTTGTGCTCAATTAAATGTTCAGCTTCTCAATTATAATTCTGTTTTTAGGAGAAGACGCATGTAAATAGCAACATAGAAGTCAATTGAAAGGGAGACTAATAAATTGAACTCTTTGTTTGATTGAAGCAGACAAACTTTATCTAAGCTTATAATGAAAATTATTCAGCCATTTTATCGCTAAATCACTTACAAGACGAATCAGTAGAATCGATTTTCTTTACATTTTGCGAGCAATCACCCGCCAAGTTCAATTTTTCTGAACCAGAATTAAATTTCCGTTTTGCTTGTTTAATGAGAATCAACAACGAGAGGTTTCAATTACCAAAAATATTTTTTTATTTAATTTCAATTCAACATTATCCGAGTAGCATTTCAACATATTCGTTTATTTAATCTCAACTTAAAGATACGTTTATGATCCATAAAAAAGAGAATTTCTTCATCTCAAGTCAAGTTTCAGGCCTCGAAAAATAAATCAAAAGATGAAAGACAATCTTAGGTGTGGCAGCTTAGAATTGTTGTGATATGCAATTAAAGAACGCATTTAAATTTCCCTGCCCACATTCACAATTCAATTTCTATTTCAATAAAGTTTATTTAAGTGGAAGGAAAACATTTCTAGATGATTAAACCACAACTTCTTGCTCTAATATTTCGTTGATTAAATGCCTAAATTTCCGCTTATTTTATGTAATTTTAATGGAAACATATTGGAATGACTTGCAAATGCCTAAAAACGAGAAGTCTAAGTAAAGTAGGCAGAAATTTGTGCCACGCTTATTTCATTTTAACATGAAAACGAAATTTCATTGTCATGTTCCGCATCTTGTAAATAAAATAAGAGAAGACCGAAAACGAATTAGAATATGAAAATATGTAACTCAAAGTTGTGATGCTTGTTAACAGAAATATTTATCGTGACGTTCCGAGATTTCTAGCTTTCATTTTGCAGCTTTCAATTGATTCAATTATCGAAGCATAATCACAACTTAATCAAATTAAGCAATCAGTTAGTTTGAAGCACTTTAAGTTCTTTTTATCGGTCGTGATGTCGTCAATTGTTTCAAATGTTCTCATTGGATTCCAACAAGAATTATAATTCCCTCTTAGCAGTTTAATTGTATTTTTATTTTATGTTTTTGTTCATCATCTTGTCTGCAAACATACACAAAGTCATCGTCGCTCATCCACTTTTCCAGTAGAATCATTTTAGTGGTTGAGAAACTTTCAACAAAATGGTTTTTATAGCTCACAGCCGCACAGTTTATCGTTCAACTCTTTAATTCTAAAGAGCGCCATGAAACATAAAAAAAGTTCTTTTCTATGCTTGAATTCTTCTAAATAATCAGATGAATTTTATTAACGAAAGATTATGGAAAAGATTATTTCTTGCACGATCAAAATTTTTGAAGAGTTATAAATAAAAATGAAATGAGAACAAAAAAAAAGTTTTATGATGTTTGAAAATGTTTTTCAACTCGTGGTTGCATCACTTGTGGTGCAAACAAATTGTTTAAGAACAAACTAAACTCATCATACAAACAAAAATTGTTCTTAATTAATTTATTAATTAGTGAAGCGTAAAGAAAGAGGGGAGAAAGAAATAAAAATTGCTTCATCGTTCACTGATGGCGATAAACGAAGTATTGTTGCTAATTATAAGAGCTCGAAACTACCAGCATTAATCATGTTGTGAGATATGAGAAAGATCATTGATGAGATCACGATAAATGTCAACGAACTGTTTTTATCTTTTCTTTATTTCTTTTTCTACATTTATTCAAGCCGAGAAGGCGGCTCATTACTCAAATTATGCTATTTGCGCACTTGGTTAGTTGAAATAAGCACAGCTTTTTAAACAACAAATATGCTTTCTTATGTCGGTTGACATGACATACAGAAGAAACGACAGAAATAAAAATTTCAATAAAGTTTCATAAGAGAAGAAGTGGCAACGCCGGAAAAACAAACCTTCAGCATCGCTTTGCTTATTTTTAAACTTCATCGTGATTTCCTCTTCACTCTAAACGAACGAATCAATCTTTCGTGACGATGAGATTTCAAAATTTGTGAGCGCATAAAATGCAAAAGAAGTAAAGACTTACTGTTGTGAGAAAGTAGATAACATCAACGGAAATAATTTCCATCTTCTCTGCTCTGCTCTTCTCATACTTTTATGTACGTAGTCGCGCATTCTACCGAAATCGTGTAAATATTTAATGAACGATAAACTTACATATTTATGTATCAAAACCACCAGTCGATGTTGCGTAATGAAAGAATGTCTTATCATATTTTGTCATAACTTGTAATAAATAAATATAAGTAAGTATCTGTCTCATTTTTTGTATAGGTTACGACAGTTGAGTTTGATAAAAAAAAATATCTTGCAACATATTTATGAACATAAACCTTGATTTTGACCGTTTATTATCAAGCATAAACCTGTGCCAGACTCAAGGGAAGAAAATTAAAAAAGTCTGGCTTTGATTATCGAAAGAGAAAATTTACTGTCGATTATAACGAAATAAAAAAAGAAGAGAACATTTTCCAACTCATTGATTGTCAATCGAACCATAATCAATTCTTATCAACATCAGTTAACAGTATTTCCATTTTAGCAATGGCAGTGAAAGGGACTGATGACAAATTACTGTTATTAAGCGTTTCCAACAACATTTCGATGAAACAGCAAGCAACTCTTTTGTGACTAATCCCTTTAGGATTTTTCTGCGACAATCACTGCAGATTTTGAAAGCGTAAAAAACAAATCCGAAAAAAATTTACATAAATGACTATAAAAGTTCTCCTGTGAGTCTGTGAAGACAGAGATTTTTAGCGGAACGTTTTACTGGTTTTATGTACATGTGTTCATTCCATTATCAGCTTACTTTCGACTGAATAACGTCATGAGCTTCTCTCTTGACAGTTCCATTGTTTCTATGCTGAACAAAACAGAACTTAGGGACAGAAATACTCACTTCGAACCCTACGGGACACAATGATTTCACTTAATGAAAAGAAGGGTTGCAAAAATCAATGTCAATCTTATTTACTTCTTCTTATTTTTGGGAAAATCCATACACTGACATTTGTGTTTGAAACAAGTCCAAAACATATCCAATAAGAATTTAGGAAATTAAATTCTTAATACGTCTGCGTTTACAAGTTGTAACAAGACGACATTCTTATCTGTTACAAAAGTCGAGCTGATAAACGCATCGAAAAATAATTATTTATTAATATTTACTAAGATCATCGGAATGACGGGCGGCATAGTGAACGAAATTGAAAACTGAACAGTGTTTAAAGTATCAATTGCATGAAACGTTATCTCCAGGCGACCTACAGAATTTGATTGAATTTCGTAATCAATTTTACATATAGATGAAAGTTATGTGTCTGTTCGTTCGTTGATGTAATGTGTTAAATAAATAAATGATTCATATGAGATCACATTAGCTAAGTTGCTTCGTGTTGTGTGGGTGGATGCGCAAGATTTTCAATCGTTTTCATGTCTGTCGAGTCGATTTGCATCAGGAACATTAAATAAAGTTAAACGATTCTACCGTGAAAGGAAAGTGAATGCGGCACCCAAAAGTAATACCAGAATTAGAATATTTCAAACCCGGATTGAGACACTCAACCAAAATATGTGGCAAGGCGAACAGTTTAATTCTCAAGCTTTGACATTCGAAAATCAGAAGATTGAAAAGATCATCATTGATATGCCAAGAAGCAGACGGAAAACATTAAAGAAATCCCTCCGCCAATTGAGGAAGACGCAACGGAAGAGAGCGAAACAAGATTGACACGCAACTCAAGTTCATAAATCTTCTTATTCATCACTTCAAATGCTGGCTGTCGAGACAACACTGATGAGAAAGGAAATGTTTTTCTTTCATTTTCTTCAACAATGATTTTCCATTCATTTTTATAGTTTGCGTTTTATGAAAAATCTTGATTTCTAAATTCATGTAAGATTGAAAAAGATTCACTGTCGACATGATCATTTGCCACACAAACTTCGGATTAAAATGCAGAGAAATCGAAATGANAATATTTTTATAGATGATAGATTAGTTATAGTATTGTAGACAGGAACTAACACTTCCACTTGTGTGAATGGCTCGTACCCATGAAGAAAATTCTCTGAGAGAAAGCAAGAAATAAGAAGTTAATACAAGAAAAATAGAAATCCAATTAAACTAACGCCATACCATGCATCGTACTCTTTAATAAGAAAACATCGTGACATGACGTGATTGCTTTCATCTCGCAGCTTGATTGATTCAATTATCGAAGCATAATCACAATAATTTTCATTGCTTCGAGGAACTCTTCAACTTAATCAAATTAAGCAATCAGTTAGTTTGAAGCACTTTAAGTTCTTTTTATCGGTCGTGATGTCGTCAATTGTTTCAAATGTTCTCATTGCATTCCAACAAGAATTATAATTCCCTCTTAGCAGTTTAATTGTATTTTTATTTTATGTTTTTGTTCATCATCTTGTCTGCAAACATACACAAAGTCATCGTCGCTCATCCACTTTTCCAGTAGAATCATTTTAGTGGTTGAGAAACTTTCAACAAAATGGTTTTTATAGCTCACAGCCGCACAGTTTATCGTTCAACTCTTTAACTCTAAAGAGCGCCATGAAACATAAAAAAAGTTCTTTTCTATGCTTGAATTCTTCTAAATAATCAGATGAATTTTATTAACGAAAGATTATGGAAAAGAAATGAAATTCTAAATAAAATCCAGAACGAAAGTGTTTCCTTACTTGTCTTGAGACTTTACACAGAGTCAATTTTTTAAAAATAGAAATGGGAGCGGAAAATATTCCAACAATCATTGCATCATTTGTGGTGCAAACAAGTTGCTTTTTTTTCTCTCGCGGCATCTTTGTTAATTAATTTATAGTTTAACTTCTTAAATGAAGGAAACAGCTTCATTAACAGCAATATAAAAAGGTGGAAACGTAAAAAATTTTTACCGGAATCCATTGCCATGGAAATTAGCAGAAAGCCATAAAATGAAGTTGGGAAATTTCACAAGAAAAATAAAGAAGAAACCAAGCAACGATCATAAAAGAATTACAAATGTAAACGAACTTTGTTTCATTACATAGATCAGGCATTAACAATTAAAATATTTTGGCACGCAAAACTGGGAATTACTCAATAGGCTTAACAATCATAAACACCTTGAAGATCTCATTTAAAGGAATTCGTTTTATTTATGTTTGAAGTAATGTCTGGGGAAAACTTTTCTTGCTACAATCGCATTGCAGAAGTTTGACAACGTCGCAAATTCACTTTTCATTGAAACTTTTGTTGCTAACAAATCTTTAAAATTCATCACGATTGTCTTTTTAACATCAAATGACGTTCTTTTAGTAATGTTATGTAAAGGTTGAACGATTCATTAATCATGAGATGCGTGGTGCTTATGAGTAATGTTTTACGTCACATTTTTTATGAATATTTTCATTCTGTTTTGTTTCGTTGAACTCTTCACGGAAGATTTGGAAAGTTCAAAGTTCATTTTATAAAGTTTACTACAACTTAGGTCGGAATTGGAACATGTCTAATCTATCATCGAGGAATTAAGAGAAGACTTATTGTTTTGTTGAAGGGAAATTTTCATTATTTTCCTTAACGGAAATTGTTTCATTTACGACATTTCATTGCGAGAGTTTTGCTAAACACAATTGTCGAAAAGAAATCGTAAATTGCGAAAACAAAGAACTTATCTATCGCTTAAATGATAAAACATGCGAAAAACTTTACAACCATAATGACAGTTTATGGAATTGTGAGCTAACAATGATAACAAACATTCACATCGTAAACATAAAAAGAATTGTTCAACGCGCGTTAATAATTTATTGAAACTCCATGAAAATATTTTCGACAGCATAAAACATTCATGAAGGGAAACAGACAGTTCTGTTCTAACATGTTTCTGGTCAATTTTAAGGGCGTTTCAGAGACAACAAACAGTGATACATGTAACATATCTGTTTCCAAAACAAACAAACTTTTAGGTCATTATTACAAAGTAATGTGCTTCAAACTTTCTTTCGCAATTTTAATAATTTGTAAAGAGAATATAATTTCTACGATGGGAACTCTACAATCTTATGTTATTTATAAAACCGAGAACTCATAGTGTACTTGCCATGTTATCTTATCTGTTATGAAAGCAATCTCTTACATATTTTGATAACGAAACTAGTGTAAGTTTTATATTGAAAGAAGCATTGAATAACAAACTGTTTCAATTTTTTTCCCTTCTGTAAAATGGACGGAAAATTTCAATCAAAATTCATAAAAAATAGAAATTTATTCAGAATATTTTAAAAGAATTTTCGATTAAGAACTTTAACATAATCGTTTCGAAACTTATAAAAGAGGAAAAGAAAATAAGATTAAAATATCTTCAGCAACTTACAGTTCATAAATCTTACTTTCCATGTCATTGAAGACGGAAGGAGATTGAGTGCGTAATAAAAAAGGTTTTCTTGCGCTTTCTTCTAACTGTTTTCAATCTTTTCAATAAATTTTTTAGGGTTCTAGGCATTTTCGTTCTTATTTAGTTAGCTTTGCATGTATAGAATGAAACATTATGAACGTTTCAAATTTAATACCTCAAACTCTAATTTTGAACTAAACATTTGTTGAAATATGTTTTGGCTTTCACATTTAATGATAAAAGGCAATTAAATGATCTAAACAAGGGAAAAAGAGCTTCATGAAGAGTGAATGGAGAGCTTTGTTGATGTTGGTTCGCTACTTGATTTGTATTTTGATTATTTTACATGTAAAATGTGAAATGAATTAAAGTTATTTAAGTACGAAATCTTTCTGCTCGAATTGCGGCTCTCCTTCAATTTCGTTTTTTCAATTTCCATTCGACGTAGTGCAACATCGTCAACTGAAATGCTAAACTGAAGTGGATTCATTGACTTTAACGAAGTTTAATGAAATTCGACTCAATATTCACGGTCACTTCTCCAATTGCTTTCTAGGGCTTTTTGCTTCATTGATTGTTGGCTTAAGTCATGTTTGGGTTTAGGACATTTAAAATAAAAATCCTGAACTTGATTTCGTGTCGTAATCGATAAAACTTCGTTTTCATCTTTACATTTCCGGATCCCATCGGCAAAATCAGTTGAAGTTATTATCACCAAAATGAGACACTTTAAGGTCTGATAAGACATCAGAAAAATTAGCGAACATGAACATCCGAAATAAATTATGTTATCAAGTCACTCGACAAAGTTCGAGAGGTGAATCATTGAAACTTCTGTTCTAAATAACTTTTGAAGCTTTTCCATCTTTGTAAGCGATTGCGTCAGAATTTGACTCGATTTTGTGATTCTTCATCGAAATCTTCTGTCATCGCGATATTTACGATGACTTCAGACGACATTTAGCGATCGACTTCAGACTTTGAAGCACCACATGGCGAGATTAAAAAATGATTCACGTTCACATTTACAACGGCAAATATTTCTCGACTTCTTCAACGTTTCCTGCTTCTCGTGATGATATTTTGCCTCCCGTTTCAAAATATTTATGCAAACGAACGTTGAATTTATCTCGCACACATGTGACAGAAGGAATGAAAACAAATTCATAAACTTCTGTAAATGAATGAATGTAAAAAGTAATAAATGTAAGAAACATTTCTGACGAGCATTGCTTGCAAATTTATTAATCCGCAGAGTGAAATATTAGCATTGCGATGAGATTTTTATGAGAAGAAATAAAAAAGAATTTTAAGCAAAGTTTCAACTTTACATTTTTTTAGTAAAAAATTTCACAGCAAATGTTGAGATTCAAAACTTTTTACAAGATGAAACGAATGTTCATGATGTAAACGTGTATTCGATTTATTTTGCATTTCTTTTTTATTCTCCTTGACTAAGAATAATAAATTTGCATCAAAGCTGAAAGTATAGACAAGGAAAGCTGGTGTTGATCAAAACAGAATTAAATCTTTTAAAATAAATAAATGATGATTGGCAAAGCAGATTTCTACTTTAATATGTTTCTCGTTCGAGGATGCAAGAATGTTAAAGTAAATTATTAAACAAAAGCTTTGAAGAAATGAAGTGAGTCTGAAAAGTAACGACACACGTTTATCCACAGCTTAACCAGATAACTAACATTGCTCGTTGTATCTTTTCTCATGAATACTTCATAAATCAATGCAAAATTCAAATGAAACTCTTGTAATTGTATTCACTAATGTTTTATACTAAGGATTTATTCATTTTATGCGATTTAAAAAAACTTTCAAGTTTTAATGCATTTTCAAGTCAATTTCTCTGTTAACATGAACAAGAAATTGAGATATTCCATTGCAGTTGCAAGTAAGAAGAAGAATGGCGTGCTTAAGCGCTTAACTTAGAGATTGATTATATTTTATGTTAACAAGATGCAGCTGGTAAATCTGGAACTTCATGTTTTCATTCTAATCATGTCCTAGTCTTTCTACTTACAAAGTAATTTTAAATAAACTTCGCTCACTTTCGTCAATTATTTTTCATGACTTTCAGTTAACTTTAAAATGTTTAAACAATGATTGAGCAGAGATTCAAATAATACGGATCTGTAGAGATTATTCAATTGAATGATGAAAGAGTTCCAGATGCAGATCGAAAGAAACGCATAAAATAGAATCGAATTTCATGAACAAATAATTGAATACACAACCAAGTTAAATCTTATTAAATTCTTACGCTCGATTATGCCTTTTCGCTTTTTTTTCTCATCCCCAAGTCTAATCGATAAATAAACAAACAAAAGAAGTGAAAATTCGGATTCTCCTTTGATCCAATTTAATCTTCTGTTGATGTCTTAAACATAAATTTAATACTTATGGAAAGGCCACCCACACAGCAATATCTTTTTCCTTAACTTTGAAACTGAGCCAAGCAATCAAATCATCCTTAGTCCATTTCCTTTTCCGAAAACTTTCTTTTGCGTAGCAGAAAGTTAAGGAAAGAAATTCCGTTCACATGCTTGAAACCATCTTGGATCTTCTTCTTTTATTTGGTCTTAGAAAAATTCTCAAGATGTTTCATGCAAACTTTGTTTTTTATTTCATTTTCAATGGGAAATTTTTATCTTAAAAGTTGAACTGTTTTTGTTCCTCATGATGGAATTTTATTTAACAAAGGAATTTTTCGTGATGTTTTAAAAATCGAATCTAAAATTTCATAAATTGTGAAGTGAGATTAAGCCTGAATTTCACTAAATTGTCTTTGCACAAGCGAAATTGTTCTGTTTACCGAACTCCACCCTCTCGTAATAAAATTATTAACTCATAATTCACACAATCGAAACACAAGAGGACTGACGTTTGTGATCTTAATTAACGAAAATGAATAATAACTTATGACTGTTCGTTACTCGTTTCAATAATGTGACATAAACAACAGCATTGAAAAAAAATTCTTTTTAACCATTAACGAAAAATGTTTTTTTGTTCATCTTGTTGCTTTGACCTCTCGATAAAAATAACAAGATTTCTTTACTCAAATTCCGACAAATTTGTATTTTGAATAGATATCTATCTACATAATATTTGTGTTAATAATGTTGTGTCAAAAGAAAACGCGGAAATTGTTTCCAAGTTAACGGCACAAGCCCCGAAATGAATTTCTTACAAATTAATTTCAATTAACTTCAAAGACAGATTTTTGTTCTTTTCCTAAGAAATATTTTTAGATGTTTGCTCACCAATCAGTTCATTGAATCGTTTACACGCCAATTAAAATATTTTATGAGATTACCTATTAAAATTTCAATTAACTGTCAAAGACTTTGTTAAGGAACAGAAATGAATTTTGGTTATAAATTATCTTCTCGATTACCTCGAACACAATACAATCTGCCGACATACTTGACTTGATGAATTGGCTTTTAAATAGATTGTCAACAATTTTCAGATTAAGTTTCTTTTTTGTTTTGCATATCGAGCGTTATCGTAGGAAGACAGCACATCATCTAAGGAATCTTGAGGAGTGTTCGAGCAACATCACATAGCTTGCGGTTATTAAACTGAACATTGTTTTTTCATTTGATTGCTTATAATTTTAACCACATTTGAATTATTTTTTCTCTTTAAGATGCTTTTAAAGTTTAAATTGAAGGCTATTAAAGTCATCTTGATAAAGTGAGGGAAATGGTCACAATAACTGTTTTTAAATGAGTTTTTTGACGCTCTCTGATCACTATTATCAAGACAAATTGTGCTAATTAAATGAACACACATAGGCTTAAAGGATTGTAGAATAAATGCTCTGTAATCAACTGTCAGTTGACGATGCCGCGGGCTGTTAATGATTGTTTAATTAAAAGTTTAGTGAAGTAGCTTACTTACATTCAAGAATGTGTTTGATAACGAAAGCAAGTCTCTCTCTCTTAATTTATTTAATTCATTTGAATAGAGATTATTGTTCAATTGAATTTACAAAAAAATATGTTAATTGAAATTCGATAAGGTTAAAAACTATTTGAGAGATTATGCTGTCAAAAGATTAATGCTTCAGTTGGAAAAGCAATCAAAGATGAAATTAATCGGTTGTTGGCTTTGATTTTGAGACGAATTATAAATAACTAAAAATTGTCTGCTTACCTTTAAATATGCTCGATTTGTGTTGTTATGTGAAATGCCTTGCTGACTTGTTGATTGAAATTAATTCAAGAAAAGTGTCACGAATGTCGATTTGATTCTACGTAATGCACTTTAATTATTTTTTAAAACACTTTTATGAACTCAATTTATGTGCATTTATTAATAATTCACTGATAATCCTGATAGTATAATAGGAGAGTTAATTAAAATCTGTAGCTCTCTTGTTGTTATCCTGATGTTTATATTTTGTTATTGAATCACAACTGTAACGAGAAAAATAAATAAGAGTTTAATTAATTGAAAGTTTTTTTAATCATTTTGGGTGAACTAATTTTCATTGTTCATTAAACTTCAGTTATGTTATCAAAAACCCAATTTAAATCAACTTCAATTGAGTTGAATTGAAAAGTGCATGGGAAATAAGTTGCCATCACTTCATAAGCACATAATTAAATCTTATCAGAAATATTCCACTTCACGCATCATCACCAGACGCTGAACTTTTAATTGACGAATCATCATTGACAACTTGCAACATCGTCAACTGATCTTGATAATAAATATCATGGCTAACACTCTCCCCATTCAAGAGAGTCTGATGTCTACTTAATTATAACAATTTGTCTAGATTTAGTCTAAATGTAAAGCAATATGAAGTTCATTTAGTTGAGACAACATGTCATCACTCGCTCATGTTTGATCAATTTTGTGCTCTCTTCATTTGACGTTTTTATGTTTCCTGTGTGTCTCACCACAAACTTCAACTTCGAAATCTTTTGATCACAAACCGCAAGGGAATGTAAAATTTAGCCAATGTGTTCATGAATTCACAATCACAGAACAAGTTTAATGAACGCAAAGGTGTAGAAAGGAAATTATGACAATGTGTGTAAGCATAAGTCAATTGGCTTTGTGCAGTTTTCGCAGATTTGCATGAATAAAACATTATGGAAAATTCTGAGATTTTTCAACATTTGTTTTAAATCCACACGAAATGAAAAGATTGTTCTGTCTTCGATATTTGTCCGTGAAATTTTAAATGCAAGTCTCGCACTTATTGTTCATTATGCAAATTTCCTGTCGTTGTGACTTCATCAACATAGTCATACAATACGTATTGAGACTGTTCTTTCACAAGATTAGAATAACTAATCAACTAATGCCGTTAGACATAAAATTATCTATATGCATACATACTTATGTACATACAATGTTGATCTATTGTTTAGCCTTTCTTTCACTCCCATAATAAACTCATCATCAACACATTCTATTTGGAAACTTGCGGGAATTTTATGATCTATTCATTTTACGATTCTGATGAACGGCGCCAATATTTTTTTCCTTCTATCCTAAATCCAATGCAATTCAAAGTCACTCATTGAATCATAATATCCACCCACACAACAAAGTAACAAACAAGGAGTTGAAGCCGAATTTGGTTGTGCAAACAGAAAGTCATTTGCCCTCTCCAATTTATTTATAACTTCAAAAGGTTCAATTATGACCGGAAAGAAATATTTAAATAGCAAAAGCAGTTTGAACTCTTTGGTGGGTGATTGATGAAGCATGATGGAAACTTAGTTACGTTAACAAGCTGATTGAGAAGCTTCGATGTCGCAATTTATCAACAAAAAAAATTTCTCCTATGACTTCTTTTGATTAATTTCTCTCAGAATTGTATTTAGGTCAGATCCAGATTCAAAGAATTTTTAATTAATATTAATTGTCGACCTTTTAGTTCTTTTGTGCTCGCTTTATCTTGGATGTTAGTAGCAATTGTTAGAAGAAAAAAAATTCCAAAATTTACGACCGTTAAAAACGGATTATTCATGAATTTCAATTAGGAATTTATGTCTTTGGATCCGACAACAAACTCATTTTTGCGTCGTCAATTTGTGGATTTTTTCAATAATTTGAATTTAGTGTTGTAAGCTCGCTTTTGCTTAGTTTATGATCGTAAATGAGAACATATTAATAACCATTTTCATTTCTTAATTCTTTGTTGTAAGATCAGCGAGAGACAACATTGACATCACTTTTATATTTAAACTCAGTAATTGACTTCAGTAGGATTGACGCTTGAAGTTTAAAGAAGAATGAAATATAAAAGCATCCAGAAATGTTGAGCTGACAAGCTGTTCGAGAAATCTTGAAGAATATGAAGTAAAATTATGCACGAACATGAAGCAAACTCGAACACTTTATGCTAAATGACATACAACCAACAAGCAAATAAAAAATTTAGTAGAATGAAAAGTTTTGCAATTATGACGAGTGTCGCACCAAGTAATTTTTTGTTTTTCCTGCTTGTTTTCTGTTAACATTCATATTCAAACGCGCAACAAAAAGTTTCACACATTTTTGCAAAGTCATTAAAAGTTTTGTCGAAGGAATGACAACACAAAATAAAGATCGATTGAGCTTCTGAAGCAGAAAACTTGGTGATATTTCAATTTTTATAATATTTCATTTCTCATGTTGACTTTTATATCCAAAGTTCTGCATTTGTCGTAGGCATAGCAAAAAAAGAGGAAAAAAGTTTCATTCTAAAATAACATTTTTTATCGCCTCACTTTGTACTCAACAGTCGAGTGTTAAAACAAATGAAATTGATAAAGAAATTAAAGCAAGGGAACCCATAAAAAGTAAGAAACATTTACAATTTTTTTCTTCTCTCACTTCTTTCTTTCTTTCTACTGCAGTCTACTGAATAACTTATTCAAGCTGACCCAATAATATTTTTTCATTGCATGAGTTGAAACGAGAAACTGAATAATGTTAGGGTCGTTTTCGCCGCCGCAGATGTTTTCGAAATTCTTTCATTGAAGCAGAAGACGAAGTTTGAATAAAATGATTTGAAAAGTGCTGACGATGCAATGAAATCTACAATGTGTGAGCGACATGGGCGATTAATATTTAAAGTACTCGAAATGCTTAAAACTTCTTCCTCTCAGTTGGAGTTAAGAAAACATTTCCTTCAAATAATTTCTTATACTCATTACAAATGTGCAACATAAATTAAGTCTCATTGACACATCTTTGTTTATTCTAGTAATACAAATGATGAGTTATTGTGTGATTACTAAGCTTGACTTTCATAGCAACACCATTAAAAAGGAATCCTAGGAATAAAATATTTTTAACCAACTAAACCTTGTTTCTCTCGTAAAACAGAATTTCTTGTCTTTTGATGCAAGACATTAAAGGGAAGAAAGAAAAATAAAACATTAAAAAACCTGATGTGGATGAAAATTGCGTGGGTGGATCAACATAGTCGATGTAAAAAGATCAAATCTTTCGATGCATTGTTGCCAGATTAAACAAGATCAGCTTTTCACTTTTTTCTGTTTATTTACCCATCGATGAGTCTCATGGGAAAGAAAATCGCCGCAAAGTCGAGCATTAGAACTTAAGAAGATTTGACTTTCTCCAATATTTATTTATTCGTGAAATACGAAACTATTTAATGTATTTTTCTCGTTCTGCATCTGGAACTCTCACATCATTTGATTTTATAATCTCTCCAGATGCGCATTATTTCGATCGTTAATCAGTCTTTTTGTAAACTTTAAAAATATCTTCGGCTTCGAGACGAGTTTAATAAAAACAAAAGATAAATATTTACAGTCGTTAACCGCCGTTTCAGAAGAAAAGAAAAATTACTTCAAAAGTTTATTTCAAAAGTTCGGATTTCTTGCTCTCCACATTCCAAAACCGACCCGGCGCATGAATCAATCTGAAACCATCATCTTTATTACATTAGATTCTTCTTTGTTTACAACTTCTTTTCGACGAGTTCAAATAAACTTTTTTCCTGTTTCCATGCTTTCTCTCTTCACACACATTCCTGTCTAAGATTAAAAATAAACTTTTGGTTGTTGATTCAATGTAGAATATGATTGCAAAGTAAGTGCATATGCTGTAGATTTTATTACTCATTGTTGTAAGAGTTAGTAAGTGTTGGCTGTGTCTGAGTCACAATAACTTGAATAAACACTTCAAAATATTGCTGGCATCATTCGCGGGACGCTCAATTTATCTCAACTCCATGTTCATCGTTTTTCTTGACGAAAACGTTCAAACCACTACTTAGGTTTCAATAGTCTTTTGTTAAAAGTACCATTCATTTAATCTTCCCAAAGAAGAGTTTTAACTTCAATGCATAAACTAGCTGCGGTTTTACATTTAATATTTCAATCCTTTCTAGCATTTAAAACCCAAATGCAGTGGAATGAAATCGGTAGGAACAGGTTAAGCTTCATTTAAAGAAAGTTAATAAAACTTTATTCATTAGCATTGAATGAAGATAGAAATCTTACTCATAAAAAACTAGAAAACGAAAATTTCTTTAACTTTCATACAATTCGAATTTTAAATGCAATTTAAACTTTTTTTTCTTCATAAATTACCGTGAGGAAAGAATAATCGACGTCTTGTGCAATGCAAGTCATTGGCCTTATCCCAATGTTTAATGTTTTGTTTGTGCCTAATTTAAAAAGTGAAAAAATTCTGAATTAGAACTTCTATTCACATAATTCATCAACATATTTAAAAGCTTCACTTTTCTCAAAACATATATCGAGATTATTGCATATTTGCATGCCGATAATATGGCGGTTATGAACGGTTATGAAGAATGAGAACAATAAGCTTGCTGGATGTCGTTGAAAGCAACATAAATGAATGCCAACCATAACTGAGAGTTTTTCATTATAGTTTTGTTTAAAATTTCGCAGCATAATGGATCGTCGTTGTTAAATTTCTCAGTTAGGAAAACATCTTTTCATGCTTGAACATTTTTTTCCATCGCTTTCAAGGGTCTGTTTGTTTTAATTCATCTGCACAAATTAAAGTTTTTTTTTCTCGTTACTTCTGTCACATGTGTGCGAGATAAATTCAACGTTCGTTTGCATAAATATTTTGAAACGGGAGGCAAAATATCATCACGAGAAGCACAACACATCTTTGTTTAAAGTTTAAAAGGAAACGTTAAAGAAGTCGAGAAATATTTGCCGTTGTAAATGTGAACGTGAATCATTTTTTAATCTCGCCATGTGGTGCTTTAAAGTCTGAAGTCGATCGCTAAATGTCGTCTGAAGTCATCGTAAATATCGCGATGACAGAAGATTTCGATGAGGATTCACAAAATCGAGTCAAATTCTGACGCAATCGCTTACAAAGATGGAAAAGCTTCAAAAGTTATTTAGAACAGAAGTTTCAATGATTCACCTCTCGAACTTTGTCGAGTGACTTGATAACATAATTTATTTCGGATGTTCATGTTCGCTAATTTTTCTGATGTCTTATCAGACCTTAAAGTGTCTTATTTTGGTGATAATGACTTCAACTGATTTTGCCGATGGGATCCGGAAATGTAAAGATGAAAACGAAGTTTTATCGATTACGACACGAAATCAAGTTCAGGATTTTTATTTTAAATGTCCTAAACCCAAACATGACTTAAGCCAACAATCAATGAAGCAAAAAGCCCTAGAAAGCAATTGGAGAAGTGACCGTGAATATTGAGTCGAATTTCATTAAACTTCGTTAAAGTCAATGAATCCACTTCAGTTTAGCGTTTCAGTTGACGATGTTGCACTACGTCGAATGGAAATTGAAAAAACGAAATTGAAGGAGAGCCGCAATTCGAGCAGAAAGATTTCGTACTTAAATAACTTTAATTCATTTCACATTTTACATGTAAAATAATAATCAAAATACAAATCAAGTAGCGAACCAACATCAACAAAACTCTCCATTCACTCTTCATGAAGCTCTTTTTCCCTTTTTTGGATCATTTAATTGCCTTTCATTATTATGTGAAAAAAGAAATGAAATCATTTCGATTTCTCTGCATTTTAATCCGAAGTTTGTGTGGCAAATGATTATGTCGACTCGACAGTGAATCTTTTTCAATCTTACATGAATTTAGAAATCAAGATTTTTCATAAAACGCAAACTATAAAAATGAATGGAAAATCATTGTTGAAGAAAATGAAAGAAAAACATTTCCTTTCTCATCAGTGTTGTCTCGACAGCCAGCATTTGAAGTGATGAATAAGAAGATTTATGAACTTGAGTTGCGTGTCAATCTTGTTTCGCTCTCTTCCGTTGCGTCTTCCTCAATTGGCGGAGGGATTTCTTTAATGTTTTCCGTCTGCTTCTTGGCATATCAATGATGATCTTTTCAATCTTCTGATTTTCGAATGTCAAAGCTTGAGAATTAAACTGTTCGCCTTGCCACATATTTTGGTTGAGTGTCTCAATCCGGGTTTGAAATATTCTAATTCTGGTATTACTTTTGGGTGCCGCATTCACTTTCCTTTCACGGTAGAATCGTTTAACTTTATTTAATGTTCCTGATGCAAATCGACTCGACAGACATGAAAACGATTGAAAATCTTGCGCATCCACCCACACAACACGAAGCAACTTAGCTAATGTGATCTCATATGAATCATTTATTTATTTAACACATTACATCAACGAACGAACAGACATATAACTTTCATCTATATGTAAAATTGATTACGAAATTCAATCAAATTCTGTAGGTCGCCTGGAGATAACGTTTCATGCAATTGATACTTTAAACACTGTTCAGTTTTCAATTTCGTTCACTATGCCGCCCGTCATTCCGATGATCTTAGTAAATATTAATAAATAATTATTTTTCGATGCGTTTATCAGCTCGACTTTTGTAACAGATAAGAATGTCGTCTTGTTACAACTTGTAAACGCAGACGTATTAAGAATTTAATTTCCTAAATTCTTATTGGATATGTTTTGGACTTGTTTCAAACACAAATGTCAGTCTATGGATTTTCCCAAAAATAAGAAGAAGTAAATAAGATTGACATTGATTTTTGCAACCCTTCTTTTCATTAAGTGAAATCATTGTGTCCCGTAGGGTTCGAAGTGAGTATTTCTGTCCCTAAGTTCTGTTTTGTTCAGCATAGAAACAATGGAACTGTCAAGAGAGAAGCTCATGACGTTATTCAGTCGAAAGTAAGCTGATAATGGAATGAACACATGTACATAAAACCAGTAAAACGTTCCGCTAAAAATCTCTGTCTTCACAGACTCACAGGAGAACTTTTATAGTCATTTATGTAAATTTTTTTCGGATTTGTTTTTTACGCTTTCAAAATCTGCAGTGATTGTCGCAGAAAAATCCTAAAGGGATTAGTCACAAAAGAGTTGCTTGCTGTTTCATCGAAATGTTGTTGGAAACGCTTAATAACAGTAATTTGTCATCAGTCCCTTTCACTGCCATTGCTGAAATGGAAATACTGTTAACTGATGTTGATAAGAATTGATTATGGTTCGATTGACAATCAATGAGTTGGAAAATGTTCTCTTCTTTTTTTATTTCGTTATAATCGACAGTAAATTTTCTCTTTCGATAATCAAAGCCAGACTTTTTTAATTTTCTTCCCTTGAGTCTGGCACAGGTTTATGCTGGATAATAAACGGTCAAAATCAAGGTTTATGTTCATAAATATGTTGCAAGATATTTTTTTTTATCAAACTCAACTGTCGTAACCTATACAAAAAATGAGACAGATACTTACTTATATTTATTTATTACAAGTTATGACAAAATATGATAAGACATTCTTTCATTACGCAACATCGACTGGTGGTTTTGATACATAAATATGTAAGTTTATCGTTCATTAAATATTTACACGATTTCGGTAGAATGCGCGACTACGTACATAAAAGTATGAGAAGAGCAGCGCAGAGAAGATGGAAATTATTTCCGTTGATGTTATCTACTTTCTCACAACAGTAAGTCTTTACTTCTTTTGCATTTTATGCGCTCACAAATTTTGAAATCTCATCGTCACGAAAGATTGATTCGTTCGTTTAGAGTGAAGAGGAAATCACGATGAAGTTTAAAAATAAGCAAAGCGATGCTGAAGGTTTGTTTTTCCGGCGTTGCCACTTCTTCTCTTATGAAACTTTATTGAAATTTTTATTTCTGTCTTTTCTTCTGTATGTCATGTCAACCGACATAAGAAAGCATATTTGTTGTTTAAAAAGCTGTGCTTATTTCAACTAACCAAGTGCGCAAATAGCATAATTTGAGTAATGAGCCGCCTTCTCGGCTTGAATAAATGTAGAAAAAGAAATAAAGAAAAGATAAAAACAGTTCGTTGACATTTATCGTGATCTCATCAATGATCTTTCTCATAACTCACAACATGATTAATGCTGGTAGTTTCGAGCTCTTATAATTAGCAACAATACTTCGTTTATCGCCATCAGTGAACGATGAAGCAATTTTTATTTCTTTCTCCCCTCTTTCTTTACGCTTCACTAATTAATAAATTAATTAAGAACAATTTTTGTTTGTATGATGAGTTTAGTTTGTTCTTAAACAATTTGTTTGCACCACAAGTGATGCAACCACGAGTTGAAAAACATTTTCAAACATCATAAAACTTTTTTTTTGTTCTCATTTCATTTTTATTTATAACTCTTCAAAAATTTTGATCGTGCAAGAAAATTCGTCTGCATTTTATTTAGAAATTCATTTCTTTTCCATAATCTTTCGTTAATAAAATTCATCTGATTATTTAGAAGAATTCAAGCATAGAAAAGAACTTTTTTTATGTTTCATGGCGCTCTTTAGAATTAAAGAGTTGAACGATAAACTGTGCGGCTGTGAGCTATAAAAACCATTTTGTTGAAAGTTTTTCAACCACTAAAATGATTCTACTGGAAAAGTGGATGAGCGACGATGACTTTGTGTATGTTTGCAGACAAGATGATGAACAAAAACATAAAATAAAAATACAATTAAACTGCTAAGAGGGAATTATAATTCTTGTTGGAATGCAATGAGAACATTTGAAACAATTGACGACATCACGACCGATAAAAAGAACTTAAAGTGCTTCAAACTAACTGATTGCTTAATTTGATTAAGTTGAAGAGTTCCTCGAAGCAATGAAAATTATTGTGATTATGCTTCGATAATTGAATCAATCAAGCTGCGAGATGAAAGCAATCACGTCATGTCACGATGTTTTCTTATTAAAGAGTACGATGCATGGTATGGCGTTAGTTTAATTGGATTTCTATTTTTCTTGTATTAACTTCTTATTTCTTGCTTTCTCTCAGAGAATTTTCTTCATGGGTACGAGCCATTCACACAAGTGGAAGTGTTAGTTCCTGTCTACAATACTATAACTAATCTATCATCTATAAAAATATTGTCAATGTTCATGCGCTGAAAGAAAATTAAATTTGATTTTATTTATGTTTCAAAGGTCGACTAGAATACGAAATCAGCAATGCTGAATTCATTTTGCTGTTTGTTTCTTTTCCTGGTCGTTATTGTATGCAAAGTTCAATTATATTATAAGAAATGCATTTAAACTAAATCGTTATTGATAAATGTAGAAAAAAATATACATTTGGGCTTTATTTAAGCCAACCACACCTTATCGACATCATCAATATGAACGTTAGATATTCAATGTTCTTTCATATGCTCCAATAAATATTTATTTTTTCTTTTTCGTAAGCCTTATTGTTTTTGTTTTATGGATTCAATCGTCCGGGGAGAGGAGAAAAGTTTTTCGATTCTTTTCTTGTTCTTCAATCCTATTAAATTTCCACAAGATAATTGAATAATCTGTTCTTTGAGGGTCGACCGGGAATTCGGCGTTGGTGTAGTGTAATAGGGAAAAAAAACTTCCAAAAAATGACATAATGAAAGATGAGAAAGAAATTTCGATGAGTGATAAAGATTCCTTTGAAACACTTACATTTCCTGTCCTTAAAATGACAATGATGCAAGCAACAAATTACGTTTCCTCAATGGCTAGATAGTAATGCGATGATACAATTGAAAAGGAAATGAGTCAATTCATAAGAAATGTTTATGTTATCACTTTCAGCTTTTTATATCAAGAAATATTTGGTCGTTATGATTCTTTATCAGTTTTAAGGTGAATGTAAATATTGATTTTATCGAGCCTTCGTCATCCTGATTGAAGTTAAAAGATTTTTAAAAATAAAAATGTTTACATGAACAGAAGTTTAATTGAAAAGGCCATCGAATTAATTATCGTGAAAAATGCAAAAAATACATGATCAACATAAATAAGAAATCAAGTTTTACGGCCTTTTGGAAAATTTGCTTTTAATTAAGATTAAAATATTTCAAAGTTTACTTTTGCTTTCCTGCAGATAATTTTTAATTCTTAAAAGCGGATTCGTTAAGTAAATATTGACACAATCGACCACATCGGTTGGATAATAGTCAGCAAGAAAAAAATTCTGATGGTTTGTTTTGTGTTAAAATTGAGTGAGTTAAGATATTTTTTGTTATTAGTAAGTTTCTTTGCTTCTTCTCTTTATTTGGTTATCACCATGAATCGTGATATGAGCGTTGAGATAAACAAGCTACATTTACATACAGAGAAGCCCTGAACTTTTCGCAAAGACGGTCATTATGCATGAAACTATAAATAGCAGCCGGTAAATAAAAGTAAACTGTTATCCAACACATGTATGAGGTTCAACAAACACATCGACAGACCATCCTTGACTTGATGATAATTGAATAAATTCGTTGAGTTCTGTTCTGTTTCTTTGCTGTTTATTGTTACTTCATGAACCAACATTAGCAGACAAGGGAGAACCCTTGAACTTGGTGATAAAACTTATTCCACTTTACAAAAGTGTTACAAATTAAATAATTGATATATAAAAATTTTTGATTGTTTCCAACAATTTAAGAGTTTTTTGAAAGAAAGAAAAATAAGAAAAATCAATTGAAGACAATTTCGAATAAAAAACAAATACAAAACCCTGAAATCAGCACACAAATTTCAGAATGAAAGTGTTTTCGATTAATAAATTAAATAACGATAAAAATTCTTTTAGACAGTTCTATAAAAATAAAAACAGCCATGAAAAAGAAACCTAAGCGAAATTAATTGAATTGATTGCTGCTCAATCAAAATTTGTTTTGTTTTGCAACATTAGATATTTGTGTATGCTGTTTGAATCTTTATGATACTTAATCAGAACGAACAATAGAGAAGAAGCATAGAATATGCAACAATGTTAGCCTTTCTCCTTAAAGCTTTATCAATACTCCATTTAAGTTTAAATCAAGATAATAGAAAGAAAGAATATTTCACACCCTCAACTTAGCATTTTTCACTCACGCACGCTTTATTTCTTTGCATTCTTATGTTTAATTTTTTCTTAGGATATGGAAAAGAAATAATAAACGCACAAACCCGAAAATAGGAGACCCGACAATCGATCGATAATTTTGATGTGTGTGTGAAAGTAAGCGAGCAATTTTCACGGTAAGAAATTCGCAGATTGTTTTACGTGTGTCAATGAGGGAACAAGATATCTTACACATTATAAAGACATAAGAAATTACTGAATTAATTAAATCTTTATGAGTCTTCTTACCTTTTAAGAATATCCAGTTTGATGAAAAATTTAGTTGTAATCCAATAAATCTCTTTTATCTCAATATTTAAAATGCACTTTCGCAACTTTATTTATAAAATCACAAGAAATCTAAATGATTGAAGAAAAATCAACACAAATCACTGTTTTATGACAAGTCATCAATTAAATTCCGAGCGAAGTTTATTTCATACTTCGTGTAGCACTCAACATAAACTGAATGTAAATTTACTAACTTGGGCTAACAAAAAGTGTATAGTGGGTGTGTTCAGAAAATACATTCGAACTTAACTGTTTATCATAAAATGCAGTCATGTTTTTCAGCCCTAATGCATGATATTAACCTTTATCACAATCAATCCTAAAAAGTACAATAATTTTAACAATACGATGTCAGCAAAAGCTAATTTAAAACTAGTTTTATACGAAGAAATATAAGACTGATTAAAAACTAACCGACATAATTCTGAACAGTGCAGTTGGGTAATGTTGAGAAGCGCCACCTGTGTTAATAGTTCGAAAATAAACTCTTGAAAACAATAAATATAAAAAATAATTTTAAAAGTAGGTATTGGCATTTAGAAATTAAATCATTTAAAGATTTTGTGTGGTGGAAGGTTATTTGAAATATGTTTTCCTGTTTTTCATCTGATGATAGTCAAGCAGGTATACCTTAAAATAAATTTCTCAGTTATTGCTTATCATTGTGAAACCTATTACAAAGCAATTGGAAGTATTTCTTTATTTATAGTTTAAGTTATCATTCTAGACATAGTAGTTTGAGAAGTATTGGCTTTAATATATAATTACGCTTAATTTTGTAAAAACTTATAAACAAACGAAATGTGGGTGATAATGAACAAAGTTTTGGGTAAAATATGCTTAGTTGAATGCCCTTTGCTAACGTAAAAAAAAATCGTCGAAAACTGAACAGGACGGAAGAATTTTAATAAGCGTTTTACTAAGTTTTTAGTGTATTTAAAAATAGTGAAACAATTTGATTTCATTACCTAACTTTATTGAGAATAGTAACACATAATAAGTAAGTGTGGAATAGTTTAATATACAGCTTAAAAAGTGATTAAAGAAAAAAGTCTTCGAAGAGTGAAAAAAATCTTCGTGTCCTCCATTAATTTAAGGCGTTGTTCTTTCTTCGTCTGAGAAAAAAATTAGGCTTTAAATAAATACCAAAGGAGGGAGCGGATGCAATATTTGCAAACAAATTTCAATAGATAATCTAATAAAAGTTTTTTAATTTCATAAATTTATGCTCATAATACTACAAACAACGATCATAACTCGATAGAACCAATGGCAGCAATTCGCAAAAAGTTAGTCATTGTTGGCGATGGAGCATGTGGCAAAACTTGTCTGCTGATCGTGTTCAGTAAAGATCAGTTCCCTGAAGTTTATGTGCCAACAGTTTTCGAGAATTATGTGGCTGATATTGAAGTTGATGGAAAGCAGGTATGTTGATACAATTAATTATGTGGAAATGCGATTGATTGCTTCTTTTATGAGTGAAACAGATCTTGTGATGTATGCATCATCTTCTAGTTTTATTATCTTATTTTATTTCTTTAAATTTCTTTTCAACAAATGTGTTTTTTCTTCTTATGTCGGTTGTTTTGTTGTCGGTGCGGTATAAATTCCAAATCAATCATTCGATTGCAACCGATGATTTAGTAAAGTGTGTTGATTGTTGCTCCAGAATTTTGATTCATCTGCGCGTTCGCCTTTTAATAGAGTTTATGTTATTTACGTCCCGTCCCGCAAATCTTTTACTTATTTCTTTTTTTTTCATACAGTTTTTCTTCTTTTGTCCAGCTCATGACACAAATAACTTAGCGATGCCAGACAGCCGCGCATCTTTTAACAGCTTTGTTTATTATTATTATTGTTGTACACAAATGACGGGCTTGTGAAAATCACGAAAAGAAATTTTAGATTGATCGTGATACTTTTCGCCATAAACTATTGTCAAAGGCAAAACAATTTATTTAAAATATCGGTCGTTTAACTTGTTGAATTATACGTCTGACGCGTTTCTTAATAAAAGCTATTTCATCATCATTTTCAATCATAAATGAATGATATTTGTTTTCAATCCGTAGAACTCTCCTCGATGTCACAAGACGTCAAGAGCAAACGCGTGTGAGTGAATACAGTCAGTCATTGTGATCGTCGTACTCATTCATTCTATCATACAGTCGTTAGTAGTGTTTTCATGAAATGCTTGTATCACTTATCACAAAATAAATAAAAGCTAGATAAGGCTAAGATTCAAGCTTCTTCCGTTACGACTCTTCGCGAGCGATGACACATCGAGAAAGCTTCTCTTAGTAAATAATTGAAAATCGAATAATGAAAGAAGAGAAAAAATTGTTTTAACGATGACCAAATCGTTGTAAATGTATGTGCGAATGATATCATGAAAGAAACTTAAACAGCAGCATAGCGTCGCAAGCAGTCAGTGGTGTGAATGTGAATGTAAAGAACAAAAGGAACGAGACGATAAAGAAATGTGAAAAAAAGCTGATCGTTTATGAATTCCAAGAAAACTGTTTTTTTTTTTAAGTTTTTGTGTGATGACTAATCGCAAAATGCCGTCTTATGAAATATAGCGAGAGCGTCGAGTGAATGAATGAATATCCGTATAAGTATGATGCATTGGCATCTGAATGAGAAAAGAAAAAGTAATGCAAATATTTGTGGTTTGATGTCATGCATAAATCCCCGATTTAAAGTCCGCTTTAAAAATTTTATTTATTTTAACGTTGACTCAAACATTTTTTTTCTGTTTTAATTTTTTTTTAAGGTTGAGCTGGCTTTATGGGATACGGCTGGACAAGAAGATTATGACAGATTACGTCCATTGAGTTATCCCGATACAGATGTCATCCTTATGTGCTTCTCCGTAGATTCGCCGGATTCATTGGAAAATATTCCAGAAAAATGGACGCCAGAGGTGAGATGCTTAATTAAGTAATTAAAACTGATGATTAATAATGAATAATTATTTTAGGTGAAACATTTCTGCCCAAATGTACCAATTATCTTAGTCGGTAACAAAAAAGATCTCAGAAATGATCCGCACACAATCAAAGAGCTTGCAAAAATGAAACAAGAGCCGGTGAAGCCATCAGAAGGCAAAGCCATGTTCGAGAAGATTAATGCTTTTGCATATTTGGAATGTTCCGCCAAATCGAAGGAAGGCGTACGAGAAGTGTTTGAAACAGCGACGAGAGCTGCATTGCAAGTAAAAAAGAAGAAGAAGAATCGATGTACATTGCTTTAAATTCTGATTGCGATGTCTTCGCAAAACACACAAAAAAAATCTTACACAAAAACAAAACCACCCACAATACAACAACACTCAGCAGTTCCATTCAACATTTTTCCTGTTTTGTTTTTTGAAGTAACAAAAGAAGAAGAAAAAGTAAAAGCTTTTCTTTTTTTACTAATCAAGAAAAAGAAATGTCGATCCAGAGAGAGAAAGATAAATCAAAAATGTTTTTAATTTGAATGCTCTTTGTGTCTCTAAAATGTAAACTTATTTTTTTTGTCAAACAACACGGAAGATTTTCGTAATTATTTCCTCAATTTAATCAATATTTTAGATGAATAGATAAACCTTAGATGCTTTATTTTGTACTCTGGATAATTAATCTATAATAATACATTTTTTCCTTTTCTCCATTCACATTATTTATCTTTTGTCGTGTTTCAAAAAAGAAAAAGAAAGAAAGAAGATGATGATATAAAAACTTGTAATTTATGAATCGAACGTATAAAAAAATATAAACAGACATTTATGATGAAAAAAACATAAATGAAATATTTGAACAGAAAGGAAAATTCAGGAAGTTTTCTAATGACGTTTCTTTTCATTTCTTTCTCTCAACACGCTTTTCATTTTTCATCTTTTGTTTTAATTTTTGTTTAATAATATTTTCGATAGCAAAATACAGAGAAAAATATTTTTGCTTACTTTCCTTCCTTCAATTTCCTATCGATACGAAAAAATTTTTATTATTATTGGAAGAAAACAGTTCTTACACTAATTGAAATGTATTTTTAATTTTCTCGCACATCTGGCCCGTGATCATTCGATCATAATGATGATGTGAAAAAAGCGAGGAAAACGATAAAGAAAGAAAGAAAATTGTATACTTAAACAAGCGGGTTTACCAAGTATCCGACGTGAGTGATCGATCTGGTTTGAAAAAGGAAAACAAAAAATGTCGGAAATTGTTTTTTTCAAAAATCTTAATTTAATTTGGGTTTTCAATGCCTTAATATGATCAGAAATCACTTCTCTTCCATCCCTCCATCAATCATTAACATCATTTCATTTCTTCTTCGCTACCATTTCTTCCGTGAATTAACATTTCAATTTTTTCGACGATCAATAGCTGATGTAGGAAGAAAATAAAATAAAACGCCTTTTTTCGCTTTTAGCGAACTCACCTCTGGGATGGGATAAAAAACATTATTTTTCTTCGTAAATCGTTTACTATAAAAGTGAAATTACATCTACTACAATTGAGAAATTATTATAAACAAAGAAAAAGAAAAAAAAATTAAAAAAATGAAAAACAATGAAAAACGAAATCTTAAAAAAAACAAATAAAATATTATTAGACCAAAAAAATGTAAAAAAAATATCATAAAATTTTGTGTTTTTTAAGTAGACTGACCATCACTGGATGTTTATCAATTTTTCATCCAGATACTCGATCTTTTCAGGATATTTGGTGACATTTTATTGTTCATGTTTTTTTGCTTCCTCATTTCGCAGATTGATTCTTATTAAAATGCTGGATACATTATCTGGTCAGCCTACTGTTACAAGAATACATTCGCACAATATCTGTTATTTATCATCTTATCAGTTCTCATCATCTCCCTTCCCCATTCTTCCCAAACAATTCCACAATTCATCTCTTAAGTTGAGTGTCAATGTGACTTTACACTAAAATATTTTATTTCAATTCATTGTTTGTAGCAAGAAACGAACTTTTAAATGAAAATAATAATACTAAAAAATATCTTGATTAAAAGATATGAAGAGAAAGAATTATTGTGTAAAAAGATAAATCTTTAATAAGAGAAAAAAGGCCTAATTTTGTATCAACTGAATAATTGATATAAACTAATGAAAATGCATCAAGAATAAAATTCATGTAACTATTCTCATAATCGCGGCTTTTCCTTATCCCAATTTATCCTTCAAAAGCTGGAAAAATATTCATTAGGTAGATGAGACAAAAATAAAAAATCTTTGACTGTTTCTTTGACATTTTTTAAGAAATATTTTTCATGATTTTTCTTTTGTTCGATACGAGGAAATCGAAAAGACTCGGTCATGTAATTGATCATGAATAGAAATATCAGAAATGAAATTATATCACAATTTTCTTGAAATGAAAGTTTTTAGTCAGAAAATTTTATTGATGAAGTGCCTAATTTGAACGCTTGAGAAAGTTTCATGATAAAATTTGACATTAAATATTTTCTTTAACTCTAAACTTAATTTTAGGTTTGTTTTTTAAAAATGGTCGATTTCTTCTTCATTTCTTTAATGAAAACGAAATCAGTGAAAATTCTCAATCAATCTTCTCATGGAAAAGGTTTTTCATTTCCATTTTTTTTTCTGTTTTGGTAATTTGAATTTGGTAAGCTCTTCGGTTACATTGAAATTGTTTATAAAGAAATCTTTTTTAACTTGTCGGCTATTTCTAAAGCTTAGTAAATGATTTACCGTAAAAGCTATAAAAGTATACATAGATACATGTATTTATATAAAAAAGATTTAGCTAACTGATCCTATTGAGATTAAGAGAAATAACGGAAAAAATGTCTTCTGACGAGAAATCATTTGAAAATCATTAAATGTATTTGTAATTCTAACTTTATTGCTGACTAATATGAGAAGCATAACGTGAACTTTTTAATACATGAACAAGAAATAATGTCTTAAGCTAATCAAATTAATCAGTGAGGGTGAAGATTTTTTAAGTACGAAAAAAATTTAAACGTGAATATGGAAACATGATCATCGATTACAAGATGACTTGCTTGTATCTCCTTTTTATTACAAGAATAATAAAAAATAATAAAAATATTATCAAGAATAAGCCCATCGCGTTGCTGCCAAGGTTTTAATTCTCTCTTATAAATTCTCCAAGAAAAAAAAGTATTCGATAGATAATCACCATGTTTTATGATCACAGAATATGTTTTTTGCATAAAAAATTTCTTTTAATAAATTGTTGGAGCGAAAATGAAAATATTAATGAACTGCTTTAAATTCTTGGATTGGACACTTTCAAATTATTTGAAGTTTCATCAAAATTTAATTAGCTTTAAAATATTGGAAATATATATTTTTTTCTAACAGATTGTAAGATTATAATGAATAATTGAAAGAATTTAGATCAACAAAGTCAAAGAATTATTTTATTTAAGATTTCATAGAAAATACTTGAAAAAATATTTAATTACATTTTATTTCGATGGTTCAAGTTCAGAATGTCGCTATTGGAATCATAATGATGTGTTTATGATTAAAACAAGCTTATTTATCATTTAACTGTCATGCAATTTTTCCGATATTTATTGAAATAAAGACCAATTAAAAAAATTGAAAATCTTTTCTTTACGAAAAAAATTTCTTACATCTGGAAATCGCCAGTTTCAATAATAAACATCAAAATTTTAAGATTGATTTTCTATAAGCAATCTAAACATTTCTCTCCCGATCATGACGTCAACGAAGCACAGCGCAATCCTTTCGATTCGAGAAGCAACAACAACAAACATGTTGTAAGAGTATTTTTGAAGCATACGAAATATTCGTAGCTAATATTTTTCACAGCATGTAAACATTGCGATTTTGTGGTGGAAGAGTCAACTAGCTTTTCGTTATCTCTCTGTTTGTTCATAATCAGCACATGGTGCCTAAACATTGAACATGCGCATTTACATTTTGAGAAAGAGAGACATTCTAATATATTTTCTTATTTTTCAAGTCACCATTTACTACTGTTCGAGATATGGTCGAGCTTACAGCTATTGGTTTCTTAAGACAACTATAAGAAAGATAAAAGTTAAGAATTTTAGTGTTTCGTGCTAAAATTAAGTGACTTTCATTGTTTGTAGTGAGAAGAAAGAAGAAATGTGAGAATCAGTGAAGACTCAAAAGTTTTTTCAAATCTAAGAAAACCTAGACGAAAATTTCTTCTTCTCCATTGACATATTGTCAGTCTTTATCATCATTTCTTCTGATTAAAAATTTTAAAACTTTATGTTGAGTTAGATTAAATGTTCTTCTTTTTAAAAGTTCTATTAAATTTCAACAACAAAGTTAAAACAATAGAGGAAAAGTAAAATTTATTTCATATTTTTCATTCTTCAAAAAGAGATCAAAAATGTCTGAAATTTTATCTGTTGGTGAGTATTTAGCGGTCGATAAAACGATAATTCCTATAATTTAGACATGTAATTAACTGCCACTTTATATCGTTTAGTAAACGGAAAAAAGAAGTCAAAAAAAGCTAGCAATATTGGAACTTCATCCAGTAATGAAATCATTTCTGGTTCCTTGAATACAGCCAAATCGCAAACGAATCGTATTGGGCCCCGCATTTATAAATGTGTTATTCTAGGCGATGGAGGAGTTGGAAAATCTGGTAAGATCAAAACATTCTTCTTCCATCCAAACATAAATTACGTCTGAAAAATATTCATTGTCATCCCTCCAAGAAAAAGTCTTTGTGATTGTGACGTAAAACATTTTTCTCCTTACATAGGACAATTTCTCGTGTATCGATAATGTTCAGATATTTATTCAAGCTTTTGTTTGACTAACTAAGCAATTCATGATTTTTTATTTTAACGTCAGTGAGATACATCCTACAAATCCTTGTTAAAGGGTATACAAAGCATAACACAAAGCATAACAGGGGAAAAAACGAAGCGTTTTTTACGCCTTTGCATTGGGCGATGTTTGTTAAAGCACATCTTGAATGTTTCAATGTTTTTGATTTATTTTTGATGTTTTGCAAAAAAGCTTTTAGGGTCAACTCTAATGTTTTTAAAATTTCATTTTCAGCTGTAACATTGCAGTTTGTGTCGCATAGTTTTCTTGATTATCATGATCCAACTATTGGTAAAGAACAAATAAATTGAAATATATAATCATTTAAATTAATAATGTAATGTTTCTTGCAGAGGATTCGTATCAACAACAGGCAATCATTGATGGAGAACCAGCTCTGTTGGATATTTTAGATACTGCAGGCCAAGTTGAGTTTACAGCAATGCGAGACCAATATATGCGATGTGGTGAAGGCTTTATAATATGTTATTCGATATGCGATCGTCACAGTTTTCAAGAAGCATCTGAATACAGAAAACTGATTGCTCGAGTGAGACTCACTGAAGATATTCCTTTAGTTCTTGTTGCCAACAAACTCGATCTTCAATCACAACGAAAAGTATCTGTCGAAGAAGGAAAGGCTCTTGCCATGCAATTTGGATGTCCATTTTATGAAACGTCTGCTGCTCTGCGTTGTAATGTTGATGAAGTTTTTTATACTCTCGTTCGTGAAATTAGGAGAAAAGAAGCTCAAAAGGTAGCCGTAAATTTTTACTCTTGTGAAGATAAATTTACTAATTTTTTAATTATTGTTTATAGGCTGCAAATTCAAACGATACAAGCTCAGAAAAAATTCCACCATTAAGTCGTACAAAACGAAGTAAATGGCTTCGATTACGCTCCATTTTTGCACTTGTTTTTAAGAGAAGAAGATAAATGACTCAAAATAATTTTAGATTTAATTTCATAAGTTTGTTATGTTCTTAAGCAGAAAGAAATTCACAAAATTTCAACACATAAAAACGATAAAGTAGAAAGCAAATCTCAACATTTAATTTCATCAAATAAAATCTTTTATGAAACAGAAATCTCATTCACGTTAAAGAGTTTTGATCAGCATCCAAAAATATATCTGACAATACATTGAAAAGTAAGAAAAGTCCTTTGAGAAACTTCAAGTTTCTTTCTTTAATTTAAAGGAATTAGTGTTCGATTTATATTTGTTGTAAAAAATGCAGAAAAAATCGATTGGTTTATTAAGGATAAAAAGAATATTTTGTTGTTATGTACAATGAAAGCTTTACCCATTGGAAAATTCGTGAGAAAACGAATCAAAAGAAAACAGAAAATGCAATATTTATTCTATTAAACTCGCTTTGTTATTAAATATTTCATGTTTTGTTGACATAGTCATATGAATGTTAATCGTACACATAAACATGAGAATAAGATTTGATAGGGGCCAACAAGGGAAGAGTTTATCAGTATTTTAAGCCCATTGTTCAATGTAAGTCATTAGATCCAATCTATAGAGATTAAAATCCAAGATCTTTACCAAATGAATAAGAATATCAAATATCTGTCTAGAAGTTTAATCTTAAACACTATTAAATATTTTTCAAAGTGGCACCTTTCTGGATAAAAAAATTCTTTCTTCGTTCTTGATGAAGTTATCATGAAATCAAAGAAGAGTAAATGTATGTCGCCCAATGTCGAGGATAAACCAAAACATGTTTAATCGAAGGAAAACCCCAAAAAATGAAAATTAGATATTTAGTCTTGTAAAATGAAATAAGTAAAAAAGAAATGTTTTTACTTAAATCTTTAAAAATTAAATGAAAAGTTTATTAAATAAATGATTGAATCATAAGCAATGTCAGTTGAATGTTTTTTATTTGAGTTCATTGATTGTTTACAAACAGCTGACAACTGAGTTTGGATTTGACATTTCAAGAATATCAAAATAAAATGAGTAGGAAGTAAAAAGAGATCGCTAAATTATGAAGAAACTTATAATTTTCTATATCTCAAGCTTGAAAGATTTTTAACACACGCTCTCAGAATTTTTGCATGAAGATTTAATTCCAAATCAAAGCCTAAAACCGTGAGAGAATCGACGTCTTCAAGCGGATTTAAAATCAAAAAGTTGTGGTAAGTGCGTTGAGATGGTTCATTCTTCGAATCAGTGAGGAAAAGAATTTTTCTATTCTTGCTGAAGATTTTTGTTAATAAACTTTCAGTCCAGTGATGTTTTAATTGTATTTGCTGATATTTTCCTAGTTCATACAAAAAACTAAAATTTCAACTCTACGTAAATTCACTTTGATGAAAGTTTAAATTTATTGTACTTTAATTGACATTGTATGAGAATAAATTGACGTTTAGTCGCATTACTATACAAGTGAATATATGAATCATCATTGCACTGATAACCGTTTCATTTCTCTAAACTCATCACTGAAAATATTCAGCACACAGAATCATGTTTCGACAATATAACGAGGATAATGGTGGTTTTGAGAATAAGAATTCAGAAGTGTTTGCCAACAGCTCCAAGCAAGATGTCCCTTCATCGACTTTACAAGAAATTACAATTTTACGATCATCATTTGATCAAACCAAACTGCACAATGAAATGGCTTACAGGAAACCACCGAAAAAATCAAGTAAGTACATGAAAGAAAAAAAAAGGTTTAAGAATCAATCAAGGCCATGCTCGTTCTAAGTTAAGAACAAAATCGATGAAAAAACGAAGGTCAAATGACTGTAAAGTTTGTAGAATATCACGAAGATGAGGTTGTTTGATTATTCAAGTTTTACACACAAAAAATAAATTACAATCAATTTAAAATAAATTACTGAAGTGTAGTAACGTAAATATTATTACAAAATTTATCATAGAAATTTGAATCTGCTTAAAGAATCACTTTTAAGCATTGCACCTGATTTAATAAAAAACTTTTTCTAACATTTTTTGAATTAATCAATTAATTAAAAAAAACGAAAATTACCACCCATCAAGCAATTATGAAGCATCTGCTGATATATCTTTTGTCAATTTTGCTAATTCATGTGTTAATTTTCTCAAAAACTTGCTTTCAGTTTTCTTTCGTACATAAATTCAAGATATTTGATTCGAGAGCTTAGTGTCTTTCAAAAGGTGTCAAATAACTGAAGATAAACTTTTGTTTCTTTTCCCAGTCTTAAAAGCACAATGCGGAAAATGTTCATCAAAATCAGTGAAATCGCGTGTTTTTGGAATGATTCCAATGGTCTCATCGTTAACTTCTTACAAAAAAGATTATTTAATTGGTGATGTGATAGCCGGATGTACTGTAGCAGTAATGCATATTCCACAAGGAATGGCATTTGCATTGTTGGCAGGTTTACCAGCAGTTGTTGGAATCTACATGGCATTCTTTCCTGTTCTCATGTATGGAACTTTTGGAACATCAATGCATAACTCAATGGGTTAAACATCTCAACTATTTAACTAGTTTACCTTAACTAAATAATTCAAAATTCATTCTTCAGGAACTTTTCCAGTCATCTCAATAATGGTGGGAAAATGTGTTAACAAATACACTACAATTAGTGAAGAAGTAGCTGCCAATGCAACATTAATTTCCATGAATGCAACCGCAGCAGAAATAATTGCATCACCTTCATCATACACACCTACACAAGTTGCAACTTTTCTATGCTTAGCTGTGGGAATTTTCCATGTACATTTCAAATATTTTGGTTATAATTACAACATTTCGATAAGATTTCCTTATTTCAGTTGATTATGTGTGGCTTTCGTATTGGAGTTGTGTCATTACTTTTATCAGAGTCTTTAGTCAGCGGCTTCACAACGGGTGTTGCAGTTCAAGTCATTACTTCGCAACTGAAAGATCTCTTTGGAATTCCAATCCCTATGATTAATGGACATTTTCAGTTCTTCAAGGTTCGCATTTAAAAATGTTTTAAGATTTGTAATGAAATTGATTCTTTTTTAGCAATGGGCTGCTGCTTTTGAAGTTATTAGCATGTACAATGGATATGCAGTGATCATGTCGATTATTGGAGTTCTTGTAATTATAATCAATTCAGATTATATAAAACCATACATTGCAAAATTCTCAAAAGTTCCAATCCCTATCGAGTTGATGCTAGTTGTGAGTGCAACTTTACTTTCGAATTATTTGGGCATGGAAAAGAATTGGAAAGTTCATCTTTTGGGAGGAATTCCTGTTGGACTACCAGAAGCAGCTTTTCCAAAATTATATTTATGGAAAGAACTTTTAGTTGATTCATTTGCAATTGCTTTGGTTTCCTATTCGACGGCTGTGTCTATGGCTTTGATTTTTGCACAAAGAAATAATTATGAAATTGATTTTAATCAAGAATTGTTGGCAATGGTAAAGATTAGAACTTTTGTGATTGAAGTGAATAATTTACAAATTGATTTTAGGGCATAAGCAATATTTTTGGATCTTTTTTCCAATGCATGCCATTGGGAGTTGCTTTATCTCGTTCGCTTCTTCAAGAATCTGTTGGAGGAACAACTCAACTTGCATCGTATGTTTCATGTGCACTTATTCTTGTTGTATTGTTATGGATTGGACCATATTTTGCTGCTTTACCACGAGTAAGATTCGTCATATTTACTTATTAAGAAAGTTAATTTTTTTTAAATAATTTTTTTGTTATTCAGTGCATTCTAGCTGCAGTTGTATGTGCAACTTTAAAAGGAATGATAATGCAAGTCAAAGATTTCCCGAAATTTAATAAGAAAAGCAAGACTGATGGATTTGTGTGGATGTCAGTATTTTTTGTGACTGTTTTAGTATCAATTGATGTTGGTCTTCTCTATGGTGTCGTGTTGAGCATCTCCATAATATTTTACAATAGTTTAAAAGCAGATATTTGTATTCTTGGACAAATTCCCAACACTGATCTATTCCTTGATGTGGAAAGGTTCGAAAAAGCGATTGAACTTTCATCTGTGAAAATTTGTAAATATACTGGAAGTATAAATTTTGCCACGAAAGCTTCATTCAAATCGAGATTATGTAAGAAACTTGGAGTAGATTTAATCAAATGTTTAAAAATCGCAGAGAAGAATCTTAATCAAGAATTAACCGAGCAGAATAATTCATCAGCAATCAGTAATGGCAATGGAAAATTTCATGAAAAGGAACCTCATAAATATTTCAGTTTTAAAAATATCTTGTTGGATTTCAGTGGATTGACGTTTATTGACGCATCTTCCATCAACATGCTTTCAACTCTGATTGATAACTTTGAGACATTACATGTAAAAGTTCTTCTCGCCGGGTGCTCCAGTAAAATCTATGAAACACTTGATAAAAATGAATTCAGACACATGACTCTTTTGTATCCGACTATTCAAGATGCTTTGAAATATTTGACTTAATCATTTCTTTCACTTTTAAAACGAAATTATGGGAAAATTACAATTAATTTAGAAAAGTTTCAAATTGATGACTCATTGAAATCCTACCTAGAACCTCCATTATATTCTTTATGTATCGAATCATCCATTATTTAATAAAATATGAATAGATTTATAATCCTAGCTTAATAGTTTTTTTATTGCTTAATCACCTTAAGTTCGTAAAATTGATAATTTTGCTGTTGTAAAATTTGTTTTATAAATCAGGATTCTCAAATTAGAATATTTAAAAGATATCATTACTTAAAAATGGCTATGAAATGAAGGAATTCAAGTTAATCCCTTAATCAGTCCCTTATGTCTCATCTTCTTACTTAAATTCGATAGAAAGTACGCACATGAAATTTAAATAAATCAGAGAGAGAGACTTTGAAGGGGAAATTTCTTGATAAATTTTGTCGAAAATTTTACTCTCTTGCTATTTTTCCCCTCAATTTTCATCAACCAATCAACGCAAAGAGGAGAAATATCGAAGGGGAAATTGTAGAGTTTTGCTGAGAATTATTCAATATTATTGAAAAGATTTAATTGCCCGAAAGATGTGTGAACATTTGTTTGAATGTGTGAGGAAGCTCTTCAATATGAAGAATGTGCAATGGAGAGCGCTCGAAGAAGTTTGAAACTAATAATTTTTCGCTTTACACACTTCTTTTCATTCATACATTTAGCTCGTTTGTGTATTGTTTATTATTTTTGTCGATTCTCGGTTATCCAAAAGGAAAAATAAGAGCCTATAAGTTATCGCGCGCGCAAAATTTAATCCTAGACAGTAAAGTTAAAAAGAAAACAGTTAAAATTTACGAAAAAAAATTGTCTTTGCATGAGCATAAAACTTTATATTTTGTGAGATAAAACTATTGAAAATATCTACTTGAAGAAAAATCATACAAGTTATTGATCGAAACCACTGAATAATTCAATAATTTGAAAGTGATTCGTCATCTTTCAAAAGTGATTTTGAGTTTGTGAAACCGAATCAAATTATTCAAAATAAAAATATAAAAAAAATTAAATAAACAGTTAAGAGTGGAACAGTATTGTAAAGCAAACGGAATCATCAGATGAATAAAAAATATTCAAGTGATCACAAAACGCTCCTGATGTCATGACTAGGTTGTTGTCGTGATAATTATTAATGAAAATATTTTATGAAACGATCACTTCTGAATTATTCGAGCTGAGAAGAAGAAAGAAAAAAGAAAATAAATAAAAAAAATAGTTTTATTAACAGTTATATCAATCTGCTGAGGTGTACATGTTAATATCGACATTGTTGCTCAATTTGTGACTTTATATTACGCAGCCACGAGCCATGAAACTTGCTTGTTGAGTCACCGAGGCTGCTGGAAGAAAACAAAAATTATAATTTCAAATTCGTATTTATTTAGGTAAATTAAAATCATTTTCGACACACTAGAAAACATTTGTGACAATCAGAAAAAGGTAGAAATTATTATTTTGGAAACTAGCCTGCATGCTTTTCATAGCCGTGTTGAAATTATTTCATTAGCCTTCTTTATCATTTTTAATTTTTTCATGTTTGAATATCGTGGTGGCAATTGAAAAACTTTTAACAACTTACTCATTCTCTGACAGTAAAGAAACAATTAAAATTTTATTTCTTTGTTCCAGAATTAAAAGAAAAAAAAGAAATCCAAAAAAATATTTGGATTTCAATTTGTGTGTTATGGATACAAGAGATTCAGATTTAGGAGACGATTCAATGGTGAGTGTTGAAAAATTAAAATTTCATTTAGACTTAGCGACGGTGAAAATGACTATTCATTCATGTGTTTACAAAACAAAATGTGATGAATTAATAAAAGTGACAATTGTAAGATACCGTCCAATATAATATGTAACTGATATGTAACCAGGCTTTACTAGCCCTCGAGGTTTTCACTGAATAAAATAATACTTTTTCACGGAGCTCTCGCGTATGCTTCTTCAGCATCCAAAGTCTGAATCCAGAATGAGAATGAATCTCATTCTTTCCCACACTACTAACCTCACGTGAGCGAAATCTACCATTTCGCGAGCGTATCGAGAATTCTCCTCGAGAAATCCTCTCACCAATACAAGCACACTTTGCTTGTATCCTACAACAATCAAAAATTATTTCTTCACGAATTATTGCACAAAGTTGCAAAAGAAAACATTTCCACTAATGTGACAATCATGACGCTAAAATTAATGTTCTATTCTTGGCAGACACAACCAACAACTCGGCAAACCTGATCATAATAAATGATGCTTTGACAAACGTTTTCACATATTATGCGCCTCAATTGCTTGAACAAAAAGTAACCTACCTGTTGAAAAATAAAATAAAATATCACATGAGCTCCTTTTCATTGTTGACTTCGAATTGGGGTGGCACGAGATCCGTGTCTTTTATCTCGGAAGTTGTTTTCGGAACATACAAGTGGCAAACAACAAACTTGACACTTTATCAAATCTCGAAGGAGAAAAATAAAATAAAAGAAACATCACATAAACTAAGCAGTAAAACACAAAAGAAGAATTAAATTGATTGACGCATTTACCGGTTTCTTCTTTTATGTTTAATTCTATAATGGCCTCCCGGGAGTGGAATCAATTATCACATCATTTAAGAAACCATCTCTTGGGTGTTTTTCCATAAAACATTTGTTTGATATCAAAGGAATTCTAAAGAAGAAGTGTTAATTAAATTATTTTCGTGACATTTTTTTTCAATGTTCAATCAAAACTCTTCAGGGATTTTTTAGATTTTTTTTATTTATTTATTCGACGATTGCGCTAATCAAATTGACGACAAATAATAAGGCAACATGTGCAAAACCACATGCGATTTTAATTAAACACGATCTGTCAAGAGCTTTAACAAATATAAGGAAAAAAATAGTTCAAACTCAGAACTTGTTTTCTATAAATAAACTTAGCAGAGATATTCTACATATTGCCACACTCAACGTTATCATGAAACAACTTTGTATGTTTAATATTTTCTTTACATAAAGTTTCACGATTTATTTAGTAATTTTCATAAGTTGAATCATCAAATTAAGACATTTTATTGTCAATTCAATTCGTATATTAAATGATCTTCTCACAAATGTTTTGTGCTTTGCTACCACATGAAGAGTAATAGATCAACAAGCATTGTTTTGATTTTAGTGTGGGCAAAAAATAAAAATGTTGTTCAATGACTTCTTTTACTGTTAAGTTAACAGAAGTGAAAAACGAAAAAGAAAGAAAAAAAATGACTAAACGCCCAATCGAATAACAACACATAAATAAATAATTTATCGCTGGAGAAGAGAATGAAATGAATCGATAGAAGCTTCAACATTCAATACATAATATCAGAACGTGTAATAAATGTTAATATGATGTTCTGAACAAAACTCATGTGATTATTCATAAGAGAAAAAGGCGGAGTTTAATTTTCTTTTCTCTTTCGTTTTAATATTAAAAAGTCTGATCCAACAATTTTGTGAGCGCGCAAGAAATTGCAAAGATTGGTTCACCACAATAAAAAAAACTTTCTGTGCTCAAATTCACGGAGAATTTATTTTCTTGCTTTTTTATTTTCATTTTAAGATGATGTTGAAAGCATGAAGGAAATGCGAGCGATTGAAGGAAGATGAAGGAATGAAAAAATGAAACATTTGATTGGAAATTTATTATCATTGATCTTTCTCTGACTTGCAACGAACCAATCGTAAGCTGTGAGCCGTTTTGTTGATTGGAATGGAAAATGTTGCGCATTCCCTTTATTACTCTTTAATATGAATATATAGATACAAATAATAATAATATTTGAAGCATGCGCGTTAGATATGAAACATTTTATTTTAAATATCGTTGCAAACGTATAAGTAAAACAGTTCATTTAATATACAGATCATCAAGTTTATTATCAAATAAAACTGGCTCCATATTAACATATTTAAAACAGAAACATGATATTGAAACTAAAATAAATATAATAAACATGCAACGCCATTGGAATTGCTCACATATAGAACTTACTCATTCTTACTACAACATAATGTAGAATATTTGAATAAATTATCAACAATATTTTACCATTTCAGCAACTGCAATAAATAAATTTACATCGAAGTTTCATATTCCTTTTGCGTGTCCTTTTCAAGAAATCTTTTACGTCTTCATTTCCTTTGAGAAAGAAAAAACAGATTAAGAAGCAGGCAAGAAAATTACTACGAGGATGAGAGTTTGTTGTTGAATAGACAGAAGAAAGAAGAAGATAAAAAAATATTTTAATAATTTTCCATAAGGCCATGGGATCATAAATTATCATGAATTTTTCTTTCAACCTAAATCTTTATAATTTCAGTAGATTTTATGAGGGATATCTTCTAAGATTCCGAAAGATATTTTAATGTTTCAGCATAACTTCATTATTTATGCAACATTTTAGAATTTGTGAAATTTAAAGTATGAACTTGAAAGCATCAAATAATGTCGAACATTCATAACGATTAGTTTCACATCAAACGATATTTGATAATTGAATTAATGTTTTTTTAATTGACATTCCTCGCGATCATGTTCAAGATTGCTTTATCAAAGTTTGTCTTGTAATTGTTCAATTTAATTATATGAATGATATAATTGCTTAGATACGTGTTGATTGTTTGACAATAACACAACATTTATTGAAAATTAATGAAACAAAAAACTAAAAGACAGACAAACGAAATATTTGTGATGACTGCACCCAAGAAATTGGCTTGTTTTAAATAGTCATAACTTATGAAGGAAATCCGCTAATCGTCATTGTATGTTTGATAAAACAATGTTAAATAATTATTGATGGAAAAGCTTGTAATGAAATCTTACAATATAAATACCAAACACTCATTAATTCTTCGAATAAATGTGAAAAATGGTCACCGGATGTTTTAAATTTACTTAAGCTATTTATCCATGCCAGCACAGAGAAATTGAGTCACAAAAATCATTTCGAATTGTGACGCAAATTAAAAATATCTCTCGATTCGAATGTTTAACATATTGAAATTGGGACAAGGGTGTTGCAACAGTTCCAGGAAGTCACTCGATCTGTTTTACTTTAAAGGGTAGTTTCAAGTTTTAATTTATTTTACATTTTCAATTTGAAAGTAGAAGTAAGGGAATTAAACTGAGGGTTGAAAGAAAGTCATTTTTCTCTTGATCCATGATCTTTCTTGACATCAGAAATTCTGATGCAATCTCTCTTCAAGAAAATGAATGTAACCAAAGAGGGACATGAAAAGGAGTGCCATTGAATAAAAACTTTGAGAAAATGTAACAAAAACCTCATAAAATGCAACAACAAAACAACCCATAAAGTTCATATTTAATGAGAATTAAAATCGATTTCAAAACATGTTACAGTGACTTATGAAAATTACTAGAATTATTATGATTAAATGAAGTCCAGAAACAATATAAAAATATGGGCATTTGAATTTATATAAATCACGAAACTTCACGTCGTTATTATTTAATTTGCCATCCATTTATGACTTTTGCACGTTCAGAAGCCTTATTTTCTCTTTTTTCATGCAAGCACGAATATAATTTATTAAATGATCAGTTATTGCAAGCGGGTGGCCGTTTAATTGGATTAGGTTCTGTTTACAGTATAAAGTAGACTTTTAAAATCGTCACGAAGGTCCAACTTGAAGGTTTGTTTTCTAAATCCAAACACACAATTTTTGCAACAATAATATTCAAATGTAAAAGTAAATTAAAGCGCTTAATGTTTTTTGTTTAATATAAAAAGCATAATTGTTATGGCTTCATGCTAAGAAGACTTATTGATATCATATCAAATTCCTTGACTCATGGTTTCAATTCAAAGTCATTTAATAACTCATGTTGTCAAAAGAAACGGGAAGTGAAAATAATTTTTGCTACAAAACACAATAAAAATGTAGTATAAGACATTGAATTTGTGTAGGAGTGGTAATTAGATATACTTACTTGAAGAAACTCTTTTGAATGATTACTTATTGATTTATTTTTAATTTCTTTTCTTCTACTCGAAAAGTCACACATCGATGAGCATTCTGATCGTGAAGACGATCTCCGTGATTGTGATTCAAGCGATGAAGGAGTCAATGTGAATACAAATGGAACACATGCAGCAATCGATTTTGGTAGTCGAAGTCCGAATCGAAATTCTGAGATCATGAAGTGAGAATTTTTAATTTTAATCTGACAATTTTAGTAATTTTCTTCTCCCTTCAAGTGATCCACAATTTCCAACGAGTCATGCTTTAGGCATGCTTAGTAATCTTTCAGCCCTTAACATGGGAGTTCAAAATCTTCAGAATTTTCAGCAACATAGCGATGTTCTTGAGAAAATTAAAATGCAAGTTAGAGACATGAAAGTTGGCTTCATGAATACAGACTTCTCTGCACTTCATCCTTCTTTCACAAGCACATTACAAAATAGCTTAGGCTTCAACCCAGCACAAAACTTACAGAACACAACATCACAGAGTAATAATGACTCGTCAAATGGATTCCCCTTCACATCGTCAACACCGGCGGCGAATAAAGATGGTAAATTGAACATCATTGCGGAATTTAATTTACACTTTATCGGATGATTAATGAATCTTTTTCACTGCATTTCACAGGCTCAAACTCATCAACATCAAGTGAAACATCGAATTCGTCACAGCAGAATAATGGATGGAGCTTCGAAGAACAGTTTAAACAAGTTCGACAGGTGAGTGCGCATATTGTCATCACTTCAAACACAAAGAATGTTTGATGTTTGCATACTTAGTTAAATATTTGCGGATAATTCGATGTTGTTACATTCAAATCGGAAGTAATGAAGAAGTTTTAAGAAATAAAATTTCAAATCATTTTTCATCTCATAAATACACACGAAAAATTAAACACGACAAATTTGAATGTAATTGATTGTCATCTTTTAAACGTAGGCATTCACTATTCAAAACAACGATTGTAGAAGATTAAATAAACATCTTCATCTTGATTGCGCAATCTGAATGCTTGTTGAGTTAATGAAAAGTCAAATGAATTAATTGTGTTTTGATTAACGTCCAACTTTTATTGTTTATTTTAGTTTTATCATCTTTTCTCAATTGATTTTTTTTCCTTCGTTTAATTCTGTTGAGATGAATGAAATAAAAATAGTTGATGATGCTGCATTCGAATTTTGGATGAGAAACATTAAGATTTCGTAGAAAAACAAATCTTATTAATTGACGACTTCCATTTAATAAAATCAAAACATTAATTAATTTCATTTCACTGTGTTGATGCTGTTGTGGAAAATTTATTTTGAGAAAAATAATTTTCCCCACATTATCACATGCAATGAATATTCTTTCATCATGTTAAGCCACACATGAACTGCTGTGATGATATTTTTCTTATTTAAGATTAATTTAAAAGATTAATAAATAAGGTTGACAAATGCTAGCTAGTGTTAAGCTCAACGAGGAAAGTTCAGTTGGATAATCTGGGTGAAGCTGAAAGAAAATTTATTCATTGGAACTGGAAAAACTTTTCACTTACTTACTCATTACGCGTATTTATTTATTTATTTCAAATTAATTGTCATCACGCACTGTTGTAACTGTTTCTTGTTTTAGAAAATTATGATTGTGTTTTATGCAATGAAAAATTGTGCAATTTTCTCCCAATTAATTATTTTCAACCTGCCTGGTATTTTTAAGTATGTCGATTGATTCTCATAATTGTTTGTTGGTTAATAAATAATTAAAGTGAAAATGGTAAAAAGCAAACATAATGTCGTACAAATTGTCAGTGTAAACTGGAAAGATAATAATAATAAATAGTTGAAAGCAATTATGGAAATTATTTAACGATGTTGCTTCCCACTTTAAATCAAGTTGATTTTTTGATAAATTGATAGAAATTTAGTTCGGTGGATTTTTGAGCATGCTCGAAATTCTTTGAAATTTTTCACAACATCAAAGAAGCTAAAGTAGAGAAAAAAAAGTTGTTGTCGTTGAAGAAAGATGAAGGCAGATCATGTGACAACGAACGAATTTTGATTGCATGGAACGAGGCCGTAGTATATTCTTTTGTAGACATTTTCATTTGAAATTAAAATTGAATTTGAGTTAATTAATCTTTGTCATCTGCTACGTGTGGCTTATTTTTAAAAAAAACATAACAACGGGCCGCATTTTGTGTTGACTTCATTTCAATGAAAAATGTGATCAAAATTTATAACGCTTCGTGGTGCGTGTTCCTCTAATGCCACAGATCATCATCGTCTCGTCATCAGCATGTGAGATAAAAGTGATCTTTTCATGAACGTCTTTTAATATTCTTTTGATAGTTTACTACACAATTGCTTCATATTTATAAAGATCTTTGAATAGGTATTAACAATCTTTTTACGTCTAGATTTGTATAAATCATCAAGATATAAGAAAACGTGTCGCTTGACATTGAATGAGAATGGAGTGGTGAATAAATTATAACAAAAATAAAAGACTTGAGATCGTTTTTTTTTCTTCACTCCACAGTCCTCCATCATGATTAACACCAGGGAACAAGGAAATTTAATGACACATTAGCACATTAGCATTGCTGTAGGTTCCTGCTTAGAAAATATAATTATCAAATAAAATTTATTCTTCACATTATTCGAAGCATAAAAGCGATCACAAATCATGTACTCAGATTTTTCATTTGCATCTTCAATGCAAAGAGTTTTATTGGCTATTAAATCTATATTTATACAAAAATATTATTCATTAATGTAAAGAAGCGGTTGGCTTAGCGGCATGTCGTAAGACATTCTCATCTTGTTCATCTTGAAACAATTAAGAAAATTTTAGTGACGATTTTTCTTTTTTTTGCACTGAAATGTTTTGACATAAACAACGAGCATTTATTGAGAATGATTGCGATATGTACAATCGATTAGAAAATAAGTTGAAGTTGTGATATTCTTGGTGAAATCATGAAATTCCATTGCTCAATTAGCTAATCAACATGAAATTCCAGTACATTATTGTAGTGACTTAACCATTCGATTTTTAATGCTTTTTCTTTCTTCATTATCATTTAAAAGATAGTCTTTAGTCACTTACCTGCCAGATAATTCCAAAGTAATAAATCCATTACATTCAAGGAAAATTTTCTGTTATCATTTCCTTTTCCAACTGATATTCTGATTATTCGTTGTTTTCCAATAACTTTACCTGCATGCATTAATCTTCAATTCTTTTCCTTCATACATTCTGCATTCCATTATTTATACACAACTTTTTTTTTCTGGTTTTATTACAATTTCTGAGAATTTATTTTAATTCTTTTCCACTTTGCTTTTGCATTGTGTCGGTGGCACAGTTGAAGAATATTGATTCCGATGCTATGAAAAAAAAAAGAAAGAAAAAGGTTTTTTATGCCATTCTTCAGGTACATTTGTGCATTTATGACAACAACAAAAAATTGATTTCCAACTTGTACTTGAATCGGAATATTTATTTCTTCAATTTTGATTTTAAGAATGAAACATTCATTACGTAACTTTGAAACATCCCCTAAATTGAATCTTTTCTTACATTTCATCTAACATATGTTGCCGTAAAAATCAAGACATGACCATAGTCAATTTTTATGCCAAAGCATATGAGGCATTAACATCATCATCATCGTCGTCGTCTTCGTGTTCGTCATTGAAACAACGATTGACATAAACAAATGTCTTTGATTCTCATGTTTGAAATCGCGTCTGTTTAAGCAAGAAACTAGCAACATTTTATGAATTCCTTTTTGCCATTTCATTTTTCTCTTTTCTATTTTTAAAAATATTATTCTAAGCTGATCCCTCAAGTCCCTTTATTGATTGCTCTTTGCATATTGAAGGGAAATATTCGAGGCTTCTTATGTTTGTGAATGTGTGTGTGGGTGTCATAAATTATCATGTATTATAATATTTCCATGAATATTGAGGTTCTCATTTTACAATTTTTATTTCTACCCTGGGATTTATTTTCAAGTTCCATCACTGAATTCAGAAACATTTTTGTATCCTAAGATTGAGAAACATTTTACAAGAATGAATCCTTTCAGGATTTTCTTGGATTTATTAATTTCTAAATTGCTTTTTGAGTGAGTTTGTCATTCATTGAGTAAAGAAGGCAGTGAGAAAGGCAATGAGAAAGGACAAGTTACGAGTGACCTTTGCAAATTCAACAAACATTCTTGAGAACATTTAAGGATTTTAAAATTTTGCTGTTAGAATCTTTTAATGGACATTCAACACGAAACGAAATAACTTGTGTGTGGACTCAGGTCTCTCTTCTGTATATTTCACAATATCTTAACATTTCTCTCAGTTGTTTGTCGTTTTTTGTGATGATAAGTTGTTTTCATGTGTCTGTCGGTTAAAGCAATCGGATTCGGAGAAATTTACAAATTAATTCTGTTGTATTGAATGAATTGATCAAGTGTGAAAAGATTTATTAGGATTACAATGTTATCTAGTGATGGACCAATGCAGGTGATTAAAATGAAAGAAAAATGAATTTTGCGAAATCAAAGAAAGACTTTCATAAGCAAGTCGATGATGATTAAATGAAGAAGATTATCGGAGTTTCAATCAATTGGCGCGAGTCAAAAGGGAGATGAAAAGAATAAAAGAAACAATCTCGTTAATGGAACGATAAATGAAGATTTCCTTCAGTCAATCGAAATGAAAAGAGAGAAGAAGAAGAAGATGAAAATCATTAAACGTTTTGCGAAAAAGAACGGAAAACATTTTAGTTTCATTCATAAAACGCAAAGATTCTCTTGAAAAATAAATCGTTTTGTGTTTGTGTAATAAAATCGAAGTTTGACTTGAGAAATTCAATTATTTCTCTTTTTTTTTTGCAAATCTGCAATTCATTTTATCCACTTCATTCATTTGTACATTGAAATGTGATGCATGCATAACATCATGCTGAATAATATTCATAACATAAAATCTCTACTTGTGTAAGAAGAAACATATCTATGTGAACTCCCTCCACTTTAATCTTTAAGTATTTTCTGTTCTCGAGCCATCACATAAGAACAGCATATTCTTCTTTTACATACATCGTCTCAACATCATCAATCTGAGATATTTTATCGTATATGGTTCTTCTTCACATCTGCAATGCATCAAAGCGGGTTTACGACTCTCAGCGAATCGCATTTATTTTTGACTTTTATTCATTTTAATTTCCTCAAAATCCGCCTTTTATAAACTGTAAATCATTTTATTCACAGAATCCATAAAAATTTTTGCATTTGAATTGAGCTTGTATGAAAAACACAAAGCAGAATTTTTTTTATTGACCAAGTGAGACGAAAATGAAGATTAATAAAAAAATTATTATATTAAAGTTCTTTAAAAAGTTTGTTGCGTGACCGAACAACAACAAGAAATTATTGGCAGATTGATCTGTCTGGTTGTGCAACAGTTTAGATGATGATTTCTGTCGAATCCTTTAAACTCATTCTTAAATCGATAATATTATTAAGTATTAAAAGAACAGAGAGAAGAACTTCTTCTTATTTTCCGTTTGATGTCTTACAAGCATCAAGAGTCTCGAAATTTTGCTTCACACTGTTGTTCAACGTAGCACGCTACTACGGATTCTTGCTTAATAAAGAAAGCTCTAAACGATCAAGATCGAGTAAACGATCAAGTCATGTAAGTGAAATGCGAAGACGTATTTAAAACAAAATTCTTGTCAAATCATTGCCACTACAACTTGAAAGTCCGGTGGCTTCAACTTCATTTCCATATCCAAACATTCAATTATGATATGTCAGAAAGGCGATGAAATAAAAATGCTTGGTCGTTGTAAAATGTTTATTGAATCAACTCCAGCCGCTTTATGAGAGGTAGAAAAGTTAAATCAAGTAGCACTTTTCAATCAAAAGCTTCTTTGAGTTTTATTTGTTTTTTATTGAATACTCTGAATAGGATATAAATTTCTTCGCTCATAAAAAGTCTTGTTGATGATTTCAAAAGCGTTTTTTTCTTTCTTTTTTCGGATGAGTCAACTGAAAATTTCCAGCAAATATTGATGTGGAAGAATTAAGTCGAAATTAATAAGCAAATTAATGCTGCCAAGCCCTTCAATTCATTTAAACAATTCAGTTCATTGTTGACTTCTCTTCAAATAGGATAAAAATCGTGTCGCTCTTGTTGTTTGAGAAGGAAATGAATAGAAACATTTTTAAATGGTTTTCAACAACATATTAGAAGTGAAATTTATTTATTGATGAAGATTAACATAATCATTTATGATATCTGGCGCCACAATTTCATCAAATCTTCTTAAAAGAATCTCTCCAAATAATTGAAAATATTAATGCGAATTTTTCTAAATCGAAGCTTGGCGCCTCGTCATCAATTTATCATGAAACTTTCCAAATACATATTTAAATGCCAGGAAACACCATGAAGATGATTTCAATGACTCGTGATGTATTCATTTCTCATGCCTAATTGCTTATTACGGCTCTCGAGAAACATTTCAATATTTATTACTTTTCTAATAAATACTTTTCCTTACGCTTTCAAATCTAATCTTTTGTGTCATTAATTCATGTAAATATCAAATCGCGCCTCCATCAAAAACATAAAATAAAATAAAATAACATCAGATTCTTTCATTCGATCACACAAAGCTATGATCGAGACAAATTGTTCTTCAAGCTTAATCGACAAAGAGATTGAAATAATCGAAATTACCTCATAAACTGCCTTAAGCTTTTTCAAGCGGGACCACAAAAATGGATTTAATAAATCGTAGCAAATATCAGATGAAATTAAACCACGAAATGGAATTTATGATAATCAATCATTGAGCAATGCGCGATATACTACACAAAACAAAAAACTCAATTAATTTATTTCATGTTATTCATATGAGTGCTTCTCATGAGTTATTCCGAATAAATCTCGACAAGCTTGCTTGATATGAAGATTTGTGTTTCTCTTACTTTTTCCCTTTTTACTTTATATATTTATGTTTGTGTATGAATGTCTAAACTCTGAAGAAACAGCAACATATATTGAGACGAGGCACTGAGATTGATGAAAGGTTGAGTTGAGTTGATTAGATTTCAAGATCATTAAACAGTCCCATGTTATGATGATCCACAACAAAGATTGATTCGATTTTTGTTTTTCTTTTTATTTTTTTTAAAGAGAAAGAATTAATTTAATGAAGTTTTTTATATCATCATGGATGAATGTAAAAATTCATCATCATGGGAAGCTTATAAAAGTTCACAAGATTCTGCGCATGAGTTTATAGTTTAAATCGCTTTTCTTCAACAACATCAACAACAACACATAAATGTTCATCAATCAAATTCCGACCCGCACTTTTAAGAGTTCAACAAAAGAAAAGAAAATTATCGCACTTTCGTAATCATAAGTAACAACAACGAATATGTGAGATCTTGAGACTGGTAAATGTGCGTTAAGTACAGGCACATTGAGCCGAATGAAGGAGTGAACATATTAAAAGAGCTCGTAAAAACTTTGTACATATAAATTCTTTAATTGTTTTTCATAACGATAGTTTTTCATAATGTAGTCTTAAATCTTATCTTATGTCGAAGGCAGGTTGAAATAAGTTTTTTATTTAGCGAGAGGGTTAAATTTGATTGGCCTCTAATTTGAAGGTAGAGATGACGACTTTGCAACAAACCAATAAAACATTTTACGAAATGAAAATTTGCTAGCAAAGTCTTTAAATAAAAGTTTTGAACTTTGCTCGTCTTTGTGTGTTGCATCAAAGCACGTGTTTGCTTTCTTTGTAATTCTGAATTTGATTTGTAATTTCCTTTGAATGGAATGAAGAGATGAGAAGCACCTTGAGTTCATATGAAATGAAGAGAAAAAGGAGACCCTCTTTAAAGGCTGTTTCTACCTACAAAGAAGTTGCCTACTTAACTACATAAATATCTGATGAATCGTTGTCGGATATGTTTGTGTGAAATTGAGTCCCTTTAACTTCTTCTTTTCCTTTTTTATGAATGGAATAAACGTTACTTTGTTTGGTGTTTTTGGAAACGTATTAAAGTATAAAATTCTAGAAAAAAGAAGCAAATTGAATGAGGATGCAACACCCTTGATTAATATTATGAATAACCAGTCTCTGAAAGGAGCGGACAAATATTTATTATTCTCACATGCACAGCATGATTGGTGGATTTACATGCTTCGCCACTTTCCAACAATGAAATCAAGTTAATAATTAACGGTAGAAAAACATAAACCAATCGATTTATTAACAAGACAATGAAATGACATAAGGATTAACCCAATTATTTTCCTTTTTGATCTTATATTGTGTAACGACGAGGATGCTTGCTTTGACATGATGAATTTCTTTCATTTATGATTTCTTGAGATGACGCGAAAACTTGTTTCTTGTTCTCACCAAAAACTAAATACCACACGTGTAGATGAAATGTTTTCTTGCTTCGGTAAACACATTTGTACACAATCAATATTGCGCCCGTATTTAATGTTTCAATGAACTTTCCCATTTAATACAAATCATAAATTATGAAAATTCTACGAAGCCTTAAAAACACATCGCGCGGTCGCCTTTAATATCAAGTTTTTATGCTTTTTTGTTTGCGGTTTTGTATGGTTGGTCGTCCCGCCAAAAATCGATTAGTATAAGTAACAATGCGTTATAAAAAAGAACTTTACGACATATGGGTTGATTTTGCACATTGCTAAGAAAACTTTTCTTTTAGATATGTACATACAACATCACAATTGAAGTTTGATTGGCTTTAAAATGAAAAGAAACACTTAAAATTTTCTTATTCATATGCGGCATCAAAAAATAATTATTTTGAAACTTTAAAATTATTAAACTTACTGTTCTCTGAGAATTTATGTTGCATTGTTTTATAACTTGAAGGAAAATAACAAGATTGTTGGATGCACGAATATGTTTGAAAAAATTATGCTGTCAAAATATTCCAGTAGTAGTTTTTATTAAACTTATTATTATTGTTGATATCCTTCTGCTTATCGTTACACAATACACATCTCTATAATAATATAAATTTTTATGTATTCTTGTTATTTCTTTTCAGCTTTATGAAATCAACGACGATCCAAAGCGAAAACTCTTCCTCGACGATCTCTTTTTATTCATGCAAAAGCGAGGTAAGATAATCTGAAACCGCATGCAATGTATTTACATTCATCAAGTTATGAAAGCTGCATTAAAATATTTTCATGCTTTTAAAATTTGCAATTAATGAAATTTGAGTCGAGCACAAATAAAAGTTGAGGGAAAAGGCTAAACAAAATGCAATTATTTCAATACCATCATTACTGTGACGAGTTATTTTACTTCTAGACTTAGGAGAAGCTCTGAATCTTTGACGCTTCGCATTTGTTCAACATGTGCTGCTTGTCTCAGACTTCACGTAATAAAAATAAAGCAATTTAATGAACTTAATTCAACATTTTAATGGATTTTCGATTCGAAGAAAAATAAAATGAATTAACACAAAATTCAAATGATTTCTTGATGTGAATTAGTCAAAAACATGTGCTTGACTTCAAATGTCACTCGGAGAATGAAAAGGAAAATTAAGAAAATATTGGACAGAAATAGATTATTTATGAACATTGAAGAAGCCAAAGTAAATTGTAAAACATTGAGTTAAAGTAATGATGTTTGAATTTATTAAAAGAATTTGGCACAAACTTTGACTTTAATATCACTCATATTTTTAGTGCTAATTAGTTGTGACTAAATGTAGCTTCAAATTAAATTATATTTTCATAAATTCCCATATTAATTCATACATAATCCAAATGACCGACACATGTTAGAAGTCATCAAGAATTTTATGAATTCTCTGAAAGAGAAATCGATTTAAAACTTAATTTAAGAATTAATATCGAATCGAATTGTAATCGAGTAAATCAATTTTCATACTTAATTGACGTTAATTATAAATTTCTAATTTGACGACAAATTTTAATTTATATTATCAACGATTAAGAAGAAAATTTTGTTCTGTTAATTGATTGCAAAATTGTACATTGCACCTCAAAAAATTGAATTTTAATTCTTGGAAATTCTCGCGGTAGAGCTGGAAATTCAAATAAATGATATTTAAAATATGTTTAAGTGAACATGTTAAAAGCCTTCACGGAAATCAATTTCAAGGCTCGAGGCAATTACAAGATTTTTTAACTGGTTCATAAGTATCATAAATAATCAAGTTGTGATTGTTCACATTGCGAAGATGCGGAATTGTGTTTAATGTTGAATATTTAATTGAATTTCTTTCGATCAAATTTGTATCATAAATAAGTTAGACAACAAGTCGGTCATCATAAATAAAAACACAATTTAAATCCAATTTATTTAAAACAACGTGAACGAATGTTCTCAACCAAATAAAAAGATAAAAAATTGTTTTGAGAAGAAATACGAAAGTAAATACAAGTGAATCAATATTGCATAATGTATAATTCATAATACGAAGAATTATTTAATGTTTCTTTCTTTTTTTTTGTTTAGAAATTGGAAGCCATAAAAATGAAAATATTTTGAAACATTTTTTCTCAAATATCGTTTTTCTTCGTTTTCCTCGATGTTTATGAAAACTTACCGGCTCTCACTTTCAATTTCTAATTTTCCAATTTTTACGCATGCAATGTTAGAAACAAATCAATTTTTATGAGATTTTGATGAATTTCTCGATATATTGAAGAGATCAATCATCACCCATAATTAAACAGAATTTGATGAAAACATTTTCAAACTCAAAACAATTTTTTGATATTAATTTTCAAGATTTTCTAACTAAGGAAAATGTAAACGAAAGCTTTTTTTTTTTGTTATCGATTTAAAGCAATTGTTTTATTGTGTGTTTATATTTCATTGATGATCGCTCCAAGTTGTAAACACAATTAAAGTGTGCTTAGATTGATTTAAGCAATGTCGGCAAATCAGTTTTAACATCAATAAGCTAAGTTTAAGTTAAAGATCAAAAAATTATTTATGTTTAATGATATAAATCACAAAGATTTTACGATTGATAGAATTCTTTGATATCATTTTCCTCTGGCAACAGATTTGAAGTCATTTAACCGTCATAATTTATGAATTTTGTTCATCTTCAATTCCCTCAGTTAGCTTCTTAGTAAGAAGGCGTGAAATGGAATATTTTCCAAAAATTATTCTTTTTCTACATTAAATAAACGCACATGGATCAGAACCGACTGTGTGGTGATCAATTAACAGCATGATTCCTTGAAACGATGGATTACAATAAATTCGGTATTATTCAATTAACACACGTAGAAAGAAATTGAATTACTGTGAGTTGAGTTCTTTAACGCGTGTAATATAAACTTAACTCTATTAATCATGCAAATAGCTTTAGCCACGCTCTTCTGTTCGTTATTTTTATCAACAATAAGTACTCATTTCAATCAATTCTTTCTCTATTCTAGGCACACCAATCAATCGACTTCCCATCATGGCTAAATCAGTATTAGATTTGTACGAGTTGTACAATTTGGTGATAGCTCGTGGTGGGCTTGTAGATGTGATTAATAAGAAATTATGGCAAGAGATTATTAAAGGACTTCACTTACCTTCAAGTATCACAAGCGCAGCATTCACTCTAAGGACACAGTAAGTTTAACATTACCATTTCTGTAACGTTTGCAATCAAATTATAGCTTTGAGGTGTGGTGGTCTTTTCACTTCGAGTACTTTTGTTTTTTTTTGTTGTGCAATTATTCTTGCAACCTTTTATTGGCATACCAAAGAGTACAAAACTAAATTAAAGAACGTTGAAGGAAACGCCCGAAGACATAAAGCCGTAATTTGATTAGTTGAGGGAAATACAACAATTTTATTTATGTACTTGTTTCCTTCCTCGATGTTGTCTGACTTCTTTATCATTAAGTTTATTATGAATAATTAAGTTTGAACTGCTGAAGTCTTCCAAAATACTTAATGATAGTATTCAACACAAATTTACTCGCCTTTTAAATGTTCATCTCACTATGAATACGAATTTTTATTAAAACAGAGAAAATATCTAAAGAAGAATATCAAACAGAGAAAAAATTCTTACAAATTAACATTAAACGAAATCTCAAATTCTTGTTGTGTCCAATCTTTCATTTTGTTTGTCCATCGCTTATTTCAATGGTTGAAAAAATTTCATTAAATATTAGACATCTTGTTTCATCACAATGGACACACAAGAACCACCAACAGACATCGAATTCAACACAATTTTTCAATTTCGTCTATTAATTGAATGTTCAAACATGAGAATTGAATTTATGGATAAACAGTTGGATTCAAGAGATTTTTTCTTCTTTCATGATACATGTTTGAAATATTCAATGAACGGATGAAGATGTTTGAAGAATCTTTTTCACTTTTTGTCAACGGCTCCATATTTGTCACAACTCACGAATATATGAATACATGAATATAATTACAAAATTGAAGTCTTCAAGTTCTCGTCGTGAGTTTTCATGTAATGAACTCAACAATTCTTACAAATTAAGAATCTTTCTTTGCATGATGCCAATCTGTCTGCTAATTTCATCCAAAATTCTCACCCACGCATTTCTTTTGTTTTCAGATACATGAAATATTTGTATCCATATGAGTGCGAGAAGAAACATTTAAGCACGCCAGCTGAATTACAAGCCGCAATTGATGGCAATCGTCGTGAGGGACGTCGAACTAGTTATGGACAATTTGAGTCACAAATGCAACAACAATTGCAAATGGTAACATTTTCTTAAAAACATTCTTAAATATTATTTAATCAGTTAATGTTATTGAAACAGCCTCAAATGCAACGATCACCAATTCCAAACAGTCTTCAGCAAATGTCGCCGCTTTCTTTAGTGACACATGGAAATCAGAACCCACATAGACTGATGGGTGCACCGCCTGTTGGACAGTTGCCCAGTATAGTTCCACATGACATTGAACAGCGAATGCTTGAATACATCAAACTTTTCCAAACACCTAAAGACATTAAACGTAAGCTCATTAATAATTTTCAACACTTGAATAAATAAATAATGAAATTAATGAAAAATTAGGCCCACAAAGTCCCGACGTCTCACGTGAGGCATTGAATGCCCTGGAAATGTCACGAATGGCACTCTGGAATATGTATCAGAATGCTAGTCCACCGAATCAACACCACAACACGACTAGTCCACCAGAAGTACAACGTGAAGCGTTGAATTTACAACGTGAATCACCATCGCCCATCCCAGCTCAATCACCGATGATTTCAATAAAACGCGAACGCGATCAACACGATGTCAACGATTATCATGTTCCACCCACAAAGAGAGGCTTTGGACGCAACAATAGCGACCTGAATCGTAAAAGTTCCATCAACAACAATCATCATCACATAAGCAACAATAATACGCACGTGACACCGACGAAAATCACCAACAAAGCAATGGATCGATCGGAATCGCCGAATATTGAAAACGGTAATCACCATCGATCACCATCGGCCCATCATAAACCACAAAATGGTATGGACAATCTTGGCAGCACCATTTTGAATGGAATGCAATTCAAGATTGTCAGTAAAGGTAAGAAAAGTGATTAAAAATGTTAATAAACATTAAACATTAATGAATTAAATTTGAAACAGATAATTCATCAACTGGTGAACCACAATTGGTTGTGAAACTCGAAGTCAATGGAATATCATTTGAAGGTGTTCTTTTCCCCAATCCCAACACATCACCATCGACATCTTTGACACCATCAACGGCATCAACTGAACCGATGGTGTCACCAAATAAGAATTCATCACCAGCAATTGGTAATGACGATCATAAAATGGCCCATCATCCAATAGTTTCATCTTAAATAAATATTCATAAATTTATTCTCTGGTGACGTTTCGTAAAAGTGCAAGAAAAGTTATCGAATGAATGATGACAAAATAAAAATAAATATATAGAAAAATAAAAATTTCCTTTAGTAAATATTTTGACTAAATGTCTTAGAATCATCTTTTTTTTCTTGGAAGCATATTCTCAACATTAGAAAGCATAAATGTGTGGACTTTTAAAAATAATTTGCTTAAAATAGTTTGAAGACAATTTTTAATGTTAATTAAGAGAAATGACATAAAAGTTTTTAATTAATAAATTTTCCCAATTTCTTCGCGAAACAGTTTGAAAGTTGTTAATTAATATTGACGCAAAAAAAGGTATTGAAAATAAAATTAGTCATTTAAGCAAAGGAAGAATTAAAAGTTAATTAAATAAAAGTAGTTATTGAACATTCATCTTTCGCTCATCATCTTCATTCTTTAATAATATTGTAATAATAATAATAAATAAATAAATAAATAAGCTGAAAAGTTTTTAAGGTCATTCTTCTTTTGTTATGTTTCTCATTTGTTAATGATGATTTTTACGCAATTGATAAGCTTAAGATGAATAATAAACATTTAAATATTTTGATGCTTTCTAGTTCCACTATCTCTTAATAATATTTAGTAATTGAAAAAATTGATGAATAATAAAGCAAGAAGAAATTTATTCGCATTCAAATACAATTTTGTTGTTTGTTTTAAAAATAAGCTGAAATCAGACACAGCAAGTTTCAAATTGTTGTGATTAAAATTAATTTGATTCGTAATGAAGAAAGCAGGCAACGAGTTAAAGGTATGAAGTTGAAATTTCTTAGCTCAGCAAACATTTCTCTCTTTTAATCGACACTCCAAGATAATTGTAAACAGTTCTTCATTTATCTGGATTTTTTTTTAATCATGAAACAAACTTGAAATGATCAAGATGTTTTGTATCGTATGAGTAATTATCACCCTTGGCACAAAGATTATTTGCCTGACGACCAGAAACTCTTTGATGTTGTAAAATGAGAAGAAATTTATTAACGAATCAACAGAAATGTTTTCAAAACATCAGTCATTTAATATAAAAAAATGTTTGGAAGAATGAATCAGACGATTTATGAGTTTTTTTAAAACATTTAATAAACGTTACAACAACTGGAAGAAAATCTTCAAGCAATTTTATTTGATGTCGTGATCTTTTGAAACTTTCAATTATAAAGGATATTTTCATCTATTACCTTACCGACAACAAACATTTATGACATTAAAAAGAGATAATTTATTAACTGTTTAAATATTACTCACAAATTTATGCTGTAAAATATCTAAACATTTATTTAAAGAAAAGGCAATTGCCGTAAATCGCTAAGAAAAGTTTCGTTTACATTCTCATATGAAGGAAAATCTGAAATTTAATATCAGAAGAAATATTTTGATTTAGAAATGTTTTTACTGAGATTTATTTTTCAATTACATTTGATGATTGATCTTCTCAATTTATCGAAAGATTCATCAAATTGCCGTAAAAATTGATTTGTTCCTAAGATGAAGTATTGAAGGAAATATTGTTTCACACAATGTTAATATTGAAATTCAAATTTCTGTTCGTAAGTTTTCATAATCAGCCATAAGTATCAAGTTGAAAACTTTTATTTACTTCTTAAATTTAAAATATTTTCATGATTTTTTTTTACTTTTGTACAAAAGGTTTGTGTAAGTTTATTTTTAACTCATTGATTATCAATTAGTATTATAAATCAATTTGATAATTGTGAACAAGTATCTATTATTGCTTTGTACTTTCAAATATTTAAACAAAGTTTCATCAAGTCATCAAATTCCAAAGCTAATCTCAAATGTTGAAGCAGCATAAATAAACCAAAACTTAAAAACCTGCTTGAAATATCATTAAACTTTGTCATGTTTAGACTTCCAATCATGTGATTAATAATTTCAATTCAACTGCTTTTTGCTTTTTCTCAATCATGATAATTCTCAATTCCCAGTAGCTTGCTAAAACATTAAAAATTGTAGAAGAAAGCAAACGAAAGCATTACATAAATTTTCTAATAAATTTAATCAAGTCAAACAGGCTGACATCAATCAAAAGTCTTAAGTCATTTATTTCCAAGAATTCTACTAATCTTGCTTAATCAGCAACATTTTTCAAAGTTGCTATTATCAAATCAGGTTTGAACAGAAAACTCAACACACATCATTTGAGATTCTTTCATATTAAAAATACATATTCACAATATAAATGAATGCAATTTTAAGGTCAAACATATAATTAACATAAAACTTATGAGAAGAAATAAAATCCAATGCAATGTGATTAGACATACTTTTAATAACAAGAACTTATTTCTTTTCTTTATGCTTTCTTAAGTTTATCTCGTACTGCCCAATGGTTGACTATTATAAATTCTCGTGGTTCAACTTCATCGGATATTTGCTACAATTTATTAAATCTCTTTATAAAATTCCCGCTAGAAAGGGCCTAAGGCACTTTTTGAGGTAATTTTGATTACTTCAAGACATCCGATTTTGACTTTGTTTTGATTGTGGAAATTGTTTGAAAAATGTTCTCACTGAATGAACATTTTAAAAGTGGGCAATTTACGATTATTTCAATCTGTAATAAAAGAATCTTCAACCACATCAGTAAAATTAATTTTATATTTAAAAAACAAGTGAGACCACGAAAATTTAATATCACAAAAATAACTGAATAGAAATTAACTGGGAAGGGCTCGAAACAAAAGTTTTACCATAAATTTTATTACTAGAAATTTAAGATTTGTGCATTGTGAATTGAAGAATGAGAAAAATTAAAATAAAACTTTTTCAAAGTATCTGATGGAGAAGGTTGTACTGGTTTATCTCTAATGCAAACTTCAATGATATGAAGGTGACTTGTACAAGGTTTTGATTTCTGATAAAGTTGTCTTCTTAGATGTCAATTTGTATAATAAAAATTATCAAATCTCAGCCCTTAATTTTTTTTGTTTTGATGGCAAATCAATTAACATTTCTCTCGTGGCAAAAAGGTTTTTAAAGGTTTCAAATTTATCAAAAATATTTCATTAGAAAATGTGTGCTAGCTTAAGAATGGAGTGTAGCAATATTTGATAAAATAAATATGACTAAGCATTAAAATCCATGAATCATGTTTAACACCGAATTTAAGTCACAAGTTGATATTCGATTAACACATGGATATGACTTAACATCTTGATATAACTGTTAATAAAATATGTTTGAATTTAGACATTTATAAAGAAAAAAAATTTGGGCGATATTTTTATTAATAATTAACACATTAATGAAGCAATGACATCAGAATCTGAATTCAGAGGAAAGAAACTCTCAAAAAGCTTTATTTTTATGTTTATTTAATTGACGATCTCATTTGACATTCAAGGAGGTTTATCCGTCGTTTCTCTTTGAATAAATTTTATTTGAATGAATGAATTCAATAATAAATGACTAATCACTTTTCTATTGTTGACTTATGGAGTAATTTTGTTTGTAGTATAAATTTTCACTGCTTCTTATTGCCATGAATCTTGCTATATTTGGATTATGATGTATTCAGATCGTTTTTACTTGCTTTTACCGTTAAATAACTTTTATTGGTGTTCGATTGATCTCATTTTTAATTTGATATCATGAAGCATCTGTGTGCACACATTTTATAACTAAAATAAATAAATAAATTAAATTTCAGAGAATTCTAAAGAACAATCATCACAATTCTGTTTACCGAAGAATGAGCGCACACACAAACATATAAAAATTAATCAATAACCCATCAAAGACGATTTTATTTACACACAATTTCTTGAAGATTCTAAAATTCTACAATTTTTATTTGATTATTATATCGTAGATCAATTACCATTGTTAAACGACGTCTTTTTCTCAGAATTCTGTTAATTATCGAGAAAGACAAAAAAAAATTAAAGATTTAAAATCAATTATCGCTTCATGTCTTGTACATTTTGATTCCAACAATTGAAGAAAAAGAAGAAAATTTTAAAACACAACAATTAATGGAAATCTTTATTTTCATATCAAATAGTAAACTTTTTTGACTATTATTTGCACTTCAAGTTTATATTCGTTTCTGTTTTGTTGATTCAACTCGTATTGTCTTACGTGAAGATTATCACACAATAATGGGGACACATTGAGCATAGTTTACATTCAACAATTGAATGTTAAAGTTTTAGTTTAAAACTTTCCGCTTTTTGTCCCAAATAAAGTTTGAATTTTATTTATTTTTTGTTAAAATACTTTATAAATCATGTGAGGTTTGCTTGAAGCGTTTATTTAAATTCTTGCCAGTTTTTATTGATTTAAATATTTTTTAATTAGTAAAACATGAAACATTAAAACATAAATTAGCATTGCTGACTTACAAATATATCTTAAATGAAATTCAATAATTATTTAGATAAGATTCTATGAGAGTTTAATATATGAACTTACACAACGTTTAAGTATATGATATTTAAAAAGATGCCGCTGTAGAAACAGCTCAATGCACTGGGCGTATTTATGCTAATAAATCATGTTGTTTTCTTCTGTTAAGCTTAAAGTCTGACCGTAAATTTTGATAGAATTTAAAGCATAAATGTTGTTAATGTTGCATGGATTAAAGATATGCAATGCGAGTCATAAAAATCTTATTTTATTATATGTATATTTTCAAACCTTCTGGGCTAATCAATTTCGATTTTTATTGCGTCCGATTCGAGACTGAGATACTTATATACATTTGTATAAAAAAATTGTACATTTGAGTTTTTCTTTCCTCCATCGCGCAATTTTATGTTGCATGCATGATCATCAATCGATAAGCTGCGCAAAAAAAATTCGAAATGGAAATTCTCAAAGATTTTCGAACGTTGTTTGAATAAAAATTTGTAATTTATTAAGCATTGTATTTCACAACTTGTACATGTTGAATAACTTTTTATTGTGCTATTTTGAAGGTTCACACATGTTTGTTGCGATATTACAAAACTTCTTCTTACAAATTAATAAACGTTTTAATGGCGACACATTGAAACTGATGATGATGCATGGCGATGAAATAATGTGGAAAAGCCGCAAAAATGTGCATTAAAAGCAGCGAATTCCAATTGACCATTAAACGCAAACAATGAGCCACAATTTTCAATTTTTTCCACATTCATTCGATGTCACGTTTAATCGCTTTTTGTTGAACATTCAATGCTCAACAACAAAGTTGCTTTTGATAATGACTATTTGAACTTAAATTCAAATGAAATTTTACAGCAGATGAAAACATGCACAGACTTACTTACTTTCATGACTAAAAAATTAATTAACATTCGGTTCAGAAATAAATTTTTTGAAATCTGAGAATGATGATGAAGACGTAACTCATGTCAATCAAAATGGAAAAAAAAATACTTTTAATTTTCAACAAAGTTTTCTTTCACTGACTCACCATTTGAAATCAAGAAAGAAAATGTCGCGGTCTGATCGAGATGGACATGCTCGTGCTTTGAATTTTTCAAATTAAGTAAATTTTCACTTCAGACGACGATGATGATGCTGCTCCTCTATACTTACCATATTGTCATACGATTTCCTACGATTTTCTTTTTATATTTAAGAAAAATCTTCCATCATCATTGAAATACTGTCATGTCTGTCTTCAGATTTCTCTTCTTCATCATGCTTTGTTTATTTATAACAGAAGAAAAAGTAAAATAATTAATTTCACTCGAATGATGGCAAAGCAAAGCAAAGCAAAGGCACAGAGTTGTCATTAGTGATGATCTACTTGATTCTTTTCTAATTTTAAGAAACTTTTTATCCGAAAAACCTAAGAAGAGGAAGTGGGCGTGATGAGTTTGCTTAATGATATTGAAGAAAATCATAAGATATTTAAAGGTAATTAATAAGGCGGAAATGTCGTAAAATATTTTTCTTCTAACTGTTTACGAGTCGGATACATATTTGGTTCGCTGTTCCAATAATCAAATCAGCACAAATCGCAAATGATTCATAAATCCATTCGATTACGATACATATTAATAATGTTTGACCTGAAGGTTGGCCTACATTATAGAGAACTGTGAAATCATTTGTCATTGATCTTGTTATGAAGAATATATTGAATGAAAGATCGCGGTAAGAGATTTCATTACTCGCTATTATTATACTCTTTGTTGTACAACATTCATAGAACTCACGCTGCTAACTGATCATCGTAGAATCAATTTTGACCTACGATCAACTTGAAATAGAAAAGAAATTCATTAATATTATGATTAATCGATAATTTCGTTCCTTCTTTTAGTCAATTTCTCCTTAATTCAAAGCGGAGTTGAACGAACGTAATAATTCGCGGAATCAATCACAATATTAGTTATTGAGGTGTGCTTCATTGTACCGATTGCTTCAATAATCTTCCAAAAATCAAATATTTAAAGAGCCATAAGTCAAAAAATTCTTAAATAATCTTTAATCCAATATAATTCATTTCTTACGAAAAAATCTCTCCAACAAAGTATCATCTCAGTGGCGCATAAACTGTCACTTTTAATGACACTAACCACAAGGCTTACACAAAAAAAAAGTAAAATGTGATTTTGCGAGACTGAAATACATAAAACAAGTTTGTCGTGTCATAAATGCGTCCATTTCAGTGAAGAAGCTGATTTAATTCTTACTTACTTACTTACGAGAGAATCACATTTAAATTTTATTTTAAATATTTTATGAGCCACGGATGTCATTTTGTGAATTGCGGAAAAGGTTCTTTCATTGAATGCATTTGCAAATTGCAATAAACTGTTCATTTGCGAAAGATTGTAAATCAATTATATTTTACTCAAAATGTAAATATGAAACGAAAGTAGATTGAAATCACATCATCCATCCTTAAAAACCTTCCAATCGCAATCAAATATAAATGAACTGGTTATTAGCTAGCAGTGTTCCTTATTTAAACTTTATACATTTCTTCGAAGCCTTTCTTCTTTGTTGTTTCAATAATGAATTTCTATTTACTCTTCGGACTTCAAGACGTTTAACTTTTGATATTTGTTTATCCATCGAGCTCAGAAAGAATTTAATTATTTATTTTATATTAAAATATGTTAATGTAGTTTCGTGAGTATTGTTTGAACAATAATTTTTATATTGAAATTAATTTCTTCGTCGGTTTCTCGTTGCCTGAATCAACTTTGGTTGAGGTTTTTTTTTTGATTTCTTATACAAATATTGAATCTCTTTTTTACTTCTTTGTTTTGTTTTCAGTCAGATTTTTTTTTCTTACAAGTGTTTTTGATTCGATTTTCAACGTCACGAACTGTACGTGTGAAATTTAAGACGAATTTCAATCAACAGCGTTGATTGTGTTATGTTCAAGATTGTGTTAGCATTAAACTGGATATATGAGTTAATTTCTTAATGTAATTTAATTTTCTTCGGAAATATTGAGAACAAAATTTTAATTAAAATTATGAAAATTCTCAGAACATTTAATTTAATTCCGATTTTTTATGTTTATTGTCAACAGACACACATCAAAGTAGAATAATTACAAATTTCTTTAATTTCTCACAATTATTCAAATGACTTTTTCATAAACTTGAGCGTCTGATCTAAATAAATGATTCCGACAAACGAAAGCAATTTTGAATGGCTGGACGACATTAACATTAAGAATTTAAATAATGATTCAAACGTCGTCGCGATTGCACATTAAATAAAGTTCCTTTCAAATGAATATTCCGTGTATTTCGTAAAATGCCATTAAAATGTTTTATTGATGTGTGCTGGCAAAATATTAAAAATGAAAATGCTTAAGCGCAAAAAGCGCTCAATAAAATTTACTTTTTATGAACATTTTTTGCACAACAATCTCAAGCGCTTTTTGATTGATTCCAATTCGACACGCCTTCAATAAAATTAAGATTTTTTTCTGTTTTTCCGCTCTTTTCATCAGACATTTACACATCAACGGTGAACAGATTGGCAATAAATAATCCACGAGCTTTTCTTTTATGTTTTGTTTTACATCTTACAACTGATTAAATGAGAATCGTCTGGAAATAAGTTTTGAGTGATTAGATAGAGTAAATAAAGGTGTAGAGCGTGTTTTAACTTTCAGATAATTTTTTTAATCAGAATCAAGACATGAAGTCTTGATTGTAAAAATAAAAAGAGAAGTACGACATAAATTATAAATTAACTTTTATGTTGATAAATATATTAATATTTTTATATTAAAAATTAATTACAGGTGATTGCTTTTAATTTTCCATTTAATTTCAGCTTAACAAGAACATTAATTGCTTGAAATCTACATAATAAATATGCTTTAATTCATACATCTTTCAACAACATTCTTTCTTTGATGATTTATAACATTCCACGAATGAAATATTTCTTCTTGATGATCTAATTAAATTAGCAAATTCTTCACGAGTTTCTCTCTCTTTTTCCTATCCATTCCTTCCTGCCAAACTTTAAATCACTTGATTTGAATTCTAAAAGATAATTTTGCTTTTCACAGTGTTGCGGTGTTTTATAATGTAAAAGAAAATTCGCTAAGGTATCATAAATACCACATAGATATTGCATAAATGTATATTAATGGGAGATCGTAACTCAACTCTAATTCCACTGATCTTTGATCTCAAAATAATTTGATATTCGTGATGGAACTGTAATGTTGCTTGATGTTGAGGAGATGTGACTGAAAACTTAGAAATAGCTTTGAAGCTATCAAAAGAATTATGAATATTTTTTTTTTGAAAAGAATAGAAACTTTTTCTGGTTCACAAAATAATAAAAACGAACATGAACTATGAATGTATGTAGTAAAGCCTAACAACTGCTAACAAGAGAAAAGTATTACAAATTTTGATCACATTTATCATTTAAATGATTCCTAACACAAAAAGAATTTTTAAGTGTTTAAAAATAAGTCACACGTAGTATTTGACAAAGATTAATTAACTTAAATTCAAATTTAATTTCACATAAATGTTCCGTGGGATCTGTTGAAACTGATGATGTCGTCAGACAGAATAAAGAAAAGTGGAAAGATAGAAAAGAAATGTCCCACTGATGTTTAGTGCAATCAAAATTCGTTAATCAACATTCCGAATCAATCAGCATCGTGAAGATTTTAAATGTAACTTCAACAGAATCATTAGCTGCTTGTTCTAAAAATATTCGCTGTAACATCGCACGAGTAATTAAGGAATCTAGAACGTAAAATACTTGACATATTTATTGTGATCATGAAAGCAAAATGAAGCTTCAGCTTTCATTTCATAATTCATCATATTGATTTGCCTAATTTTTGACAACAGTTCTATAACATTGAAGGATTGTCTTCGAAGACATCACACAAAGAAATTTATCTTTATGTATTAGCAACCATCCAAACGAACGAAAAAGACTCATAAAAATAATTGCTTTAGTTTAACTGCAGTTTTTTCCTCAGCCGTTTTATCTTTCCATTTCCATCTTGACATCATAACATATAAAAAAAACAACATGCATGATGTGCACCGCAAAGAGAAGCCATTTATGAATGCAAACATTCCGACATTACATCCGACACATAAAATCATAATTAATTGCGTTGCATCAGTAAAACCTAAACGTGAAAAGAGTGAAGAGATGCAGAGAAGAAACAATTAAAATAATTTGTTCTTATTGTGAGATAAGGAAAATCATAATAATTAAATAACTTTTTAATAAAACAGCAATTAGATAGAAAATTCATGCAAATTTCCTTTCTTTAAGTAGATTTTCTCTTCATTGTGCTCAACTTAAAATATGAAAATAACAACAAACTTTTTCTCACTACTTATGATTAATAACTTCAACTTGCGTGGATGCAATCTTATCGTGTTATTAGTGCTGTCATTAACAATTACAAAAACTGCCAACAGACGCAAATTTTATTCGCTTTTAAATTAAAAATTTAATTTTAAATGTTATTAAGCGCCTTAACTTGAACTTTTCATCTTTCGTTTCATTTTAAAATTGCAATCACAGTTATGGTCGGAATTGCGCATGTTTTAATATTCTTATTGTTTTCAAATAATGGAAATGCGCGAAAGCTTTTATCCATTCCGCTTCGCCCTGAGCAAAATCATCGTTCAGCTACGATTGGTTTCATATTAAATGAAAAACTTCAATCCCCACTTTAACTAAAATCATTTCTCACTCTCTCTGTTGATTTCCGTCTGTTGATCATCTTATCAGTATGTAGTTTCATAATTTTACAATATCTCTTAAAATTGTGCTTAGCCAATCTTAGACAAATCAGAATTCTTTTTGAATCTACATAAATGAATGCTTTCAGGCAGACTTTTAATATTAAAACAGAGATGAAAAGAAAAGCTTAACCCCGCCTTTTTTCTTATAAATAATCATGAGTTTTCTTCACATTAATATTTATTACACGTTTTAAATATCTGTACAACATGTTCAAGTTCTTTGCTTCGTTCTCATTCAACGATAAATAATTTATTAGTGCGTACTTTTTTGATTGGATGTCGAAATTATTTTCATGATGTTCATGCTCGGCAAATTTCAACAGTTTGAAGTGTCTCAGATTTTGATGATGTGGGGAAATGTGAATAAATAATCTACGAGAGAAAAGTTGAATTCCCATCAAAATATCATAAATAACAAGCATTTTATGCTGGGAATTGGGATAAATATTTTGAAAATCATCACCCACACATTCTGTCAATTAAACGTTTTTCAGATCCCAATTTTGTGATAAAGGATTGACCGTTGTGGTTTAAATGTTTCGTTTGTTATTGATCGCCAGCATCAAATTCATTGCTTAATTAAAAATTGTGAATCTTTAATTGAAAATGAAGTTTGCCATTTAACACATCAAACCCTTGTTGTTTTACTGTCGTCGTGATTTATGATAATATTTATTATTCTAACATGACGAAAAAAATGTTTTTAAATCAAGTCAAAGTCAACCAGCATCACAAATTGTGTTGCGGTGAACCTTTTTTTGATATTTACATTGATCTATAATAAAATTCTCTTTCTTAAACTCTCAATTTAAGATCCTATTTTTGCTTACTAAATAAAAAGAAGCTTCTCAAGCAGGTAAGATGCCAGCCAAGGTTGTTATTTACATTGTCTGACTTTCTTTCTTTATTCCTTTGAAAGCAAACAACAAATAAACTTCAAACTAACAACGCATGAAAAGGCGAATGAATGCAATGCGATCTACAAAAGGACGACGATTGATTAAAGTCGGAAAAGTTCTTCTGTTTCTTTCGATGTCTTCACAAGCGAAGAAGAAAAAAATTACAGGATTGAAGAAAACGGTCTGAAAACCTGTTAAAAAGATAAATGGTTTTTATTACGTAATTTTGACACTTCGCACGCGTTTCAACGGAAGAGAAAAATAAGATTACTGACTAGCTGTGCGCCTAACTATCTCAAGCTCTAATGTATATAATTACGTTATTTACTAGCTTGTTTATGGCTTCCTAACAGCCACAGAACAGATATTGTAGAGAGACAAATAACTTCTAAGCATCTAGCGATTTAGTTGTGATATTAAAAGGGGGATTTGTTTCAAATACATAACTTCTGGGACATCTGGTCGGTCATAAAGTCAGATGATGAAGAAAACAACAACACAAAATATTGTCAATTGTCTTAAACATCTTCCTCGGAAATTCGCTAAAGTTTTAAAGTATAATCTGGTGACGAATCACACTCGTGGACCTAATACATCATTTAAACAAACATTTAAGGCGCATAAATCATGATTTTTACTCAAGAATGAGAAGGAAAAAAAATACTTGAAGCACAAGACTCACATTTGCTTTTACCTTATATACGGTTAAAAAGTCATTATATAATGTTAACTATTTTTAGCTTCAATGAACTTGAACTCAGCTTTATGTACAAAAGCCGTCTGAAAAAAATTTGTAAACACAACAAACTGTTTCTTGTTTATATTTTGAAGAAAAAAAAAGAGAGAAAATCTTAACAACCAAACAACAACCACTAAGTCGTAACAGAAGCCGTGGAACCGTGCAATAAGAAGGATTGTTAGAAATTGATTCAAAGAAATATTTTATAAATAAATATCTAGTCAAATAGATATTTAACTAACTTCTTGCCATGCCGTCGGTTTCAAGTTTTAATTGAAAATAATTTTCATTTCTTCTCTCCGATAATCAAATATTTTCATCATCGTCTTTGTTTAACTTTATCATAAGATTTTATTGATGAAAATAAGAAATGAAATATTGACGTTTTTCTTTCTCCCTTCAATCTTCTCATTAAAATTTTTCTACAAAATCTGACACATAAAGAAGTATTAACGGCATCATAGACACAACAAAAGTCTAGTCGATGTTCAGACGAGCGTAAAAAGTCTACAACGCTAAAAACATTTCAAATGTCCCCTCTTCATGCTCTGCAAACTCGTAATGATTGGCTGACGTCGAATAAATGACGATGTTTGTTCACATATTTTTTTTCTTTTCTTTTTTTATTATTTCTACTTCTGATGTTTGTGTGCTTTTAATTGTAATACTTATTCGAGTCGCCTTCAATGTTTTGTCCATAAAAAGGAAATATGAAATAATTAAGAGCCGCTGTATGTATTAAGATATCGACTTCGCCTCATTTACGTCATCCATGACCATAAGTTTCTCGTAACTTGTATGTCACGAAAAGTGGAAAACGAAAATATTGATGAAGCATCTGGCAACCAGATTTAAATAAATTACAAATAGACTCAACATGTAAAAAGGACCACATGCAAGTTCTTATCTTTTTCACATTCGTTTATTCTTCTTTTTCGCTTTCAGCCATGTTTCGATCAATAATTTATGCAATTTGAATGCTTTTAAGGAAGCCCAAGCAGCATAATTGGAGACAGTAATTTGATTCTCGACTTTGAAAAGAAAGAATCGAAGGAAACTGAAATGATATATCAAGCGACATATTGAAGCAAATATTCAAAGACTGTGAAAGTTAGACTTGCTATTTTACCAGTTTCTTTATTTATTGATTTCTTTGTCCTCCTTTTTTTGTATTTTTTTGATATTTTCTGACTTTTTTTTGCTTTTTATGTTTTTTTTCATAATATTGAAAAAAAAATAATAATAAAATTTTAAATTAATCTGTGTCTAAATGTATCACAATGAAAAAAACTTCCTTAGTTAAGTTTTCTTTGGGGACTCTAAAGGATGAAATAATTTTAATTATTTTTGAAAGAAAATAAATTTAAATGGAAATTTAAGATAAATTTAAGATTGTGATAGAAAAATAAATGAGGGATAAAATTAAAAAAACTTAATTAAAAACGTTTTAATCATTTAACAGAAATTATACTAAGAAATTAAAAAAAAGCTCGACGACTTCTTTTTGTTGCACTTTTTGTCATGTTTTGTTTTTGGCTATTGGATGAATCTTGCGTCAACAACAAAGATCGAACACAAGATTGAGATTGCATGCATCTCGCATTTATGTCTGTTGTTGTTGCTGATTCTGCAACATTTGATTGTATACTAACATCATCATGAAAAATCGTTGCTGTGCTTCTTGAAGTGAATTCATTTGTTGTTCCTGATTGTTTGGTGGTTCAATCGGTTGTTGATTGTTCGAGCCTCCATTAGGGGCGAAATTGAGACCAAGATTGCTAACGCTTGCTAGTGTACTAGCTGCAAGTTGTGATGCCATTGCCTTATGGAAAGAAACAAACCAATTAATCATAAGTAAATAGCAAGAATAATTCAACCATTGGCAATTATTCAATTCCTTAATTAACTCACCATCTGCAATTGTTGATGCGGAGATGGCTGAGGTGGCGGCGGCGGCGGTGGTGGCGTGTACTGATGGTAGCTTGAACTCGTTGAGCGTCGGCTACCGTCACGCTTATTATTCTCAATTGCAGCTTGTAATTCTAAATCGGTCGACAGATTGTATTTCTCGCACTCATATGGGTATAAATATTTTGTGTATTGTGTGCGTAGCGTGAAAGCTGCACTTGTTATGCTCGATGGTAAACTCAAATCTTTGATAATTTCTTGCCATAATTTCTTGTTGATAACATTTACGAGACCACCACGGCCAATCACCAGCTTATAAAGTTCATAGAGATCCAGAACAGCCTTTGCCATGATGGGAAGACGATTTATCGGTGTGCCTATGAATGAGTTAAGGTGGAAAGATATTAATTGGTGCTTTATGATTAATTCTTTAGAGTTGAGTAAAGAGTTTCCTTGACTTATGGAAATTATAAGAAAAATCATCGTTTGACATAAAACTGATCTCGTTTTTATAAATTGTATGAATTATGACACTTCAAGATGATTTATCATCATTAAAATAGCAAAATCTAGAGTTAGATACACACAAACACACACACGAAATAGTTCAGGCAATGAAAACAATCGTTTAATGTTTTCACCTCACGCTTGAGATGATCCGACAATCGAGTGGAGAAGAAACGATAAATAATTGAAATAATAAAGCAATTTGTCAAGACGCGAACAAAAAGGCGTTTTAAGACCGACACAGTTGTCCATTGAAAAATGATCATAAGATGAAGCTTACAATTGTAAGATGAACATTAACAGTTTGTAAATATCTATCTTAGATGGTAATCCTATCAAATGAATAAGCTATCAGATCAAATGCGTAAAATTCTATAAAGAGATTAATTAATTTTTTTTCCTCTTCTTCTTCTTCAATTCTTTGTCCACTGTTGGTGGTGGTGGGATGATTGAAGGTCTACAAAGGATTGACTGCTTCTTAATTATCACTTCAAGCTTCGACCTTAACTTATTCAAATTAAAACAAAGTAATAATAATAATACGATAAATATAATGAACAACAAGCTTCATTATTTCATATTTTTTGTCACTAATTTTTGTTGGCATTTCCCACACATCCACGCAAATTCGAAAGGAAAATAATATTTCGAAATCAATCAACATTTAATGACTTCACAAACGCACATCGAAGCAAGCAAGCAGGCAAGCAAGAAGTGAGGTGAGATACCCGCGATTGAGTAGTTTTCTGCGACACACAAATCTCAATGATGAGTCTTAACGATCGAGATTTCAATGCGATGTTCGACATTGATTGTTCGTCATTTTGAAATAAAAAGATCGTAAATTTAGATTTCTGTCTTTTTTTTCTCATCTTCATCTCATTTCTTTGTCATGTCACGCAAGCAAAAGAAGTCATTAGACACACAAACGAAAAATTCTTCTGAATTTATCAACTCGACATTAGTTGCTGATTGAAGTAAATTTGAATTTAAATTTCCTCAATGACAAAAACTTCTTTGGGCTTCCGAATGAATGAATGAAGGAATTATTTAGGTGAAGGAAATTTTTTATAAATGAAGGCAATAAGTGTTGAAATTGTGCTTTAAAAAAAGCATCAAACAAGTAAGCTTTTTGCTGTTCTTGTAACTAAATAATCATTATGGAAAAATAGCCCCGAATCAAATGCAAGAAGAAGAATCTTATGATTAATAATGTCTTACCTCGCTCTTTCATGAACATGAATAATTCATCTAAGAATTCTTTGCGCTTTGGATCGTCATTAATTTCGTAGAGCTGTAAGAAAAAAGAAAAGAGAAAAATTAAAATATTTTGAATGAGATGTGTTTAAAGCGAACGAATAAAAATGATTGCGTTAATCAATCAAAACTTGATTTTTTTTTGTTTGTGTCGAATATAATTGAAGATATTTTATTCCTTTTTTTTTTTGCTGTGCGTAGATATTTGCCGATCATTATCTCGCGAATTATTTTTCTTGAACATTTGATCGATATCAAAGTTCATGCAGGAAGAGTCGATCATCGTGCAACTTCGATGATCGTTTGTAATTGGACCTTATCACGGAGCTTATACCAAATAATTTGATGAAGAGAAATATTTAAATAAATGCAGCTTTTTACATTCACTAATTGCATTTCAAAAGTTTGCTCCAAGCAGCAGCTACCGAATGAGTAATTCAGTTGCACATCGAGGCAATCGACTCTAAAAAGATATCTCGTGATATGTCGGAAAACGGCTTCGATAGAAATTAACGTCATGCAAACATTTTATTTTTAATAAAATGAGCAATTTAGTTAAAGAATGAAATGAAAAACAAAAAATAAATGATAAATGCTTATGGCAAGAAGATGATTGGAATGCAAATTTCATCTCGTCTTTCACTTCATTCTTTTGACTTTTGTTAATAAATGTGATTAAAATTAAGTTCAAAAATAATTTTAATTAACCAAGTTTTAATTAACATAACAATCATCAATGGATTTCACATGAAAACAATTGGTGAGATAGTGAAAAGTCATCAACAACAGTCCATCGTTTTAATTATCGTCAATTCTTCAAGCAACGATTGCTTCATTTCTCACGCTTTTCCTCATCAATTTAAAATGTTAAACTGCTTTTCTTCCTACTTCTTTTCATTTCATTATTAGCCTAAATATCTATCACACAAAAATATCAAGTTCGATAATTGGAATTCACAATAATGATGTTGATGATACTCATCAATTATTCTTCGAATATCTCAATTAAGACTATCACGTGATGCGAAAAAAACAAAAGAAACTTCCTGATCCTGACCCCGATCAACCATTTTTCGATTAATTTCCAACATCACATAAAAACAAACTACAACCCTCGACTCTAAATGACATGAAAGCAGATGAAGATATTTTAAGGATGCATGAAGAATGCCAAACACATGTTGAGGCATCTCTTCAAATGGAGACAAAAAAAAATATCTTCTTCTTGAATTAATAAGAATGTCCTTAGAAATAAATTGAATTTAAGTTGAGATTTCATTAGCATGTTCATAAATTCTTAAAATGAATGAATGAATGAAACAAACTTTGTAACTTTATGAAGAAGAAAAAAAGTATTCACAACTGCAGTCATATTTGAATCCATTTAGAACGACGCGACAGGGAATTGATAGTATTTATAGAATAGCGTAATTAAACCGTAATTTGAGACAACTACATCTACACAACACAACAATAATAACAACAGAAACAAAAGCACATTATTTACTTGTCTAACTTGTTTAAATTGATCCTCGTAGTTGAAATTGTTATTGCTGTGGCTGTGGCTGCTCTTTTTCGATGCTGATGTTGATGAAATTTTTACGTCATCTTCGCCTTTTGATGGTGGTGGTGTGGGAAACGAGTATGAAAAGTCACTTTGTTGAGCCTCTTGTGCTGCTTGTAAGCGTCGTTGCGATTGCTCAGACAAATCAATGCCGGCATAATTAATTGGATGATTAAATGGAAATGTTGTAAATTCGTTTCTCAGCCTTTGGACATGCCTCTGGTAAACCTCGTGTTGCTGTAAAGCGTAAGCTTCTTCTGTGACATGAGGAGGCGACTCTTCAAGGTATCTTTCTGGTTCTGATTGTGGAAACTCTTCACTGTGCTTATCATCTTCCGAGTGAGGGGTAGAGTTTGACTGAAACGAAATAAAAGAATAAATTGCATGCGTTTATTTCACTTCCATCATGTCATAAACGTATCAATTATAGTCGAAAAACAAGAATCAAATATTTGTGGAGCCAAATGTCTCAGATTAACAGATATAGATATTCTTCTTTAAATAATATAAAATAAAACTAAAAAATATTCAAATTCTTGTGGAATTCAAATCATTTTATTGTTTTACAATAGCCTTGAAGAAACTTCGTTTTTCTACTTCTTTATCTGTTCATGATATTTTATGATACATGAATATCTAGGAAAATTACAGAAACATAAAAATTGCCGGCAAACAATGCTTGACAAAAGAATAACGGAAGACTCGTACAGGCTGAAGAAATTTGCCTAAATTCTAAGAAAGGTTTGATGAGGATTATTTTATTATCTTTTAAGGTTATGCATTCTTGTTCACATTTCTCCAATGCGTAATGACATTCGAGAAATTTCAAATTCGACTGCACTTTCTCATGCACAACGACTTACCATAGGTGAGTCATCATCCGAAAAGTTTTCTCGATCAATCTCCATTGCTTTTATTTAATGAACGTTTTAATTGCTTATCCTTCAAATTTAACACGTTTTTGTTCCCTATTACTAGTTTAACAAACGATTTGCAATTATATCTAGATATGGCTTTTTAGCTTTATTGCAAAGGAAATATAATTAATTATACTATAAGCTTCGTTCACGACAATCGTGAATGTTAATTAATGAAAAATTTGATTGAAAATTCCCTTTTCTTTTGATAAAATAACCTTATTTGTGAACCTCACGAGTATTAAAAAGCACAAGGCTGGGGAGAATTAAAAAAATCTTTTTTGTCCGCTTACTATCAAAGTGATACTGATTAAAATGTTAAAACTAAATTTATATTCAAGCACGTTCACATATGCTATCTTAGTGTGTGTGAATAAAAACAAGAGAGCAAATTGTGGTGGGGATGAAGTCTCCAATTCCCTCTTATTCAATCTCTTAAGATTCGAGAGAAATACTCGTGTTTTGAAATAATGTGGTAACTTATGACTAGATTTACATTGAAAATTCATTACTATTGCGTATTACAAAATAAATTTTAGAATTCCCCTCTTTTATTTCTGTCAATCTCATTGTTTTCTTATCGAATCTATCAAAACTTTCTGGTTTCTATAACTTATCTGTATTCTATTATACTTAACACAAAGTAATATGGAGAGATAACATTCTAATTCTAATTTGAATTTGCCATAAATGAATTTCAGAAATTCGGGGCAAAGGTTAAGGAAAACACCTTAGGTAGAAAATTAAACACTGAAATTAATTTTGTAGGCGGTTCGATTAATTTTCATATTAGATGAAATAAAACTTTATAGTGCTGGAACCCGCTAATAAATATTGATATAAATTGCTATAAAATGATTCATTTGAAAATTTTAAAGCCTTTCATTTAACGGTCATTTCTTATCAGTTCTAAGAGTAATATAATAATTCGCGATTCATATTGTTGAATCAATATTCACAATTCAACTGATATTAATAACATCTAAGGAAAGCATGTCTTAATAAACCATTATTAATCACAAGTCACTAAGATGTGGATTTACTACAAATCATTTTGTTTACCTTCATAAAATCAAATAACTTTAAGATAGTTGACAGTCTTCTTTCGATTATTAGATGAAGAAGTAAATTATGCATATTTAACATGTTCGTTAATTCTTTTTTAAATAAACTTTGACAGCTTATTAAATTCATCCTTGTAATTTCAGCTTTTTGTTGCTGCGCAACTGAAATTATCGAACAAGCAAATTTTGTTTTGAGGAATTTTTTCTTAAGAAACTTTTTCAATATTTAAAACAATTAAAAATATAAAATCTTCATCAATTTTGATATTAAAATATGGGTTCAGGTAAGCTCTGAAATTTCGTTTTATTATTAAAACAGTTCTATGATAAAAGACGAGGTTTTATTAATGTCTTTATCAAAAACTTAGAGAACTTTCCATTTGTCGCCAATAAAACTTATCAATAAAAATATAAAATAATTTAATAAGAATCGAAGTAATCCTTCCAGAATGTGGTTTCTTGTGAATCAATCGCCGTTTTATTTGCTACTAAGCTTTCAATATTTTTTGCAAAAAGAATCAAAGTCTGTTGGCTACATAAATAAAGCGATGTAATGTCGATTTCATGCTGAAAAGCTCTTTACATAAGACAAACGCGAAACTTATGTATTTTATTTCCTTTTATTATATATCGAATACTTCGATAAATGTTAAGTTGCAATAACTCGATTTTGTAATAGGAAATAAAGAGAAAACTTAATTAAAAGTTTGATTGAAGTGTTGGCAAGCAGGGAAAGAAATAAAATGAAAATTCACTTAAAAATAGAAAATATTCCTTCGCTATCCCTGTTTGACGTCTAAAGCAAAGTGAAAACTTCCGAACGATATTCATTCGTATTTGTTTTGATTCAACAACATCGTTAGAGATTATGAAGCATGCAAAATCAAGGAATGATTCTTAAAGTATGTTAAACAAAAACATTCAACTTCATACGATCATCATTCGTTTATAATCCCCGGGAAAATACAAAATGTTGATGCCTAGTAGACATTCTTCGAGGGCGCTTATTGCATGATAAATGACTCTCCCACGCCAACAGCCGACATAGAAGAACGTGAATTGCCTTTCCTAATCATTTACTGTGTGTAAGGGTTCGATGTGTGGAATGCAAGTCGTTGTTGCACCACAATAATTGATTTTATTCTATATAAGAATCAACCCCCTTGAATGATTTAACCCAATTATTTATTGCATTCTTTGCGACTTTTTCCACGTAAATTAGTTTCATGTGAGCTTGCAAACTGTTAAGAATGTTTGGCGAGGGATGCGATCCCTTGGCTGCAAGGTCTATGTATGAGAGAGCGGAAGGTGTTCATTTTGATTACTTTTCATTATGTTTTAAATTAATTTCACTTAAATTAAGTCATTAATGTTCGATGTTGAATTTCAGAGAGTGAAGATTCAGATGAAGAGGGAGGATTAGGAAACGTCAACCGACTAATTATAAGGCCAGCCGGGCACAGTGGAAAAGCAAAAAAAGGTTTCAAACAATTTTTCTTGAATCAAAATCTTAAATTTCTTTCTTATTTTATTTCAGGAAATTTATGTTTTGATGCTGCTTTTGAGACGGGAAATCTGGGAAATGTCGCATTAGTTGGAGAATTCGAATATGACCTTTGCTTAAGACCAGACACATGCAATCCCCGATATCGATTTTGGTTTAATTTCACTGTCGATAATTGCAAACAAGATCAACGTGTCATCTTCAATATCGTCAACATGAATAAGAATAATAATTTATTTAATCAAGGAATGACTCCATTAGTGAAGTCATCGTCAAGGCCAAAGTGGCAGAGATTACCAAAGCAACACGTCTTTTACTACAAGTCAACATTACATCAGAATCATCACGTGCTGAGCTTCGCTTTCATATTTGATCGTGAAGATGACATTTATCAGTTTGCATTGACTTATCCTTACAGTTACTCAAGATTACAGTCTTATCTGTCAGTTTTGGAACAGAAATTTCCCCTTCAACGTGAGTCTCTTACCAACAGCATTCAACGACGTCGTTTGGAACTCATAACATTTGATGATGTCAAGAAGCCAGAAATTCTCGAACCAGGAAAAAATCCAATTCGTGTTATTGTCATTTTAGCTCGCAGTCATCCTATGGAGTCGCCAACTTCTTATGTCGTTCAAGGATTAATCGAATTTCTTGCTATTGCAAATCATCCCATCGCAAAGTTACTTCGTGAAAATGTTGTGTTTAAAATCATTCCAATGATAAATCCTGACGGAGTTTTCCTTGGAAATAATCGTGTGAATGTTTTAGGGCATGATTTAAATCGTTATTGGAACAACATTTCAGATTACACTCATCCAACTCTTTCAGCTATTATGGAACTACTGAAGGAATATGATTCATCAGATTGCTATCAAATTGACTTTGTGATTGACATTCATGCCCATACAAGCTTGACGGGTGTTTTTATTGTCGGCAATGCTTACGAAGATGTGTAAGAAGAAAGCTTCTTATGACTTCAAGATTTACTGCCATTTTCCTTTCTCTTCTCATTTAGTTATCGCTATGAACGACATCTTGTGTTTCCGAAGCTTTTCTCCAGTAAATGCAGCGATTTCTCAAACGACAACATGATTTTCAATGCTGATGATCGAAAGCAGGGTACAGCACGTCGATACTTATGTAATCGATTAAGTGACAATGTGAATATTTACACGCTTCAAGTGTCAATGTACGGTTTCTACATTAAGGGAACGAACATTATAACACCATACACAGAAGCTGATTGTGAGATGATTTTGCAAAAAGTTTTCATGAATGATTTCAACAGAAATTTAATTTTGTAGATATGAAAGTTGGAAGGAATTTAGCTCGTTCACTTTTGGAATATTATCGATTCACTAATATCCTTCCCATTCCGCCATTAAGTGAGATTCTGTCAAGTCGAAAAGGTCGTCCCAACACTCATAGACATAGAAAGAAATTTAAAAATATTTATCCGACTCGACCTAAGACTACAAGGGAAAATGCTCCAATTAATTATACTGATTTGTCAATTTATTACGACAGCGACACTTCAGCTGAGTACTCATCACCAGCTCGTTATCCATTTCATAGTCATTTCATGTTGCAACATAATCGATTACGTTTTCATCAAACTCATCATCAAGATCCATTCTCACTGTCTTCTCTTAAATTTGGCAATCTTGAATTGAAATCGAGAGATAAGAAGAAAAAGAAAAACAAATCAAATTTATATAAAACTTCGCCAGTTAAGAGCGATACGCTCAACATGCCACCAAAGCCTTATCTTTCAATCATAGATTTTAATATGTTGACAAGAGGTGGCTTGGAAGAAGCAACAAATCGATCTGTTGATAAGGTTTGCCCACATCATCAATTGAAGTTGCGTCCTAAAACTTCTGACAAACAAAAGTAGAAATTTATCTTTAAATATTCATTCTAATCACTTCTAACACTTCAAAGACATAAGAAGGAGAATAAGATTTGTTGTTTCTTGTTATAATAACGATCGTTTTCATTTCCTTTGAACTTTTTCCACCATCCAATAAAAATATTTAAAAAAAGTGATTTTTTTATTAAAAATTCTCGTCAATAATTATTTCTGCACCACCATTTCAAAAAAAAAAATGAAGAAGAAAAAAAGTTCCATGAGAACCTCGAATGTGCAGTGGTAGTAAAAGTTAAATTTGTAATTTGCTTTTACGATTGCCAGGTAATTGCTGATATACGAAAATCGTAAAAGACAAAAAGTAATTTTGGAAGCACTTTGATAACGAAAGTTGTGTTGTTGCTGCTGCTACCTGAACAAGAGTCATTAAAATTCATCAAGGATTGCAAACATCCTAAACACAATTCACAAGCAAACAACTTACATAAACGTTTTTCGTTTAATCACCAACATCATCATGATGATGAAGAACTCTTATCAATCATTCTGCGAGAAGCAGTTGAGAAAGCTAAGCATTGTTGTTATTTCATTCATTTTCTCATTTCGCAAATTTATTTATCTTCATCCTTTCAGGGTTGGAATGTTTTTTTATTGGTTTCTCATTTAACATCATTAATTATTCGATAAACTCGAGGAAATTCGTTTGGCAGAATGAAATAGTATCGAAATAAATGGAGAAGTTTTTCACGCCCTTCGACTAAATTAATTTCGAAACAATTTTTCCCATCATTAATTTAAAAGCAAATCGAAAAGCTTCTTCGTTCTCTGTCAATTAATCATCATCTTGCTTGAATCGAAATTAATTTTGTAGGAATTTCTTAAACAGATGAAAATATGTGTTCATGCTTGCTGCTTTTCTTCTTAATTTTTTAAATATATTTAGCATAGATAAACAAAGTAGAAATCTTGTTTAAACAAACGTTCGATAGGAAAATTTCATCTTAGATAATAATTCTAGCAACTCATACATACTGTAGATATTTATTGATAAGATAAGTGTACATATTTCAATTTTAATTGAAGAAACGCATGATGTATGCGTGTGGCAAACAAATATAGCGAAAAACTACTTGGCCGTCCATGACACACACATGAGAATTTCAAGATCAAAAAAAAAATCATAAACACAAATGTTTATAGCACACGCTCTCAAAATTTAGCCGATTGAAAACAAAACCGTCTGGAAACAGAGAATTATTCGCCAGTTTTGCGTCAGACCTTGATTGAAAATTTCATTAAAATGGATTCGACTTTCTTGTACTATGCAATTTGTTTTCTTATTGCTTATTGGATTTATAAAACTTTCTTCAAGCAAGATGATTACTTTAAAATTCGTGGCGTAGATAAAGTTGTAGAAGGAATGACATTCACAGGCTTCTACAGATCATTTCGTGGCCTTGACGATGGAATGACCGCACCTCAAAGGCAATACGACTCGATGGAAAATGAAAAGTGAGATTGGATGAAATATTCTTTAATTAAATTTGATGTGAAATGTAATTTTATTAGAATCTACGGCGCATATCTGTTCACAAGGCCAATGGTTTCTCTTAGAGATGCAGATCTTGTCAAGCAAGTTCTGATAAAAGAATTTGATAGTTTCATGAATCATGATGAGTTTCTGAGCAAAGGTACTGATGGAATTTTCGCTAAATCTGTGTTGTTGCTGGAGAATAATCCCTGGCGGGAAATGAGAAACACTTTGTAAGATAATTTTAGACATTTTATGATATTTCAAATACTTATGCGATTATTAATCTACTCAAGGACTCCAATCTTTACATCTGCAAGAATGAAGACAATGTTTCATTATTTGACTTCTTGTGCCAACGAATTGAATACATTTATAGAAAACAAATTGAAAGACGAAGGACGACTTGTCATTGATGCAAAGGAAATGTTTGGCAAGTATACTGCCGAGTCAATATCCACAACCGCTTTGGGTTTTCGAGGCAATTGCATTCAAAAAGACGAATCTGAAGTTTATAAAATTGCAAACGCTATTAATGAAGATTTTACGGGATTCAAAGGAATGATGAAAATGGTTTGGACTGGAATTTTCCCAAGAGTCATGAAATTCTTCAATGTGCAAATTTTTCGTCAATCCACACATGATTTCTTCAAAAGATATGTAATCGATGAGATTGCGAGAAGGGAAAAGGAAGGAATAACGAACGTTAATGATGTCATTCAAATGTTGATTCAAGCCAAGAACGGCCAACTTAAGTTTGAAGGGGAAATTGATGAAGATTTGGAGCCTGCTAAGAATTTCATCGAGAGAAAGCACCTTGATTGGAGTGACGATGAACTCATTGCTGCTCAAGTTTTCATCTTTTTTGCTGGAGGTTTTGAAACGACATCAACACTTATTAATATTTGCAGTTGGGAACTTGCAATGAATCAAGACATTCAAAAGGAACTCCTTAAAGAGATCGACGAAGTGCTTGAATCGTTGAATGGTGCAAATATTTCTTATGAAGCGCTGAACAAAATGAAGATGCTTGACATGGTTGTTTATGAAACTTTGAGGAAATGGCCACCATTACCATTCGGTGGACGTTCTTGCAATAGAGATTGTACCATTAAGACCACTGATGGACATTTAATTGCTTTCAAGAAAGGAGATATTGTTCAATTTCCCATCCGCTGTATTCAGCATGATCCGAAATACTTTGAAGATCCTTCGAAATTCGATCCATATCGGTTTAGTGAAGAGAACAAGCATAAAATTGTTCCAGGATCATTCTTAGCTTTTGGTTACGGTCCAAGAGTTTGTATTGGTCAACGACTTGCTTTGCTTGAAGCAAAGTTGATTCTCTTCACGGTTCTGAGTAAATATTCGATCGAAGTTTGTGAGAAAACAGTCAAAGAAGTGAAATATTCAGCATCACCAATGCAGTTTCGAGACAAGATTTTTGTTGAATTAAAACCGAGAGTTTAAATGTTTTACTAATGAAAACAAAAATAAAATTTATAAACGAAAATTTGCATTAATTCAATTTCCAGTTATGGCTATCAGTGAAATTATAAATTCACTGATAAGCTTCAAAGTTTATAATGTCACGATTTATGATAACAAAAATGTAATCACATGTGAAAATTAACTAACAAATTAATCTCTTTATTAAACTCGAACCTGAAGCAAATAAATTATTTAAATATCATAATCATCTTTAATATCATTAACGAGTCCACCATCGAAACAACCTTTCTTCTTTCTGATTACATCACCCCATAAAAAGTTGCAATCACAAAGAGGACAACTTCCTTTTATGGGAATATAATGACCTGGCTCTAAACATATTTTGGCGAGACATCTTAAATGAGAAACAAGTTTACATCGTTGATTGATGCAAAAGATTCGATCATCTTCGAGATCTTTGATTTCCTCCATGCAAAGATGACATTCGGTTCGTGCTCTGACAGCTTCCATCAGTTCTCTATTGCCTCGATTAATTTTCTTAGCTTTAATTGGTCCATGACAAACCACCATGTGTTCAGGCAATCGACCAGTGGGAAATTCTGTGTAAAAGTCTTGCTCAAGCCATCGAATTTTGAGTGGAAGTCGATTCCATGGACCCAAATTAATCATCTCAGTGAGAATACGGAAATGATAGTTGAAGTGACTCTCGCCTGGTCTTTTCCTTTGAATACTTTGAATAGTTTTCAACCTTCTTGACGCTTTCGGCTCCTGCCATGCCCATTCGAAACGAAGTGCTGAAATGTTCTCAGGAAAGTTGTGAATAATCAACACCATCGTCCATGGACCTGGAACTCTCGATGTTTGTCCTGCACCTCCATACTTTTTGCCTCTGTTATGTTGATTTATTCTTCTGTTGGGATCGACTGTAAAGCCGACATAGCATCGACCATTAAATTTTGGATTTTCATTGTTATTTACTAATAAGTAAACTCCAAAAAAGTTTTCAATTTCTTGAACAACGTCCATACGTCTTTTGAATTATAAATTGAGTGTTATTTAATACTTAAATTGAAGCTTTTAACGGTATAGAAATAACATAAACAAAAATGTAAACAACACTGTCAGAATTTTTTTCGAGAAGTCAACATTTAATCAAAATTTTTAAGAGCGACATACCCTGTGGGGTTAAAATTATCATTTAATGATTTAAAAATTAAACGATTCTTTATAAAACGTTGATGGCATTATCTAATACCCTTTACATTTGCGTCCTAGGTATGATAACAAGGCTGGCATGTTATTGTGCGAATGAAGTTTTTCTATTTCAAAAATTTTGTTAATACAGCTATTTGATGATAAATCGACTTCTTTTAAAGCTGCGAAAAATAAGGGAATTTCAATGAAAAAGGTTTTAGGCACGCGCCCAATAGAATTGTTTGCTATAAAGAGAATTAATAAATTAGAGTAATATCATTATTTTTCTTTTTTATTATTTTACCCAAATGAAGATATTGTAAATTCAGCAAAGGGTCATATGCAGAATGATCTAAATGTACCAATTGATTATGATTCAAATTCAAGATTTCTAAACTATCCAATCCATAAAAAGAAAACACAGAGAGCTCTCCGATTTCATTATTAGCTGATGAATAATTTAAATAGATACTTGAATAATTTACATTTAATCTTTATAAAATATTCTTATTAACTTACACAAATTCAGTGTTGTTAATGACCCCAAATCTTTGAACTTACTGTACCCCGATAGTTCGAATCTTTGTAATTGATTTCCATTTAAAGATAAGGACTTCAATTTCGTCAAATAATACAAAGAGTCTTCATTAATCCTACTGATTTTATTATTTTCTATAAAAAAATAAATGAATTAAATTGTTATTATAAAAATTATTAAATTAAACTATCATCTCAATTCAATTTTACCAAGATGAAGATTCTTTAAGCTGTTTATTTTGCCGAATAATGTTGAATTCAACCCCATGATATTGTTACTGCTTAAATCTAAATCTACTAAATCACCCAAATCTTTAAAAGCGCTTGTTTCAACGTATTCAATTGCATTATCATCTAATCAAAAATGACAAAATATTTTAATTTGTGTAAAGCAGAATGGTTATCAATAGAAACTTACTTAAGTATAATTCTCGTAAATGAATTAAACCTTCAAAACCGTCGCCATTTATGCCTTTAATTTGATTTTGATCCAATGAAAGTCGAAGAAGTTTTGAAAGTCCATTGAAATTAAGTTTTTGAATTTCCAGAATTGAACTTCTAGAAGCATAAAGATTTTCTAAATTTGGAAACACTGTTGAAATGTTATCAGGCAAATATTTTATATTTCCGTTGTTCCTTAGTTTTAAAATTACGACGTCAGAATTGGAAGAAAAAATCGTTGTTCCTTTTTCATGAATCTGGCCATCAATATAACAAGTAAAGCTGTTGGTAGAATCTCGACATGTTACCCAATCATCTCCAGAAACGAAAGTTATAGCAAGAGCACACAGTAAATAAATTACTTTCCTATAACACAAATTCATAATTATTTAATTAGCTACTTAGATCAAATGAATTATTTATTATATATTTTTTATATTGCTAACTATTTATTTTAAGTCTACAGTCAAAAGGCTCACTGACAACTGAATAAATTCAAGTCTGATTCCCATTTTTATATGTTTTACTGAAAAAATTAAAATGTTATCAGACATGTAGAGAGAAAAATGGAGCAAACAAAAAAATTTGGTTATCAGAAGTCTTTATCCTACTGTAATTCTGTAACTTATAATTAAGCTTCCTTGTCCTTATTAAAGTAAGAAATGTGAAGCGCAACTTCAAATAGTTAAATATCAAAAGTCTCCCAACAGATATCGAGATGTCATATTGCTGTTATATTAGGAGTCATTAAAAAATTTAACTGAACATTTAAAATCCTATGAAATTATTTTTTTCTCAGTGTAGATGAGTTTTCGCGCGATTTTGTTTTGTTGTCATAAACAAAATAAATTTCTTCAGAAAACAAGTAAACACCTAGAGTACGTTAAGCTTAAATCAGTTTAACAATTGAAAACATTAAAGAAATGAAATTTTATTTTTGAAGTTTAATCATGAAACGATTTCTCGAGACAAACGATCAGCAATCGTCATCGAAAAAGACAAAAACAGAAAATTCAAGTTCGGATTTTGTTATTTCAATACAAAATAACAGATTAAAAACCGCTGAAAGTATTAGAGATTTCAAGTTTAATAAGAAACGAGTGAAGATCCTCTCAAAGGTAATTTTTTTTTGCATTTTTATTTCGAAACTTCTTCAAAAATGAATTTTTAGGTTGAAGATGTGGCTGAGAAATCAAACGGAATTGCCTACTGGATGGCTCGAGATCAGCGAGTTCAGGACAATTGGGCACTTCTTTTCAGTCAAAATCTTGCTATTAAAAATAAAATTCCTTTACATGTTGTGTTCTGCCTTACTGACGGCTTTCTTGGTGCAACAATTCGTCACTTTGACTTCATGTTGAAAGGACTTGAAGAGGTTGCAAACGATTGCACCACTCTTAACATAAATTTTCATCTTCTTCGTGGTGAACATACAAAAGAAATTCCAAAGTTCATTAAAAACAACAAAATTGGTGCTGTTGTTTGTGATTTTAGTCCTTTGAGAATTCATCGAAGTTGGGTTGATGGAATCAAGAAAGAACTTCCACCTTATGTTCCTCTCGTTCAAGTTGATGCTCATAACATTGTCCCCATTTGGATTACATCAGATAAACAAGAATATGCAGCAAGAACGATAAGAAACAAGATCAACAGCAAATTGGGTGAATTTCTTACAGAGTTCCCTCCACTCGTCAAACATCCTCACAAATCCACTGAAATGCCAGATAAAATTGATTGGAAGAAAACTTTGCAATCACTTAAAGTTGATGAAACTGTTGGAGTTGTTGATTGGATTAAACCTGGTTATAAAAACGCTGTTGAAGTTCTTGAAACTTTCATTAATAAACGATTGAAAGTGTTTGCAACCAAACGAAACGATCCAACAATTAACGCACTTTCAAATCTTTCGCCTTTCTTTCATTTTGGACAAATTTCTGTTCAACGCGCGATCATTGAAGTACAAAAGCATAAAAGTAAAGCCAAAGACAGTGTTGATGCTTTTTGTGAAGAAGCAATCGTTCGTCGAGAACTCAGCGACAATTTCTGCTTTCATAATAAGAATTACGATAATCTCGATGGCATCACAGACTGGGCTAAGATAACTTTAAACGCTCATCGTAAAGACAAACGTCCGTATTTATACACAAGAGATGAACTCGAGAAATCTAAAACGCATGATGATTTGTGGAATGCTGCACAGAATCAATTAAGAGTCGAAGCTAAATTGCACGGATTCCTACGAATGTATTGGGCGAAGAAGATTTTGGAATGGACAGCAAGTCCTGAAGAAGCTTTGGAGACGGCGATTTATCTCAATGATCGCTATAACTTAGATGGTCGTGATCCCAATGGCTATGTCGGCTGTATGTGGAGCATCGGCGGCATTCATGATCAAGGTTGGGGCGAGCGAGCTGTCTTCGGCAAGATCCGTTACATGAACTATGAAGGATGTAAACGCAAGTTTGACATCAAAGCTTTCATCGCACGTTATGGCGGAGTTGTTCATAAGAAAAAGTAAACAATTTTTGCTCAATAAATTTATTTCAATATTTCAAAATTACAAATTCAACGCTTCTTTTTATATTCATTAGATTAAAACTTTTACAGTAGAAAAAAACATTTTTAGCAACTTTTGTAACGAGTAGACAAGAAGAAAATCTTTTTAAAAGTGGCACACAACAAACGATTGCACGAGTAACGAATTAAATTCTAATTTTTTTTACTTTTCTTTAATTTCTTTTTAAATTTCTCTACTCGAAAAATGTGAATAAAGTCAATTTTTGATTAAAGTACGAGCAACATTTCCTAAATGCTTTGTCTTCTCTTCTTTAACAAAATTCTACGGTTTTTGGTCGTCATTCAATGAATATGCTTTAGATATTGTAAGGTAAGAAAAGGAAGAGGAAATTCTTACTGAAAACGACCAAAAACTTTAAATACATGATAATCGATTATATTCTGCGACCTTAAAGGCTAAATTTGTATTTGGTTAACCATTGAAGGTTGTTGAGTACAAATAATTAAAAGAATGTCTTGGTGTCAAGTTTTCCAACTTTCTATCACGCGATAATTTGACTTTCAAGTTTCTTATGCTTGAATGACACGAATTTTCCGTTCAATTGACGCTCGACACATCGGACATTCGACGAGACTCGTTGAGCAATCAATACAGCAACACAAGTGACCTAGAACAAATAAATGAAGATGAATTGACGAAAGATAAGAGAATTAAGGAAATTACCGCATGGTAAGAAGATGACACGAGTTTGAGCGTCCATGCAAATAACGCATTCGATAGCATTGACAGCATCTGCTGGGTTTTCCCTGGTGATGGATGAGGCACTTTGAGTTGGACTCTTATGCGTTGATTCTTCTTCCTGAGGAGCTGACGGAGGTTTGCTGGGACCAGGAACATCGTCAGTAAGTTTTTTCGAACTTGTTTCATCGAAACTTGGATTAATTGCCAAAAATTCATGAATCGCTCGAAGGATTCCTTGTCGGTCTTTCGGATTCTTAATTCCAGCATTTCTTAAGTCTTCATCGGAAACTTTTTCCAATTGAAAGTCTTTACGTTGCCAGATCTTCAATAAAAACGGCACAACATGAATGACGCCATTAATTAAAAAGTTATAACCAAGTGAAGGGTCAATCGTTGCATGCATTGACTGCATAACTCCACGTGAATCGATCAGCTTTTGATATTGAAGAAGCCAAAAATCATCTTCCGTCTTTTGATTTTCCATATCGAGTAAAGTTTCACGTAATTGTTGTTTGCGTTGATCTTGCTGCTCCATCAAATCTAACAAAACCATCGTCAGATTTATTCGCTTGTCAGCAACATCGTTGAAAATCTCATCTTGATTGATTTTCTTCTTATCAATCTCCAAATTTGTCATCGCTGCTATTTGTGATTCCACAATCTTGATTTGCTCCATTAGTCCCCAACTTCTTGCATCGTTCTTAGCAATAAGCGCAGCAACAGCCGATTTCTGCCAATCTTCATCTTGATTTACTTTCTCAATAATTTCTGTACGATTTCTGTCATATTCATGAATGACGTCATCCAATAAAAGATTCGTTTTCGTTTCATTCTCAAGCAGAACTCTTGATGAGAGTGAACGTTCATCTTGATAGTTTTGAATCAAACTTAGTTCTTGTTCGAGTAATTGTGACATCGCTGAAATGACGTCTCGTTTGCGTAAATCGTTTTGTTCGAGGTGTACCTGAAATTAAAATATTTTTTTATAATATGTATTTATTAAATTTCTTCTGTTTTATTTACTTTTTCCAATAAAGCATCTCTTGCTTTATCTTCAAGTTCCAGTAAAGCTGCATCAGGTCCCTTCTTCAATGATAACAATTCATTTACAACTAAAGTTGATGATTCTTCATCTAGATAGAAATAAAATAACATTATAAATCATTTGAAATTCTTAAAACTAAAATAAATGCTTACATTTCATAATATCATCGATCAGTTTCTTTCTTTCTAGATCTTTTTGCGATTGAATTTGATTAACAGCACTTTCAGCTTGTCTTTGTTGATCAAGAAGTGATTTTAACATTTCTTCTTTCTTTTTTTGCTGCTCTTTGTGAAGTTTTTCCTCCAAAAAGTCATCTTGCGCCATTATAAACTTTTCTTTCTCCATAAACTTCATCGTTGTGCTGATTGATTTATCATCCATGATGCGACTTGATGTCTTTTTATTTGATTGCATTAACATTTTATCTTCGGCAGCTAAATCATTGGTCGCTGATAATTCTCCAGTGCTTAGAAATTTCAGAATGTTTTGAGGTCCGGTCGCCAAGACATCGTTACTTGGACTTACAATTATTTCAATATCAAAAACTAAATCATGAAGACTCTCACAGGTGGCCAATTCAGGTGGTAAGATTTTCAATTGTTTATTACCCGACACATTCAATATTTTCAATTCTGGCATAAAGGAAATGCAACGAAGGTCTGTGATGTTGTTATTAGAAACGTCCAATAACTCTAATTTCTTGAGACGATTGATTGTTGATGGCAACTGTGTTAACAAGTTATTAGATAGAAATAGTTCCTATAAATAAAACAACAACAACGAAGAGAAGAAAAAAGAAATAATGAGTCACGGGATTGCTTTGTCGTCACTGTATGCTAAATTGATTTGTGTGAATTAATATTTCATCAATTTGCTTAAAACTTACCCGCAGATTTTTTAAAACGCAAATTTCTATTGGTATCACTTTAAATTTGTTGTAATTCAGATCCAAGACTTGTAGTAATTCTAGTTCATTAAACTGACCACCAGAAGCAAGCGATTTTAAGCGGTTTTTAGAAAGAATAAGAATTTCTTTTCGCAACACTTTGATCATAGAAAAGAGCGAATTTCCCGGCAATTTTTCCAAATTACACTCTGATAAATCACATATTGGTTCAGGTGTTTCTTTGAAAATGTATAATTTCTGCTCTAAACGGGTTTTATAATCAGCTTCTGTATACATTTTTTCCATTGCATCGATATTTTCAGTGACAGGAATCGCATTCTCTTTTGAACAATTTTTTCCCATTAAACGACTCTCTTATTATATTCTTTACGTCTTTTATCAGCTATAAGCTATTTTCACTATAATTTAAACCTTCATTTGTTGCTAATAAGAACAGGAATTAATAATTTTTTTATTGCGACTAACAATTCGAAGAAATCAAAACAAAACCTTTGTGCAAAACTATGTTAAGTTGGTGATAACAGAAATGACCAATTTTTAAGCGCGAAATTTCAAAAATTGTTATAATCAACAAAGAGATTTTTGAAGAAGTAACATTTAAATCTGTAATATAGCAATAAATATAGTCTGATTGAATTCATATGTTAATATTTACTTTCCTAGTTAATAGTTCATCATTTTATCCCCATTTTATGTCAACAAGACTTGACACAGTTTTGCTTAAAATATTCAACACTTCGCTTCTTTTCCACCAATTTCACTTAATCTTGCTTCTTTTGTAAATCCACCAGGCGGCGCCTGTTTCCATACAAAGTGGGTCCGCAAAATTTGTCCGAAGCTGATATTCAACACAAATAATTTTCCACCACCAATTATTTAAAAATAATTTTTCTTCAATCAAGAAAAGAAAATCAAGATACTGATAAAAATTAATTAATTTGACGTTCATTAACATCTTGCACAGTCTCTCAAAGTAACAAAATGGCTTCGAAACTTCAAGAAGCTCAAGAACATATCCAACAAGCTGAAAAATAGTGAGTTGAAAGTGAAATCATCTGATTCGTTTACATTTTTTCTCTTTTGTTTATCGATTTTATATTTCCAACGTAAATAAAATTTTCACTGACAAAAATATTACTCTTAAAATGTCTTAGTCTTAAAACGTCACTTCTGAAATGGAGACCGGACTTTGATAGTGCAGCAGATGAATATAATAAAGCTGGTAAATATTGAAACTTTAATTGTTAGTGATACAAATGAGTCATTTTTTATCTTCAGCGATGTGTTTTCGCAACGCAAAAAGTCTTTCTGAATGTAAAGAATGCTTGCTAAAATGTTCTGATTGCCATAAGCAAAATCGACAGCTTTTCCATGCTGCGAAAGCTCTTGATCAAGCAATTCTTGTCAGCAAAGACCTCAACGACTTCAACTCGATCAGAAATTTGGCTGAAAGGGCTTGCCACATGTATCAACAACATGGATCTCCCGAATCAGGTGCAGCTTCACTTGATAAAGCAGCAAAAATTCTTGATTCTAATTATCCTCAAGAAGCTCTGTCTTTGTATCAGCATGCGTTAGACGTTTCATTGGTAATTTCTTTTAATTTTAAAATTAGTTAAATGTTTAATGAAATTTATTTATTTCAGATTGAAGATTCAAGCCGACAAGCAACTGAATACGCGTCAAAAGTTGCTCGAATTCTTGTCAAGTTAAACATGTTCGATCAAGCTGCAGATGCAATTCGTCGTGAGATTGGACTACATCAGCAAAATGAAAATTATGGATCGATTGGACGTCTTGCAGTTGCTCTTGTGCTTGTACAATTAGCACGAGAAGATTATGTAGCAGCTGAGAAAGCATTTAAGGAATGGGGAAATTGTTGTGACGTTCAAGAAGTTCAAACACTTGAATCACTTCTTCAAGCTTATGACGATGAAGATCCTGAACTTGCAAAACGTGCTCTGTCATCACCTTTTATAAGACATATGGATGTTGAATATGCCAGGCTGTCAAGGGATTTAAAACTTCCCAAAGGAATGGTGACAGCACCTAAAGCACCGATTATTGAAAATGCAACAGCTTCTTATGTTTCACAATCAGCTGGTGGTGCTGGTGGTAGCTCAAGTGAACCTGGTGCAAGTGCAAGTGCAGGAGATGACGAAGAAGAAGGCGGATTATGTTAAGCATTTAAATAAGCTTTAATTGTGATTATCTCGCGGAATTGTTGAATCATTTGAATTTATTTAGATGAAATTCTATGCACATCGACTTTGTATCGGGTGAACGTTTAAATTAATTTTATTGCTTTGTGATAAAGTTGAGAAAAGATTAAAGAAAAAATTTTATGTTTTCTTTCATAAATGAAATTTATATTTTAAATTCTTTCAGTTTAAGTAAAAAAAGTATTTATTAATTAATTAAATTAAGAATTGAGGTCTGTTATCAATGAAAATTTAATTAATTTCATTTTTTCCGTCATAGAAACGAAAAAAAGCTAAAAAGATTTTAAAGTATATTTAAAGAGTGAAGAAATGTTTTTAAAAAGTTGCTGCTATCCACTTCTTCTAGTATCTAATAAAATTCCATGATCTATCGCAATGTGAACAACTAACTCTTATTAATAATGAAATGTCAAGTCAAAAGTGGATATTTATTATTTACTCAATGATAATTATCATAATGAGATCAGATTGTAACATTATTATTGACAACCAAACCAATCAAACTTTTTCCAAATCAACGAATATCGCCAGCTCATAAGGATGGCGAAAATTTTTTTTCATTATGTAAAATTTAATGCTTCAAGATGCATTTACGTTTTGGAAAGGGATAAAAATTATAATTTTGTCTGTAAAGTTTTAAGATGAAATGCTTCAGAAATTAATTTATCGTTGATGATGGGATGTTGGTTTTCATTGCTGGTTTGATTAACTTTATCTAACTAAAAGAAGAAAAAAATAAAGAAATATATTCCATTAGTTAAGTGAAAATAAATATTTCGGCCCATTAATAACAAAAGAAAAGAAAATTTGTAGATTTATTGCAAGCAGATTCCAGAAGAAACTTCAATAAAGAAATGTACTACATATGAATGTTTCACTTACAAAGCAAATTGTGTTTATAAAATAACTTTTAACATCAACAGATCGAATCTACACTTCTTAATCAATATTTATATTTTGAATTTGAATTCATTGTTTCTGTATCGGGTTCATAGATAGAATTTTAACCAAGTACTATTTGCTCAGGAGATGAAGTAACAGGAAATAGTGGATTTCTTTCAGCAGCATCATCTTCAAAATCCATATCAGCTACCCTTCTGAAGTTTTATTGTCTTCGTCATTTTCCACAAATGAAAATGATTGATTGCTTCTGATATGCTCTATTATTTGGAACTTAATGGTAATAAGAATTTTTGATTCATTTTTATTTCAATGTTAAAGAAAGTCACCAAAAATATTTTTTAATTTATTTTCTTATCTCTTATTCTATAGAAAATTGTGCAATTAAGATAATTTTTATTCCTTCATGGTGTTTAGCGTAGACTTTTTCACTTCATATTCTTTCTAACACATGTAAAACTACTCAGTTTCATTGTTATTTGATCGTTATCAGGTTTTTATCAGTTTCAACTTTAAACTGTTAATTGTTTCTGTATACAGTGAACTCTCGATATAACATACTCTGAAGGGTCCGTAAAAGGAAAATGTTAGGCATATCGAAGGAATTTTGTTCCAGATTTCAAGCAAGAAATGTTATATCGAGAGGATGTTACGTATATCGAAAGTTCACTGTAATTTCAAATGTTTTTTCTCTCATTTGTGGTGGAACTGAAATATCATTTTAGTCTTCATCTTCAAGTCGTGGCTGTAACACATGCTTCAAAAAAATTAGGTAAATTAATTAAATTGTCTGAATTTAGGGAAAAGTTTCAATAATTGAATTAATCGACAAATAATTAAAAGTTATTCAATTGATGTATTTTTTTATTCATATTCAGACCTTGGCTAGTGAATTTTGTGTAAATCGAAGTGAAGAACCATGTGGTACGAAAGTCACGCCTGTTGGAATTCAAGATGGTGTTAACCCCATCATCATAACCTTTGCTACTTCGGTAAGATTTTCTAGAAAATATATTTCTAACTCAAAATACGCTTTAACAATTGATCTCTTTTAAGATTGCTAATGCAACTCAATCATTGTTCTTGAGAAATTGAATTTTCTCGCAGACATTTCACAATCTTTAACAAATTCGATTTGCTGTAGATGACACCATTAGACAATCTAAAAGAAAGGTATAAGTTATAAATTTATTTAAACATATACATATATAAATATATTTTATTGCATGAAATTTCAGATTTCAAAATTCACTTTAACATCACTTTGAGTTTGATCGCTTAATCTCTTTTAAGATTGCTATTGTAACTCAATAATTGTTCTCGAGAAATTGAATTATTTTTGATTTCTTATATATAGTTCCAGTTTTATTTTAAAATGCGTATCGATGAATGAGTCCTTTCTGGACCTCCTTTCATCATTATTTTCTGTCGATGATGTTTTGATTTTTACTGACTTGAGGACTTTGTCTTCAAGGTTTTTTATCACAAATAACAACTAAACTTTATATATTTCAAACTTTAAACTTTTATCTCGCGGCGTTATTGCTTGAGGATCAATGTCACATACGGAACAAAATTCATTTAAAACTTCAATAAAGAAATGTACTATGAATGTTTCACTTACAAAGCAAATTGTGTTTATTTCTCAACTTGTGACATCAACAGATCGAATCTTCACTAAAGGCACACTTGTTGGTGAAAATGCCAGCAGTAAAATAATAATGATCACTAGAAACGCGATGATTCCATCAACGATTGACGTTCTCATCATAACCATTCCAGTGACGAAACGTAAATGAAAGAAAAACTGTCGAAACGGAAATCTGAACATGAAAGTTTTAGTCATTGATAAGATAAGAACGATAAGACCGACCATGTTGATGACAAAAACAACACGAAAAATCCCAAATGTCTATTTACCTTCAAATATTGACTTATGAGAAGTCGAGTGATGGTCAGAACGAAGCATCAATGAACATTTTTTCGTGTGTAAAATCTGATTTAAAACTTCATAATTGGAATCCAATCTGACTTTTCCAAGACACTTTCTTATCAGACTTTAATTCTCCGATTTCCAACTATAAATTTACTCTTTTATGTGTACATAAATTGAAGATAAAAGTGATACATAAATAATTAGTTTACAACACCAATTTACACGAGTCTCATTAAGTAAAAACCAAGTTGAAGTAAAGAAGAAGAATAGTTAATCACACGAAGATTTTACGAAAGCCGCATAAAACGATAGAACCATAAAACAATAAAACAAAAAGTCATCAAAACTGTTCCCACTTCATACTTACGTTCAATTCGTCGGGTAATTCAGTTTTCAGTGAAACGCTGACAAAGCAAGTTGTGCTTCAATTTCACAGTCGGAATTTTTAATAAAATTAAAAATCGTCTCTTTAATCTCTGCTTAAGATTATTAAATTTATTAAGAGGCAATGTGTGAACCAAATGAGTGAGTACAAAGATTTATTTATAATTAAATTGATAATCCTGAACTGCAATGCTGATAACTTTCGTTTTCATTTGACGTGATTTATTTGTTTGATTAGGAGTTTGATTTTCTGAGTTATTTTAAAGATTTTTTATTGCTTCGAATTTCTCATAATTTCCAGTCAGCTGTGGTTGATATCGACTTTGACAAATTTGTTATCAAAATAAAATCCCTGGAAAAATGAAATAAAATAATTAATCATTAATGACATTTTCAACAAGGAAAAATGATCTTTGATTATAATCTTTTAATTCCATGAAATGAATTTTATAAATAGAAATTGAAATATAAAGTAAATTGAATTTAATGAGTTCTTATCTACAAGACTTCCGTCTTTTTAATAATCTTTATCCTTTCAAGTACAAATGAATTAAAGGATGATTCACGAATTTACTTTTTATCCAACTTTTTGATAAGAAATTTAAGTTGAAATGTGTTGTAAAAATAATTGATAAGAATTTACTTTTATGTAAATAAGTGGAACGAAAGCGCTAAAATTAAATGAATTAAACTTCTTTAAATGGTTGACACTTAAACGTGTTTATCTCACTTACGTTGCCTCGTATTGTGTCGATATCAATGATATCAAACAGCTGTTTCACTCGTAAAGATGAGTCCGTTTGTATTAAGCTTGCATCATAATCTACACATGGCCTTGTGATAAGAGTTTAAGCGGGAGAGTCAAATAAATTTGTAGCATCGTGGTGAAGAGACTGTTGATAAGATGAACAAGGTCTTTGCATTATCAAAAGAAAAAGGTGAAAAGCAGAAAATAACGCATGACCTAAAATATTTCTTTTTTATGTTGCTAACAACTGTGTCAAGACCGGCAATTGTTGAACTCAATTCTTGCTTCTGTTCATTGTTTTTATAGTAAAGAAATTTAAAATTTAGAATGTCATGAAGTGCAGTATGATGAGTCATTCTGCAGGAGATTTCCAAATTAAAAAGTTGCAAAAGGAATTCCGCCAACTCATTTTTATCTTGTTTTAAAATGCGCAAGCGCTCAAAATTACTATGAGAGTGGCGATGATAACTAAGACAGAAGCTTCACAGAAGTAGATAAGACTTGTTCGTCTATCAATCTTTTTAATTGTATCGAAGAAAACCGATTCGATGATGTTTTTAAAGTTCAGTTCTTAAAATAAAATCAACTCAATTTAAACTTCACAAAATGTTCTTTGAAAAGAAAATTCTCTTATCCAAAGACAGTCAATAATTAAACTAGAAAATAGAAACGTGATCGCTTTGTAATCTTAGATACAACATCACGAAAGTGTGACCGAATATCAGCTGTTGGTAGACTACTCAATCTGTTAATTTCATTAAAAACTGTTTACACATGACTGCTTTCAGAGATTTAGCACATCTTCGCTATGTCATGCTTTTCCTAACTAAAACTTTAATGAAAATGTCGAAAGGTGAACTTTAAAATAATTGACAAATAAAATTAACAACAAGGAAGGGAAAGTTCTTCGTCTCTTCCTCTAAAGGAAGTTTGCTAAAATTTGTCGTCGTTTTCGACTTCTCTTTTAAAATTGCGCAAACGTAGAAACATTTTTTATAAAGATGTGTTGAGTAATGATTGTAAACAAAAAAAAACAGATAAAGCGGAATAAAACTGCAGTTTAGAAGATTTCGCATGTGTATGAGGCAAAGCAGAAACACAAAACGACGGCACAATCAGTTTCGTTTTTAGTTAGTGCTACGACGCGTCTATGTGAAGTAGAATATTTCGTTTTGTCCAATGTTTTTATGCAGTAAAAGAAAAATAAATGTTAGAAACCTTAAGATTGTGACATTAAAGTAAATAATCGAGCAAGAGTTAAAGTGTGACGAATATTTTGCGCAAAAGTTCTTCAATTTTGTTTTTCTCAAATTGTTTCTTCATTCCATCGAATTACAAATCTAATTGGAGCATTGTGAATTGTCTTAAAGTTCAAATTCATTGCTTTCATCTTTCAAAGTTCCTTCAAAGAGTTGTAAGGGAATTTCAGATGCTGTTGAAAATTTAAAACATTTTTTCGTGTTATCGATTTTTTCCTCCTCTCATTTTCCTATCTGATTTTCTTTTTCTCTTATCGACCGTCAAAAATATTCTTTAAAACAATTAATAAAATGTTGATACGATGTCTACATTAAAAATCGAAGTCAAAACATTTGAAATTTCCCCAACGCCCTTTTCCTTTTTCACCCGGCAATTGATGAAGCATTTAGAATGAATAAAACAACAAATTTTCATTTTCATTGCCTACAAAATGTTTCTGTGAACAAAAATAAATACACGAATCCGACACAAACAAAACCGGGTGGGTTGGAAAATTTGTATATAAAGTGAGGGGATGAAAAATCTCATTTGGTGGGTGGAAGATGGAAGGAAATTTAAGAGATGATGAACAAAAATGATGATAAAATCTCGTTACGTTATTTATGCATGCATCATGTGGTTAATCATTCAGTTGGAATTAATTATAAATAAATTAATCAAAGGTTTGAGGTGTGGAAGGAAACCATTCGAGTCTAAATCCTTTGGGTTCTCATTCAACCAGCTTCGTCATACTTTAAGTCAGAAAATCAAAGTTTCGTTTAAATGAAAGACGTCAATTCGTCGCCACAACTCATTCAATTTTATATTCTTAAAAATAAAATATAAAAGCTGGAAAGTTTTTCAACAGAAATGTTTTAATGGAAAAAATCTCAAAACAAATCAGATTTCAATGTTCCATAAACCTTCATTGTCGAACAAGAGAAAAGTTCAATCAGCTGCCAAATGTCTTTCCTTTCAAAGAACTCGTAAAAGTTGCCAACAATGACTGATTTGTTATCGTTACAAATTTTTCAATGTTCTTGTTGTTCGTGAGAAGTCAATTCATTTGATAGTTTACGATTCAGTCATTTGACAACTTTTGTTTAGATCGCAAAAGTTGTCTTTGATTTGACACGAAATGTGATAAGAATGAGTGGAAGTTCTTCGAAAGAACTTGTCAACTTTTAAGTCAATATATTGACATGTATTGGAGGTGTTAAGTAGGATTTAAGAAATAGAAGCAAAAGAAACTTAAACTCGTCATCGTTCGTCAGTGTGTCAACTTCCAATGATGTGAAGATAATGTAACATTGAGTTGCTTCGACTGCTTTTTAACACGCTTCAATGGATAATTATATTGCATAATGACTTGATTAATTGTGTCGAGATGCAATTAAGTCAGTTTATTGCTTGGGAATAGCCTTGGATTAGCATCTGATCATTAGATTGCAATCTATTGGAACAAAAAACTGTATGAATGATGAACAAATGCAATCTCACATTATGTTTCAGTTTTCTTTAAATTATTTCTTCATTCATGTCACTCTCGTCGTGAGATATTTATTAAATGTTTAAAAAGTGAAAACAGTAACAAAAAGATTCATCAACATTGTCTTCGAGGCCAATTAAAATGAAATGAAAATCAACAAAAGCTTTTTCTTCTTCTCTCAAACTGCGTTTGCAGAAACTTTTGCTTCACAGTTTATTAAAAGAGTTTAATAAATCTAATGTGGTTTTGATCATCTTAGTCTGTATAAGAACTATGATCTAATTACGTAAAACAAGGCAAGCCTATTGTTTGTAAATTAACATCCGCTCGAAATGGTCAATGAAAATATTTGTTTTCAAATATTCCCTAATTATGTTCTCTTCATTCATTTGCTGTCGCCGTTTTGATGACTTTAAGCTTTACTGATGGTTATTTAAATTCGCGACATCCATTGTTTGTGAATAATATTTGACTTCTGCTTTTACCGGTGACTGATTCGAATAGCGAATGTGTCATCAATCTTGTGTAGCGATAAATTCAACTCTTACAACAATAGCATAGCGTACACATGTTGCTTTGTCTTATAAAGACATCAATAATGATACTTACCATGGTTTCATGTTAACTTGTCAAATGATCAATTCATTGTATTGTCTCGGTATCGTTGACATTTGTCGTATATGAAATATGAGAAGAAATCGATTGGAGGATTCTTTTCAAATGTTCATTACATAAAATTTGAGACGTTCCTCAGATCATTGTGGATTTTTCTTATTAAATGTTTAACTGTTTTGCGCAAATATTTATTAAAGTCACACGTCTTATTAAAGTATTTGATTAAGTGGCTCAAGAGATTATCTTTTTTTGTGTTAAGAAAGTTTACAGTTTCATTTGATTTTTCCAGAACAAATTTCGTTAAATTTCTCGCATTCGTTCTGTGTTACATTCAGAAGCAAACATTTATCTGCAAAATAAAAAAAAAAACTCTTTGACTAATTTCTTAGCAAGAAACGCTACGAGTATGACAACAAAGGAATCAACATTAATGAAGAAGTGAAAAATAATATGTGAAAACAAATATCTACTCCGTTTGCTGTTTAATTATCGTACATTTTATATGTATTGTGAATCTATTTATAAAGTCGTATAAAGATACTTAAAACTCCGCAGATAATAATCATCTGTTAATAAAACTGTTCGAATTACTTGCACTTGAAAGTTGAAACGAAGTGAGTTCAAGTGCTAACATTTAAACTCATAAATTAACTATAAACAGAGTGATTGACTATAAGCATTGAGAAAATGGTTGATGTTTGTTGTCTCCGGATGTCCGCAAGATGCTCGAGGTAAATATTAATGGAATTCTCTGATCACTCTAATTGAGAAATGGTGTGATGATGTGTCACTGATGGTGTTGTTCAGCTTTCTATAGTTTATTTTAATAAGACAGAAAAAGATGTGGAAAGAGAAGCAAAAACAGAAGAAGAAATCAAGCTATTTTAACAATTTTGTAATGGAACAAAAAATAATTCACTTCATCCCGTAAAACAGAAAAAACTGACGACGTTTTTATTAGAATTTATTGTTTCAATTTTCCCATCTAAAACTTAATCGTTCACTTTAATTTTACACCATAAAAATAATGTTCAAGTATTCTTTAAACTGTTTTCAGATCGCGTGTCATGCTTCAATCGTTTACGTCAACAAACTTTAAAAAACTTCATTCATGTCTCGTCATCATCGATTCTGAATGAAGTTTGTGCTGATAATTAATTCCAAATTTATTAGATTTAATTTAAAATCGATTAGTGTCAGTCGAGATAAGAAAACATTTTACAATTGTGTAATAAATCGACTATAAATAACTCAGCTAAAATTCCCTAATCAATTTTATTGTAAATATAAATTGCAAACGTATATCTTGTGTTGCAGCCTTCTAACTAATTGATGATGTAACGTGATCTAATTATTAAATTAGTTTTTAAGTACTGAACTCTTTTGTTACTTTATTTTAAACAACATCAGCGGAAATTAAAGTAAACTTAATTGACAATGATTTATTAGAGAATTTACCTTGAAATGTTTCCTTTGAAATTTGCATACAACTTGCATGGTAATAAACTAATGAAGGGAAAAGTTTTAGTTTTGGTCGACACATGAAAGTTATTAGAATAATTAAATCTTGAACGAACGAACAATAATCGATATGCCTTTGCATTGGCGTTATCGACTTTTTCCGACTCTTTTCACGTTCACGACAAATAATAAAAACTTTTATTACTGAAATGCATGTTGAATTAATAAAATAATATTTCGCAAAGCACGCAATTGATTTCAGGGTTTAAACTGATAGACAACAAAATTTCTAATAATTTTTCAATTTTTGATTTCACGACATAAATTGTCATCGAATTGTTTGTCAAACGAACATTCAAAATTATTTTTTGCTGGTCTGCGTTTTATTAGGGTTTTTATGACCTTTTGCAAGGCGGATAAAATTAAATTCATTAGTCTTATAATCTTCCATTGGATATCAAATTGATAGAGAAACTTTTTATTAGCACTCACTCAGTTTTGCGATGGAAATGGCCTTGACTTTCTATCGACAAAGAAAAGGCAAAAACAATTCGAAACTCATGCACATGAGAAAGTTCTCGTCAGTAATAAATCAGCATAAAACCAAAGCAGACGTCAAAGAATATTCATAAATCTTCTTTTTCCTTCTTCTTCTTGTTGCAGGCCAATTCGCTCGACCATGAAGGATATTACAAAACTTAGCAATGCTGGATCGAATCATGATTGTGGTTCACTGTCGCGTGTCGTGATGGTGCGGAAAACTGATCAGCGTGTGATAAATCACAAAAATCAAAAGGTAAACACTTAAAAACCATGAATAAAAAATGTTTATTCATTTTATTATTAACATACAATAGGATCCACAGACAGAAGTCATCACAATGGAAACAATTTCTACTTATCGTGGTCATCGTCCAGATAGAACTGTTGTGATTAAGAAACGCGACTTATCTGCAAATGCAGTTCTGTCAACTTCAATGAGTGAACGAGATCATGGCTATTCATCACTTACACCCAGTCGAACAATTAAATCAGAAATAAGCAAAGATTTTAGTTCGTTGAGTCTTTTAACACCTGACGATGCAAACACACTTAACAATAGTTTGAACAACAGTCCGAATAGTAATCCAAGAAAAACTATTCTCAATGGCAATGGAGTTCGAGATTCGAATAACAACCCTTATGGGACTCCAACAATGTATGCAAAACACAATAGAAACTCATTGAACACGCGAATACAACAAGAAGATCGAAGTTTTTCGAAATCTTCAACTAGTCTTAGAAGTTCTCCAGCACTTAGAAACTCACCAGGACTTCGTCACTCGACGCCATCGCCCTGTAACAGAAGATCAATTTTTAGTGACTTTGAACTTGATTGTTTAAAAGCTCACAATGAATATCGTGCTAGACATGGAGTGGCAGCCTTGAAACTTAATAAAAAGCTTTGTAAACATGCAGAAGAATGGGCTCGAATACTCGCAAATCGAGGAATTTTATTGCATAGAAATAATTCTATTTACGGTGAAAATATATTCTGTTCATGGAGTTCCAACATACACAACAATCATGTGAGTGGTCGAGAACCAGTTGACAACTGGTATGCTGAGATATCGCATCATGTCTTTCATAAAGAACCCACGACACTGAAATCAGGTCACTTCACACAAGTTGTTTGGAAAGAAAGTCGAGAGTTAGGCGTTGGAATGGCAAAAAATCGGTCAGGAGAAGTGTTTGTGGTGGCAAATTATGATCCAGTAAGTTCATCATCATCATCAAAATAACATTAAGATCTAATTATTTTCTTAATTTACATTTGAATTTTCTCACAGCCTGGTAATTTCATTGGGTCATTTGAGAAGAATGTTCTCCCAATATTAGGAGAAGACGACAAAATGAGAGCTTCCATGGAAAAGTCTGATGAAGAAATTGATGAAGTGGAATATTCTGAGGAAGAATACGAAGCGTTTGCACAGAAAATATTAAAACATCACAATGAATATCGGAAAAAACATTACGCACATGAATTGAGGTAAATTCAATGCCCACATGTAGATGGCGCCACAATTTCATAAATGCTTTTCTGATAAATATTTTTATTTTTACGTTATCAGATTAACCAAAGAACTAATGAATGACGCACAACAGTGGGCAGAGAAGCTAGCAGCGGAAGATAAATTTACGTATCGACAAAACTCACAATATGGAGAGAATTTATATTGTTTGTGGAGCAGTGACAGAGATGCATGGCCCAATGCCAAAGACGTTTGCAAGTAAATAAATATTTATGAAAACAGTCGGAAACAGAATATTTTATTTATCTATACTGCAATTTCCTCCTTCTAGATCATGGTATGAAGAAGTTAAGCAATATATTTGGAATGTAGAACCAAAAACGTCATTTAAAGCTGGTCAGTTCTCTCAATTGGTTTGGAAAAGCTCAAGAGAACTTGGTGTTGGTGTAGGTCGAACTAAAAGTGGAAAAGTGATTGTTGTCGCCAGTTATTGGCCTCGAGGAAATATCATCGGACAATTTTTACAGAATGTTAAAAAAGGGAACTGATTGAATATGAAGGCTGATGAGAAGAATAAAGATTGAACACCAAAAAGTAGATTTTGTAATGATAGTCTTAAATTATTGGAAAAAATAATTCTTTGAGCACCTTTAACCTTAATCAAAATAATTCAGGTCATGATTATAGAGCCTTAATCTCTACTTACATACCTTTTAAAGCCATAAAACGTCCATTTCCATTGTTAAATATTTGCAATTTACATAAATTAAAATATAAAATTTTTAATCTTCGCATTACTTTGGATTTTGTGAAATCGTTAAATTCGCACATTAAATATTTGCTTGAACGAAAACTGAAAGAAATTTTTCGTAAAAAGTATTAAAATACAGATGAAATGGAGTTTTGATTAGAAATTGCATAATTTTAATGATAAGAGATTAATAAATTATTTAATTTATTCATTAATATTTATTTATTTGTTTCACTGTCAATCGATTTTCTTTCAGATTCAAGTTCACATCCACTAATTTATTGTCAATGTAATCTTGCGGGCGGAAACCTGAAATATTGGTTTTAATTTAATTTATTTGTTATGATAAAATATTTGATTTAGTTATTATTATTACAAAGAGCTTCTTGCCATTGAGATCATATTACCTATATCATTTAAAATTCATTCAATAATAAAATTTAAATTAGATTTAAGTTTATAGAAAAGTATTTCTGCTGAGTAAATACGAAATCTTCGTAAAGCTTTTGATGGGAAGAAAAGAGAAAAAACGGAACAAAAATTGAAAATGATTCGTGAGATGTGATAAGAATTCAGCCAAAAGACATTTGCACAAATTACTCCGGATAACTTCAATTTATGACTAAAAATGATTAAATTATTCAAAATTGATGGGAATATAAAAATAAAATGGTCATCATCATCATCTATCTGGTGTAAGAAGATATATTTAAAATATCCACGAATGCTTTAATACCTTTTTTTATCTTAAATATTTTTTACAGCTTCCAAAGGTTAGCTGTTCGTGTATTCATTCAACACAATGGTTGGGAATAATGAAAGTCCATTAATCACACAAGAACGTCTTTTAACGTTGAGTACTTAAAAGGGTATAAGATTTAATGGGCGGAACATTTTCCTGTCGACTTTGTCATACTTCTTGCATGCTTTAAGCTGTTTTATACCGTTTTATGGCATTCGGATGGCATTTTCAGCCTAAAATTCATCCTCGAATCCCTAAAATCTTTCACTTTCAATCTTTATTCTGATTGGGATTTCGGCCGTTGGTTTCAATGCTTTTGTTCACAAAAACTAAACGGATTAACAATGCTTTGACATCAATCACCTGAAATTCAACAAACGAGAAGCAGTTTATGTGTGTGTCGGGTGTTTGATGTTGGGTTTTGTAACACAAACCGTAATTAAACTTTCTTTCATTTAAAACTTCAGGATCCGAATAAAAAATGATTATAAAATTTCGTATCAACTTTCAGTGAAAATTCAAAGTTGATATCAACCAAAAAATCAAATTTAAATTTTCTTAGATAATTCTAAAATGAATGCTTACGTATTCGTTATCAACATTCCTGCATTTTGTCATACAAATTGTGATCGCATTTCCAACTTCTTTTTTTTTTGCTGAATATTTCTGAAACTATCAGGAAAGGCAAAATAAAAAAAATTTATTGGAAGATGTTCACACGTTCGTTGATTGGACTTTTTTATGGCGCTATTGATGAGGAAGAGCAAAGATTATAAAGTGTGAAAAGACGTTTCCTGAAACACAAAAACTCCTGTAACAATACTTTCGAATAGTTCCCGAAGTCGCTTGCTAATAAAAACTGCATAAAAAGTCGGCCAAAATTATGTTATCAGATATAAATAAACGGATTAAAAATCTTATCGTTCCAACACTATCGATGATGTTGTTATTTTATTTATTTTAGTTTTTTTTGTAGCTAAGCTATCAACAATTCAAAAAAAAATAAAAGCATTGTGCAAAGCATTTCAATCTCTTCGAGAGAGCGACTGAGTGTCGCGTGTGCTCAGTTATGTCACTTTAAAGTAAGAAGACGAAAAATAAAAGACTGTCCAGCTGGTGAATTGAGACGCTTAACTTTATCATTTAGAAAGATGATTCGGTGAAGAAGAAGAAGACAGAAATAAAAGAAGAAGACAAGAATTGAGTAATCGGTTAAGAGACAAAAATCAACAGCTCTTCTAGCGCTCTATAAAAGATCGCGAAATGAATGAGTTGTTTGTAGTTGGATTCAGTTTATCGCGACTTGACGATCTTTATCAAAATCTGTTTAAAAATGAAATTTTTGGTAAGTTTGTTAAGTTAACTTCATCTCATTTGATGAAATTCAATGAAAATTTTTCCTTATAGATTGCATTTGTTATTTGTGTTGTTTGCACCATGCAAGCACAAGCTGATCAGAACGCTATCGTCTTAGAACAAAATTCTGTCGTCAATCCCGATGGAACTTACAGTTATGTATGGAGAACATCAAATGGAATTAACGCTGAAGAAAGTGGAATTGGAGGTGTAAGTGCTCAAGGCTCATACGATTTCGTCAGTGATGACGGCGTTCCAGTTTCAATCCAATACACAGCTGATGAAAATGGATATCGAGCAACAGGAGATGCCATCCCACAACCACCTGCAATCCCTGAATACATTCTTAGAGCTCTCGAGTACATCAACAACAATCCACCAAGTTCCAAATAGTTTCAATTAGTCAATCAATTTTATTTAACTCTTCTGTTTCCCTTCCTGCCCACCCATACCTGTCCTTGTCTTAATTGTATCCTAATCCATAAATTCATAAGTTTAAGTTAAAGAATGCGAAACAGAAAACAAAAAGGAAAATGAAAATAAATGATAACGCTTTTGTTATTGAAAAAACATAAAATCAAAATCAAATGAGATGATATTTGGATCGTTTACGTTGAAAGATTAATGTCATTGCCATTGAACCATCAAACAGAGCTTAATTTATGGTTCGATAACATAACCTTTATTGGAGCTCATTATCAAAGGCGATTGACCAATATTTCTTTGCTCTCACCTCCTTTTTCCTTCATGCTTCAGACCTTTTTACACTTGCTACTTCATCTTATGTAATTTCATCTTCAAAGATGAAAGTAAACGCCACCGACGTGTTATTGCCCCTGTCGAATTGAATCGCTTAGTTTTTGTTTTCGTGTTCCGACATGTTCCAATAAAGACAAGTGAGAATTATTCAAAGATTTATTGTTCCACGGAATTCCACGGATACGGCAGTAAAACCATTGATTTTTACGATCATCGAAATTTGTCTCGTATTGCTTACCGAAGAAGCAGCGGCAGATATTTTGATTTACGATTTTTTTGCTCAATCTGAATTTATTTATTTTTTATCATCTTTTAAACAAAAAGCGATGCTTTTGCTTTGATTTCTTTTGATGGCCCAATATCTAGATCTTAATGTTAATTTAATGTCAAGGTTGTTGTCTAACTTTCCATTGATTAGCATACATATATTGATCAACTTCTACTCATCCGATTATCAATTCACGGGTTGATTGAACGGTCAATCCCCTGAACAACAAAAGCTCAGAAGATATTAATTTGCATATGATTATTGAAAAACAATTAATTAACATAATTATCACGTTACAATTTTTTTGCAGCACGATTGAATGGAAAGAAAGAAAGAAAGAGAAAAAAAAGATTTCGCGATATTGAACATTACCGTCGATTGCCAACAAACAAAAATTTGCTTGGGTTGTATTTTCATTTGAGTCTGTTTAAAACAAACTCCACTGGCAATTTGAGTGAGCCACTCCCGTGTTGATATTTGCCAATGAACGTGAGAAAAAACAACATTGAAAATTAAGTGCTTCGAACTATTTGCTTCTCGGAAAATGCAATTTATTGATAGTAATCAATTTTCATTCGATATCTGCATAACATTGATGAAAGTTTTCTCTTTGCATTTCATTGAAAAATTGTTTTCCTAATCATCGAAATTTGCATGCTTTTCGAGGGAGAAATAAAAATCATCACGGACTCGAATCATTGACCATGAACTTGAAAAGACGTTGTGACACTCGACAAATCTCCATCAGCATAATCTCTTTTTATCTTTTATCATTTTTTATTCATAAATTTTGAGTAGCAAGCGATACATCTATCGGCTGAATGACGATACTCTGCACGTCTCGTTCGAATGTTATTTAAATCGATTCGTTTGATGAGAAGATGAAAGAAATCCACTTCAGCAGAGTGTCAAGTGAAATTTGTCATTGGTTTGACAGTGAAAGAATCTCAATGATGTTCGTGTATAAAAATAATCGTCAATCGATTAGTTAGTCGCTCCCACGATTCTCATTTTCGTTCTCGTTCTTAATGGCAGGCAACAAATTTTGTTGGTCACTTTCTAGTGTTTTAATTTCCCTTCTTCATATGTTTTTATGTTGCCCTTTTTTTATTTTTGGAAAAGACTTCCATTTTCTGACACACAACATAGAGAATCGTGCTGTGTCACTTTGAGTAAACAATGAATAGATTTTCAAGCATGCTGAGTGTTTAAAGTGGGTGAACGTGAGAAGCAAAGATAATTGGCTATCTGAAGAGTCTTTCGTAATGCATGCATGTAAATTCAGTCAACTCTTTTATGCTACAAAACTTTAAAATATTTTGAAACCAAAACAGCTGCGAGATGGTGAAGTTTGAAGATTTGAAATAAAATTGGCCTTTCCAGTTGTTTTTGTCACCACTCTGGAACTTTCATCATAATGATCTTTATAATGTTAAAGTTTCCTTTCCCCATCTTCGATTGATAACTCGAAAATTTTATTGATTTATTTATTTTTATCTGTTGAGATATTTGAATAAGAAATGGAATAAGCGAAAAAAAGTTTTTCTTTTCAATAATTCTTAGATAATCGTCTTTTAATCTCAATTTATCTTTGTCTCATAAAATTTTCATAAAACACTCATTCACACAAATAAAAGCTTTCGATGGAGAAAAAAAGTCGTTCGTTGTTTACTACCAACCAAGTTTGCTTCGACGAGTAAAGCTTAAAGATAAGCTTCGAATTATATCGACTTCAGTGAATCCTTCAGCATTTGCTTCTTCTGTCGTAAACAAGAACAAAAGCAAGTTTCCTTTACAAGATTTATCCACTTGGGTGAGAATTTAAGAGACAACAATGCTTCGTAATTCTCTAAATATGTTTAAAATAATTAATACATAAATTCTTTTTCCATTTCATGATTTTTAAGATTAAAATTTACAGAAAAGTTTTCTTTCTAATTATCTGTAACTTCAATTGAACTGCGATAAACTTTTTTTTGTTTTCCGTGAATATGTCTGTTGTTGATATTTCTTCATTATAGTTTCCAGACGTCACGTTGACAAAAAAGAAATTATAAAAACAGAAAAGTTGCATATACAACAAGACAATGAAACTTTCATGTCACGTCACATGAAAAGGAGTGTCGAGTTGAGTGAACAAACGATGACGTTGGAATGTCCTGCAGCAAACAATTGTTAGATATTTTAATAAATCATGTTTTATGTGGTGGATAGAAAAGAGTTTTGTATCGTGAGAGAGCCGCGTGTGAAAATGATATTAATTTTGATGCTGTGGCAAGTTTTTAAAACATTATCACAAAAAAATGTAATTTTCAATAAATCAACGTCAACATTTAAAGCTTTCTCATGTTCTTTTAGCATTTTTCTTCAATCTCTCTAATGAATACAAACCAATAAAATGCAACCAACTGTCATTAATGAATACAGCTGGAAATCTAGACGAATTTGGCTTTCGTTTATTCAATTTACAATTTACAAAATGTTGTCATAAGGCCAGACGTTCTCAGAAGGAAAGTGACAAAAATTGAATTCAACAAATCTCTTTATAACCGCATCAACCAAAGCTAAAACAAATTTTAAATTTCAATTAATCTCAAATTTTCAACATTTCAATGTGACTCAACCAACTTCTGATGAATAAAAATAGGATTTGAATGTCGGAGTTTCCACAATTCTCGATCGATATGAAGTGAAAAATTACATTTTCAGAATGAGATAAATACAATTCAGAGCGGAATTGAGGAAAAAGAAAAGCAGGAAAGAAAAGCGTCAGAAACAATAAGCAAAAACGGAACGAAATCCGGAAGCATTTTCCTAAATGGATATTAATTAATAATTAGCCTCCGATTAGGTCGTCGTCATCCCATGCTATCATTTCAAATGCTTGTGTGTGTGTGTGGAAAAAGCCTTTTCGCATCGGTTGGCGGTCTCTAATTTGATTTCAAAAACTCTGTAAAAATCAGTCTCGTAATCATGAAATGTACGGGAAAGTTACGAAAGGCATAAATTACATTACATCAGAGTCGAGCGAGCGTCATTATCTGCGGAGGGTTATGCCCGAACTCAGTTCGAATTTTTGCGATTAACATGATGATAATTTCTCATGGACATTGCACAATGTAAATGGCGAATGAGAAGTTTAATCACTTGTTGTGTGGCAGTAATAAGCGTTCGTGACCATAATGAATTTGTTATGTGCAAATCTGGGCATACCAATCGATTAATTAAATATCCAACTCTCGAATCACTTTTCCTCTCTACATTAAATTAATGTGTTTCCGTACAAGTTATAGGACGAACGAGAATACGTAGCTACCTTTTCATTGAATGTGAAGGTTGAAGCAGAAGGTTCATTCAATCAGGATGGAAATGTTTTACCTGCGACGCATTTATTGTGGAGAATCTCTCTTAGAAAGTATGTATAAATAGTTAATAGCATTAAAAACAGCCCAATTGACAGTTTGGGGCTGAAACTTTCTCTGCCTAACGTTGTGGAACGTTGCTAATGGTGGGAAAGCTTTATGTTAATTAATATCCACAATGTTACGAAAATATATTTCATGAAATGGAGCAGAAACACATTTTTCCATCCAAAACATTCATTCCCACCCTCCCTTCAATTCTGTTTAATTGAAATTTTATTGGTGAACCTTCTCTCATTCTTAAATGTTTCAATTTTTCTTGGCTGTGCTTTTGCTTGCGACAAAAGACGTAATATAATAATTGATGAAGGTGCCATCAAGCGAACGAAACGAAATGTGTAAGTAAAAAAGGCTGGCGGTTGATGTTAAAGTAGTGAATGGAATTTCCGGCACATTTTCTTTAACAAGCTTGATGAAAAATGAGAAGAAGTTGGCGAACCGCATTGTGAAAATATATGTCAAGCTAGAATGTTCAAAATTTTACATTCTCTCTACAAATGTTTAGAAAGTGTCATTGCACGATGGCATTTGATCAAGAAGTAAATGCGAAACACAACAATTCTAGCGTTTCTTGTTATCAGAATTTTGTACCTTGCGATGAAAATATGTTTGTGACATCGGAATGACACAAGAATTACAAGGAAAGCATTTTTCGTCAGACACATTCGGTGTTATAAGTTGTAAGTAGGAAATTTAAGAGAGGGAACCAGGGAAATAAATTTCCTTCATCCTGTTTCCACGGTGGAACATGTAAATTGAAATAATTTCATGAACGAGAGATTTTGAGATTCAGTTGAGTTACTTTTCCATCTCACCCACGCCACGTAAACATCTTATTAAAATTCAAAGTCTCGGAATAATATCATGAATACGTAAGATGAACATCTTTTGCGTTAGGAAATTTTCTAGCATCTACGATGATTAAACTCAATATTTTATGTTTTCTTTTTTATTTTATGAAGACATAATTTACAAGAAATAACAAGGAAAAGCAAAACGATTTATCTAAATCAATCGATTGAAAACAGAAAAGGATCTTGAACATTTATGGTTGTGAAAGTTCATAAATCAATTCTCTTTTTCGTGGCTTATTAAACATTTTCATCACAACAGCAAACCTAACATCGAATAAAGTTTCCTTTTTCCAACCTTACCTCGTTCTTCGTTTTTCGTTTTCTATGCATCAATCTCCTGATAGAAGTTGTAAAATTTGACTGAAAATTGAATAAATGGAGCATGTAGAATGAAAAACATATTTGCCTTCAACACATTTACTTGTCGTACCTTCTGTTTTGACAACGTAGGTAAAATATATGAAAACATCACATCACCGATCAAATGATTCGAACGTAATATTTTATTCCTTTGAAAATGTTACATTGTGAGTTCACGATATTGCGTAAATACATACATTAGATCTACACGTTTCCCTAATTAATCATTTTACATTTCATTACATTTCCCTTTGGAAAATCTGTTGCCGATTCTCGCTTTTACTCACATTCCATTCCCACTCAAAAGTGAAGCTTTTTATTTTTTTTATTTTAACTTTTAACATAAAATATTCTTTTTGTCGAGTTTTTATTGGATTTTCAGCATCTGTCGTTTTATTCCTTTTGTGTGGGTTCACGAATTCATTCAATGGTGACTGGAGTGAGCTGGTGATTTCTTTTCTCCTTCGGTTAGAACATTGAAAGAGCACAAAAAGTTGAAATATTTTCTTATCACGGAGAATTTCGACCTCATTTTTACGGTTTTTTATTGCCAATCGAGAATATATATAAATAGGTATGAGGAGGGAAAGCAAAATGTTTATTTTCCTCAGTTTTGTACTTCATTTTGTTAATGTCACACACAAAACTCCAACACGTCACCTCCTGCGGGTTGAAATGTTTTGTTCTTTCGATTATGTTGTGTTTTACAATTTATAGTTTGTTGTTGTTGATGTTTGTTCAGGAAAATACTTAAATTAATGTTTAAAAGGTATTGAAGCTTTCAATGCATTCGACGGACATGTAAGAAGTTTTGCTTTTCATATCAAATCGAATGCTTCAAAATTTTCTCATGGACATTGATAAAATTCAGTCTTCATTAGTGAACACTGACAGTATCACAATATTGATACTTTCCTTCTTTCTTTTTGTGCTTTTCATTTCGCAACAAACAAAAAACACACGAGAAAATTTTCCAATAAGCATTTCCTTCTTTTCAATTTTTTTTTCTCTCAAATTTCCATCACGACACCATCTGCGCCTGTCGTTGAGCGCAAAGGATTCACTTTTATTCCGTGATTCTCTCAATTTACTCGCAAATATTTCTCATGACAACAGAATATAATCAACAACGTTCTGAGAAAATCTCTTCAGTCTTCATTGGTTGTGAATTGTGTTAACAACGGAAGAACGAACGCTTGAGAAGTAACTTAAAGCGTCATATAAGGCTCCATTTTGTGTGGAAGTGTCAAGAATTTCATTCTGTGTGTATCTGAAAAAGAAATAAACTTCTGCTTCTTGCACTTTTCAGACAGGAAACAAGAAAATATAAAGCTTATCCTTTCCATCCTTAATTGCCTTCGAGCGCTCTATTTTGGCAATTGCTTTTCCCTCTTCAACACATCTCATATTGAATATTAATTCATTTTTTTTCGATTGATCAGAACTGTGCAAATGAAGAAGGGAAAGGAAAAGTTTCTGATTGCCGGTTCTTGGGTGGTTTAATTGAGCATCTCAAGCTATCTGTTGGGTATTGTTGGAGAAATGAAACTTAGGCCTTTCCTAAGCTTCTCTTCAATTCCAACTCGACCTGAATGCGAAATCTTTTAATTTAATATTCTAACAGAATTCAATTAGATATCTTTCTCATCCATAAATTCATTCATCTCATTCGACTCAATTACAATTTCAAATTATTTTAATTTTCATTTTCAATCTTCTTTCGTCGCTATCGAATGAACTTTTATGTTGATTGTTTGTTATGTTGAAAAGCCACTTTTTGTGGTGCGTTTTAATTATGAAATTTTATTATGTTCGTGATGGAAATGAACTGATGAAAGTAATATGAAATAAATATTCGCAACACTAGTCTCTAAGGAATGCCGTCGTGAAACAGTAGAAAGCTTTTAGATTTTAAATTTTAATTTTGAAGCGACAACTTAACGAGTAAATTGTAAAGTTCAAAGTGAAAGTAGCAATATTTAACTTAATTAAAAGCTTTTGAAAAGGAGTTTAATATTAATTTCAAAAGTTGAGCTTTCAAGCTTCAAAATGAGATGACGAGAGCGAGTGGTAGAAATTTGAATGTAGTAACTAGAAATGAAACCAGAAGGGAATTCCGACGACACATGTTGAAATGAGATTTCTTTCTTACCAAGCGTAAATTATGACTACCGCTGACATCAACTCAAATTCAAACTTCAAATTAACGTGAACAGCTTTCAATTCAAGTATGTTTGGGAAGATATTTTCACGTTGAAACGAGAAAGTTGGTTTTATTATTTTCCTTCAAAATTAAATCCTCATCATGAGAGTATGTGAAGGAACAATCAGCATACTTAATGGGTGAAAACTTCTTCAAGCTTCCTTTCAAATTAAGAAAAGAAGCAGCGTCTTTAAATCGAGTTGGGTGATGAGATGGAGAGGGTTGAGGGAATTACAAACAAAAGCTTTATTAAGTTAGACATTTCGTTTGAGAAAATTGCGAGAACAAATGTTCTCAGGATGTTAAATGATTTCATGTGAAAATGCGCGGATTTTTATTTCTTTTCTTTTTTTAAAACAATGAAAAACAGACGACGACGACGACGACGTCGAGTAGAGTAAATATCCTGAAGTTATCAGATGCGTACATGCTTGAAATATTTGCATAAGTGCTGACACGACTTTGAGCTTTGAATAATTCAGGAAAAAATAGAAACAGTGAAATTCAAATGATCGTCATGTCGAATGAAACGTGTAGCGAGAAAAAGTGTTGGAACCATTAGAAAGCTTGAATAAAAAAAACATCGGATTTCAACGACAATAAAGCATTCAGCTTTAGATATTAAGCAAATTCTTATTTGCATAGATATATGGAACATTTTGCTTCTTTCACAAGAAAGGGATATTCTCTCGCTTACCGTTCGTACTCTGATAAATAAACAACTTCTAGTGTTGCAGTTTGCAGTTTACAAGAGAAAGAAGAAGACTGCAATGAAACTGAACAATTTGCCACCGAATGGTTTTACCATTCGACTGTTACTTATCGTGACTTTTGCATCGCTTATATATGCTGATGAAACGACAACAACAACAGCTGCAGCTTCAACGACAACAACTGAGCCAGGTAATAATCATTTTTCACTTGAGACATCTCGATAAGATTCATTTTTATGATATTTCATTCGATATGAACGAGTCGGGTGGGAATTGAAGTTAGGTGTTGTGAATGAACTTCGAAACCATTTTACTATGTCCCAAAACACCTTTCAGTCGCTTTCAGCATAATTTTCAACTGAAGCTTTTTTTTTTACGATATTTTTCCCTTCTTTCTTATGCTTCACTTTGAAGAAGATTCAACTTTCAAGATACGAAATGATGTACATTTTTATTTCTTTTCCCAACCTTTTTTTCCCTTTTTTTATTTAGCTTTCAATGTAGAAATTATTCAACAGATGTTGAATGAATCAATTTTCAATTGCAAATATGTTAGCAGCGAGTTGAATTGAAGGAAAAAGTTTTGAATCGTTGCTACATCCATGCATTCGTTGAGGTGTGAACATCAATAAAAGAGAATGCAAATGAAAGTTGAAAAGTCAACATTTTTCTTTTCTTTCTTTTTTAATCAGATCGCTCAGTTTCATCATTTACATTTTAATCACAAAGATTGACTCAAATAATTTTTCTGTCTTGTGCAAATTTAATCGTGCAAGTTGAGTAAAAGTTTTAAAGCGTCGTTAAGTTGTGGGATTAATTTGTAATCCAAGAATATGAAAGACTTTTAATTTCTTCCTCGCAGTGTCTCATTAGTGAGAAAATTTATTGAAAAGAAGACTATATAGAATACGTTGCTTTAATTAATATTTTTAAAGACAGAAAAAATGAAGTGAAAAAAGATTTTCTCGTTAGTTGAAATTATCAACATGAAATCTCTGACAGTAATTCATTGAAAAATTTACGATAAATGACGTTGCTCTCAGCTTTCCTTCATTTAACGTTCTAATGGAGAAAATATTTAATTTAGATCACATTACTGAAGTAAACAGGCAAAAGGCATCTTAAAATAATGAAAAATCATCACCATTCTTAAACGTTGTTCACTTTCTACACCACCGCCCAGTTAGGAAATTCGAGACAACGAACGGTGGGGATATTTCAGTTTCTTCGACGTTAAACAAGCTTCGCTTCAGAAGCAAGCATGCACTGTGCTGTCGCTGTTTGAAATACTTAAACAAGTCGTACCTCGAATACTCTCCCCCTTTAAAATCATTTGTTTATTTCCACTTTCCACCCACTAGACAACAACAGATAAAAGCTTCACATTTCTTTTCACTACCACCCTCTGCCATCAAAAAAGGAAAACTCCTTTTGTAGCTGAACAAAACATGAAAATGAGAATGAATATCTAAGAAAATGAAAAACGAAAAAGGGAGAAAATCTCTTTTTGGCTAAGAAATTCTTTTTTTCGTAAAATATTCCAAAATTCTTTCTTTTCCATTTCGCTTTCTAACATTCCACTGCCGCTTCCGACTCAAACCAAAGAAGAAAGAAAAAAAAACTTCCCCTTATCAACACATAATTAAATTTAACATAAATTCTCTACTGCTTATTCACTTCGAGCAATTCGCGCCATTCTTTCTCAAAGCTTTCTTTGAAAGCTCTTGGCAAAAGCACTTCATAAATTTTGCTTTGTTTCAAACAGCGGAAAGCGATTTAATGATTTAAGTTGATTCTTTTGTTCTTTCTTAGATTCATTATTCCTTCTCGCTCCCTTTCTGTTATATTTTAACATGATATTCATCGAGATACTTCAAAATGAAGTTAATGCTTTGATTTTAAGCTTTTCAATTATTTTAAGCAGATCAAAATGATTTTCTCATTAGCAGTGATTTCAAGAACTTTTTTTCGTTTTATATTTCAAAATGCTTAAGCTCTGAAACTTGCAACATACTTTTTTAATGTTTCTGTTTGAATGAAAACTTTTCACATAGAGTGCAAATGAACATCAAGGAAATGTCTGAAAACTGAAAATCTAGCAACAATTTTCAATAAAAGTCCACATAAGCATCAAATTTTATGTGTTTGTATGCGAAACAATTCACTCTGAATTTTCAATTATTCAATTGCATATGCTTTTTGCATAAATAATTAATGAATGAGTGTATAACGAAACACTCTACTCGACTTATTTGGTTTGTTGAAGGGTTTAGATTGTGGTTGAGTCAAACGATACAATTCTTTCAATGGCAGTGCAAAGCCGTCTCTTTGTTTATTCGATATTCGTTTCCATGCTCAATGATTCTTAAGGAAAATTGAAACAAATGAAACATTCTGAATAGAGAAGTGAAATTCATGGTTTTCGTAGACTGGAGTGGTGTTTTATGCGGTTGAGCTGCAAATTGAGGATATGAAAAGCCAAAACTACCACTCAGCCAGCCTCTCATATCTGAAAATGGCAAAATTTAATTTTCCATGAAAAAAGCCACACTCGGATATGTTGGTGAGAATTAAACTTTAACCCTAGATAAATATATAAGGAAAGGAGAGAGAGAAAGAATGAAAGGGATTAGCATGACAAGTGGAAAACATTAAATGATGAGAATTATCAGTAACCGAAACGTAAATATCTGATGATGATGTCATCAGGAGAAATAGAAACATTAAAACCTGCTTGACCTTCATTTTAACCTTTTTTTAACACCCTCGAGTATTATGCAAATTGCCTGTTTTTCGCTCTTTCCCTTTTTGCAAACAAAAACTGAAACTTTTCATTTATGTATCTTCATAGATATTCATTTTTTCCGGATCTCCCTCTAAGTACTTCTATATAAAACGTCTAAATGGATACCGGAAGGCATAAAATAATCTTCAAATATCCTATTTACTTTCTCCTGCTGTTACCATCACGACGTGTAGACGAGTAGATATGACATTTGTAAAATTCTGATCGTGATAGGTGTTGAAAATAAAAAATAAAAAAGAGAACTCAATCACAAGCTTCATTCACGAATCAATAGAATTTACCACAACAAAACAATGTTGCCACTTAATTAAATTAATAATATGCTATCAATTTATTATAATTATCTTTTATGTTAAGTAGTGGGCTGTGACATTGTTTCTCTTTCATTCTATCAGAGATTAAGTGGCGAGGATAATTGATTAGATAAACCATCAACAACAAGAGTACTTAATATCAAACCACAACACAATTTAACACTTACACGAGCCTTGTCATCATTAAAAATTGCAGCAATTAAAATGTATTTTGCATACAACCAACAGCCGTCTCTGGAGAGAGGGAAAATATTTTTTGCTTGGATGATTTCATAATAAATTATTGCAATTATTCTTCACCCATACTGTTTTCACATTGAAAATGCAATTTTAATACGACATGCTGGCCGTTCGCTGTTTACATTTTAAATAAACAATAAAGAATGATAATTAAACAGTTTATGAAAGATTTTCTTCATATTTTGCTTCATGCTCACAAATGTTAAGAGCTTAAATTAATTAACAAATATAATCGTTGAAGTTTCATTGTGAAATGAAATTTTATGAACATCGTCGAAGTGATTTCAATTAAATTTTAACGATGTCAAAGCACTGAAAATTGAAAAGGCTTTGTTGAAGATTTTAATATTTAATTGGCAATTGGAAATTTCGTCTCATTGTCAATAAGTTTTGAGCATAAAAATAACTTTTTCTGTATGCTTTCAATGGAAATTGGAAATTTTAATGAAGTTCTTTCCATCTCTCTCTCTCTCATTTTTGGTTTCGAAGCAAATGTAAAAGATGACAAACATGGATGGAGAAAATTTCTCGGGATGTTATTCTAGGACACTTCGGAAATGTTAAGAGCAACTCAAACATTATTTTCCGATGATGTGGAGCTCTAAAAACAATATGAAGCAAATTAGTACATAAATCTCTTGTTATTAATGTGCCAATTCAATTATTTACAACTGAATGAGTTTCCGTCACCTTTTTCATTATGTTTACATTCCTTGATCTCATGAGAATTTGTCAAACATGAAAGCAAACATTACCATCGAGGAAATTCCCTGAAGACGAGTTCTAAAAGCCAATTTCCATAAACATTTCTCATAAATATTCTCGATGTTAAAAAGCTTTCCGTTTCATCTAACATCGTAAATTGCCGCACTTCATTCATTATCACTGTCAACGTTACTAATTAAAATTTTACACTTGTCGCTTGGTTCTCTCAAGATTCATTCACTCAGCTCAGTGAATATTCGTTCAGTATGTTCATTAACCTGTTGTCACAACCCAATTCACATTGTTGTGTTGACTGACACACAACATGTTTTCACATTTTAACTTCTCTTCATTTGCTAACTACAAAAGGTCGCATTACGAATTCGTAAAGTTAGTCGCGTACATGATTCACTTTCAGAAATATAAACTGTGGCGCATTGCCACAATTATGGAATTTATGAGATTTTGTTCTTTACTTAAAGTACCAACAATTTGTTTTTATCACTGACTAACAACCCACTCGGAAGTAGAAAAAGAAAATTTCTGGTGCTTAAAAACTTTTCCCTTCGTGACTTTCTTATCCATGTTCACGTCTTACTTCCTGAATCGGCGGTTTTGCTGCGAAAGTTGAAATTAAAACAAAAATGCGACGGAAAAAAAGTTAATAATGTGCTTCGTTCCCTCGAGCAAAATTTACATTCAAAATCATGCTCTAAAATTTTCGGCATGCTTTTAAGATCGTATAACGTAATTAAAAAAATAAATTATTTTATGTCTCGCTGATATTTTATTTTCTGCAATAATTCCAAGAATTTTTCCTTGACTTTCCTTCCTGTGTGGATGGATAAGATTTCCTTTTTTTCTTCATTTCAATTTATCGTCGTTAAGTAGCTTAAAGGGAATAACTTTTTTACTAACATTTATTGCTTGTTTTTTCTTCCTGGAATTGTAGAAGGCGTTACTGGCTGGCCACCACCCCACTTCAAAGTATCAAGACCTAAAGGAAAATCTCTAACCACTGAACAACCATTTGTCACTTTTGAAACGACGCAACTTTATCTACCGCAAGATTTCACGACAATTGACTTGGAATTCGTTGATAGTAAACTCAAGCCTAATGTTGCTGAACAAGTTGATCGAAACACACAAAAAGACTTACCGAAAGTGAAAGAGAATCCATTCTGGTTTGAGGATATTATTAAAGACACTGAACAGCATTACAACCACCCGGAAAACGTCCAACATCATCATCATCGCTATAATAATCGCGCTAAAAGAAATCATCATAAAAAATCAAAAGCATCGCGTTTTGCTGACGATGACGATAAGATGATGTCGAAGCGTAGCGTCGAATACCAAGAAGAAGATTATCCACAAGATGAAGTGTTCAGTGCTTCTGAAGTTATTGGAAATATTTTTAATGAAAATGACACAATCACGAAACTTGATGGGAGAAGAGATAACGGTAAGGAAAGAGTTGTTGGCATCGCTACAGAAATAAATTTACATAATTATCTTAAACAGATCTCGATCTATATGAGCTTGAAGATATTCTCGCTGAATTGAAAGAGCTGGAAGCGAGAAATCATTTCCAGGAAGGTGACATCATTTCCAAAAGCAGCAATAAACGAGTGAAAAGGAAATCCGGTAAATGGCATTGAATCATTGATTTGTTATTGATTCAAAATATAAACATAACATAATCGATTAAAATGACACTTGAATTAGCAGGAAAAACGACATCGGCACTTAACAGACCTAAAAGTTCATCGGATTCGAAGAAGTCATCATCTAATCGTAAATCTCATGGCGCCATTGGTGAAGAAGAACAATTTACAATGGATTCGGAAGAAGATGAAATGCCATCGAAAGAGAAGGAAAGAGATAGCGAAGAGATTGATGAGCCACCCGAGCATACTGTTTTCAGAGAGGTCACAGAAGTTCGCTTCCCAGCTGAAGTCGGTCCACTCGGAACACATCGATTATGTAAAATTAAATGCATCGATGGAATGTGGCAAGGACCTTTGTGTGCTGCTCCAGATCAAGAAGAAGCTGGTCAATTGAAGTTTGAGCCATTGTACAAACGTTGTGTGGTCGATCAAATTCCACCGCATCTTCTTCTAAGCTATAAAAATGTTTCAGTGGTAAGTTTAAGAGTTGACAATGTTTGAGTTAAGATTTTTAAGCTTTTTATTACAGACAATGCATTGGGATTTACCACATGGACACACTTTACAAGCCCGTTGCGAAGATCTCGGATTATATAAACTTGTTGGTGAAGCTAAAGTTTTATGTTCAAATGGATTGTGGGCTCCAAAACTCCCACAATGTGTTCCTACAACTCTCTTAACAAACTACTCGGATGATAGTCCGCCGTCAATCAGAATTAAAGTTGGAATTGGTTCAGCTGCTTATGAACCTTCAGGTGTTCTTGCTGTTCTTCCATCATCAACGCTTCATCTTGATTGCATGTATCCACGTCGAAAAGGAAGTCCCGAATGGACTTGGACTGGATGGTTCCGACAATATTTGACAGGTAAGAAAAATTTTCAACCAATTTTCTTCTTTATCTTCCATCTTTTTCTTATCTTTGTTGGAAGTGAGATATTTATTTAGTCATCAACTGGTTGTGTTCTCGATTCCAAATTGTATCCATTCACAGAACTAGTTTTCAACCCCATTACCAATTCTTTACCCACAGGTTGGAGTGCTGTTCCTGAAGAAAAAGCGTCACGTTATCGATTATCGATTAAAGATGTTCAACCACAAGATTCTGGAACTTACACCTGTGCATCACCACGTGGATTAACCAATAGCATTATAATTATTGTTGCTGGTAATAAACATTTTCATCATACATATGTACATCATACATAAAATTAAAGTAATTTATCATCTTCATTCATCCTTATCTGACAGTTTCACAATGCCCGACATTGACGGAGCCGAACATTCCTTTATCGTTAAGACTTGAAGGCATAAAGTTGGGTCAACGAGCAATCTATCGTTGTCCTATGGGATACATCCTACAAGGAACGGCCAACGCAACTTGCTTAGCTTCAGGTGAACTTTATTTTTAATTTATTCGAGAAGAATGATTTAATGTTGGAATAAAATTATCTAACAGGAAATTGGTCATCACCAGCACCAACTTGTATTCCTATTCAATGTCCACCATTATTCTTGGAAGATCCACATTTAAGTTTGATTGAATTGAATACAAGTGCTTGGGGTCGTGCAGTGTTTTCATGCTCTTGGGGATATCGTTTAAGTGGACCAGCAAATCTTGAATGTTTGGCAAGTGGACATTGGTCGGGACCGATTCCAAGATGCAGAGGCAAGTTACAATTTCAAAGATTTTTTTTTATTTCAAATCCCAATAAAGAAGCAAAATTGGGTCATTTAAAGAAGGGAATATTGGAAATATGTTTTCGATAACAAGAAAACTAAATTCTCATAACTTTCTCATCATCTCTAGCCATCCAATGTCCCCAACCTTTGATACCATTGAATGGCAAAATTGATGGTACAAGTGGAGCATTTGGTCAAAGACGTTATGCTGTTGGAGCATTACTCACATTCAGTTGCAATGAAGGACATTTATTGGTCGGTGAAGGTTCGATTGTTTGCACCGAAACAGGCTTTTGGTCGCATCCACCACCATTCTGTAAGTTTTGTCGTCATTTCAGTACACCAAATTTACATCTTTTTCTTCAAAACCAAATTGACAATAAATTTCATTTATTTTATCAAAATAAAAAAGGCCGAAGTCAATGTTCGTACCCTGGCGATCCACCAAATGGTTTGATAGCACCATTGAAATTCTTTTATGATCCTGGTGACTTCTTAACTGTACAATGTCGTCCTGGCTTTGTCGAGCAAACAATAAATGGACAACCACCTGAACGACCTAAATGTTTACCAGATGGCAACTGGTCAGCTCAAGTGTCACAATGTAAAAGCTATGAAGAAGTTTAAAAGCTTTTCTCGCTTTCGATTAAACTGTTTAAGTTGTGAAGAAACTTAAGAAGAAAAAAATGTTTTGAAGAATAGAAAAGTAGTGGAAAATTTTCTGTGTAAATATTGATTACCATTGTACTCACCCTATTACCACTATGCTTCTTCCTTCCCCCATCCTCAATGCCCCATTCAATCTCTAAAATCATTTTTAATGGAAAGTTAACTTTCAACAAATTTCAACCGAAGAAAGTGAACTTTATTGATAAATGAAAACTTTTACGAAACTGAAAGCTGAAGATTAAACCGCATCTTAAAAAAGGGAAAAGTTTCATCTTCTTCTTCTTCTTGAAATATTTTTTCGATACTTGTAAAATTCATCTTCACTGAAACATGATACAACTTTCAACATATCAGAATAATCCTTAGGTTCATCCCTTAGAGGTTTAATCAAAAGTTTTGTCTGTCGAGTAAATAATATTGTTGAAAGTGAAAACAAGAAGAAACTTTATTTAATTATAAGATATTTGATTCATCTAAGACTTCATAACCGGATAATCCCCTTTGAAGGAAACAATTATCTCTCTTTTCCCTTTCAACAGACTCAACTTATTCTATCTACTTTCATGCAATTAAAACCGTTGATTGTTCTTTGAAGAAAAATTGAAAAAAAAAAGAGTTTCTTGTGAAATTGTTACATTTATTCCTGAAGAAATGAAAATAAAGTGAAACTTAATGAGAGAAAATTTATTTTTGACTTAAATCTTTTAAGTTTTATTTCAGTGCAATTATTCACATTGAATTTAGAACAATTCATGGGAAGGAAAATGAAGATTAATAAACGCGATCTTGATAACTGTTGTCTTGTGGTCGTTGAGCGATTGCGTTAGCTGTTTGTTGTTGATAACGATGCATCATCTGAGTGGAACGGCGTGGAGGAGCAAGGAATTCGAAGTTACTTTGCGTTAATTGTGATAACATCTTTCCAAGATCTGAAGGCATTGGATCAGTCCAAAAGAAGTCGTGCATGAGTGCATCATCAGCATTTATTCTTTTCTCCGGATTAAGGATTAGCAATTGATCGAGAAGATCAACTGCATGTGGATCTTTGACATATGGTCGCAATCTCTCTTTAACCTTTCTTTTGTGATTGAGCGGCAATTCCATCTTAGGATAAAGATCGAGTTTATCTAAACCTGGCCATACTTCAGGCGTAAATGACCCACAAAGTTGAGCACAAAGTGTAAGTTGTTGTTGTTCTGTCGCACCTTGCATAATTGGCGATCTTGTCCACATTTCAGCCATTATACATCCCGCTCCCCACATATCAACTGGTGGTCCATAATTTCTATCACCAAGAAGTAATTCTGGTGGACGATACCATAAAGTGACGACTCTGTTTGTATATCGATTTGGTTGGCCACTCTTTGAAATGCTTATTGCTCGAGCTAAACCAAAATCTGCTAGTTTCAATACACCAGTCTTTGTTATCAATACATTTGCTGCTTTCATATCTCGATGTAGAATCTTTTGAGAATAACAACAACAACAACTGTGAGTTTTTTGAAAACTTTCAAAGTTTAAGTCAATTTTTTACCTTATTCGAATGAATGTAATAAAGACCATTCAACAATTGTTTCATAACTTTTTTAATCTCTCCTAAGCTGAATTTTACATTGACATTTGATAACAATCCGGCCTAATGTTGTTAGTTAGGAAGAAATGATTGAATATGTTAAAAATTAGAAAACTCGTATTAAGCTAAGCTTACCAAATCGTGTTCACAAAAGTCAAAAACTAAATAAAATATTGATTTGTAATTATTGTTTTTGTTAGCTTTCGTTCGACATATTTCTATCAGATTAACAACGTTTTCATGTTTCAAAAGTTGAAGAATACGAATTTCACGTAATGCTGTAATGGGAAACTAGAAATAAACAAAATGAGAATGAACGAAATATATTAATTAATTATAAAAATTTACTCCTTCTTTCTCATTTTCCATGAGGACTCTTTTCATAGCAACGAACTTAGTATCGTTTTTAGCTCTTGCTTTGAATACCTCCCTAAACGGGAAGAAAAAGCATTCCATGTTTAGTTATTTTTATATCATAAAATCAGAAATATAAAACTTACCCGAACGTTCCTTGACCAATCTTAGCTACTTTTTCATATTTAACAGACTCATCACAATAGGGAAAGTTATCTGATAATAATGACCGAGTTATAAATAACAATTTCTTTAGAATGAAATATAAACTTACAATATGAAATATATTTCATACGACTTTCCAAACTAAACGCGGAACTGGTGCTATTTGCTTGTGGAGTTGATGACTGAGAACCTTCTGGTCTAGTCTGAGACATTTTTAATCACTTTTAAGTATTTTAATTACGATAAAATATGGAAATAAACGATTATTTTATTTCGATGAGATTTCAGGAAATGAAGTAGTTTGACAGTCCGACAATTATGAACAAAACAATTTGATTAATGCCCAAATTTCAAATTTTAAAAGCCGCTGCGAAAATTTGATTTAATTTTTTTCTTTCTCTTTATTTTTTTACCAATTAACACTTTACAAAATTTTATGTTTATTTTTCATATTGATAGGTAATATTTTGTAGAAAATCATCTGTTTGTTTTCATGCTTAACTTGTAAATAATTTTATAATAGCAACAAGAATAAATTTGAAAAGTTTTTCATAGTTTTACTTCATTTAATTGAAGATTTAAGGCATTTTTGTAGAAGCACACGAAGCTGTTGCTCGAATAATTTAATAACTTAATAGAAATTTTTAGTATTCGCAGTCTTTGAGCGTTTTTCAATATATTCACTGTGCCACAGAAAAGAAATTTATATAAATTGCTAATGTTAGACTAATCAAAAACTTACTTAATGAGTGATATCAAATATTCATTTTGTTGCTTCTGGATATTTAAATCATTTGAAAGATTTGTTATCACCTCATCTTTTGCCTTAAGTTGTAACTTAAGATTAGCAATCATTTCTTCTTGAGCTTCGAAAATAGCTTTACACTCTTCCATTGATTCACTGTACATCGGAGGATCATCTAAGCAGAAGAACTCCCGAACAACAGCACAGTTTCTTAATTTAGAATTACCCAAAATATCATTGATGAATGTTTGTAATCCCGTGATACGCGTGTCTAAAAATCCGGAACTGAAATTGTTACCAAACCACTTCTTCTTTGGCAGAACGAGATTCACATCTGGGAACATCGACTTCAACTTTGTATGCAACCTCGTAAAGTCAGTGAAGCGTCGAAGAACAAGCCAAAAGTTATTCTTCTCATAGTTTTCTATTCGTAATTTGAAAATCTGAGAGTAAAATTTAAAGTTGATAATAATAATTGAAGAGATTTTAAAATTATTTCATCTTACAGTAAACCGAGATCTTTCTTCCATCACTTCATAACCCACGATGGGAATTTTAATTTTATCTCCATCAGAGATTACACTGAAGTTACAACTGATATCCATGACGTTTTCTTGAGATGGAGACACGGGACTTGGTGGGGTCAAAAGATTGCTATAAGGTGTTGACGTCGTGAAGTTAGAATATAATGTTTTTATATTCCTTTCTGATTTCGCAAGACGCTTCAAATCACTCTTTGATGGTATAACATCTCTGAGGTCAGATTCAGATTTAGATCTTTTCAATGAGAAACTTTTTTTTACCGCGATACATGGCCAAGAACTGAACAAAGTGTCGTCTTTGTTTATATTTTGTCTTTGCAAAGATTTCCTTTTTATTGCTCTTACAGAAGTCATTCTCGCTTATTTTATCTTTTATAACATATTCTTGAATTATTCTTAAACTTTAAAGAAAATGAAATGGATTGAAACTAAAATATGAAAGGAAAATTAAACAAAACACGAATTATGATTCTGCAAAGACTTTTGTGATGAATGGAAAAACGCCCAAAACAAATTTTTGGGCAAAACATCTACTAATGAGTTCTACCATGAATTTTTACCCCTTGCTGTTGTATTGCAATTTCATACCCTTGATACAGAAAAATGTCAATCGCATTGTTATCTAAAACTTTTAAATTGATTTCATTAACAGCTCCAGTGACTTCATCAGTAATTCTATCAAGGAATTATGCTTTCAAGTCAGATCTTAAAATTTATTGGAAGAGACCTGTTAAAGTTCCTTCAATATCACCGGAAAAAAGCGGCGATTTGGAAAAAATAACATGGCCAAAAGAAAACGAATTGATGGAGAGCTATGAAAAATCTGAAGAGTTGAAAACTGCTGACGATTTAGTAAAAGCACAGTTTACCTTTGCGTTCAACAAAAGAGGAGCAATGGTCAGAGTGGTCACAAATGAAACAAATCAATTAGTCAAAAGACATTGTCTTGATACCGCATCTCACGAGCGCTTAAGTAATTTTAACATGCAACTTCTTTATATTCTTTAATAACTTTCTTTCTTATATTTTATAGTTGCAGGAATGACAACAAAAATACGATCATTGCAGGATATTGTTGAACAATTTCCGAGAAATAAAGTTGTTAAGAAACAACTAAAGGAGCTCATTGAGAAACGAAAAAAGTATTTGAGACTTTTGCGTAAATGGGATTATAGAAAATTTGAATGGATTCTGGATCAACTTAATTTAAAGTATAAACCTTATCCTGAAAAGTTCCATCCCATAACAAGAAAAGATGGTTTAAGAAAACTTACGAAGCTTCACTGTGAAAATCTTCAACAAGAGAAACTCGATGCATACAGAAAGGAACTTGAAACGAAACAATTAAGTTTCCTTGAAGATAAATTAAAAAATCTAGAATTTATTAGAAAGGAACAAATTGAATGTAGAGTTCCGGTGTCTATCACTACAGATGAAATTGATGCTGTTAGAAAGCAATATAAAGAACTTAAATCGAGACGCGACGAGGAGGCAGAAATCATTAAAGCTAAAAACGTTGAAGATGATTACGAGTTAAAACTGTAAAACATGAACATAAATTTAATAAACACACATGTAGTTAAAAATAAAATCTTTTTTTTCTTTTATTAGAAATGAAAATAATAAAATTAACATCGTAAACATTGCTTATTAATATTAAATATCTAAACACTAGTATTCTGTCGATATGGCTGTGTGTAGGCTTTTGGAATGAAACCATATTTACCACATTTCTTTTGTGCTTTTGGAGCGAATGCCCAAATCCAACCATCAACTGTTTGAGCATTTAAATCAGCGTAAATTAATTCTCCTCTTCGAACACTTAAATCGTCAGGAGCTTGAGCTTTATAATCATAAAGCATCACAAGTTCAGTTCCGTGATATCTCGAATCATCGTTTGGAAGCATTTGTTGTGCAGGTTCAGGTGGAATTTGAATCGCTTGACATTGTTGATTATTGTTATTATTGAGATTATTTGCTGGCATGAAACTACCGCCACTATTATTGTTCAGTGTGTTGATTTGAGTATTGTTGTTGAGTGATAAAAGATGTCCAATATTCGATGAATTATTGTTCACATTCTTCATAGCTGTAGCTGTTGTTGATTGACTTGTCATGCTATTAATTGGATTATGTGGCGTATCTTGGTTTTGTAAGATATTTTCAGCAGGATAAACAAAGGCACTTGGCACAAATCCTTCCTGACCATCTGTTCGTACAATCCAATACCAATCTGGATCTTCTTTGTTTAGAACTTTTAAGAAAATAAATAAAATTTAATTGAAACTTAATGAAATCATTTTTAATCATTCCTTACCTGTTACAAATTCACCCCGTTCAACGGAAACATCGTTTTCATCGCGTGCAATGAATGTGTATAGTACGATATATCTACCACTGGGATCCTTAGAGAATGGCAAGTAATCTGGCTCGGAATTCAAACTCGCTTGAGAATGTTTTAAATTATTCTGTAATCCCACCATATCATTTACTTGATGAGATTCCACCATGTCATTATAATCACTTAATTGATTATCAACACCAGGAATGCTACTATTTCTGGGCAATTTCTTCTTAATGGCTAAATCAGCCAAATGAGTATTATAAGGTGCACAATAAGAATGTGGAATGAATCCTTCTTGTCGCGTGTCTTGTCCAATTATATATACCCAATCGTTTTCACGATATAAAATATTCACAATCTGTCCTCTTTTCACTTCAAGCTCATCGTCAACACAAGGCGTGAAGTCATGTAAAACAACCATTTTAGAATCTGGACTTAAGCCATGTTCCTTCTCAATACCAACACGAACTGCAATTAAAATTATCAAACATTTTTTTAAACCTACAAATTAAATATAAAGCCTTCACCTAATGTTTCGATAGATGCCGATCCGGTAATTCTTCCCATTCCTATTGAGTTGTTATTGGAGTTATTCAGATTTTTCTCATTATCATTTGTTGCTAAAAAGAAGAAAAAAAATTGAGAGCATGGAAAACTGTGCAATTATCGTGCGATGATGGAATGTGCAACAGGTAGAGGATTTTTTTTATTTTATGATTCTCATGAAGAAAAAGAAGTTTGATGACCCCAATATGAAAATAAGTTTAAATTAAAAATATCACTCAACTAACATTTTTTCTTCTTTCCCCGTCTTGTTATGGGACACAAAAACATTTTGAGATTTCAATAAGCTATTCAGTATCAATAAAAGTTCAGGTGTTGAGTTAGAAATATTAAAAAAACAAATCACGATTATCTTGAGACTTTATGATGAATTTAAAAACTTCGAAAATTGGCCTGCAGATGTCGCATACTTCTGTTTAAGTTGATTCCATCTAAAAATGAAATTTCCAATTACGATTTACGTTTTAGAATGCAAGTGTTAAAGATGGAGTGAAGATAAATGGAATCTGAATTGTTATTTTTGTATATTGGAAAAAGTTTTAACATAAATCTATTAGATTAAATTAAATTTACAATACTTTTATATGCACATAAGAATTTTGGAATGAATTTAATGGCTTGTGTATGAAAACCCTACAAACTGTACAGTTTTGAACAATAATTTTTCTTCTGAATTTATTGATGTTTGGCAAGGATTTTTAAAGTGGATAAAAAATAGAAAACACACTAAAATTCAGTTCAATTTCGAATAAATTATATTCGCAACAAGAGATATTATTGGAACAAGTTGGAATATCCAAGAATTTAAACAAATTTAGGTGAGAAAATTTATAAATTTTCTTTTCACTTAAACAGAAATGATATCTTACTCTATGGAACGTTTACATCCCGTGAAATCTTTAAAGATCTGAGCTTCCAGAATATTTTTTCAATCTCTTTCCGAACATTGTCAAATAGATTATGTGTATATTACTTTAAAGTATTGATGCAGATATATTCGATGAAAGTAAAAGTTTATCATCAATCTTCAAAAAATTGTATGCAAATAAGTTTATATGCCGCTCACACCCTTTTTCCCTTCTTATCATGCAATGTCATGTCTTAAAATTAATTACCAACTTTATAGTCGCTTTATTGAAAAGATTCATGAACATATCATTGCACAATTCTCGTTAACAAGAGAAGTTTTCAAATATAAGAAAAATGCACACAATGACCTGAAAGTATGTTATAGTTCATTGTACATTGTTTCACGTTTCTTAAAAGCGAAAAAGATTCAATTTGCATGTATTTGCTTAAATAAAATAGTTAGAGATGCGGAAATAAATTATTTACAAGATATAAAACTAGCGGAAGCCAGGAAATCTGAGCGTCAAAAATGAAAACAAGAAACGCAATAAGAGCAAAGCTAGGAACTTTAATTCTTACTTTCCGTGCAAATATCTCATATAAAAGTTTGACCTTCAAATCTTATTGCTTGTTTCCTCTATTCATTTTCGCATTTTGAAAGGGAATTCTCGTGACAAAAGTTAGTTCTGTTCTTAAAATCTATGTTTGAGAAATCTTAGAAAACAATAAAAACAGAATTAAGTGATGCAATTGGTCACATGAAACCCAATTTCGCGGTCGTTGATTAAACAATAACGAACAATTAATATTCACTCAAAATCAATTTAAACGTTCTATAAATGTTTTGATTGCTGTTCTGGAGACGGGGAAATATTTTTGGGGTTGATTTCATATCGATCTTTTATCTTTTTCTCTGTCGGTATCATTGATACTCGCCCGAAAAGCACGATTATGAATTACAAGCTTAAAAATTTTTAAAGAAGACACGAAGTATTTACAAACTACAACAATTTGCTGCGCAAACTCGTAATTATTGATTTGTTCTTGTTTTGCTAAAACCGAAACAAAAAGACGAAAAAACCCTAAAATTGAAATTCATTCTTGCATTTGCATTTGCGAAACACTTGCATAAACGTTCTCAACAATTTGTTTGATAATTAAAGGTATAAATAGTGCAAAGATAATTAAATTCATAAAAGAAAAAAATAAATAAATTCAGTAACTAAGTAGGAGAAATGATAAGAGTTGGAACTTTACATCTTCAGCAAAAGAGAAAATAGATTTAATCTAGTTTGATAAACCATAATTAATTCCTTGTAAACAATATAATTGTATCGTCATTAAAATCATTTATCAACAATGAAATTCTAAACGTAAGCAGTTCAACCTACAAGTTGTCGTTTAATTTGTAAATTCCTGCTTACGTAATTGTACAAAATGTACTCGCTCAATTCAATGACAAAAGTGTTATTGCACTTTTGTTCCACATTTTCCACAAACGTTTGATTTTAACGCGTAATTAATGTTTTTGTTACTAGAAGAGTCATGAGACTTTCAAGATTTGATATAGAACAGACTGGTTGCTACATGCATTTAGTGTTCAGTAATATAATATTCATGACGATTAAATTAACAATTATTGTTGCTTCATTTGCTATGTGACTCAGCAATGTAATTCTTCGCAAAGCCAACACAAATTTCTCTTTGGATTTTTTTTTATTATTTTGTTTACTTGACGAAAAAATAAAATGAAAAATGTTGTTTTAAAGTTGTAGATGGAGTCAAAGACCTCTGCGCAAATGTTATGTGAATTGTGAATGGTAGAAACAGCAAAAAATTAACTCGAAATGGAACAAAGTTGGTCAAGCACGGAAATTTTATTTTGGTTGAGTTTCAATGCCGAAATTTTAATGTTTTGATGGCAAAAACATTTAATTTGTGAACTTTTTAATGAACTCTTCTATGGAAAGTTTATTCATTTTCAAACAGCGAAGGTCTCACGAAGCTTTTCTCGATATTTTAAATTTGCTTTCTCTCTAAGCAACAGCTTTGTTTACAAATATTCATGGAAAATGTCCTCGAAATCGTTTATTGAATTTTCTTTAAAACAAACTTTGTTGAGATAGAATTACATTTTCCGTTTGTCAAGTAAAAGTTTTCTAAAAGGTCGTTTTGAAATTAGCATTTACTAATATCACTTTGGAAGCGGAATTTGCTGTCATAAGTTATTACAGCAGTTAAAAATAAAATGTTTATTTGCAGTTCACTTTATTGTTTACATACAGACAAACCGTCAACTTGGCTTTGCTTGTGAATAATGTTTACGTTTAAGAAATTGCAGATGTTTGACATAATAATGTGATGACGAATCGGTGTGAAATGTTTTTTATCTCGAAATTAATTACTCTCATTATGATTAATTCATTATCAATTCCTTTAGTTTATGTAAATTTATATTGCTTCAAAGTGTCGGTGAATTTCGCTAATTAAATTAACCTTGCAATATTTATTGAATTGTTCTAAAAAAAACTTTTATAAGTCAGTAAATAAAATTGTTCTTCTACACATAGGCACGGCTTTGGCTTCGTTATTTCAAAGCTCAGTCTTAAATTGACCATTTCTACTAAAACGTGCTTCAACGAAGAGTCATAGAACAAGTTTTGCGAAACGCAATAAACCCAAATGAGAGAAAAAAAAAAGTAAATAAAAATTCTGAAGGTCATAATTATAAAAGCCGGCTAAGAGATACTGAAATGAACGAGCTGATAATGTTTAGACAGACTGTAATCTTTTCTAGGCACGTTCCACTTATAACAGATAACACGAGAGTGAGAAAGAAAATCAAAGAAGCTAACAAATCACACAAATGATTAAATATTCATCTAATCATTTTTTTTTCTTATTTTGTTTTTTTTACAGACGGTGAAAGTAGAAGATAAGGAAAATTCTTGAAAGCATTGATTGGAGTACAACACAACGTGTTTACATTGTCGAATAAGAAATTACATCAGATTTTACATTCTTAAATGTGTTCGTAAAAACCTTTCTATAGAAGAAAAAATACTCACAGTCACGTAGACATACCGGAACGATATCAAAAAAAAAAAAATAGGAAGAAGAAAAGAAAACAGAAACTCGAAATATAAATTCTTCTCTCTCCTTTTTCTCTCTTCGTTGAAATTACGAGGAAAAACAGGGAAAAGTTTATTTTCTTCGTTTCTTTTTTGCGAAGTTTAAGCCGGTGATTGTAAGAGAGAAAATTTTGTACTTGAGAAAGAAAAAGAAGCAGAAACTTGCCTCGAAGGAAAAGAAAAGTAAAGCAGAAGGAAATTTCCCACATATCGAGAGTGAGAGAAAAAAAAAAAGTTGATTATAGCGAAGCGTCTTGGTATTTCAAAACTGCGTAGTAAGCCACCAATAAAAAAAGAGCAAAATTGACAGAAAAAAAAGTTTCACCGTGAGAATTTCCATCTCAGTGTTCGATAACGAAAGCTTAAGTAGTACAAGTGATAAGATCTATTAAAAGAAGAGAAGTGAGCGAAGAAGAGCTTGCCAATACACAATAAGAGAAAATTTTCAATTTGATAATAAGAAATAGAATTGAATTTCTCAGTAGACGAAGTGCTGCAAGCCAAGGAAAAAGTATCAACAGAGAAGCACTGAAGACAGAGAGAAAAAGAAGAAAAGTCCGCGCCTTTTAAGAATATAAAAATACAAAAACTTAGTGCGCAATAGATTCAAAGCTTGACGAATCTTAACTAAACAGTTTGTAAGAGAAATTAGCCGGTTCACATGTTAAATTATCGACTAGTGTCAACACATTTCTTGAAACAACCATAAGAAACTTTTTTGTGGGTATTCCGAGTTCTTGAAAAGTTCTTCGAATAAAATTTCATCATCAAATTGTCGAGTTAGTAGAGAAGAATAGAAAATTAAAATAAGTGAAAATGTGCAGAGATCGCGATATGCTTTACGTAGTGAAATAAAAAAATCTCTTTTTAATTAATCATCGAATATAAACAAATAAGTAAATATATATATAATATCAACAAAGGAATAGCAAGCTTGAGGAGATAAGGCTATTGCTGTTTTCATATCATCAATCACACTACTTAGATAAGCGATTCATCATCCCGAAGCGCACTTCCCTATTTCTTGAACTTATCTACAATTTGTCTGATGACCACAACATCTCGATTACTTTAAAATCATTCGAATTCTTTCATCAATTTGAGAGTAAAGAAAGAAAAAAATTCATCGAAACTTTGGAACAAAGAAAACATAATTCCAAAGTTGTAAACAAGTGAAATTTTTGTTTACCGACAAAAGAGCAGCCAAAAAATATAAAAGTTTACTGATAACAAGTATCAGCAAAAAAAGAAGCAGCAGTTTGCAAAAAAGAAAAAACAAGAAAATAAAAACTTCGACAGTAACAACGCTTCGTTCGTTGATTATTTATCGTTACAACGGAGGATCAGCAGCAAAAATTTCGTTCAAAATTGAATCACTGGCGAAATCTTGTTGGGAGTCAATTATTGCGTGTGTGGTGAGTAGTTTATTTCAGTTTTTCTACTGTAACTTTTAAACCTATTTGTTTTTGCTAAAAGTTTGCCGGAGATTTTTTTCTTTTTATAAGTGAAAATGTAAACATTGCAATGCATTCATGAATGTTTGTGTTTTTGACACTTTAAGGGGAAATAAAAGCAATCATTACGCTCCCCTCGGGCTTTCAATCATATCTCAGTACCCCCCTCTTCTGCTCAAGCAAATTTTAATTAAGCAAGAAATTATAATAACTTTTTGTTTATTTAATTTTAAAAATGAAAAATAATATCTTAAACAAATTGCCTCGAGTCTTGTTGATGTTATTTTCTTAAAATAGATGAATCGTGTTTAAGCTAAATATTTTGCCGTCTTTGGGAAATTATTGAGAAGGAATGAATTGGAAATGATGTTTACATTCAAAAATCTTCAGTGATCAAAAACTTGACATTTAATCTTCTCTCCGATTCTATCAAACTCAACTTTCTATGAACACTTTGAAATTTATTTAACTTTGAAAATTATCCTTGAACAAAAATCATTCAACTTGATACTTATAAAATATCTTTGATAAAACATTTTGTTTTAAAAATTAAGTTGGATCTAAAAATAAATCGCAATGTTTACATTTTCTGAGATTTCTCGCTTGCATAAACTTGTAAATTACCTTTAAGTATGATAATTGGTTTCCTTTTATTTGCAAATACAATTTTCTTCTTTTTTTTGACGTCATTCAAGCCAAAATTCTAACTCGTGTTGTTATGTCTCTTGTATCATTGCCAAGATTAAAATTAATCTCGTGTTATATTTTAAGTAACATACGAAGAAAATGTCTCTTAATCACTTTGAAAGTTTTCTCTCGAAAATGTTATTCCTTTCTGTGGAACTCAAACATTTTGAAAACAAATTTATTCAAAATTAAGAATGGAATAATTCAGAAATTCGCAAAATAGCGATCAATGAAATTGTCTGTTTTGTTCTAAATAGATATCTGTAAACTCTCGTGAACACGTCACGCTATTTGTGTGGCATTTGAATGAAAAAACAAATGACTGAATTCTGTTCAATTTGTCTTTCACGTAGATAAAAAAGAAAACGTTGCTACTGAAATATTTTTGTTCGTTGTTTGATCAATTTTCAAACATTTTTGCATGCGACTATAATGACAGCTCATAATTCAATGAAGAAGAATTGAACAAAAGTCATGCAAATATGAAAAGCTTTTATGTTTTATTCCATTTCAATTGAAGTCGTACAAATTCTTAATATTATTGTTGTGAAGCCACATGAAATGAACTTTCATTCTATGGTCAAGAAACTTCTTCATTATATCGAATAAAACAAACAAAAACACGTTTATTGAAATTGATAGGAAATTTCCATACCAAATACCCTTCTTGCTTTTAGCAAAAGCTTTTCAATTAACAACCCCACAATCAGACGTGCAAACCAACACGAAGAAACATGACAATGGAAAAGTAATCTGATTTCTTGATAAGAGAGATTTGAAATCTTCAAAGAGAAAATAAGCCTTTGATGTTTCTCGTTTGTATTGCACAGAATTTAGAATAGTATCGATTGCTTTATATATTGAATAAATCTTTATATTGTCACTATGCTCTTACTTGTAAATGAAACGACAAATAAATACTGTTTAGGGATTTATTTTGTTTGTTAGATGTTATTTTCTACCCACAATACAAACAAAATTTTAAGCTTTCAATTTGATTCATTCATTCAGTCGTCTAAGTAACTGATACTGTGGAAAGATACAATGTGCTGTGTGATAAACATTCATTCATTGACTCATTCATTATCATTCTAGAGATGAAAATGATATAAGAAGCTGTAGTGTCAGAGCTTTCTTTCAGTTTAACTTCAGCCTTCAAGAGCATCATTTTCAAATAAATCGTGTCAAGACAATAAATTAATTGTGTTACTAACAAGTTTACGAATACTGAAAGAATTTTGATATCAAGAAAGAATAAGAAATAAGAAAAATTACTCTTATTGTCAAGCTCACTGTTATAAATTTTCAACGGCTGGAGATAAAAAAATTATTAATAAACTTTATCATTTTAATTTTTGGTTTCATTCTTCGGTAAGACGTCAAGAAACTTGCAAGTACATAGCAACAAATAAATTGTTTTATTTTAAAATTCGAGTGCTTTATTTTTGTCATGAAAATCTTAAAGTATTGTAGGAAATTAAGAGTCAAGTTGACGGTAAAGTGCCGATAAATCATTTTATATCTTATAATTGTTGCTGACCAAAACTCAAGACTAAAAATAAATTAAAACATTCTTAAGTGAATTATCGCGTGAGTGGCTTATCGGATTATTTAATTGCTGTTTCGTTTTGTGGTCACAAAATTATCTGTTTTGTTTTTATTATTAGATCATTTTGTAAATATATCAATCAATAATTTTGTGTTAACGTCAGCAACAAGCTTTATTGTCAATTGAATTTCAGATGACATAAAACGATGAGAATTTAATAATAAAAAAAATTTTTGATTAAAAGCTTTAATCATCACTCACCTGCTAACAGAACTAAATTTACTTTTGTTAACACTTAATAAACTTTTTTTCCTTTTTTTCTAGTGCGGCATGCGTCGTCCATCAACTGAGCAAACCGAAGGCGATTTGAATCGTCTCACCACATCAGCGTCAATTCGAAGTAGCGAAAGCTTGAATTCGACACATCAAACAATCATTAAGAAGACAAACGTCAATAATAATGATAATAATAATAACAAAAGCAACAACTCATCCAATTATTTGCCAAATATCATAATTGCAAATGCTGAATATCAACAATGTCGTAAGCGTAAAGATCGACATGATAGCATTTCCTCATTGACGCAAGATCGTAAATTAGTTCGATCAAATAGCGAGGAACATGTGCCGAGTTGTCAAGGCGAGGTGATGCGTCGCGTGTCATCGCATGAAGATTTCAAAAAGCCCTCGCCACTCAAAGAACACAACGACAAAGAAGAAAAATCCGTGAATGACGACGTGAAATGTTTACAATCAGTGAAAGAAGAGAATGCAAATGATCAATCAAATTGTGACGAAACGACGACGACAACGGCATCGACTAAAAATAAGTTGATTGATTTGTCGCCATCGCAGCAGCAAATTCCTTTACGATTACCGTCAAATAATAGTATTGGAGGTGATTTGTTGGATGAACATGAACGTCGTCGCAACACGGAGAGATTCCTCAAAACGAAGTCACCATCAGGACGTAAATCACCAAGAAAGTCATCACGTAAATTATCGCCAAAGCCATATTCAGATCATGATGAGAATGCTTATCGATTATCGCCGTCATATTACTGTGATGATCAAGATCGACGTGGACGTTCCGATACCTCAGAAGATGAAGTTGATCAAATTACGCCAATGACACGAACACTTTATCCATGGGAACATTCCGATGACAAGCCTGTTGTTTGTCAAAGATTTGCTGATAACACATTTGATCACGTTCATCATTCATCACTCACGAAGTTCATTAAGCACGATCATGATCCGATCGAATACACTGCCATTATCGACGACGACGACCACTATTCGACCATTAACAACAATCTTTTATTGTCGTCAGTCGATAAGAAACAATATCGAAATTTCATGAATGCTGAAGACATCAAGACGCGCGACATCATGCAAAAAAGTCATTCACCTGTTGGTATTTATCAAACACCTGATGAACGTGTTCGTCAAATAAATAAACGTTTGACATCATTGAAGAAAAAAGTTTCCATTTATGAAGAAGATTTTGAAGAGAATTATGGTTACCGGCCATCTCATGCTGATAAGGCAAATGATAAGAATATCAAACACTACATTGCAGAAATACATAAACTACGTAAAGAGAAAAGTCAGATAAAAGTGGATCCGATAACCGCAATGGGGTATAAAAATAAATTTGATGATTCAATTCCAGCGGAGAAGAAACTGACGAAAGTTAAAGATACACTTGAAGACATTGAAAAGGTAAATAAAAGATAAGATAAGAATGAGCTTTTCTCTTCATTGTTGATCTTATTTAATTGCTTTTGATCTTTGGTTGTTATGAAATAATTTCTTCTCTTACAATCCCCTTAAAGTGCTTTAAAATTTTGCATTTAACATTTGTCCTCGATACAACACAATTTTTATGTAGAAATGTTTTTTCCTCATTCATTAAAAGTTAATCCACGATGTCAACAGCGACAGCAATTCAATGAATGAAGTTTAATTAAAAGTTTTTCTTTCTCTCTTGTTTATTTTTTGTAGCGACTTGAAGAGAAGCGGAACGAGGAACAACGTTCTGAATTAATTGAAGACATGACCCCTGATCAATTGGTGGATGAAAAGACGTCAGTTCAACGTGCGCTTCTGTATTTTGAGTCATTGTTTGGGAGACCAGGAACACCTGATGAGCGTGATGCAGCGAGGCCATTGTACGATCGTTATCGGCTATTGAAACGTCTTGTTAGTCGAAACAATTCAATATCGGGGGCGATTTCTGATTTACCGACGATAATGGAGAATGAAGCACTTGCTTTGTCAGGAATGGTGTCACCATCATCGACAGATTTCTCGCCACCTTCCGTACACTCAACATTGCAATCCCCATCTGATAGTTCAACGTCAACATCAATTGACACAAATCCGAACATTTCAGTGACAGCTTTCCAGGAAAACTTTCAACTGCACTCGATGACGGTGAAAGAACTTTATGCACATTTCGACATGGTTCGTGAAGAGAAAAAGCAGTTGAGACGAATAATTAAAGAATTTGAACATAACTTTGAGGAAATTAATGGTCGGAAAATGTTGAAATCAGACAGAAATGCTATCGAAGATACTTATTTATTGTACAAACAGAAAAAAGCTAAATTACGACTTCTTGATGCGCTCGTTAAAAAACAAACCGCAAACTAAGCTAAAAGATTTTTTTTTATTTACTTTCGTTGATAAACAATTGAAATCCCTTTTCTTACATTGAAATAACGAAAAGAAAGAAAAAAGAGGAAAACTTCTCAAAGTCGTGTCCCTTCTGTGATAATTTGACGATTAAACAGACCTCTTGAGTAACCATTTTCGAGCCTTTTTCGCTTTTCATTTTTTACTTAAAACACAGAAAGGAGCAAAAAAAAAAGAAAATTTTCAATGTTGAGCATGAAAACAATCCGAAAAGTTAAAGTCACGTTTCTGTGAAAGAAGAAAAAACAACAAAAAATTTTCATGAATTTTCATTTCTGCTTTATTAATAAGTTTAATAATTATTGAAACATCAATTCGGAAAGTAATTTTTGTAACTTTACAATAAAATTTAGTCACAATGAAGGCTTCAAATGAACCAAAAGTTTAAATAAATATTAATTCATTGAGAATCAAGTCGATATTTTTACACTACTTAAAACAAATTAAATCGTGAAATGAGAATAATTAAAATTATTAAACTTTTCTTTTTTAATTCTATATTTAAAGTCACGTAACATCTAAAAATATACGACCAGAAATCACTACTTAAATATTTTATGAACATCGTTACTAACTAACGTAAGAAGTCAAACATTAAAACATTCTAAGCTTGGAAAAGGAAAAGAAAATTGAAAATTATTTTGTTTTCTTTTAAAATGTCATAAGCGATATTAAAGTTAAAAAGTTTTTCTTTTTGTTTTTCATTTCTCACTAACAAAGTTGTGCAGTCATTAATTTGCAAAAATTTTAATTGTTTTGTTTTGCGGGGGCGCATGTGAGAGAAAAAGGTAAAAATATGCTACAATTGTGATTGTATCATGCAATAAGTTCTTCTTTAAGTTTTCTTGTCTGATGAAGGTTTTAAACTATGAGACGATTATTGGAAACTTTTATTCTTTTTATCTTCTTTTCATTAAAAATGACATGAATTTTGTTAACAGTTTCCTTACTACTTACATACTTTCAATATGATATTTTTCTTTTTATTAAATTTAATATTATTACTACTAGATGCTACTATTATTATAATTATTATTTCAGATGTAATCTAAGAGTAAATAAATAATTATGTAGTATTACATCTTACACATATATATTTGCATCTACTTATGCCTCTAGAGATTGATTTATTGTAACAACATCAGTTAAAAGAAAGAAATCAATTTCCTTAAAAAAAAGACTTAGAAAAGTTAATCAAAGAATGCTTAAAGCATCGAAAAAAAAAAAAGATATTCACAACATCATCATTAAATGATTTAAAATAAATGCAGAAATTTGGGATAAAAAGATTGACTTAAATATAAAAGTTTATGTTTTCTAATGCTAGTTTATGATGGTACATAACAATTTTTAATAATATTATCACCATGGAAAAGAAAGATTAAAATGCGCTAAGCGCAATAAATACAAATTTAGAATTAAGGATTTAACAAACATCATAAAATTATTAAGAATCACTTGAAAAATTTAATGTCATGTAGAAATTTCACTTTTTTTGTCTTTCTTTTTTTGACTTTAAGCGATTACAAAATTGATTGTCTTGTAAGAGTGTCATTCAATGCAATTCAAGTTAAGAATAAGTTTCGCTCTCATCATGACGATATTTATCTTAAAACTTACTCGTGATCGAAACGTTTTACTCAAAAGAAAAAAGAAGCGTGAAAATTTCATTAATATTTTTGCATTAAAAGTAAATAAAAAATGTTCATCATTAATTCAAACAGCAAATGATACGATTTTTATGGATGACATTAAATGTAAACTTTATGGTCATTTTTTTGTAATTGAAGTCAAAAATACTTACAAAAAAAAACAAAAATGTGGAAATAAAAATTTAATAGAAAAAAGAAAATTGTCAACTTAGTTTTTGATGTTTTATGGTTGAAAAAGTTTTTCATTTATGAGTATCACAAGGTTGGATGTGCTATTATTAAGAATATATTTGGGAAAGACGAGGTCGGTCTTTACACTTCTAAATATTGATTCAGAACCTTCTAAAATATCTTCATTAATGAACGAGAGGGTTTGCCTTACTTAAATAATCCTATCGGCTTCTCAACTTGCTTAAAAGCTTCCATTCTTCTTCATCATCAAAATTAAATTTATTTCTCTTTTCGTTTCGCCCTTTTTTCTATCTTCCAATTGAAATCGATTGAAAACTGCGAGATAAGGAATTTCTTTCTCCTGCCGTTCTTCTTTCTTAATGTATTTTCAGAATAACACGCTATGTCTTTAGCTACATTCAGCTACATTATTTTCATCAATAAATATTTTCTCTTTTTTCTTCTTGTCTAATAACGACGTTTAAGGAATTGAGGGAAACATGAAAATTTATACGACGCAAAATTCTTTGCCTAATATTTTTTCTTTATTTTTCTTTTACATTTTCCAAAATTATTTATGTAGATGAAAGGAAAAAAAAGAACCATCAGAAAGACTTCTTGGTAGCTCAAGAGAAATAAATATATAAACAAATATCAGAATGTGAAGACGAAAAATCATGTTAAGCATAAAATCCCGTGTTATTCTTCTCATCCATCTATTTTCCACATCAGTAGTCATTTGAAGATTGCTACAGCATACACCAAAGGCTTTTACTTCTGTCATAAAATGAAATAAAAAAGAAATGAAACAAGAGACATATTTTGCTTAAATATAGCAAGACAATTTTCAAGTATTATAAATATTTGCTTACCTTAATACAAAAATTCAATTTCATGTTCACGAACTGCTCTCGTCGGCTGTCAAGTCGATGAGCTTAAAACAAATCTGAAAAAGAATTTCTTTCTCATGACAAGGAAATTGCAAAAGGATTTTCTGCTTATTTCTTTCTTCTGTTTATTTAAATCATAAAGTTGAGAAATTTTAATGTTCTACATAATTAATTTGGTGCTACTACTTAATAATACAAAGTAACAGATTCAAAAGGAAATACAAAATAAAACATAAATTACAAACTAAATAAGAAGTCATCAATCCAATCGATAAGAAATTAATTCAGTGATGTTGATTTATGTTTGACTAAGATAGACATAAAATTAATTCCAAGAGAGGCGGGAAGTCTTCGAAGTCATACAGGCAGCTAGCATTGTTGACCTTGACTCAACATCCCACATAACTCAAACACTTATTTCTTACATGATAATTTATTAAACAAAACATATATCTAAATGGAATAGTAAAAAGGATGAGCATAAAACTTATTTTGAAAAGAGGGAAATCAATTTTCCTTCTAAATTACGGACAAAAAAAAGATACAAAGCGATAAAATATTCATGGAAAGTTTCTAGAAAACTTTACGTTTTCATAAGTGCTTGAAGGAATGGAAAAGGTGAGTGAATGATAGGGGCTTGAACAAAGGCTATGATAATATCTTGAAAAGCTTTCCTTGTATTAAATATCATCCTTTGAAAAATAAACTTTGAAGAATGTTCTGCAAAAGTTGAAAACTTTCTACAGTTCTGTTCTCGAGATAAACTCATTGGTTTGTTTTATTAGGCATGTCACATAGTCAAAGTTTTTGATTGTTTGAGATCATAAATTATGTAGATGGATAAGATAAAAGAAACTTTATTAAGTTAACATTTAAACGAGAAGAAAGAAGACTTTGAGTGACAGAATTAACAAATGATTTGTTGACAACAAGAGAGAAAATCTTTCATTGAGATATGCAGGAACGTGACAAGAGATCTTTCTTATTTTTCTTTTTATTAACTTTGGACTCATCACTCATTTTTGTTTCGTGTTCATGAAGCTTCTGGCTCTGAAAACTACAAAAGTTACCACACGACGCTCCATCAAACGATAAAGACTTCAACGGTAAAGTTTCAATTTTTTTCAAGTTACTTTTTGTCTGCGAGCTTTTCATTGATTGCTCTAAAACTTCTCGTATCAAATCAGGTTGATTGTTTTCAAGGTAAAGAGAGCTTGTGTTGTGTTTATTAAATGTTGTAACATGCGGGAATGAATGGGGACGAATGGAAACTCCTGGATACGTACCTCCAGATCGTTCTTCCAAAAATTCATCTTCATCTGATGAATTGATTCGATCTTCAGCAAGCGATGAATGTCTCGATAATGACTGTGACGAAAATTTCTTTTATTGGAAAAAAGTTATAGAAAGTAAAATCAATTTGAACTGTCACCTGATTTAAACGGCGTCGTGGTGGGGAACGTTTGTTCCACAAGGCTTCAAGTTGATCGAAGTGTTGTGATTGTGCCAAAGCCGCTTGCTCAGGATTACCAATGTTCTGCTGTGATCCGATACTCTTCATTTCAGCTATTTTTGAAATTTCTTCCATACTTGTTGACACAGAAAATCGTCGTTTGAGTCTCTCGTCAACTTGAGCCATCATGACAGATGATGTCAAGTGGGCATACTTCTTTTGCCATGAATACGTGTCGAGTGACAATTCCTTCTTTAAAAGTCTTCTAGCTGGTCGTTTAGCTGCAGCGGGTCGCAAATCTGTAAGCAACAATTGCACTTTATTACTCTCTACATCATGTCAAGTGGATTCAACCAACCTTCAACATCTCTAGCTGGTGCTGAATATGTCGGAAGCTTGATATATTGTGCTGGGGAGTTATGTAAGCAGATGATAGGGAATGAGGGATTGTCAGTTAAGTGAACAAGAATTCGTGAACATTCCAAAGAAATATCGAAGCGAGTAAATTGCACGTGAAGTTGAAGTGACGTCAAAGCTAATCCTCTTAAAGTTTCCCAGACAATGATCGTTTTATCATCACTACCAGAGACTGCTGTCGTACCTTTGTTATAATTAAAACATCAAAAATTAATTTCACTTTGTAACAATTAAAAGTTTTATTTTACCATCAGCTGACACTCGGACACATGTCACAGGCCCCAAATGACCAGCCAGTGTATGAATCTCTTCTCCTGTATGTAAATCCCACACAATCAAATTACAATCCTTCGAACCAGATATCACTTGACTTTTATTCGTCACCGAAACAGCGACTGTCAAAACAGCATCGGAATGACCAACAAGAACCTTTGAAATGAGAGAAATTTTCCATCATCTTCGTGACTAAGAAACATTTTAATGAATTTATGAACAGTCGACAAGATAATAATTGAGATTTCTTTAATTAAGACTTCATTGGAATTTTCCATTATTTTCCATTCACGAATTTTATTTCTCACTCACCTGTGCCAATTTGCCGCCTGTTGCCTGCCACACCTTCAATGACATGTCACGCGATCCCGTGATAACGTAAAGCGAGTCGGCTGTTATAACAAAGCAAGTTATTTCATCGGTGTGACTAACGTGATATTTCTCGTCTTCACGCGTCAGTGACCATATCCTTAAACTGTTATCGCCGTTAGTACTCATCTAGATAACAATAAGAAATTCATAACATTAAAATAAAACGAATGAAGTGGAATGCTTACAGCAAATTTCATGTTGTTCGTGACAGCGAGACATTTATGTGGTCCCTGAACAGTTTGAAGAATTGTTCCATTATCAGCGAGCCAAACATGAGAATAACCATCACGATCTGATGAAACAATTCGACGGGAGTCCATCATAACGACGAGACAACTTATCGCAGCATTATGAGCTTTGAAGGTAGTTTGAAGAATGCCAAATTGAAGGCCCCAAACCAAGACACTTTTGTCTTCTGACCCGGTGGCGACGAGTTCACAATTGGGCGCAAAATGAATGCAAGTTATGATCGCTGTGTGTCCTTCGAATGTCTTTGCCAGTTCCGGTGTATTCAACTGCCATATTTGAATGCCACGCTGAATTGCTACTGCAGCCATCGTTGAATCTCGTGAGATATCAAAGCAGCAAATTGGATGATTATTTGAATTCAAATTGAGACGATTCGTTGACACCAATTGCTTCCGATTTTTACGTTTTTCCTTCTTCTTTGGATAGTAATTAACCATGGAATCTTCATTTCGAAATGAATAGAATGTTATTTTGTTGCCACCTGCTGTTATTAGATAGTCATCTTTGGCCATCACGAAAATAGCTGACACTGGCCCTGGATTTGGTGGCATCTGGCGATGTATAAAAAGAGAAAAGAACAGACGACAATAATGAATAATTTCCTACCGTCGTTGCTACTTCTCATCCCATGCCGTGCGCCATTACTAATTCATTCATTTATGTAGATACTTACCGTTCTTATAATTTTGCCTGAACACATGTCGAAGATTAAAGCTTTCGTGTCTTCACAACCAACAATTGCTCGTTGACTATCAGCAGCTATGCTAAAAGCCAAAACCTGTCAAGAAACAAACGATGATATATTTAACTTTCCTTCTTGTGCGTGATAATAAAAATTTAATTTAGTTATGTTGCTCGTTTTTAATTCAGTTCAAAGGTGATGGCGAAAGGGAAAAATGGAAGGTGAATCGACTCAACTCGATGTTCATAAATAACATAAATTTAATGTTCTTTCAGATTTTACCGGGACTAACGGTTAAGTTCGCCAGTTGTTGCTCATAAATTAACTTTTTTTCTTTTTTCTCTGTTATTATTAAATTGAAACGCAATTCTAAAGTTGAAAGCTTTTCTTTTTTTGAGGATTCTCTAATTTTTTTCCCATTTTCATCTTCATTTCCATGGGTCAACTACGAAGAGATGAAACAAAAACAGCGGCAGAAGAAGCACTCGGTCCATTAGAAAAGCTATTAAGATATAAAAATTCCCCAGCGCAGACTTTTTAATTGTTTTCTTTAAAAAAAATGTAAGAAAGAAGTTTCTTTCTTCGGTTCCTTTTTTTGCGTGTCATCATTCATTGTAAATACAAAGTAAGACCTGAACCGTGAGCAGCAAATTTCATTCTCGTGATGATGAATTAGTTTGGGTTATCTCCTTGTTCAACATCATCTTCAACATGAACTTTGAATTATTCAAAAAGATTTTTTTTTCTTTTTTTCTCTCCTTTTTATCGTCTTATGCTCGTTTTTTCGACAAGTGAGTAGGAGGAAGGAAAGACGTCCAAGCAAATGTAGATGTCAAATATTTACGTTTATATTTACCTTAGATTTGTGACCTTTGAGTTGATGTAATTCTGTTCCGGTTGCGAGAGTTCGTAAATATAGACCGTTGTCTTCACAATGAGCAAGAAGAAAAATCTGAAAACATTAGCGAGAGGTTGTTAAAGAGTTCGTTAAGTGTGCAAACAAGAGCTTGGTTAATAGCCCTGGGAACTTACAGAATCGGGCGACAATCTAAAGTTAAGAACGGGACTGTTAAATTGAAGTAAATTAAGAAGCTCGTAGGTTTCCAACGACCATAAGCAAATAGTTCCATCTGTGCTGCCTGATACCAAAACCTCGCTTGTTGAACTTATCGCTACACAAACCACTGGTCCGCGATGATGATCAATTTTCATTACCTTTTTATGGAATAATCAATAATAAAGAAAGAGAGTGAGTGAGTGAGTGAGAGAGAGAATGTGTATTGTATTTGTTGTTAAACGATAATATCCGCAAACCTTTTCACTTGAAGCTGAAGCAACAGGTTTGTGTATCTACTTAAATAGATAAACTTTTCTCAGCTTTTCCTTTCTTTTTTTTATCTCAACATTAGAAAGCATTTTCAATCACAACAATCTTTTCAATGCTGAAACAATTTCCTATCGATAACGACGACTTGACATTAAACTTCGGAAAAACATATCGAAAAAATAATAAATTTAATTTATCTAAGCCGTAAATTCACTTCACTTACACAATTTGTGTTGATCAATAAATTATTGGAAAAACACTTTTGGGACAATATCAAAGATGAAGTTTAAATTCGTCTTTCTCTTTCCTTTATGCACGAAAGTGAGCCTTTAAGACGGTTTACTTTTCATTTCCCAAGGAACGACACTGCTAATGGAAATTAATGAATGTTTACGTAAGTTTTCTTTCTCCGTTTTTTTTATCAAGATTTGTCGTCGTTTCTGTTGTTGCTCGTCAAAGATAAAAAGAGAAATTTAAAGTTTTCGGTCTTTCTTTTCTACCGTTGAGGTGATATTGTCGGGATTTTCCTTCGTAATCAATCAAATGTGGCCTTGAGGAGCATTTTGTGAAAAAGATAAACAAATGGCTGGGAAAAAGGTAAGGAAGGGTGGATATCAAAAAATTACGTCATGCTGATATTGCTCGATCCTAAAACACGATATTTTACATTTTTCTTCTTTCTTTAGATGGGTGAAAGACGGGAAAGAAAAGCTGACACTAACAAAAATTGTCATTCACTTCACATTTTTCTTCCATTCCTATCTTTGTCATCGTAATTTTTATTAAGCGAAAAATGAAAATGAAAATGAAATTTCTTCGACAAACACAATTTTCATATTTGATGATTTCGTTTATTCATTGTAACGATTGACGACTGAAAGTAAGATCTCAAAGATAAAAGATGTCAAGGAGAAGAAAGAAGGAAAGTTGTTGATAACAAGATTGGTGAATCTCGTCTTTATTTTACTTTCAATCGTTCTTCTATCAAGAGTTTCCTTTCACAATCTTCTTCCTGTCGTTCATTATAGAAAATAAACTTTGACATATTCTTCGCCCAAAATGAAAGAAAGAAAGGAATAAAAACGACCGAACGTCGTCGAAGAGTCTTTTTGTAAATGAAAAGGCCTCGAACAATTGTCGCTCTAAAGACTTGTCGTTGTTATGATCCTTGACATAGGTTGAAAATCATCCACACAACAACTCACATTTGAAAAGCTTTCAATGAATAAATTTAGACCTAAATAAGTCAGTATATGTTGTTGTAGCGAGGGGGGAAGCATATCATAGACACTTTGTCTGTGAGTGGACAATAATCCAATGTTTTCGTAACTTTATTTGTTTATGTAGTAACGATGAATATGTGTGAGGGAAATGTGAGGGTTACAAACATGAAATCCCATCGGTAAATATTAGATCCAAATTGTATTTTTCCCTCCATTAAGAATTTATGATGTGGTGCAACTGCCAACTTTCGATTCATAAGTAAGTACTAAGCTACTTCATTTTTATTCCATTACATGAGAATGTTTAGAATGAAAATAGAAAATTCTCTCATACTATTTCATCGCTCAACTTCACAATGAATCAAAGTGAATTCTCTTGTTTTCATATGACGACATTTCACTCTTAATAATAAGCAAATTATTCACAACATAATGAACGAAACAATGTGAAGAATTTTACTTTTTCTCTTCCATCTCATTTTATTTTTCATGAAAGAAAAAAAGGAAATTGAGTTAAAAAGTTTTTCACCTGGGAAGAAGTGCAGAAATTTGAAATTTACACCGAGAGCGGTAGAAAGGTGAGATAAATGAAAAGGCGGATAAAATTGCAGAATTTACCATCGTAAACAATTTTGTTAAAACGTAGACGAGTAGGAAAACATCATTTAAATACTTAGTCTTCATTGTTATTTTCATCATACTTAGAACTTCGAGTTTCAACGTTGAACACTAATTTCTTTCCTTATTTAAACTTTTAAATAAGACAAACTCGAAAATGATACACAGTAAATAGACAAACAAGAAGGCAAACGAATATATCAACAGACATTTGTATTATGGCTCATTTAGAGTAGGTAAGTATAAAAGCTTTCGAATCATTCATGAGATTTGTTGAGGAATGTAAATTTATTTAAAATATTTTGTTGATGTTCATAATACTCACAGATTTTCCCGTCAAATATGATGATATTATTATGCTTGAATCATCTCCACCGCTCACCTTGTTAATACGAGAATTTGCAACATTGCGAAGTATGTGAGAAAGAAAGAAAGAAAGAGAGAGAGAGATAAACATAAGTACATGAATTCAACTTCATTTAACGTCACCCCAATTGTAAGACTTACCACTAGAGTATTGTTCATGGCACTTGTTACACACATAACAGCGGCAATATGCAACCTTTTGAAAAGACGAAATGAAGACGATAAAAATAATTTTACGAGCCTATCGCGTGCTGATTTCTTATCGTAAATCTAATCATAAAATAATTTTCCACTTCCCACAAAATTTGTCTTGAATTTTTGACCCGGAAGAGAAGCAAAGAAACACTTTTGGAAATTTACATAAACTGCACCCACGCAAACATTTGGTTTTTATGGCGACATGACGACGTGAGAAACTCTTCCTTTTTCGTATGGAAAACCACACAGATATTTGGTTACTTGATTTATTCCCCACGAAAATGTTTCGGAGAGAAATCTTTCCTTACGAATGATGTCAAAATTCTGAGATGAGGGCATTTTAATGAATGACGTCAAAACTTGAGTATAAACATAAAAAATCTCTAATATCTAATCATAAAAAGTGTTCTGAACATAATTTATTTATAGCTTGTAACAATTCAAGTTGAAATGAAACCCGCAAGGCAGGTTTACTCGAGTCTCGGTTTTTTTTTTAAATAACGACGTTGTAGCAGAGAAAGAAAAATGTTTTTCCGATTTATATTCATTGTATGCGAAACAGAAACATTCATGTTGATTATTATGATATGAATTAGACGCAGAGATTTTTATTATTTCCCCAAATTGTACGCACAATAAAATATAAGAAAAATGAGAATTTTCTTTTTTTTCTATCATGTTTATTTATGGTTGTGTCAGGTGCAAAAACAATAACGAATGACATACGATTTCACAAGAATTATTTGAATCATTTAGAAGCTTTTTTATGTTATAAATTTATAAACAAAAAATGAAGAAGACGAAAAGATCAGAATATAAAATTAAATCTCACATAATTTGAGCTTTCAACAAAGTTTATGAAGAATCTCAGCCAGCAACAACAAAACTGTTTAAATATCCCCGCATCTCCAATTCATAAAAAACGTTGTCGTAAGCATCCATGTCATAGAAATTCCCACTTGTCGTTTAATTGATTACTTTTTTTTCCCTCTGACAACAGCTTCCCATTTCCCTCGTTCTCGATTCTCTTCTTTCACGGTATGAATAATTTTATATGAATTTTTCACCCTCGATAAACCACAATGTAGGGAAAAATAAGAATCCAGGATGCGAATGGAAATGGAAGATTCAGTTCCGTTTTCTGGCATTGTGAAGTTGTGAAGGCAAAATCGCGCGAGTTTGCCTTCTCTCAAAACAAAGAGAAAGCAAAGCGACGTATTCACAATATCGCCTCACTACGCTGTGATAAATTAAACTCATCTCATATCTTTTACACCTCCCTTACACTAAGCTAAATCCATTGGGGGTGGTAGGAACAGTTGAAGGTAAACGGTATAAGAAATAATGAGCGGAATACATTTAAAACATTATCTTTGCTTGCTTCTGTTGTAACGAGGAAAAAATGAAGCTTCATCATCGTCAGCCGTCGAGACAAGAAGATTTTTCTCACATATTTAATTTGCTTCATGGCGCAACGTTTCCCCTTGATCGATAAATCACGTTCATTGTCAATTCGTGGAAGTTTTAAGGCGGAAAGAATAAAACCCTCAATACTCAAGTTTGAAATGCAACAAGTGATAGAAGGAAGAAAAAAGAACGAGAAACTTTACTTTTTATCGCGTTAGCAGACGTAGAAAAAGTAGAAGTTTGATTTAGATTGAGACACAACTTCAACAGCTTGAGGGGTAAAGTAAACATAACAACCTTACCACAATCTTGTCTTGACAGCTTGTGTTTTAATGTCCCACACTATGACGCTTGTATCTTCCGATCCGGTCATCAAGTGATTCGTATTTTTAGGCACCATCATGCATGTTATCGAGCCACTATGTCCTAGAGAGAACAGAGAGAAGGTGCAACAATATGTTAGTTACATAAATTAATCATTATTAAGGGTCGAGTTGTGGACATGTGAGAAATTTTAAGTTTGACTTTTATGACGGTAGGTTATTTAGAAGTCCAGCATGTGAAGCAAGCTTTATAAAGGAAAGGAAAATAAATACGTTTGTTTGAAAAGATTTTGATAATTAATGGTTGTTTTGCCGCACCCCTGAGATTTTCGGAAGCGACATTAATGCAAACTGTGGACCTTTTCTTATTCACAAAAACCTTTCTCCCTTCTCCATGCTCTATCACGAAGTTACATTCACTTATTGTCCAAAATGTTCGCCTCCTTATGTTGTTACTCCTTCCTTCTCTTCCTTACAACACTCACTAATCTTCTTAGTCACTGTCTCAAGGGGAAGTCTTGAATTAAGAAATGTTGTGAATTTAAAAGCTTTTAAAAGCTCTGACTATAAAGCTCCAATGGAGATAGCTTACGATGAATATCAGCACTAAAGAATCATGTTGCCGTGGTTAGTTTATTTTCAGAACTTAAATAAATATTTTATCTCTCAGCATTTTCCACAACAGTTTTCATGTTATCCTTCGCCCAACCGCAGATTTACAAACTTTATATCAACAAAACTCTTGGATGTTTGAATGAAAAAAATGTCTCTCTCCACCCACACCCGCAATTTAATATTTCAGTTTTCTCATCCTTCTCGGTTTTTGTTTTTTTAATATAAAGAGTTGTTGGAAGAAAAAATTGTCACGAAATGTTAATCCGCTTCACGAGAATTTGAGGTAGAAAGTTCTAACGACAAATGTTGAAAACTTCTTTTGTCTACAACTTGAATTATGTTGTTCTAAATAGGCAAGGTTCAAGATGATATTCATCCCTTTTTAGGAACTTTGTAGATATTTTCTTTTTTTTATTTATCTGGAAGAAGCTTCAGGCGATGGTTAATACCTTTAGCAGCATAAGAATGCTATTCCTGAAACATGTTGACTCGTAAAGCAAAGAAATTTTCCTTGTAACTTTTAGTAAAACGAGAAAGTTTTCCGTCATACTTTTTAATGTTCGAATGCTATCTTGATATTTATGTGAGTACTTCTTTCAGTATGCTCACGCAAACATAATGTAAGACTGAAAATCATTAAAAAATGCTTTTAAAATGTTCACCATAAAATACTTTGTACCATTTTGTTGAACGTGATTACATACGAATGACGTGATTGAGTGAGAATTTTCATTCCAACTTTTTTAATTAATTTTATCTGAGATTTAAACATTAAGATAATTACTTTTAAAGTATCATCTCACATGATGAACAACATATCGATTATGTTTCCTTCTTGAAAAGTTCTTTAACATATCAACTTTAACACTTGTTATAAACTCGTGTTCTCAACATAATAATAAAACTTTCAATGACGAAAAAGCTCTCAAAAAGTTTATTTTTCTTAACCATGTAAAGTCGTTGAAGAAGGGATATTGAAGAAAAATTTCCATATCAAAAGCTATTTCTTAACTAAAAAAAGGTCAGTTAAAGAAAATATTTCCATCACAAGACCATTAGCAGATTGAAAACTCCTTGACGGAGTTGAAAAACGAGAAAAGTTTTTCTTTTCACTTCTCAATAACTAAATTGAACTTTAAGAGAGGAAAATATCGACGACTTGACTTCTGATTGAGTAAGAAAAATAATAAAGTAATTTCCAGTTATTTCTCCATTCACTTCCATTTCTAATTCTTTCAATGCTATTTCCATTTCTACATTTTATTATAAATGTAGGACAATCTCGTATCTTTCAGTCTTTGAAATCCTTTTTCATTCCTTCATGTCAAACTTGAATGAATGATGAAGAAGAAAGTAAAAAAAAGGAAGGAAAAAGACTGCCATGGCAGGGTATTCTTTGTTCGTTAAAGATCATTGCATCCGAATAGTCAATAACTACTGAGTGGATGAAGAAAATCTCTCATAAATAATTCAATACTTCTCCCATCGGAAATTACATTCAAATCAGCGCTTGAACAACATTACAATTCAATTTATCTCCACTTTGATATTGAAAACAGTTTTTTCTACTCTTTACGACGTTGCTTATTTATGGGAAAAGGGAAGATTTGAACTCACCTTTAAACGTTCCGATGTTTCGATTACTCATGATATGCCACAGTTGTGGATCGCCAGTTTTTCTAGCAATTACCAAATATTGCTTACATGGAGACACTTCAAAATGTGTTATTGGCCCACCAGGAACAGTCATGCATCGTATTTGTGATGGAAGTGGAACTGGCAGCCAACCCGTTAATGGAACCAACTTTAAATAAATTTAAAACATTCTTTCCGAAGTTATTAAAATTTGTTTAATTCTCTCACCAATGGAACTGTGTAGCCATCACACCAAGCAGTTGCAGAGCGAACAGTGATTCCGAGAAGTGAATTTTCACCTTCATATGTCGAAACTGTCCGCAACCATGATATGAGCTGACAAACAAAATAAAGATGAAAATCTTAGAAAAGTTAAATAAAGCAATGAAAGCATTGCTTGACACAAATTTGTTGATAAGTTACGAAAACAAGCCAACATGACTCATCATTGAATGATGAACAAAAAATGAAATTAAAAATCAATAAAAACTTGAACTCATAGAGAACAATACGCATGAAAGGATGTAAGCTCGTTGACAATAACATCAAATTTTATTGGTATTGTTACTGTTGAAACGTGAATACTTCTTCCTTTGCATAAAGAGATAAAAGCCAAATGAAACACTAAACCTCCATTGTATAGCAATATTTCCTTTTTTTAGTCGGAAAAGCGATGGCTTTTCATTTAAATGTGAAGGAATTTTTGAATTTCGAAATTTCATTTTTCGTTTAATTCCATCCGATTCCATATTAAAAATTCCTAAATTTTTTTGTGACTTAAAAGAGAAGTCAACATGCAGAAAAGTACTTTTTAAATATGTTATAATAATTTGATTAATGTTCTTCACATAAGTGAAATTCTTGAGAATTCAAACAAAAAGTATTCGCGAGCTTTTACCAAACAACAACAAAAGCAGGGAAAAAAACATTCGCAAGCCTCAATCATATTTTCATTTATCATTTCATATATTTATGATGTTTTTCTCTAAAGAAAAAAAGAGAAAAGCAATTTAGCTACGTTCCACATATCTATGTAAAGACTAAGCCTGAAGTAAATACGACGAGTGAATTACTTGAGCATCCATAAAACTATGATAATAAATTTTCATCACGGCAAACATGAGAGACACAACAAGCAGTTGGAAAAAAATAAAGAAGATATTTCTGTTATTTGTTACTGTTGTTTGCTTAACGACTCCAATGGAAAGAAGCGATATGTCGACTCGAGTGACAAAGTAATTTGCCAGAAGCAACATTTTCATAATAATTTTTCGTACTATGATCAACATAAAAGGAGAGAAGGAAACATGATGAAGCAAATTTTTGTATTAAGAGAACAGTTGAGATTGTATGCTAAGCATGACTTGGCAGAGCTTTAGATTCTTTTCTCACAGCCACAAGATATTTCTTATGAGAAGAATGTGCAGCGATATAAAATCAATCACAACTTATCTCTATTGTTTTGCATTTAAATTAAATTATCTTGATATTTCCATACCTGAGCACCAAGCTGCATTGGATCTCGCGTAAGAACGTCGCTTGACTTTCTGATTGTATAATAAACAAGTTCGATATCACGATCTAAAATGTAACATCGTACGTGCTCGATGAGACACCGAAGATAGCTAATTGATACAGTTTGAACCTGAAATCAATTCAAATAAAAGCCATAACAATAATGATCAAATTTAATTAAATTTAGTCAAAAATTTGAACTCACAGCTGCAAGGAGAAAATCAAAATTGCACACAGCAATCTCTTTCAACTTTTTGCTGTCATCTGACTTTATTAAATGATGCCATGATTCTTCCACGTGCCGAATGGAATACGAGATGTCAGAACCAGGTACAGGTTGTTGTGTTGATATTGTTGATGTCTCGTCGCAATGATGAGGTTTATTGTTAGCTATTAAAATAGATTTCTTTTGAATGTTTAAGTAAACAATTTTGTACCTCTGATTTTCAAATCAGATTTTCAGATATCTAATAAATTCAAATTAAATGTTATTAGGTTTGTATGATTATGTCAGGAAAAGATGAGCTTCATGATGTAGATGGAAGAATAATTCGTTTATAATTTTCCTTCTTTTCCTTTCAACATGAACATAATTTGAAAGCTTTAAAAAAGTTTAGCTTTTAAAATAATCCTCATCTTCCAAGTAATCAGAAATGATTCAATATGTCTTGTCTACAAAGCGGAAAAGAAATTTTCATCGATTTAAATCGGAAAATCTTTCATATTTTCAAAAAGATTTAAATATGATTTTCATCAGAAATGAAAAATAAGAAACATTTTCGATATGCCATTTCCCAAGCCATTTTCCAACCGAAAGGAAATAAAAAAGCTCATTTGAATGAACACAGAAAATTTCTGTTCCATCCTTTGATTGAAGATTAAAAACAACGAAAATAATTTCATCTGGAATATCGCAGAGGGAACGAAAAAGAGTTTTTCTTTCTAAAGTTAATGAAGTGGAACGAAATCGAATACCAGAGGAAGATATTGTTGTGTTGCCTGAGCGAATCGCAATATTTGGCATTTAAAATAAGATGAAGATAGAAGAAGGTTGGGAAAGGAATTCTTTTTTAAAAATTCGGTTTCAGAAAGGAATTTCTTTTTTTATCATTTGCATGTTCAATGGCCGATAGATTTAATTATAAAGAATAGAAAATAAATTTGCCTATTGTAATGAAGACTATAAGCGTGCTTTGTAACAAAACCTACTCGACTTCTCACTTGTTTCACTGTTGATTTCATCACTTTCATCTGATGTTTCTTGAGGAAAGAACAAGCTGACAATCTCTCCATGAGCTGAACGCATCACTTCCTGATCATTAATATAACGCTTCTTAGATATGTCAACACATAAGTCGTGACGCCACTCAATTAGCAACTTTCCTGACATCAGCTTTTCACGAATTAATGGCTCTAGAGAATGCAAACAAATAAAAACAGAAAACTTTTATCAAATTCATGAACAAACAAATTGATGGCTTAATTGACATGTTCACGATTTTTAATGCAATATTTTCTCATTCAATTTGAACGTTTTTTTTATGCTCTCAGTGATTTATGAGTTGAAATTTTTGATATTTTTGTATGGATTAAAGTTATGATCTCGAAACTATTCAATGGTAATGAATATAAAAGGATGAACTTACTCATATCATATCGTATGGTGCAAAATGATGAAAAATTGAATTCACCACAATGAGTTTCAAGTGTCGCATCTGAATCTTGAATTGGCATCAATAGCTCAAGAAATTCCGTTTCCGTTAAGCCATACTCAGTGCTGTTCAAGTAGGTAGAAAATTTTGCAATTCCTTTCGTTCCGTAGCGTTCTTCCAAACAATCAAAATTTCGATTTACATAATCATTAAACGTTTCGCTTTCGATATCTTTCACGAGACTTGTTTTATATTGTGGTGTTGATAAATCGTAAAGAAATTCAGAATTCTTGAAACGTTCCTTTTGAATGGGACTCAACTTAAGCACGTCAAATGAGAGAGTTGAACAGACTAAAAACACATTCCATGGGAGGCTTATCGGAAGCCATGAAAATGCCGCAACAATGTCGCAATCGAGTGGATTGATTTTGTGGAGATCATCGATGAAAATGAAAAGAACTTCATTGTTCATATCTTCGCATCTCTTTATTAAATTCTGAAACCAATTGTTAATGTACAATGGCTCAAATGATGCGTCTTTTGGCAGATATCCTTCCGGTATGTTGAGTATGATTGAAATTTGTTGGCAAATAACACGAAGCAATTCCAAATTGTATGCGGAACGTGGTGTCGCTTTAGCGAAACGGATCAATCGATGAACTTTAACATTCGGACTTGTGAACCATTTTATGCATTCCATGTACAACTTCGACATTAGTGAACTTTTTCCACTCCCGTGATCACCGTAGATAAAATATGGCGCGTGCCGTGCTCCATTACGATAATTCAATTTGATATGAGATTCTATTTTGTCAGGCACATCTGATGATATAAAACTCTTCGACATCAAAAGCTCATTTAGAAACGAAAGATGTACGGCATGCTCATAAAATATTTCCTGTGTTATTTTCGCAGGTGAAAGTAAAAAGAGAGTAAAAGTAAAATAAAGAAATTTTGTCACAAAGAAGCTTCAGTACAATTTTGTGCTTCAAGAGAAGTTCATAAAACGAAGCAAGTCGATCGAAAACATATAAAAGCTTAATTGCGTCATTTTAGTATCTTTATGAACTTTAATATAAATTTTTGTTGCCCGTAAAGGCGACTTCTTTTTTAATGACATTTATATGTAATGTCGGAGCGTGAAGATAGATTTAGAATAAGTCAGAAGGAAATTCTGAATAATCTCCTCAACTTTTGTAATGTTATTTCAAAATCATTAAGCTTTTAAGCAGCTTTTACTTAATTCAATTAGATTTCCCCTTAACATCGAAATGTCTATCAAATCTGTTTCTTCTTATTCCTTGCACAAGTGTTGAAATTGTTTTTATTAGCAAATATTTCAATGTCAAAAGTGAGTTGACGTCGAAAACGAGCGATCGTAAATTTTATTATCGAGCAGTAAAAAGCTCACCTGAACTGTTTTCCTTTTGCCTTTTCCTCCATCGGGATCGTGCGCAAGTCCTTTGTCGATGCATTGTCTTAGTTTCTCTATTAAGATTCGTTTAAAAACTGCTAAATACTCTTCGTGAGACTCGTGATTTTCAGTATCAACTGAGTCATTGTTGTAATATTCAACCCTTAATAAATTACAAAAGGAAATTAAATTATGAAAAATTTTATTGATGTCAATCATGACTCACTCTAAAGTTGCATGATTGTCGTTTGGAAGTTTCTCTACCAATAAATTTCTAATTATTTCAACATCCTTTGACGTATGTTGGTTTTTCCAGTTCCTAAACAATGCCAATATGTTGTCAGATGAATATTCTGTTTTAAATGAAAGAGGAAATTGTAAATAATAAAATAAAAGACAAAAAGTTTGTAAGCTTACCACATGCAACTTTTATTTCCTTCTCAACAATTCTTTCACAATACTCTTTTAAGCTTTCACTTTGAGGATTTCTCGCGTAGAGAATTTCAATTTTCTTTTCGAATATTTCCCGTAGCTTATTGCTACGTGCTATCCAATCATCCGATTTCAAGTTTCTGATCATGAAACGAAAAAGGTGGAAGAAAAGGCCAACATAATAATGGAATGAGAAATTAATTACGTTAAATAATGATAACAGGGCCTTGCTCGGCTCTTTGCTCTTTAAAAAAGTGCTTCCTCTTCATTATGGTAGCTCAAGTGGCAGCCCATTCATCTTACCTAAAGTTTGTGTGAAGATAATGAACGCCAGCATTGCTATCGTTTTTATAACAATTTTTCATCAATTCAGTCTCATCTGATGTCAGTAGATTAATTATTTCATTAAAGATATTCGTCCGTATCTCGGTCGGCAAGCAAAATTCGCCCAAACTGTTGCCAATTAATGACTATAGGATGATAATAAATTACATGGTTTTTTTTTCTATCATTTCGCATCCCAAACATGACACTCAGGACGTCATATTTGGTGTCGTCTCACTTACAATGAAAAATATACTCCTAGATGTTCGTTGACATGCTCTGATTTCATTTAAATGGTCATAGAGAACATAAGGATCTAAATCAATTGTTGTGTATGTCAGCCCCGTGCCAAAGTGCATATCCACAAATTCAATCTATTTTAAGTAATGAGATTTTATTATTTTCTGATTAGATGTCTATTGAAATCACATTTTACCTCAATTTGTCTGTCATCATAAATCGATTGCAATTCCGGTCCAATGACTTCAAGTAAAACTTTACGTTCTTCTTTGAATTCTATAACACAAAATGTATAGAAAAAATATGCAAAATGTGTTTAGATATCACATGTGTCGATGTCTCCTTTTCTCACCTTGTTTAGTGCTTGATATGTAAATTTTAACAAGACGTGGGGTTGGTTGTTTGGAATGTTCAACTAAGTATCCTTTCAAAGCATCGAGTATCGATTGATCTGGTACAGAAGCCATAACTTATAATAGAAACTATCAATCGGAATCTGTAACAAAAGGAGAAAAGTTTTCAATAACATTAAAATCAGCAAAACAATTCAGTAGAAAAATTTTAACAATAAGAAAAGAAACTCTTGTTTGTTTAAATAATCATTTTATTAGAAGCAATTTCAATCGTTAATCGTGACGATGTATTCAAAGCTAAATGCACCAAAATATATCGAATGCATTTATTTCGTTTCGATTTGAATCGAAAAAAACTGGTAGCACACGACCATTTCGTGTTCTCTTTAGTTTTATCAATAAAATAATATTTTAATCGTTAGTCACATCTTTTAAACGATTCTTTTTCTTAAAGCTTCAAATTTTTGTAATAAAAGACTTGTCTATAAAACAAGTTTTATTTCGTGCTTCATTTTTATTTTTCAGGCTAACGTTGCATCGTGTGCATAAGTCGAAAAAATCAATAAATGATAGTCAAAATGATTCTCATTGTGTTATTTTTATCATATTTTTCGACAAGCTCAGCTACGTTCTGTTCGTCGCCTGATGAAAATACACTTTACATTTATCCAAGTGAATATAATTGTTCAACTTTCATTGCATGCATAAACTCTGAAGAATTCGAATTTGAGTGCATTCAAGCCCCACGTTTCATTCAATGGAGTGAAAAAGCTATTTGTATGCAGTCATGCCTGCCAGTCGAATCAACACCAAAACATACGGAGCAAACTATTTTAATTGGTTTTCCAGCTGATACCATTCTTTATCCAGACATCCCGGCTCGGTCAATAATTTGCCCACCACTTAGGAAAACAAAAGCTATAATCCCAGAAACTTGTACATCATATCTAGATTGCAATGATGGAATCGCTATAAAAACAGAATGTCCAGTCGGTGAACAATTTAGCCCAACTCAATATGAATGTGTTCCAGAAATAGAATCTGATTGTCATCATATTCGACAACAAGGCTTGCATCATATAAAGTGCCGGTATGATAAGGGTTTGATACCTTTATACTTCGAATCAGACAGCTGCCCTGTATTCAAGAAGTGTGCTAATAAGTTGGCTTGGGAGGTCGAATGCGCTCGCGATTGCCATTGGGATAATGATAATAAGATTTGTGATTGGGCTGATAATTTTGAATGTAACTTATTGAATAATTAATGGAAATGTTTTCATTATTTATTGAAAATATAATAAAGTTCAAGAAAAATTATTGAAATTTGTTTTTTTTTTTAATAGAGCACAAAATGAAACAAAAAATCAGTTTTGGACAATTTCTTTTACATCAGATTTATTCATAAGGCAAAACTTAATTGTGAAACAATGTTAAATCAAATTTCTATTAATTCGTTCATATCAAATGAATTTTTACATTTTATTTAAATTTTTTTATAAGAAATAAAACAAAGTCGCAAATCTTACACGTTCCGGTTTTTAGAAGCAAGCGATTATTTAAATATACTAAGTTATAGGAAACTTAAATGGAACGTATCGGAGCTTAAAACACAATGTGAAAAATATGAACTATAAGTTTTGAACTTTATATCTGATCTAATATTTTATATCAAACGTTTTAGTTGAAAATTTACATGGACATTGACCCTTCAATATTTTTTTACGAAAATCCTGCTATTGCTATCGTGTAAATTCGAGGAACATTCGCACGAACAAAACTGAACGAACTACAATCAAAGTCGATTTCATGATCATGATTTACTGTATATTGTTTCTATTTGAAAAAAAGAAATTATAAAATATAAAAGGTTATTGCAATTTTTTTTTATTAGTTATAATCCATTTTTGGATCATACGAAACACTAAGGAAAAATGATGAAATTTAAACTATTTCTGGTACTTATAAATTACAGCCAAGTTTTATCTCAGCTGAAAGGTGTAGATCGTGATATCTGCAAAGATGTAGACTCTCACACTTTGGTTTTAAAACCTGATCCTGAAGATTGCAAATTCTTCATTGCATGCATTGGTGATATTGCACAACGATTCAAGTGTTTAAGTGACAGTGTTTACAGAAATGGAAAAGAAATCTGTTCAAGCTGTGACGAACAATCAGGATATTATGAAGATGATCTCAATGGAAACTATGGAAAAATGCCACCTTATAATCAGAAGAGGACAAAAAGAATTAAGAAATATCGTAAAAAACCAAACAATTCTTATGGAAAAAGGCGTACAAGATATACCAAATCACACTACACACAACCTTACGGAACAAATCCTTACTACACCTCTATGCCAACGGAGCCCCCGACAGATCCTCCAACTGAGCCGCCAACTGACCCACCTACAGATCCTCCAACTGACTCTCCAACTGACCCACCTACAGATCCTCCAACTGAGCCGCCAACTGTGCCACCTACCGAACCACCTACAGATCCCCCAACTGACCCACCTACAGATCCCCCAACTGACCCACCTACAGATCCCCCAACTGATCCACCCACAGACCCTCCAACTGGTCCACCACC